TTGAAAGAACAACTTGTCATCTTAGATTCCATAATTTTACACGAGCTTGCATGATGTGTATCGTCGAGGATGTAGTCTACCTAATGTACCTAAGCTTGTATCTGCATCATGCCCATTACAGCAGTGCATCGCAGACAATTCACCGACGGCATCCTTGATTGTATATGCTAGGGATATGGTTACACCTAATAGTAACGCTGCAAGATGCGCGAAGTGTAAGCATATTGCTTGCAGATCGAGCTCTACATTTTGCGGTATTTTGATAACGATCTGTTCCTTTTACTCAGCGCTAGACTATACTAGGCCATCACATGAGTGCCAGATGTACCCTGTTTTTTAAATGTTTTTTACGATTAAGTTTCATTACCAATTCAACTACCAGTTCCCTATATCCAGCCTCTATATTCGTTATACCTATCGCCTTTGATGTCCTACCTCTCCCACCGCCATCTCTGAATTTAGTGAGCCTTTCCATCGCTCTATTAAGCAGGCTATTAAAGCCATCAATATACATGCCTAGCCCTAGGTCTTCGTAGTCTCGAAGCGAGGCTCCTGTCAGCACCTAGGTACTCGATAATGTCTAATAAAATAGATCTCGTAGTCTGTATAAGACGACAAGGTGACTAATTCGTAAATACGAACTGGCACGAGGCTTAGGCCTCGCAGTGCAAGTTCACATAACAGGGCTTATGCAACCCTACAGTTATATTCAAACAGTCTAGACGCTAGAGTCTCGGACTCTAGCGATTAGTTTAGCATTGAATCGTACTACCTAGGTACTGCTTTCTCCATTCTATGTCCCGAATGTACCTAAGTCCTAAGACCCTCGCAACAGGGTCTAAAAAGATGCCAATACCTGTGTCTGTCACCCAGAAGAAGCCGATCATGAAAACGAAAGCAACAAAGCGATCAATGAGGTCGAAGCCAACCTGGCTTTTAAGTTTCAGAACAGACTGTAAGAAGTTTATCCCCGAACTTTTGTTTCCTTTCTTTGTGCGCAAGTTTCTTCTGGATGAAGGAGTGGGGGCCCAATGATTGGCCTCCTGTGTCATTGATCGACCTTGGAACTAAAAATGGAATTCGAGTGCAAGCTGCGAAATGTGAGGATCGAGTAGAAGGACTTGACTTGGAATATCTAAAGCCTTGGAGCAATGAGTCTGACTGAACTTCGACTTGAGATGGAAGAAAGCAAATCCTACCTTTTCTCCGCCATTTCCCTTACAACTCCTCTTTTTAGATTACCTCCAATTACCTCTAGATTTATACATTATACTCTTATCGTACAGTCTCCCTTAAATTCAATTGCTACCTGGCTTCTATTCATTCATTTTCTGCTCATTCTATCTTATAGAACACATTGCCCTCAAACAACCGACGTGCGGTTCTTAAAACTGCGACTTGCCGCACATGAATATCTCCGTTTCCATTCAAACCCAAAATTGTTTCAGTCTGCATAACACCAGCAGGGTGTCTGATCCTTACTGGGATAGGACTCGCAATTCTCTGCCCCTCAACCTCCATTCCATGTTTGGGGGAATTGTTTCTTGTCAGTCCGTTAGCCAACTGCCACGCCACAGTCCCGTGAATCGCCATCGCAGCTCCAATGCACACAGCACCCGTGATTTGGATAGTAGGATGCGGTTTACCCATTGAAAATGCGAGCACGTCTATGTCCGAGCCTTCGTCGACAGGAGGAGATAGAAATGCAATTTTTGGTGTGCCTCGAACAATGCTTGCTCTCTCCACATCTGAAGCTAGGCCAAATCGTACTGCCCCTTCTCGTCGAATGTATTCGGCAAGAGAGATGAAATCGGTATGAAATGCATCTGGTTTTATTGGGTGGCCGTTCACCTTCAACGAGCTAGAATCGACGAGTACAAATGGGTTTGCCGCGTCGACAAGGCTGACTTGTAGTTGAATAGTACCCAAATGCTTTGAGTCAATGCTGATAGTTTCCTGTGTTGCGCCACTTGGAAACATCTTCCCGGTCATACTCCCTTCGGGATTGAGAAACGCAACCTTGAGGGGACTTGAGGTGCCTCCAACGCCAGGGATGTGGCAAGTTCCATCCTCTCTGTGTTTTCCACTCGGAGATAGCTGGACCGTTTCCACGATTGTTTGCTGAGTGTTTGTATTGAAAATACGGACATTGATCTAATCCCGAATTAGCAGACGAAAACATGAATATGCCAAATCTTGCTCACTTCACTTTGGCCAGCGATAGCTCCTACAAGACCTTCATCCAATGAAAAAGGGCCCACTCCAGATGCAATATTCCCACAGTTTCCAGTCATATCAACCTTCTCCTGATCAGGGGCAACTTGGACGAACGTGTAGTCCACATCGATACTGGGTCGAGTTGACTTCGCAATGACTGCTACTTTCGAGGTTGTTGATGTAGCTCCGCCAATACCATCAATCTGTCGAACGCCAGCATTGGATGATCCCATTGCTGATAACAAAATAGGTCCCCACTGTTCCACTTTCTCGGGCAAATCCTTTCGGTGAATGAAGAGGCCCTTGGATGTTCCTGACCGCATCCAAACTGCGGGCAATGACTGTCTTTTTGGGTATGGAACATATTTTTTCAGTGCAAAGGGATTCGAAACTGCATAAGTTTCTGCAATCGACAATGTTGCTGCTGTAGTCATGATGGTTCTTGAACACAGGGTGCTTCGCATTGATCACCCGTTCTTGCGACCACACAACCCATGGTGACCAACCTAGATTATTTATGAGACTGCATATCTGTTCTCAACTGCAACTTTGCAATATCGGTATTTGCTCACAACTACCGATCGACCCTTTGTACGCGTTGTGGGTCTCCGTTCCGCGGGAAGTTATATCCCGTGGGAAAAAGTCTCCATGGCATTTCCGAAGCGCTAACCCGGTACAATGGCACATAATTTGCCTGGGGCAGTATTTCCCCAGATATTCAAATCTGGAGCGGGGTGCGTTTAGACATAAAACGACCATATCATGATGTGGCAGAACAGGAAATGTGGAAGATTTTCCAAATTGATCTCACATATATCCGTTCAACATGGCACTTACAGCCCCAATGGGGCTAGCAGCCACTGCACAAAATAACTCTCGTGTCTACATTCTTGCAATTGTTACCTCAATGGGTGCATTTTTGTTTGGTTATGATTTGGCATTCATTGGGACATCAATTGAGTTGGACCCGTTCAAAAGGTATCTAATGAAATGCATATATTTTTTTCAAATTTGGACTAACTTTTCAAGGGACTTCGGACTAAATGGTGCATCAGAGGCCGTCCAAAACGCATTTTCCGCCAACATAGTGTCACTACTTCAAGCGGGATGTTTCTTCGGTTCTCTCGCGGCAGCACCTGTGGGTGATAGGCTGGGCCGGCGGCTAGCTTTGGGACTTGGTGCCATTGCTTTCATTGTGGGATCAATTATGCAGACAGTCTCAGCTGGTAACACAGCTGTCATGTTTGTGGGAAGAGCAATCGGCGGGGTAGTAAGTACAATATCCGACTAACTACCTTCTTACCCTGGGTTATTTGGTTCGCTAACCTTTGACAGGGAGTTGGTTTTGCTAGCATGCTGGTGCCGTTATACACAGCGGAGTGTGCACCGCCAAATATTCGAGGTCGGCTGGTTGGAATTTACGAGATTGGCGTTCAGTTAGGAACATGTCTAGGTTTCTGGATAAATTTCGGCGTCGATCGCAACATGACACCCACCTCTTCGCAATGGATGACCCCGTTTGCATTGCAGCTTATTCCAGGTGGATTGTTAATGATCGGCTTGTTCTTCATGCCCGAGTCACCACGGTGGATTGCCAAAGTCCACGGGAGGGTCCGAGCCATCAAGACACTTTCACATCTTCGTGGTCTTCCCATTGATCATTCAGCCGTTCAAGAGGAGGTAGATGATATCCTTAATCAGCTAGAGCTTGAGCTAGCGGATAGTGTGGGAAATACCCGTGCTGCTTGGAAGGAGCTAATGCAGCCCGGACTGCGTAACCGGGTCTTCCTCGGTGTGATGGTTATGGTTTTCTTCCAGATGTGTGGATCAAACTCCATAAACTACTACTCTCCGCGTATCTTCCGATCTATTGGGCTGCAAGGAACGCAAACAACACTCGTCTCGACTGGAATTTATGGCATTGTTCGATTGTTGGCAGTCTTCATTGCCATGTACTTTGTTGTCGACCGATTCGGCAGGAAGTCGATGTTGATTGGCGGAAGTATCATGATTGTACAGTCCCCGATGATTTTTTCTTTTTTGATTTTATATTTCTGACATTCCCAGGCTATCTCAATGTGGCTCATCGGAGCCTTCGTCAAAGTCCAAAGTTCAACCTCAAATTCGAACGGATCGCTTAGTGGAACTTCCTATGTAGCGGCGGTGTTCATCTTCGTTTTTGCTGTTTCCTTCTGTTTCAGCTGGGCTGGTGTGCCTTGGGTGATTTGTTCCGAAATTTATCCCTTGCGTGTGCGTGGTTTGTGTATGAGCATATGTGTTGCCACGCATTGGCTGTTTAATTTTGTCATCGCAAGAAGCACGCCCTATATGATTTCGAACATTAGATTTGGGACCTATTTTGTTTTTGCTGCTTGTACCACACTTGCGGTGCCATTTGTTTGGTTTATGGTTCCTGAAACCAAAGGGATGAAGTTGGAGGAGGTGGACGCCCTCTTCGAAGGACGAGATTTGATTCCAAGGAGGCAATTGAGCATCACCAGGACTGATGACAGTATTGATGATAAGGAAATGATTGAACAGGTTGAAAAGATCTAATTGCCGAATATTATTATCGAGTTTCCAATTTATGGTCTCCTTTTTTCTTAGCGCTGCTTTGTATATTTTTACGTGTTCATTCGCGGCAATTATATTCCTCCCTACTGGTTCCAACACGCCGAAAAGAAGAACCTTTATTCTTAATCCTACCTAGCAGTCTGGTGGTAGATTCCGTGAATTGATGCCTTAATAGTGAACGCAAAAACAAAACACAGCACAAGCATTCTTCACTTGAGTGAAACATATTTCAAGGAGACATCCCACATCTTCTTGGCACCAGCGACATGATACGCATACGGGCCATAGCCCGGTGCCCAAATCCTCTCTGTGGGAACATGCGCAGTTGAAATGTGGCAGTTTTTCAAGTACTTTCCTCCTTGCCCTTCGAGATCCTTCGACACAGCTGCCCACACACTAGTAGCAGCACCTTGTGGGGAGTTCATTTAGCTGGCCAGAAGCGTTGGGTCCTGACATATGGTCTCGATCTCTTCCTTGGACATTTGTTGCCCAGGTTTGTTGCAACTGCCCCCGGGTGAACGCTGAAGGCATGAAGTTCCTTAGACCCATATCTTCTCTCGATCTCTTTTGCAGTCCACAAATTCGCGGTTTTGATCTACCCATACGCCTGCATGGCGTCGAACTTATCGTCAAAGTTGATGTCATTGAGATTGACCGCAGAGAACTCATAACCAATGGAGGAAAGTACAAGTACTCTTGATTGGAATGACGGCGTGGATGCCGAGAGGGGAGCGGGCATCGAGAGATTAGTCAAGAGAAAGTGCGAGAGGACTCACTCCAAATTGAAGCTCGAAGCCGTCCTTCGTGGTCTCTTTGTGGGTCATCATGACGCCCGTGTTTGCAACCAAGAGGTACAATTGGTCGTTCTCAGCCAAGAACTTTGCAGCACAACTCCGAACGCTGTAGAGAGACTCCTGGTCAAGGTGAAGAAGGCGGATATTTGGAGACTCTGCGAGTTCACCAAGGGCCGTCCTTGCCTTTTGGAGATTTCGTGCTGTTAGATACAGTTTTGCGCTCGTCTTCGACAAGGGCTTAGCTGTCTCAACTCGGATATCCGAAGAACAACCTGTGATAAAGATCATCTTGTCCGTCCATTCTCCAATGAGGCCTTCGTCTCGGACAACCTGTTCAGCCGTCGGGCGCCCATCCCCTGGGCCACTTAGGTGTGCATAAGCTGCAGTGTATCAAGATGCCATGGTGATTATTAGGTGAAGTAAAGTATGCGAAAGTAGGTTTTAACGAGGAATTTGTGATTCTTGCTGAGAACAGATGAGCGTTGACTGGCCACTTTATACCATGCCGGCAGTATAAGAAAGTGAAATACGGTAGTTCGACCTGAACTACCGTATCTTAGGACAAAATACCGTAGCCAGGGTAGGATACGGTAATTCGTCAGATACTTTAGTGATTTGAAATACCCTTGCTCGATGAAATACTATATTTCAGCTCGAAATACGGATTTTCATGAAGTACTTTAATCATTTAAAATACTTATAAGCTTTAAAAGGCAATATCCATAACAACATCCATAACAAATCCTTATACTTAGAAGGTCAGTCGTCCACTCCCTATTCCCCTATAATAAACAAGCTAGTTTAACCGTACTAATATAGACATTATCCTAAATACTATATTTTATAAAACACTAAATCAAAAGATAAAATACTGAAAGAACTACTTTAGCGATCAAATGAAATGCGGTATTTCATAAAATATCGTAGCTCACCTAATACTATATTCTTAACAGAGTCACACGAAATACCGTGGCAAATGAGTTACCGTGTTTCATAGGGTATTTGAACTTCCCCTCCGGGCGGCATGGTATTCATGGAGATAAACGAAGCGACACTTTGATTTTAGGCGCGAAAGCTTCCTTCGCGTTTGAATGGAGGCTTGGAGGCTGCAAAAGAAAGAACATAGAGGCGGAGCTTCTTATATATCCTGACTCTACAGCATCTTTACACCTTCCTAGTAGTGTATATCGTAGCCGATGTCGAGAATTATACAATTCTCATATTGAGCCGTGGTATCATGTATCATAATAGAATTATTCTCAAGTTCCAATCAAAGCTTTAGTACCTATTAGTTGCACGAATTGAAATCCTGGCATTATCATGTCCTAGTTATACAGAACACTATCTTGTATAGATCCATTAAGTCCAAACAACATGTCATCATCAATCTGTGCGTCAATATATGAACCGATATAGCCTGGCACGACAGTCGGAGCAAGACCACCGACTGTACCTAGATGATCTGCAGAAATACCAGAGTCATAGGCTTGCTCGCAGAACATCTGCCCATCATTTTGCTTTGTATTTTGTCGAATGAAGCTTTGAATAATCATATCCATATCCAATTCAGAAGCTTCAGTCTCCGGTGGCGTCATTTGAGCAGGCGAGGCAGATGATTTCAGAGATTTAGGATCAAGATGAGGCTGGTTTTGTAGATTTCCTATCTGCTCGTTTGAATCAGGACCAGGTCGGGCGTCATGTTGACGGTGTTGACCACCAATATCAATTTCCATTCGATCCATCAGATGCAAAATCACATTTTTGGCACGGCGGACAGCCCAATTTGTCTCTTGATTCTTTTGGAAAACATCAAGACACGTCCAGAGATTTGATTGCGCTCTACTGCCACCTCCTAGTTGGGCGGCGACTCGAACATGAATCGTTGCGGCAACATATGTCGCGTACGAAATCAGATAGGGGGCGCGTCTGATGGAGAATGCCCGGCCGTAGGCTTGCAAGATAGTGATGATGCGAGCTGCAGCTGCAGTGCATATTGTAAAGGAGCTGATAGCGACTGATGGATCTGTTATGTGAAGGTGACCTTCGGCCACAAAGGGTCGGTGGAGAAGAATGATGAGTACATTGTAGAGTGCCAAAAGAGAAAGGACATGAGGTGGTGGTGTGATCTCTGTTGGGCAATTTACAAAGCGTAAATAATCCGGCAGGTTCTGATACCAAGTACTCAACTCAGAATCCAAGGCTTTCAAAGTAGTGAGCAATTCCTGAGGAAATCGATTCGAGCTTCTCTCCGAGTAAACCTTGTTCAGAATACCGTTCAAAATCAACGACAGTTTACAAAGCTCAGTAAATGTTGAAACACTGTATGCAGGCGATCCAGGATATGACTGCACATCTGTATATGCGAACGGTTGCCAGTGTTCTAACTCTTCATAGTGGTCCAAAAATGTCAACGAGACCTTTGTGTCAAAGTCCTGTAGACTTGCCGGACGGCCTTGATAAAGTGACTGGATTTTGTCGACAACAAAAGCACCCCAAAAGACTCGACGACGTATTTCTATATCCTCGTCCGAGAGACGTCGCATGTTGCTGAGCATAGTAGCATCCACGTGCATACCAAGGTCGATGATCATCCTGAATGCTGTACCCGCATAAAGCCACGCAGCACTGCGTTCATCGCCTAACGCAAACAGGGAGCTTGTCATCACTAGCAATGCCTGGATAGTGGTGATTTCGCTTCGATCCAAAGCGCTGCCGAGCAATTCTTTGACTCTTTGGCGGAATGTCCATCCAGCGGTGCGGACATCATCGGGGTCTCGGCGAATTTCGGGGCGATTGCTGAATTTCGATGCGCCAAAGTAAATTGCATTCAACAAGAGCTTGGAGAAATACGGACCGCCGGTGGCCATATCTCGCATAAACGCCGGGCGATAAGTGATCAGGAAAGAATGATGTTGGCGATTCCAATGCAAAGATAGGAGGTGCATTCCGAGTTCCGGATCGACTCCATCAAAGTCCAGCTTACCTTGTCGCAAATTCAATCCTTCTAGTTGTCCTGCTCAAGGTTAGAGTAAGAAGAACCCGTGGTGAAGGAGTGACTCTCTTTGATAGGCAGACTCTCCCATCAACTGCTTGCGAATATGCTCTACCGGCACCTGTGGATCCGCCGACCGAGGATGACCAAGTCGATCTGTCGGTGCATCGTCGAACAAAGTGCTCGTAAGCCCGTGGTAACTTGAGTCGCCATTAGGCGAGATAAATATCCTCGATACAGCCGACCGAGACCGGTCGGCAATTTGTGAATTCGGAATATCCGGAGGTCGCGTTTGTTGTGGCTGTTGGGATGGACTTTCTGTGGCATCCCTTTGATCCTCAGAACGTGCATGGCCGTATCCTAGGTGTTGTCGAAGTTGTTCATTTTCCGCTTCTAGTCGTGATAGCCGAGCGTTTGTTGGTCTTCGGTTAGTTAGTGATGATCACTCCAGGGCTGTCTGTGCAGATATGCGCAAGCAGATAATTAATGACCTACCTTGGTCGCTCAGGTCCAGGTACATAGGCACATTCTTGTGCATATGTCTTGCAGTTGGAACACGGTCTTTCGCTGTCACAGCGGAACTGTTCCACAGTCAGTTCCACGGCGCTCAGAGCTTTTCGGTTCACTTACCTTCCTCCGTCGACAAAATGAGCAGGCTTTTGCGGCCCTCCGCGGCTTAGATGGAGGTTGTTTTTCCATGTTTTCTTGAGAGATTCTTCCACGGAAGAATCGGGAGATAATCGAGAACATTTGAATTGCCGCGGCAAGTCTCTTCCCGTTCCGCTCCCGGTTCTCCGTCCCCACATATCAAAAGGGTCAAAGGCTGTATAAGTTGGAGTTTCCGTGACTCCCCATATTCATTAGAGAAACCGACATTTGCCGTACCTTCTCATCATGGCCAGCATTACTCAGTCAGATAATCCTGGGCTACATAAACCGCAAAGGGTAATTGATCTGATGCTACCCAAGTACCTCGGCTAACTGATCTTCCAGATTCATACACCCCAATGGGTCTCCCTGGTGTCTGGCGGAGTCGCAGGCGGAGTGGAAGCAGCAATAACAGTGAGTGCCATATCCATTATATGTTTGGTCGCGATTAATATCTGGCAGTATCCATTCGAGTACTCAAAAACTCGCGTTCAGTTGTTGAACACCGGCGCCGTTAAGACGTCAAATCCTTTGCGTCTCATTCTTCAAGTTGCCAAGCAGGAAGGTCTTGGTGCGCTTTACATGGGATGCTCGACTCTTGTTATTGTTAGTTATCTAGCATCTCTTACATTATCCCATATTAATAAAATGTCTAGGGAACTACAGCGAAAGCTGCTGTGAGATTTGTATCATACGATACTATCCGCAATTCTCTTACCGATGACCACGGCGTTATGTCACCTAGTAGAGGAATGCTAGCTGGCATGGTTGCAGGTGCCGTAGAAAGCATCCTCGCAGTGACACCAACAGAGAGAATCAAGACCGCATTGTCCGTACCCTAACACTAATGACGTGACACATGGAGCTGACTGCCCTGTGGAGAATCGATGATGCAAAAGGGGCTCGTCAATTCAAGTCTAGCTTCCATGCGACTAAAGTTTTAGTCCAACAACATGGTATCACCGAGCTGTACCGAGGTCTAGTGTCCACCGCAATGAAACAATCAGCCACATCAGCAGTCCGTATGGGGACATACAATATGCTCAAGGAGGCCACTAAATCCAAGGGCATTAAGGCAAATGTGTTCACGACATTTGGAATTGGTGCTGCAGCTGGCGTGGTTACTGTCTATGCTACACAACCTTTTGACACAATCAAGACCCGGGCACAAGGTGTTCTAGGTGCTAGTATTTCCGAGGCCTCGCGGAGTGTGATTCGGGATTATGGCATTCGCGGATTCTGGAAAGGCAGTACGATGCGACTGGGCCGTCTGATTTTGAGTGGTGGTATCGTATTCTCTGTCTATGAAGAAGTGTCGGCCATCCTGTCAGGGACCCATAAATAAAGAAAATAAATCGGTCAAAGGGCAAAATGTCTCATTAATATCAATCTCTAGTGGACTACAGATTCAGTCAAAGCATGATCCCATGAAAGTCTTCAGTTGTACAATCGCAAACACTTTCAGACGGTGAGCACGACCTTTCCTCTCCCCTCAAACCTCCCATTGGCATATTCATAAGCCTTTCTTATCCTGTCAAGCGGAAAATTAGCAGCAGCAAACGATTTTAAGAGCCCCTGATTCACCAAGCAGCTAAAACACTCAAAGCCTCCGTGCTTCTATACCTGTAATTGTGACCTTGGGCCAGCCTACTACGTGAGGCTTTGGCTTTATATTTCAATTCCCTTGTCTTCACAGGTTCAAAAACTATGAATTTGCACTCCAATTTTTTCTAGCTACCCTGATTGTTGAAGTATTCATCTGCAAAGTTAGCGAATTCAATTGATTTAACAGCCAACTAAGTCGAGTGTATAGGTGTGCGAGCCTGAAAAGAAGGCTTGAACCATCAAGTGACTGAAACATCTAATTTATCTCACTATTCATAAGTGTGTCTTTCCACGGGCATTCTCAAACCTTTAGTGAAGGCATCGTCGATCGAATAGACAAGGCAGAAAAAACAAGAACACTGCGTGAAAATTTATCGTTTTTCACAATGACTCGATTCCATACTCTTTGAGTTTGTGATATGAGTGAATTTGTGATTGAGGCCGAGCACTGCATATGTGATGATGTATCGTTCGAAGAGGAACAGACAAGGCAGCTGCGCTATCTGTAAGCTAGCTTGATTGCCATCTCCTAGTCCTTGGGCCTACTGAGGCATACTGAGAGAAACCTTCGTACCAGTACAGTCAGCAGCAGGGTTCAATTGCAGCTTTTCTTCTTTCAAAATAGGTTTTCTTCGCCAACAAAGACATGGATACAGCATTTTGCGATCTGGCAGCCCTGGAAACCCATGGCAGCTAGTGAAACTGACATTAACACTCTTATTGAAATTACCGCGAAAATGTCTTCCTTACATAATACCTTCAAATAAGGAACAGTTTCGAAGAATACATATCATCTTTGTTTCCTACTCTTGTCCCAATATAGCACCACCAAAGCCAATCGATACTGGACCGGTGTTCGTGATAGTAAGCTCCATTTAGCATAACCTACAGGGAGTGATCGGACTGCGAGGTCACTCTCACAGATCAAGAAGGACATCGGTGAGAGGTCCCCATATTCCTTTGGTGTGTTCATAGTTGGGATGTTGCACAATCTATCGCAAGCTTCACATTCTGTATTGTTCAAAAGTCGATGTGATATATGTTGGTTAGTTGGCGAAGATTCAACCAACATGCCGCTATGCTGAGCTCGATGGCTGTTTTCCCCACCATTTTTTTTCTCATGTTAGAGTATCTCTGACAAGACTCCGCTACCATCCATAGGAGATTTCTCGTATCCTTGCCACATGAATCCGCGGGCCTTGGTTTGAAGCTCAACAGGGTTCTCTGGTACCCCTTGCAGATAGAATCGTCTTATTCAGGGGGGGGGGGGGGGGGGTATGTATCAATCCCCTAAAATAAAGTAGGTTTCAAACCTACATTTTTGATAATATTTTTGTGAGGGAACTAGAATGGACTCGATCCCCGAGGATTATAGAGGTTGGTAATCTATTAAAATTTTACTTACGTTCGTTTCTGTTTTTGTGAGAAATTGCCATGCTTTAAGGAACGGTTACTTGATTTTTGAGGCCTAAGCCGAGATGGAGGGGTGTGATGCATATGCCCCCTGTTTGCTAGTATGTTTGCCCTCTCGGCATGCTTATATAAATGAACCTTTAGGCAACCACTCAAATATTCATTCCATCATGATTCTTATTCCTAATTTATGAGCTATGGTAGTGAGATCTACAACTCATCAATATTTCAAGTGCTTCCTATATAGAGATCAAGAACAGGTAGCTCAAGTGGATTTGATGGGGCTATCAGGCAATCCACATGATCAAAGGATTCAGAATGGTGGGGATGGAGGCTCGCATGATTATTAGACGGGATGCTTCTCCAAGTTTGTTCCTGGTCACCGAGGAACGGGCGAAAACATTGAAATAGTCTCATTCACCGAGACACAGTCTGTAAGCTGCATTATGCGATCGACTTGTAGCTAATAATTTTCATTCTGTTGGTTCTCGGGTGATAAACGTTGGATTTGCCCTCACAACAGAGTTGTAGCTCTGAACTAATTCGGTATTATCTAATTGGTGGAAAGATAGGATGAACTGGATGGTTTATGTTTATAAGCTCATCTCGGAAAACATCATAGATGATATTGACGAGGGTTCTCGACCGAGATGCCTAGTCTCTCCCACATGGCTTCCACGTTCATATCCTCTCGACCACTATCGGAAAAATTAGCATCATTCAGACTTTAATCGAGCAAAAGCGGAGTCTTACTCATCCTTTGGATTGATCCACGGCTCGGTCTCCCCTTCCTCGGTATTAGGATTGCGGAAGATCACATTGTGTTTCTATCAGCGTTGTTAAGTCAACTATCAGGTACGAAGCCGTTTGTTTCGTAGGTCTGTTGACGTACCAGTCCAAGTGTCAGATGGATAGCCCCTGGTCCTTTGACAAATTTATTATCTGCGGCTTTGCCTTCAATCAAGGCCTGGATATTTTGTGCAACGACGGCAGCTTGCGCTGAGCCAGGTCGAGCAGCCTTTTGAGCGCCTGTATCTGCGATATCGCCCACGGCAAAGAGATTTGAGTATTGCTCATCCATGAACTGCATGGTCGATCGAATGCGGATGAATCCGTTCTCCGGGTTGACGATTGACTCCCCGTCTGGGAGAGAAGGCTTCAAGTCCGAAACAAGTTGGTTATTGGGGGTTTGACCAGTGGCCAAAATCACAAATTGAGTGGACTCTGTATTACCATTGGTAAGCTGTACTTGAACAGTACTCCCGTCGTTGGGGAATCCACCTAGTGGAACATTGACACGAGAACCGGTGATAAGTCTGACGCCAAGCTCATCAAATCGTCGCTTGATAAGATCATGAAGTCCAGGGTGGAAATTCGGCATCAGTCGGTCCCTGGATTGCACAACTGTGACCTCTTTCTCCGGATAGAATTCTTTCAGATCTGCAGCCATCTGAACGCCAACAGCACCGCCGCCGACAATCAAAACCGACTGTGATCTCTTCACACCGACTTGATGTTTCTGCAGATAGTTGACCGATGACTGCTTGTCATCATTCTCCATTGCTGCAGGCTTTGAGAGACGTGTGCCGGTAGCAACAACGACATATTCGAATGAAATGTGGTTTGAGCCATTCCATTCACGGTCGAGCTCTATATGGGTTGGTTTCACAGACAAAACACGAGCCTGAACAACACCATGGGAGGTGGGGTTTGGCGAGTCGTGGAAGATCCCACTGTAGGGAATAAATGCTTTGTGTTCTTGACCAGGAACGATTGCGAATCGAGGCTCCATGGTATGTCAGCTTAAACCCGGGTTAGGTATAACACTTGTGTCTAGATTTAACATACAAATGTAAATAGATGGTGGAAATGACTGTGGGGCTCAGTTAAAAGGACCTGCATGAATTATTAGATTTATAATTGAGTGAGATTTGTGAGTGCTCTTACTCGGTGAGTTGAAGGCACGACACGTGCAAGTTCCTGAGCAGTGGTCTGTAGTACGATATATTAGTAGAAAACCTTGGCACTTTGATTCATACATACCCTTCCGACAAATGAGCCGCCAATAACAATGATGTTTCGGAGAGATGCCATTGTGCAAGTCAGAAGATGTTTGTCTAAAGGAGAATCCAATGGGAGGTTGAATATATAAATACCCCAAGCCTCTAAATTTTATCAGATCAAACTTAACTCCGAGCTAGATTCCTATTTAGGTGAAATCCCGAGACCGGAGTAGTATACATCCGACATGGGAGATCAACGCCCCCTTAAATCCCGTTCATCTCCTCGTTTACCTCCCTCTTCATATCCGGGGTGATACCCCCAGATCCGATCAACCTAGCCGTAACTTTGATATGTTCATGGAGTATGAACCATATGCTCCGTGCTCAAGGCGTGGCAAATTATAGTCGCCGGTTCACAGGGTACTGTTGGATTCGTTGTTGTGTGTTCGGCGCCGCCAAGTTTCAATGTACATGTGTGCTTGTGTAGGTACCTAGGCATATCCGGAATTCGCAACAGTATTTCTTTCCAACACATCGATCTCGGATGAAACTGTGTTACATCCGTTGTACTTGAATATGACCTGGCAGTTGTAAAGGGTCGTACGATCAGTGTGGCGATCTCGGCTGATGAACTGCCGATGGAAACTGAGGCAACAATTTCGCCGATCAAGTCTAGCTCTATTCCAGTGGTAAGCACATATTATGTGGCACCCTCGATGTCTACATATATGTACATTGCTATGTGAACGGGCTGGAATATGACAGATATGCATTAGTTCCACGAGTACTATCATTAAGCTTTGAACGTCGTCCAGCGAGGTATCATGTGACTGCTATCCAATGGGAGCCGGGCGAGAGTTATGTTCGGATTTAGTCACGAACATTCAACAAACCGATCAGGTATCAGGAGAACCTGTTTACTTTGGATTCCAGGTAATGGTTTTGGCGAGGGGCCCCCCTCGGTCATAAGTCACTAACACGTTGTGGTGGTCGAGCGCCATGATTCCAGGCCAGAAACTGGAAGCCGGAGAAACCAAGGATGGCTTGCTCCATTGAACACGTCCTTCGGATGGAGGCCCAGCAAATACGGCCTTAATAGAAGCATTTTTCACCCATTCGACATGGTCGGAGTCATCGTCCGTCATGAATATCGCCGCCAAAGATCCATCCGCGAAAGAGGCAATTTGAGGAGATCCCGCATTATGACCTTGTCGTGGACGGAAGACTTCATGGCGCCAACCCCAGGTATGACCATCGTCGTAGGATAGGAGCGCTTCAACACTGAACGGACCATGGCGAGTAGTCTCAAATATCATGACAAGGGCCTCCCGTCCATTGTCGATGGTTCGGGCAATACCACTCATACCATCACGGAGTGGATCTTGAGCGCCATGTAAACAGGTTGGTTGCGTCCAAGTACTTCCGTGATCGCGCGAAACGACTTGCATAGTGCACTGATTGTTGTGGGCAAATTCCTGCGAGAAGTAAAGTTGCACCTCACCTCCACGTCCGACGCGCATGAAAGGCTCCCAGATTCCCAGGGGAGGACTCTTCTCAGCTGCCTGTGAAGCAAAGTTCCAAACCCGTCCTCCGTCTGTCGAGCGGCATACAGTGATACGGAAATGCGTAGGGCCGTTCGGACCCACGTCGTGGTTTCTAAATGCAGCAAGCACTGTGCCAGGAGCCACCTCACACAAGAACATATTATCCACGTCACCCGATGCACGAGTTACCTCGGAGAAGTCCACGAATGACTGGCCATTGTCGATGCTTTTTGCGACGCGAAGGGACCGCTGTCCATCGGGGAAGCGTGTGAAGGAAGAAAGAATGGTTCCATCGGACAGTCTGCAGAGACGGGGGTATGTGCCGTTGTTCGGAGGTGAGGATAATCCGCGCTCGTCGCTGTTGACAGCCGCTTTGCCAGGAAGCTGAATTCCCGGTGAGAAGTCCTCTTGATGGTGTTGATTGCCATGTGGTTGGTCAAGGCCCAAAGTCTTGAGAACCTTTTGGCCAAAATGACCAGGCATTGTAATATCTGCTGTGTAACTAGAGGGTCTTTGACGGGTTTGGTTGGTCGATTTGAAGTTGAGAGTTGTATAAAATTGTTCGGAGCTAGGCGGCAAGGCGACAGCGTTTACCTTAGAGCTTGTCTGCATGACGTCATTTGTAGCTTACATAACTAACGTATTCGGTAAGTGAGCTGCGCATGTAACTCAGCTGCGCAACCCAAAACACATAGTAAAAGTGAAAAATTACAACTTGATATCTCAACAATAGTGGTCTATAATCACTTCTCCTTAAAGCATACTATGTTTTAGGTGATAACCAGTCTCTTTAAAGTCTTTAAAGAGTTATTACAACACAGGGGCTGAGTATATATATATCTCTACCTCGGGGCATGGTAATTTTCAATACCAGAGCAATGCAGGTTTTCAATCCCCTTAATATTAGTTTATAGAGTTCATAAGACTTATCAATAGCTATCGACCAGTAATGATATAAAATAAAAACATGCTTGTTGAGATATCAAGTTAGAAAATATTTACTATGTGTTTTGGGCTGCGCACCCAATTTGACTTATTAAATTTAAATGCATGTTTCTCAACCGAAACGCCATTTAGTTTAACAATTTAACTAAGTAGGTCTATTTGGATATGAATTCTTCCTATGGCCCTGATTTCCACATCCCCCACACTTCGGTAAGGCCCTGATTCGGGGCTGTAAAGGCCCCGAGATCTGCTCACGAACCTGAGCAATGCGCGCTATTTGGGCCTCAATGGGCTCTGATCGTAGCTCACGGACCTGTTCAACTGGAATATCACCTTCTTTAGGTATTTGCCTATTAGACCGATTGCGTTTTTGCTTCTTTTTCTCGTTTTGCGCCCGTAGATCCTTATTTTCTTTGGCTAATAAAAGAGAGCCTTGTATTGAGAGTTGGAAGCCCTTTATTAGCTGGTTTAATGCCGGGCTAGGGCTTTGAGACCTCGTACGAATCAAAGCTTTAATGGACGAAGCTTGCCGACGTAGTTATTTCTCGGTAAAGGGGGTTTTTGGTGTAAAATTCCGGCTTGATTCACTACCCCGGCTCGGAGGGGGTGTTAGGGTTCGAAGACAAATATTAAGCTTTGAAATCACTCGATCGGGTGAAAAAGGTACTAAACCGGCTACTCCGAAGCTATTTATAATATTCTCGGATTTGTATACCTCGATTCGAGCATACGGGTATACCTCGAGGAAATCAAGTTTTTCAATATAGCTAACCCCGAGGCGCACCTTCGTTTCGATAAGCCGACCGTACGAGCGTTTTAACACCGTAAAACAACCGATATCGAGTGGCTGTAAAAGGTGCGACGAGTGTGCGGGCATACAGATTGGTATAATGTTATTTTTTTCGCAAATTTCGTCGAACTTTAGGGTTAAATAGCTACCGTGACTATCGAGTATCAAAAGTCGATACCGGCCCTTTAACCGCGAAGAAGTCGACGGAATAAAGAGGTTTTAGAGCCAACGAAGGCTAATTTCATCGGAGGTCTATCTATTCGGACTTAGCTCAAATCGCCAATCAAGGTTATCGAACTAAGATTCGATGTACACTTTGCCTTTAAAAATAATACACGGAGGTAGCGCCTACCCCGAAGCATTTATGTATTTAATTACGGTTACCCACTCGCGATTTCCGGGTTGTAAAAGCGACAGAGAATGGACTGCCAACAGACTCTAGATTCGAACTGTACTCCGGAATCGACTTACTTAGTGACCTGGAAATCGCCAAGAATCAAATGCACGCCCGCATTCCCAACCTGAGTGAAGTCACACATATGTACTATTGTGGTAAGTGTTGATATTCCTAGACTATCGTAGTGAAAGATACTTACCATTCAATTTCGCAGCTTATGCTAACACGACGGCATACAGTGAAAATGTGATGCAGATAAAGGATATTAATGTTGAGATGACGTACAATGCTGTTCATGCAACAGATACGCTCTGCTCAGAGCTCAACTTCCTTGTCTTGCAAATTGGCACCAATTTATGTGGACCTAGTGTTCGCCAACTGCTCAGGGGGGGGGGGGGATTACTGACCTTGGAGAATTATGGCGTAGCTGTCTTTCAATACAAAGACCAGATTGAGATTAATCCTCAATTAGAAGAAGACAGTCCGCGCATACCCTCGCCTTATGGTGACGAGATTTTCTATTATGCCCAAGTGGATCTCATCAAGAATGCTGCCAAAGGCAAGACATGAAAGTGGTGTGAGGTTCGCCCGGATCAAATGATCGGTCAGTACCTCTTTGCTGTTGAGCATATCACAGCACGATTTGGGGACTCACTTGATGGTTTTTTAGGCTACGTTCCTAATGTTTCTGGCATGACCTTCGTTGAGCTACTAGCCCTCTATTTGTCACTGCACAGATACGCCAACGGACCTGGTGCTAGTGTTACCTTTCCAGGCACCAAATCAAACTTCACCTACACATACACCGAGTCATCACAAGATCTGATCTCGAGATCTGAAATCTAGCTTTCGGTTATCAAACCCCAGGAAGCCAATGGCGAAGCTTCAGCGTAGCAGACACTGCTACTCCCAGGCCTTGGTCACTCAGATGGCCGATTCTAACGAGTTACTTGGGTCTCAATGGAATTGGCCCGGGAGAGAGAGGCTGGCAGGAGGTCGACGTTTGGTAGAATGAACATCAGCACGACTATCGACGCATGTGCAAGACATTTTCACTTGTTCCTCGTGAGGTGCCGCCTTCTTCGTTGGTCTTTTTAAAGGCCGGGCTTACTTTGCTCGACCCAGACCGCGAACTAAGTCTAGACAAAATTCGTGATTTGGGATTCACTGAAGAACTAGCGCTCGGTGAGGCACATCTTCTTGCTTTCGACCGAATGGCAGAGAACAGGCTGATACCCTCACGAGAGGCACTATTTACTTCATTCACGCAGCCTCAGATGTGGAAAATGGTGACCGCGATGTGCAGGTCGCTGGAGAGAGCGAATCCCGTGCGCGCTTGAGCAATATAATTCAAAAAATGTCATTGGACCGCTTCCTGGTTCACAACTAACGGGGATTTCAACACATCTTCCTGGTATATGGTAATAATCGTGTTTGTTGCCATTCTTCACATGAACTAAATTTTCCGTAAACACAAAATATATTAATCATCACATGCCTCAAATCATCACAGTAGTTCTCCTTCACTTCAATGTAATCTTAACAATCTTCGCTGGCTCAATGAACGTGCCCAAAACAGGCGCAATTTGCCCGCCGCTAGTCCCAACGTAAAGAATTTGTCGGTTCTTGCTCAACCGTACCGAGGTTGGACCAGGTAGCTCCGTGGATATTTGGCCACCAGCGACGAGCGAAATCTGACCGTACGGGGTGATACGGACAACAGAGTTTTGAGGATCGGTAGGAATGTAGGCACTGCCATCATTGGTTACCTCAAGGTTGTCCGGCAAGAATCCACTAGCAATAATTTCGAATTCTCCAACTGGGTTGGCTTCCTTGTCCACCCTGACCCGACCGTACTCCATGCGTGTTGTACTAGTATAGTAGACGTAGTTGCCAAGCACCGTAACACTGTTGACTCCGAGAGGAAGGGGACCCTTTGCCGGCAACATCGTGGTATCGTTTAACGCGACAGAATAGTCGCCTGTCTTCGTATTAACCCTCCACACGGCGCCCTTGGGGCTATCGGCAATCAAAACCAAGTTGGACTCCCTTGAAAAAGTGGCCATGCCGTTTAGAGCTATAGCTTCTGGCAGCGCAGCAATCTTCGATGCAGACGGGCCATCCAAGGCGCGCTCATTTTCTGTTGCGTTGAGAGTGCTGAAATCCAACCTCTGGACAGAAAAGGAGCCTGCATCTGGCTTGTAGGTTTTGGTAGAAAAGTTACCGACCACAACAGCAAAAACATCGTCGTCAATTTCGCTGATTCCGAAGGTGCTTGTCACGTTGGGGAATGAGTAGGCCAAAGTCGCGTTTCCGCTGGTGGTGTTGAGAAGCCAAACATCGGGGGTATCGAGGCGTGTGAAAAGAAGGCTTCCATCCGACCGAACTACTATATTGTCGATCCATGAGCCATTGTTGGGGAATTGAAAGAGCGTCTCGACTTTGACATCGGGCTCATCGTTGCTGTAGGGGCTTTCCGAGATTTCTTCAGTGTCAAAGAAGGAGGATAAAGGCCACGAAGCCAGAGTCAACGGAACAATAGCGAAAACACTGAGCCAAGTAGCGATCAGACACATGTTGTGAAAGTACTGGGTGTAGAGTATGAGGTAAAAGGAAAGTTGTGGGATATCCTACTTTTTTATCTGCAATCACAATAGGCTTATGGTGCAAGGAGTTGCTATGCTCGGCAAATAATGCTATTTCTACTAGTTCGCAAGTAAATTGGAAATACTTTCATGCTCAGCATTCTTGGGAATTGTCGTGCTCGTGTTGGTGGACTCAATCCCTACATTCCCCGTCATACATTTCTCGGACCTATCCCGCTGCATAACGGGAAATAATCCTTGCTCTATGTTTATTTTTCGATCAGTCACTTGCAGATCGCTTTGATTCTTGACTCTCAACGTGTTAACATTTATCATCGCGTCTGTCAATTGAAGTGCAGCTCGATACGTATACATTCAGACTCAATATTTCTTCGGATAGCTATTCAGATATGACTTTGGAACGGCAGGCCCTTTGGCAGCTGTGCATACTCGTATAAATTCATTGCAGACCCGTCTTTCTGCCTCTCCTGCATCCATTCTCCAATGCTCTTCATGAAAATCTCCATGTTCTTGTCATCGCTCAGGTCAATAGGCTCCTCGTCTTGGGCGATCTGCATCATCTGCACACCAGCGGCGGGGCTGGTCTTGAAAAAGTCTTGTGGGTCAATCTTCTGTTGAATCGCACCTTGAACAGTTCCAGCGAGCAAGTCCCTAGGCAAGCGGGGTTCCTGAGTGATAGAGCGACCAAGACCGACGCCGTCAACGGTATCCAGAGCGCGCACCATTCCTGATGCTGTGCAGAAGCCTCCAGTCACGTAACTGCGGGTGCGCTTAAGAGCGGGGGCGATGAGGTCCGCAAATTCCAAGAAGAAAGCTTCGCGCTTTTGGGAAGACTCCCGCTTGTGCTGGAAGGCTCCGGACTGGTAAGTTCCACCAGACAACTCAACAAAGTCGAACTTGGTACGGTCGAGAATCTCGCATAGTTCTTTTGACTCCTCTGGAGTGAATCCGTGTTCCTGGAATTCAACGGAATTGATCTTGATTCCAATAATGAAACCAGGCTCCGGAAGTGCTTGACGAATTGCCTCAGCGATTTCCACAATGATCCGAGCGCGGTTGGCTAAGCTTCCGCCGTACTTGTCTGTCCTCTTGTTTGTTGTTTGGGACAAGAATTGAGCCAAGAGATAACCGTGTGCCGAGTGCAATTGGATACCATCATAGCCAGCCTTCTGCAGATAGACAGCGACGTGGACAAAACGACGAATGATTTCCTGGATCTCTTCGTCGCTTGCTGCGTGTGGCTTTCCAAACGAACCGAACTTCTCCATCACTAGCTGGACATCACTGGCAGAAACAGGGTTTGGCTGCAACTGCTCAAATGTCTGACGACCTGGATGGCTGACCTGACCCACAATTAAGCTTCCGTGCTTCTTGGCTCCAGCGGCCAGCTGCTTGAATGCTTCGAACCTCTCACCACTGAATGGGTTCTCCAGGTCAATGATCATATTTCCGGGTGCCTCGAGCTGGTCATATGCCATCATGATGTTTGCTGTGAGAATTAGGCCAAATTGGCCTTCTCCCCACCGACGGTAAAGGTTGATGAGCTTTTGGCTGGGAATTCCACGGGCAGAAAGATCAGTCGGAGACCATGAGGCCATTCTTTCACTCAAAGCAGCTTTCAAAAAGCGATTCGAGCTTTGACGCCCACTGAATTCGAACTGCATCGGCTGCCCGAGGGGCGACACATCAACATTATCGCTGGGGTATCTTGGAGACTTAGACATAGTGCAAAACGTTATCGGTATAATATGTGTGATATTCGGTGATAAATTGATTTGGATATAGGCATCTGGCTTCTTTTTAAGTCCTCGCTCCGATTGTCCAGGGCCCACACAATTTCACCTTTGAATAAAAAAATCGGTTTGAATCCAGAATTCTCGGACCACACGCCTAGGTTGGGCATGATGTCCTGCCGATCCAGGTCCACTGTCTAAGATCATGGATATGTCAGCACCTATTCCAGGTTGTTCGCCTTCAAATTGTTTGACATTATGCATTGGCATAATTATGTACAATATGAAAGTCCACTCTAGTGTTTTGACGGGGGAATAATTGCCCCGGAAGCCGTTCAAATCCCTTCACAAAATTTTCCAAACCTGAGAAGATCCACCGACTATCCAATTTGTAATCACCTTGGCGGCGATTAATATTCAATATTGGAATGTTCCGTTTCAGTTGGTGATCAAGACCTGACCTGGCACTTGATTCGCTTCTATTTGTCTCCAAATCAATAATATCAGTATCAGTTATGTTAAGCCAGCCTCCTGAGCATTCTACCTAAACGCCCATGATCTTTGGGCCACTTCATGGTCCAGGGATGATTCGATAAACCACACTGAAACTATTGTATTGTCCTTGAAAACCCCTTAGGATCATATCCATTGAATCTATTTATATGGATCTTCAACGGAAATATCTAGGTATTGTATCGTCATTCGATGTTTCGACAATTATGGTGCACACGGTGTGATGGATTGTTGCAAAAGGATTACGTTAGACGCAGCCTGTATTAATCTACCCTGGTAACTACAGATGTGTTCAGCGGGATTAGATCCAACTTTAGAAAGGCCTGCTTTAATCGATTAAGGTACAAATTAGAAGCTAAATTTCGTTCCTTCTAAAGTGGGGGGGTTAGGTGTCGTTTGAGTATTGAATGTCAATGTATATATTGGTAAGGTGTTCATCGCCCAAGTACCCGTTATAGATTCTCTCGTCTGAAAACTTGATATCCTTCCAACCTTGGAACCTACGGGAATTTTGTCATACAAGCAGATAATATGTTGTCTCAACAATCTGTAAACTACACAACTAGTAATTAGGCCATTAAGATGGAGGGTGGCAAAACGCAGAGGCATATAACCGAAGAAGCCGAGCCCCACCTTTCCCGAACGACAACGAGTATCTCGCTGACCGGGTCTCTTAAATTCAATTTTCGAGTCGAAACAGCCGATTTCTCAGTTATCTGCGTATTAATTATGGAGACCAATGATCAGGAGCGCCCACGTACGCGTGCAAAGAAAGCGTGCATGGCATGCAATTCGCGTCGCATACGGTGCAACGTGCTAGAGATGCAGCCCTGCCAAAACTGTGTATCGTGGAATCTTTCCTGTGAAGTAGGGATATCACGACGCGGGAAGTAAGTTTGATTTGAATATTAATCATAGTTTAGAGCACATACTTATCCTGTTGTTAGATATCCTCGTCGAAAGAAAAAGGGATCAGCTCGAACATCTGCAACGACAACGACTAATAGCTCTGTCAATACATCAGATACCCAGTCTTTACAGCAGAGACAATTTCCATCAAACAATCAGTGCCCAAAGTACTTACCAGCTCGTTTGGCAACGGAGGACACCATTCATAAAACCGTGTTTCTCGGCGAGTCAAGCCCCTTACTTGCGTTGTGGATGAAGGTCGACGGTCCCCAGATAAAGGATATGCCTGTAGTATCCAGAAAGGGCGACTGCACTACTCCATTTCGGGAATAAGTGGTGCGACTGAAGACAGCCACGATTCACTTGATTCCCGGCGCAGCCTACTACATGATCGTCTTACTCGCGAAGGGGCTTTAATTTTTCCATCCCCTGCAATTTGCGATACACTTCTTCAAGCGTATTTTGACTGGCTCCATCCGTGTTTTCCAATTTTAGATCGAGCAACTTTGCAGAGTAATTACCAGGATGGCGGGTTGTCACCTTTGCTCTTTCAGTCAATATTGTTCATTGGGGTAAGCCTGTGTTCGGACACGGCGTTGAGTGCAACAGGCCTTGGTGATCGTTATCAGGCCAAAGGGGTATTTTACCAACGAGCGAAAGATATTTACGATTCTGGATGGGAAACCGACACAATCACCAAGCTTCAATCCTTGTTCCTACTGAGCTTCTGGCGCGGAAGTCCGACCGAGGAACGCGACGTTCGGTTTTGGCTTGGAGCTGCGATTGGCCTTGCTCAGAAAAAGGGCATGCATGTCATGTATAGACAATGCTCGAATGGCTTTTAATGGGAATATTTACTAACCCAACACAGGTCTAAACTCTCGTTTCTCAACGCCAATGACCAAAAAGTTTGGAAGCGAATATGGTGGGCTTTATATGTATTCTTTTCACCCGTTTCCATTTCTTTTACCATAGATATCGGTATCTAACGGGTTGGCAGGTACGCGACCAGCAAACTTCAGCAGCATTGGGACTGCCACCTCGGATACGGGATGAGGACTGTCAAATAGCTGACCTCGAACCCTCGGACTTCGAGGAAAGTGGACCAATAGGACCCTCTGAGATATTTCGAGCACCGCCCGATGTACATATTTCTTATGTGATTGGAATGGCCCAACTGGCCCGATTATGTATGAAAAATTCGCAGCCTGGAACGGACGAAATACTAAATGATCGATGTGTAGTGCGCGAAGTCGTCGCCAGCCAGTATCTGCCTGGTCGGTCTAAACTGGATAATCCCACGCGACCGATGCTCCATCAGCGCCTCGTCGATTGGGAAGCCAACCTCCGAAGGGAGATGCAATTCCAAACGCCTATGAAGAGAGATGCAATGTTTCTTGTTGGCATGCTTCATATGGCCTACAAGTATGCATTTTGCAAATTCAATGCTAAAAGAACGCTGAAACTAACCCAAATACAGCAATTTGTACGTTCTTCTATACCGACCGCTTTTCCTACAGCCACCAGGCCAAACAACGAGTCCAGCGGGCAACATGGCACTCGATGCAGCAACCAGAAGCACTCGCATTTTGGAGGACATGCTCTCAGAAAATCTAGTTCAACACGGGTCCCTTCATTTGTAAGTCCCTGCGACCGCATGGATTGACACAAACTTACATAAACAGAATCACACACACATTCTCGGCTTTATGCATACATACTATCCATTTCGGAAGGGTGACAGGTACAGCACGGAAGCTAGCAGAACATAGAGCCAAGCTTTGTCTGCTGGGGTTGAAAGAATTGCAGAAATCATGGGACTTAGAGAATTGGGTCCTCGACCTTTTCTTCCGTTGTTTAGATGACCGTACTGCTCGTGATCTTCGATTGGCCGATGTGACTGTGCCCCAATCGGGAACACCAACGCTCTCCGGCATCGAAGAAATGCCTCCTGTCAATCCTGTGAGTGGTCCATATCGCCAGCTGTCGCCTCGCCTAACGGATGGCATATTGGCGACTCCCCAGATAGCCCCGACACTTAACCTTGCAGAAGAAGCCGCTATCAATATGGATTGGTACGAACTCTTCAACATGGAAGGTGATGATGTTATGGGTCTTGCTGGATCGTTATCGAATCCGGACTATCTTAATCCTCAGAATCTCGAGTTTCTCTATCGATTCCTGTGAAGCGTTTAGTCCAATGATCAGAATACGATGCATACGAACCATCCCCAACTTAAAGACCGATCATTGTTCAATATGTAAAATCTTATATTTTATTTCATTCAAGGTAAACTCTTTTGATTAGACAGACCCAGCTCCGCGAAAATAGCCTCATTGTGCTCGCCAACATGGGGAACTGAGCCCATCTGGGCGCCATATCCACCCTTCTCAGCGGATTCGGTTGAACCAGGGGGCAAAAGCGCTGGGATCAACCCAACAGGAGTTTGTACTGTAGCCCACCGATTGCGGGCTTGAAGTTGAGCATGGCCCCAAACATTTTTCATGTCATTGACACTTGCGTTGGCGATGGACGCCTCGTCTAAACGAGTGGTCGTCTGATCCACCGTCAACTTTGAGAAAACATTGAGGATGATAGTCTTGAGCTCATGTCGGTTTCGAGTCCGTTGCGAATTGCTCAAAAATCGTGGATCAGTAGCTAGATCCGGCAGTGAAAGAACCCCATTGCAGAAGTTGACCCATTCCCGCTCGTTTTGAATCCCCAGCATGACAGACTGTCCGTCTCCAGTTTCAAAAGGTCCATACGGATAGATGGATGCATGTGAAGCACCTGCAGGTACCGGGCCGGGGGCATTATCGAATGAATAGTACATTGGGAAACCCATCCATTCAACCATACATTCCAGCATAGAGATATCGATTCGACATCCCTTGCCATCTTTCCCTCGTTGTAAAAGGGCTGATAAAATGTTGCTGTAAGCGTACATCCCGGCGGAAATATCGGCGATAGAAATTCCAACCTTCACGGGCTCCTTTCCCGTTCCCGTTACTGATAACATTCCAGCTTCGCTCTGGATGAGCAAATCGTACGCTTTCTTATCGCGATATGGACCGTCTTGTCCATATCCGGAGATATCGCAGACAATTAGACCAGGATGTTTATGTTTAAGTGCGTCGTGTGAAAGTCCTAGTCGTGCACTAGCACCAGGTACTAGGTTCTGAACGAGAACGTCGGCTTTGTCAAGCAGTTTCATCAGGACAGCATGATCCTTTTGATTTTTGAGGTCTAGCGCTAGACTCTCTTTGGAACGATTTGTCCACACAAAATGCGACGATAGACCCCCGACTCGTGTATCATACTGCCGAGCAAAGTCTCCCACACCTGGCCGTTCAACCTTGATGACTCGAGCTCCCAGATCGGCAAGTTGCCGCGTGCAGAATGGCGCTGCAATAGCTTGTTCAAGGCTAACCACCGTCACCCCAGCAAGAGGCAGAGGCCGGTTTCCACCTGTCGCTTTGTAGGAGGAAAGACGAGAGGCATTATGGGATATTTTTGCAGGCTGGACAGCGCTAGTCTGGCTAAGTGGCCGGGAAACATGCGAGAGAAGGGATTTCATTGCTAAATTGGCATCAAATCGACTGATATGATAGCAAATCACAGTCAAAACATAGTGAAGCAACCGTTATTTCAGAGAAACAGTAGTTTCTTGAAGGTTGGCGCTGTAAATATACGGCGCGGGGAAGTCCTCGGTCAAACTGCCGATCTATAGCCGCAGATGCCAAGCCCGACAAGTCGGCTGCATGTTGTCGTTCGATTTGCTGCTTGACCAGGGATATTCAGCGGCTTCTTGATTCCTGTAACAAGTCGAGGATCGACCATGATTGGCTTTTGTATTGAGGCTCAACTTCCCCAATCGTCCTTCTATCACCCCCTTGAAAGCTCGAACCCAAGTGTTAGTAGTGTTATCTTGATAGGTTCAACTGACACGTAAACTTCTAGCGCAAAATATGATTTTAGGTCCTTCATCGACCAAGTACTGATAATAATACGCAACTAATGAGCACTCAACTTGTTGCAACCCCATTTTGTGCTCATGACCCGATGACTTTATGACAGAGATGAACAAAGTTGCCACGAAAACCGAACTGAGGAAAATAAATGACCAGTATGTTGCATGTTGTCGTATTATTCTGTTCGGATCATACAAAGAGTTTCATCTCAAAGATTATTGCTCAAATTTCGTATCCTTCTTTACTCAATGCCAAGCACTGTAGGGACCCCTTGTCGTGCCAAGTCCGAAACAAAGGGACTCGTTCTTTGTTTAGTGAGAATCGGGCCGTCACCTCCCTGAAAGACCTCGTATTCGCAGAATCCTTCTCTTTTTACGTCTCGCATCTATGCAACACGCCTTGAACGGCTTTGAAAATTGTCTTGATGGTTGGGGTTCCACGTAGTAAAGGCTGCCTGGCTTGTCTCAAGCGGCGAGTCAAAGTATGCAAACCCCTGTACGGTCTAAGAAAGCACGCTGATCAAAGTGGCAGTGCGATGAAACCCACCCAGAATGCCAGTGTTGCCGCCGGAGACGGCTTACTTGCCCTGGCTATATAAGAGATCGAAAGCTTTCCAATTAATTCAGCACGTCACTTCACCAACTTGAACATCCGAACACGAAAAGCGCCCGCGCGCTATCATCAATCTCGATTGGACATGTTCTTTCACATGGGCAGAAATATGCGGTCATTTCTCGCAAATCCATGCCAATAGATGGGGCTATAGCACCAAGTTTGGTTACCAGATCCGTGGACCAGCAATATACGAAACAATTTGATGAATTCATGAAAGCTGTCTTCCCGCACAGCTACAGGACTGGCACTGGGGATATTTGGGTTGATTTTGCTCATCGCAGACCCAAACATGAAAAGATATTAAGTTTGAGCCTTCACAGTCTCGGGAGTCTTCACTTGGGCCGAGTGAATAAGAACGAAGGAGAAATTCTTCGAAGTCGTGAGGTGTATGGCCATGGACTACGCCATCTGTCTCAAGCCATCAAAACCCCTGCCATGTCAAGCACGGACGTGACTGTTGCAGCCGCGATACTTTTGGGTGTTTACGAATTGCTCAATCCAACGGGCGAAGAATTAAGCTTACTCCATTCCCGTGGGATAAGCCAGCTTTTCCTTCTGAGGGGACCCAAAGCCCACGCTACTGGCTTCGGGCGGACGTTTCTTTTGACTTTCCGGGGACTCATGGTTTTCGAAGCCTTCGCCGCGGGCAAAGCTTGCTTTTTAGGGAACGAGGAGTGGAGAGCAATTGTTCCAATCGCCCTATCATACCTGAAGCATTGTGGCAGAGCAGCTGGTATTATCGAGCTGATCGAATTTGCATTCAATGAAATTGCCCAATGCCCTGGCTTCCTTGTCATGACTAAATCGCTGATCTCCTCAACGTGCACTACTAATGCCGAACGAGAGAACTTGATCGTCGTTATCAACGCCAGCAAAGATACCCTCAAAAACCTGAAAAGGAAAATGTTGATTGGGCTTAAGACCTGTCAGGACGAGACTGAAATTGACCGCCAGCGCTTTTTTGGAGCAACTCCGAAATCCACCGCATATGCTTGGACACAGTATGCGATTGAGGGAGTTCATTCGGCGATCGCGCTTCTACAACAGTTGTTAACTGTGCTGCTGTCAGATCAAAGCCGACGCACAGTCGCTACGGCAGGGTTAATGCTCGACCCAACTAAGACCGAGTGGGAAATGACGAAGGACCCTACCGTGATAGCACAGATGAGTCGTGAGCATACTAGAACACACTTTGCAGCAGGCCCGCAGCTGCCGACCAGCTTGAAGCTTTGGCCTGACCGGCTCATCCTGACACTGGGGATGCCGGGAAAAGGTTGAGCCACCCATGCTCTGGGTGGTATATCCGGACTCAATCTGGACCGGACTTGGCTACGTGAGACGGCCGGATATCATAAACTTTGCTACATGTCCTTCTGTGTTGCATTGTCTGGTCGTCCGCAAGGATCACCAACGTGGCGTCGTGTGCCGCAATTGGTGGGCATTTTGCAAGAATTATGAAATCAAGATCATAAAAAAAGTCGCAAGACCGAAGCGACCGTGTTCTGGTATATTTAGTCAATCACAGCATTGGGGGGAGGTGTGCACCGGTGAAGCCTACCATCGCAGTCATGCCTCAGATCACGATGACGGAAAATGACATTATCCCAGTCCACATGGATGATTGGGCCCCACAAACGACTGTCAAGTGAAGTTGGAAAAGAAAAGAATGTTCGTCGTCTGGAATGCTGCAACCAAGGGCGGCGATGTTTCAAATCCGGCGATCCCCAGTTCCGGCCAATAATTATTAGTCAAGCACCGCGATAGGAGTTGACATTGCTTTTGAATCATAATCGCGTGTACGGAGTACGGAGTAGATTGTTCTCACATTGTGATGGCTAATTTACTTCAGTCACCCCACTGACTCACTCAAACTTTGTTCTCCAATCATAGGAATTGCGTTGCCTGATCAGCCTAATGTCTTACAGTATCAACTCAATATTTGATAATCGCGACCTGTGCGCAGGAACATGACCGCGCGTTGTTCGGTGTAAACTTCATAAGCTGTAGAAAAAGAAAAACCCCCAATTATGCAAGATTCAAGCTGAAGCCAACGTCCTAAGGTTGTGCCATTGACCGTTAAGGGGTATACTGTATGGTCCTCCCACATTCCCTTCGCGCAGAATGTCAACTATCTCTGCCTTATCCCAGTGTACAGCGAATAACAAGGTGAGATCCGGCTCGCGTAGATCGTGATTGGTCCATACAAGATCGATTGTTCCTGGAGGAGGAATGCTGGGGCGTTCCTGTCACATTTCTTTTCAAACCGGCGATCAACCCCACTGCGGGAGGCCGGTCGTTACACAATAATAATAATGTTGCGTACCTGCAGGGGATGGATCCTTCTGGACATAAAATTTCAAGTTGTGCAACGCATCAGCCTTGAATATACGCATAATTGCTCCTAAAAAGCGGGATAAGCTAGGTAGCTGAAAATCCTTGCGGGTGCCTAGAGCGGTCCAAGAGTTGAGCCACTGGTGATTGCGTGGCCCCTGAGACAGAAGTTTAGTGATTGGATACAATCGATGCTAAGCATTCTACTAAACATTAGAGGGAAGCCGGACTAGCCACTTGAAATCCCCCGGATGGGTCTCACAACGTCATACGGAATTGGATTCAACATGCAAGCCACCCATGGTTGCCGATCACGATCGACCCAATCATCATCGTCAATCCGCAAGTGTCGCCACGGTTTGCGTGCTTTCGACTTTTTTGCTTCGAGAAAGGCTGATCTATTCTTAGTTGCCAAGTTCTGGAATTGACAGGTGACAGAGACTGGCGGATATATAAGGTCAATTCCGCCTCCTGGTACCCTGGTTACCATAGTGCTTAGATACATCATTCAGGGTCCCCACACTTGATAATATACATTCTCAAATCGAATACTTCGTCGATAGTTCCACAAATCCAGAAACATGCCTACCTCAATGGCTTCAAGCGAGCGTTCTGGCTCAGTCAAGTCTCACCATAGCCCCAAGACTTCTCTACAGAGCAAGGCCGACCCTAATATGGCCCTTCATGAACAGGAACCTAGTAAGTGCCCGGCAGACAATGCCCTTCAGCCATCATTTGTGAGACCTGCTGACATCAATTAGCCGCTGTCAACCTGCAACCCGGAACGCGTGACCTATTTTCTCTTCGAAGCATGCAGCACAAGGATCGGGAGGGCAAGCTGATCAGTATGTACCTATTACCGTCGTTTCTTCTGCGAACTATTTTCTGACATCGTTTCTAGCTGATCCCGACCAGTCCAACCCAACGCGCAACCGTCTCGAGCGACCTTTAGACACAATCCGGTCATTTGATGCAGCGATAGACGCCCATCGCAAACAGCAACGCATGTGAAGGATGAAGGATATAATTGCAACAGGAAATAATGGGTAAACCAGAACGATACGAGGGAACGCTTTTTTTATGCCAATTTCAATTCGAACACGGGGTGTTGATGTATAATTATTGATTTGATAGATTACGGAGTCAAGTGAAATATCAATTACACGTCATTTTCCTTGAGCATCTGCTCGAAAGGTTCTCGGCCTTTAATTTTGGTACCAATTCATCGCATTTACCACAAGATAGATTTGCAGAAGTAGGTCATAAATGTTGATCATGGACCATCTATAATCAACCCAGCATCATAGACCTGCCGAGATAGCAAGGCCAGGCACAAGGCTTCATGATAAAGGTTTAGAATTCTTTTTGTTGCATTTTGGATATGATCCAAATCGGTTACTACGGCTTCAACTTGATACAGTTGCAGTCTCCAGGCGAGGCTGATCTGCAAATAAAAATGAGCAATTAAAGAAGCGCGTAATGAAATGGTCTTTGTAGATGGTAGCATGGTAGATCAAAGTGATCTGAATTATGTAGTACAAAAGTGACGTTCAACCATACATCTCCATCTATATCTACTGTATATATCTATGAGTGCGGTGTCGATTGCTCCTAATCCATCATTAGCATAGGACTTTTTCCGCTCCCCATATCCCCAGAGACTAAAATTTAAGCATTTTGAATGGCCCACTTATTGAAATAAAAGAATATTTAATATTGTAAGAACTAAAAAGCTCTCTCAACTGTGGTAAATAATATTCCGCTGGTCGGTGGACTGGGCTTAAACCGTGGGGAGAAACCATCTCCGAGGGTTTAGAGACTCATCCGAAAGATCTGTTTGGTCGCCACCTTAACCTCCAAAAGCACTAAAAATTGCCGCAGCTAGACTATCGCTGATACTTGCCTAGCGGTTGATAGAATTAGTTATTAAAAATGAAGTTCACAATAAAAAAGATAGGACACGCATTGCTGGCGTTGGCGCCATGCTAAGAAAAGAAAGCCCCACAACACCGCGTCAGCCTAGGAATATTTTCACTTTTCCACTAGCTTCTCAATAATTTTTATCCAGCCGATCTCTATTCCTGGTGCTCTATTTGCCGACAGACAGAAACATCAATTTGTCTCAGAGAATCTTGCGAGAGAGTTCAACGGGGTTTCGGCACCAAATGTCTGACTTTCATATATAGATATACGCACACGAGGCCCGTTGGCCGCTCAGGCAAACCAAATTTAGTGTGCAGAAGCTAAGATGAATTAAGTGTGTGGACCCGTCGAATGACTAGTTATGATTTGCTCGGGTTTAGTGAACCGATCCTTTTTATTACCAAAGCCCTAAATTGTTGACGCGGTCCATCATCCCTGGTATGAGAAAATTGACATCCGGGCGTCAGTAGCCCAAACCTATTGAGCGATGGCTTCAAGGAATTTGGTTAGTTTGAGGTGGATGCTAACTGGGTCAGCTATACGCGTCCACCCTAGTTTCAGGGGGTGGGAGCAAATCAGGATGGTTGGGTGGCTGTCCGAGACTATTAATGGCCGCTGGACGTGAAGCCACCATGAATTGATCCCTCTCGACTTTGTCCTCTCTCCTCTTTCAGCGGCGTAAGATACGTTCGTTATTTATTCACTCGCTAGGTTTCTTGCATCTTTCAATCTTACCTCACTTTCATTCTCCATTCAACCGAAACATCCAACTATATACACTCGCTATACGTTTTGCGGCATCTATACGAGCCGCAAAACCATCAATATGAAGCTCTCTCTTGTGACACTAGCAACCCTAGTCGGGGCTGCCGTTGCTGATTTGGACCCCATTGTTATCAAGGTATTGTATCCATATTCAAGATGAAATGGGGTGAACATTCACTAACCATCTATTAACAGGGATCCAAGTTCTTCTACTCCAGCAATGATACCCAATTGTAAGTCACCCTTCATTCATACCCTCAAAACTGTACTTTCACTGACCGCAACAGCTATATGCGTGGTGTCGCCTACCAGCGTGCGTAATTCTTTTATATCTCAGGCAACTTAACTAACTCCTCGCAGAAACCGCTGATGGTGATGACTACACCGACCCTCTTGCGGATGCAACTGCTTGTGCTCGTGATGTTCCTATTATGAAGGAGCTGCGTACTAACGTAATCCGTACCTATGCCATCAACGCTACTGCTGACCACTCGGAATGCATGAAGCTTTTGTCTGAAGCTGGCATCTACCTGATCTCTGATCTCTCCGACCCCTCGCAATCTATTGACAGAAGCGACCCCTCCTGGGAAACTACCCTTTACACTCGCTATACCAGCGTCATCGACGAGTTGTCTCAGTATAACAACACTATTGGTTTCTTCGCCGGAAATGAAGTTTCCAACACCGTTGCCACCTCCGATGCCAGCGCCTTCGTCAAGGCTGCTGTTCGTGATATGAAGAAATACATCAAGCAGAAGGGCTACCGCTCGATGGGTGTCGGATATGCTACCGCTGACGTGTCCGCTATCCGTGAGAACATGGCCGACTACTTTGACTGTGAGGATTCCGACGAGACCATTGACTTTTGGGGATACAATATCTATTCGTGGTGTGGTAACTCAACCTACTCGGAGTCTGGATACAAGGATCGTACAGAGGAATTCGCCGACTACTCTGTTCCTGTCTTCTTCGCTGAGTACGGTTGTAATGATGTCACACCCCGCCAGTTTACTGAGGTTAAGGCCCTTTACGGAGATACCATGGCTGAGGTCTGGTCCGGTGGTATTGTGTACATGTACTTCCAGGAAACAAACAACTACGGTGAGCCAAGGTATCCTTCAAACTCTGAGTCTCAAGTTTAACCCATTCCACAGGTCTTGTTTCTGTTGTCGACAGCACTAGCGTGAGCACTATGGCCGATTTCAAGTACTATTCCAGCGAGATCGCTAGTGTCAACCCCACTGGTACCAACAAGGCCTCCTACACACCCACCAACACTGCTCTTCAGAGCTGTCCTACCGTTGGTACCAGTTGGGCAGCTAAGGCCTCTCCCCTTCCCCCTACCGTTGATACCAACCTTTGTGAATGCATGTACGATGCCTCTGGTTGTGTTGTATCCGACTCCCTCTCTACCAGCAAGTACGCCAAGCTGTTCAGCACTGTTTGTGGATATACCGACTGCAGTGGACTCGATGCCAACGCTACCACCGGCGAGTATGGTGCCTACAGCATGTGTTCCACCAAGCAGCAGCTTGCCTTTGCTCTTAACAAGTATTATGTTGAGCAGGATCGTGATGCCTCTGCTTGTGACTTCTCCAGCTCCGCCACCACTAAGGCTACCACCGCAGCCACTGGGACTTGCTCGTCCCAGATGAAGCAAGCTGGTACCGCCGGTACTGGTACTGTGACCACTGAAGCCACTGCCACCGCTGCCTCCGGCTCTTCCTCGACCTCGACTTCTTCCAGCGGCGCGGCTCTCAGCATCCACTCCAGTTCGCCCTTCGGTTTCTTCCAAGTCACTGCTTACTTGGCCACCGCACTTCTAGCGGGTGTTGGTATGATTGCTTTGTAATTTTTTCTCGCATATCATGGAAAGCTAGTGTGTGATCTCGGATCGTGTATCTTGTTTGTTGGAATTTTGATGGGATGTCTGCTTTATTTCTCTTCTATCATTTGAAACACGGAGCGTAGAGCAAGGCAAAGACCTGCCTGTTGAACAGCCTTGCACCGCCTCTGGCGACTCTAAAATTGATTGGAAACCAAGTAATCATATACGATCGGGCCGAATTGTCAAGATCTTGATTTGCGTACCAGTGGTCGACCTTCGATGTTCTAGCAATCTCACTTTTCATTTTCAATTATCTCTTCACATACAATAAACGCCTCAGATGAACGATTCATACACCCTCCACGGATCTCTTTCAATTCGCAAGTATAGCTCTCTTGGTCAAATTAGCTACGATTCAACTGGATAGCCGTGTCTGATCATGAACTTCTTGGCATCCCTGGCGGCTTAATTGAACATCATCTTATCGCAGCTGTTCGCAGAATGATTAATTGGTCAACAGATTCAACAGTTATTTCATGCCGGATGTGCTACCAAGTATCCTGTTCATAGTTAGCAAATGCAATGGATGTGATGGAGGTGTCATAGTATAGGTGGCCGGCCCCTCCATCAGGCAATAAGAAATCAAGAGACCATGGTGGGTTGGCTCCCTGTGATCTGATATGGTCAGAATGCTCGGTATTTAAGCATCATGAATCCACTTACGCATAATAGTCCCATGAGCTGCGTCTTTTCTAGAGTGACTCTACCACCCAGCCAAGGGATTCACAATCGACGGGCTCAATTTGCGTTACAGATTTTCCACTAGATATTAAATTCACTGCGTGCTGCCTAAAGTGCATGAATCCTTGGGTACGTTACTTCACATTGGCCAGGAGACCACCATAGGTAGTCGTAGGCTTATATTTAGCCCATTTCTCTGGCCAAAACAGGCGAAATTTTGCTCGATATCATTCAAAATTGGTGTATGCTGTATCATAAATGCGACGCGTCCCCAGCATCGAGTCCCAAAAGCAATTTCCGGTGGGTGGATGGCATCTTTGAAACAGCAACGGATCCAGTCACCGCAATCGTTCGATCGCCGTATCTCCCAGAAGAAAGTACGCTAACCATACGTGAGCAGTGGGCACAGATTTGAGAGCTCCTTCTGAGGGGAGTTGTAGAAAAAGCGACGGGATGACTTGCTTCTCGGACCTTTCCAACGGTGATAATGACAGTTCATCTAAATCCATTCGCGGCGAATTTGAAGTGCGAGGAAATCCCTGGTCGCCACTTAATTCAACTAGCTAGTCTACGGTATACATTTGAACTTGTTCAAATGTATGTCAAAATGAACGATACATGAATCATAGAGATGGGTTGAGGTCTATGTTCGATCTGACACTTCAATGAAATTTCAAAAGATACCGAAGCCGATTGCATAGTAGGTGCGCATTTAGGCTTTGTCTAATTATGTATGTCTCCTTGAGCTAATTATTCATTCCTCGGTATGGTGTTTGTATCTGCCTTTAACCCTTGAGGGCATTACGCAGTCAAAATAACCATACCTATGACACGTGTAATCATATGTGCCATTTTGAGGTGGAGTTGACAATATGTTTCACAAGAATGTCTACACCACCAATCTATACACTTCCGTGACAGCCCTAGCGTTCGCAATAGATTGAACATACATAGCTTGAAGTGACCCACTGTTCCTGTTCTCTACCTCTGCGTGCTGCAGGGATTTAAAGCGACGCAGTATGCAGGAATACTTACTCGTTAACAACTCCACCCGTGGGCCTGTTGCGCTAAAGCCAGAAAGTCCGGGGATACAAGAGAGACTAGATACGTAATAAAGTTTCTACGTATAGCCTGGATATTAATTCCAAAATGGTGCTTGGTAGGATCGATTCTCCTTTGTTTGCACTAAGGTGGGAATAATCCGAGAATTCTGATTCTTATAAATCCCTATGTCTATATTAATGAAAACCAACTAGAGGGTCGTAAAAATACAATTCTACGAGAATCCATACTGGCTTGTAGGTCTGCGAGATTTTGCTAAAGTCCTTTTAAAGGAGAAATTTTACCCTATGAATAAATTAATAAAACGCACAAGTTGCAGTAAATGTACAAAAAAGGATAATGCAGGTATATGGACAGTGATTTCCATTTTTAGCCTATTTTTTTCTGAGCTTGGTTTCATCTCTCGTGAATAGACGAATTTGATTACTGAAAAAGGTATGTGATCAAAAACAAACCCTTCGCTGAGCTGGGTGGGCAATTCCCTTACTTAGTTGCGGAGGCCGTCAATTCTCCGAAACATACCTGTTACTATTCTGAAAAACACCGAAATCGGGAAATTGGGACAAGAGCCAGGGCAATCTTTTCGGGTTTTGAATCCATGGATGGTACTTGGTTACGAAGTTGCCTAACTGTTACAGAGGGCATGATTCACTAATTCGCGCTATGATTTTTAGACCGTCGGAGTCGCGTCGGGATTTCGGCAGGAGTTAAACGAGTCTGATGTGTCCACTAGGTATTCTCGAGGCCCCATACTTGTTATGGGAATCTCGTAAATGATACCCGTAGTATATATAGTATAGGTACGGAGTACATGCCTTATCTTTGTTCCTCGTGGTCAAGATCCAAAATTCCCCATTTGGACAACCTCCGATTTGATGGCGCCGTTAATACATGGTACTACTAGCACTCCGGATATTTGACGGCAGTTGTAGTGGGGACCAATTAGCCGACGTTCCCAGCGTAGAGAGATACACCGTCTTACCACATGACCAATGCCGCCACCGCGCATTGGTCTGTCCCACATCAGGAGATTTACGGGTTTAGGTATCTTTTGTATGGGGGCTACATATAAAAGGTACATATCAAACATCCTCGAATATTGTATCATGTAAAGTAGACATAAGGATATAAACTAGTCTATTATCATATTTATAATGCTATAAAAAACATTTTCTAGTTCTAGAGTAACAAATCATAAGTATTATACCTCCTAAAAAGTAAATAGTTTTCGGAGACTCTTTTCGACCTTCAAAAATGGAATATTCATGCATACCTATATATTAAGATAAAATTCATATTCAAAGTATTATAAGATAATAGAAATCCTACTCTAATACTAGAATCTAGTTTAATTACACTAAGCTAGTTTATATCATAAGATGTTTGAGAATGTTTTAGATGTACCTTTCATATGCAAATCAAATACAAAAGATACGTAAATCCCGTAAATCCCCTAATGTGGGACAGACCAATGCGCGGTGGCGGCATTGGTCATATGGTAAGACGGCTAGGCCGAGGTTGCATTGTTCAGGGGACCGTTCACTAAAGCTTATCTGGAACAAGCTTCTTATTGCTGACATTATGAATTGAATGGCCGAGTTATTACTCCGTACTTGTTTTGTTATCTTTTCTGGGTCGCATGGCCCATAATCCGTTGGTCCCTTCGAGGACCGTGCAACCAATCACTACGTAAATTGTCCACTCGCCATATCTTTCCATCTTTACGCTGAGCGTGGATACAACGCTAACCGGAGGGACCCACGTTGATTTAATTTAATATACTTTTCGCACGACTAATTCCCGTAAGTCTGCTAGTGACCATTACCCTAGTTGTATGTACGGAGTACAAACATTGTACAAGGCGATACCAAGACTTCCGAAAAACGCTACCCGTTGCTTGTTTTTGCTTGGCCTCGACAGTTTTCCATGGTACATCGGTAGAATTATTCAAGATACTACACCTGTATCATTGTGGTATTTGTTCATCCATTCATGTTCCCAATTCCGACAATTCTAGCTGTACTATTCTTTCCCCACCCTGTCTGATAGCCTTCGAATATAAGAAGTGCAATTCTTGATCTTTTGCTTTTCTTCTTTTCCTCTCATTTTACTCGTTGTGTACCAATTCTAAGCCCATCCTCCAGCCATGTCTAAACTTCCAGGATTGTCGGGTGTAATAGCACCCACTGAGCAGATTCACGAGAAAGGCGCGTTGTCCGATGAGATCCGTCAAGTGACCGAAACGGGCACCCACACCGGCATTCACCAACGTGTATGGGGTTTGGAAGCACGTCTCGATCAGACCGTGACCTTCGAAGAATACACCTATTGGGCCAAAATTGAGCGTGAATTGGAAGATGAAGAACACCGTCGGGGTACAGTTATCACATCTAGCGGTGGCGTTTTTGGATACATCAAGGGTTTATTCCTCAACAATCCTTTGGATGATGCCAGAGTCCACAACTCGCGCGAGTTGCAGAGCAATGAAGAATCCACTCAGTGGTCCGAAAAGAAGACGGATATACCTATCAATAAAAACGAGAGATCCGTCAGCCCTATCACCCCTTCTAATGTTCACGACCTGGATGCGGAATGGCGACAGGCATCTAGAGCCCTGCGCAACGCTAGCTGGGGAGCTATCTTCTACCTGATCACCACCGATATTCTAGGCTGGTCCCAGACCCCATATGTCTTTGCAAATACAGGATATGGACTTGGGGTCGGTATTTTTGTCCTGATGGGTCTTGCCGCCTTTGCATCTGGAATAATGATCTGGCGGACTTTTCTCGGTCTCGACTCATCCCGATTTCCAGTTATGAGTTTTGGTGATCCGTTCTTTCGTCTATACGGCCCCAAAATGCGTCATTTTATCAACTTCATGCAATCTCTCCAGATGTTTCTGAGTGTTGCTGTCGTTCTTCTGGGTAACACGGGTATTATTGCCCAGCTTTCTGGAAGCGTCAATCTGTGTTATGTTGTTTGCGGTATCATCTCCCTTGTCGTCGGCATGGCGAGTGGCTACATGCGATCCCTCAAACATCTGGGCTTTTTTTGCAATTTTGCCGTGTGGATTAACATTGTCACATTTGTGATTATGTGAGTAAAATAGCCACTCATATCCCACCTGATATACTAACTCAAGTATGCAGTTGCGTTGCCGCAGCTAAATATGGCCCCGATTCTACCGCTGCTGTCCAGAATGGCATTTTCCCCAAATCGTGGGCCAATCCAGATACTAGACCACCACCCATGACTTTTGTCGGCACCCCACCAGCGATGTATCAGCCTACCGACTCCAACCTATTTGCTGCCCAATTCAACGGTATCAATAGCATGGTTTGTAAGTCTAACCCCATACACGGTGATACACAGATCAATCAATAGAGGCTTACCTGTACCTAGACGCGTACTCCGGGGCTGTTATGTTCGTCGCTTTCTTGTCCGAGATGCGACGTCCCATGGACTTTTGGAAGGGTTTGCTTGTTGCACAGACGTTTATCACCGTTGTCTATGTCTTCTTTGGTGCTTTCGTAAGCTTTACAGAAACATTTCCAGAGGAGCATGGTGAATACTAACGGGCGTCTAGGTCTACAACTATTACGGCCAGTACAGCTACAGTAACGTCAATCAGTCTGTCAATCCCGAGAGACTCCAGGTTGTCGGAAACGTCCTTTCCCTTCTGACGGGTTGGCTTGCCATTTGTAAGAACACCTCACCAATCACCAGATACTAATTCGATCAATCGGCTGACAAAACTCTTTAGTCTTGTACTTCAATGTTGGTATGAAGACTGTTTACCTCGAGATCGGACAAGAACTCTGCGGTCTCCCACCTATTGCATCAAAAAAGGGCAAGTTCTTTTGGTGGGGTCTCGGTCCAGTCTACTGGATTATAGCCTTCATAGTCTCCATGTCTGTCCCCCAATTCAGTGCCTTCACCAACTTTGTCGGAGGATTGTTCAGTCTGAACTTCACATACTCCTTTTCTGGGATCATGTTTCTGGCGTACAAGATTCAAGATGGCGCCAGACTTCCCCAGGAAGGGTTTGACCCTGTTACTGGCGAGACCACTCGCTTCGATGGTGGAATTAGAAGATGGACTCGTGGATTTATCAAGACCTGGTATCTCAGCGTGCCGGTCCTGATCTATACTCTTTGTGGTCTTGCAACATCTGGGATGGGTACTTGGGCTGCCATTTCAGCCCTGGAAGCAGCATTTGGCCCCGGTGGCTCGGTCGTCACATCCTGGACCTGCGTCAACCCCTATGCATAATGCTATCAATACCTTTCATGAAAGTTGTACGTGGCCCAGAAGGCTGGAAGTAAGGATTTGGAGGGATCTGTGTTTTGGCGAGATGAGTACTATGACATATGATAGCTATTTCGTATATTTCGTCACATACAATCACTTCCAATGTTACAAAGACCCATCACTAGTCTGGTACCACGTCATACCCTGCCAAACTTGAATGGAATTCCACCGAATCTGATCTTGGGATTCATTTTCGACATGAGAGAACGAGAGTTGAACCTTGTTTTTATAAATCAACTCCGTCGGCGGCCGTAGCATCGGATTATCCCGTGTACATGCAGAGAATATACCGGTGGAAGTCTCAACAATGCCCCAGTTGCAGTCGTCGCCGTGTATCTAAGCTACAGCGGCAGGATGATATTCAAATAATGAACAGACAGATGCTGGCAAATAAAAGACTGTTGTCAAATTGTTGCCGTCCTCTCATGTTCGACATAAGTAAGCCTGGAAAATCAGTAACCTACAAGTGTCCCACTAGAATCATCCCTATTACCAAAACATGGTTCACTATGTTTGCGTGTATTGTCCATGCTGCGCCCACAAGGACAGACCAAATCAATGATATGTCGGACCGCATTCCCGACAAACGGTGCTTCAAGCTTGGCTTGATACAGAAATTTGAAATACTTGAATTCTGGCCTCATACAACCGCCAAGGACAGAATAAAAGGACCGCTAGTATATACCAACCCTATAGCGCAGCGTCCAGCTAATGCGTCAAGTTGATAGGCCATCAAGCGCGCCTGTCACTAGACAGGTCTCTCATAGACTCCACCATTAGCGTAGAGCGGGACAGTCTCTTATTAGCCACCACGTTGTGATTGAAAAAGACCGGAAATATCTCCAATATGCACTAAATGGTCACCACACGGGGGATCTTGAATCAGCGATCGGGATGATGTCCGTGACAACTAATGAGAGGGACCATTATGTGATCTTCGATTGTCTATATTTGACATCTCCCCTGCCTCCTTCTACTCAGGCCACCCTCCTGATTGATCAAATAGTTAATCGCAAAATGTCCGTATCCGATAAGCCTGGGTTTATTTTTGTGCCCGGTGCATGGCATACCGCAGACACATACGTAGTCCGCGACCTATGTCCAGTCGAGGACTAGCAAGTGAAGCAATTGCCCCCCATCGATCGGCAGAGCTCTGTATAAGGGCCTCCACCCGGATATCGGATATACCAAAAATTTCCTGGAGAGATGGCCGAAGCTGGTGGCCAGATTATGGTCTTTGCCCATTCCTTCGGCGTAACGGTCAGTGCCGGCGCCGTGGAAGGCCTGGGATACAATGAGCGAGCTGATGCGGGGACACCAGGGGGCGTGATCATGGTGGTTTGCATAACAATCTTTATCACACACAAGAGTCAAACAGTATTGGACCAACTGGGCGGAAATTGGCTCCCATGGATGATCATCAAGGTTCGAACTCTTTGGCTCTATTTGTCACGACTAGGGAGGCTGAATAGAATGACTGACATGCGTGTTGTAGAACCCCGATGACGGTTATTGCTGGGCCTCCAGCACCGAGAGAATATTCTACCATGACATATCACCAGAAGCTCAGCAAAACGCAAACTCTAAAATGCAGCCGCAGCCACAAAAGTATTTCACTGAGCCTGTTTTGCACAAGCCTTGGCTCGAGATGCCAATCATGTGTCTGTTCTGTGACCAAGATCAGGCTCTTCCGTTGGTTGTGCAGGAAATTATTGCGAAGGATTTGGTCAACCCGGTTACTTATCACGCCTTTGGGTCTCATCCGGCTTTCCCGAGCGTACCAGATCAGTTATCGAAGGATTGGAACTTGCGTTGAAAAAAAGGCAGAAACAAAGTGGTGTTGTTCATTTTGTAAATTAATCAGAAGCTGCGGCAAAGCAAGGAGGGCAGCAAGGAGGGCAGCAGAGTCGGATTGTCGTGAGCTGAGCTAAAGTGGTCCTGAAAATAGCGTCAGATCAGTTTGCATTCCATCGGATATCCTCAAAGACTGAAGATACCATTCAAATTCCTATTCAGCTGGAAGCTAGAAATGTTCTAGGAACAATCGCACTATAAGTTATCGGATGTAAGTGGAGGACAGGTGACACCGTGGAGAGTCCAAGATCGGTTCGTCATTTGCTTGTGTGGCAAGATATCATAGAAAGGCGTGAGGTCAGGGTGCAGGAGCGTGAGGTGGAATGGAACAGAAATGACATATTTCGATGGAGTGTTGACGTGCGTGGTTGTGGTATGAAAGCAGGAGAAGAAAAGTTGCGTAGACCAAATTCAACGTGGTAAAAGAAACCATCGACATTGAAAAGTCAGGGCTGTTATTTCACAGCACTGTCCTAAATCAAAGGTCTAGAAACGCGACTTTCGATATCTGTTGAGTTTCCACATCCCAAATCGTGCAATGAGCACAGTTCCAATTACACATCCACCAACAAGTACTGCAAATGCCGAATTGTTCTCTTCAAAGTTGTTCACCACATTCATTCCAAACAAGCCTGCTACAAAAGTCGACACGGCAAATCCGAGCATACAAATCTCGAGCTGTGCTTCGAAAATCATGATCTGATTCCGCCGCACATCCAAGATTGACTGAATAGTATCTGTGGTGCGATTCACATCTGCGAGCAATGCACTAGCAGACTCGGCGATGGCATCGGTATTCTTGTAATATGCCTCCACAAGATATTCAACTTCTTGGTGGTCCTCAATGGCATGTGGATTACCTGACTGTCGTGCCGACAGGTACATGGTAGCCATATCTTCATCATTTGCGAGGAGTTCCCGGAGCGCCGATCGGACCTGCCGCGCGCGTTGCTCAATAGCCACCAGTCTTTTGCCATGGTCCTGCAATCTGCGTAGAATTGAGTGGACGAGATCTTCCCGCGTGGAATCGCGGAGACTCTGTTGAACCTCTCCTCTGATAAGAAGGTGTTCGGCTTCAAGAATGGCAATTACAGAGGCAAGCGCAGCATCCACCACACGCAGTTCGAATGGAAGTTGCGTCAACATTCCAGTGCCAGCGCTCGGCTGCAATTTTTGTTGCAAATCAGTCAAGAAAACATCCTGAGCCTTTACATCAGAGTCCTCGATAGGCAACATAAAGAGAAGAACGCCATCTGTCCGCACAAGAAGCCGTAAAGTGAACATAGTGATGAAGATAGTAGACGGACGAACCAATATATGCGGTACACCTTCCGAAGCAAGATCAACATTTCGCAAATCCCGTCCATCTAATTCATGCTTTTTAGCCACAGTTGCTTTGGTACCGCGCATATTGGAATACTTGACAGAGCCATCAACATTCAAAAACATGTATTCCAACTCGGTTGCGTCGTTCATGCGGCTCCGTGACAGAGCCAGTGACAAGTCGAATACCTTCTGATTGAAAGATGCCTCCTGGCTCATCTCCATCTCTGACATCACATGGAGTGACTTGTTTGGGGCAGTGATGATTCCCCTTCGTTGAGTAGGTATCTTATGAGGGGGTTGTCTCGTGCATACTGAATCAGAAAGAAAGCGGAATTGCCGTTGAGATAAGTTGATGCATCTTGGGAGCCCCCTACTTGAAAAAACGGAAAACAGTGTCTTGATACCGCGCTCATGCATTTTTTGCATTGGTTCCGAGGTTGTTCACCACCATATGAAGCCCAAAGTTGGTTTGGTCTAAGGACCTCGGGGACCTCGGCCCCGGAGCCTTGGGAGCGTCGGTATTTTTTAGGTAATCAAGGTCACGTGTGTTTGCGCTGTTTGCGCTGTTTGCTCACCATGTACGAATCCAATCTATGGAGTAATTGTGACTAAGCACTCACCTACACCCTGGAGGGGTGGAGGTGAGTGCTTAGTCACAATTACTTTCATTGTCAGACATAGAGTCGTGATTGAGTTCATTTCTTTGAAAACGACCATGATTATTTCCTAGGTAGTTAAATGTTTAGTTCACCGGTTAAGACACCAATTGAGCTTCTAAGTTCCAAGGTTGTGATACATTGCTTTACCATAAGGAACATTCCCCCATCAACTATATATATCTATAGATCCATATCATACCTCAGCGCCATGGAGCAATTGCCTCAAACTGGAATAGATAGGTACATTGTTCTATAAGCCCGCGATAAGTCTCTTGAGATGGCTGGAAAATTTGGTAGCTACCTAGGTATGAGCTGGAGATCTTGAAGAGTCCAAGAATGGAGATTGTATTAAGTGGGTCGAGAACTGTTACAGACGGCGTGGAAGGAAAGTATTGGCTACTGCTTCCATATTATCCAGCTTTGCGACAATACCGGCCGCACCCGCTGCACCGTAAGCACCTGGAGTCCAGCATTCCTCAATAATCTGGCTAGCCCAAAGGCCAGCCACACTAGGTAGCGTGTTCCTGGGCGGCAATGAGGCAATTGCACTTTTCCCGTGATAAATACTCTTACCCGCTTGTTTCCCGGTGACAATACTGTAGAAGACCAGACCAAGCTGGAAAAGGTCTGTCCACATTGAACAATTGTATTGATCCACTGTATCAACCATAACACTATCCAGCGGCAGAACTGTCGACGCACCGAAATCGGCCAACATAGCGTTCAACGAGCCATCTATGAGAATGTTTCGGAGTAATATATCACTGTGAATGACACGACTGGCGTGAACGTTGCTGAGGCCGACAGCGAGTTGACGAATCCACCGGCTCTGCAGACCAAAGCTAGGCACATCCCTATGCTTGATCCACTCACCCAAAGTCCCGTTCGACATAAATTGGAGTTCGATCGTATCACCTGGCATACCGAGACACGGCACTATGCCCGGTATTGGCTTGGCATGGTCTAGTTGAAGGCGCCGGTAGACGCGTTGTTCTCGTCTGATCTGACCGCGATTGGATTCGACTTCGTCTTCCTGATCATTTGTATGAACAATGGCCATTTTGATGGCTTTGTCATCCCTATGAACGACGACCGCTGATAAGCCTGAGCCAATGATAGTGCAAGATTTGACCTGGTGGCCCTCGTCGTCGATCAGATGATCTAGTCGGTCCATGTTGGGAAGGTATTTGGGGGACTATGTGACTTGTGGGCGGAAATTGAGTAAAGAGTGTTTGTTTGAGCTAGTATAGTACCGTGTTCGGTTAGCAAACAAAGATGGTGAATGTGTGATGTGGGAGAATCATTTGTCTGGTCTGTACCTTTGTCTTCTCAGACAGCCCTCGATCTGGGGACACCTTGGCGGTGGAGGGTATGAGTTGGAAGAGAAAAAAGGACAAGAGAAAGACCGTCAAAGAGAGAGGAGATTGAATGAAAGAAGCCCTTTGTTGTTCGATGAGCAGGGTAATGTGTGGGTAAAGATATTTGAAGATGATGGCGAAAAGAGCGTTGGCTCATCTAGACCGAATTGGCTCTTTACACTGGAGCATTCAGGTGTCAACATATCTAGCCGATTTTCTACTTCGAGCTCGTCCGTACCAATCAAATTCAACAACCAATATGTCCTTCTAAATGCGAAGGCATCACAATAACAGTCGCGAGAGCCATGTCATGCTTAAAGCCAATTGTATAGGTCAGGCATATCGCATAATGAGAAGTGAAATTTTGCTGATCATTGGGGTGCGGCATAGACTTTGCACGAATCCAGCCATCCTATTCCAAATGCTCTTCCATGACTTACGGTCTGTGTCGGCAGATGTTTGGATTTATTGACAGAAATTGCGAAGATGCCCTCTCGAGCAGGCGACCGTGGCTTCGCCATTAAATAACGTCAGTGCAGGGAACCAAAATGACATACCAACTACCATAATGCCACTGAGCCTGTAAGGGACGCGAGATGTGTATTCTTTTGGAGAAGATACCTGGAAGACGAGGGGGAAATGTCTTGTGGAGAGTGAGTTTGAGATCATGAACGAGCTACTGCGATCCGACGGCATGGCATCACCACCAGAACGCGTTTGTCCCCCCTTCCAGTCAATCTCTACTGGTGATTCATTGGAAAGCGAATTTGAAAAGCCTGCAGGCTAATCATCCACCATGAAGGGGTAGGTCACTACACTTGCGTGTGAGCGGACATCGTCGGCTTGGCATCAAAACTCCACACTGAGGACCTTGTTCTCTGCGGACCCTGACGACCAACACACAAATACATGCAGCTTACATTCACCCTCTTAACGAAACTCTCCTTTTTACCAATCTTCTCTAATGCTGGTAAAAGTGTACATCAAAGGCGTGTGACATTGGTATCTTTTCTATGTAAACTCTTTTTTTCGCATTCATCACTCGTTAACAGTCACTTGAATTAGTTGGTCAGGACATAGCGGTAACGAGCGTCACCATTGTCCATATCCAAGATAGCCTGGTTGGCGTCTGCCATGGGGCGCTCCTGGATCCAGGGCTTGACACCCTTCTCCGCAGCGAGCTCGAGCATCTCACGAATCTCAGCAGGGCTGCCGACCATCGAGCCACCGATCTTCAGACCCTTGGGAATCAGAACAAAGGCAGGGATCTCAAGAGCACCATCCTCGGGGGCACCGAGCTGGACGAAAGTACCACGGAAGCGGAGCAGACCACAGTATTGAGCAATGGGCATCTTGGAAGAGGAAGCAGTTGAGATTATTAGGTCGAGAGACTGAGCGTGACGAGTAGCCCAGTCGGCATCTTCCCCGGTAGCGATGAAGTCATCAGCGCCGAGTTTCAGCGCATCTTCCTTTTTGTCGGACTTGCGAGAAATGGCAACGACACGGTCGGCACCGAGAGCCTTGGCGAACAGGATACCGAAGTGACCGAGACCGCCAACACCGACAATACCCACGGACTTGCCGGGTCCACAGTTGTTCTGTCTCAGGGGAGAGTATGTGGTAATACCACCGCAGAGCATGGGGGCAGCGTCGGCGGAGGAGATGGCGTCGGGGATCTTGATAACGAAGTGGGAGGGAGCACGGTTGTAGGTGGCGTATCCACCGTACGACTTGCCACCGTTGGCGTAGGTACCGTTGTAGGTACCGACCATGCGGTTGCAGTGCTGCTCGAGGCCAGCGGCGCAAGCCTCACACTTTCCATCAGCGTTCTGACAGGCAGCACTCTGCGCACCGACACCGACACGGTCACCGACCTTGATACCGCCCTCAGCTTTGGAACCGACGCGGACGGCAGTGCCGACGAGCTCGTGGCCGACACAACAGGGGTAGTTGGAAGGCCCCTATAAAATGTTAGTGGTACATCCTCAACAGATCAACTCGGAAAAGCATACCCATCCACTGCGAAGAGTGTGCAGGTCAGAGCCACAGATACCACAGTGAGAGATCTTAATGTCAATATCGGTCTCTTCCCAAGGCTTGGGCTCAAACTCCTGCCAGACCATCTTTCCCTGGCCAGCCTCAGGACCGAGACCCATCCAGCCCTCGAACTTGTAATCGGTGGAAGACATAGTGTATTATCGACAAGGTTTTGCAGAATCAGAAGAGAATGATACAAGAGCAAGATCTACAAGATCCGGCTCCATGGTTCTTTATAGCCATCGGAAGGTCGGACATCGATCGAAGAAGTTTCTCGCAAAACTTGCAGACCCTCGATTTGTGATCAGATTGAGAAACCGGGTTGGTCGATGCGAAGCAAAGATCCACGGTGAGGTCCACTTGAACCGGTGTGGACTGTCATCACGGTCTTAGGGGTTATGTCCGGCGAAGAGATTTTCATAGCCATGACGAAATGGATTTGAATGGAGTTGAAACATACGATCAAGACTCGCAGATCATACTTTTTGTCTGATCTCAGTTCAAAGTTATACCTAGGTAGAATGATCTTCAGGGTCATGCGCTTACATCTGCAGAACCAATTTAAGCTACTTACTATCTACGCTTGTTTATGCAGCTTATGCCGATGACGTCACACCGGACTTAAGATGCGAAGACTTGTGCATGTCATATGCTGATTAGTCAACAGAATTATGTTCATATTGGGTCAGATCCGGATGAGTATTGCCCCGATCCTCATTGGTCAAATGGAGGGTCCCAGGCAAAAGGGGCTGCTGAACTAAGAAAATACCGAAACACACTCATTGGAAACGTTTATTATGATCGGAACTGCGGAACTCGTCTAAATTTATTCACTTTTATAAGCTTAATTCTTAGCTTCATCATCTGTCGCGACCGCCTTTTCCCGGCGGAAATAATATTGTGCGCCCAGCGCAAGACATAACACCCATGAAACACCAGCAATGGAAACGCTTGCAGTGAGACCATGCAAATACTTGGGTGCATCAGATGTACGGAAAATCTGAGAACCGGCAATTCCAGCACAGTTGGCGGCCATAACTACCAACGCCATGGCGACACTTCGTTCCTGAGGAGTGCGGCAGTAAAAGGACAACCAGCCGACATTGAGAATGCTATACATTGTCAGAAGGTGGAACACAGAGGAGGGGAATGAGACTTACTGCATACTGCAGTAGGAGATATTGGCGATGGCAATAACTCCATAACGGTGCCATTGAGAGGCATGTGGGTTGCTTGTGCGGAGACACGCGTAGGAAATCACATTCCAGGTGATGGCTAGGAGTACGAAAGGTCCACGATGCTTTGTTTTATCACTAAAGAGAGTCAGCAACGAAATTTAACCTGACCAGCAGATGGAAAACCCACCAAGCATAAGACAAAATAACCAACCACACCATGCTGCAATACACCGGGACCGAAGTTAACGCATTCGCTTTGACAGCGTCAAAGCCCAATGCCTTGATCATGCTGGGGGTGTACTGCGTGATACCTTGGAACGCAGTCATGGAGACCAGGGTCAAGAACACGTGTTGCATGATGCGCCCCTGCTTAAGGGTTTGCCAGATATCCTTGCCAGTAATCTGGATATGGCCTGTTGCTTTGCGTGGGTCATCCAGAAGCACCCGATTACGGATGATGTGTGACTCGCGCTCGGTGAAGTAACTCCAACGGCCGCCTGCAATCAAAGGGCGGCCATCGCCAGCTGAGGGAGGAACAAGCAGGGTGAAGACAATTCCGATGAAGAGTGTGATCAAACCCTCAACTAGGATAAAGCGCAGTTAGACACGGTCCACTGGACCCATTCAAAGCGAGCGCTTACCCAAGAAGATCCACCTCCATCCCTCCATACCACAAGCACCATTCAACTTGAGCAGACCAGCAGAGATCAAACTCGATGTCGCAGAGGCAAACATCTGCCCGTAGAAGAACAAACTAGTACGCAGACTGGTTTCATCCTTTTTGTACCATGTGGAAAGGTAGTACAAAGCACACGGAATAAAACCACCCTCGCAGAAACCCAATAAGATCCTCGTCACTAAGTATGCAGGGAAGGATGAAACGAATGCCTGAAAAGTCGCAACCAAACCCCAAGCAAACAGCTGGCCGGACAACCAAATACGAGGTCCAATGCGCTGCATGATTATATTTGAAGGAATCTCCGAGAGCACAATACCAGCCGAGAGAAGCTGACTACCGATGTTGATTTGGTTGGTGGTGATGTTCAGGTCTTTTGTAATGGTCGAAGTCAAAACGGCGCTAATATTTCCGCGATCCATCTGCAAAGCGAAGAAAGCGACAGCGAGGATAGGAATGAGGATAAAATCAACTCTATCAAAGGTTGTCAGGATAATTTTTCATGCTTGTGACATCTCTTGGAAGTGGACATACTTGCGCCTCACCGCAGACTCCTCTTCATCCCAGTCCTTGACGATACCATGATCAGGTTCACTTGGCGGCGACGAGGTGACTTGTTCACCAATGTACTTTTCATCTAAGATGCCTTCAGACATCTTGCGATCAGGGAGACTCATGTCGAAAGAAGAAATCAAAAATCAGAAGTATGTGAAGCTCGGTCTCCGTCTAGACAGACCCCCATAGATGTATTTAGTAGATGGCGAGGTCACATACTTATAGAAAATCATAAAGAAAAAGACCGGAGAAAAGAAGGAAATGACAGCCCCCTTCCTTATGCGTTGCGTAGTCCTCTACGCGAGATCATCTAAATTCTTCCGGCTGCTAATGTTTTTGCTTCTCACGACACGGCGGGGAGTTATGGCGCAATCATGGGCGTATTTGATCACATTTGCCGACGTTTTGCCTCCATTTTTTATTTCTTTTGATTGGATCATCTATTGCACTGCATTGCACGTTGATACATTTGTTGTATTATTTTATTATTTTATTTCGTACCATCTGATAGTTTCTCGGATTATCCGGAAGTCAATTGCCATGTTGTATACTTCCTGTCGTCGGGTTCGTATTTATATTCTTCCTGTGCTGCCCCCGAGGTCTATGGCTTGTTTATGACTATTTTAGATATCATTCAGATATCTAGATATCTATATTTGCTAAGTATTTCGTTGAGATCAGCCTAATCATCTGGGTTCCAATCCATAGTATAAACAACCAGACCATAACCAGCGCACATCCCTTACACGAATATTAGCACCACGGTGAGTAATTTTTTGATCGCTACATTATCATATTCGATAGGTTCATCGTCGGGGGTTTCGAGGGGTTCATCGCGAATACTGATAAATGTAGTGGTGTTTGACCGACTATGTCAGCTGCATTTGGATCCGCTTCATTGCTGAGGAAAGGACATCAATCACTCGTGGACAATAATCCTCAGTGGCTTGGTGTAATGAACTACAACCGAGAGAGTCTCGAGATTCCATTCTGGATCCTTTGTTTTGGAATGACTTGAGCAATTTCCCGTACTCATCCGATCGCGTGCCAGTTCAATCCGAAGTCCAAACGTCCGGCTTATCCAATGTGAAATCAACAATACGGAGTGGCAGATATCTCTCATTTGCCTTTCTGCAACCGTAAGACCCGAAGTAAAGGATCATCATTTGGATTTTAACAGGCGATACTATGTTGGGGGAGGGGTTTGCACTCGCATAAATGAACTTTTGAACAGTTTCCAGTTGTCCCCCTTCGGCAGCCCACATCCTCCCTGATTTCAAACATACTTTTCATGGATTCTTCCTAAAATGGGGCTTTATAGGCATTGACCTAGTATCGTATTTTAAGGCCTTATGACATAAACCTAGATTTGGCATAGAGGTAGTAACGACCGCTCATTCAGACAAAGGCATTAATATCCATCAATTAACGTAAATATGATACTATGAGTAGGAGGATTTCAGTACGCAGGTTTGGCAGAGACATGGCGACGAACAAGTCACCAATCCAGGTGGATTCTTGTGCTTAATATGGACCCGGGGATGGGTAAAAGACCAAATTTGACAGCTTGGACATTGTCAAGATGGTGGCCACTAAACCCCCAAGGAGGTCTAAGGCTAACCACAATGGGAAATTGTCAACATACTGCCATAGCACGAATCTTTTGAAAGAACAGTGTTCTAGGATATGGATATATTTACAGTAAAATATCAGCTATTTTGCTTGGGTAATTTTTGTGCTACACCCACACATCCCATGACACACCATAGCGACTGGTCAATGGCACCTGCGGCCCTTCCGCTTCAACAATATATCCCTTATCACACCAGTCGAAGGAAACCTGAGGTTGCGCCGCATAAAAGCCATCGAATTCTTGCACCAAGGCATCCTGGAGACTCTTGACTCCATCCACAGGCTGCAAGACATCCCAGGGCTGGATGCATGTCACCCCTTGGCAAGACTTGAGGACCATCAGGAGTGCGTCAAGCCGGTTGATAGCTTGTGTCAGACTGCGTCCGAGAATTTGAGGTTCGTCCTCATTTGCACTTGGTGTGGTCGGGTATAGGTTGTTCAGTTGATAAGGATCAATCTAGGATCTATTAGCTGCTTCCATCCAATTGCTTCATATATCTATGTTTGGCAGTAACTAACCGACAAATCATAGAGCTCGTGTTCGTTGTTGCACCATACAGAATAGTACAAGTTGTATCCTTCGCCCAATAAGCGAACAGATTTGTAAGTATTGTTGGGGATCATGGTTGAGCCTCCGGGACCTATGAAGACGTTAGCGTCGCGATTTAATGGTACAATAGAAGAGATGAGAGCACAAACCAATACCACTGAAGATACCTTCCACAACCGCAGAGCCCCAGAATTCCACTGTGACATGTTCATGCCTTTCTCCATCAAAGTCAGGTGTAATAGGAATGGCAGTGCCATCGAAATCCTCCCTAGCTGGAATACCTGCCAAATGGAAGAAGGTGGGTGCCAGGTCCACATGGGTAGTCACCGCATCCTGAACATGGCCCTTGGGAACCCCGGGTCCCCGAATAAAAAGAGGAACCCGGATGTCCTCCTCAAAACCACAAGTCTTCCCGGGTGGCAGGCGGTGCTGACCGATGTGGAATCCGTTGTCAGAAGTGTAGATAACGTATGTATTCTCTAGCTGATCACTGTCCTCAAGTTTGGTGATGAGAGAATCAACCAACTCATCAACTCCCTGCAGCGCGCGTAGACGAGACCGGTAAAAGTGATCATTATAATCGATAACCGATTGGTTCTGCTTCGGCAGATCCCGAACCCAACTAACCCCGCTTGGCTGCAAAGGCGTCAGAATAGCCGATCATATTTCAAAAACAGCTGTAGTTCATGCACATACCTGGTCTGGATTGAAATTCTTATTGCGTGGCACTCTGACATCCTCGAATAAATGCTCATGACGCTGCAATGGAATAGGAGCTGACATATAGATTTGACCCGAGGCAATAGCCCCCGGATCAACATTTGAGTGGGGCGCCACAGGCGAAACAGCAAGGAAGAACGGTCTCTCGCCATCTAGGGCATCATCCAAGAAGGACAAGGCTTTCCTTGTAATCACATCAATAGTATGTTCACCCTCATGACTGACTGGCTCGTCGCGATTGCGCTGATAAGTCGAATTCAAGTAAGAGTAGGTGTAAGGGTCCAGCAAAAAATCCGAGCCATTGAACCCATTAATATGCGGTGAATGATAATTCTCCACGGTATGAGCGTTGAACATTTTGCCCGTGTAATAAGTATCATACCCAGCATTTTGCAACCAAACCGGCAAGAAATCATCATTGAATCCGCGCTCCACGAACTTGGGATATCCACCGTACGGTGGGTGCACATCTGTCACATTGGTATTATGCGCCTGGCGACCGGTCCAAAGACTGACCCGAGACGGACAGCATAGTGCAGTTGTTACAAAGTGGTTCCTGAAGAAAGTTCCTTCATCGCGAATGTGTTTCGAGATCAGCGGTGTGTAGTTGATCGAGTCGAGTTCGAGATCCTGGTCGTCTGTGATCACGAATAGAATATTTGGTTTGCGGGATTGCGACTCGCTGTGTTTAAGGACTGTCTGAACGGCGGATTGGAGGTTGTTTTGCAGATTGGTGAGCGCCGCTCCTTCAGCTGCGGCGATCAGGCCGGCAAACGCGGTAACTAATTTCATGGCTGCTAGGGATGAGTGCTTGTGAATGGGAAACCCGACGGTTATGGAACAATATCATGCCAAGGCGGTGACTGGAAACTTGACGCTCGGCAAATCTGGAGAATTCGATGTGGAGATAGAGGAATGATGCCATCGTTAGCGTCAATGGCGATCGCCGTAGATGCCGATGGCTAGCGGGCACCTCGGGAGGGCGGGCATTGAGGAGGAGTTTGTATACAAAACAATAGAAAACAAACTACACATGCTGTGTAACCTTGGATCGTAACACGTAGTGCAACCTAATCGGAGAGGCAATCTCGACTTCTATAATTGCTTGTTGTTTTGTATTCTCATTGACTCTCATATGCTTTTCTATTTTGTATTTGAAAAACATTCAAATCTCACCAAACAAGAAGTATAGAGTGGATCCGCGGATCTGGATCCATTGCGTGCTTTGGCATCGCGATGAGAACACTACGCCACTTCACTTCGGCTGTTATTTTATTTAATTGCCTCTAAATTGGATTGTTTGATTATTAAATCTCATTAAAGCCATGGCGTGAGAGTATCCGCGTCAAGTTGTTACCAAGCGAGGGTCGGGATTACCGAATTGGTTTTACCATATACACTATTCTCCCCGAGAGACCCTTGAAATCTTATCACGAACCCGACTGTATTTCAATCACAATGGCCGTCAATATTGATGGGCAAGCAACTTCATCGTCAGAGGGCGTAGCCGAGTTTCCGTCAATCAATGAGAATGGCGCACGCGACGAGGAAAGTCCCTTGCTTCCGCAATCGGATACAGACTCGAAGGTGAAGCCTTTGACTGGTGTCGCAACGATTATTGCAGTGCTGCTAGTTGGTAATATCATGTCGCACACTCCAAGTAACAAGCAGATGTCAAGATGTTAATCCGCGATAGGTGAATTCATATCCAATGCCGATGCGACACTCGTCATGGCGGCCGCAGGCCGGATCGCCTCTGAGTTCAATCGTTTGCGCGACGCGAGTTGGTTGTCCACCGGATACACGCTGGGTTTATGCGCGGCACAGCCGATGGTAAGTAAACGCGGTGTCTTCAGAGGGGTTTCGCTAATGGGCGACAGTATGGTAAACTGAGTGATATCTACGGTCGCAAACCGCTTCTGTTGCTCTCTTATTTCCTCTTCGCCTTCGGGTGTATCATGAGGTGAGTTGAAACACATCCAAATTGCGCAGAGTGGATATTGAACATCGATAGCGGCATCGGAACGAATATGTGGCTGGTTATTCTTGGTCGCGCGATCAGTGGAATGGGCGGTGCGGGAATCATGACGATCAGTTCGATTATTATCACGGATATTGTGCCCAAGCGTGAAATTGCAACATGGCGGGCATATGTGAATATTGCCATGACACTCGGTCGAAGTCTCGGAGGTCCACTCGGTGGATGGTTGAGTGATACGATCGGATGGAGATGGTATGTATAGCCCGATTTCGACTGAATATTCTCTAACACAGTATAGGTTGTTCATCCTTCAAGCTCCATTCCTTGCTCTCGCTGCAGTACTGGTAATCACCAAACTCGGTGTCGGAGAGAAGATCGATACCTCCAAGGACAGCAAATTCGCCAAAGTCGACTTCCTCGGAACAGGTCTTCTTGGATCATCTATTGTGGCCATGACCCTTCTCCTCGACCAAGGCGGCAAATCCTTCCCTTGGAGATCATGGTGGACAGCACTTTTAGGAGGCGGTGGAGTCACCCTCTTAGTGATGTTCGTTCTCGTTGAAGCCTATGTCGCACGCGAACCTATCTTCAATCTCCGCATCCTCCGTCGTACCAACGTCTCAGCCGCATACATAATCGGTGCACTCCAAATCACCGCCCAGCTAGGAATGATGTTCTCCGTCCCGCTCTATTTTCAAGTAACACAGCGCGCGTCAACGACAGCCGCAGGTGGTCATCTCGTTCCCGCTGTCGTGGGAAATACCCTCGGTGGACTGATGGCAGGAATATTCATCCGCCGAACTGGACACTTCAAAGTCCTGCTTGTGATAGCAGGTCTGGTCGCATCCATCTCCTATAGTTTACTCTACCTCCGCTGGGATGGACATACCGGATTTTGGGAGTCACTATTTATCCTGCCAGGTGGACTGGGAACAGGCATTGCATCGGCTTCAGCATTCGTTGCAATGACCGCGATGATTCCACCTGAGGAAGTGGCAATGGCAACAGCAGGATTCATGCTTCTCGTTGGATTTTCTATGACGGCTGGAGTAACAACATCGAACTCTGTTCTTGGCATGGAGTTCCAAAGACAACTGAAGAAAAGTCTCCACGGACCCGATGCTAAAATCGTCATTCGGCGGGCTATGGCTGATACGGGGTACATTGCTCAGCTGACTGGCAAGGTGAGAGAGATTGTGGTTGAATGTTATGTCTCCGGCTTGAAGCATACTTATCGTAAGTTTAACCGTAAAAGATTCCTGCTTTGCTTTAATACTGATACGTCGGCAGTGGTGTCTCTCGCTTGTTCCCTTTTAGCATCCTTTACAGGGCTGTTCGTAGCGCATCACGAGATATAGAGTCAAACTCCACTTATCATTTGGTAAAAGGTCCTAACCCTTTCACATCCATAACTTTTCAAAAATAATACCAAAAATGAGTTTGCCCGAAAGTCTGCAAATTTGGAAAAGTCACGAATGCATAAATCAATCGTGCAGAACATTTCACAAGGCCTTGTCTACAAATTGAATAACTCCCTGAGCGTGCATGTTGGTCGACTGTAACCAAGACATCGAAGAACGGGACATGAGGTCCCATAGAATAGAGGGGCTAGGAAAAGGAAATCGGCTATGTAGAATACTGAGGAAAGGAAGTAAAGTAGGAAGAGAGGAAAACGTTGTATTCCTGCTGTCCTGGGAAGTCTTGAATACCACTAAGACATGGGTCAGAGATTGCAGTTTGTTAAACCCCAAAACTTCCTCCCAGAGCGTTGGTTTTCTTTAGGATGACTGATGCGCTGACTACAGCCCCTCTTATGGATTGATATATTCTATGACTTTCAGACACCATGTATACGTGAGATAGTTCGAAATCAAATCCCGACGTTCAAAAATGACAATCTTGTTCAATGTCCTATGCCTATCAACAAGCGAGAATTGGAAAGATATTTGAACTTGGTTTAGACTGACACATGGACCCATCCGCTTAACACCTGCTGAAGCAGAGAGGATCGAGGTTTGAGCGCTGTCCATCACCTCCTCATCTCCAAGTATCGCTGATCGTGACAGCCGAAGTACCACAGGTTTGAGGAACTGTGTATGACAGGTTCGGATCACTCTCCCACTGAATTGACCCGTCACTCTCAACCCGAATATACTTATAGGTGAAGGTAGAGCCAGCGGGAAGTGTCACCGTCACATACCACAAATGGTTGCTGGTAGTATAAGAGGAAGCACTGAGAGCGATAGCGCTGCTAGTATCCCATGAGCCAAGCTGGGAGATGGATCCAGCGAGCTTGATGTTTTCGCCATAAACAGTCGTAGCAATCACATCAAATGTCACTGCCACCGCAGTGGGGGTGGAGCATGAAGTAGTAGTCGAAGTGGTCTTGGTAGATGTGGTGGTAGTTGCCTTTGTGGTAGTTCCGGTGCCGGTTGTGGTGGTTCCGCTCCCCGTTCCGCTTGTCAGAGTCGATGGCCAGGCGGTGTTGGTAGCAGTGCTGAAGGTTCCAGTAGCAGAGGTGGAACTGCACTGAGCCGGGACACTGCTGGCAGCTGTCTCGCCCCATGGTGCGGGGACGACCCCATTTCGGCGCTCGTTCGCAGTGAGCAAAGCTGCGTATGACCAAGTCAAGTCACGGGCCGAGAGTTGAGAGCCATCCGACTTGGAAAATTGCTCGGACATGGAGCCATTCGTCAAGGCATAGCTTTCCTGAAAGGAGTGTTAGGGGAGTTCAGCAGTAGTTCTGAAATAAAACTTACCACAATGCTGACGTAGCCGTCGGCATAGGTCTTAACCGCACTAACGATCGAAGAGTATGCAGCGCTAGATGAGGAGTAAGTGCCAACAGCGGCGGAACTATACAAATCCGTGAAAAAGCTCAAGGAGACAGAAGTGATAGTCAATGAGCCAATCCGGTTCCAAGTGTAGAGAGCGTCGTACAGCTGCTCAGCTGCAGCAAGAGTACACAAATACCAAGGGTTTCCATTGTAGTAAGAATCCTCGGAGTAACGGCCAACAGAGACAGCCTTACCCGCAGCAATACCAGAGTTGATGGTGTATACCGACCGGAAAGAGTCGGTCACTGCCTTGTGGTTCGCCAAGGCTCGGGCTGAGCAAGGTTGGAATGTAGTGTCATCGCAACCAGCTTCGGGGTCAAATGTGTGAATACTTCCAAGGAGGGTGTTTGCATCTTTACCAGAGCGGCCACCGCCAAAGTTGGCCAATGTGTAAGAGCCAGTCCAGAAAGATTGCAAGAAGCACAGCACCTGGGGCGCCTGAGAATCGCAGTATGAACACGAGGCACCAACTTTACTAGCAAAAGTGCTACCTTCAACCAAGGCACGATGCTGAGCCGCAATGGTGAAGAAAGAGGAGCCGGAGACTTCTTCCCAGAGATCTATACTCCCATTAGTAAGGCTCATCCGCGAGTGTCCAGTCATGCTTACCATATCCAGTTTGATTCCAGTACTGAGCAACGTAAGAGAGATCGTTGCGTACGATTGGCCAAACAATGCTGGTCGCATAGGTAGTGTATCCATTGTCCTGAAGTTATTAGAGGTTTTCCACAAATTTGAACTTCGCAACTCACAATCAGCCATTCTCCAAATGATATCAGGGCGGTTGCACGCAGAGCCGGCCCATCACGCTGTGGGCGTCCCCAAGAGCCAGTGAAAGCAGTCTCATCAACGTTGAACTTGGGTTCGCCCAATCCACCACTGGATAGGCCACCGGAAGGGTTGGAGACGGTTTGAATATAGGCCTGTGCGCTAATATATTCTTCGATCACATCAAGGAGCGCAGTGTCACCATTCTTAAACAAATCCACCAAGGTCTTGAACACCAGAGCCGAGTCGCGAGTCCAAGTATAGTAATCTGTTTCCACAATTAGCGCTTTTTTTATTTTCCGGTGTCTTTGACGGACAATCTTACAATCCGGACTGGAGGTACTCGGACTGGCGATCACAATTCCCGGCTTGGCGCTCGCGGAATACGCGCCAGCTGAACCGATGTTGTTCAGGATACCTTGTCTGGCGACTGTTGTCTCAGCTGCCAACCAGGTATCCAGACTACCCGTTGCGCGAGGTGCCAAGGCGATCTGTGGCGCAGCGATCACAGCCTGACCGACAGTAAGCGCCCAAAGCGCAGTCCAAAATCGGGGGGCCATGTCAAGAGATGTGTTTGATTAAGATCAAGAACACGGGGCCCATCGTGCTTTTTATATTTTATGTCAAGACCCGAAAATTAGCTCGGTCGCAATGTATCTGCATAAACATCGCATCCCATCACACTATTTGCAGAGGCTTGCAGTTGGAGCGGAGATCACCATCTCGCTTCTGCTGCGTGCATAACACTAGAACTCGGCTTAAATCGGCATACCCAGGCCAAGCTTCGACTAACGCCTTCAAGGTGTCGCCTCGTCATCTCCGACATAAAACCCCGCAGAATATCCGTCCCCTGTCTTTGTGAGGGGCTGGTGACCACCAATCACTGACGCGCATCCAACTCTTCCAGGCACGGTCAACTGGGGAATTGAGTGGCGCTTTGGCAGGGAATGACTTGCATGTGAACCTGACATGAATCTTTCTGCATCGTGGGGTTTATTCAGCCGATAGACTTCCTTGAAAGTGTGGAGCCGTGAAGAACGCCGGCGGGGAGACTGCTAAGCCTCGGAGGATCGCCCGTTTATAGACTGGCGCGGGGCTAATTTCATGCAGCTTTTCAGTGCCGGTATGACCGAAATGAATTGCCCAGGTTTCTTCAGGTATGTTCTTAGTATGTCGGGCCGGCATAGAAACTTTGAGGGAATTTAGAAGTTTCATATATTGTACTAAAATGCTAGCGAGATGAAGTCGTCGGGATATCGTCCAATTGCCAAGTTCTATTCAGCCGATTGGATTGGAATTACGGAAACCTTGTATTCCAACGCTTATGCATTAGCTTACGAGGATTCGATTCTATCGTGTAATGACTTGATGGCTTGGCTGCTAGGGCAGCAAAGATATAAACCCAGGAGTTGAACTGCCATCATGGCTCGTCAGGTCTTCCGAGGACCCAAAATTACTGGGTAATATCACCCCATTTATTGCTGAAAATATGATTAAATTTGCGTTTGCCGCAGCCTTGCTGTTAGGACAGCTGGTGATGGGTCTGACCCCTGCTGAATGGCGCAGTCAATCAATCTACTTTTTGCTCACCGATCGGTTTGGACGTGATGACAATTCTACGACTGCCGCTTGCAACACCGGTGATCGTGTTCGTACACACCTTTCTCTGTGATCAATGTACAAACATAGCTAAAAAATGTTAGATCTATTGCGGTGGCAGCTGGCAGGGCATCATCAATCATGTACGTGTTGTACTCTACATGCCTCTGGAGCAATTGATCTAACATCCTCATCAGTTGGACTATATCCAAGGGATGGGATTTACTGCCATTTGGATCACTCCGGTAACAGAGCAGTTGTCTGGAAATACCGGCGACGGCGAGGCTTTCCATGGATACTGGCAACAAGACATGTAAGCTATGAAGGGCCTTCACCACAACTCTTACCGCCAGCTAACTCCAATAGATATAATGTCAACTCCAACCATGGCACTGCTGCTGACATTAAAGCCCTTTCAAAAGCGTTACATGCCCGAGGCATGTACCTCATGGTGGATGTTGTGGCGAACCACATGGTAGGTGATTCCCTAAGTGTCGTCAATATGGAATTGTTCTAATGCTATATAGGGATACGCTGGAATCGGCAGTAGTGTGGATTATAGTGTCTTCAAGCCATTCAGCTCATCATCGTACTTTCACTCGTACTGCCTGATCAGCAACTATGACAACCAGTCGAATGTCGAGGATTGCTGGCTTGGAGACACGACTGTGTCGCTGCCGGATCTGGATACAACGCAAACCTCAGTTCAGACTCTCTGGTATGATTGGATCGCAGACCTGGTGTCGAATTATTCTAGTACGTCAAACTTCCACACCATGAAACTTATTTCTGACCAGTTAAGTCGATGGGCTCCGTGTCGATACCGTGAAGCATGTACAAAAGTCATTCTGGCCCGGTTACAACGACGCTGCAGGCGTTTACGCTGTCGGCGAGATATTTGATGGTGATCCAGCCTATACTTGCGACTACCAAAATTACATCGATGGCGTATTGAATTATCCGATGTAAGTTCATCCTTCTCATTTGGTTTGAAGACATACTGACTATTCAGTTACTATCAACTTCTCTACGCATTCGAGTCTTCCAGTGGAAGCATCAGCGACCTCTATAACATGATCAACACCGTTGCCTCTGACTGCGCTGACTCAACCCTCCTCGGAAATTTTATTGAAAACCACGACAACCCACGTTTCGCCAGGTAAGAGCAAAGTTGTTTGCAAATGAAGTAGAAGACTTGCTAATTACGAAAGCAGTTACACGAGTGACTACTCGCAAGCGAAAAATGTGATTTCGTTTGTATTCTTATCCGACGGGATTCCCATTATATATGCCGGTCAGGAACAACACTACAGTGGTGGCAATGATCCTGCCAACCGAGAGGCCACCTGGCTTTCAGGATATTCAACCACTGCGGAGCTTTACCAGTGGATTGCCACCACGAACAAGATTCGCAAGCTTGCAGTCTCATCAGATTCCAGTTACATCACCACGAAGGTACATCAATAACTCCAATTTCTAGACAAAATTAACAAAATCAGAATTCCCCTTTCTATCAAGACACCCATACTCTAGCCATGAAGAAGGGTTCTGTGATAACAGTGCTATCCAATTATGGGACTTCAGGGTCATCATACACATTGTCATTGACCGGCAGCGGGCTATCATCAGGCACCAAGTTGACAGAGCTATACACCTGCACGTCTATAACGGTTGATTCGAGCGGAAACATCCCCGTACCGATGGCATCCGGGCTTCCTCGCGCTCTGATTCTGTCAGCATCCGCCACTGGTCTCTGTGGCTCAGCGGTATCAACGACCACCACCAATGTAGCAACCACAACCTCAACCTCAACCACCACAGGAACCAGCTGCACGCAAGCGACCGCTTTGCCAGTCTTATTCAAAGAGCTAGTAACGACCAATTATGGGCAGAATGTTTATATCTCAGGGTCCATCAGCCAACTCGGTAGCTGGGACACCAGTAGTGCGGTTGCATTATCTGCCAGCAGCTACACCTCATCCAATCCTCTGTGGCAAGTGACAATCACGCTCCCTGTTGGAACTACATTCCAATATAAATTTGTGGAGAAAACGAGTGGGTCTACATCTGTCACTTGGGAAAGTGATCCTAATCGCTCGTACACGGTTCCAACTGGGTGCACTGGAGCCACTGCTACTGTGAGTGCCACATGGAGATAGTTTTGGTATTAGTATTTGTAGCCTTTGGTAGGACGAACTATAATTCAACCTGATAGGGCGATATATCGTTAGAAGTTGAATGACATTGTGGTATTCACTACTTCCTATGCTACCTTTTGGAAGTTATTCTCAAACTAACGACTAATCAAAACATGTCATCATGCGTAGAGCCCGTAAACATGATTCATAACTGTTCAAGCGTCTCTCTGTACAGCCTCAGATATGGAAAGAGGCAAAATTCGCTGTCAAGAATTCATAAGTGTCCTGGCGGAAGTTATCCTGCAGCAAAGCCCCATGGTCATTGAAGAAGTTCATCAATGACTGATTGTTACTCCACTGTGGCCAGTCCATGTAATTGCCAGCCCTGGAATTAGGATCCTGCTCATAGACAAAGGACAGGTAGTATGCGTGAATAGACTTAGATGCGTAGTTCGGCTGAATTCCAAAGAACAACTGCAAGATGTCGGATCCATGGAAGGTTCCCAGAAAAGGCAATGAATGATTATATGACGAGAGGTAGGACCAAAAACGGACATTCGGCTTTGCTTTCAGGGCGTAGTTCAAGAAGACTCGGCGCGTAAGAGTAAACGAAAGGTCGCCGAGGATGGCCGAAAGTCGTTTGAATTGTGGATACCAGTTGTTCGAGGTTCCAGTACGGAAGGGCGATCCATCTTCCTGAATATCTTGATAAGTGGCAACCAGATCCGTGATTTGTTGTCGAGAGGCATCGAAGAAGTAAAGCGTTTGTAGATAGTCAACTATATCGTTCGTTGTTGTCAGATTTTTCTGAGTCAAGGCAAAGATAGTTCCTTCATCTTCTTGGTCGCCGATGATGAATGGAACTGATGCATATTTGCCCTTCGCGGCCAACTGGTCCGGAGACTCGGTCAATAGATAACCATCGGGTCGTGGCAAATATGATTCGGCGACGGAATTATAACCCAGAATTCCTGGAACAGAATTTGCGGCATTGAGGAATTTGGTATAATCGAGTCCTCGCAGACATGCAAGTGTGTCAGTGGCGCCATCGCACCCGGCATTCTTGACCACGGTGTCGTACACAGCTTGGCCCTTTACGCCGTCCACTGGATTCGCAGACGCAATACAACCAGAATCCATAATTCCGCCTCGGAATAGCGGGGAACCATTATATGTGTTGTCGCCATCGTACAGTGCCATCTGGTCGAAGACCGAGATCGCGCCGGCAGACTCTCCCCAAATAGTCACTTTTGTCGGATCGCCTCCAAATGCTGCAATGTTGTCTGCGACCCATTCTAGAGCTAAGCGCTGATCTAAAAGACCGAGATTCGCCGAGCCATCTTCAAGGACCTCCGCACCGGGCAAGAAACCAAACCCTCCGAGGCGATAGTTCATAGCAACATAGATGACAGGCATACCTAGTGACACAGAGCTTGCCACAAAAGCTGCGCCATCGTATGTTGTGATCGAACCTTGTTCAAAGCCCCCGCCATAAATCCAGACCAACACCGGGAGTTTCGCATCCGGCTTCGTACCGGCTGGCCGGCGCACGTTCAAGGTCAAACAATCCTCGCCTGAATTTTTGATCGCCTGAAAGATTGGGATATTACCGACTTCAGCGATGATAGAGGTGGGAAGATCGCTTGTGTCGGTGCTTAACGTGAATTGTGGACAGGACTTTGCAGGCAAAGTAGCCTGTATTATTTCGGGGGACGTTTCAATTGGTCGAGGCGGCTTCAACCGATTGGAACCGGTCGGGGGCAATGCGAACGGGATACCATTGAAGCTATCCACGTTGTTGGCCGATACACCAATAACAGTGGCATCAGGTTTGGAGATGACGACTGTTGGACCATCTGCCCTTTTGTTTGATGCCGGTGCAGCTAGAACCAAAGGTAGTGTGGCCAACAATAGCTTCAAAATGGAAGACATCATGACAGCCTCCCTAGGCTGATCAAAAAGCTTCAATTTCGGAGAGGATTACCTTTCGCCCTTGCTTGCAATCCTCGTGTCGGGTGGGCAACGAAGGGGTAGATATAGAATGTGGCCTCAAACCTAACCCCGGATTCGGTCATGACAGAGTACTGCCGATATCAAAAGAATATGGGTGTTCGAAGTAAAGTTACATATCCCTGTTCTGCTTGCAGTTGGCTTTGGCGTTCGACATGGCCCGCAACCAGCTCATATGCATGGCCGCAACTCGAAAGGGAAGTTGGACCGAGTTCTGATCATGAGGCCGTAATATCATGCGGCTGAGTTATCACAGATTAGCACAGAATATCCAGGTGATCGCGGGGCACGGTAAGATAATCCAAGCAATGTGTTTGGATAGCATAAATGTGTCTTGCGCACAATGCACCGAGAAAGTTTATGAGTAATGCAAGTTAGACCAGGAATGCCACGGTGAGAACATCAACTAACCGGGTTGACGCAAGGGGCGCAGATCTTCGGCATTAGGAATGAAGAATGTACGATGATATTAATAGAATCAACACCGTTCTTTGCCCAAGGGGGGGACATACATCCTGCCGTCCTCAAAACGAGGAAGATTGCGAGGCTGATCCCACCGATGAACTCGGCATAGAATAATAGCTATGTGTTGATCCATTCAACTTGGTCATCATGCATAATTCGATGATTGTTACCTGTTTGGTATAAGTTGGTAGCGGGTTCATCCAGGTAGCGGTGGGGTGTGTATACATCGGAATAGGCTATTAGTTCCCTTTCGTCATATGGTAGCAAGCAAGGGTCTAAAAATGAGACCACTCGTTCGAACCCCGCGAATGTCCACATTTGGACTTTGCGTTGGAGTGAAAACTGCATTTACATAAAGTCAAACGAAGGGGTAACACATTGGAAAAGGAGGCCCCCCGCGCGAGCTCTTGCTTTCAGGAGCCAAATTGCCAGGCATTGGGGATTTTTCCCCAATATTCTTTTAAATCACTTGCTTGACTTTCCAGGACATTATACTCAAGCCACGTAAGAACCATTCATACTGTTTGCATTCGGCCGCAAGCCTAACAATATGCAGCCACACTGCCATATTGTAGACCTTCAACATAGTTACGCAAGAACCGGCACATTGTTCGTATACATATCTGTCATTTTTTCGATCCCAGACTCCTTCCAAGGTTCTCTATAAGGAAAATGCAACGTTCCAATTTCGAAAAAGAAAATACCATAACAATGCGCAAATCAAGGCAAAATCCCAGCTCTTCACATGGATATATCTATTTGTCCCAGCCTTCCCACCTAGCAAAGTCTCCCGTGTCCAAATCAAAGAGGTCCAACATGCGCCCGACACTCTGATCAACTAAATCCTCAACCGAGGCAGCGCGAATGTAATACGCGGGAACAGGCGGGAAGATGATAGCGCCAGCCCGTGAGACCTCGAGCATGTTTCTCAAATGTATATCACTCAACGGGGTTTCTCTCGCAACAAGGACAAGCTTCCTCCGCTCTTTGAGCATGACATCTGCTGTCCGCGAGATCAAATCATCACAGAAGCCACTGTGGATAGCAGCCAGGGTTTTCATACTGCAAGGCACGACAATCATGCCGTCGGCCTTGAACGAGCCACTTGATATGGGAGCAGCCATATCATTGATGTTGTGAACATGGTCAGCCAGAGCCTTGACATTCGAAGGGTGGTAATCGGTTTCGTATTTGATTGTCGCCTCCGCCCACTTACTCATGACCAGATGAGTTTCGATGTTTAGGCGACGGAGAGCAATAAGGGCCTTAATACCAAGGATTGCACCGGTAGCGCCGGTCATGGCCACAACAATACGCTTGCGTGGTCGCGACTGGGCATGCTGGGTATGTTGGGTTTCCATGAGGTTTGCGGCTTCCGGGGGGCTGCCACCGGGTGAGGCGCGGATCGAAGAGGGAGTGTGAGTACCAGAAATAAGGGAAAGCATTTGTCTGATAATTGAATTTCAACTACTAGTTGGTTCAAGCTGTAATGGGTATGTCGGTGTGTGAAAATGAGCTCTGATGGCAATATGAATTGAGATGGGCAGCATCTCCCATTTATGTCAAGACAAAAGAGTGGCAAGCTGGCAGTTTTCTTGATACCCACAGTATGCAGGAAATGGCAAGCCGGCTTCCGGTCTTGCAGCCGTTGTGAAACGGCCCGATTTGGAGTATACATATGACCCGCTCCGAGGCCCCGAGATCCCGAGACCGACTATCCGAACTATCCGAATCACTTGGACAGCGTACCCAATCGTTCTGTTTCCCTAAAGCGATACATCAATCTCCTGGTTGGGTTACCTGGTCTGCGGCTAGCCGGATATAAAGACAGATATGATGGTCGATTTTTAGGAGGAACCGATGTGCGCTAAAATTTCGGTACTGTTTGAAGGATTCACATTCCATATCATCCGCGAATCACATAGTAATATAACAGAGTGATATAAGTACAATTCAATAAATATTCGTTTGAGTCATTTTATAGTAAACGTACATCATAAAAGTCCATTTTCTTGAGTGAAGTCGAACATTGGGACTGCAAGGATAGCGTTAGCTCATGTTCGCAAGTACAAAACAGAATTACATATAGATGGAAACTGACCATTCATTATTGAATCCAGATAAGAGATAGGTGAGTTACTCATCGGATGTGCAACATTGAAAAAGGCATCAGGCATACTGGACATGTTAGTGAGAGCCAAATCACAGGATGTCGATACACACCCTGAACCAAAGATGCCTGGATTGAAGCCAGGGCCAGCCCAAGACTCATTCTCAGATACCTCATTCTCCTGCGGCCGATCTAAAGCACTACGCAAGGTGACCAGAGCACGGATATGTCTCGTAGAGAGCCACTGGCTGTCATTCTCCGTACCACTCTCATCTACCGTTCGAGAGTCTGATGAGGTGAACACATCGATGACACGCTGTTGCAGGTCCCGACACTCGGGGTCATTCCTGGTTTCTTCCCAGATGCAGAGAAGCAGTGTTGAGCTCAAGACGGTATGCACCATTGACCAGCTGCGCAGTGGAACCACACTCAGAGCCTGGAAATCAAGAAATGCCCGAGACGCGTCAAGCAAGCTTCCCTTCGCCCGGGTCCGCAAAACATCAGTCTCAAGGGGCTGTGATTGGGGTTGAGACTGCTTCATTGCCGGGCGGCACACCACAGACACACAAAAAGATGAATGCATCTTGAGAGCTAGGTGCTCAAGGTGCTGTTGTAGAGTTGTGCATTTGGTTCGGAGTTGTAGGTGAGGGCTTCCTCGTTTATATAGCGTATCCATATGCTGTAGGGCTTCAACAGCTCGACCGAACTCATTATTACCGAAAGAGTCGGGTCGCATGGTATCCAGACCGAGCCGGCAAAGAGAATGCATAATGTCTACGTACGATAGATCGTTTCGATGTAGAAAGGTCTCATCAGTAGTCCATCCAGTGACCATGACGATTGGCGGACGATCGTAGCACATCGATAATAAACTATCCTGCCACACGATAGTTGACCTGCTTTACATTAACATTGTAACATTCCGCCGGGATCACCAAGGGACGACGGCTTACCATAATTTCTTTGCTTTCACTCGAACGTACTCTGGCCAGTGAGCGGTGCTTCGCTCTGTGTGCAAGCCCATCGTCTGAGCAAGACGAACGGTTGTGCCTAATAACGCCCAAGCCGCGTCGGACTGTCCCATATTCTGCAGCGTATTGCCGATAATTAAAAGGGCCTGAATGGTATCGAGGGATGGTCGGAAAAGGAAGTTTGCCAGACGGAGGGCATGGAATGCTCGGCGTACTGCGAGTGTTAGCGAAGACGAGAAGTGAGAGATAAGCGAGGACAGACCAAAATCAGTCGCCAGTTCTAAACGCTGAGGATAGTCGATGTCAGAGTAATGGGCACCGGCAGCTAACACAGCCAACAGAAGACTTATGTGGCCAATCGACTTGTCAGTTGCCCAGCGTTCAGTGATTGTATGCTGGTCGCGCAACTCTCCAGCCACGAGCGCATTAAGATACGTGCAGAGATCGGACTCGAATCGATCCATATCAGCGAGGATCGGATTGAATGGATATGCTGTGACACTATAATAGTGGAAGAACCTAACAATCTCAGCATATATGTATCTTCTTACATGGCAGCAGGTACATACTTCAAGACTTCATTTCTATGCGGTAGAACGCTGAGCAATGAGCTCCACCTTTCCTGCGGAGTCTTCGAATCCATGAACGGGTAGCTAATAAAGGTATTTTGGAGACCTAGGACGGAGCCCAGATCCCGAGTCATGGATTCATTGCCATCCGATGCCCGAGAACGTAGTATCGAAACAACCGAGTTATCTCCGGAGTAGACATAATTCTTCGCAGCCTCATCTGGTCGGAGTGATGTCGACGTCGAGGCAGCCGTTGGAACCTTTTGATTAGCTTGTCTTCGAAGTGGCGTTAGGCGTGCTGGACTTTGCGATGCAGACCGGGCATTGCCTGCGTGAGAACTCTCTCTTCGGGGGTCTCGGGGCGAATCATAAGTGCAAATTTGGGGGTGATTTCTTTTTTGGCATGTATGGCAAGGCTGAGTGCCATCACATTTGACTTTTCTTTTTCGACAGGGGTAGCACGCTCTCACTTCCCGGTCTTTGCGCTTCAGATTGAGTACTCGGTCGACTTCATCATGGCTTGGAGTGTCGTTCATGTTGCCGAGGGACCGAGGGACCGGGTTCCGAGATCAGGATTTGGATTTTCCAGAAATACGCTTGTAACACAATCGTTCAATCTAGTATTTCAAATAGCATGTTCGAATCGATCATGGCGTACTGGAAAAGTGCATTGAGAAATACGCCGGATGGCCGGTATCATGTGACCCACAAGTGCACGGGCCAAAACGGTCATCGTGCATATTCACACAATCTAATAATCAAATAACATATAGTCATAGTTATATAAGTGTTGATGAGGAAGGATTCTGACATATATCACAATATATTGTATAAGGGGTCCATTTGAACATAAGAGCAAATATCAAGTGTGGCGATAGCGCACAGGGCTGCCGTCGGCCTGCTTGGCAGCTGGGCTTCACCCAACGACCCACCTAATAGTTATCTTTCACCTAACTAAGTTATGGATGAAATCCTTGACTGGAGGTAAATGGCGGAATCGTTCTCATGAGAATGTTACAAATGGTACTTTCTTCCCAATTAGGAAGTCTAGCTGCATCACGTGATTCTTCCTAAATCAATCCTAAAGGTTTAGTCTGTTCGTCTGTGTTCATCTATACAGAGCGTCTCAATGCCATACATATCGACTCTTTGATGGGTGGATAGCTACCTTATGCCTCAGGTCGGGTGACTGGTGACTGAGAACCACCTACATCTTATCACGTTGGTACACCAATATATATTGTGAGCCATGATCTGACCATTGTCTGTACTCTCTCGTTGGACCATAAACTCATCCGCAGCATTTCCAGAAACGATTTCTGTACTCATCCGTGGATGCAGAAGACATATAAAATATCGAAGGTTAGGACCAACACATTAAAAAGCTTTGGGCGTCTCAGGCTCTGTTGTCATCAACGATTAGTTGAGTGACGTGCGTATCCAAAACTACACACTGCCAGAAAAAGTGAAATTGTTTAAGCAAACAAAATGAAACTTTCATATCTGTACAACTAATCTAATCTCTATAAACAAAATGAAACATTCACTTAATCCTTCCGAAATCCCATCTTAGTCCAGTTATTCAAAACCTTGCTCTTCAATTCCTCGGAATACGAAGACTCAAAGTCCGCAGCCACCCAATCCCGACCGGTGGTATACTCAGCAGGCATCAGGGCATCAGAAACAACCTTTCCGCCATGAGTCTTTGAATGAGCGCCATGGCCCATATACGGAATGAGTGGGAAGCCCCGAACATCGTCAAAGAACGTCTCATCAGAACCGGGCCGACATCTCGTCGAGAAAGCCCACATGACATCCTTCCCATTGTACACATCGATGTCGTCACCGCAAAGCACGAGTCGGTGGATGGTATAGCCGGCTTTGGCATTGAAGATCAAATCACCGATTTGTCTTCTTAGCTCAACAGAAGTGGTTTTCATTTCGCGGAGGCGCCCTGTGTCGATGCGGAGGGCTACCCAGGTGACTTGGGACTCGAAGGGAGCAAAGGCATCCGTTACGGGGAGGTTATTTTGCTGGCAGATTTTGCGGATCTCAGCGGCAGCAAGAGAACCGATCATAGTGTGCTAAAATCAAAAGTCAGTTTGTTCAGACGACGAAGGAAAAGTTCAACTTACAGTCTCATCTGTCAGACGACCACAGGCCGACATGGGCATGATAGGATCATTGCGGTAGGTGATTCTGTTGACGGTGTACTTCGGCCAGAGATGGGTATCACCGGGGAAGACGTAGCCATGCATTTCACCGAAAGGACCTTCAGGAGCCTGATCGGTGATCGAGAGGGTACCCTCGAAGACGATCTCGGAAGTCGCAGGGACAAGAAGATCATTCGTGTCGCACTTGACGAGCTCGAGGGCAGACCCAGTCATAGCACCGACGTATTCAGCCTCGCTGACACCGTCGGGAATGGGCATACTCGATGCCATTATGGCAGCAGGAGGGACACCAAAGGCCAAAGCCCAAGGGACATCACGGCCTTCCTTCTTCCACATCTGGTGGATTTGCCAAATGTGTTGGGGCTCGATGACAAGACCAGCAAGATGGCGTTCATCGGAGACCATCGCACGAGCAATGGACCAGTTCGTCCATGATCCATCGGGTGATTGAACGACGTGCATACCGTACGTCTGGATGTACTTTCCACCATCATGCTGGTGAATCATCGGAGCAGGGATCTTGGTAAGATCGATTTGGTCTTCTTCAAGGAAGTTCTCCTTGCAAGGACCCGTTTCCAAGACCGTCGGAGGGATGGGGGTCATCGTGCTGGCCGACAGCATCTTATCCAGAATATCACGCATCGATGCAGTGGGCGGGAGAGCCAGATGACGGGCTAGTCTGCCATAGCGGTCTTTAGAAGATTTTCGCAGGGAAGCCGGGGCACCGAGGATGCGGAACAGACCATGCTGCGAGCCGATGATGTTGTTGAAGAGGGGGGCTTTGTCGTCCGTTTCACAGACACGGCGGGTGATGGCTGCAGCTTCGAGATTGGCGTTGATGGGAGTGTTGATTTCCACTAAGTCGTTGTCGGCCTTGAGGGCTTCGACGAAGGAGCGGAAGTTGAGATGGGGTTCAGTGGAGACCATGATCGAATCAATGTATTTGTAGATATTTTGTATAGACAAGTGTATCGGAACAATGCAGGGCAATCTACTCCTTCAGACCAGACGTTATATAGGATCGACCGGTTAGCTCGGCTTAACCATTTGCAAAGTTAGACCGATTTATCCACCTCCATCTCGGTATACCATAGGTTCTCGTTCCATGACCCCTAGTATGCGAGACTGCGAGACTGCGAGACTCCGAACTTCTAAGCCTCCAAGGTCCCCGAGGCCCCGAGGTTCCGAGTTGTGGAGTAGTTCCGCCTACCGCACGGTCGCATCTCAATTGGACAACTCTCTTCGGAGCTCGGCACACCAAGTGTCAATGCCGATGGAATGTGAATAGATGAGACTGATCGCTGATTACATTATACAGAAGTGGGTGTGAAATCCAGTCTAGTGACATGTCGGCAGACTCGATCGGCTAAGAAAAACACACTATAAGAGAGGGGTCAGCGACACAAAGAAAAAAAAAACCGACCGAATAAAGATCAAAACACGCCATGTTTTACCAACCTGGAATCACAGAACATAATCTTCCCCACGACCCTTTCAAGGTGAGCCAGTTGCAACAAATACACGCAAAATTAAGTCTTACCAGCACATGCAGGCGTGCGTGGTCCCCCGCCCGATCGGATGGATATCCACCCAGAACAATGCCGGCCAAGCCAACCTAGCCCCTTACTCGCAATTCAATAACTTGACTTTCGACCCACCGTACGTGATGTTTTCATCCAACCAAACGGTGACGGGTGAACGTAAGGACACGGTTGTCAACGCCGAAGCAACGGGCAAGTTCGTGTGGAACCTGGCAACATGGGAGCTACGCGAAGCAGTGAACATTTCCGCCGAACAAGTTCCGTACGGCGTAGACGAGTTTACCCGCGCCAAGGTCACCAAAGAACCAGCGACATTGATGAACGTTCCAATGGTCGCGGAATCACCTGTGAAATTTGAGTGCGAGTATTTCACCACGCTGCGACTACCCGGTAATCCACCAATGGGAACAGTGGATGTAGTGATCGGGCGAGTGATCGCCGTTCATATCAAAGATGAGGTGTTGACAGATGGGAAACTGGATATCCGCAAGACACAGCCGATTGCGCGGTGTGGATATTATGAGTACACTGTTGTGAAGGAGACATTCGATATGGTTATCCCAGGGATGTCGGAGGACGTCCTGTATGGATTGGAGGGAAGTGCGAAACGCAATCGGGAAGTGCAATCACGGGACGACAACAAAGGTGGCCAATAAGTGGCGTGGTGATTGCAATAGCAGTAGTCTATTTGATTATCCTTGGACAATATGAAAAGTACATAAGAGTATACGAGTCGTGGGTCGGACACCGACGGTCCAAGAAAGATGGGCTAGAACGAGAGTCGGGTTGTAGAAAGATCACATGGTACTTAGCCGTACTTGTGAAAGTAAGTTAGGAATGTACCTTTTGTGGGAGTTTATATGCGAGCCATGGTTAAAACGGTACAATCTCATGGAAATGTTTCAGTTCCCCGGAATTGGTGGCGAAAAATTGGTGTTTTTATTTCTTTTAGCGTGAGCCTAATCATATCGCCCCACTCGTACATAGTATTCTATTGGTTATGCACCATGTGCCAGATATCACTTATCTTTCCTCGGTTATCACCACATTCTGGATTTTATTGGCTGTTTTAGGCCAAGACTCTACAAGGTTACAATGGAACTGACCAGCCAAGCTGCATGGCGCGGGGAGATACACTTGCCAAGAAGACACTAACTTCCACCGAGGGGAAACTAAATGAAGGCCTAAGCCCACCGTAGCTAAGTGATTGGATAACGCAAGGCTTGGCAAATATTAGCCTTCAAGGAGACTCACCTGAACCCCAAAAAATTACCGCTTATCAAGGCGTTCATTGTTCCAAGGTTGTCGGATGAAGCCGAAGATAAACATATTTGTACTGTCAAAGTAGGTGGTCAGATCTCGTGGCGCTTGAAAATGCAGGGTCTTCCGGCTATCGACGGTTTTTTAATAGCAAAATGACAAGGACACTCCTAAGCAATGTCCCAAAGCAGACAAAACTCCGGGTTCTAGAAGGGAGTCCGGATTGAAATGAAACAAAGTTGAAAGTGGGAAAGTGGCTGCGGTGGCGGGAAATGTTAGTGAGCTTCGCACCTGCCGACTGACTTTACCTTGTCACGCTTATTATAAGTGTCGCATCGTTTGCTCTTTATCTTTTTTTTTTCTTCTCCTTCCACGACTCACGACTTCACGATGAATGCTTCCGATCCCGCCGATCTGGCCGAGATTGCCAAGTCCAAGGCCGCTTCCCACGATATTGCCATCAGCGAGAAGAACCCTAATGTCGATGAATTGACCATCGACAGTGCCCCTCAACAGGGCACATACATTGACGATGGCATTGACAAGGCCTCACCTACCGCGGATGAGCTTGCTAACCTGCGTCGTATTGCGGGCAAGATCCCCTGGGCTGCGTACACCATTGCCTTTGTGGAACTCTGCGAGCGGTTCTCGTACTACGGTACCACCGCAGTTTGTAAGATTGCCCTCTTTTGAAGATTGCACTGCGATCCAGCTAACAGTACCAGTCGTCAACTTCATTCAGCGTCCTCTTCCGGAAGGATCTGTCTCGGGCGCGCTCGTTGCCGGTACCTCAGACTGGAGCAATGGTTCACCTGGTGCTCTCGGTATGGGCCAGCAGGCCTCAACCGGTTTGACTTTGTGTAAGTGTGCACGTGAACTATTTCCAGAAGCAATTGCTAACATGCCCAAGTCAACTCCTTCTGGTCCTACATCATGCCCCTGGCCGGTGCCTGGGTTGCCGATCAATACTGGGGTCGATTCCGTACTATTTTCTCCTCGATTGCTTGCGCACTCGTTGGTCACACTATTCTTGTCGTTTCTGCCATTCCCAAGGTTATTGCCAGCCCTAATGGTTCTATCGCGGCTTTCACCATCGGTTTGGTCATTATGGGTGTTGGAACTGGTGGTTTCAAGTCGAATATCTCTCCCTTGATTGCCGAGCAATATCGCGAGACCAAGCCTTATGTTACCACACTGCCCAGCGGCGAGCGTGTCATTGTTGATCCGGCTGCTACGGTCGCCCGTATCTACCTCTACTTCTACATGATGATCAACATCGGTTCGCTTGTTGGCCAGATTTCCATGGTCTACGCTGAGCGATACGTTGGCTTCTGGCTGTCGTACCTGTTGCCTACTGCCATGTTCTGCCTTTGCCCCACCGTTCTGTTCCTCTGCCGCAACAAGTACTACCTCACTCCTCCCAGTGGATCCATTTACCCCAAGGCATTCAAGCTGTGGAGCTTGGCCATGAAGGGTCACTGGACTCTCAACCCCGTTAGATGGTAAGCTGACTCTTGTCATTGTTTCAATCATTTTACTAACCAAGACCTCACAGGTTCCGCAAGTCTGAGACCAACATTTGGGATGCCGTTAAGCCCAGCGTGCTCGGTGCCAGCAAGCCTGCCTGGATGGACTTTGATGATGCTTGGGTTGATGAAGTCCGCCGTGGACTCATGGCCTGCCGAGTGTTCCTGTGGTACCCTCTGTACTGGCTCGCCTACAATCAGATGTTGAACAACTTGACCTCGCAGGCCGCCACCATGCGTCTTGGCGGAGTCCCCAATGATATCATCAACAATCTAAACCCCTTCGCACTGATCATTTTCATCCCGATCTTCGATCAAATCGTCTACCCCGGTCTCCGCAAGATTGGCTTCAACTTCACCCCCCTGAAGCGTATCACGGCCGGTTTCTGCATGGCCGGTGCTGGCATGATCGTCGCCGCTGTTACCCAGGCCTACATTTACAAGCTTGGACCTTGTGGTAATCAGGCCAACTACTGTCTCGAGGTGAAGGGCGAGTACACCAACATCTCCGTATGGATCCAAGCTTTGACTTATATCCTCGGTGGTATTTCCGAGATTCTGGCTTCCGTCACATCTCTCGAGTACGCCTATACCAAGGCGCCCAAGAACATGCGATCTCTCGTCCAGGCCGTGGCGCTCTTCATGAACGCCATTTCTTCTGCCATTGGTCAAGCCTTTGTTGGGTTGTCCGTGGATCCCCTCCTGACCTGGAACTACACCCTCGTCGCAATTCTGGCCTTCATTGGCGGAGCAGGATTCTGGGCAACCAACTACAAATTAGATCGTGAGGAAGATGCACTCAACATGCTACCAGATAGCCAGATGGGCAATCGGGAGGTTGTGGATGAAGAGCGGAAGTAATTGAAAAGCCAGAAAGTTGATATTGGTTGATATTGGTACTAATAAATGCCTTTTGACGATCTTGCAGTCGGTCCCTTGAATAGGGCTCCTTGAACAGAACGTTGATAGAACAGCATGAATACCACACGTATTATTAATGCCTCAATTTCTTTTTCGTAGACTCTGCATCCTAACATTGTCTCTTTGTTTCTTGCTCGGGCTGGTCCCCTGCTTCGCTTTGCGCTTGGCACCTGCTTTAGCACCAGCTTTATTTGAGTTGTCGTTTTCGCTGTCATCTACCTCAGTGCCCGTTGGCTTCTCCTTCACAGTATCGTCATCGTCGTCGTCGTTGGCATCTGCCGCTTTCTTTTCATCGCCATCTCCAGAACCAACACTTGCCCTCCTCCTAGCGTCCTTGGCGTTGTCGGTATTCCCAACGAACTGGCGTCCCTTTTTCGACTCTTTGACCTTCTTTTCATCCGTCTCCGCTTTTTGACTTTCGCTCAACTCTTCCCAGGCTTTCTTGGGAAGATACCTCTTTCTCGAGCCATCATTCTGCTTCGCAGTCCCCTTCCCTTCCTTTGTCTGCCACTCCTCCTTGGTCCAATCATCAAGGTGTTTCTGAGACTCGGTTTGTCCTTCTTCCTTGGTGGTGTTGTAACCACCGCCGCGCTTTTTGTATTCTGCTGCCATCATCTGGGCCTACACAGAACATTAAATTGTTTGAAATTTGTGAATTGGAGTTCAGAGAGCTTACCTTTCGAGCGGACCATTGGCCCGGTTTTCCACCTTTGTCACCGCTGTGGACTTCTTCTTTGATTTCATCCCGGAGTTTGGGGTCGCTGTACTTGTCTTTGGGAGGCATATTCTAGATGCAGCGGATATCGATGAATATGAATATGATGCAGAAATATTTTATGCCAGGAAAGCCAGTACTTTTAAGTGAGATTCAATAACAAGATATGAATCGATGACATGTTAATTGTGCTACTAGTGACATCATTCCGAGGGTCTATGAACTACATATGCAGGATAAATCCGGTTTGGCCGGATATCAAGACTAAAATTTAACCTTAATTTGGTTGCGAGATCGCCGAGATCGGTGAAACTTAATTTCCCATACCTACTAACACAAGGAGATATTTTGTTTTTGCTTATGTTAAGAAATGCGTATTCATCCCGAATACCGTAACCTTATATACAGAAACCCATACAAATACCACATGAATAGATAATTATCAAGAGAGTTTCGCACGCAGGTGCACACTTGGCCCCTGTACAAACTCCAGCCCAGTATTGATATCACCTCCCTGTGCGAACTTGATGTCCTTGAGATAGTGATCACGAGGCTGCCATGGACCGCGATCGGCAGCCTTGGGCAGCACGCGCTGCGCAATAGAAACATATGTGGAGTTCAGATTGAGGAGCGGGCGATCCTGCAGGGTAGCGGCATCTTTTTCCTTTAGTTTAGGCGTCGCAGCGATCAACTTCTCCGACTCGAGCTTCTTCAGCAAACGACACACGAACTGCGCGGTGGCATCCGCACCGAGAGTCCACGAAGCATTGGTATACCCAATGACAAATGCAGCATTGGGCAAATCCTGCAACATGACTCCGTTCCACAGATACTTATCACCGATTTCAATCTTCTTTCCATCCACAGACAATTTGGCACCACCGGCAATCTGAAGTCGCAACCCAGTAGCAGTAATAATGATATCTGCATCAAGTTGCTCACCCGAGTTGAGCACAATCCCCTTTTTCACAACCTGCTTGATAGTATCGGTCTTGACATCTGCCTTGCCTTGTCTCAAAGAACGGAACAAATCCCCATCGGGACAAACACACAAACGTTGATCCCATGGATTATACCTGGGTTTGAAATGCGGGTCGTGAGAAATATGCTTGGGCAACTGCTTGTTGACATTCAATCTCAACAGCCAGCGCGAGAGACCTGGAAAACGTTGACAGAACAGGAAAAAGATGCGGGAGGTATAGATCCAAATAAAGCGCTGCAGCCGCGTATACCACGAATAGGGCAGGATATAGCTTAGCCAGCGACTGTTAGTCCGATTGGGCAACGAGAGGATATAGGTCGGACTCCGTTGGAGCATTGTCACACGCTGGGCTTTCTCCGCCAAATTGGGCAAGAGGGTAACAGCGGTAGCGCCAGAGCCAATAATCACGATCTTTTTATCCTTGTAGTCGAGATCTTTGGGCCAGAACTGGGGATGCACAATCTTTCCGGCGAAGGCATCCAGACCGGGAATTTCAGCCTTCAAGGGCTCGTGATAATTATAGTAGCCTGTGCCGAAGATGACGTAACGGGCGGTGAAGATCTGTTCTTGTTCCTGATCTCCAGCCTGCACAGCGAGCGACCACGAATTAGACTCTGACGACCAATCTGCGGATGCGAGACGATGCTTGAAGTGAATGTTTGGGAAAATATTGAATTTCTTCGCTGTGGACCTGACATAGTCTTTAATGGCGGAACCCTCAGCGATGGGGTTATCGGCGGGCCAGGGGTTGAATTGGAATCCAAAAGTGAAGAGATCGGAGTCGGAGCGGATACCGGGGTATTTGAAGAGATCCCATGTTCCACCTAGATCATCACGGGCTTCGAGGATGGCGTAGGAGTAACCGGGGAGTTGGGATTGGAGTCTGTAGGCGGCGTTGATACCTGAGATTCCGGCGCCGACGATGATTACGTCGTAAGTTTTGGACATGGTTGACGATAAATTATTAAAGTTGATTAGACTCGTGAAAATGAAGCGGAAGAGGTCATTTAAATGGTGGGGGAGTTCATAAGCCTCGGTTTCACGACTGGGAGGAAATTTGGGGTGATCGGCAGTGTGGATATGATTTTTACCTACGAGTACAGTATGCACGATGTTCTCAATTGTTAGAGCGGGGAGATCGGGGAGCTGGGAATATTCGGCGCATATGACATGGTTCTAATTTATTTTAATTATATTGTATATATTTTATAGTAATTGACTCATCAATTCACAGGTTAACAGGTTCATAAATTCACATGTACCAGTTTTCAGAGATGTTCGGGATATTCTGGTCACACAGATCTGGGATCTTGTTACGGAGTATACGGAGTATAGTCCATGCATGGATCGGATGCTATAATTACTTGACACTGCGAACAAAACACTGCTAACAAGCATTCACAACATAGATATAGAAAAGAATCGATTAAGATATATTTTATAAATTTACATATATATGTACGTACACAAATTACTAACTACAACTATTATAGTTATACAGCACGCTATATTATAGACAATCAAGTGCCTCGGCAACCACAGAGGATCATTACCCAAACAGGTCACCTTTGCGAACATCCGCTTCTCTTCTCTCTTTCACGACTGTTTCTCCTCGGTTCACATATCTACTTATGCCAATCATGTTAGCCATGTTCGCCATATCAACAATGAAATTGGCATTTATCAATTCTCCAAAATGTCTTTATCCAAAGTGACCCTCACTCTACGCGAGAAACTCGACTTTCTCCCCGCAGTAGCTTCCATCCTGCTGGCCGCCTTCTATGCCCTGCTTACAGGTCTATGGCGTACTGAGCGCCAAGCGAAGACCCTGTTCCTGCATCTAGGCTATGCACTGTTTCGAAAGGCGACCACGCGGCTGAACACGTCCCAGCTACAATACATCCTTCCACCCTCGCATAAAGTCTATGAAATCCATTCCAAGAAAACAGGCGGATTACTCGACTCGGTAGATCTAGGCAACGGAGCCTTGGGACACTGGATCGGTGATCCCAATGCAGACCATGTAATCGTCTGGTTTCACGGTTTGTTTATCAATAATATACGCCCTCAAACAAAACAAAACTGACGAAGGAAAACAAAAAAAAATAGGCGGCGGCTTCAGCCTCCCAGCAAACATGGGCTACTTCAAGTTCTACACCCAACTGATCCGCGACCTGCGAGCCTCTGGTAAATCAGTGGCCATCTTCAGCCTAACCTATACCCTGGCCCCGATCGCAACCTACCCCACCCAACTCCGCCAAGCTGTAAGCTGCCTGGCGCACATCCTCGCAACACCCCGATCCCCCTCCACCGTCTTCCTGGGCGGCGACAGCGCAGGCGGAAACCTCGTCTGCGGCGTGCTCTCGCACTTGGCCCACCCCCACCCGGAAATCGACCCCCTGGCAGTGAAAGGCAATCTCGGCGGCGCAGTCCTCATCGCCCCCTGGACTCTCCTCGACACCGAGTTCCCCGGGGTACACTACCATGGCGGCGACATTATCACCACGGCCGTGGCGGCACCGTGGGCGAGCGCGTACGTTGGCTCGAGGAAACGGGACTACTACACCGATTTGTCGCATGCACCGGCGGAATGGTTTAGTTCGTTCCCTGTTGATTCGGTTTTGATCACGGCGGGCGGGAATGAGATCATGTTGCCTATCATTGAGGATTTTGCCGGGCGGTTCAAGCAAGGGTTCGAGAGGGTGGAGCTGGTAATTGGGTTTAGGGAGTGTCATGTTGCGCCGGTTTACAATTTGGAGCTGGGGGATTCGGTGAAAACTGAGCAGGGGATGGCTATTGAGAAATTCTTTGCCGGGTTGATGAATTGATGAGTTGATTTAATGTGGTGTTCATAGTACATAGGGCAGTCGGTCGTAGGATAATCAGTGTCCCTCGGTCTTCTCAAATGCATTGAGGAATTTTCACTTGACCTATTGACTTACTCGTGCCAACTAGGAAGGAAAGTGCAGCATCATGGAAAACTAGGTCGGTGGTGGAAACCAAAATACCAAGGACCCATTGAGTTTTGGACGGGAGATCTGACCAAATCTTGGCTTGGAAGAGTCCAAATGGGAGCAATGGGTTTCGAGAGACACAGCAAAGAGTATTGACCGAATTATTCACAACGCAGCCGTAGTGAATTGGATAGAGACGTACATATGTACATATGAACGAAGACCTGAAGCTGGTCAATGTCCACAGCACTGTTGACATTCTCCCTGGATTCTCAAGGAATCAGTCTCCCATGCGCTTTGGTATATGTTTCATATTGGATTGGATACCTGTAAAATGAATTCGGCCAGTAAAAACTGGACAAGTCTGCTGTATTTAGCCTATCCAGCATTCAAAGGATATTCAAGAGCGTTGATAGAAATATCCACCCTTTTCGAATAGCATATGCATGCGTAAAGGAGAGAGGCAGACCTCATCATTAGCAAATATTCAAGGGAAGTAGCTCGAATATTGGAGGAATGCCTCGTCAATTTCCGGTGTCTTATTGCCAATGCGGCTCATCTCTGCGTAGTTGAAGTTGCCATTCATCCAATCATCGGAGACCGATTTAGAAGCTACGTCACCCGAGACAGGATCCATGGTGTTTTGCTCCGCTAAAACTTCATTCGAGGCAACAGCCAGTGTAGACGTGTCTTTCGTAGAGCTCGCAACCAGCGGGTTAGGTTGAAGATTGAGATGTACAGTGATAGGCTCTACCATTGAAGGTAGGGTTTGTCTTATCTTGGTGAGTAGAAGGGGAAGAAACCTTCGTCGGCCACCTGGAAGATCATGAATGAGGGTAAAGAAATGCTTCAGATAGTCCTGCGGACCAAGCTTGAAGCCCGAAGAGCGGAGCCCAGCAGCCGAGAGGCACGCCATGACATCGATCAGGGTACATGCCACTTCGAAAATTTTTTCAATCTTGTTTTTGTTTAGAAAAGCTGATAAATCGATGGACATTTAATCACATACAAGGCCAATTCCATGGGTCTCCATACTCTGCCTTGAGATTTTCCACGTTGCGAGGCAGAGGTCTTGAGCAATGAGCAGAGGGTAGCGGAAATCCATGCATTCATGGGTCGCTGTTGTTGACAAGAACCCGGCAGTCATCGAGAGTTGCCATATCATAATGCGCAGCCATTGCTGTGATACGCGCAGATCGGCCATGAGTATATCGGGTAGATCAAGATCCGCGGGGACTGCGTTTTGGATGCGCTCTTCAAGCCGAACCAGCGACTCAACCGAGCATGATACATGTGTTCCATTCCACTGACCAAGAAATTCTTCGTCAAATGGACGGTAGAGATCTACCAGACAGCCAAAACCAACAACCGATGTATCTGAATTGGGATCCACTTCTAATTGAGGGCTGTCGGGAGTGACGTGGAGAGTGATCGGTCGGTGTCGTCGGATGGCATGAGCCCTGTCTTCCTGTTAGTGTAATGACCATTTTACATCTAGAATCACGCAAATCACCTTTCCGAAACTACCAGCAACCAAAACAGTTTTCCTTCTAAGCAAGCGTCATCATCCACCTGGCCCGATGAGGATTGGCTTTCGAGTGCACTGGCTGTATAAAGTGTTGTAGATTCGCGAAGAAAGTAATAAGCATGCCTTTGATTTCCTAGTCCAATGTGACATCCATAGAGAAGAAAAGCAGTGATAATGTTTTGGCGTACAGGATCTGTAAACGGATCGATACATTTTCGAGCCTCGGTAGCTTCCTCGATCAAAGAATTTCGGTATTCTTCAGCACAAAATGTTTGAAAGCGCTCAGAAGATGCATGGTCAACGGAAAATGAGGTTTGGGTAACTACAAAAGCACAAAAGGCCGTGACCAAACAATATGCGTGGAGAGAGGTATCCGACAGGTCCACTTGTGTCTGAAACCGATCAGGTTGCAGAATGGGCACTGTTCCTTGCATGCGCGAAAAGAAGTACTCCGAACAGGAATTAACAAGGTCATAGTTGACAAGCCCTGGAGTCTTTGAGAACTGGCATCTTCCCGAGAGTTGCAGTGACTGGGGCGTCGTTACAACTTCCCCTGGCCTGAGAGCCATGTCCGGTGGGGGGACATTGGTATCCCGAGCGAGAGCCTGTTGCGTCTCCTTTTCTCGGAGCTCATTGAGAATGTTCGCAGTCTGGCCCTGTCGGCCTTTCCTCTGTCGCGGGATAGATGTTCGGCAGACCAGGCCGGCAGACCGACACTGGTCACAAGGTCGTGAGGAAATGCATTTGACCTTACGTCGGCGACATGCATCACATGCCTGCTTAGCCGGTGATCCTGGCATGAATTTTAGTTAGCTAGATAGAAATCGGTAACAAATGACGAGCGCACCACAAAAATCCGGGGATGCGGAGGGAAGTCGGAGAGAACCCGGGGCGAAGGGGTCCGTGGATTGTGGCCTGTTTTCTTAGGCGTCAAGGCCGCAACGACCTCTAACTGATCATTCCGAATATCACACTAGGTTTGTTGAATAGAATAGTTTAGATACTTAAGATATGTAATCAGAAACAATCTGAGTAGGTAATTTTAAGCGAGCATATTTCATGGTTGCGTAGCAAGGAAGGTCCAAATTTATACATAATTCTTTCATTGTCCAACCCGGTAAGAAGAGAACTCCTCAGATGTAAATTCTCCCTTCGAAAGGCTGAAGAGTTTCCCTTGATTCAACAAAATAGTTGCCTATCAGCAACTTCATAGCCGCAGTCTTGCCCACTTGTGTGAATGGTTGAGACTTATTAGTGAAGTTCAAGACAACTAATGCCTGTGCATGATCTCTTCTCTTTACAAAGCAGAATGTCTCCTCATTCTTGTAATCAAGGACTTCAAATGAGCCGTGAATGAACAAATCCCTGTACTCTTTTCTCAGGAGCAAGACCTTTTTCCAGAAAGACAAAACACTTGACGAGTCGCACTCCTGGCTCTTCACATTGATTTCGTTGTAGAGATCATGAGCTCGCATCCATGGCTTTCCGGTAGTGAATCCACCGTGGACTGATCCGTCCCATTGCATCGGCAGTCTAGAATGATCGCGAGCCAAAGTCCGAAGACCATCCATGATACGATCTTTGCGCGTAGGGTCAACGCCACTGGCACTTCGTCGCTCAGCTTCTCGGTAATAACCTAGTCCTTCGATGTCTTTATATTCTTCGATTGGCCATTCGCGAGGGGCATTGATCATACCAATCTCCTGTCCTTGGTAGATAAAAAGAGTCCCGGTCATGGTAATCATCATCAGAGCTAGCATTTTGGCTGAGTGCTCTCGGAACTCAGGCGCATCGGATCCAAAGCGGGAAACGGATCGGCCATTATCATGATTCTCACAGAAAGCCGTAGTCCATCCATCGGTTCCCTCAATGAAAGATTGCCATTTTTCCACAATGGATTTCATTCTGGTCAACTTCCACGGGGTAAATATGTATTTCTCCTCCAGACTGGGTCCCATGCCAATATGTCCGATGTCCAAGTGGAACACCATACTCAGCTCTTTGGCGGATGCGCCCACATACTCAAGGACATTCTTCGGGTCAGGAGTATTGGCCAGTTCGCCAACGGTCACGACATCTCCATAGGGAGCAAGTGATTCGTCGTACATCTCACGCAGGAATTCATGAATCCGGGGTCCGTTGCACCACATTCCAATGGCAGGCTGGATGTAGCTTTTTGAGTCCGTGATAGGAGCATCGGGGAAGTTGGTGTGTTTGCTGTACTTGTTCACTGTGTCAACTCGGAAACCATCGACGCCTTTGTCCAGCCAGAACCGCACTGCACTGTTGTAGATAGCCTCTCGCGTGGCTTTGTTGTCCCAATTGAGATCCGGTTGTTCTTTGGCGTAGAGGTGCAGATAGTATTCTTCTGTTGTCTCATCCCAAGTCCCTTTAAAAAAGTCCAGTTAGATTAAATATAACATGGTAAACACAGGGAGATTATCAACCCACACGTGCTTCCGGCGAAATAACCCCGATAGTTACTGGGAGGCATTCGATTTCCGGATTCATCATATCGTGGCGGACGCCAGAAATACCAATCTCGTTTGGGATTGTCCTTGCTGCTCCGACTTTCCTGAAACCAAGCATGCTGATCGCTGGTGTGGTTGACGACAAGGTCGAGAATAAGTTTCATTCCTCGCGAATGACAAGCCTCCACGAGATTCTCCACGTCTTGCACAGTTCCATAAGCAGGGAGTACATTCTCATAGTCGGAAATATCATATCCCATGTCGTGCATGGGTGAGTCGTACATGGGGGAAAGCCACACAACATCGACACCTAACGACTGAAGGTATGGCACCTTCTCCACCACACCTGGGATGTCGCCCCAACCGTCGCCATTCGAGTCATAGAAGGAAGCTGGGTATACCTTTAAAACACATATTTCAGTTTAAATTTTGGACAATTTCGAGGCTTGCTAACGGACCTGATAGACTGTGGCTTCTTTCCACCAGTTGTTTGTCCCCGTTGGGATCGATTTGTCAATGACAGCGTGTGGTGACATGGTGGCTTGATGGTTTTTTTATTTCTCTTACTTGCTGCCAATCCCTCTCTTATATCCTTTCATCAAATCCGGAATCAACTCGGGCTAGTCAAACGTGGGGGATATTCTCGAGCATGCAAGATTACCGCCAAGCCTCCGACGAGTTACTGTATTGCCGGCTAACCACCGACTTGCCACCGAAGGGCTCGCTTCCGCTACGGTGATTCGCCACGGTTAGATCTCCACAATCTGATTTCCCCAGTTTTTCTCCAAATGTTCGGACGCGAGTGACAGACCATGTGCATTTTCCCCGGATCCGTGATGTGCGTAGACTGAACATGTCTTCTCTTCACTCCTAGTACTTTGTATAAATCACACAACTTCCCCTGGTCCTCTGGCTTCATAATGCTTGAACATCGACATATTGCAACCGGCCTTCAATTCTGATCTGGCTTTGGACATTGAAATCCATTGCCATTTCATTTCCCGAGAGCTCGTCCTCACCTGAACTTCCTCCCAAACAAAATTTGGTACCCGCTTGAGGTTCAAAACTCGGCCTACTCAATGGCGTCAATGGACGACATCACCAAAATGGACGGCAATCCCTCCCTGACCCTGGCCGAAGGCAAACAAGCTGCGAGGAAAGAGCAATCCATGACTCTCTGGCAGGCCCTGCGACTGTACCCCAAAGCTGTTTGTTGGTCAGTTCTGCTCTCGTCTACCCTGATCATGGAAGGGTACGACCTTGCTCTGCTGAGTTCAATGTATGCATCACCTGCCTTCAACCAAAGATTTGGAGAACAGTCGGCTTCGGGGAAATGGGCCGTTCCCGCTTCCTGGCAATCAGGTCTTTCCAACGGAGCACGTTGTGGTGAAGTCATTGGACTTCTGATCAACGGATTGGTCTCTGAACGCTTGGGATACCGACGAACTATGATCTGTGCCTTGGCCACGATAACAGCGGTTATTTTTCTATTTTTCTTCGCTGTCAATATACAAATGTTGTTGGCAGCCGAGATCCTCGCAGGTATTCCGTGGGGTATCTTTCAGACTTTACCAGCTGCCTATGCCTCGGAAGTTTGCCCCGTCGTCCTAAGACCATACCTGACAACATTCATCAACATGTGTTGGGTATTCGGGCAATTTGTGGCTATCGGTGTCAACCGCGGCTCAATCTCCCGCGATGACCAGTGGGCTTGGCGCATTCCATTCGGTGTTCAGTGGGTGTGGCCAATTCCCATTATGATCGGTTGTCTCTTTGCACCTGAGTCTCCTTGGTGGCATGTGCGTCAGGGCAATGTTCAGGGAGCTCGACGAGCACTTCAGCGCTTGACATCTCCCAATGATCCCAGCTTCGATCCCGAGGAGACTATTGCTATGATTCAACATACCAATGAGTTAGAAAAGTCTCTTTCAAGCGGAACCACGTATTGGGATTGCTTCAAGGGGACGAATCTTCGACGAACCGAGGTGGTATGTTTTGTCTGGTTGGTCCAAACTTTGTGCGGCCAAAATCTTATGGGATACTTCGCCTACTTCTGCGTCCAAGCCGGTTTACCTACTGTTCAGTCCTTCAATATGTCTCTGGGGCAGTATGGTCTTGGAGTCCTTGGGACAATCGGATCATGGTTTTTGATGAGCTATGCAGGTCGGCGAACTATCCATATCGCAGGTCTGGCCAGCCTTTTTATCCTCCTGATCATCACCGGCTCTTTATCGTTTGCCCCGAGCGACAACAGCCCAGCAAAGTGGGCAATCGGTGTGATGCTCATTATCTTCACATTTTGCTATGATATTAGCGTCGGTCCTGTCACTTACTCCCTTGTCTCTGAACTATCTTCGACCCGCCTCAAGGCAAAGACTATTGTACTTGCCCGGTGCTTGTACAATATCAGCAATATTGTTGTCAACGTGTTGACCAATTACCAGCTCAACTCCACCGCTTGGAACTGGGGTGCTCGGTGCGCATACTTTTGGGCAGGTACATGCTTAGCGTCTCTGATCTGGGCATTCTTTCGTCTTCCTGAGCCAAAGGGCCGCACATATGAGGAACTAGATCTGCTCTTTGAGCGTGGTGTTTCGGCTCGAAATTTTACGTCCACCTCCGTGGATCCTTATGAGGGAGAGGCGACAGAGGTGCATGAAGCCCACGTAGACAAACAGTGATATGATTATTGGTCCTTAAGGAATTTGAGCCATAATCTCTTGCAAAATTATATTTTACCCTTAACTTCAATGATTTTGGCGAAAATTCTACTGAAATCCAGAGGAATTTAAAAGGGAACGAACGGACTATGAGGAAAATAAGGACTTTTGTAGGAAGATCACTGTAGCGGAGTCCCAAGGGTGTGTTACGCCCCTAAGGCAAGACCTAACAAGAGCATGATGGTACTGCCGATGACAAAGAGACAGCCAGGATAATCGATTGCCTTTAAGCCACTCCAAATTGGAGCGTTGTGTGTGTTGAGCTTAAGGGTATACCGCAGCAACAGGAACACCATACCAGTGATTGGAAGATTGATCCAAAAGCGTCACCACCAACTAGAATAACTCAGCGATCTGTCATGTAAAGTGTAATATACAGTTAGACACAATCCAGATGCTTAATTTTCGTATTTGGACCAACTTTTCATCGGTACAGTTGTAAAGGAAAGTGATGAAGTGATGGGAGAAGGAATAAGAGGGAGATAAACCTACCAACCTTGCCTTTTTGTAAACACCCCACTGACGACGGGATCTATCCCATTGGCGAGAGCCCATACGACAGAGATGAGGCCAAAATCAAGTCCTCGATCTTTAATAGAAAACAAATCACTCATGCAGATGTTCACAAGGGTAATCTTCCCAGCTGCCCCAAGCCCCTGCACGGCGGGACCAAACAAGAATATTTCGATCTTATGCCCCACGGCGCAAACCAAACTTCCAGCAAAGGAAATAGCTGTCGCAAGTAAGAGCAAGGGCTTTCAACCCCAAATATCCGAAATATTGCCCTACTCAGGAACATTGGCGGTATTGGCGAGTATATAAGGACTACCGATCCATGTATACGTGGAGCTGGATTGGAAGTGTCTACCGGTCAACGGTAAGGCTGTTGTAATAATAGTGACATCGAGTACAACGACAAAGATTCCTGCACACAGAGCAGAGAGAACAGTGAATGTTTGTAGGAACGTTCGCGGGTTCAGGGCCAGTTACTAGGGTGAGGCAACAGGCTCGTCGTTGGGTGTGAAACAGTCGGGTCCATATTTATGGTAAAATGGTGAATACAAGTAGAACAGAAGAGCAACAGGCATCGTGTAAACATCTGGAGTGCTAAGTGGCAATAAGAAACAAAGCAAAGCCTTGGCTGTATGTGTACTCTCGCATATATTATGTTGCTCGTCGATTATTGTTTAATATTTGCACGACAGTCTAGTCTCCGGCGCCCTTTTTTCCTATCTCACACTTAAAATGGAGTGTCGAAGGCGATGAGATGTTTTCCTCCTCTTCGGGAAAAGGCAAGCAAGGAGTTGAAAATTTTGTCCCTGGGCGACACAGATTATCTAGATTTTTCCGTTGCTCACTTTTCAGAACCCAATGTTCTTCGCCATCTTTCATCTGTTTCTCATATGGCAGTGCGGCCATCCAATCCGACCACTTGCGGACAACTCCTATCGCAATATCCTTGGTGGTTTCAAACCATTCTACGTGCGATTTTAAACAACCGGGGCACTTCTTCTCCTTTCTTCTGTATTGCATCAATTCCAGATGCACCAGAGCTTCGACGCGCGATATATGTGGAATTTGCCGTAAATCAGGTATACTTGCGTCTCCTATTTTCTCCGGAAAGAAATGCTGCATGGACTTTTTGCACTGTTTGTTCCATTGTTCTAGACGGCGGGGCACATTTGCAGATCGTCCGATCTTCAGGTGGCCAAAGTTTGGAGGTTGCCAGAAAATGTAGATCATGCCCTGAAATTTGATGTCGCTTTTTTGAAGAGGCTTAGCAAGAAGTTTTGCAAGCTCTTCAGATGTTGTCCCCGAGAAGGCTTTGCCGACGTAAGGTTCGAACACTTGAATTGGATTTACCAGAGGCGGGTCTATTTGGACAAGTTTGTCCACTGTAGATTGCATAGAAGAGGACGGAGATGATTGAGACTGTGCTGCCCGGCCTAGCAGATATATCCAGTGAACAACAGCACATAAACGCTCATTATCCACTGGGAAAATAAATTCACGATCTTGGATCATTGAGAGCTGTTGAAACTCCTTTCTCCAGGTTTCAAGTTCTCGAGATGCGACCTTCTGATGTGATGCGCAGAATAGCGCTTCTATCAGCCGTTGAATAACTAGTAGAAGTACGCTAGGGTTAACAGTGACTAAGTTTTGGAGTTGCACTGAAATAAATCTGACAGCATGACGAACTTTGCATCTCTGGCCCTGTGTTGTCCAAGCCGGGCAAATTCTGCTATTTTCCCCTAAGTGCTGGAGAAATTCAAGCGGTATAATTTTGAGAAGCGATTTTGGAATCAGATCCACTTCTTTTAGGTTTCGATGCGAAAGTAAGGATTCAAGTAAACCTGACGTCAAAGTATTTTGACGCCCTTCTAGGTTCGTTCTTATGTGTAGCGGAAAATGTACTTGAGGCCCAAGGAGTATTGTTTCGGGGTCTGAAAACTCCGTGTTGATTTCACCAACAGTTGGCAATTTCCATAATGCAGAGCTTGTCGACCGAAGGTGCTTGGTCTTACTTGATCTGAAGAAAACAGAAAGCAAGCTAATATCCGCTGGCGAAGGAAGACTCTGAGCTATAATTTCGCTCGTTTCACCAGTAGTTTTGCTGAGATGGAATACTTCATCTTGTTTCCGCTTGACTTTCAATGTAGAGATTGTCACAGTTAAAGTCTTGGGGCGCGTTTTAATTTTGAGAGAATTGACGCCAGCTTTATTCCTGCATGTAGAAATCGAAGTGGGTGAGATCTTCGCGGATTCTGTGACAAGTATGCCAGCGTTTTTCATAATGGATTGATTTGCTGTCATCGTGTTCAGCCTGGAGAGGGAAGCTTCCTGTAACGTGGGCGATACCTGGGTTTCAGGCATTGTCTCGCAATCGTTGCGATGTTTGAAACCGCTTTCGCTCAACGGTAGAATGCCGACAATGTGGCTTGTTGAACCAGATGTAACGAGCATTTGTGGAACGCAACACCAATATACATGTAGGACTGCGCAAGTTCTCGACAGGACTTTGATCAGTGATATTTCGGATAGTATTTTGTATTCTTTCTTCAAAACTGATATAATGGAAAAGCGGGGTTATAAAATAATTATGGAAAGAACTTTGGAATGGGGCCATATTTCTATTTTTGGTTCGAAGGAGCGGCATGTTGCTTTCTAGTCCGCACTAGTCATTGGCGAAGGCAAAGACTAGAAGTCAGTAGGCAGGCGTCTTGCTTACAATCCCTTACATCCGAAGAATGTAGACGCGTGATCAAATGGAATCGAAGGACCAAAGCGGTAAATTAAGATCGAACGACCAAGGAAACAAACATGAAAGTGTTTCCAGAACGGAGAGACCCATGTTTTTGTCTTACCCTAAGCTGTGGCTTGTCGTAATATACTGTGGCTGTGTCGGAAACAGTACATATAAGTCAGTGAATTCATAACTTTATATAGCGTATAGTCCGATCTCCGTTGAAACAGAAACCCCACCATTCACCATTGCCCGTTGCAACTCACGTCTGAATGTATCAAGAGTTATGTCTATTATAGCAAAGAATCAATTCAGATAGCCTTTGACGCTGAGGGGAAAGTACAATACTACGCTTCGGCATACAAAATCGTTCTGTCCGGCAAAAACATCCTTGGGATAGGCTGTCAATACATTGAAAAAAGGACAAAAACATGCAGCACTGAATGATGGGATAATGCCTAGTTTCGATTCGTTAAGTACAAACAGGCCATCGAGTGTAGCGGCAAACATTCCTGTATATAGAGTAGAGAGATTGGTGCATGTTTGTAGAAACGTCCGCGAATTTAGGGCCGAGGACCAGGGGGAGGTAACGAGTTCGCCATGGAGTGTGAAACACTTGGGTCTATATATATGGTAAAATAGTGAAAATAAGTAGAGCAGAAGAGCAATAGATGTCGTGTAATTGTTATACGTAGTTTCTAGTCCCGCCAAATCTTTTCCAGACCCCTTCAGCTGGAACCCGCAAATTAGCTCCTCAACGCTCCACGTGAATCCGGATCAAAATAAGATTTCGTAGTAGTTGCGGTAATGAGGAATTCCAGGCAGTTTCGTGAAATTGCAGCTTGGTCGAAGTATTTAGTGCCTCCTAGCAAGCGATTTCCTATTAATGCCGCGGAGCTTGAGTCGATTCTGAGGTGTGGTTTCAAATTAGATCGCCATAATTACCCTGTGAAAAGGAATCCAGGTACAATGGTACACGAGTTGTACAGCATTATTGGTGGCTTGGATCGAGTTTCCAGACAGAGTCTGCTTAACATGAAAAGCGATAAGGTTGAATAGCTAATTAAGAAAGTCAAAGGAGATATTGGGTTTTACATGTAACATCAAAGCCACGGTAAGATGGTGTAGTGCTGGAGGCATGGCAATTCTTATTCAGAAAATCACTCAGCCGTTTTGAATGCCATAAACACCTTGGCCAAATCCTCTAAGCTCACTCGTGCGGCAAGACTATGCAAAACATCTCTGCGCATAGTTTCATCGCCATAAGGCTGGGTTACAACTCTTTTAGGCACTCTTTCATCGCCTGATCCATAAAACCGGGCTGAGAATCCTTTGTCAAAATCCCCCATAGTCACGGCTGGCCATGGTGAGACACCATGGCAGAACTTGAAGATATCCTCCGCAAACGCAATTCCCACTTCTTGTTGATCAGCGGTCAAGAATTCGCGAAAGTTCTGGAAGAGATACACGACATCAAGAATGTGGGATGCACTACCTTTCCGAGTACCTTCCCAAGGATTTCCTTCGTTAAGGTAGTACACATGGGCGTTACCATTCCAACCACGAGCAAAGGTAAAGACAGGTGCAAAGAACATGGTATCGTTGAGGCAATCAAGAATTATGTTGCCCAATCTGAACGCGACCACCTGTCAAAAGAAGAGGTGAGCTTTCCGATCCATCGAGCCACCTCTGGGGCCTGAACGGGGCTAATGATGGACACAAGATGCAACCGGCCCGGAGTGACGGGAAGAAAGCGGTTTATAAACTGCAAAATCCCGCGAATTGGAACGCGCTAACCGTGAAATAAGCGGTGATCTTAACCGCATCCGTATGTATCTAGAGGACTCCTTCAGCGAAAAGAACGAGATGTAGGCAGAAATCCTTCGTTTTCAAGACGAACTCGGCGGTATATCATCTCGAGCCAGTCATCTGGAAGACGAGTTGGTTTGTGTTGGGAGATACGGGAGGCAATGCAGGTGTTGCGGGTCCATCAGACGCAGTAGGGAAGCGCGTCAAAAGACGGGGATAGATAGGATGAGCCAATTTTTAAAGACTTCAGGGGTAGAGCCTCACTGTCATAATGAAACATCACTGGCAGGCTCGCTTGCATGCGCTACTCACTTACCGAATACTTTAGATATTGAAGACAAGAAACAATGATTTCCTGGAGCGAGCAGTTTGATTATACAACCCAGGCCAGCGATGGGGACGAATTCTTTAGAAATGCTACAGAGTCGACTTCTCCTGACTATCTTCGAGATCGGTCATAGCATATACCCCTCGGCATACATCTCCACTGCAGCCAATATACGCGCCGCAGTCTCCCTAGGGATTGGTGCTACCTGCAAGGACCTGCGCAAGGTCTTCCGGGACCCACAGAAAGTCGAGGAGGCACGACAGACTTGGCGCGGCATCGTCATAACGGACAGGTGATATCTATGCCCCGGGGATGCACAATAGATGTCATTCATACTGAATCAAGAACACGTGGTAGATATGTCTCGCTGAAAAATGGTCAAGCATCCAATACTCACAGTTGTCAATCCATAGCTGCGATAGAGGGCCAGAGGGTGAGTGACCATCTGACTGCTGCCAAGCCTTCGCCCAACTCCATCTGAAAATAACTTCGAAAATAGGGCTCTGAAGATTGGGCGAAGGTAGAAATGGATTCATTCACAAGGTTGGCCCACGCATCCCAGCTCTTGGACCAGGTGCTCGTTCACATCCATGCGACCAAATCGCATCCCCTTTTCAATGGCGCTGAGGCGGTCCAGATTCTCAAATCTGTAACCTCGTTTCTGGTGACCTTCCAAAGCGACAATTCGAACCCGCCCCATCCTCTATCGGATAGCGCATTAGCATTATGTAGAAGGTATCGCTGCCCAGCGCAAGTTCAAAACTAAGTGACTAATCCGAACGCTGTTAACTAGTGCCATGCTCGAAACTCTCGAAGTTGGATCTCACATGGCTGCCCCCGACAATGAGGATTGTATCCGCACATCACTCAATATTCTCAAGTCCCTCGTCCACGAGATTGCGCGCGAGGGGGGGAAATCTCTCCCCCGATTGAGATGATGGCTTTGTCCGTGTTTCTCCCTCATTGCCTATATAAGACCGCTATGGTGTGTCTTAGCGATGTTAGGGTACTTGGGGGTGTCGATCCGGAGCCGTCGATCCGACTTTTGAAAGACCTGCTAGGTTATCTGAGTATAAGATGGGTAGCCGCAAGTACGTGGCCCACTTTGCAAACTATGAACTAGTCTGACCTTGATAGAGCGTTACTTGGCAAAGGTTGAGATATCACAGGAGACATGTAGCTTATGAACTATAATTTAAAGCTCCTAAATTCAGAGATATCTCACTGGGGGATTTGGCAATTCTATAGAAATGAACACCGATCTCATTTCAAAACCTCGAGCTCCTTCCAACTTGAAATATAATTTTGAACCAGATGGGAGTCCACCGGCCTCTGATTTGCTAGAGTGGGGGAGTGCTCGGCGGCATGGGTCGTATCTAGAATCAGACCCCCACAGGACATGCGCACAAAATGCGTCTCCAAAAAGTCAATAATCAAAGCAGCCGGATTCTTAGCCCCCACAGAACTAGAGTGGTTCTTCACCAGTGCTATCCATTCTTTGTAAGGAACTCCATTTGAGCTCGGAATGTCCAGTGCCTCGCTCAGTATTGTTATCATTTCATCCCACGGCTGTCGCGGGGGATTTTTGACGTTGTAGATGGGATAGGGGGTGTAGTTTCCGAGGAGCAGCTCCGACAGTACGGATACTACGTCCGTAGAGGGGCACCAGGAGAGATCCTATGAATTGAGGAGGAACTTGTTAGCGGGTGGCTTTATATGTTATGAACGGATCAGAAGGTCGTCGTTAATGAACCAAGAGCCTTACAACCAAGCATCAGACTGCGGGTCAGTAAAGTTCTTACTCAACGGCGGGACAGACAGCTTCACAGAGAAATTCAGACATCCGCCCCCGTGATGACCGGACCCGGGGAATGGCATATCGTTACTAGACAGTTCTGCGTGATAAGGAGCTTCAGAGCATCCTCTAGCATGTTGGAAGCAACGTTCCGGACCATACCTTAATATGTATAGATTCTAGTGTTTCTGAACTACCCTAAGCTATATTTTTCGACTTATTGAATGACCATTTCGGCAGTGGATTTCCAGAAGATTTATACGATAGTGGAAATGTTGTTTACTCACATCTATCTAAGTAAAGCCCGATCTCTCTACACTTTAGGGAGATATAACTTTTAGACCTGAACCGCCATTCGTGATAGCCTTAATTAAACTTATCTCCTATCTTAGCATAAGGTTGGATTGTTTTAAAAGACGCTAAATCCTAGAAAGACCTCTCTACTAACCTTATATTTCTCCTGATAACAGTATGTATCCGGAAGTTTATCGCTCTATATTTCAAATACTAGCATCTAAGCCACCCGATAGTGCACGAGCCTACCTTTAAGCCTAAAAACAACATCTGTACCGTTATTAGCTTCTATAGTCTTTTTAGGGGCGATGTATACTATTGACCAAAAGGAATTCCATACTATAGAGAGGGTAATCGATTTCGTAGAGCTTTATATCTTTTCTGATAATATCTTCTTAATAGTAAGTGGGATTAAGACTATATTCTCCGGCAACAGGTACTATAAGTATAACGATTAGGACAAATTCCAAAATTTCTAGGCAGGACTATTAATTACTATAGTTCAATACTAGGCAGGGAGTTAGGTCTCTCGAGACCGTGCGATAGAGGCTTGATTTAGTGAGATCGCTAGGGAAATTATACATCTCTATTCCCTTATCGATATAGCGAAACTAACAGTATTAAAATAGGTTACTCGGAGGATCGCCCTAATTATATCTCGACACCAACCTCCAGACTATATCTTAAAGGATTTGTGGATTAAAAGATAGTGCCGAATCCGGTGCGTATTTAACAATTTTTAAGAGAGCTTAACTAACGTCTAGCAAAACCATTATGATTATATCTTTACTTAATTACGCATTTTCCTTCTACTAAAATTACCCCTGTCGTCTAACAGCTGCCGAGATAGAATTCGAACTTCCTGTAAGACCCCGTTACGAGGGTCTTGGGACTTAGGTGGATTCGGGCAATAGAATGGAGAAAGCAGTAGACAGGTTCAATGCTGAACTAATCGCTGGAGTCCACGACTCCAGCCCCTGAACTGTTTATATACAAATGTGGGGTCATGTGAGGTCATGAGCCCTCGCATTGCGGGTCTCAGCCCTGGGTCCAGTTCGCACCTGCGAACTGGCCATCTCGCAGTCTCACATAGACTGCGAGATATAGATCGTCAGACCTGCTTAGTACTTGGGTCCTGACAGGATCTAAGTGTACTATTGCTTAATAAAGAGCATTAAAAAATAAGGAGCGAATTTTTAACCAAGAATCAGCTATCCACCTCTAATAGAAGCCCTCCGCCTTCCGAGATAGTTACTGTATAGTTACTGCGGGCTAATTGAGATTTGGCATAAATTAACTTATAAAGGATATACAGTACGTCTATAGCGAACATAATACGTATATCTAATAAATCGGGGTTTTCCTAATAACTTTGCCGGATTCTGCAATTACCCGAAAGCGAACCTTCGGCTCTTGGACCGGACATACCCTATAATAGATAATCGATAGAAACTGACTACTAGGAGCTATCTTCGCTCCGACATTACACAAGAACATTAAATTTCTGCTGCTATGAGTGCCGAGAAAAAAGCCATTATAGATGTCAAAGACTAAAGAAATTTGTAATGATCTAAGCTCATAGAGACATAACCGATGTATAAGATGGCTCTAATTACATTTATATTATTCCGACTGCTTGACTGGATCTAGCAAACTTCTTATCTTCGACGAACTCACTCCAATGGAAATGAAACCCCGATCGGATGCTTTCCACCCACAAAATATAGGGCAATCCAGGCCCTCACAAGCCTACACCTTTTCGGGTGCCGATATGCCCGACGAGAAGGAGAGAAACCTCGTCGCCTAGGATGGCCCCAATGACCCGAAGAATCCTCACAACTAGCCCAATTAGAAGAAAGCCCTGTGCACTATTTCCACTTACTCCACATCAACCAATTAGCTAGTAGCCGCTAAACTCCGCCCTAGGTACCATAGGTATCCTGAATTATAGATACTCAATTTCTCATACCTAACGAACTCAGTGCCATATCTAACTAGCACTCTGCGGCGTTCAATTAACAATTACCTTATTCTTCAGTGTATAAACAAGATTCTGGAAACTATGTATATCGCCCAAATGAATTCATCCACACCACCCCTTTCTAAGATTTTTGACACTATGAAAAACACTAGTGTCCCCCGAGTTTCAAAGCATCGGCAATCAGTGGAAAGATAGTCAACGCATTTTGGTGGTTGATCTGGCTCATAGCCTCATCGGTAAAGTTACCATTATGTTGGATGGCAGCTATGGCAGGTTCCGCCTGCGCGATTGGAACATATGGATCTAATTGCGTTAGTATAATGCAGTCACACATATTTCGATTCACTAGTGTGAGAACTTACAGTCCGTTCCAGTCACAATCTGGTCCGCGTTAACGAAGCTCTTTAGGGCCGTGAGCTGTATAGCAGAGGCCGAGCTAGCGGTATCATAATAATATCCGGCAAGTTGCGCCATGGATTCAGTAGCCGACAGCCCAGCCAACCAGGAAAGCGATGCCATTCCGGCAATACGGGCAGCAAGATAAGGGATTGCGCCACCGCCGTGAGCGAATATTAGCTTGAGGTCGGAAAATCGTGCACGCTGGCCGGCTATCAGTAGATTCTCAATGGCACGAACGGTATCGAAAGGATACTCCGTCATTGGGATGGGATATCCCATGGCGACGGATGTGCAGCCTGGGGAGGCTGGATGAACAAACGCACTAGCCCTGCGTTCGCTCATGGCAGAGAAAACAGGGTCAAGGGCGGAGTCACCCAAATATGTGCCGTCGGCGTTGGTATACAAGCCCACGCCAATGAACTTGAGGGTGTCCAGACAAAACTGTGATTTTCAAGTTAGATTCGATATCAGCCAGACAATTTTGCCAGGGAACGTCGTAGCCATACCTTTAATTCCTCTACTGCTTCGTCAACGAAAGGGAGAGGTAGAAGACAGAGAGCTCCAAGTCGAGTAGGGTGAATTTTAGTGTAGCTATGAAGCAGCAGGTTGATACTTCGGGCCAATTTCTTGGCCTTGTGAGCCTCTTTTATAAAGAACACGCCAGGAGCGCTGACACTGAGGGCCGAGAAATTGACACCAAGGGTGTTCATGTTGCTGATGTGCGATTCTAATGTCCAATCGGGAACTGGGAAGCCATCTGCATACAAGGTGCCATTCTTCACTGGGTAGCCTGCAGAAATCATTGCCTCTTTCCAGATCTCCGGAACGACATGGGAATGAACGTCAATGCGATAGTCCAAGCCTAGGTTTTGAGTGATGGCATGACAACTGGCTAGGCATGCCAAGGTTGATCCCAGCAGGATTTTCTGCAACAGAAAATGCATTGGTGTTGTCTAAGCGCTTGACTGTGATGATAAGATGAATAGGAAGGCAGTACTGATCAGATGAGGGTGTAAACAAATTCTATATATGGACTATTTTTCGCCTGGAGACTAAAGGGCTCGCAATATAAAGGGACTCGGAGACACGCGGCGAGTGGGGTACTTCATGGTCTTATTTCACATATTCACGGCAAGTAGTTCAAATCAACAAGGGAATTGTGAGAGCCCCTAGTCTAACATGACCGTGACTCCGGGGAACGAAAAAGTTATGCCGAGACTAGGAGCAACCCGCAATGGGCGTCCGCCTTAAGCCGATTATGTCATCAGTGGTAAGGGAATGCAAGTGAAATCCGACATATTCATCGAATTTCTACGGGGGAAAATGCTTAATGCCATACTTGCCGGCGACACCCCTTCATGTAGCGAGAACATTTTATATGAACCCATGGGCGATATTCTACAAGTAATTAGATGGAACAGTTTGAAGCCAGAAAATCGTGCCACCAGCTCCCGGCTAAAGTCGCGGGCTTGAACTATATTATCAACGCGGGAAGTGTGGATCTTTGGAAGGACTAGAGCTTGGTAAACCCGGGATTCTGTCCAATTATGGGGCATTTAAGTGGCCTGTCGCCAGACAATAGTAATCCTCATAAATACATCCCTGCTAGATCAGGGGCGAATATCGAATTTGCTCCGTCTTAGCGCGTCAAAAGCACATCTTGTGTCTCAAGTGCTCCAGAGCTTGCTTGGAGACTGGGCCACTTGACATGTATTCTATTAAAACAACAGAAATGTGATGTGAAAAAAATCATTTGGCTATGTTTTGAGCATATATTGCTTCTTACAGGACTCTAGAAGTTTACTTTACCAGTAATCCGCTACTCTTGCAAAGCATGACCGCGTTTCTTCGGCCGCGATTAGAGGAGGCAAGTGCTGGCTACAGCGATTGAAGACGAAAGAACATTTTTGCAGGAATTTTCTCTCTAATTACAATCACTCGTCTAGGTCGAAAACCGTGGCCCTCTGCTGCTGATCATCAATGGCACAGTGACAGGTCTTGCGGTGGTCATTGTGGGTCTTCGAGCGATCTCTAGGATCTTTATCGTAAAACAGTTTGGTCTGGACGACTGGACAATGGTGATAGCCACGGTATTGGCCGCTCTCAACGTGGTGGTCGCGGGTCTGGGTGGGTCGTATTCAGCCTTGTGTCATCATCTCCTCTCTCATGCAATGAAATAGGAGTCAGGCATGGAACAGGGAAGCATAAATGGAATATTGATCAAAATGGCACGGTCCCAGCTGCAAAGGTACAGTGTCAACAAGTTCCAAGGCTGTGTTGGATCCCCAGACTAATTAATATGTGTGGCTGTATAGATTCGATACGTGACGCATATCATATATACTTTGATCAGCGGCCTGATCAAAGCTTCAATTTGTTTGTTATATCTGCGGCTCTTTCCTAATATTCGAGCAGTCACACTCGGTACGATCGGGTTCATCACGGCCATGAGTATCGCCGTCATTCTCGCGACGATCTTTCAATGCTCTCCGGTCGATGCTGTTTACAATGAAGAACAATACCAAAATTATACTTGCTTTGCGTCTATTCCGTTCTGGTATACGACTGCTGTTTTATCCCTGGTGACAGATATTTGGATATTTGCGTTGCCACTGAAAACCATATTAGGTATGTGGCCCTCTCAAGGTGGAAGTTGCTTCAGACATGTTTCTAATCAACAGCAGGTCTCCAGCTTGTACCTAAGAAACGAGTCATCATCATCGGGTTATTATCTCTGGGCTCGTTGTAAGTACAAGATATTATGACTTCCATAAATGCGGTACTTACTGAATAAAAGTGCCTGCATAGCCAGTATTGTGCGAATGGTCTACATTGTCAAATTATACGAAAGCTCCGACCCTACCTGGGATACCTTTGGCGTTTCAATCTGGTCGGGAATAGAATTGGGTGTCGCCATTATTGCTGCCAGTATTCCAGCAATCAAGCCCCTTGCGGGCGCGCTCTTCCCGGCGTTGTTTGCTAGCAGTAGAGGCATGTCGCAGTCTGCGAGTCAGAGAATTTATCATTCAAACACTCAAGAAAGGACTTCTCGGCGATATCAGCGGAAAGATGTATTTCCACTTTCACTTATCACGCCAAGAGAAGAAAGTGATACGGGTGATGATGAATCTACAAGGGCGATCGCACATACAAATTGACAAAAATCGGATATACTAATAGAAGAGACATGTCGTCAGTACTTTGGATCAGAGCGAGAGATGTCTCCAATCAAATGGCATCAACGAGGCTTGGTGTGTTGCGAAGAGCTGAGTTGCGTATATAAATATACGGCGTCAAGTGGTCGGACCTTTGTCACCGGATATTTTTCTATTCTACATGCCACTAGAGTCTCATAAAGTCTCAATTTGACGGCGCTACACGAATCTTCGCCTTTTTAAGACTCAGGGTGTGGATGCTCTATATCATTCGCCCCAATGCCAATGGGCAGAAATCACACGAGAGACTTCCGACGTTAACATGGAGTTTTTCAACCTTAAACAATCTCTCCCTGTTGCGCCATAGGGCTCGATGTTTGCAATGCGAGAAGCTACTATCGCTAAACTAAGTAATTGCGGAACTGGCTAGCCCGAAGCTACCCTCGTCAACGGTTTCCCGTTACTCTACATATCTAACAAAACACAGGGCGTTGTGAACATTGCAAAGCAGAGGAGCATCATTTCGTCTCACTACCCACTCCCTCTGTATCAAGATCCACCACTCGTCAAACACAAACACGGCACATACTCAGAGCTTTTTATCCCGAAATTGCCACATCAAGCCAGTCGTCGTCCAATCTCACCCCGGCAGAAGAGAATATGCGCCTCGAGAATCCTATGCGGTACTCTGCATCCTGTTCAAGTTCAACGCGAGACCTACCAGGCCGCCCAGCTAGCCATGATCTCCCAACATCCCTTCTCTTTATAACCTGCTACACGCAAATTCTTGATTTCTACACTATTTTCGTGACACAGATGTCGCATTTCGCCCATGCGCTCTCATAACATCGAATCTCTGGTGGGCCAGACTATCGAAAAAGAATGCACCTCGTTATTCTGCCGCGGCAGTGGGGTGCGTTCCACTCTCCCAATTACGGTGGACTGCAGATATTGATGTCATTTCAGGTGATTTCATACCTTCTTACGGAGGTTGAACGGACTCTAGTGGTCGGTCCTAAAAATACCCAGTGAAGAAGAGAACTCTTCAGGCCACTTAACTCTAGCTATTGCTACGACAAGATAAGGTTATCTAGATCTAAGATAAATAAATGCTGATTACGTTCCTAGGAGATAGTTCACGCGTATAAGAAGATTACCAGGTCAGGGGTGATCAGCCTGTCAATCCGGTAAGATACGATGATGGATCGGTAATGAATAGGTGGAGGAGCGTCAACGATATAGTATTCTTGTACAGAGACTAATTCTTGTCCCCCAGATAGGGGCCAGGGAGTTATCCCCCTTTTATGCCCCGTTTGGACAAAGCTCCCAGGGGCACATTATCTCTGTCGGTATCACTTATTGCGGTTCCATCTTCGTTGGTGACACTATGTCCGAATCCTTTATCCTTTTCGTAGACGGAACATTCCCGTTACATGATCGGATCCATTACTCCTCGTCCTGCATAGCCTCGTTAAAACCAACCAGGCAAAACCCTGATGGGAAAAGGCCAAAGGTTGGAAAGAGTGCTTGGCAGTCTTAGTGATCTGTCCCCCATTGTATGGTCCCAAAGACCATTATAGAATGATACTATATTTTTAGATAGTATTTTGGACGAGATCAAACCACCCTTTTATAAGTTTAGGGTCTTTAGATAGAGCTCTCTTATAGTCATATCGGCGAGAGAGATAGGAGGTAAGAGAATCATAGCGTTTGATAAAGTCTGTAACCTAATTTTTACCAACTTTTGGAGGGGTCTCGGAGGGGGTTGATTCACGGGCACGAAATAGTAAATTAGCCATATCCCGACACATAGCATATGTGAGGGCAAACCCTCTAAAGTCCATAGAGAGCAGCCATTCTTCCATCGATTTCTCTTCAGGTTCAGAGAATTTGTGGCGATGATGGCGGCGTACAACCTGACTTTCATGGCCCTTTATCCGATCTTGTAACGTTGATCGCGGCACAGTAAAAGCTTCGGCAGCAGCTCTAATAGAGGTGTATTTCCCATTTTCTATAACTTTGATAGCTAACAGAAGGCGGCCCTCCTGTTCAACCAATTTTTGAGCTTTTTGAGATCGAATTGGGGGCATTGTTGATGTTCAAAAACATACGTTGCTATGGGATCCATTTTATTTTGCGGGTGGCCGGAGTAACCGGGTGGCCGGAGTAACAGGGATCCACGTTATAAATTGCCAGAACCAGGGGTAATAAAAGACAGAGCATTCATACATTCTTATTGGCCAGGGCAAGTAGGCATTCCGACAAGAATCACCTAAGTCGCGCGACCACTGCATAGACCCCTTCAGTAAAATAACGGTAGGAATATCATTAGATAGCACTGTTCCCCTTAACGCTCGGCATCTTAACATATGCACTTAACCATAACTAGAAGCATCAAAAGCACTGTCCCTATCCACTACGTCTCTTAGCTAAGGTCGGCTTTTGATATTGGAGTTGATAACGCATATTACTTATATAGATAGGACAATGTCTTCCGGGGCCTTTCCTATCTGGGCTGCCGCCGCTTTATGAGTGCGCTCGATCTCCGGGACTGCCTAGCAGATAACGTGTCCCACACATTTACCCTGCCATCATTAACTATATAACAGCCATCATGACACCATCAAACAGCATTCTTGGTCTCTTGGACCTCCACATGTTCTGTGATCATTTTCTTCTGGTCATCCCCACCGAGCTGTTTGTGAACCGCTGCAGCGACCTCTTCGGCCTTGTCTATATCCTCGAACACTGCTTACGTTAGCTTTGTATATTGCAGCAGAGTAGGAAGACCACTTACGGAAGGACAGCTCCTCAAGAGTGCGGCCCGCAGTTTCGGGGAAGAAGAAGTAAATAAACACCAGCTCAAAAACTAACCAGCAGCAGTACACCAGGAGCCACTTCCAGGCGATGCGCGCGAGACCAACGGGGTTCACGTAGGTGGCAAAGAAACCTGCGCCTCGGCCGTAGAACTGGAACCAGGAGATACCGCGTGAGCGGCCCATGTAAGGGAATAGCTCGACCAAATAAGCTTATTCAGGTTAGTATATATACATGCTATGAAACGGTAGAGACACGCACTGTAAGTCAAGGCATTATAGCCGAGGTTGTAGGCGGGTGAATAAGCGAAAATGAAAAAGATGGTCAGAATGGCCGCGGATTGAGCTTTTGTGCTTATGAAGCGCTCCATGGCGATGGTCCATGCGATATACACACACAGCAGGCAACTTGCGCAGGTCAGGTACATTGGCCGACGCTTGAAGCGCGGCGCTATCAGCGCCAGCGCAGTGCCACAGACGAGACCCCAGCAGGCAATGCCGATGTTGATCTTGGACTTGGTCACGCCGTTGGTGATTCCAACCATGTTAAGGAGGTCGCTAAGATAGTACCTATTACATGGATCAGCGTTGACGAAGGGTGTATAGGGCAGATGCCACAGGGGGATGCTTACGAAATGAGCGTGTTGCCGGACCACTGTGTGAACAGGCCGAGAAAAGCGGTGATGAACAGTCGACGGCGCATGCCGGCCGTGCGGAACATGTCCCACCAGGATTGTTTTGACTCTTCGAGCTCCATCTTGATGGTTTGTTCGATCTGCGCCAGCTCGGCCTTGACAATGACCGAGTTGCGGTCGCCCTCTGCGTGGTATTTGGTAAGGATGTCAAATGCTTCATCGTAGCGGTCTTTGCTGATCAGATATCGAGGACTTTCAGGGAGGAACCTGGGTTTGTGTTAGTGGGAACAGTCGGCATAGCGCCGGGGAGTCTCCTACATGACTGTCGCGAGCTGGACCATGGCGGGCGCAATCTGAAGCAGAGATGGGATTCGCCATGCCCAGTTGGACGTAATGGTCACCGTCCCTAGGCCAACAGCTGCCGCGATGACCTGGCCGATGAAGTAAGAGGAATTGAACAGCGAGGTCAGAATCGGACGTTCCTTGGGATAACCCAGCTCGCCCAGCAAGGATGAACCTGCAACGATGCAGAACGGGATTCCAAATCCTAGAAGCATACGTGCGACAATGTACATGGCCACTGGCAACCATCAGAGTTGTCACAAAAATGATAAGCAAAAGGGTAAATACCTCCATTGGAGAAGCCCTGGATTAGGGCACCGAACAAGCTCACGCATGAACCGAACACGATCGTCCATCGTCGTCCAACTCGCTGGTTGAGGTATGGGACGAAAGGGAGGGAGAGAATAGCTCCGAGGGAGTATGCAGCCCCTAGAAAGCCCTTGAGGTTCGCTTCGATTGCGTACTGGGGGCGTCCATCCACGATTTTGCCAGTTTCATGACCGAAATCTATATCATACCGTTAGTCGCCTGCGGTGTTTATCGTGGATCGAGAAGACATGCACTTGTTCCAAGTATACACGATCTGGACCGTGTTGATAATCTGCGAGTCGAATCCCGACGTGATCTCGATACCCATACACGCCGGGAACAAGATAAAATAGAGTCGTCTCAGATTAGGCTTCCTGTACCAAGACGTATGGTCATCGACCAGCAAGTTAGCCAGCACAGGCTCGGCAACATTCTCCTCGCGCTGTTTTCCAATCACTACCATGTTGAAAAGCTGATATTCGGATCCTCACAACAGTGCTGATCAGTGGACCCTTGAAGTTGCCGGGACCGAATAATGATTATATATCCTGTCCGTTCTATGCTCTTTATCCAGCACGAGACCCTTTGCCGGCACCTAGGCCCAGTCCCAAACAGCCATGATCCGTCTGACCCACCAGGCTGTGCACAGGCGGGCTGGAGGGCTTCATTCTACCGTATCAATGAAGACAATTCGGGTACGATCCCCGCTGGACGGATTATAGTTTTATCACCCCATGGGGTAGCTGGAGACAGAAGGGGGTGGGGCCAGGCTTCTGGCTTCAAGGCTCGCCGCCAAGAGCCTTGGCAGGTCATCTTAGCCTAAAGAGGCTGCAGGGACTTCGCGGAGTCTCCCCGAGAGCCTCAGGCCAAGAGTAAGACCACGGCCGCCGCTGGTTCGCTGTGAGAGATTCGATGCCGATAGATACTCGAAGAAAAACGGAGCTGTAGCAACTCTCCTGAACCGAGTGATTTGGCTGAGACAAACTGTCGAGCTAAGGGGCGGATTTTTACCACTAAGAACTTGGTGATTCATATTATTTTACAAAGTAAACTAGGTCATCTCGAAATATTCGCGTTGAAACACGTGTGGGCGCTAGTACTAGCCTCTCAGGCTATGAGATGCTCTTAACAGCGATCTGCAGGACAGTTCTTCAATCAACTCGTCCAATCGGTTCCCTCTGTCCTAGCATATACGGAAATTGATGGCCTACTAAGAGGCCGGAAACAGAGCAATATGGTGCGTAGCAGTGATATTGTGAATGAGACGGGGAGAAGAAGGAAGGAAGAAAATCCTACTCACTCTCCCCCACTATCTATCTACAGGGTCTGTCACATGCAGAGCAGTATGCCCCAACAGAGATCCTTCAATCTGTTACAAACAGATGCATGTCTTGCATTCTATTCTACAGTTCCAAATTGCCATGCATCAGCCACTCCAGCAGTACACTTAATTCCTTGATCCCGCCGCCCTCCTCGCCCCAGATCTTCAACCGCTCAATCACCACCCGCACACAGTCCGCCCAGTCGGGAGGAATACTCAAATATTCATCCGAGGGGAGCTGAGTCAGCTTGGCGCGAAATCCCGCAATCAGACAAAGCGCATGATTGAACCGGACTCGACATGCTCCCCATGACCCCGGGTGCCGGAAGAATGGCACCTCGGTCTGGATGCGATAAACTGCCAAGCGTAGCGCCTCGCTTGCTTTGACTCCATACATTGCCGCCATCCCTGGTTCAAGCGGTACATGGATACACAGGTATAGATACGCGCGGCAAATCAGTTCGCGTACCTCGACATATCGCTCACGGCTAAGCTTCATGAGCTCACCTTCCTTCGGCCCAGGGGTGGATTCGAGGGGCATGTTAAACCGGAGTGTATGTGGAAGACAGTCTACCCACTGCTGGAGTTGACCTTCCAGCTGCGTCAGAGTTTCTGCCAGAACCTTGATGGTCGGCAAGTCGATATCTGGAGAGAGCACACGGACCGCATTGCGGGCCCGGTTGAGAAGCCTGCGCAAGAAGATCTCGGCCAGATAATAGTATGAAGATGTTGCTTCGAGTTCTGTGGATAAAGGACTGGAAAACATCCACCCAGGGATGTCCTCAGATGGTTGTCTCGTGGGGAAGCTCGGAAGGGAATACGGAAAGTCGGAGAGGCTGAGGTCACAAGGCGGGAGATCTGTTAGTTCATATCGAACCTCACTGCTATATGTCAGCCAATTGTGTGAGGATTTGAGGTTTGTGGTTTATAAGATACCATTCGGATTTCAAGCATGTCCAGTAGAGTCGCTGCTCCAGACCTAGGGGAGTTAGACATATCGACAATGTAGAGATTAAATTACCCACTCTCTTCCTGCGCACTTCTGATCGTCTTCCCCTCGCGGTGCTTCAAGCGATAGGTTTGCCACAGCATGGATGCTGCCCGGAACATTTTCCAGCCCGGAATCGGCTCGAAGTTATACTGATACCAAATTCTACGCGGGAGTTAGCCATTTGCGTCTCGAAGTAGTCGAGATCCAGAGGCTTGCCCGAATAAACAGAGACACTGCACTCCCAATAAGGTATCGTCGAGATACGCAGTGGAGATGCGCTTGCGCGCCATGGAGAGGAAGGTCAATGATTCCTTCATTCGGTGCTCCGGAACCGACATCGTGAAGTAAGTGACCGGCGGACTGAACGATGGTTCATTGTACGAGACCTCGCGGGTTTCGTCGTCGGGATAATCCCCCCATATGGCCGCAAGTGCAAAGATTAGTAGCACCAAGCAGGATGCGGTGGACCAGTCAATGCCATTTTCCAGCACTTGAGCGATATAAAAGTCCAGCTGTTCAGGGTCAACGATCGGGTTCTTGGTCCAGATCTTGGTCATGAAAACGTCGCGCAATTTGAGGAGCCTTTGGGGATCTGAGCTTGACAGAGCTGTAATTAAGCATAAGTATCCGATTCTCAGATATGATGCATAGAAGACCATACCCGTCTGGAAGCGATCTGGCTTCTCAGAATACGCTGTCATTGGAAAAGTCGATACAGGCTTCTCTTTCGGAAAAATGGGCCAGCTGAGAATCATGTCCGACCCGGTAATAGGCGTCTTCGGCGCATCATTGCGCGAGATTGACTCGGGATCTACTTCATCCACTGGGGATGGCGACGGCTGTTGCGAAAAGAGAGGAGGCGCGCGGTTCAAAGAGAGGCTATCTGCTAGAAGCCGCTCTTGACGTTCTACTGCCTCTAGGATTCTTGCGCCCCATGTATCTAGACTTTAGATAGATTTGGTTGTTATTAGATGTCTCAGCTAATGGAAATGCTCTATTGGAACCGACACTGAGATGGCATCCGTCTCCGGATACTCGCAAGTTACACCCCGCTGGATACATTTGGAACACACTGGCCGTGCCGAATCGCATCGAGTCTTGCTGAGACGACAGGCATCGCACGCGGTGAGCACCCGCGTGTTCTTGCGAGGTCGTGCAGTCGACGAAGAGTCCATCATTCCTGGTGGGGCTTCCTGCAGTCGGACACAGGAAACTCAGAGAGAGAGATGTTCGTTCAAGGCCAAGAGAAAAGACAATGGTGATTGGTGATTGGTGATGTGCTAGGCGAACGATGGCTGAATTATCCCTCCAATCAAGCCAAGATGGCCTCGATTGAGCGCGGGCAATTTACCCAACCGAGACCGGAGGACCCCTTAAAGTCCCCGCCAATACGAGGTGCGATACACTTGGAATTTTCCCCGGGCCACCACTTCCTGGCTAGAGGTTGCAATCAACACCTCATAGGTCCCTTGCTCGCTCTTCCACTTGTCCTCAATCTCGTCCCAGAAGCTGGTCGCATATCGGTCCAGCTGGATGTCAACCGTTTTTTCTTCTCCAGGCTGTAGGAATACTTTTTCGAACCCATGCAGTTCCTTGATTGGGCGCGGTGTTAGGGATTCGGGGGCAGAGATGTAGAGTTGGAGAACCTGGGCGCCCGCCACTTTGCCCGTGTTTTTGATTTGTACGGTGGCGACCCCAGGACGGTCCATGTTGAAGATCTCCGGGGTGACGGTAACACTCGGTGATACCTTGAATGTCGTGTATGATAGGCCGTGACTACAACACGGTTAGATTAGATACGATTAGATGAGACTACAAGAGGAAGGAACCAACTCACCCAAATGGAAAGAGGACTTCTCGTCCGGTCTTCTCGTAAAATCGATAACCTGCATAGATGTCCTCACCGTACAACACTCGGCCACCTACACTGGCGTAATTCAGGTAGGCCGGGTTGTGTTTCACATCCACAGGCCAGGATAATGGAAGCTTTGCACATGGATTGACCTTTCCGAAGAGCACATCGGCAATTCCATGACCCGTCTCGTTACCTCCGTACCAGGCTTGCACGATGCACCGGGCCTGAGCAGCCCACGGTATGGTAAATGGTGTACCGGACTGATTGACGACGACAGTCTTGTCTGCGGCAACCTTCAGCACCTTCGAAATCAACCGGTCAACTCCCGCTGGCAGATCCATATGTTTGCGATCGAACCCTTCAGATTCCCAATCTTTGTTGAGCCCGGTGCAAAGAATGGTGTAGTCGGCCTCTGCGGCAGCTTCCACGGCATTTTCGATCATTTCATCCTGGTCCATCCGTAGACAGGCCCCCAGATTTGCGGCGCCGCCACCGAAATTCACCATTCCCACAGTTTTTGTAGTAGTAGTGTTGGCAGAGCCGAACTCAATCCGAATTTTGTATGTAGTCCCAGCAGCTAGTTCCCTCGATCCCAGCTCCTCAATGGTGCCTTTTCCGAAAAATGCTGTCCCGCGCGTCTGGTTCGTGGTGTTATCGATCACGAGCTCATCATCAATGTAGAGACTTGCGGTACCAAAGACACTCAGGCCAAAGTCCCAAAGTCCGGAGGCGTCGGGCGTGAAGTTGCCAATCAGTGTGGCCCAGAAGAGCCCTCGGTTGAGACCGGGAGCATTGTAGTCCATGAACTGAAAGGCTGTCGTCGATACAGGCTCGGTGCTGATTATTTGTCGTTCCTTGCTCATCGGCTCGTTGTAGAACTTAATGACAGCATTGCTTAGGAGGCGGTCTATCACGGGAAGCATCCTATGGGCGTATGCTCCCGCTTTATAGAGCACCTCCGCGTTGGGAAGCGCTTCCCTGCAGGCGTCGTATAACGAGACAGAGTAATATGGCTCAAGTGACGCACTGCCACCACCTGATATTGCGGGAGTCTTCATGTGAGATCCGATTAGGGCGATCTTTTTGATATCACTTGGAAGGGGCAAGATTTCTTCGTTCTTGAGGAGGACGATGCTGTTCGCACAAATTCTGCGATTCAGCGCTCTATCCTCTGGGAAGTCCCGTCCTCGCTCCACTTCTGAAACTTGGACCTGACTCGCTTGCTTCACGAATTCCAACACCTTTCGCGCACGTGCATTAATAGTCGATTGCTTGACCAGTCGAGCCTGCAGGGCGGACTCCAGAAACTTTCCCCGATATCTGGATACCCCCGGCATCTCTAGGTCAAGGCCCGCATTTATGGAGTCGATAGTTGTGTAGGTCCCGTACCAGTCGCTCATAATCAGCGGATTCCACTTCCACTCCTCGCGAATCAGATTGAGCATGCGCGCATCTTCCACCACGTGCTTCCCATTGATCTTATTATACGATGTCATGAGCGCGCCGGGCTTCGCATCCCTCGCCACAATCTGGAAGGGTCGTAGGTAGATCTCGCGCAAGGCTCGCTGGGTGACGAGGACATCCACCGCCCGGCGTTCATGTTCCTGGTCGTTGCCCACGAAATGCTTCACCGTGGAAACAATGCCTTTGCTTTCGCATCCGGAGATGATTGATTTAGCCAGAATGCCGGAGAGATGTGGATCTTCTGCAAACGATTCGAAGCCGCGACCACCGAGGGGTGCGCGCTGCATGTTGATTGTCGGACCCAGCCAACAATGCGCCCCTTTCGCAATGCACTCGTCGCCCAACAGCTTCCCCGCTTGGTATATCAGATCTCGGTCCCAGGTGGCGCCCAGAGCTGTGCCGCAGGGCAAACATGCGGCAGGGATGCCGGCGAAGAATTTCGTCCCCCGGATACCATTGGGGCCATCGGTGGCGCGAATCGAGGGGACGTTGAATTCGGGGATAGGATGTGTGTGCCAGAAATCAATTCCTGCTTTTGTTAGTGGATGACTTTCCCAAAATTCACTGTCTCTGCGTTACCGGATAAAAGAGCGATCTTGTCCTGCTCGCTGATGTTCGCTAGAACATGCTCTACATCAAATGTCTCCGGCATAATGAACACTTGGAAAAAAAACAATGTCAATAAAGAAGAAATCTATGTTTGTAACCTCTACGCATAGCGAACAGAGGCAGACCATGTGGCGACTACATATAAATACATGTGCAGTCCAACTTCGACCATTTTACGTCAAACTCATGATTTGATGGGACATATGGACGCTATTCCCACGGATCCCCGACATCCCGAGACGCCCAGCGACGCGTTGACGGCGGAGACTCCCCGGCTTGGTGGGGACCTGCAAGGATCCCCGCATCTCCCCTATAGCCCTATCCGCGTGCTCTATCGGTTTTCGAGTTGATCAATTCCCCCATCCGATCTTCAGGTCGTAACATAAGTCAGGAAAATTCGAATCTATAGACTCGTTACGGGAAAGCTTCTATCTGCTACTAACCAGGAACCAAGATCGGTAAAATACGAGTTAAACTTATACAGCCTAATTGATAACTATATAGTCGTGTTTTTCTAGCTTAGCAGGCGCTAGCTCACAGTAGCAAATAGCATTATCCTCTTCTTCTCTTTCATTTTGATATTCACGTGTAAAACCACGTAATGCGGCACGTGCGATACGTTCCCAGAGTGCTTTCTGGAGACTCTTGTCGGAGAACATATTTTGAATGGCAAAGAAATTCAAATCAAATCATGGCAGAGCCAGAGAAGGGCCTCGGGGCTTGGATTTATGTCTTTTTATAGGACGGGCATAAGTTCAGAGTGAGTTGGCCCCTATCACTCTAAGGGTGAGATTGTCACCCATATGACCCACTGTCACCCTAGAGTGCCGCTTAGGTGCTGAGGGCGCATTGACTATTGACTGTGCAGAATAATCGGCTTAAGTACAGCTGAGCGGACGGGAAGCCCTGTTTTCCACACCCTATGGTCGTATGTGCTTGGTTTTCACCTAAATGAAATCATGTAGATACCCTACCCAACAAAACCCGGCAATCGTGTTGGGCAAAAGGACGAGGTCAGCTAGTTAGCCACGCTTTTCATCAGCAGCTAATTGACACAGCGCCTATTCTTCTCCTCCACCCAATAATACCAGACCACTTTCTCCTCCGACAAAAACACCCTTTATAGAAATAAATGTTTAGTAGTCAAATAGTATACAAGAACGGATTGCAGGTAAAGCAGAAGCAGCAGAAAAAGAGCCGATATCCAACACACCTCGGTCAATCTCAATGTATCGACCACAACGAAAGAAGGATAATTTGCGAATAGAACCTTAAAGATGTAGTGATGGACCAAGCCATCTAATGGTGGCAACCACAACATAATAGGCTTTATGGGATCTTGAACTTCGTGGAACTCGATGGCACATTCCATTAGAACTATAGCACAATCTAAACTTTTTCTCCTAGATCCTGTTTTGGACAAAGAGATGAGAAAATAGAAGGAGGAATATAATTGGAAATCATTGACACCTACTATACACGGAATCTTATGAAGGAAACCCGCCCTGATGTATGTCCCGAAGCAAGGAGATTCCCATTGATCGCGGAACAGCGAGGCCGATACTCAGGAGGAAGCCATAGTATATTTTCGCCGTTGAGGTGTATCCAATTTGCTTGCTTAATGAAGATCGCCAGGTTCCTATAGGTTGAACTAGACGCATAGGTCTTGAGCCCTGATTGGACATCGACGGTGCCGAAGTTAATTGGATATGAACCATCCTGAAAAAAATCGAGTTTGGAAACAATCCCCTTAGTGCTCACAATCTCTTGCAGAGCGCCCGTCGCCAGATCCCAGAGCCGTACTGTATGATCGCCAGAACTGCACGCCAACAGCCTACCGTCAGGCGAGAAGGCCACAGACTCAACCGTGTCTGAATGGCCTTCAAGGGTCTGCCGGAGGACGCCCGTCGCCGGATCCCATAGCCGTACTGTATGGTCGCCAGCGCCGCACGCTAGTAGCCTGCCGTCTGGCGAGAAGGCCACGGACCGAACCTGGTTCCAATGCGTTTGGGACTGGTGCAGAATCTGCCGTAGGCCGCCCGTTATCGGATCCCAGAGCCGTACTGTATCGTCACCAGAGCCAGTCGCCAGTAGCTGGCTGTCTGGCGAGAACGCCATAGACCAAACCCAGGCGAAATGGCCCGTAAGGGTATGCTGCAGGGCGCCCGTCGTTGGATTCCAAAGCCGCACTTGATGATCGTGGGAGCCAGACGCCAAAAGCCGGCCGTCGGGTGAGAAGACTACACACCGAACTACGTCCTAATGGCCCTCAAGGGTCTGATTCAGGGCACCTGTCGCCGCATCCCAGAGCCGCACTATATGATCGTTGGAGCCGGACGCCAATAGCCGGCCATCGGGTGAGAAGACCACAGACTGAACTATGTCCGAATGGCCCTCAAGGGTCTGTTGTAGGGCACCTGTGACTGGGTCCCAGAGCCGCACTGTATGATCGTACGAACCGGTCGCCAGCAGCCGGCCGTCGGGCGAGAAGGTTATAGAGTTAACTGGCTCCGAATGACCCTTAAGGGTCTGCTGTAAGCTGCTCGTCTCCGTATCCAAGAGCAATGTGCAATTGCCAGAGGCGGACGCCAGCAGCCTGCTGTCAGGCGAGAAGGCTATAGAGATACTCAGCTCCGAATGGCCCTCGAGGATCTGCAATTCTGGACTCCACCCTTCACTGACTCGTGGGAACTGACATATCCAATCAGGAAGCTCTGAATTGAACTCTCTACGGATTAAAGCCATCTGAGGTAAAAATACTAGCCCTGCACAATAGATCTGTAGCGGCGCTTCATCGGCTATAAGTCGGTTTCTCAGAACGAAGCGCTTTGCGTCTTGTAGAAAACTAGACATAATAGTATCGTCATCGCCCTAACATCTATCAGTACAAGGCATAGATGACCATTTACATCACTTACTTGTACTGCTCTATGCAAAAGTTCAAGCATACCCACCACTTCCGATATAAGACCTAGTAGACTCATCGCCTCCACCCAGTGCAGAAAATGCTTCCTAAAGAATAACAGCACATCTTCTATCTCGGAAGATAAATTCTGACTCTGGCTGAGGTGGTGTATCCAGTAGCGAGAAGAATAATGTAATTCCGGTGGTAAATAATGGCGGATATATTGAATGTCAACGTTTGCCCTCGGCGTTCCAGGGCTTGCTAGATTGCAAATATTTCTCTGCAGACGGCTCCACATGGTTATAAGACAAGACTTAGCAATGTCTTTATGCTTTCTTGGCCCATCCACGAAGAACTTAGTGTCAGACTGGACTAAAAAATCTCGAAATGATAGATGCAAAATCCTAACTGGCTGGTCTCGGTCTCTGGGAACGCTTAAAACCGATCGGAATGAGTCTAATCGATTATTGATTTGATCTGCTCCGATGCCAAGGAATGTCGACAGAGTATTTATCGATAGAGGAATAACAAGGAGGATGATGACACCGACTATTCTCTGGAACTCTTGTAGGAGCTGCTTCTGTTCTATTTCACTGCACTCTTGGTCGTCTACTAATCGCGTCAGAATTGGCAGATATGTTTTGTCCATTCTGGAAACATATTTGGTTTGGTCCGCGAGGAGCTCTGCGAGGCGCAAATTCGGTTCCCATTTAGAATTTTCGATATAACGGCATACAGTAGCAGCTGAAATGAATAATGGAACGGACATTGTGACCAATCCTCGGATGATGCTATCACCAGGCCAGTCTGTAGAGATATTGCTATCATGTTTGATTTTCGCAAATCGGTCCTGAAGGAATAATTGTATGTCGTGCTCTGTCACTGCTTCGGGTATCTCATGAAGAACTAGATCCTGATACTCATGATCCGCGATCTCTGAGAAGCCGAGACGGATGGGGATTTCAGGCCGGCTGGTTAAAAAGATCCGAAGGCGAACTGCTTTTGTCTTTTGCAGAAGAGGCAGTAAGCGAATTATGTTTCGGACATCTTGATCGTGTTCACATTCATCTAAAGCGTCGATCACTATCGCAGCAATTTGAGGTGGTCGCCCGAGTTGGTCAAGATCGAGCAACGGTTGAAGGAGCAGTTTCTCAAACTGCTCTTTAAGCGATTTCGAGGCAATTTCAGGGTCGTGATCGAGCGCCTTTTGCACACTGGACCTGAGCTCAGATATCCCAATCATCAGTTGCCTTATTAAGGTCGGGAAAATTTTCTTCGCGTTCCCCCGGTCCCCTTCACCCCTCTTAAAGAAGAAACTAGCACCTAGATGGTTCTTCTCTTTGAGCAACCTTGCCACAGTCCGAGAAATTGTGGATTTTCCTGTCCCAGCCATTCCCTTTAACCAAAAAATAGGGTTTTGAGACGGGGACATAGCCCATTCCATTATCTGCTGGAGGAGCTCCGTCCTAGTGCCTTGGAGGCATTCGACTTCGTCTCGATCGGAGAAGGACTCAAAGCCTGCCTCCATCGCACCTACCAACTTCCCAAGATCCATGGTGTGATTAATGCGATTGGTGTTCTGGGCCATGCCGACCATCAAAGAGCTATACAACCTTAGAGTCAATCTAGATATTCATAGAATCGGGCTCAAAAAACATACGCCTGATCCACCTGCAAAGACAAGAGGAATGAAGATTTATATCTTTCGAGGTTCTGAATAACGCCTTCTATCTCTGCACGCTTCAGGGGCCATTTTAAGGCTCGGAATCCCAGTTTCCTCATCAGTTTCTTTCCCTTTCCTGGATCAATTCTCGCTTGTAAGGCGTGGAGGTAGGAGAGGCAATCAACAATATTTATGACTAGTCGTGAGGAGTTAGGTAGGGCCTTTCCGTCGTTACTTTGAAGGATTTTCTGCAGCTCTTAGACTGTCAATTGGAGGCCTGTAATCGACCGTTGTAGCTCAAAAATCTCATCCCGTGCATCTTTCGCCGCTTGAATGAAAACCCCACAAAGCTTCACGAGGCTTCCCGTTATTTGAATGACCGCGATAACGCTCGCCGCCGAGGATAAACCATCCATTTGGAAAGACACGGCATAAATCCCAATGTTCTACGTACATAGGTATGACGGTGACTCAAGTGAAAGATTCCGGGTCCGAAATCATAGGTCAAGCTGTTCTGGCGAGATAAAGAGGGGTAATTTAGGCGCCTGGCGCGAGGCTGTGATCCAGAGCGCATTTTATGCGCCAATCTGACTAATTATGTGACTGTCATATTTTCAAGGTACACTACCATCCATCGTGCTTAAGCGAACACTGAAGGAATCTGTCCAGTGGGTGTGTCCCTCTGGAGCGCTTTTGACATAATGTCTATGCAGTGTTTGGCCAAAGCTTTGTGCGCTTGCTTCTGAGATACCCCAAAGTCGAGGTCGGCAGATCGCTTTTGATCCAGAAGAAAGTCGCGGAGTGTAGGATCATGTAAGCTTATGGGGCCAGATGTCTGTTCAGGGATGCTGATAATGGGATGCAGATCGGCCAGCACTTTTTTGATATCCCCCAGGGGTTTATCATCTACGGAGAAAAAGCAAAGTAGTATAGATTTGGTCCGACTGCTTTTCTGAGCCTCGGTCAAAGCAGGACAAGACATTGCCGTGAGCTTTGAAATCTGTCAGCGCTTGTAGTTGTACAGAGGCGCTCGAAATCAGTTTCGTCACTTTATTATCTTTCTATTATGGTTACACTTCCCCAGTTTTGTATTCTTGGCGGTCATATGGTATGATTGCAAGTAACGACATGAAATAGCTGTCGTATGACCATTGTATAGGCCACGTAACGATCGTCCAAAATCATGATTTACAACCAAATCAATTCCAATCTTTCGTCAACAGCCCTCCAACCAAGACACCAAGCGACCGTTTTATTACCTTCTGAAATATGGCTGGCAACTGACAATTTGACGAAAGTGCAGTCTTCTCTCTAGCTTCTCTTCTTTGTGTTCATGGAAGGCAGCAAGCAACCCCAAGACAGATTACTACTAGTGACGGTGATAGCTCCAACGATGAAGACTGGGACGCAGAAATTGGAAGCGCTTCAATACGGAAGAAGCTCCTGGACTGTAGCCCAAAGGACCAAAGACTTATGAAGTTCCTTGACCATAAAGCAGAAACCTTTCCTGGAGAGAAGACAGGGCCCCGTAATCATGCAATACGCCATGAACGGCGGAGGAAAAACACTGAAATGAAGGGTAAGTGAGCAGCACATGTCACTGCTTCTGGTTTGGTACTCCATGACAGTCAACCTGCAATTTACCTAGCAAAGAATGAGGTCGGAAATGTGGCAGAGGATGAGGCATTGGCATCGATCCTCACAAACTTGATTCAAGCAATCCCTTTTACCACAGAAAGACCGATCATCTACAAAGATCACACGTGGACACTACTATTGAAGTTCTACCAACAACACCTAGATCTCTAAGCCTCACAGACTGAGTTTGCATATGAAGAAGATCTTACAGCCGCCTTCTTAGAAGGGTCAGATGTGGTTCTTTCTGCAAAAGAGCTATACAGCTTGTTCATGCAATATAAGATGAGCAAGTCTTCTGGAACTATCCAGCGCATGGTGTCGATAGCATACATCCTCCGATATGCGGCTCTACCCATCACACCGAGTTCTCGAAACATAAAGGTGCGGAAATCCATTGCTTTGATGGGGCGACTCAGGGCAGCATATGAGACATTCAAAAATGATGCTATCGAATTTCGAAGGTTTTCCCGGAAGCTGAGAATCGTTTATCTTCCAGCCCCTACGGCTAGGCGGTTCTCAAGAAATTCGATGGAACGATGGACTCAAGAGTTAGCAAAGAGAGATAAATTACCACAAGTGAAGAATAAGTAGCTAGACACAGCTTGGGAGAAAAGAGATGAGATTTTGAACCCCTGCCATGCTGAGAGACAGCTTGTCCTGCATTCTGAATGCTCGGTCTCGTCCAAAAGCAAACCTTGTCCCTATATTGGGTGTAGCAAAAAGTCATTTTGGCTATGCTACCAGATTATATCTCGATTTAAGGATGCTAGGACAGGCAAAGAAGGTTACTACCAAACAAGAGGCTCACATGGGCAAGTCTACCCGCGATGGCATATTGCCCTAGATGCTAGTCTCTCACCCGACGCTCGCATTTGGTTCAATCTCTCTGTGGCACTCGAAGAAATCTATAGATCAATGCTGGAACGAATCTATACTCGTCGCACTCAACTGCAAGCAGAAGGACAATCATCGGCAAATGTCACCGTCAAAGGAGGGGCAATCAAGCGGCAGGCTCTGGCAAAATCAAGGGAGACAGAATCCTCATTGACATCAGACAGGTACATCAAAAAGGAAGGTCTCATCAAGGTAACTTTGATCGGCTCAAGCAGATGCATTCGATTTCCAGCCTTCGGAAAGTCACCACACGTCCTGAGCATAGATTTATGTGACTATTTCGATGAACGGCCTAGCAAAGAACCCTCTCACTTACGGATCCCAGATTTTGCGGCCTGTTGGGGCAAACAACACTTTGATCGTGCCCGTCGCCGAATTTTAATCGAGAATCAACCTTTGGCAGAGCTCCATGGAGACTATATTGTATACTGGTGTCGAAAAGCTGGACTTCCCCGAAACCAGTGCTTGTTGTCTCTTGTAGGAATCGATTCCGTTCCAACTCATGAATATTTTTGGCGTGGTGATGTCTCCATGATGCGCTTCTGCAAGGCCGAAGGATCATTCAACTTTGACTACCGGGATATACCCCGTACTTTTCTTAGTCATGAGGATTTAGATCAAAATATTGTGAGTCATTCTGGGATGCCAGAGAGCCGGAAGCAGAAATTCGATGTTATCAACAGGTAGAGGAGAAAAGTGAGAAGTTAAACATGGATAAACATATCATTTTGGAAAGAATGTGAGTCACTTGACCTGTTCAGAAAGCATAACTATAGACCAGCCCAGACTCACATCGTCTTAAGCACATCGACAGAGCGAAAGATCCTGAAACAGAATCCATGGATGCTGGATTATCTAGCAATGACGTCTTACGACGATAGAGTGGTAATTGACGTGACTGTTTAGACATGCCTAAATAGCCCGGGAATGGTTGAAGTCTCCTCGCTGTCTCGTAAAACTCAACTGGAACAATCTGGCTGGAAAGGGTTTTCAAGTGATGATCATTGATGATAAAAGGCAGATCGCATCACGAGTTTTAGCCCTATATTCCTTAATTTCGTTAATTGATGAATTGTGTGTTGAATGAGAATTTGTTCACAGCCTCAGACACAGATGTTTTATTCAACTCTAATGAGATTGGAGCTTTTTGGGCTGCAGAGTCGAGACGCTCTTCGATCTCGGGCCAGTTACAGCTCGAGACAATCCACTTCGCGCGCGAGTAGAATGGTAACTCGTGGACAATCAAGTCCAGAAAGCAAGGAAGGTCCGTTGTGCATTCATCTAGCGCGTCGATCATCAGATATGTACTCTGTAAGGTCGGGTCGCTCAGTATATCCAAATATTCTCGAAAGAGCATTTCATGTGTTTATTCCCTCGAAGGGTACTTTTTCCGCTTGTGCGTACTGGCCCTGCACGTGGGAGAGAGAGATGGTTGCTCTTTGACAAGTGAATAGATTGCGCCACGGAGAACGGCCGCGGCATTGTTCAAACGTACGTCGGTACCTTGGCAGAGAAAGAACGAGATATTGGCACTTTTGCCAAAAGATCGTTTTAAATCATCGATGACACCGCACAACAGCATTGTTCTTCTTTTCCTGGATCACCTCTGATCCAGAAGAGACGGATGCTTTGGTTGTCCTGCCCTTTTATTATCAAGAATCCAGCAGTAGAAGTCTTTCAGCACAGCGTTACTACCTGGGTATCTTATCACTCGGGTCTCACATAAACACATAATAGTTTCGTGACTACTTCAACTTGTTGTATTGCAAGCTCTGTTGCTCTCGAGATGGCCGTGAATATGACGAGGCTGAAACCGCCATTCCTTAGGCTTTACAGCAATTCTGAGGACGAGAGCATTTCGAAGGGGTATGAACAACAAACCTGCATACATAGTCGAACGACGGTTGCCCAGGGACTCAGTATATAAGCATATCTCTACACTCTCGGATTCTGGGTTCTATAGCAAAAAGATGCTCGTATTGTTGGGATCGGGGTTGGAAGTAGAATTAATCAACGCGTTCCAAGGTCCTTTGTCAAGTGTTTCTATATAAACTGATCATCTCTCTGACGACAAGTGAAATATATATAAATGTTAGGGCTATTATCCTCCAGGCCTAACAAAAAGTTAGAGGCATGACGTTATACTCCACTATCTTATCGGCTTCCTTTGGGTGTTGACTCACTTTCCATCTTGCTCCCGAGCTAATCTCTTCTGCAACCCCATTTGCGACCTTCTGTATATTTCACTTTTGCTCTCAATTTAAAATGGCAGACTCCCCGAAACCAGCTGTTATCTGTGTATTGTGTGTAATTCCCAGAGATCTAATTTACACACCTGTCTTTACCCCTCCGCCTCAATCCAACCCCTCCAAGAACCACATAACTAACCAAATTTCCGGGAATACAGCTGCGGCTCCGTGCCAGGAAATAGTCCAGTACACATGGAAGCCGCGCGCGCCCTCGCCCAAGAACTCCACAAGAATAAAGTGCAACTAGTCTACGGCGGCGGCACAACTGGACTAATGGGCGAAGTTGCCCGAGTCCTCGTCTCCCTCTCAGGCCCCAAAGCCGTACACGGCATCATTCCACGTGCACTCGTGAAAGTCGCCACAGTCAATGGCATGCGCGCGCACCAGGGCACCGGCGACTCAAATGCCGGCAAAGTCGCTGAGCGGGTCGTTGACTCGGTCGAGGCTGACGGCATTCCCGAGTCGGAGTACGGTATGACCACTATCGTGCCTGATATGCATACGCGGAAGCGTTTGATGGCTACGAAGGTGCTGGAGGGCGGACCTGGCTCTGGTTTCGTTTCGTTGGCTGGTGGATTTGGGACTATTGAGGAGGTTATGGAGATGACGACTTGGAATCAGCTGGGCATTCACAAGGTTGGAGTTGTACTGCTCAACATCAATGGATACTGGGATGGGCTACTCTCTTGGGTGCGCAATGCTGTGAAGGAGGGCTACATTAGTGCTGAGAATGGAGAGATTTTGGCCGAGGCCAAGGAGGTCAGCGAGGTTTGGCCGAAGCTGCTGGCTTATCGGGCTAGCAGTGGAAGAATGAATTTGGACTGGGGGCAGGAGTGAAGCCTCTCAGATGGTGGAATGTGAGACTCGCAAGTATGAAAATATTGTTTCGTCTGGTGTTTGTTTCTGCTTTGGGCATTATGGGAATAAACATACATAGGTAGATTACTTCATTAGAAGAATTAATGAATTGACGAACTGAAATCGAACAAGCACACAAAGAATCAGGATTTCATGTCTATGCGAATCATTAAACCAAATAGAATAATCATGAGTCAACCTCCATTGACTCGCCCTCTGCACCGGCAGACTCGCGCTGCTCCAGCACCTCCAACAGGGCAGCGGTTTCCTGGCCCTCGTACAGTTTGAAGCTCTCCTTCTTGCCATTTGTTACACCAACAACACCAACAGAAGTATTGTCGATCGTAAGCTCCTTATCCTGAGACAGCGTCTCCTTCAACGCACTCAACCCGTGCTGAATCAGCTCATCCCGACTGCAATCCGGGAACTTGTCAAGGTTACGCTCCAGATATGTACGCGCCATCTGGGAACGAGCACCAATAGCACAGGCTACCATCTCGTGGGTCAGTCCGGAGGGCTGGAACTCGAACAGGTGAGGGCCGGCCTCATCAACACCAGCCACGAGCAGGCCGACACCGTATGGCCGTTTTCCGTAGTGTTGGGTGTTGGTCTGCGCGCGGTCACCGATCTGAGCGACGATTCGGTCAAGCGGGATCGGACGGCCGTAGGTCATCTTTGAGCCGAGGGACTGCTGCTTCATGAAGTTTGAGAGAACGCGGGCGTCTGATGCGAGACCGGCGATGGCAATCGCCATGTGCGAGTCGATCTCGATGATCTTCTTCTGGTAGGAGGAGAGCTCTTCTGCGTTGCGCTGGCTGGGTGTTAGTTTGAGGTATTGATTTGGTTTCTGTTGGTCTGCGAACCTTGAGTCCAACGAGCACGGCGTGTGTCTTATTCACCAATCCCACCACGACTGATCCTTGCTTCACTGCTTCCTGTGCATATTCAACTTGAAATATCCGACCCTGCGGAGAGCTGGAATCTTGTGATTAGCATCTGATGGATCCGAGGAGGTCGAGCTGGTCTTACAAGGTGACGGCATCGTTGTCGTAATTGTTTCTGAACATCGTGGAGACGGTGGAATGGGAGGAATAAACAAGTTATGGAAATTCCTGTTTATAATGAAAGATCACAAAGCAATACAAGACTCAGAGGGATAATCGATGGGAGAATGGGGAGCTGGAGCAGGCAGTAAAGTGACGCGGTGTGAAGCATTGAGCTGTTGTGGCCTGAGGCCACAACATCCAGTGACCTTCCAGGCGCCAACGTCACTCATCCTACTCTCCAACAGTGTGCTGTCTTTCTCTGATTTCCTGCTCTCGGTCAATGGGGCTGTCAATTTTGATCTCCTCTTGATACTTTCTACTGGTTGCACCCAGGTTTCACCTTTCTCCCCCTTCTTCCACGTTTAGTACCATCGGGCTTCGGCGTCTCCGCAAACATGGCTGCTGGACTCAAGACTATCATCGCACTGTCCTTTGTACGTCCTATCTCGTTTAAGTCCGGTATAATCATCCACTAACAATTCAGTAGGTTCTCGCTATTGGCTTCCTCCTCGTCATCCTCTCCTCCGCATTATGGCACAAGTACTGGCCTCTGCTGGTGGTTGCCATCTATGTTATCGCGCCTCTACCCAACTGGATCTGCCAACGATGCGCAAATCCCGATGATTTCATGGACAGCTCGAGTAACTCCGCCATGGACTTTGGACGGTTCATGACGGGATTTTTGGTCCTGACTGGAATTGGTATGTCGCTTGTCCCGCAACAACGCCTCATTCCGAATACGAATTGTCAATCGGGCGCATCATGTCATCCGAGGCATAAAGGCGTATATGAAACCGTCGGCCTCGTGCTTGCGCTATCGACCGGCGCTCAATGAACCTGTACTAACTTGTCTCTAGCCCTTCCCGTTGTCCTTGCCCACAGCGGTGCGATCGAGCTCCCCGCTATGATCATGTCCATTTTCGGTGGTCTTTTGATCTACGGTACCATTATTAGCTTTTCGATGTTCTTCCAGGAGCAGGAAGAGTTCTAATCGCAAATCTGGAGGTGCGGGGTCACCTAGGTCTATATTACAGTCCAGTGAGACTCGCGGGATCAAGTCTTTTCATGATGATATCCGATTTGCCACAGAATTTTTTGATTTCGGCGTCTGCTTGATATGTTTTGTAAGAATTATTTGGTGCGGGGTGTTTCTCTGTCTCAAATGGCTCCGACGCTTGGTTCTATTCTCGGTGTACTATAACACAATGGATATAGAAACTTCTTCCAACAGTCCACAGCCTTGCGTTGATGTCTTTTCTACAATTCATAACTAAATGGGTTCTTTTCAACTCGTTTTATATTGTATAACTGATCTATGAGCCACGTGACCGCGTCAGTAGAGATTCGGAGATAACCACAGGTTGGTCTGACCACAACAACATGCCGGTTGTCTCACTGTCACCATGTTAAACCAATGAAAAATCTCTTCAGGATCCAATATACAAGATGAATGTCTGGTCAGGGTCCATTCCGCTCAATTCGGACTCCAAGTTGGAAGGTAAATAACACGCGTAGCACATTCAATATGTCTTACTAACATCTCGACAGGGATTCGACTCGTCGACCCAAACTCATATTGGCAGTCCGAGCTGTCTAAAGAGTCCCAATTATGTCTCCGCAGTTTTGTCAATCCAGCGCTCATCCCATTGCACGCACGAGCTGGCCCCAACCTCGAGCTGCACACATCGCACGCGCGAACTTCACAATGGCTGCAAAGCAAATTGACGGGCACCATATGGCTGAACGAAGTTGAACAAGCTCTCCAGCAAACCCTTCAATGTCCAGTCGGTTTACTGCTAAGCGTTGAAAATTCTAAAACCAGCGCAACAACAAACCTCTTAGTGTACGGCGTGCTCTCGAACGCATCATGTACACGCCCACCCACCCCACCACATTCATCGCCCTTCGAAGTCCAACCAGAAACTACGCCCACTCCCCGAACTCCCTTTGACCTTAGAATTTATGCAGCACCCCTCTCAACAACCCGTCTTACCCAAGCCCAATCACACCCATCCCCCCCACCAGATGCAGACAGCCCAGCGCGCTGCGCAGAGTTCCTACCGGATACCAGCTCTCCCAGCCCTAAGCGCAAACGAGTCGCAACGCTCTTCCAAGTAGCAGAGCACCACCATCAACGAGTCCGCCAGCGCGGCGGTGAAGCAGTCTCTCAACTAATGGCGCCTTCTCGACCAACCTCTTCGCAGAAACAATCCCTCCGCATCAAGCGCGAGCCAGAAGACGATGCTCCATCTCTCCCATCTCTAGACCGCCTCGTCTCGCGCCGCTCCCGCTCTGTCTCCGTTGGCCCAAACATGCATCGACCCGGAAGTGTGCGTGGCCGCGCAACACCTGCCGTTGCCGATTCCCATAAACGCGCCCCGACGCCTAATCCATTCCTGGAACGTCGTGCACAGAGCCAGGCTCAACCGCCGTCTTTGCTCTCTGCTGAGAAGTCTATCTCAACGCCTAGCTCGCCGGCCAAGGATCCCGAAACAGTCATTGCAGAGAATAAGAACTTGATCACTCGCACGATCTTGACTTGCATGCGATTATACGGATTCCATCGGGCGGATGTGCGTTCTACTTCGAGGTCTGCTTCGATGAACAAGCCTGGCGCGGAATTTGATGATGGATCTGGTGCTAGTCATGCGCCTGAACCTCGTGCTGAGACACCGGGCCCGGCGACAGATGATGATGAGTTCAAGAATATGTACCATGCTACATACAAGGCTGCTGCTTTTGCGCTCAGGAAGTACTTGAAAGTTACTGTTGTTCCTGCGTTGCTTGAGAAAGAAAAGGCCATGACCTGTATTGATGAATTGCTTAGGTTGTTTTGCGAGGATCATTGAGGGTTGGGATTACATGACTTACGATTGCATATACTTGGCGTTATGATCGATTGATTTATACCTACATGGATTGGGCTTTGGCGTTTAATGCATAGCTTAGTCGGATTCTATCTGGTTGTGTTCTAGCTTATTAGTTTTGCATTCGGATATTAAATCATCAAACGTGCTTATTCTCGTTCCAAGTACCAGGTACATGAGAGATGCAATAATTCCAATAAATTCACGCTATAGCGCCAAACCCAGCAGCCAAGGCGGATGCATATAATCCATCGCAGCCCAAGTCAGCAGGAAATCGAGTAGAATACATGGACACGAGCTCTAAGTCCGCATCACAGTGCGAGGTTGTAGGTGTAGTCATCCTCGATATTCTGTGAGACCCAGAGGACGATCGAGCTAGAAGCGCATTAGTCAAAGGATTCTAACCGGAACACCCATTTGCGAAAGCCCAAAACATACCTGAGCATAACCAACCCATTAGCCACAACATTAGCAATACCAAAGTAAAGCGTCGTGATCGGATAATCCTTGATAAGGTACTTGAGAACCATAACAGTCTGCAAACAATCAGCAAAACGTCCACCAACACAACCCAGAAGCGTATCTGATTCCAGATTCCAGTAAACCAAGACAATACATACCACACTACCGGCCAAGCCCCCAGCCAACAACGCAAAGCCCAAGAACAACACAAAGCGTGCCTTCCATGCAACCCCACTCCCACTATAACTGAAGCTATCAGCCTGCAGCCGCGACTTCTCAATGGAATTGATAACGAGCATGCCCAGCACGCTACAAATGCCGGGGACCCAGTCGACGAATTTGATATGTACGTCGGAGCCGTTGCGCGGGCTGCGTGAGAACGAAGCGACGTCGATGAGGAAGAAGAAGCCTGCTGCGAACTGTGCGGGTGTTAGCTTTGTTGCGACTGATTCGGTGCGGGTGTGTCGGCTTACCAGGGCGCCGGCGACGTAGACGCCGCCGTTGCGGACGGCGGAGTTATTGAGCCATTCTGGCTTGGAGAAGCGGAAGAGGCGGTTGTTTGAGACGTCCATTGTTGATGGTTGTTGTTGAGGGGTGTGTGTGATGGGAGTTGGAGTCCAATGACGATGCCTGCGGGGGAATGTTGTTCCGAGCTATGTGCTGTCGATACTGAAGAAGGCGTCTATGCTCTTTCGAATTTACCGAGAGATTCTGAATTGTTTTCCGGTTTGGTTTGTACTTCACAGTTTACCTATTCCTGGCACTCAGCTTTCAACCCTCTTGCTTTCAATTGCTATTTGAGTGACCGGTGGGAGATTGATACTGCTTGCTACGGGTACTGAAGTAGATTCTGTGCGTATATATATTGAGTTTTGATCGACTTGGTTTTACATAAATAATGGATCGTCAGCACACCAGAAGCTAGCCAGCTTAACTAGATACATGTTGCGCTCAGAGATCTTTCGAATTTCTCATATTGTTCTTCTTTTAGTAAGGCTGGAACAGAGGGTGACCATAGCTTTCCTTAGTAGACCTCGGGATGTATCTACATGAAACATGAGAAAAACATAGAACGTCAAACATAATTTTTTGGACATAAACTTGAAATAGTCATAACAATATTCATGATAAATAACGGGATGGTTTTCCCGGGGTATACAATTCGAACATGCTCGAAACCAGGCATATACCATTCCTCCACAACCCCAGGCAACCAAATAACCAGCAGAACCATTTCGGGTATCCGTGCAATGATCGTCACCAATGTAGAGACCGGTAGCTGCGTCGCAATCAATGCAACGCAGTCGGCACTCAGCTGCCTATTTCTCTCGTGCTTGGCGCCAGAGTGTAGGTGCTCGTATCTAGGTTATCTTGCTGCCTCTGTATGGTATGTTTCAACTCTTATAGTACACCACGCCTGATTCAGGCCGAGGCATCGACGGTATGAGTGCGCAGCTTGTCCATCATGAAATCAATGAAGTCCATGTTACTGGCATCGAGTGGCTTGGCTTGCTCCTCCTCGGATTTCTTCTCGTCTTTCAGCTGCTGTTTGTAATCTGCCGGCAGATTTTGGTAAGGTGCAGGCAGACTCTTGAGCAGCTCGTCCAAGCTGGGCTGGTGGTTGCGGACAGCGGATGAGAGGGCATAGACGCCCTTCTTGCGGGTGGCCGGGTTGGGGTCTGTTGTGGCGATAGAGACAAGTTTGGGGAATGAGTGTGTGTCGACGAACTGGTAAACATTAGCATTGGAATAAAGGATGGGTGTATGTACTAGTCTGTCGCTAGGTAGGAAAACTTACATGAGCCTGAGTCTTTGGATTGTTCTGCACAGCCGTGCCGACACTCCATGCAGCCATTCGTCTGATGTCAGTCTCCTCATGTTCGAGCAGCGAGACAAGATCGGGCCACAGGTTCAATGATTGGATGTTCATCGCGTTATCAATTCCCTCAATCAATTGTTCGAAGTTGTCGAATGCGACCAACTTGTTCTCCAAATCGGTCTCGGGGTCTTTGATGACTTCAATGGCGGCCTTCATCAGGTCGGCGTCGGAGGGCCCGCCACCAAAGAGTTTGCTAATAAGCTCTGGGGTAATCTGGCTCTTTGAAGCATCGACGGCATTGCCTTCATCCTCGGCGCCTTTGGAGGCATCAGAGTTGGTGATACTCCATTTGAGGAGCTTGTTCATTTCGGGGTCCATGGTGGGCTGGCGGGGTAATTGATCGTATTGGTTGGACTGGGGTATTGGTTTTGAAGGAGTGGTGAAAAGTGAAAGGGAATGCGCAAATTGTGTGTCTGAGATCACAGTTGAGAGATTGATTGATTGTATTGAAAGTATTACACTGGCGATTGTACCCATGTACTACTTATTGGCGGATTAAGAAAAAAACGCGATGACATAATCATCTCTGGGTGATTCGCGCGGCGACCAGCGGCTTCCTCAGTCATGTGACTCTTTCATATCTTGAAATGGCGGTAACCAACTGGATGCCGCTGGACGAACTAGACAAATAGTCCTGCCTGGCATTCTTTTTGACAATCTTGCCCAATTTGAGAAGTTCTGGATTAATATGTCTGTTTAGATATGTGGGCTACTTAATCCCCATACTTTCAAAGGTTGTTACCACTTGTACCATACAATAGAATAAAATGATATTTCCCAACATAGCCAGCTGTTAGAGTCTGGTTCTATACTTAGAACTGCGCCACATGCGTGGACATTCTCCGAAGGCAAGGGAGGGAAATCCAGCAGCCTGGGTTGGTTACAATTATTACAATTATAATCATTGTACTGTTATTGTATCATTCTAATGTTGACTATAAGGTTTTAACCGGGCAATGTACCCTACATAGACTTATGATTTAGCCGCTTAACTGAGATATCTGACACTAAAACAGGGTACGTGTTCCCCGTATCCAGAAGGGTCTGGAGGCTCTCAACGACCCCCGAAACGTGGCCACGCAATAACGAACATCTCTAGGTAGACAACATTATTATTCACACACAAAAAATGAATGAACAATGAAAATTAGAATATTTCTGCCTTAATAGTAAATAACATTCACATATAAAATATATCCAACAAAACCCCCTAGGACAGAGGGAAAAAGCGAGAATAGAAAAGAAACAGTGATTAACTATCGGAGGGGAAAAAAGGAGGAGAGCCTTAGGCAGCGCACAATCCCAGCCATCACAAACCCCTCTCCACTCTCTCACTCTCTTCCTTCTTCCCTTCCTCTCCCCTAATCCCAACTATACTCTACACCCCATTCCCATCTTTCTTTTCTTTTTTTCCTCAGGTTCATATTCTAATCCGTCATAATGGAAGGTAAGTTGTTGTTGTGTCTGCTTGATCCCACTTTGTTGTGGCCACCTTAGCTTTCCCCAGCTGGAGAAGCTGCCCCCCCCTAAAGTCAGCTCGGGATCATGAATTGTGAAATGCTAACCTGATTCTCTCGTTCTAGAGGAAGTTGCTGCTCTCGTCATTGACAATGGGTATGTGAGATACTTTTCACTTCAGCTTTTCGGCTTGTTTCGGGCTCTGGTCGCCAATCTGTCCTCGGTCGCGGTGGTTGCCACATCTCCCCCTATAATCGGCCACGGCGGCAGTTGGATTCCATCCCATTGGGTTACCACCACCCGTCATAACCTTCGCTTAGCGCTCAAATTATCTCGTCGAATATGATACTGATGAATTGCGATATAGTTCGGGTATGTGCAAGGCCGGTTTCGCCGGTGACGACGCACCTCGAGCTGTCTTCCGTAAGTCAAACCCCCCTCAGAATCCATTTCCACCCCCCTCTCGATAAAGGCCGTCCCGCCATCCCTTGCATTGGATGATATCCCCTCCTTTGCTTGGCTGGAAATTACAAAGGTCGCCTCGATGGGATTTGAAGATTTGATTACTGATGAAAATGAATAGCCTCCATTGTCGGTCGTCCCCGTCACCATGGGTAAATAATCCCCCCTTGTTTTAGTCATGGCTGGTGTCTATACACCACATATAGCCGGTATGACACCTGAAGGAACAAATTACTGACACGAGCGCAGTATTATGATCGGTATGGGTCAGAAGGACTCCTACGTTGGTGATGAGGCACAGTCCAAGCGTGGTATCCTCACGCTCCGTTACCCCATTGAGCACGGTGTTGTCACCAACTGGGATGACATGGAGAAGATTTGGCACCACACCTTCTACAACGAGCTCCGTGTTGCTCCCGAAGAGCACCCCATCCTCTTGACCGAAGCTCCTATCAACCCCAAGTCCAACCGTGAGAAGATGACCCAGATCGTGTTCGAGACCTTCAACGCCCCCGCCTTCTACGTCTCCATCCAGGCCGTTCTGTCCCTGTACGCCTCCGGTCGTACTACCGGTATCGTTCTCGACTCCGGTGACGGTGTCACTCACGTTGTTCCCATCTACGAGGGTTTCTCTCTTCCTCACGCTATTTCCCGTGTCGACATGGCTGGCCGTGACCTTACCGATTACCTGATGAAGATTCTGGCTGAGCGTGGATACACCTTCTCCACCACTGCCGAGCGCGAAATTGTCCGTGATATCAAGGAGAAGCTTTGCTACGTCGCTCTCGACTTCGAGCAGGAGATCCAGACCGCTTCCCAGAGCTCTTCCCTCGAGAAGTCCTACGAGCTTCCCGATGGACAGGTCATCACTATTGGCAACGAGCGCTTCCGTGCTCCCGAAGCTCTGTTCCAGCCTAACGTTCTGGGTCTTGAGTCTGGCGGTATCCACGTCACCACCTTCAACTCCATCATGAAGTGTGATGTTGATGTCCGTAAGGACCTGTACGGCAACATTGTCATGGTAAGAACTTCCACATCGATTTGTGCACTAAAATTTGCTAACCATTTTTTTTCTCAGTCTGGTGGTACCACCATGTACCCCGGTATCTCCGACCGTATGCAGAAGGAGATCACTGCCCTCGCACCCTCTTCCATGAAGGTCAAGATCATCGCTCCCCCAGAGCGCAAGTACTCCGTCTGGATCGGTGGTTCCATTCTCGCTTCCCTGTCCACCTTCCAGCAGATGTGGATCTCCAAGCAGGAGTACGACGAGTCCGGTCCTTCGATCGTTCACCGCAAGTGCTTCTAAGCGCCTTAACAAGCGCCTTACTCGTCTTCGCTCGTACTTTCCTGGTGTATCAAAAAGCAGGATGGTGGCACTGGATTGCAAGCGTTGTTGGACTCGCATTATCAAGCGGATAGCCTGAAAATGGAACCTTTTTAGTGGAATAGAGTCGGTCTTTTTTTTTTTTTTTGTTATCTTTTCGATCGAAATCCCTATCCATCTGTTTTTTACCTCTTGAAATGCCGTCCTGTTCGACTCGATGTTTCCACAGAAAGCCTGTAGCTGAGGTTGTATATGGAGTTGGGCTTTGCGTTTCCCCTGACGTCCTCTGTTTTTTCCCCCAAGTCCTCGTTGTATGCTCGACCAAATTGCCCTTCGTCTGTAGTTTTTAAACATGACCTGACTTTCACCTTCAGATTCTCACTGTTTACGTTTCTACTTGATTACTTGGGCTTTGCACATATTATTCCGTTTCAATTTTGATACATCCTTTGAATAATGAGTGGACCTCAGTAGCTATAGGCCCATCTAGACAGCGTATGGCACATCAAATTTCATCTCACATACTTCCCGAAGATCCCCAATTCCATCCAACCTCAACGCCACTCCTCAACACCATCACCATGGGCTTCCTCACAAAACTATTCCACATCCACTCAACCCTCCAAGCCCTCTTAGCAGAAACAAGCAAATCGAAAAAATATTCGGTGCTTGAGAATCCCGAATCTCAATCCCCAATCTCCCAATATCTACCCTAACCCTCTCACCGTGGCAAACCCACCATTCCAACACACAGCCAAACAGGAGCTCCCCGCAACATCAGACATAATAATAATCGGCTCAGGGATATCAGGCGTAAGCATAGCATACACCCTTCTGAAGAAATGCCCCGGTTCGCCGCGCATTGGGATGCTCGAAGCGCGCGAGATCTGTAGCAGCGCTACAGGTCGAAATGGAGGCCATATCAAATGTTCTGCTTATATGGAATATTTGTCACTGAAAGCTCGGCTCGGAGAGAGAGCCAAACATATCTTGCAATTTCGGCGACTACATATGCCACTGCTTTTGGGGTTGATTGCGGAGTAGGGGATTAAGGCTGAGGTGAGGGAGGTGGAGACTGTTGATATTTTTACTGATCAGGATATGTGGAATGAGGCGAAGAGAATGGTTGATCTATTGAGGGTGGATGTTCCCGATGCTGCGGGGATTATCGTTGCTCATGATGGTGTTGAAGGGTGTGAAGTAATTTGCTTGACTTTTATACATACATACTTATATACGTAAGGCACACATTCGATGTGGATTGACATCCATAGAAATACGACGTCAATCCATCCCACTGCTATGGAATCATAACCTACACCGCAGCAGCACTGTCACCCTATGCATTCATAAGATCTCTCTACGCAGTCCTATTAGCAAACCCCAACTTCACAATCGAACCAAATCACCCAGCCACAGAGATCACAACGATAGATAAAAAAAATTAACAGTCCATACACCACGCGGCCCTATAACAGCTACTCAAGTCGTCCACGCCACAGTCGGTTTCGCAGCAACCCTCATTCCAAACCTCAAGGGCAAGATTTTCCCTGTCCGCGGCCACATGACCTCACAATCATGTTCTAGCTCCAACTCATTAAGATCATGGTGTATCTACCACAACCGAGGGTTCGGCTATCTCAGCCAACGACCGGGTGGCTAGTTAATGGTAGGTGGGGGAATGGTGCAGTCTGCGGAGAGCGGGATTGACGAATTCGGGATATGGAGGGACGACTCGCTGTGCTATTCCATTCGAGCCTATTTGGGCGGTCTTATTGGGACGATTTTCTGCTACCAGACAAAGATGGAAGGGGCTTGGAGTGGGTGCATGGGATTTGCGCCTGATTTGCTGCCTTTTGTTGGGAGGCTCGACGAGATTACGGGGAGGAAGAAGGGTGGGGAAGGAGGAGAGTGGATTTCTGCAGGCTTTAAAGGGGAAGGGTTGGTTCTTGCTTGGTTGTGTGGTGTTGCGATTGCATTGATGATTGTTGGTGATGAGGAGGTTGGGGTGAGGGTGGGATCCCTGTGAGGAGGGTTGGAGATTGGTTACCCAGCGAGTTGATTTGTTCAAAAGCACGAACTGATCGGTTGAGAGTTTCTGGTTTGGGTGTTCTTTTGTGACATTTTACGGATGCAAGTTTTGTAACATTGGACATTCAATTGTCAAGCGGTATATGTTCATCAGGAAGATCGGTAGTCATTTTGGACTCATTAGGTCCTTGAATTTGTAGAAGCCTGGGGGGGAACAACATGTGCAGGGAATACGACGAGCAAAAAAAGAGAAGTAAAAAAAGCAACAGAATCTATAAGATGGCCCAGGTAATCATTTTTTTCCATCCATATATAAAGCATCAATCATCGACATCAAGATAAAATATTAACATCAGCATCGTAGAATCAAGCCCAAGACTCAAGGCCAGACAACACGCAGCCCTCTTCGCCAGCATCGCGAACACGCAGCTCACCAACCCGGTAAACAGACTCGCCGGCAGCCTCGAAAGTCTGACGGATAGCAGCCTCGGAAGCAGGGTCAACGGCAATAATCATACCAACACCGCAGTTGAAGGCACGGGCCATCTCAGCAGAAGAGACGTTACCGGCACGCTGCAACCAAGAAAAGACAGAAGGCTGAGCCCAAGTGCTAACATCAACCTGGGCAGTCAGGGTCGATGGAAGCATACGGGGGATGTTCTCAACTAGACCACCACCGGTGATGTGAGCAAGACCCTTGATAGCGGTTCCGTGGGTGTTCAAGGCGCTAAGGATAGACTTGACGTAAATACGGGTGGGAGTGAGAAGGGCACGACCAACGGTAACGCCAGCTTCAAGACCAGGCATGGAGAAAGGAGCGGGGTCAGTGTAGCTCAGACCGGCACGCTCGACAATCTTGCGGACGAGCGAGTAGCCGTTAGAGTGGGGACCGGAGGAGCCAAGGGCGAGGAGGACATCGCCGGCGCGCATGTTATCGGTGTGGGGGAGGATAGCACGGGCGTGCTCGCCAGTGGTGTTAATAGCGCCGACAGCGGCACCGACGGCGTCGTAGGAGTCGTCGATGAAAAGGCCGGGCATCTCGGCAGTTTCACCACCGATCAGGGCGCAGCCGGCTTGGACACAGCCCTCTGCGACACCGGTGACGAAGGCGGCAGCGGTGGGGACGTCGAGATGGCCGCAAGAGTAGCAGTCCAGGAAGAAGAGGGGCTCGGCGCCTTGGACAACGAGGTCGTTGACGTTCATGGCGACGAGATCAATACCGACGGTGTCGTGGATGCCGACGGAGTGGGCGATCTTGAGCTTGGTGCCGACTCCGTCAATAGCACCGATGAGGGTAGGGGAGTGGGGGTGGTAGGCAGAGTTAGCGGCGGCCAGAGAGAAGAGACCACCAAAACCACCAATGACGGCGTCGGTACCAGGGCGCTTGGTGCGGCCGACGGAGCTCTTAATTTTGTTGACGAGCTCGTTACCGGCATCGATGGAGACGCCGGCTTGGGCGTAGGTGAGCGATGTATCGGCGGTTTGGCGGAATGCGCGGTGCGCAATATCCTTGCGGTAGAACATATCCTCAAAGCTGATGGTCTTGATGCCCTCGTAGCTCTTGGCAACGGCCTCCTCGAGAGTGGAAGCAGTGGCAGTAGAGGCGATCACACGACCTCCAGCCGTTTGGAGCTCATTGCCAGACAGGGTGGTACCGGCGTGGAAGATGAGAGTTCCAGCGGGCTCGGGGGCCAGAGTGATGACCTTGCCCTTGGCGTAGGCGTTGGGGTAACCACCAGCAACAGCAATGACAGTGGTGGAGAAGTTGGGCTCGATCTTAAGCGAGACACCGTCCAGCCAGTGGTCGGCACAGGCGACCATGATCTGGGCAAGATCGGTATCCTTGCTAAGCAAAGGCAGGAGAGTCTGGGTCTCGGGGTCTCCACCACGGACATTGTACTCAAGGACCTTGGGTCCGTTCTTGGTCATCATGAGACCGGTGAACAAGATACCGACGAAGGGGAAACCATCCTTGCGCATTCCGTCAACGGAAGGCTGGATGATGGTCCGGTCAATCTCGTCGACGACCTCTTTAGGCGCAATACGCGTGGGCGCATAGCAGCCCATACCACCAGTGTTAGGACCCTGGTCACCATCAAAAATACGCTTGTGATCCTGCGCGGGGGGCAAGGAGCGGATAGTGTAGCCGTCACTGAAAGTGAGAATGCTCAACTCATCACCCTCCAAGCACTCCTCGATGACGACCTCGTCACCGGCCTTGCCGAACTGGTGATCCAGCATCATATCCTTCAAGGCCTGGTGGGCCTCTTCCTTTGTGGTGGGCATGATCACACCCTTACCACCGGCCAGACCATCAGCTTTGATAACCACGTTGTGTGATACGGAATCGAGATAGCGACAAGCGGATTCGTAGTCAGAGAAGTTTCCAAATTCGGCGGTGGGGATCTGGTGACGCTGCATGAAGTCCTTGGAGAAGGTCTTGGAGCCCTCCATGCGGGCAGCAGCCTTGGAAGGTCCGAAGACACGAATGCCGACTGTTATAAACCAAAGTTATCAGAATAAATTCGAACGAAAGTATTGCTGTTTTTTTTTTCTTAGAAAAAAAAAGCTTTGCTTGACTCACCAGCCTTGAAGTAACCCTCAATGCCATCGACAAGAGGGGCCTCGGGGCCAGGTACCACGAGGTTCACCTGGTTCTTCTGTGCGAATGCGACGAGTCCAGGGTAGTCATCACCCTTGACATTGGCATTGGTGATCTTCTTGTTGTTACCCAGACCAGTGCCGCCATTTCCGGGAGCGACATAGATGATATCGACGAGGGGAGACTCGCTCAACTTCCAAGCGAAGGCATGCTCACGGCCACCATTGCCAACAATGAGAATGCGCAATTGTTCGGAAGCCATGGTTAAGGCAGCGTCTCGAGTGACTGTTGGTGATTTGTTAGTGTGTGAACTTTCCGCGGGGTATGCCCCTCCAAAAAAAAAGTGAGTTCAAGGTCATAGTAAGGACAGGGAATATCAATGATTATAGAATAACCGAACCCAAACAACAAAAAGTTAAAATATCTTACCTCGACAGCTGAGAAGCAACAGCAACTGCGTAAAATGTGTGGGAGTCGAAAGTTATCAAAAGTTGAAGTCTTAAACTTTTTTTTCCTCCGGCTGCGGTGTTTCTCCGACCCCAGAATTTAATGCTGCGGTTTCGGGCGAACATCAACTACGACGTATGTGCATCTATGTAGTTTTTGAAGAGTTTTTCTTTATTTATGTGGGTTCTTATATATACATATGTAGTTTGAAAACGTATTTTGGAAATATAGGACTTATTATTGATTCAAATACTATACTGGCTTTTGGAAATATGGTCTCCTACGTACAAAGAGTATAGAAGTAGGCCTAAAAAGTGATAATCTACTACACATATCACTTTCAAATACTATGAACCATACATCAATGACCTAGTTTTTGCAGCAAATCTTTTCTTTTAGCATAGAATTATTTCTTATCTTAATTTAATCCAATTCCACTCAATTCCACTCAATTTCACTGGTTTAATTTAATCTTCGGAATCGACACCTCAGGCATAAAAGATATACAAAGCGGTGAGTCTTTTCTTCCTGCAGAAAAAAAAAGAAACCGGTGTGTTTGGTTTTGAGATCAGTTTGAGATCAGTTGGAATCCTCGACTTTAGGGGAAATCAAACCGAACTTTATACATACTTAATATACTCATATCTCCATATCATCATACACTTTATATCCTCCCCCCATTATCTGCCAACTGTTGACCTGCATGTTTCGGACCTCTTCGCGGTCTATCTCAGGCCCATTACGCCAACATGGTCTCTCCTGTTTAGTTCGCCACGCCAGTTTGCGCCAGTTCCATCGCATACCCGCACGATGTTCTGAGGCTGTTGCCGAATCCACATCACATATCCACCCCGCAGAGACGTCTGTGGATTCACCAACAAACAATTCAATTAATGTGAGGCTCAATTTTGGCGCGGCGCGATATGAAGACTGACAATGATATAGCGCTCGGCTCAGTCTGGCTTCTTAAGGAATCCCTCGAACGATCCTACACCCTCCAAATCCTCCGAATCCTCCGAGTCCCAACAAACACCCAAACTCCGCAAGCCCTCAAATCCTGAAATCGACCCCTCAGCACCTGAAAATCTCCGATGGTTGCGCAATCCCATCGATTATGGGTCTCTGACCCCAAAGCCTTCGAGGGCCTTGGTAGCTCGATCATTGGGATTGGCAAGGAGGGCAATGGTCGAATTTACGACAGCAATGAAAAATGCAACGGAAAACGATAGGGAAAGCCCAGAAAACAAGGCTGTACTACTACAACTTGGAGACAGAGCCATGGACTACACTAGGAAGGCAATTGAAGTGCAAGTCAAGGCAGCAGAAGTGCAAACCAAGGCAGCAGAACATTTTCGTCTCCTAACGAGGCAATCGAAAGGCGGAAAGAAGAAAGACCGTGAACCGCTCATGAAGCAGGCCCAGCAATTCGAATTGCGGCGCGAGGAGTACATACTTTCGGCCAAGAAAACAGAGAGTCGGTTACAGAAGCTCGATACTCTGAAGAAAAGCCTTGATCCTAACAATGGAGCGAATGTGACAGCGCCTATTAACAGTGGGCTCAATTTAAATTCCAACATCGATATTGTGACTCAAATATTGGAAAGCAGTCAGATAAACGCCCCTGCGCATCGGCGAATTGATACTTCTAAAACCCAGAAGACTGACGGCCCAAAAAGTGAGCAGAGCCAAAAGGAGACATTGGGGCATGTTGCAAAATCCGTCGAGTCTAAGGAATGCGGCCAATTATCATCCAAAGACTTGGGACTGACTGCATTGGATGTTCCCATGACCCCAGTTCCTGGTGTCTCTTTTGGTCTCGACAGGGTGCTTTTTAACCCCGGTGTCTACCAACTCCGGGATCCTCGATCTCGCGTTTATAATTTTGACCCCTACTTGGGCGAGATTATGCCCGTGACAGAATTCGATTTCGATACCCTAAAACCGTATGTCACCTCTTCTCAAGACGTGACGGCCTCTGAAATGACTGCAAAGGCAAAGAAGAAGTACTACGGCTCGTCTTCTAGTATGACATCGGCTCTCTCTCATTTCCATTATCTCCTTTCTGCCTGGCGTCCGATTGACTGTCGTACCGTGTCCCGAGGCTTTTCGGATACACTGCGTACTTTCACCCGTCTTCTTCGAGCGCCCACTGCTATGTTTGTACACTACAAGGAGAAAGAAGACATTTATGCCATCGATGCCGATAAGGAATTCGACGGCGCGAACATTCTCATGAACCTGGGCAAGTCGATGGAAAAGCTTCTCACCCTCCCAAAGGAAGATTTCGAGCGTTACCGCCGGTCTAGTGCAAACAAGGTCACCCCCGAAGAAGAAGAAGCCGTCCCTGAATCCTATCACTACACAACTGCTGGAAAGTTTCTGATGCGATCACAACTGGATGCCTACGACCCTAGACTGCCGGGAACCGGCATGTTTGACTTGAAAACGCGTGCCGTAGTCTCCATCCGCATGGATGCCTCAAACCACGAGAGTGGAATGGGCTACGAAATCAAGAACCGCTTCGGCTTGTACGAGTCTTACGAACGCGAATACTTCGACATGATGCGTGCGGCCTTCCTGAAGTACTCTCTCCAGGTGCGTGTCGGCCGCATGGACGGTATATTCGTAGCCTACCACAACATTCAGCGCATCTTCGGCTTCCAATACATCAGCTTGTCAGAAATGGATCAGTCTATGCACGGCCAAACCGACACTGCGCTTGGAGACAAAGAGTTTGAACTCAGCTTGGGTCTTTGGGAGAAGATTTTGGACAAAGCAACCGCCAAGTTCCCCAAGCAATCTCTTCGCTTCCATTTCGAGACCAGAGAGGCGGTGAAACCCTTCATGTACATTTTCGCCCAACCCGTCACCAATGAACAAATCCACGCCATCCAGACATCGAACGCGGCCGAGGTTCAAGCATTCCAAGACAAAATTCTGAACTCCGAACAACTCGCATCTAAGACCATGGAACCAGACGAGCCAACGTTCGAGGCCGGTCCCGCTGCCGAGCCATCCGAAGACCAGCCTGACGACTACGACGAGAACATCTTGGCCATGACCCTTCTCATCAACAACAAAGTGAACGGAAATCCCGTCGAGCGCCCAACGAACTTCCGACGCAACGACACATGGACCGTCGATTACGAGCTCAATGAGCTCCATCCCAAGAAGGGCCATGCCCTTTTGACGATGTGCAAGAGGCGTCGTGCGGCTGTTCTCGAAAAAGCAGACGACGCCGCCGATAATGCGGATCGGAATGAGTACATGCTTAGGCTGAAGAGAATTGCTCAAGAAGGCCGCAAGTTCCGTCAGCGGGAGGACATCAAAGATCGTGAAGACGGTATTGTTGTTTACAAGGACTCGAGTAAGTCTGCCTAGATTGTTGGTTATTGGAGATCTGGAACCCCCTGTAAAGTAATATTCATCCCTCTCTTGCATTTATTTTTTTGTACTCTATTGTCAATTTCATACATTGCGTCTGTTTCTTATGCGCTGGATCTGAAATTGTGGTTTTGTTTGCTGTTTACATTTAGATATACCTGTCTGCCTACATACATACAACGCTGTCTCTGGGAATTTATAAGCTATGATAAGATAGCAACTAGTTATATATATTCATTATTGGTACAAACTGGCTTTTTCCTGTGCTTTAATTGCTTCCCCCTTCCATTCATACAAGACTCGAAGGCGATCATGAAAGGTGACCGCGAATTCATCTGAGACACCTTCAGGGCTCAAATGGCTGCAGATTGTTTTTGAATCAAGCTGGATGAGAGGCTGATTATATACCAAAACCCCGGTAATTCAATCAATATACCTATATATACTTGAGTTGACACCTACGCTGAGTAGTATCTATATCTCTGGTAGCGTGTATGTTCTAGTAGACTCAGCCTTGCTCCACGCCCATGTAACACATTAGGGGTAAGTCCGCTGGAGCATCAAGCCAACAAATGTATCTACCGCAACGACACAAAAAGGAATAACTGTTTATTCAACTGGGCCATGGCACGCAGTTCAAGCGTCGATGCGCGCGTCAGATACTGTTCCAAGGTTAGATGGCTTAATTATAGGCGCTGTTAGAGACTCTAACATATATTGATGCCTTACACGCTAAAATAATTGTATTGAACTCCACAAAGAAGAGTGCGTTAGATCTGGGGCAGGTTGAATTGGAACATTTACATGTCAAAAGACTTTTTAGAGAATAGGCCAGCACAAAGCATTGTTGGAGATGGGTGAGTCCAAGATGACAGCCTTGTCAGCGGCATATGAGCGATCACGATGGCTGATTAAATTGCCCCAGAGAAATTGATTTCAGACTCAAGGGCTGAGAGCCGCGAACTAAGGGAGCTGAGCCATGATCAGCACGCTTGGATATGTATGCAGCCACTTCAGCTTAAGCAACACACTTGTGGGAACCAATGGCAGATTGCACTCTCGTTATGTTCAAGATTCTCCCGCTTGCTTCATTGCTTTCTCCCCCGATAATTTCATTACTTTAAACACCAATTGTACAATTTTGTGCATTCGAGGCTGAGGTGATATGGATTCATTGGAGCAGAGTCATTGTCAACAATGTTAAAGTGAATACATAATTTGATCCCGGAGTGGACGCCATACTACTGACTACACAGGTGTTGACTTGCATGCATTTTACCCCGGTTACCATGAAGAATTCGTCGAATTAACTAAGGTGACTCGGTATCCCCGTTCATCAGAACTAGTATGAACCCTCAAATGGGTGTTCAAAGTAGATTTGCTATGTTCATGGTCTCATGTGTCACAAATGCAATGCGCATTTCTAAATCGATCCGAACGCCCATAAACGAAAACAAAAAAAACCAGAAACATGCAAGGGTATAGAGCAGCTCAACTGACAACACGCTTCTTCTTCTTCCCCTTATCCAATCCCCCACTAGGCGGTGGACTCTTCTCCGACCTGCCAGGTGTCTCAACCCTGACCTGTGGCGTCGACACTATTGGTAAAGGCGTACTACCCGCAGCAGGGGCAGGGAACTTTGGCGCCGGTTTCCCTGTGTCACCAGCCCGGGATAGAATGAATGAGCCCGGTTCACCGACCAGCGGATTTTCGTCCATGAATTCGTCGCCATACCGCGTGAGCAGATTGAATGACTCAGCAAGATTGCGCGTATCTTGGTAGTTGGATGTATTTGACGCGCCTAGGTTTTTTGTGGATTGCGAGTCTGGGAGGGTTTCCGGCATTGGCGTTGCTTCTTTGCTTTGCTGGGATTGGGATTGGGGTGTTTCTTTGCTGCGGGCTCCGGGTGGCATGTACGTGTGTCCGTAGGCGGATGTGAAAGTTGGGAGTGTCGAGGCTGTTTTCATGAGCTGTGATAAAGAGGTTACGGCTGAGAGCTGGGAATGGTTAGGATGCGAGTCAAATGGGGAATGGAGGAACTTGCGATTCGGTTTCCAACGACGCTGGCAACTGACGGGGCCATGTAGATGCAGTCGCCGACGATGAAGTAAGTGGAGATCACAATCACTTCATCGTCTAGGCCGGATCTTTTCCGTCTGTTTTGCTTGCGGATTACCCAGACGTTGGAGGGTTCGTGGGCAAATTGGCCGTTCGTTTGCGCGGTTGCTTGGAGGGGGTCATATGAGACGACGAACTCGAGACCTTGCATTGTCTTCAGTCGAGCTTCGAAAGCTTCGCGTGTCTCGACGAAATGACGGAATGCATCGTTATAGTTTGCTTGGATGGCGAGCGAGGCGTTGTTAGAGGTCGGATCAAAAAAGGGGGATTCAGCAAAGTAGAATAAAACTAATTGACATCATAATTAGTCTCTTTGTCTTCGTGTTGCAGCGTGGTGCGACTTACTATTGTTTGAATGGAGGTATCCTCCCATCATCTGTACGTGCGGGGGAGACCGCCAGAGGATCTCCTCCATTGAGGTATCTTGGCCCGCCATTTTCCGAGTGACCCTGTAGATTCAAGGCTATTTGATGCCGTGTCTGGCTTGAATTCAGCGAATTGGCAGAGTCAAAGATCACAAGCTGGGAAGCTGAAGCTGCGGAGAAATAATGTTTGACTTGTTTGCACTCTCCCAGATCTATATCTTGGGACCTTTTCTCGACGTCGTCCTACATCTCTTGTCTCACCTCTTTTTTCGTATCTCTTTTCATGCCTTCCAAGGTTCTTTTATGTATTTCTAGCTGATGTTGGGCACTTCTTCTACGTGTGCAAGTTGTTTTGTCAAACTGATGGAGCCTAATAGGGTAATCAAACTGTTTCCAGACTTCGTAGACACGATTATATGTATCTATACAATTCTCCCATCACAGCAACGAATTTCTCTCAACGCGAGCTAGCAATAGTTTTTGTCAGTTCCTATTGCCAGACTTACGAGTCTGCAATACTGTAGACGTAATTGTCTGAATGATGTTCGCAAAATACGGAGCAAGCCGGCAATGAGCACGACTCACATCAAACTCAACCGAAAGGGCTACTATCTCCTTTTCCGTATAAACTCGCTGAGACCTAAAGACATCATCAGCGGGGTTGCCTATCCGATTCCAAGGTTGTTTGTTGCATTGAAAAGCGGAAGTTTTACGCGTATACCTTCTTCTCCAGTGATCACGTCGAATCTTTCAAAGCGCTCTTTCTCGAAGATCAATAAAGGTTTGTTTTCCTGGAAGACGACAGTCAAGAACAACATTTGGAATATCATGAGGCTACATCAGTTCCAAGTCGGCGACATAAGTGTTTCTTGTCTCCGGAGAATGGAACTGACTGAGAGAATGCTTCATGCTTCGCGCAACATCTTAGACACCTGGGCACAATTTTGAATGTTCTACTCCACCTTGCCCCAACTTGACCTTTCACAAATTATATACTCCGGATCGATCCTCATTTTTGTCATTGCAGAGATCTTTGTGGCCATTTTGAGCGTGCAGTGACGATTCTTTTCTTAGGTCATGACACAGGCATCTGTAAGAAATTGATTACGTCGCCACTGCACTATCTTGTTAATTTCCGAAAGTCGTGAGTACAGCGGTAAATTAGTCGCCAGCACTTTGAAGGCGTGGTGCACTTGCTGAGGTAGTTATGATAGCCTCTCTCGCCATCTACTAATCTCGTTTTCCAGAAGCTGGAATTTTTGCATAGGCCCGCCATGGCCCTTACACAAAATCGCAAATTGAGGAAGTCGATAGTTGATAGATGAGTCGTAATCTCTAATCTTAGCTCAGTTGGAAGCAATACAAAGGGGTGGTGATTAACTAAGTTTCCACGTAGAACGTATGAGTTGTCATTGTCTAGCAAGTCACGAGCAGATCCATTGAAGCCTGCGCCTCGAAAGCATTCTTGAAAACTCGGTGTGGATTCGAATTTTATGAACCGTCATTGATCAGCCAGACTTGCTCGAGAAATGCTACAAAATGCAATATACACCGTGTGCTCACTATCAACAAAGCTCCTATTTTCAGGACTTTCCTGTGGAGTTTTGAGTAGCGCTCTCAAGTTCCAGTCACCACTTTTGACGTGTTTCAAAAGAAGTAACCAACAGTCCTTAAGAACTAGATACGCCGTCTCTGGGCTTGGCGGGGAGGCCTCGAGCAATTTCTCAAGCTCCTTCTCTTCCTCTATATTCGTGGACAGCTGTACACAAGTCCGTCAGCTGAACGCCGGATTTAGCTAAACAAACTATCTAAACATTGATTAGTTAGTATGTATTGACTTCCTATACACTGAAAGAACAAGATGTGGCATACCCAGAAACAATTCAATTTACCTAGGCCCCGTCCGCAAGAGGGAAGGTCGCGAGACGACGTGTCATCCAGCTTTTTGAGCTTTGAGGTAGTCATCTTGATTGTCTCCAGTTCTGGGAAATGTGTGATCGAAGGAAGTTCTGCCATTTTGGTTTTGTTTTCGCTCATGTTTCGCTATCATGATTGCATCACAGTACCTGGGTAGATTTCTTCTCTAAAATTGAGCAATGTCAGTATTTCTATTATGGTTTTTTATATATATATTTTGGTAAATACAGAATTGAAAAACAGCAAAATGCAATGCCAAACACCAGCGCTGAATGTTGAATCAAATCTCTATCCCACACAGAGTATATCCAAATGTTGAAAGCGAGGGAAAGCGTGGATCATGATACAAGCCAGTCAACTTTCCTTAATTCAAAGCCAAAGAAAGAGAACAAAAAATAGATCAGGATGTCCCAGTCAGACCATCCTTCTTCTCCGGCGGCGTGAAAATATTGCAAACAACCCGAAGCTTGGTCAACATCTCATCCCACTCTCCTTCCGCTGTGCTAAGCGTAGTGATGGCGCCACCAGCACCAATTCGCCAAGTCTGTAGCTTCTTCTCCGTATAATCTGACCCAGCCGAACAAGTAAAAGCCGAACGGATCAAAACCGAGAAACTGCCACCGCCGCCCAGATCCAAGAATCCCATCACACCAGAGTAAATGGCCCGCTTGCGATTCTCAATCGTCCGGAGGTGCATACAAGAGCGCTCTTTCGGCGCCCCAGTCATAGACCCAGGAGGCAGGGTCCGCTGGAGCGTCGTCAACCCGTGAACAGACATATTATGGGTATTCAGCTGAGGCATGTGCCGCACCGCGAACCCAGGGTGGTTGGGCCGGACAGTGCCCTTGATATGGGTGATCATTGAAAAGACACGGCCGTAGTCCGCGACTTCGAGGAGTTTCTCAACGTGGACGCCTCCCGATCCGCAGATGCCGTATAAATCGTGACGGATCAGATCTGCGATCATGAGGTTCTCGGCCATTTCTTTCGTTGAGCTGAGGATCTCGCAGGCCTTTTCCATTGTCATGCCCGGTGACTTGCGCACTGTGCCTTTCATTGGCTTCATTTCGAGGGTTGATGTGCGGTCCCAGTTTAGAAAGCATTCTGGGCTGCTGCTGGCGATCTTGGTGTCGCCGAGATCGGCGAACGCGCTGAATGCAGCGGGGTTGTAGGTTTTCAGGCGTTTGTAGAGTTTCCACGGGAATGCCAAGCGGTCTGATTCTGCTTCGGGGACTGGGAGAGTGATGGATGTTTCGGAGGTCAGACATAGCTCATAGGATTCGCCGGCTTCCAGCTCGGCTTTGCAATCTTCGATTTGCTGTTTGTATTTCTTTTCCTCTGGGAACTGGATTTTGCTTTTTCCAAGGATGGAATCCAGGACTCGATCAGAGTCTGTGTTATTTTCGGGGTCTGAAAACTCTTGGAGTATTTGCAGTGTTTCATCAAGCCAGCCTAGAGGAGCATGGTCATCTTGGCGAGTGGATTGAATCACAACTTTGCCGGTAGTGTTATCGACAACGATGCTTCGTTCACACCACAATAGACTGACATCGGGTGGGTTTTCGAAGCCAGAAGCATTGCTGGTGCCATCGGATTTTGGTGGCTCAGATGCCTGTGCCGTCCCGGGATGGGGAAGACATGTGAGACCAAGTTCGTAAGAGAAATATCCCAAGAAACCACCCCAGAAAGGAACCTCGGTATTTCCCGAATCGACTTTCTTCATTTCCATCACGTAGCGCAAAGCATCCCATAGCTGAGCCACGGAAACACAGCTATCAGCCACCTTGCGATCGCCATATAGTTGAATCAATCGCAATTTGTGAGTCTCAACATTATACTCCAATCGCCATGAGCCAGCGCTCGGCACGGAAGCAATGCTGTATCGCCCATTCGATTGAAACAGTACGGTAGGTGAACCCGGCTGGTTGTATAGCTCGCTAATCGCTTCTGTCGTCAAACCATGTCGTTGGAAAGTGCGATAGGTGGAGCATTTAGATGTTGACTTGCTCCACTTCAGCATTTCGTATGCGGCATCTGGGAACGAAGTAGGAACACTGTGTGGGCTGATAACCGTGTCAGGGAGACAGCAATATCCTCCTCGCCCGACCATCTTGTTGAAAGTGAGAGCCATCTTCCACCAATTCTTTAGGAGAGATTTGCAAGCATTAGTTTCCGATTTACAGGATTCCGGATGGAATTGAACGCCCCACAATGGCTTCTGAAGATGCCGAACTGCCATGGGTATCTGTGCTTCCGGGCGATCGTCCAAAGCCAACCAAGCCAGATATTCCAAGTCAGGCGTCGTCACAGAAGCAGGGTTAGCATACAGCGAGTGATAAAGCGTCACTTCAATCTCCGGCAACTCGGCAAAAATATCCTTCGACGTCGTGGATATTTTATGAATCTGGCCATGAAGAGGATATGGAAGACGCTCAATTGGAACACCATGGTGAAGACAGAGACTCTGGAAGCCCAGACAGATTCCAAAAACGGGGATGAGCTCTGAGTCTGGCAGATTCCAGATATCGTTCATGATACCGACATCGGTCGGGACGTTAGGGTCTCCTGGTCCTGGGCCTAGAACAATGGCTTCGTAATGTTGGAGAAAATCCGTCATGTTGGAGTTGGGCCATTGGGAGTCAACGGTTATCACAGTGACTTTGACGCCGAGAGTTTCTTCCAGCATGGCGACCACATTGTATGAGAATGAGTCATAGGCATCAATGTAAAGTATGCTTTTTTGGGCAGAGCTTATATCAACTGTAGATGCTGTGACGCCGTTCCTATCAGGGGCATCCCAGTCGCCCAGCATTGGGGCCATTGTGATAGGTGTGATATGTAGTAGTTGATGGTGGCGGGCTTGTGTATTGGGTGAACTTGCCCAGGTAATCGGAACACCGCAAGTCTAACGACAATATCACAGTATCAAAGATAAGATTCAATCCCAAAAAATGAAGTGCCTTTCCTTGAAGGGCTGCCTGGAAAGTTCTTTATTCCGAGTTCCTTGAAAGATCTGCGCTTCGGACCCCGAGAAGTTGCTTTTCTCGCGGGATCGGGCAATGGTCATCCAATTTATACCACGGAGGTCGATAAGACAAACGAGCGACTTCTTGATATGATTGTCATGCCTTGCAGGTATCGAGTTGACTGCTGATTAACAATGCATATGCAGGAAGTTGAGGCAAAAAGAAAAAATTAAGGTTGAACGATAAAAAGGTCAAAAGCGGGTACCGACGGAATCTCCACCGAGTGGCAAGTCACGGTGTTAGGTGTTAGGGGGTGTTATCAAGGTGTTATTGTCGGCTATTTACGTGACATAATATATAGAGATAGTAAAAAGAAGTGGATGTTGAATATATTAAATAAATAAAATTATTAGGGGAAGCGAAAAATATAGTAGAAGTGGGATATGCCCTAAAAGAGAGACATCGGAGAAAGCCGTTAGGCTAGTACATATTGCAATACATTGCATACATACGTTCATAATCAAATAATAAACATCCATGGATTATATTTCTACAATCTACCCCAAAATCCCAGTTCTGGTATAGTAATTGAGTATTCAACATAGCAACAATGCTTAATCAAGACGCATGCTCCACCGGGGCCTGCGCGGGCTGCAACGAAGCAAGCTTACCAGCCACTTTAGGGAAATACTGCGCAACAAAGCCCTCAGTATAATAGCTATGTGCCGAGCTATGATCTCCCACCAAGTTGTGCGCCAACTCATGACACAGAATCACCCACCAATAAACGATAGCATCCGTACGATCCGGGGTCGCGCTCTGCAAAAGTGCCTTTTCCTGCAATGTCTGGAAATAGAAGTAATTGCAGAAAATACTACCCGCCCGATTGAATGCGATGGTCTTACCGCCTGGATCGTAGAAAATGCTCAGAACATCAGCTCGCATGGAGAAGATGGAGCCGCAGTCTAGCAGGACCGAGGCGAAGAGATTGAATCCAGCGTTGTTTCTGGTGAGGAAGTCGGTTCGGTCGGGGACAGCCTTGGTGAAGAGGACGTTCAACCCGCTCTTTGGGAGTGTGGCGACGAATTCAAGGTCGTGACTTGGTCGCTCGTCGCAGTAAGATTTGCTTTCTTGGATTTGGTTCGTTTCTGGGCGGCTGTAGACGCCGGAGGAGCCGTGGGGGCGGCATGCTTGCACCGCTGAGAGGAGTTGGGAGTTGAGCCGATGCGGCGACTCTGAGGATACGGTTTGTTCAGGGCGCTTGGCTTGGCCTTGGTTGTGGGGTTCGTTGGGGGAGTAGGGTGGTGGCGGAGGAGGCGTAGAGGATTCAGGTAGGAGAGATCGAGATTGCTCCTCATTTGAGCCCTTTGTATTATCCAAGCCAAACCGTTTCGACAGATTGGCAAAGAGACCACGGCTGGGTCGCTCCGGCATGGGCTCAGGCGGTGGTGCGTGTGCTTCTGTCGAGACAGCCTTGTTTTTGGGTGACTCGGGAAAAACGCCAGGCATGGCATTCTCTTGTGCTTGAGCTTCCGCTCTCTCTTGCTCTGCCCGCTGGGCTTGGCTCGCCGCCCAGGATGCTTCTCTCTCTTGAATAAGACGTCTCTCCTCTTCGACTTGCTTCTGACGTTGGTCCTCTGCGACCCGGGCCTCTTGGGCTTTTTGTCTGAGAATACGCTCCACGTTGTAACCACGAGCCCGAAGTTCCAAGAGATCTGTCTTCAACAACATCTCGAGTGTCAGCGTCGAGTGAAGCTTGGGCCGCTTCAAAATCAAATGCGCCAACGACTGACTGATTTCGTAAAGGTCATAGGGACCTGGCCGAATACTCATGGCCCAGCCCGTGGTCAACCGGTCAACAATCGCATTTCGCTTTTGTGTGTGTGACACTCGTCGTCCCCTCAAGGATCTTGTCAAGCTGATCGCAGTCACAGTCTGGACCTTGAAAGAATGCTCCAGCCAGCGGGTGTCATGTAGGATAGAGTCTGAAGGTTGATCATGGAAGAACAGCCGTGTACGTTCGAGGATCAACTTGTGCAGCCGACGTGAAGATGTTTGATCAGGAATCAGGTGGCCAACGCGCATTTGCTCTTCCACAAGGCCGCTTAATGGGAGGGCACCCAGAGCAGTGTAGAAGTCCTCCAGTGCCTCTTCCTGGGGAGCGGCAAATATATGCTGTTTGAACAAGTTGAAGCTTTGGAAATCGTCGACCACGACAATATCTTTGGCGGAAGTTAGTTCCCATTGTCTAATATCCAGGTCGTCATCTTCGTCAATGAGGTCCTTGGCAGACGACTTCTCGGGTTTGGTCTTGTCTGTCGCACCAGAGGGCAGATCTCTGCTAGCAAGAAGGAATCTTGCCTTCTTCATCTCCGCGAAAAGATCCCTATCTTTTTTCAGTGTTGGAAGGTGCTCTGCGAGGGTCCTGAGAAGCATGAGATATTTTTCAGAACTTTGGAACGCAGCATTGATACGAGCCGGCTCCTTGACCAACATCCGTGCAATCTCAACCTTTGTAGGTTCTCGCTTTGACCCGACAGCCATGAGGAAGAGATTGGCCTCTGGACCGAAGTTGACAAAGTCGAAGATATCTTTGTATTCTTCCCCTTCTCCGAGATAACACAACCGAGGAGCCACGAGTCGAATCTTAGCGCCCTTCTCGGACTGGTCACGGATGACGATCGGAACGATAGGATTCGTACCAGTGTGCTCTATGTCCTGTCGGCTGAGTTCTGATACTCTGCCTGCCAGATGTTTGAAAATAATCTGGGCATCTTTGTGATTGGTTGGAGGTTGATTCGCGAGAACATGAAGACAGTCCGTCATGGGAGGATGGGACTTGACTCCTAATTTCGAGGCGTGTGGATGTAGGCTCTTTCGAAGGAGTTTAAATCCGAACAGGATCGCGCCTTGGTCGGTGAAGCATTTCCTAGGCACACTCAAGCTATCAGATCCTTCAATAGGCAGAAATGGCACCTTCACTGCACTAATGTCAAAGGCAGCATATCCATTTGTGTGGTATTCGTCGAGGAAGTATGCCAGAGCCTTCGTTGCCTTGCTGTCTTTTTGTGTACTTCCGCCTGTCATGAGCCGAACTAGTTCAACGGCTGGCGGGTGACTTTTCAATCCCATCATTGTGAGGAATTTACCCTCATTGCTATTTCGGTTGTAGATGCCCGGCCACTCGATGATCGGCAATCCAAGAGCTCGGAATGCATCCTTTGGCTCGTGCAACTCAGAAATCTTATACCGAGTACCGTCAGACACACTTCCACTTTCTGCAGTACAGATGCTCGTTCCTTTCAGTCTCTGGATATCATTTGCGGGAATATCCTCTCGCACGGACGCAAGGTAGCGGATCAGATCAACATGGTTCCATTTTCTCGGCGCAGGGCCGCCCTTGGTATCAGTCAAGTCTGGAGTGTTGATAAGACGATCGAAGATAACACCAAGCTCCACAGTTTTGCGGACACCAAGTGAGACCAGGATCTTCTCTTTTACGCCATTCAGGCCATGGACGACGGGAAGATCGTCGAAAAGGCGCACGGAAGCAAAGTACGTCTGCACGGGCTGCTTCATTCCAAGTTTTGTGGGAATTATGGTCTGAGGATGAAGTGTGTTCACAACGCTTTGCTTGGACGCTGGACTGAGCGTATCCCATTGCTTGGAGAGAACAGGCAGGACCTGTGCCGAGAAAGCTGCCGTTTTGGTGATATCTTGGTCAATCGAGAAGATACTGCGATTGCCAGAATTGTCGACAATCCAACGTATCCAAGGGACAATTTGCAGCTCAGCCCAGCCCAAAGCCTCCAGCTCTTGCTTGGTCAGAGATTTGGTGAATCGGAAAGGTAGAACAGTTGGCGGTATGGGGAGATCCGCGGGAATGCGCTGGGGGTTCAAGAACTCGGTAATCTCCGCGAAGATAATCAAACGGGTAGAAATCCCTTCATTGTCCTCGTCGTTGGCCACTGCCACGCGCAACAGACTTTGTATAGACAGCCCGTCGAGATGGCCACTGATCGATTTACGACCGAGCCAGGTGATAAATTCAACGACTTGGTTAGAGCGCAGTGTGTTGGACTCTAATTCACGCCTGATATCTGAGACGGTGATGTCAGTCACCAATCCAAAATCTGTAAGCCTTTTGACAAAGTCTTTAGCGCCCAGCACAAAGGCATCAGGCAAAGCGGGGATCGAATCCATAAAACTGAGCTCTTTGGGAGCTATGCGAGTTTGATGACTTGGAATAACACCGCAGGTAGAAAGCACCTCGATAGAAGCACTTTTGTTGCACATCCAGAACGCATCCTCTATGGTTTGTCCCAAAACAGACGAAGGCGTGGATTCACGGAACACAAATTGGTTTGCAGTGTGGATAGCCTCTGGTAGTACATCGACGATATCATCCTGACGGACTTTGGAGCGGGATGGACCAATTTTCGATGCCAATTTAGATTTGATCGTAGCCATCTCTGCCGACCAGGCAATCCGACAAACGATGCCAACTGCGCGTAGCATTTCGAGGTTCCACTTGCTAATATATCGAGTATTGAGATCAATACTTTCCCGCTCCACAGTGGGGATCACAGATGGTGCCGAGACATGGGCGTTCAAACCAGTAGTTTGCTGCGTGGGGAAACCAATGAAGACCCTTCCAGATTTAGTAGGCAAAATGGACGAGAGTACTTCAGACTGAGATGAAGATGCTCCAGTTGCCATGTTGGCATCATATGAAGGAGTTAGGATTGCAAGGGTAGCTCTTTTGGGCGGTGGCTTTCGGGTCGCCCGTTCCAGCTCTTTGGCCAGATCCCTACTGATAGAAGGTTGCAGTGACGCTGTGTTGATGTGCAAAAAGACGGATGCTGAGAGCATAGCATTCATATTACCCGACTCCTCCTGGCGTTCGAGTTCAGGCTTCTGGGTTTGTTTCTCTGGCGCAGCTTGGGTGAACTTGGAGAAGAAACTCCGCAGCGAGCTTGTTGTATCCCGAATGTTATCAAGACGGAAAATGCTTGCATTAGGGTTCCATTCCACGATGCGCATCCAGGAAGCGTCGACTTGCGCAATTTCGCGAGTGACGTTCATAATTTTCATCAATCCCTCTGAGGTCTTGGTATCGATATCTCTTGGAATTGGGACATCAACGCTAGGAGCGGTTTTCTTTGATAGGCGAAGAAGATTCCAATCATCTAGCCATAGTTCTATCTCTTGTAAAGAGACAAACGTTAGACTGCTTGATAAGAACTGAGAAAGCTGTAACAACGACGGGATGGGAGAGGAATCGTTCCGGTAGTCCAGGACGAAGGTGGTATCTGGACTCGCGGCTTCTCCGAGGTCTAATCGGCGGGTGAATAGTGCGTTGCCTTTCCAGTAGAAAGCCATAGCCTGGCTCCCTGAAGACACAAATGGCTCCTCGCAATCATCAAAGACACTGTAGAATCCTACTCCAAAGGCGCCGATTTTAGTCTCGTCTGGGTTACCGTCTGCAATCCGCTTCAGTCTTGCCCAATCCTTCTCACTGAACGGAGATCCATTGTTTGAGATGAGGACACGCCGCAGTGTGTGGTTGTTGATAGTATGTTTAAGGTGTGCAGTGGGATCATTCGTCGCAGGGGACGGTATTGTGGTCGATGGAAGTGTTTCAAACTTGATCGTGACCTTGGTTGCGGAGGCATCAGCGGCATTTTGAATCATTTCTCGTAGGACTGTCCTATTCGTCATATGAACGTTAACGTCTGTATTACTTGCCCAAGAAGGGAGACACTCTTACCATTTTCCGGAGTACCGAGCTAGTACTTTGGAAATCAATCCTCTGGTGTCTACCGTCACAGCTTCCTCGTCGGCCCCGGACCCCATTGTCCGCGCCTTCAAGGCGTTGTAATCCACCTTCAAAGACATTTTGCAGTATTCTTATTGATGATGTCAACCTATAAATCTCTATTGATACAACGCTCATCTAGATCATTTCTTAAAGCGAATCAGCATTCAACGAACAGAATCGAGGGTTGTTTAGGCTGCCGTAAGACTGTGGACTCGGGCGGACTGTCCTAGTATATCGTGGGCATGACCGAGACCTAAAACCGCTGAAAGCTCGACAAACGCTGAGGATATTCTAGTCTCGATGAAAGCTAAAAAGGACGAATGACAGAACAAAGAAAGAGTAGAGGGTGATGAACAGGAGAGTTAATTTCCGCGGAGACTACGGAGTTTACGCTGTTATCTTATCGGGGGGTGAACTGCCATGTTTCCCCGCCCCCATCGTTCTAGGTACTGGTACTCAACTCCCCACACCAACAGCGTGACCACAAAAGTACCCGCTGTACCCTTACGGGGAACCACGTCATCCATCTGTGCAGTAATTTAGGTAAGCAGGGTTTATCGAGCCATTTGTTGTTCGGAGCTCTCGACTCAGGAGTGCGGAAGACAGATTTGGAAGTTCGCTGGTTAATTGTTCCAAATCGAGCGGGGTCAATATCGGCACTCCTTGCTTCAGCATCTGACTCGGTGTTTTGCCTTCTTGCCCAAACGCATCAAGCTTGAAAGCTTGCTAACTGTGTGCATGCGGGCTTAACATCGTTAATCACTTGCTCAATCGGTTTCAACAGATATGGGTGTCGACCCTCTGTCCCCCATTGCGCCCGCGCGCCTAAAAGCGCTACTCCTTCCTATCGGCAAGATCAAGCGCTCTCGCTTCTTGAGCTTTGCTGCCAGACTACAAGCCGAGAATGTAGTTCGGCTAGGGGATATCAGCCCTGATTTGCGGCCGAATAGAAGTATGCGGAACTCACTATCGATATGAATCTGGAGACAACATGTACTAATACAGTTCCTATCAGACATGTTTTCGCCATTGGCATTCCCTACCGGATTGATTCTCTTCGACCTTTCTTTCTCCGTCCCACCCACCTCGCACCTGGAATTGTTCCCCTTCGAGATATACAGAGAGCCATTGGTGATTATTGCGATAGCAGATGGAACAGAATTGGCTTCAAGTACCGGCGAAACTCAAAAGCACCCGACTCCCGAGGGACTCGATCAGTTGTTGGAAGAGCTCCATGGGGTTAAAGAAAGGAATCCACGGGCGTTGGTGAACCAACTATTGATCTTCGATCATGAGGGCTTGGACAAAGTCACTAATGGACCAGAGAATGTTCTATGGGTTCCCCCACCCCAGGTCTCCAAGGCCACTACGATGAAAACAGTCCTTTGTGACGTGACCGCGGTCTTGCTCTCCGAAATGGACGAGTTCGCGAAGACCATTCAGGCTATACCGTCAATCGAATCACCCAAAGCGTCTTCTTGGGGCCCACATCGGAACCCGGAACTAAGGCCGCGGCCGGTAGACCGACTAATGAATCGGATGACTCTACCCGCACAGCTTCCCTCCAGCCCAAATGGTGGGCAGGACACCCCGCTGAGGTCCAGTGCCACCTCACCGGCCCCGAGTGACCATGAAACCCCTACCACATTCGACGAGATCACTCGGTCAATCCATCTCACCAGTCGCACGAACTCGGGCAGCAGGACTCCTTCAATAGCGTCTCCGAAAGAGCATAGCCGTGACCGGATGTCCGTGAGCAACATGAGCGCTACTGATAGAACCAAAAATCGTATTAGGGGCCGCGCTGGAGTTGTAATTGGAACTCTTTTCCTGCAGGCAGGTAGATGGCCCGATGCTTTGAAAGAACTTACCGAAGCGGTGAACAATGCCCGAGCAGGCAGTGATTATATCTGGCACGCCAAAGCTCTTGAGACAATTCTTCTTTGTCTGATCATGTTTGGATGGGCAGGAATGGACTTCCAGGTATGTGCAACACGAAGAAAGGTCTCAAGACTTTCCGTAACAGACCGCTTACCGATCCTCTAGATCCCATCGGTTCTCTACCCTGTCGCTGAGAAGTCTTCCAAATCCTCCCGCGACTCGATTACGCCTAGTAGCGCTGGCAATCGGGTTATCTCTCTTCACAATCTAGCAAATCTTTTGCCAGACCTCTCAAACAACATTCTGAATCTATACACACGCGCCGCCAACATCACAGATGAACCCCTTCCCCAACTGGTCTTCTCAGAGACAGTGATTCGATTGGCAAGACTGATGGTATCATCTCGGATGCGAGACGGGGCTTTGGATGACAATGCTTTGAAACACATTGTAATGAACGAGACTCTGGTTCCATTGATTCAACCAGAGTTACCACGGGGAACAGTCTTGCTTCGGAAATCCGAAATCGCCAACTTTTTGTACCGGGCACTGCCGCTAGCTCCAGGTGCAGACCTGCCTGCTACTGATGCCGTGCCCATTATCGTTGGCGTTGTGTCCGTTCTGAATACCCTTGAACTGCCCAGAAAGAAAGCTTTTATTTTGCGCGAACTACTTTCCGTAATGGTACCTAGCTTGGTGCAAGCGCGCAAAATTGGTGCTGCAGAAGTTGGAATCCACCCTGCTGCTGGGCTAGCATCTTTAAGCGATACAGCATTCGATGTCAATGCCCTCGATGCAGGATCAGGAAATATGGAGAGCAGCGTGCGTCTTCTTCTTGGGACTATTGGAGACATTTACGGTGTTCAACCTTCATCTTTCCACGAATGGGAGAAGAGGAAGAGTCAGTCATCAGCAGTGAGTGGACTACAGGAAGGCTCTGAATATGACTCAGTTGCCAGCATTGCCGAAAGAGCATTCCGACACGTAGTTCTGGATCGTTATGGTGATCTGAACCTGAAGATTGATGTTCTCAGAGCCTGCATTAATTGTTGCGAAGCCCTTCCCGACTTCAATGGAGTTCTTCGCTTTACTGTCGAACTTTTGCAAACCATTCGTGGTGATATCATGCTTGGAGAGGGACACAAACATCCGCCCTATCTTCCGCAAGACGAACAAATTCGCCTACTGAACAACATCAAACGAACTGTAGGCGCAGGAACCAGGTTAGGTGCCTCTGATATGGTCGCCGAGTACTGGGATGATTTCCTAGTACGAGACGTCCAATTGCTATCACTTCCAGGTCCCAAGCGGCCCGTTCGGCGGTCCAAAACGGAATTGGATGCAGTCACTATCAGTTCTCAAAAGTCGAAAAAAGACCCCTTTCTCTACAATCCTTTCGCAAAGGCTAGCAGCAAGGCATTGGAAATGCTCACGGTGGCTGATGAACCTGCGTCTTACCTAGTCACCCTTCAGAATCCATACGAATTTGAGGTTGAGATTGAGCACTTGCGCTTAGAGAGCATCGGTGTAGCTCTTGAAGCTGTGGCAGAAAACATCGTGCTCCTCCCACTTTCTATACAGGATGTTACGGTGCTTGGCGTTGCCGAAGGAGAAGGCAGCCTCAACATCACAGGCTGCATAGTTAAAGTTCGCCACTGCCGCACGCGGAGATTCCCTATCTTCAAAACATTCTGGAAGCCTGCCCCCGAGGTCAAATTCAAGCGGACAGGCTTGGGTGCCAAACAACCTCTGACTCAACGCCCGGTTTCCTGGAGCTCAACAACCTCAAAAGATGGCAAGGTTGATGTCAAGAAAGGACCCGAGACCACCTCGTGTGAAGTCAAGGTGATCGCGAAACAACCCTCGCTTGTGATTGAGTCGATGTCTCTGTCGCAATCAGCAATGATGGTTCTCGAGGGCGAGGTCAAGACCTTTACTATCACGCTGCATAATGCGTCCTCGTGTCCTGTGGACTTTGTTCTCTTCACATTCGATGATTCAACAACTAGACAGCTGCAGTCGGCTCTGAGTAACAAAGACCTGTTGCCCGTCGAGATCTACGAGTTGGAGCTAAAGATGGCAACGAATCCTGCTCTGCGATGGCGACGAGAGGGTCTTGATCCCAGTGATTGTTCGATTGCAGCTGGCCAAAACGCAAGCTTTACAGTTGATGTTCTTGGAAAACCGGGTCTGCAAGACACAACGATTCAGATTGACTACTGCCGCGTGGGTGCACCCCCGGGTGAATTGCCGGATGTATTCTACACTCGACAGCTCTTTGTGCCATTGACGGTGACAGTAAACGCCAGTGTAGAGGTCGCCCGCTGTGACGTACTTCCATTCAGCGGTGATTTTGCTTGGAAGAACAATATTGATCCACCCGTCGATTCGGTGAAAGAGCCTGATGCATTGCTCTCCACCACAGAAAAAGATCCATTTTCACAAGTCCTTAGCCGCCTTGGTAACGGAGCTTATGGACCGGACCACTGTGTCGTTTTGCTCGATTTGCGAAACGCCTGGCCCAGTCCACTTTCGGTGTGGCTGCGAGTCAGCGAGCAATCAATGGAAACGATGTCACCACAGCCAGCGAACAATGATAATACCAACGGTCAGTACTCCGTTGATGGAGATCTTCAACCCGGCCAAGTCTGTCGCTTTGTTCTGGTCCTACCCCGCGTCTACCTTGACAACCCTCATGCCACCATTCCCGTAGTGAAAACTGGCAACCGCAGACAATTCGTCGTCAGCGCCAACAAACTATCCTTCGAAGCCGAAGGTGCCTCCCGCGAAGCCTTCTGGTTCCGAGAAGAGTTTTTGAAGCGAGTTCTCGGAGGTTGGAAGGAATCCGCCACTGGGCGCGAGGGATCTATTGACCTACGAAATGTCCGACTAAACCATCGTATGGTCGAAGCCATGCGTCTCGAAGATGTGGAAATAACTTTCTCCTTGGCCTCGCCGTCTCCACCCGCGGACTCTCCAGCAGTTGAACAAATTGGTCGCTCACGATTCCGCGTCAAAACAGACGACCTGCTTACCTTGACCGTCACTGTGCGCAACCGCTCCTCCCGCCCAATCCACCCTCTTCTCCGTCTCCAACCCAGCCTCCGTCATCAGCCAAATAACGTTGCCCTGGATCTCACTCGCCGACTCGTCTGGACGGGCATGCTTCAACAGGCACTTCCTATCCTACCGAGCGGTGAGTCCACCACCACCTCTATTGGCGTCACAGTACTGTGCCGTGGAGAATATGAATTCGGTGCTAGTGTTGAGGAGGCACGTCTTCTGCGATCATCTTTCCTGGATGATCATGCCCACTCTAGCGACTCTGCAGCTCCATATGATGACGGCGGTATCATGGATACCTTTGGAGCAGATGCTGTACGACGCCGGCGTATTTGGCACGCCAAAGAGTTGTGTATCATCCAAGCGAATGACTCATGATCTTCGCCTTGGATTACCTACTCGGCTACGATATAGATGTTGGCTTTTCTTTGTTTTCTTTTTCAGCCTGATCCCATGATGACTATGTAGCATACCCAACCTCTCCTGTATAAACCTCTGGCTAACTTGTATGATTGTAAGCCACGCATTTTCATGAATACAACGTGTTCTAGTTTCTTTACTATATAGGCTCGCCCCTGTTTACCATTTTTTTTCCTGCAAGTTAGCGAGTAAGAATATTATACCACGAGGGCTGAAAAAAACAACAAAAAAAACAAAAACAAAAACAACTCAGGAACTGATATATGAACTGGGTCTCTAAAAGGGATAGGTAAATAAAAGAATTACGTGGTGCCTCTGCGGCTAATCCTCCATTCAGCTGGGCCCCTCGGCGCGGGTCGCAATCTATCCGTCTCGGAAAGATCCCTAATTGGACACGTAGCTGTGATTACGGCCAAACATGAGAATTTTACTGCTTACGTTGTACCTACATATGTGGGTAATTCGTGATAACCAGAACTCGGCGACTTCTCTATCTAAGAAATTCAAATGTTAGTAATCCCGAACACGGCCTAGGTGCTAGCAGTGATGTATAAATTTCAGAGGTATCATATGTCGGGTGAATTCCCAGAGAGTATCCACTATTTATTTGTAATTCCTTAGTCATGTTTGCTTCCTATAAATTGCCTGAACCAGGGATAGTAAAGTACAGAGTTTCTCGCACATTCTTATTGGCCAGGCCTGAATAGCATCCGGCATCGTATCGTTTTGTCTCAATCAACAATACCTTCCCAAACAGCTTTCGCAATACTTTCAGACCTTGTCACCCATCAAAATCAAAGCAACAAAACAATATACCAGTGTCTTCCCAAACAAACTCCAATCATGTCACCTGATCTTCGACGTCCACAGCTTCATCCTGACCTTTCTGAAGTACACAATACATTCCCCTCAAACGAAAAGATCAGTTCTCGAGAAGAGCTCGAAATTCGTCGCAAAGCCCTCAACTTTTCACTAGAAGACACCATCTGTGGGAAGGAAGATGTCATCTCTCATGAAGAGGAATATATTCCCGGACCGACAGGTCTTAGTATGAAAGCATCGATCTTCCGTCCAAAGGCCGCACAAAAGGGTGGACACCGAGCTCCGGGAATACTCCACATCCACGGTGGTGGACATTGCAGCGGGAACCGCTTCATGGGAGTGGGAAGTGTGCTAGGCTGGGTCGAACAGTTCGGTGCAGTCATTGTCTCTCCGGAATACCGCCTCGCCCCGGAGAATCCTCAGCCAGCACAGATATATGATAGCTATGCAGCACTGGAGTGGATGTGCGACAACGCAGAAGCCCTGGGCATAAGCAAGGATAAAATAATTGTCTGCGGTGGTTCGGCTGGGGGAAACCTCGCTGCTGGTGTCGTTTTACTTGCACGCGATCGCTCAGGACCGAAGATACTTGGCCAGTTGTTGATGTATCCGTGGCTCGATAACAGCAATACAACTGTTTCGATGCAGCAATTCGGCGATGTTGCTCCATGGACCAAGTCAAATAGTATCGATGCTGGCAAGTATGCATTGGGCGAGCATGGCGAAAATGCTACTATGTACACTGTCCCGTCGCTCGCGAAGGATCTCGCTGGCCTACCACCAACATTCATCGATGTTGGTGAGGCTGATGTATTTCGAGACGAGGATGTCGACTATGCATCTGCACTGTGGAAGGCTGGTGTATCCACCGAGCTACATGTTTGGCCGGGCTGCTGGCATGCATTTGATGTCTTTGTGCCGGATGCTCCAATTAGTCGTCGGGCTCAATTAGCGAGAAGCAATTGGCTGGATAGTTTGATCTATAGCCAATGAAGTTCCTTCATAGTAACAGAACACGCATACTGCCGAGTGTCTTGTTTTTAATTTCGAAGAGCCAAAGAGGTTTTTGAAAGTTTAAACCTGTAGTTGAGTAAATATCATTACCAAAGTGACAGATAATTGCTATTTATATACGGGGGATGCTAGTTTGGCTCCATAATTACTATATTTAAGAAAGCATGTGGTTTGAAGTCTTGCATTCTTTCCCCCTCTCCTGTTTATCCTTGATCACAGACAAGCAACCACAACTTGTCTGTGCAACATTATAGCTAGTCAGATCGCGGCACACAATCAAGAGAGAACGTATCCTACGCGGCCGTGAGGGTGTATGAACGTAAGTATATTACACTCTTAAGTATGATTTGATCTGTATGTGTCTTCCATATATGACTTATATACAATAGGTACTTAGACTGTTTTCAACGATATATCGTCATCTTTATCACAAGAAGAATACGAGTAACTCAAAATAAATCAGAACGTAATAGAAAGACTGCTTAATAGCATTAATGAATTAGTCACTCCGGGTCTTGTTCCGGGTGGCAGCTTGTCCCAAGCCTTTTGACGTCCATTTCTGCAGGGACACGATGCTTCGCTTGTCAGAAGGGAAACAACAACGGCGATGAAGTTTGGGGGTAGAAGCGCTGAAATGTACCCGGCTTCAAGAGTTTCTGAATTCCACCAGGGACCAAGTTCATTGGTTTACTCGTGGTATGCATCCACGTGCTAATGTGTCTGCCTGGACCCTGAACTTCGGCGATGCGGCGATCGTAACCTGACCCAATCATAGTCTCCCAATGATGTTTACACCGAGTCCCAGTTGGGATTCTAAGTAGTTACGATTTTAAATAATCAGGGTTGTACCGGCACTTGGATTGCCGTGATGATTTTAGATAGTAGAGATGAGGTACAGAGCGTGAAATATAGTAGAGTAGCGGCGCTAGCTGGTGCGTGGTCTGTGCTTCCCGATAACTCGATGTCCCTGGAAGCTTGTTTTGTGGGACCAATAAGAAGCGGCCAGTGACATTCCCACTCTATTTTCTCTATACAACCTGAATTCCATACATACCAATACGGAGGGAATAGAGTTGATTAAACATTCTGTATCCTCTTTTATTTCGAAAATATCTAGCATCTCATTGGGAATAGAGCAAGAATGGAAATCCAACAATATTTGGCCCGCTACCCCAAGAGACTCGTTGCAAGGCTAGATGGGCTCAATTCTTAGTAGCGACAACGAACGAGTAGATAGGCTTCATCTGGTTCTTGACAGGATATAGGTCACCTCCTTCATAGGACATATCGCGGGCGTAGTACTCAACGTTGACGGACTTCTTGCTGATGTCCATGGTGACGAAACCGTTACCGGCGCCCTGGGAGTTGGCACCGAGGAACTTGGCAAAGGGGCCCAAGGCAACTCCGTTGTTGCAATCTCCAGGCTCAGCGTATCCGGAACCACCGGTGAGAATGAAGTTGGTGTTGTTGGAGTAATAGTGAGCGAGACAGTGATCATGGCCATTAACAACAATGCCATTGTACTTTTCAACGATCTCAACAAAGGGAGCAAGTTCAGTGAAGTTGGTGCTAGAGGAGACATAGCCGTGGTGAATTTGCAGGAACTTCCACTGAGCATCAGACTTGGCGAAGGCCTGCTCAACAAAGTCGACCTGGACCTGCTTGTCTTTGTGGCAAGATAGGGTATAGTCGTTCTGGTAGACTGAGGTGTTCTTTTGGTAGGCGTTGATGAAGCAATCAGAGTCCACCACTGCAAAGGTAGCCTTCCAGTCCTTTCCAGTCAAGTCGTAAGTATAATAGGGAAGTCCCTCAGTACCGAAATACCATCTATCGTCATAGAGAGGGGCTATCTTGGTCTGGAAGTCCACACCTGCTTGACCCTTGACAATATCGTGATTACCCAATGTTTGGTACCAGCGAGTGTTGTTGAAGATTCCGCCATCGTACATTTTGGACCAAGCCTGCTCAAACCGACTAACACCCTCAGTGGTGAAGTCAATGGCGCTGGAGTAGAAGTTATCACCGACGGAGATGATGGCACTGCAGTTCTTCATTGTGCAAACCTTGCCGATATAAGATGCGGTGGTAGCTGCCCATTCAATTAGCCGATCCCGTTCGTATTGAAATGGTGAATGAATAAAAACCAACTTTGCTCTGCGGTGGCATTGGCGATGTTTCCACGGTCACCAGCATCACAGTCATTCTGGAGCTCGCGAGGAATAGTGATGCCATTGGCAATCAGGCGGGGCATCACATTGTTACAAAAGTTGAGAGAAGCGGGCTCCCAGCCAGTCCAACCGTAATCTAACAGAAGTTCTGAATGTTAGTCAAGTCGGCCCAGGGAACATGTCTAGTTAGGGATGATAGAAATACCGCCAAGAACACCGACGGTGAGCACATCACTTCTTGCGTGGGCATTGGATCCAGAGGAAGCGGTGGCACCAGCCGCTGCAGTCAAGGCCAAAACAATACTTTTGACGGCGGACATGGCGAAATCTGTATTCTTTGCACTAACGAGACAAGACAAATCCTACCCAGCCCACAAGATACCCCAATATCCTCCAGGCCCGATGGGCTTTATAGGCGCATCTCCGTACGTCGACCCTTGCTGTACATTTCTCCAACCCATGTTTTTTCATTTTTCATAATCCTGTTTGCCGTGTACCAGTTCTCTCATCAAAAAATCCGTTTAGAGACTGTATCTAATGATATGTCATCTTCAGACCCCGTGGCAATACTTGGTTTCGCTGTTGGATGGGGTGGGCCGTCCTGCCGCACTGCCAGAGACATACGGCAGATTATCCGTGCCCCTGAAACGAAAAGGAAATTGAGCAAGGTATTAAGCTTTTAGACACCAAGTCAATTTTTTTGTTCATTCTGCTAGAAATTGGGATGTAATGAGCTAAGGCAAGCGGAAAAAATTAGTCATGACCACGTGGTTATGTTAACTGTCTTGCTGCACGAATCAAAATTTTCTGAATTGAGTTGAGCATAGAGATGATCTTTACTCTAAACAGATGCAAGATTGTTGATGCCTAAACCCAAGTCCCTGGTCTACCCAATTCCGGCCAAGGTACGATCTCATAAGTTCAACGGCTTGTGTTAATTACGGTCATTGTAGTTGATCACCGATTTTTGCTGTCCAAGCCCTTGAGTACCAGCTGCATGCCTGGTCCACGTTCTAAGCTTCGCCAAGCTCATTGGTGAATCCGTTGGCAGACCCGCCCCGGTCGAAGAAGCCGGACCCTCCAAGCCCCCAAACTGGAGGGCGACCCTTAATAGACCCTGGCTCGTCGAGTCTAATTGTTTATCATCAACCCAGTATACGCAAACAGATATTTGATTATAGAAATTATGATTGTCTACACATTTATTGTCCTCTATCATAAAAATGTATGTACTTCATTTCTGTCGCGCCTGGATATCGTCGATTGTAAATTCAGCACACAATAACTAAATTCTCAGGATAACAGGAAGCACTATAGGAGAGAAAGCTAGGAGTTTATAGCACAAAATTTTGAAAGAATTAGATCACTACTGGTGGCGTTGGTGTGGTTACGACCGAGAGAGCCGAGGCTAAAGTTCTGGATGGCACTACCGAGAAGACCGTAGGTAGTGATATAGATGTCGTCCTTAGTGCCGGGGGTGATGCTGGCACCGAAACACATGGCCTCGACGTGTTTGTCATTGTTGGGGCTGTAATCATCATTGTTCTGCCAGGTTATCTCGTCAAAGGTAGCAACTACGAGTGTACCCTGAGCCTCTAGCTCGGGAAGATGGAGGTCAAGCCACGAGTTGAGCCAGATTGCACCGGTGGAGGGCTGGTCGGCGTAGAAGCTGTTGGACTAGGGTCATGGCTGTTGTGGCGCATATCAGGAACTAAGTAGGAGTGCTCAGGCAAAGGGTCGCTCTTAACGTGGTCAGCAAAAGTGTTGTTTGCGTCATAGAGCTTGGTATTTGGTGGTATAAGTGTTGAAGAGCAGAGCGGGAACATCGAGACGACGGTATAGAGGGGAAGACCATTCGGGGTTGGTATTGTCGAAGGGGCCCTTGAAGATGTAGTTGTTGCAGTCATTAGGGCCTCGATGGGTCTCAATAGGGTTATACCACTCGTTGTACGATAGAGCAGGTGCTTAGCATCAAGCAGATCATATATAGTGCGCCTTGACATTGTAGAAGTCTTCATTGGCCAAGCAGAGAAATTCACCAGCCACAATCGCAGCATATGGGGACGATTTTTCTATATATAAACATAACGGCCACGGTAATACAGATGCAGGGGGGATAAACCGCCAATTTCCGCCGAGGCATGTCAGCTCTCAACGTCCCTCAGGCTATAATAAGTGACATTAGCATCTGAGCGTATCATGGACGTGTGTAGAGAGGTGGAGTGAGAATAGAGTGAGAATAGAGTAAGCAAAATACCATTCATTGTTATGTTGGTACTTGTATGTAGGCACCTGAAGTTAAACGCGGCGCCAGCTGCATGACATGTTAGTTAGTAACCCGGTCCGTGCTGCGACCCAACCCCCCTGGGGGTTGGGTCATTGGGTCGCAGCACGGACCGGGTAGGGAATTCCTGCAGATTCTGTAGAATGAGTCACTTACCGGGCGTATTTATGGGTTGCTGTAGAGCATAATACCTTCACGGCATACTTTAGAAAGAATAGACCGCCATGAACCACACGGGGCGTCCAAGGGCCTTGTCGACCACTTGGTTATTTTGTGTCGCTCTGAGTTGGAGCACGTCGGAAATCCAACTCTCCCCTTCGGCCCGCAGAGAGACTGAAAGGGAAACTATGCTAAAAGTCAGCAAATAAATCCAGAAGAGTTCAAAAAGGCCAACAGAATGGTTAAATGGGCGGCTGAGAGTATGCCCGAGAGGATGCCCGCAAGGATGCCTAAGGGGCTGGCAATAAGGATTTCCAGAAGGAAGCTGACTTACCGGCCACACCAACAAGAGCCAAAGGGTAAAAAAAAGAATTTGTAAGAGACATTTTTGATGATAGAGCTTTTGTAATGACTTATGTGAGCGCGAAGTTCATGTGCTACGGAACTACTTTGTAGACGGGGAATGCGATGATTTTAAGGAAGGTACCAACCCGTACCATCATAATCAGCAAGATCAGCAAGATCAATTCATATAGGTGTATTGAAGCTAGTTAGTATACTTCCATATTGCTGACCTAGGTTCTTTTCCTTGTATCTGTCCAGATCTTGGCGGCGCGTCGATCATGTTAAAAGGGTTTGCATCACTACCATCGACAAGCCCCAAATTGAGACTCGCTTGAACCAGTACGAGCGACGACTCTTCGTTTCACTACTAAATTCTTTTCGCAGCGCTTTCCTGTCCTTCTCAGAAATATCAAAGCCACTTCGTGCTCTTCGACAACATGCACATTGAAGAGTACAATGTCCAACTCCAAGCTTGCGTGTATAGTCAATGTTGCGGTTGAAACAGCAGCCACACCTGCGGGCACAGCACCCTTCTCGACCAGCACAATCGTCCACAAGGGCTTTGTGCATATACCATCTAGGATGTGACCGCCATAGATCAAATGCTCTTGTCTGAACACCTTTTTGGAAAGAATCTCTAGAATACCACCACCTTTGCTTAAGGAGGAAGTATCTCGCGTCCAAGACACGAAGTCGTTCTTTAGCGCCTTTGGTCAGGGTATTGATTCCCTCTTTGATAGATATCTCTTCTTGAACCACTTCACGGAGTTCTTCTTCTACATCAAGAAGTTTGCGCGAGTAACCAGGCAACCCTTGGTAGCAACGGTAGAAGTGAGAGTATCGATATTCTTGGAGATCGTGAATGTCCCCATATTTTGCTTTTCGAGCTTCAGATATGCTCATCTCGCCAATCAAGTTCGCTTGCAATCGTGGTCGATTACCATGTGTTTTCTGACTGAGTGCAGAGAGCGGCATTTTGTCGTTGAAATGTAACAAAAGACTTTTTGAGGTTGAAGAGATGATTGTTTTCCAGGGTCTGCGCTTCTGGAACTGGTAGTGATTAAGCCTTAAGCGCCACATACCGTGAGTCAGGGTTATGATTCGCTTTCAACTCTGGAGCTTAATTACCGAACCTAAAAGAAGAATCACAGAGAATATCCAATATTACACCCATTGTTTACTGATGTATACTATTAATCCATGAAAATATGTGAGAACATGAAAACAGTGTGCATCCGCTGGTGGTCACCTACCCAACTACCAGCTCACCATAGACGTAGTTTACGTGCTGTCAATAGTTTAGTACCCCGCTATGTCCAAATGTGATGAGAGGCGATGAGGCCGCCTCAAGTATTGGTTTGTAGGTTTGTTGGTTTGCATCCAACCGCCTTGTCAGTTGTTTCTGAGGGATATATTCGTACAGAGTACATCCTAGCACTGAACTCGATCCCGCAAAACTCCCAAATCTTCTATCGTGATCAAATTTTTGTTACGGACGACCGCGGAAACAGCGAAAACCCATATGCCTTGGAGGTTATTGGCAGTGCGTTGAGGACAACTTCCACCTTTATGCTCAGCTCGAGTAATGCGTCCATAAGGAAGTTATCACTCCCTGAATCCATTTCATCTAAAGTGTCTATCACACAAAACGCCCTAGGTCAACCTCCTGATGCCATGTTGAGGTCACTCCCCAAGTCGGTCGGTGATAGGCTATTGAGAGACCGCCATTTTTTGAGAGATTGTTGGAGTTTGACCTGGAGCAGAGCACTATGTTTGAAAACTTGATACAGCCAGTCCCGCAACGCAGCGATAGACTCGTGGTTTGCATCAATGATTTGTCGGAAGAAGAGGTAGACGACTAGCACATCCTCCATCTGCAGTTGCTTGATGACGGAAGCAGCCATGATGGACTTTTGGAGACCGGTATACCTTTGATCCACAGCAGCCCATTGTAACCAGAGCGCCACTGCTGGTAGGCTTTAGTCTATATAAGCCTGGTATCCGTTCAATAGATGCGAGGCACGAAGTCTGGAGTATTCGCTTCTTTCAAAGTCGTAGGGAGTTGCTTGAAGCCAATCTGTGATGTCATCGAAATCTTTCGCCGGTAGCGGGAGTATGTTGTCAGTGTTGATATCCTGGAGGTCTCGTCTCACCAACCATGATGGCGTCGCCCTCGGAGTCACAATAAGACATGATTGCGTCTCCGAGTTGAGCAGAGGGGGAGATTAGAAGGCAGCAGGTTTTCAAATCGGTGCTATGCGCTAAGAATCGGCCTAAGCACACTAGTTGAGTACTGGTTTCTCTCCTAACGATTATGAACGGTGCGGCCTTGCTGCACGGGCCGAATCGTGCGAGTCATTGCAGATGGATTTCACATCCTCAATCCTCAGAGAATTACCTCCTGACACAACGTCATCACTTAGGCAAAATCGGGTGAAGTGGTCTCGTCCCTTCAACACTGGGTCTTGCGCGCGGGCGCACCGGTGTAGACCGGCGCTTGAGCCTAGCGCAGTCCATCAGTCAAGTTCAATTTCACGAAACAGTATTTTTGCTTCATGAGTAAAATGTTTTTGCCTTTGCTGGAGTATATGCTGGACACCCGATGAATTGGCCAAAATATTATCTGAAGATATATTGGAGATTGAAGAAAAGGGTAAGGTGATTCACATTTCTAACAAGGGGATAGAGCAAAAACCGGACAAAATCACAATGAACGACAAAGTCATCCAAAACTGAATAGCGCAGATAGAATTTTGGCAGAAAGAATGTCTTTTAAGGCTATTCACTAAGAACATAATGGAGAGCGAGGAAAGAGGAAGAAGGTGTGAGAGAAGGTGTGAGAAACAGCTCGCTAGATGATAAGACCGTAGTTGCCAAATAGGAAACCACATGATTCCCCAACACAGTCTCTTCGAGTTATTCACGTCCACTGGGACTCAAAGGTGAGTGTATAGGAAAATAATTGGAGAACGTTATGATCGTTTAAAATAGCCAAGCTTCTTTAATATTGAAGAGAATATTGCATATATGAGAGCGCAAAAAATGATTATCTCACGCGTAATTTGGCTAAAGAAACCTCCTGGAGTGCTAATAGGTCGAACATATTTGGTAGCAACGAGAACGAAGAGAGAAAAGAAAGGGACAACTGATACAGACTTCACAATTTCTCGCATCAACCCTAACCTTTATGCCGAAGTCGCCTGAAGCTCTCGATACTCTTTCAAAGCAGGAAGATTATAATACGGCACATGGTAGATGGAAAACGGAAGTATTTTCGACGACTCAGCCACCACATCAGCGGCCTCACCATAAATTTCCGCAGAGTAAAACATTCCCGGGTCTACAATGAGAAGGTCCATCTCCGCTAGCGCTTGTGCTAGTCCCCACGTGTTTCCTATCGTTCGAAGACACTTGATTACCCACAAACGCTGTGGGTGAGTTGGCCCTTCCACCATTCCGGCAACAAATAGGGGCCATAGCAGCATAAGTCCGCCAATGTAGCTTTCTGGTGGAAGAATAGGCGTTTCTGGAAGCACTTCTAGGTTGCATGCACCCAGGTGAAATGGGATGCTGCGGCAGATGTCGACACCAAGGCGGCGAATGGTTGACCGTAGAGAGTTGGAGTATAAACGAAAATCTTCGGATAATGAGGCCGGCGAGCTGTTAGATATTTTGTGGACTTGCGATAAAATAAGCTCGCTGACCAGAATCCGTGCGCAGCGGTAGTGATTCCAGACATTAGGCGACCAAATGTCAGGGTAGATGTGATACTCATTGTTGTAGGGTCGGAGGCCGTGACATCGACGCTCGAAAGCAGTGTCTAGTGGCATGAGTGTATGGGTACTATATGTAAAATCTGGCGGCAGTGAGGCCAACCAGGCAAGAAGATCTGCTTCTATGACACATGCTGCGCTCAGAATCTCTTGGTGGTTGGTCAATGCTTGCGTGCGAATATTTGCACGCAGATTTGCGAGATTGCCCACGATCACGATAAGTTTATTCCCGAGGGCATTCTTTATCTCGGGGAAGATATCAAGCATTGTACATTCCAGTAGAGAGCTGGGTACAAAAACATCGCGCTGGAGACAACTTGTGATCTATGAAAAAATTAGTATCTTCTTCCAGTGTTTAGAAATTTCCTCACGCACTATCTGATACCTCAAATGTAGGAATAGCCGGATTCCTACTACGTTTTGCCATTGTGAAGCTCCCCTGTGCTGTAGAAGAGCAGCCGCTCCAGAGATATGACTTGTCCAACCCTCGATTCCTTGTGGGGACCTTGATGTGACAATCTACAAACATTGGCATTTTGTCCTTTGATTTTTGTGGGGAAGTACTCACTTCATACAACGCTAGAAGAACAACTGCACAAAGTGTCTGATTCGTTTTAGCCTCATTAGGATCGGCAAGCGCTCGATTCACAAGCTCAAGCGCAGATCCATATTCCTTACGCGCAGCGTGGCACAGTGATCCAGATCTTCGAACACGCGAAAGCATAGCGCTAGCAACCGCTACTATGCTGCATTGTATCGCCTGCTGACTCAATGACCCACCGGATGCCATGAGGAAATTGGTCAAAGTATCCGTTATCATAACACTACCGGAATAGGAATGCGACTGGAGAAAGAAACAGATAGCCTCTTGTTTCGAGATTCCCGTGTCGGGGTGGGTTCCCAGAGGACTCTGTTTTCTCTGGTGCGCATAAAATTGGAGGTCAGGATCGGAGCTGTACTCAAAAACCGGCTCATCCAAGCCCGAGAAAGAGTCTGAGATCACCGAAGATCGGGAACTTTGCTCTGTGAAACCGCAAGGACCCGACCGCAATGGACTCCGACGTCTCATAGACGTGGCCGAGGAAGTAGAAGCCGCGGAAGAAGAGTGTACAGAACGCGCCTTGCGCGCAACGGATTGGGTTTCATCGCGGAACATCAGCGACAGTTCATCGCGATACCCAGCGCATTCTCGGTTGGTTCGAGTGCATTCCCAACAGGCCGGTCGGGTCTGGTCGCATCTTATCTTGCGGGAGCGACAGTTTCCGCAACCTTTGCTGGGTTTACCATCGTACACCATGATGTAACTGCTATTGATTAGACGAAGAGGATCAGTATGTTATTGACCCTGCTTTGAAGAGTTGCTCGGTATCAAATGACTCTTCAGCGGAAATAAGAATAATGCCGATGGGGCTTTTGGCCCCCACGTCATTGGGCTGAGTTCTTCAACGCAGCTTCAGAATCTAACGCGTATAGGGCAAGGATTTGCGACCATGCATAAGCTCGCTATAAGCGAGCTTCAAAACGCGTGGCTTAGTATTTTCTCTTTGCTTCGTTGAAGCTTTGCGATCGGAGGATTTTCAAACAAAATTCGCTGTCGATATACGAAGCACATTCCATAAAACTTTGTGATCGCACCTCGGTTTTTTCTTTTCTTTGCTTTATCTTGTGGCCTGCGTGAATAAGTCGATCATCCGTACACGGGTGCCCAGGTGCTTGTCCCAATTTGTCATGATAGTTTAGCCCAACGAACAGTGCAACCTCCGGTATTGTTCTCCAGCACTCGGCGTGGACCCACTCCTTAGCATAAGCTGCTGCGCGAAGTCCCGCTGGGACAGAATCACACATCATAGCCTGCAATGGGATCTGATTTAACACCCCGAGCTGCTGGCATAAAGCGCTGCCTAGAGTGTCGGCAGAAACGAGGTCACCGATGCATATGGTAGCATCACTTTGGCCCCCAAAGCGGGGCTGGAGGTCGCCGTCCACATAAACCCCACTTGTCGCCGAAAGGGCGTGTTAAGGAAAGAAATGTAGTGACCTGTGAAAACGGAGGTTTGGTAGTAGATGAAAGGGCGAAGTAAGACTTGTCGATGAGGCTGACTGCTTGTTGCTTGATTGTGAACACGCTAGATGAGATTTTAGCCACCATTATTGTTCTTGCAGGTAGAACGTCCTAGAGCTAGATCATTCCATGGGCTGTGCTTACCATCCATAGTGTAAAAAATTTCTAATTAAAAGTGCAATGCTCTGTCATCTGGTAGTCAATGTAAGAGTATGCTCCTATCCATGGATAGCCGCAATGCAAAGGCTGAATTCGAGATAGTCCGCCTTATATATATATGTGCTAATGGGTGTCTATGGATTGAGAAAGTCGTCCGAACCAGCCCAACTCTTTTGGGCAATTCTCGCGAATAAGTATGATAAGTCCAGTCTAGATTAACTAATTCGAGGTGCCTTCCAAGGTTGTTTGTTTGCTTTGGGTATTTCCCGTGGTGATTCATATTCCAACCTATCATTTTGTCTCGGCAAAGGACTCTAAGGGAAATTTACAGTCTAAAAGCTTGGATTCTCATGTTTCTACGTCATGATGGAGGACATGTGGGAGAAGAGCATGCATTGGAGAGAGTCTAGTGCATGATACTAAAGTTGTTGATCTACATTGTTTCTATACTAAGATTGTACGTGGCAAGAATAGCTCACAATACAAGCCTGAGCCCCTGGATGTGAGCTAAACCCGAAATGGACAAAATTGCGAGAGCCAATCAGCCCGCATAAATCTTGCTAAGAGCCTCTAATTTTACACGGGTCCACCAAGAGCGACAATTATTTAGTGGTATACCATATAAAAAAGGTAGGAAAATCACTAGGAAGATCTATAGCTTCTTGAGAAATATCCAGAATCACTTTGAGGCTGCGCATTGTGACCTTTTAAAATCGCCTTGGAGAGAAGTAATGATAGGTCTAGATTTCCAATGTTGTTGTCATGATACCGCGTGCATGTCCATAGATCCTTTGTCGTAGCTTATGTGTGGATCAAATGTCGCATTGACCAGTGCGGGCGTATGAGATAGATCACCGTCATTTCCGTGACTCGCGGTAAATATGCGGAAAAATGCTTAATTACCCAAATCCGACCACTAGTGTGTTCGAACCTGAATCTGGGGAGACGCTAGACGTGGCGAAGTTTTGGGGGCGAATAATGTGATAGCTACATGAAAGAGCCAAAATTGTTCAAGCTTCAGCCTTATTGGTGGTCGCAATATGTGCTAAAAACGTATTAGTGCCTACCCCAGCACCCAGCCCGAAACTGCCGATCCCGACAAGGCTTAGACGATGTCAATCCAGGTACCTGCGGCAGTTAGTTAGGTCCCCGAGAGTAGGCGTTTTGTCGGCGATCAATTATTTTTATTTTGTAAATAAACGAAGACAGAGCTATTATAAAGAGATCAAGTGCTCCCACTGCCATTTCAATGTTCTCACCCATCGCATACCAACTCTCCAGCTTGGACATCTAGAAGCTCTTACAGTCACCATGAAGCTTCTTTCTACAGCTTTTCTGCCAGTCTTAGCAGCTGCCGCATCCTCCTCCCCTTCTGTCACAATAGATGCTGGAACAGTCCAGGGTGGAAAGTGCGAAGGTGGTCAAAAGGCAGTCTTTTACAAGGCAATTCCCTTCGCTGAGCCTCCAGTCGACAAACTACGTTTCGAGCCGCCTAAAGCCTATAAAAACCAATATCCTCAAGGAACACTAAATGCAACCACTTCGGCCCCAACCTGCATTCAATTCTCGGATGACTTCACCGAGAAAAAGTTGGGCACAACTGCACTGTCATCCGAAGACTGGTAAGCTCATCTGCACTTCTGGTTCTTTATTTCGACGCAAGAGTATACTAAACATGTTTCTCAGCCTTTACCTAGATATTTGGGCGCCATCTACCGCCACTGAGAATTCAAAGCTGCCCGTCAAAGTTTGGGTTTACGGTGGATCTGAAACAGAGGGTTCTATTTCGGACCCGCTCTACGATGGCTGTAACACAGCAGAGGCAGGATCCATTCTTGTTTCAGTCAACTACCGTGTGGGCCCCCTTGGTTTCATTGCTCTCGAAGCTGCCGGACTTTATGGCAACCAGGGCATCCAAGACCTTATTATGGGATTAGAATGGGTTCAAGACAACATCGCGGCCTTTGGAGGAGATCCGGTATGACAATTTGGACTACATCCCGACCGGAGAACGAAGAAGTGGAGCTGACATACATATTTGACTATAGAAAAAGGTCCTCCTCTTTGGCCAATCGGCTGGTGCTGAGAACGTATACGCCATTGGCTCTCTTCCTCAGGCACCTTCTTTGATGAATGGTATCATCTCAGAATCGGGCGGTGGTAGAAGTCTTAGCGCAAATTCAACCCAGCAGAAGGTTGCCGCGTCATTTGCTCAGAAGCTCAATTGTACCATTAGTGACGTGAGTGCATGGATTCTCATTAGTGATATAGATTCCGGCCATTAACATTTCTACAGAAATCCTGTCTCCAGTCCAAGACACGTGCTGAACTGGTGGCTGCGTATGAAGCCGATGAATACTTGCGGCAGGGAGTTGGATACTACGGCACGCAGGGGTCTCTCGGTGTCCTGAGCCAGGGAACTCACAATTTCTACCCCTATGTCGATGGCAGTGTCATCGACGAAGACCCCCACAGCCGTGGAGTGCAAGTCCCGGCAGTCTTTGGATCTAGTATGTTCATTATCACATTTGATGAGTAATGACATCCTGCTAATCAATTAACGCACAGACTATGACGAAGCCATCATTTATACGTTGGAATGGGTTAGTTTAGCTAAGACCACTCCAACCGCATCAGTATACAAAGAGTTCCTCCGCAGTAATTTTGGCAACGCCGCCTCGCTTGTTGGGAAAAACTATTTGCCATCTTTGTTCGAACCAGAGGCCAAGCTCATTATTGAAGCTTCCAGTGTGTTTGCTGACATGAACTCGACCGCGCTCGCAATCGTTCTGGCTATGACCCAAGTCATTACCGATTCCACATACAAGTGCCCGGCATGGTACGGTGCGGCACAAGCAACTCGCAAAGGTATCCCCGCGTGGACTTACCAATTCACCCACGGCTCGACATGTCCTTGGCTGTTCTCCATAAATAATACCACCGTCAGCCTTTTCAACGCCTCTCACACTGCTGAAATTCCATTTGTTTTCGGTAACTTGGATAACTCATATCTCCCGGCTGGGGATTGCAATTCTACAGCGGCCGAATGGAAACTCGGTGGCCAGATGATGGACTTGTGGACTGCCATGGCAGCAAATGGCAAGCCATCAACTAATGAGATTGAGTGGCCGCAGTTCAAGAATCAAGGGAAGAATCTTACGATTCCCGGTTTGATCTTCGACAACTCAGCTGTTGTTGGAACAGTCGATTACACTGGATGCGATCTGTGGATTGAAGTGGATGCGATGCTATCAGTCAGCAATGCTACAGCCTCGACGACACCCAGTGCGACCGCTGGCAAACCGACGTCCTCACCGTCGCCCACTCAATTCAATGCCGCAACCATGCTGCTCCCTCAATTCGGGGGATATTTTGCTTTGACGATGGTTCTCATGGGACTCGCTGCACTTTAGAATTTTGTTTCAATCCTCTATAACACTGTTATTCTAACGGCTTGACTATTTTGGCCCTCTATTCCTCTCTGTTTCTATTATTGTCGGGTGCAGATCTTATGATACCAAGAGTGTTATTTTGACGATTGATATCTTGGCGTTGCTTTCATGTGGATATAGCCAAACTCTGTTTTTATCTCTCATTCTTGAATCAAACCTTTGTAATCATCATCTCAAATACCCATTTACCCATCGATATCTAGCAGCCTATAATTACCGGCATCTTTTACATCTCTTTTAACCTTAGTCTCCATTATAACTAGTAATTCTAGGCCGCTATGCACCTTGGCAAATGCCGTTACTTGATGGACCCCTCAGCTGAATATAATAGCATGAGATTAGATTATACCATTCCTTCTGAAACGCTTAATATCTTGGCATTGAAAAGTTTAGGGGCTTCTAGCGGTTACCTGATAGAGCTCGTCGACTAGTTAAGTCGAAGATGTCTTAGGAACAGATGCATTGTGTAGAGGATATAGAGACTGATTATTGGAGGACACTCGGGTCCTAAGAGAAGTAGAGAGGCGGTTAAGCAGCGCTGATGGACCGACATCGATGCGCTGGTTTTGAGCTATCATATCGTTCAACCTTTTGAGGTTCCAGGATTCACTCCATTACTTTACAAAAGATGCAATGCCGACTTCTTTGTACAATTTGACCTGGTTTCGGAAAGCAGGACAAAGGAACGGTACTTTAAAACCCACAGCGGCGATACATTTGACGACAAAAAGAATGGTGGGAGATGGTAGACAGAAATCTCACCATAGCCTAGGGCATAGCGAAATATCTTTTCCTTTGATTTTAGGGAAATTTGATTTTTTCGTTCTACAGAAATGGTCACCTCTTGATATACAATGTCATTGAAAGGTTATACGCCTTTATTACACAAAATCTTGATAGCCGTACCGCTCTATACACTGTATTAGTCTGGGCTTAGCTTTTATTCAGCCATGATTTGTCTATATATGTATGAACTCTTTCGTTTATTGAGCCCGATACAGCAATAGCCCGGGAGACGCAATAATGTGTTTCTAAATAGCTAGCCGCGATAATTTTGATTCTACCGAGGAGTTGCTTGGTATAGCTGAGAAAACGTTCGATCAAGTTTGTTAATTTCTATAGCTGTTCCCATTGGTTCCTTTCAAAGTTACTAAACTCTCGGAAGACCTGGAATAAATCCGTATCATCACGAAAGTCAGTAGCGTCAAGAATTGAAAAGTCAAACGAGTTTCCCTCAGGATAAAGGAAGTCTTGAGCCAAAGAAACACCTTCAGTTTCAAGAAGTGAATCAAGTGAGCAACTTATATCAAGTGAAGTTGAAAATTGGCCGCTTTGCTCCTTGGTCGGCGAAAATGATGAGACCGGCATGCTCCCTTGGCAAGCAGTATCCTGTACATTGGGTGCAGGTGCAGCAACTCTTGAATCCTCCGCACTCAGATCAGACATCGAATCCGATAATAACGCAGACTCCACGCCCCATCTGTGCGCCAGAGCGTTGATGTTATCAACGCTTTTCTGCACGCGATTCGGCCAGTACCGACCCAATTGATTCAATAGATAGAGACACTTTCGCACGGATCTAGTGCTGAATCGACGGAATGTGAGGGATTTTGTGGTCATATTCATCAGATGCACGATTGATGCACTTAGCAAATGATGTATGAGAAGCGGGTTTGCTTTTTCAAAACCATGTACTTTGCAATAATCCTGCACTAACCGGAGCATTGATGCAGCGGCTGAAGTGAGGGATTGTAGAACCACAGTCATCAGGTTAGACATTTCGGGTGTCGAGCTTGACGATTTCACAAATAGGCGAAGGAAAGGGGGCATTGTGACCAATATTGCCATTTGGTAGGACATATGAAAGAGGAGGATAGGCTTGGGGTTTGGCCCTCGTTTTAGGGTGAGTTTTGGATGCCGTGATTGGGAGAAATTATTGAGATTTTCGTGTGTGGTCATTAGAAGGTGGGCTTGATCCTGTATGCTTTGGGTTTCAAAAGATGAAGAGAAGCTGAAAGGGTATCAATGTCGATTTCTTTATCAATATTTCGGGAATGGAACATACATTTCATCCATTCTTTGGTCGTGCATGTACCATAATTTGCACTGCCATGCGAAAGAAATTTGAGCCAAGCTGGCTCCATCGATAGGGTATAACGTTTCAATAGGTGGGACATTCACCCGCCTCCATGGTAGCATGCAGTTTCGTCCCAGAATTGAGACTGATGTTCTATCTGTCATGTAGAATGACCAGAATGTTCGCACGTCTACTGGTGACGGGGTTACAGAGCTGGTTTTGGGCTCGGCAAGGGCCAATACGTGAAGACGTAGATGAACCGCCAATCCAGCTGCCATGGAGAGGAAAGTCCATCCAAAATGGTCATGGCCTAGGGCTAGAGAACGCCAGGATAAAATGCTTAGTCCTTGAATCACGTGTATTGACGGTGAATGTCGGAAGCACTTGAACACCAGGCTTTCGCTGAGCTCAGCAAATGAATTGCTGATATTGATTGAATCGGCTAGGTTCTCGAAAGTTGCCCCAGCTGCTAACATGGCAGCATGCAAGAATAGCCGATCTGGAGTTTGGTCGGGGTAGTCTAAAAAGAAGCTCGCAGATTCGTAGGCTGTAAATTGATGCTCTTCATTGATGTTTCCAAGAAAAAGAGCCCCTAATTGGGAAAGGCGATGGGCGTCTCCACAGATTTCTGATATCTCAGAAGGCACCTGGCGAGGAATCTGAGAGGCAGGTTTATCTTGCAAGGAAATAGTCTCTTTCTTCGCTTCTGTTACTGGGATTGGAACGGCATCTGCTAGATTTGTTCTCCACATCATGATACTCAATTCTTCCATTGCAGTCTGCGATTGATGAATCGTTTGATCACCAGAAGATGCGTTGTACATGGGTTGCACATCATCGTGGGCTTCATCGACAAGTGGAGCTAGTTGACGATTGGGTTGCAATTCGGCCCCATCCCGAGTGATAGGGGCAGCCCCTTTTTTCTGAAGAGCTAAAAGTGCCTGAACCTGATTCTCAAGAGACTTGACATAATTTTCGTCCCAGTATTTGCGCCTGTAAGGGGTTAGTCATCGATACAAGCTTTGAATTCGAATACATGCTTTCTCGGCTTTTTCTCAGTAATATACTCGCACTTTTTCTGTCCCTTTTGACATGTTGAGCATTGAGGTTGGGTCCCATCGCACTTCGAAGTTGGGTTAGCTAGCGTTCTCTGAGTCGTGTGAGGCACTTACACGACGTTTTGATACTCGGCATTGTTGACAAGCAAAAGCAATACCCTTTCCTTGGGTCGACATTATCTCCCCTGCTCAGTGCTATAAGATTTGGGAACGATGTTGAAGCTGAAGTTGAGTGATCCCGAAGCCAATCGAAGGGTCAATGTACGTCAGCAGATAAGAAGCTTGGCGCGGAGCTCTTCCCGCCCATTCCGCTATATGAAACTACACGAGGTACTTTCGCAAACTATTAAGTATTCAATTAATGATACCTAAACTACTCCTCCACGATGCTTACTACGTTCTCGCCATCTGCATGTACCATCTTCTTCACCTTCTTGCACACATTGAGCCACATTAGGTCCGGGCGGCTGTAATGACCAGTGGCATCCGCAAACAATTTGGTCGCCACAATCTGGTTCATATCAAGATCGGCATAGACAATACCCTCAGAAGTACTGTCAATAGGCTCTGTCAGTCTTCTTCCATCTGGACCAAAGACTGCCGAGGTTCCTCCGCCGGGAGAAGACATCAGGATGCCGCCGCTTGTGTTCATTGCCTCCACTCCTTTTTCGGTGATGACTGCCGTAGAGTGAAGAACGAAACTTTGTGATTCTATGGCGTATGTCTGTGACAAGCTGTGGCAGCCTGGAGAGGTATGTCAGTATGGTGACTTTGTAAAAAGGAATTTCGCTGATGTACCTTCTGCGGACATGGACCAGAGATCGGATTTCCCCGTATGAGGAGTGAGACTGGGCCAAGCGGAGACATGAATCTCTTCTCTCTGCGAGATCATGAAATATTTCAACAGAGGCTGAATATGTTCCCAGCAAGAAAGTGCTCCTACTCGCGCAAAGGGGAGATCCACAACGCTAGAGAAACATTCTCCGGAGGCATCTCCAAAGATGGTTCGCTCCATGTGAGTAGGCTTCATCTTTCTTCTGTGAGACTTAATCTCCCCGTCGCCGCCAATGATGACTTGTGCGATGTACACAGAGTTGTTGTCGTTCTCCGAAAAGCCTAGAGATACCGCGATCGAGTGGCTTTTAGCACAAGCTTGAATCTGGCTCATCTCCGGGGAATCAAGAGTCATAGAGTTCTTAATATAGGCAACATTCATTCCGACGTCCAAGAACCGGCTCCTATCATTGCTCGTCACTATGGGCAATAAAGTTTTGCAGACTCGAATCGAACATACCAGATCCAACATGGGTATCCAGGAATCCAGCATTCCGGGAAAGCAATCAGCTTTGCACCATGCAGGGCGGCTTCCGAGATCAGCTTGCAGGTCTTTGTCACGCCAGCCGCAAGATCCAACCATGCTGGTTCGGCCTGAGTGACAGCCACGCGGGTGATTTTTGAAGTGTCGGGCATTGTAGACAAATGTTAATATATGATACTGAACAGAATTTAATCCGTGTTGTAAATGAAAGCTCAGATAATGTAGGGAAGAATGGCTGTTCTCACGACACTTTTATACTTCGTTCCCCGCTTTCGTCTCTACGTTATCATGACCTGCGGAGCCAAAACCTCCGCAACCTCAAGTGTTCAGTATCTTTGCCACTTCTGCTTTTTTCATGGAAAAACAACAAATCAAATATTGGTGATTTTAATTCTACCAATCAATTGAGAGTCGATATCTCCGAAGAGGGTCACCCTTGCAAAGTTTGAGATAAACTTCGAAGTTTGCGCGACCTATATCGTGTAGGAGATTGGTCATAATCTTTACATTAGTGTTATCTATCTGGATGGCATCTTGATTGCAATTTCTGCGGAGTTCATAGCCTCCGCAGCGCATATGAGTTTGGCCGCGGTCATGCTGCACCTATATAACTGATGCAACGTTCCTTATATGAGAAAACAATTTCCTGCTTTCGCCTTCTACGGCCAACTCTTACAACATGTATACTGTCAAATTCGAAAGTGATGAGCCTTTTGTATATTCTGTCTTCGGCATCCAATATCCGACTGGAAAACCAAGCAAAGCCCAGGAAGACCGGACAAATGAATTTAACAGCTTGATCACTGGCTATCCGTCCCACATCGACTGTTTAATGCAAGATGGTTGTGCGTCTATTTCCCATGGAACTACTTTCGTCTGGCTTGCCTACTGGAAGTCCAGCCAAAATTATCAGGATTGGTGGAACCAGAAAGCCGTCTCACACTTTTGGAACAGCCTCCCAAGCGATTCCGGTATCTGGAGAGAGATTCTGACACCTTCACCTCGAAGAAGTCAATATGGAACCAGCCAGGAACATGAGACAGGAATGGGCCATTTGGGTTCTCGAGTCTCGCTCGGTGACAAAGCCGGTTACTGGGGATGTTATCGAGATCGGATGGCTGACTCTGCCACCGATACGTTCGCATCACACCTCAACTCGGAGCCGGTTTGCCTCATGAAAGCTGGATCAAGACCCAGCTGTCCTGGTCGCGTTCAGATTACACATTATCCTGACAACCTCTGCTTTGTAGTCGAAGGTCAAGATCACTCTGCCCTCTCGGCTGAAGAACGGGAGTATTGGTTTGAAAATTTTGATGCCTCAGTCAATCAATGGATCAAAGATCTTTTGGCTTCAGGGCCTGATTCTGGAATCTTAGATGCTCGCTTGTGTTTTGAGCCCGAAAAGGGCACATTCCGCAACTCAGAACCTCGCGCTTTAAACTATAACAAGAAGGTTCAATTATTTTACTTCAAAGATTTGCGTCACATGGAACGCATTGGGCGTCTTAACAAAGGACACGTTGACTTGAGGAAGCGTTTTCTTGAATCCTATGGACCAGAAGGAGCAATGGCTGGTGGAAATATTTGCTTATGGGTGGAAACAACAGTTTTGAAAGCGGATGAAGTTGAATGCGAATATATTGGCTGTGCTGAGGGTACTGGCTTCATGAGGACCATGGAATGCTGAATTTCTTGTTATCAAATTGAATCTTTCTTCGCAGTTTCAAGGTTGCCATACAACGTAATGAGGAGATCGCTTGCCGGTAGTAATATATAATAAGCCAAATATAATGCAATAAATATTGGTATGAAATATAGATTGCCGAAAAGGCATATAGTACTTTCGGGGTTCACTGTTACCACCTAGACTCTTTAATTGTTTCTCTAAAACTAATGTTCAGATACCCGAGGACATATCTGATTCATTCCAAAGATTCTCAATATTTATACCTTCTGCCGTGAGATATCAGAAGTATATATTAACCAGGCTCCAAGTTTGACAGGTTTTGCAGCTACAATGCTGCTACAACGGGAGCGTCAATCTATGCCGATTGTTAGAAACTATGGGACATTTTCTATACGAAATCTTCGAAGCAATTACAGCACTTGTTGTGTTATTCATGCCTTGGTTTGGCACCCCCTTATTTACTCCTTTCTGCCCATTTTTGCGTACCATGTGTTGATAATCTAATCAGTCCAAGGATACAAGATGGAAAGGAACTTATGATCTCTGTTGTACCTCGGTAATGTTATTTGCTCTCTAACTGATGAGAAAAATGTCACTTGTCTCCTCACGTAGATAATTCTTCTTTAAATCTCCTCCAGTAGGGGTCCGAATGATTAACCGTAATTTCATTCCCAGCTGAGTGGGCGGGAAGCCCTGTTCACCATGCTCTACGGTCGTATGTACTTGTATATTCATTCAAGAAAAATATATAGTAAGTAGTTGGTGATAAAAACTATGGACAAAGTGAAATTTCAAAACGAAGCAAAACTCACTAACCTCGCAAGCAAACACTCATAATAAAATAGCGCTGGAAAGAGAGCAAAAATCCAAAACATACAACAGTAAGGACTCGCTCGTGTCTCCCACTTAACTACTTACTCACCGGCGTGTGGCCTATGTGCTGCCAGTAGTTCGGTGCGTACGGCCCAGGTGAGAAATGGGCGAGCGCCGCTTTAGCGTCGCGCGACCGGGGGTGAAAAGGGCGAGTGCGCTACAGGCAGGGTGAGAATCAGAGTGAGAATCACCTAAGTCGTGCGTCCACTGCACTGACCTCCTCAGCTAAACAATAACAGAATGTCATTGGATGGTTCCGTTCCCTCTTGAAGCGCGCGGCATCTTAGCATGTGCACATAACCACAACTGGAAGCATCATATAACCAAATTTCTTTGAGGTATCTTCAAACTTATGGTATGCCTTATGTTGCCGAAGAATTTGAGCAATGATAGTATTCGGATCGTTAGATTTGGGCCTAGAAGGTTCGCTTTATAGGATCTCACCAGCAACTAGCTCGTAAAAACAATCCTTTTAAGAGCGGTCGGCTTCCACGGATATATTTATATATCACTTCGATTATGTTTTCCGTATATTCGCTAATTTGTATTATCTACTTAAAGCTTTAGATAGACAGCATCATTCCTTGCGTTTTGTTCTATCTCTTAATGCTCAATAGTGAAATATCTAGCTTTCTATGGCTGTATTTGCATTCTCATATTTAGCCTCTTATCTTCCTCCTGTTGGTCAAAGTAATCATCAAAAACCCGGATATATTGCCGTACCGAGATCGCATATTTGACGATACCTCCATGCAATCTATCAGATGATTTGGGTTGCCACTTGGCAGGAGGCATTGATCTTTGGTTGACCATCATTCGGAAGTTGTGTATATACTCAAGGGATCGAAGATTAATTCGAGGCGCATCTACCAACCGGAAATGTGTCACCAGGGGGCTGACATAGTTACCATCCGAAGTTACAGGACCGTTCAATGAGAATGATCCCGAAAGTAGAGCTGTTGGGGAAATCATAGGTAAGAGACCGGGGGAGTTATATAAGCAAGAAAGAGCAGAAGCAACATCGAAGTAATTGCGTGACGGAAGGGGTAGGGAACAAAAGAACAAAGCTTATATGTCTTCATCCTGAGCGTGCTAATACAATTTACCTCCATGACCCTGACGTTTAGATTAACTGAGGTAACACTGGTGAGACGCGTATCTATGTCCATAGTAAGTGCTGTTACGATAGTGTCATGGTATTCAAGTTCAGACAGCTTGGTTATTCAATGAGCATAAAATTGGTCGGAAACCACCCATATTGTCCTGGGACCCGACGCCAGCTGCAGGGGGGTGGAAGGCACAAAACAGTATACGACTCGGAAATCATGAGGATGTATTGTCCATACATCGAACTCCCAATGGTATCAGAAATCCCAGCGCGAACACCCGACAGACGAGTTACTGTAGAAGAGCGAGATGAGATAAAACTAAAAAAGAAAGTGCAAATGATCAACCTCCGGGATAGCCGTGCAGACCCAAGTCCTATAACAACGTGGCTGATATATCAGACTATGGAGATTCTCAAACCAATGACCAAAAAAAGTTGAGGTGCAGGAAATAACCAGGCAAAGGTTTTTACCATGGCTTCTGCGTCTTTTTTCGTTTTTCTTTGGGTCTGGAACTCCTTTCGGAGCAGCCCCAGCCATATTCTATTTTCTTTTCGTTGGTTTGACTTAAAGAGGCTCGGGGCACGAGCGGCATTTCTTGCGAGAAGAAATGGAAGATCATGCGATCTGCAGTTTCTCATTCAGCGAGTTCCATATTTCATGGTGGCAATGTTCGCCGACAAACCCAGGAAAGCAATAAAGGTGGTATGGTGACCATATGGCCCCCAATTGCTCTATCCCACTGAGTCGAAGAAAGAAATAATAGCGCTGGCAAGCCTGGCGCTCTACTGGCGTAATAATAAAATGCCGCCCTATCTACCGGATTGGAACCCCTCCACAGAGGCTTAAGGGGCTGCTGCAATGGTGTTAAAGATGCAATAGTGGTGCGGTCCGTACCCGGCAGCTTTTTCCAGAACCAAGTGTCAGGCCCACAGTTGCCGTAGAATGAAACATAAGGGCTGAATTCTGACTACAATATAGGCTAATAGTTTTAGAATCCTGGTCGAAGTGGATCACGTCTTGATCTTGTCAACAGAACTGGAAATCGTCCGTTAGGTCCTGATTGGTCAGACGGAATGCCCATTTGGTTTTATTGAATAGAACAAACGCATGTTTCGTGACCGCTTGGCCAAAAAGGTGCAGACCTTCTTAGCTAAGCTAAGTACGGTGTATTTATGCGTGTTCTTGGTTCGACAGATTTCCTTAGAGGCCAGAGAGCGGTGGAGGATATATGTTGTGCAGCTCTTTGCCCCCACTGGCCACACATAATGACCGTGCTTTTGCCAAAATCGGCACTAGGTGCAGGTTTCAGCCGTATTTCGCTAGAAGGGCCTCACATAAGATACCCTGTCGGATCCAGATTACCGCCATAACTTTGAGTTTTCGGAGGGTCAGCTCCTTCCCCTTCTGTGATGGTCATGGGTTCCAAGGTTGGCATGTGCAAGGGCGGTGAACTGAAGCGCATGATTGAAATCAGTGACCAGTATGGTATGGGATCCCTCGTGGCAATATCAAACTCTTTAACTAAAACCTGTTAGATTGACAATTCTGTAGGATATGCTGACAAGGAGCAGTATGCACTTGAATGTGGGGTATCTGATACTGATGTCATAAGATTTTCTGCGTGAATACCCAGACATCTACATGCAGATACATCATATTTCCGACATAAACGATTAGGAAGGCGAAAAAATTACCATTTAGGATTAGATTTGCCCGCGTATCGCTCGCCTCCTTCTTGTATGCAAAACCGAGTAGCGCAATTCGTTTCTGGTGAAGGTGCCTACCGAGTCGAGTAATGATCCTCTTGGCAAATCGAACTTTCTGAGATTCATGCAACAAGAGCACGTGCCTCTAGCAGTCAGATTCCAAGTATACTATCCAGAGCTATTTGTATTCTCACCTCATCAACAGGCTCTATCCTGTAAGACTAGTATTTTGCTTACAATGGGTCAACGAAGTGCTGTGGAAAATAAAGCTGGACTTCCACCGAAGGATTAGCCGAAGTACGCGATATGTATAACCCCTCTAACCACCGCAATAGCTTTAAAGGCAGTGCTTGTAGCACGTCGTGATCATGTCTCGCTTTGACTCATCATTGAAAGAAAGGTGACTAGAAAATTCTGATGTTTTCTCTATTTATCTGCGTCATATCATGACAATTTTCTCATCTCTTCAAGCAAGATTTGAAGTCTACATTTGTCATCCATATCAATCGTGAGTCCCACAATGTGCATCAAGACCAGCTACCGTTTGATTGAGAAATGTCACCAAATTCGCAATATCTTCATCAACCAACTTGGTATTGATGCAACACATCCGAAGAGCCGTTTTACCTCGCAGCTGAACTGTAAAAATTGCTGCATCATTGTAATCAGCTAGAGCCTCTGATATTCTTGCATTGATATTGTTCAAGTCTTCGTTCGTCTTGTTGCCGGGGTTATAACGAAAATTCAGTATCGCCAATGTGGCGGGGGCCACAATCTCCCAGTCAGAGAGTTGCTCTAACGCATGTTGCATTGTCTCCGTGAAATCAATTCCAATGTCAATCATCTTTCCAATACGCTCAATGCCCAAAACCCGGAGAGTGAACCAAAGACTCATAGCCCGAGATGGCCGAGTCAACTCGATTCCCAGGTCCCAGAACTCGGCTGCGTTTCCATTCACTCGCCCAGAGTGATCAATAAAGTCAGATTTGACACGAAAGGTGGATGCTAGCTTCGCCTTATCGTGTACCAGAAGCATTCCACAGCCGTATGTTTGAAACAGCCATTTGTGGGCATCCCATGAGACACTGTGAGCGTGAGACAGCTCTTTAGCCAGCTGTGGCCTGGAATATGACAAAGTTGCTGATGCTCCAAACGCGCCGTCTACATGGAGCCACATGTCTTGCCCTCGAGCGATGTCGGCAAGCTCTTTGATCGGGTCAATCGCTCCAGTCTCGGTACAGCCATAGCTGCCGATTATCAAGAAGGGCTTTAGTCCTCTTTCTCGATCCTGCTTAATTTGATGCTCAAGGTCTTGGCTTTGCATTCGAAACCTGCTGTCTGATGCTATTCTTCGAACGTTCTTTTCGCTGAACCCCAGGATGCGTGCCATCTTGGCCAGAGAATAATGAGCCTGATCGCTAATGTAGATTACTCCTCCTGACCGGTCGGTCTGCTGGAGTATCTGATCGCTGGCAACTATGATCGCCATTAAGTTGGCTACAGATCCACCCGAGACAAATATCCCGCCTGAAGAAGGCGGAAAATATATCCTTGAGGCAAGCCATTCAATGAGTTCCGTCTCCACAGTACTTGGTCCGGAGCCTGCAATGTGGCCGCCGACATGGGTATTGAACGCAGATACCAACACATCACCCAGCCAGGCAAGAGATGTTGCATTTGATGGTACAAAGCCAAAGAACATCGGATGGTTGGTACGCATACGGAAGTCAAAGATCTTGTATGCCTCTTTGACTACGCCCATCAGTGGAAGCGCAGAGCTGGGAGCAGCAAGAGCACGAAGCTTCTTTATGTCATCGTCAGTTGTCGTTTGTACCAACTTTTCGTCAGGCGAGGGTTGAATAACATTGCGCAGGTCATCAAATAGATTCAGAATGCTTCCCCATTGATCGTCAATTTCACTTTCGATATCTTGCAATGGAGTGATAGTCTTATGTGTAGGTGTTGTGCTCGACATTCTATAGGCGTAGTGATCTCAGTGTATATTGATTTGTTGTGTGTTGTATCTTGATCTTAGGGCATGTATTCAAGAAAACGAGAATTCTTGAACTGGGCAGATAACGCACTTAAATTATCAAGAAAACACGCTGGAATTGTAAATAGAATTTCGACTGCATGGCTATTTCATCGTTGTCACGCCTACATGAGGAAAACCAAGATCCCATACGTGATTTATCTGGCCAAGCCACATCAGCAGGCATCATTTACCTAAACTAGTACATTGCAGATCGATGCGTTCATTGTTTACCTGAAACTAGTACATTGCAGATCGATGTGTTCATTGTTTGCCCGAAACTATTGCATTGCAGATTGATGCGTTCATTGCTTGCCTAAAGCCGGTTTTTTATATTTCAAGTTCTCCAAGCAGATACACAGCCGTGATTAGGTTTGAAATCGAATCTATAAAGATACCATTAAAGCATTATCCGAGTACTACCTAACCTTTCATGAAAGCCATACTCCGTATAGTCCGTATAGTCCATATACACCGTTTACACCGCACACAATTTCGATCTACGTTGTTCTCACGCATCAGTAAGATGACTCTATTTAATGATTCCTTTCTTGAGTCCCTTCGAGCTCAGATTCCCACGCATATCCAAGTTATCTCTGAAGGTCACGCGGCATATGAAGACGTCTGCGCGACGTGGAACATTCGATCCCAGTGCCGCCCGATCGCAGTCGTGCAGCCTAATACCACAAATGAGGTCTGTACCGTCATAAGAGTCGTCAATAACTTGGGCGTTCGCCAAGTAGCTGTCCGTGGGGGTGGGCATTCCTTCGAAGGCCTGTCTTTAGGAGGACAAGATGGCGCCATTGTGATAGACATGGTGAAGATGAAGATGGTTTCTTCTCTTCCTACCAAGTATGAGCTTACGGCTCAAGGAGGCGCGCTACTATCAGACATTCATTTGCATGCTTTTGAGAATGGAAAAAAAATGGTTCCCCTCGGTACATGCCCTTCTGTTGGGGTTGGTGGCCATGTTCAGTGCGGTGGTTACGGATTTCATTCGCGCACATATGGCCCGCTTGTCGATAGAGCCATTGCATTTGAGGTCGTCACAGCAGACGGTGAGGTCGTGGTGGCGAACGATAGCCAAAACACCGATTTATTTTACGCATTGAGGGGTTCTGGAATGGGCTCTTTTGGGGTCATCACATCAGTGACTTTGCAAACTAATGATGTCCCCAACACTATTACAAATTTCTCAATCGTGTGGGACCTGAAAGTCTCCGACCTACCTCAAATTTTGACTAAGGCTCAATCTGCATGTCTTGACGCCCCTCTGTTCTACAACCCCATGATCATCGCATGGGCAGGGAAATTTGAAATATTCGGTACGATCCTCGCTCCATGTGAGGCAACCCGAGATGCAAGTTGGAAAAGGTTCCTGTCCTTTCTTCCTCGGCCAAGCTTTATCAAAATGCAACCAATGGACTACCTCGAGTCTGTTCTGGATATTTCTAAAAACCAAACTTCAGCCCCGTGGTATGATGACCTAAAGACCATCGGGCGCGAGAAACGAGAGCATTTTCGTTTCATGAAAATCAAGTCCGGGTTCATTCGTGAGCCATTGGATGATGAGTCGATCCAAGCTATCGGCAATTTCCTCGCAACACAGCCGTCAACAGGTGTGAGAGTGCAACTACTTGCACTCGACGCATCCGATGACGGAATGCCGGACACGTCTGTAAGAGCACGTCGCTGTACCTGGCTTATGGGAATGTCTGCATATATCACGAAACGGGATCATACCGAGGACGAACTGATACCCGAGGGCAAGTGTCGATTGCTTTGGCTGAACCAGGCATACGATCTGTTTCGCCCGTTAAGCGTTGGTGCGTACCTCGGGGACGATGACTTGGACGAGGGGAACAATTTTGCTTCACTGATGGAAAGTTTTTATGGGCATCATTTTCCTGGTTTGAAAAGAGTAAAGGGGAAGTATGATCCCAGGAATCTCTTCAATCACCCACTGAGTATACCACTGCCAACAGTGGATTGAGCTTTAGCTAGGTTGGCTTTGATGCGGGGTATAAGGACAATTCTATCCCACGGGGCCCGGGGAAGTCACGGTGACTCGAATTAGGGCTTTGCTCAACTATCGCGGGTAAAGGTGGAGACCACTGTTATGCTAGTCACCAATGACATATGACCGAGAGCCAACCGATATGACCGAGAGCCAACCGATCTATCTGTTATCACATCACGTGCAACATCCTATACTATTGAATTGTGGTTGTAACCAGCCGACAGGAATATATGATAACTCTGTGTTTTATTACCCCTAATTTCTAGCAGAAAGATTCAAGAAAGACCGTAGAAGAAGAAGGAAAGAAAGAGACCAAGCTGGAGAAGGAAATTCGTGTCAACACTAAACGCTAGATAAAAACCAACCCTTTCAGTCTCTCCTTATCCCTTGATTCGAGAAATCCATGCATCTCTCGTCTGTCAGGCGCGATTATGACCTAGCATGCTTCTTTGCTTCCCCAGATCTTTGGGAAGTAATATAAGCTGGGCAAATCTTCATGAACCAGATGGAGATCGCCCCGAATGAATGTTTCAAAGCTTGAAAATTGTGTGGCAAGATTTCTTTGTCAATCATCTTCTTACAAACTTCTTCACGAGCCAAAGCAGTTAAGAAACTTAGAACCCAAAACATCTTGTGCGTGACCGAATTCACCCGACGGCTCGATATTCTCTCTGCTTGTTCCAATGCGGGTCTCCCAGGCTGTCCAATTTCTCGTTCCATGCTAAGCTTCGTATATAGATATAGTAGCAGATACTCATGGCTTAATATGCTGGATGAATCCACCGATGATATTCTAGCTAGTGTCTTGACACCTTGAATGACCCAGATTGCTTTGAACGAGAGGGACTCGAAGCTTGGTAACCGGGAACTACCCTGTAGCAGAAATATCTGCCTCTGCCTAAGAAGTGCGGCTGTTTGTTGCGAATTGGATGAGATAGTAATGATGTTTGGCATCAGCTTCAGGTCTAGAGACACAAATTCCACACGTGCAGCAATGTTGTTCTAAATTTTCTCTGAGTAGTATCCTCTCCAGGTAGATGGGAAAAGCGCGACCAGAGTGGCCGAGCTAATCGATGGTATAGGAATTTCAAGTGTTAAGCTTTCGCTTGTTGACCCCTCCAGAGCGACCTGAGATGACTGGACAACAGCATGTACTACTTAAATCCAGAAATAAGCTTGTGTTTTTGAATACTGGGGAACGAATGGGTTTATTGTTCTAAGGCGTAAACCTCTTTGACTCCTTTCCCTCTTCTAGCGTTCACAGAAATATCTAGTACTCTGCAGTTGACCGGATCGTCAACTATTTCCTTCAGCTTTTTAGCGTTTCTCGAGCGCAAGTGGTAAATATCTTGTGCAGGGACAGAGTCTCCTTTGTTCAACGTGATCCGTAAACTTTTATAACCTACCTCGAACATTTCCGTTCCAATGCTGGAAAGGAGGTCGTGGCTTTGTTGTGTGAATTCCTCATCCCAAGTGCAATCGTGGAAGAACAAAACGGACGTAGCTCGGGTACAAAAGTAGGCCGGCCAATTTGGGTATCGAAAGCATCCCGATGGTTGAATTTAGAACGAGAGGAAATTGGTCTTTTCAACGGATGATTAGCGTACTCCCAGTATATCAGATCATATATGTGCGCCGTTCATATTCTAAAGGCGTGCGATAGTAGCGTATGGCTGGCATTGTGTGGACTGCTCGGACAAGAAGAACTTGAGAAAGAAAGGTAATCTTCCCAGACGCCGCTTCCCCAATCAGGAGAACTAGGCGTCCAAACTGCCCATATAGTCACTAGTGACGCGCTCAGTGCCTTGGGTGCCATTCCAAGAGTGTAATATAGCCGAAAATAATGGGGTATCGATTAATAGTGACAATAATATCTGAAATGTATGTAGCTCCTTTGCTGCATCTATAATGTATGCAGAACAGCCTAGATAGGTACCTAGGCCAGGTAGATTGGATGGATGAGTCATTGGGACTGAAGTGAGCTAGCCCGGTTGGGATTTCCATGAAAAATGCTTTCAACATAATAAAAGTCCATAAGCTATTCGGCTCGACCCGCACCGGCACTTACAACGGCTCTCAGCGGCTGGGCCTGATTCGGCTGCGATCACCCAACGGAATACCAACAAAACTAATCACCCATAACCACACAAATGTAAGCTCCACTTTAGTTACACTAGTCCGTATTAGGCCATATTTCCGCCGTCTTTGCTATATTGCCATGTTGATGGTGTTATACGCATTGTTCACTCGGCTTTCAGTGAAAGGCCCAATACTGTCTTATCAACATTTCTCTTCAGCGTAATTTGCCGATCTGTTCCCCTGACTCAAATCACGCGCAGATGCGTCGGACATAAGCTTGAAGGTGCCTATTTAAGCAGCGGCACGTGTTGGCGGCATCAACCGCAATTCCGAAACCAAGTCTCCCAACGACTAGTCAAAAATGCCGTTATGCGATAGTGTCAAATTTACACCTGTGCCATAAGCGCTGATGACTCATTCCATATCCTTTCCATCTCGACGGTGCTGAGAAAATTAAAGTAAGAAACAAACAAATACATAAAGCAACCATGTCCCGACAATCTGCTACCCCGGCTTCGGGTACGCAGGAAAAAACCTTCAGCTCATACAATAAAGAGCAAGGAGAGGCCTATTCCCAACTACGTCCGGACTACCACCCTGCACTGTATCAGACCATCCTAGATCAGCATGCAAAATCTGGCGGCCAGTTCGATACCCTCATTGATTTGGGTTGCGGACCCGGAAATGTCGCTCGCTCCCTCGGCGTACACTTCGCCCACGCTTTCGGTCTTGACCCCTCGGATGGCATGATCGCCACTGCACGCTCTCTGGGTGGAACCACATCGATCTCCGAGTCCATCCGCTACGAAGTTTCAACAGCCGAAGACATTGGGTCAAACCTCTCCGCACCAATCCCAAATGACAGCGTCGACCTCATCACGGCTGCCAACTCAGCGCACTGGTTTGACATGGCCCGTTTCTGGCCAAGTGCTGCTCGCGTCCTCAAGCCCGGCGGCAGCGTCGCAATGTGGACAACCGGCCAGATGCGCATTCACCCCTCCGTGCCAAATGCGGAAGCTATGCAAGCTGAAATCGACCAGATCGAGGAGCAATATCTCCGGCCCTATTTTGAGCCAGGCAATCTGCTTACCCGTGGTCGTTACAGGGATCTTCTTCTTCCGTGGACCTTGGACCAGCCAGTCGCGGAGTTTGACGAGAGGAACTTCTTCCGGAAGGATTGGGACCTCTATGAGAAGTTTTTTGTCTCGGAGCCAGAGGTATCTTTGGATATGTTTGAGATGATGATTGGGACTATGAGTCCTGTGACTCGATGGCGCCAGGCGAATCCGGATGCCGTCGGTACCAACAAAGATGTAGTCAAGATGTGGCGCCATGCAATGGAGCGTCATTTGCATGCCGCTGGTGTGGAAAGGGGCAAGGAGACGGTAAAGGGTGCCATGTGCGGTGTGGTGCTGGTTATCAAGAAGAAAGATTAGTGTCGAGTCTTGTCAGCTCTAGGCGATCAGGAGGTACATTTCGAAGGAAGTCAGAGAGGATACGAAAATAAATAGTCTCGCAACTCGGCGTTCTGCTCTTTGGAATCCTGTTGGGCAGAATTCTGGACAAGCCTTTGAACAAGAATTCCTTCATACTAGAGGTTGTTGCTAGTCTCTGGAATTCGTACTCTGGAAAAGAAAGCCAACTTGCAGAGGTACAGACCAGGTGTCTAAAGCAATGACTTATCACTTGAACATAGGGGAAGCAAATGCGACAATGAATTACTGAGAGAGATGAATAACGAAAACGATGTTTCCAAGAGGCTCTCGCCGACTTGTAAGAGGTTCAAGAGGGTTTGATCGAAAGGCACAGACTGAACATATTAATTGCTTGAGTCGCTTCAAGAAAGATGAAGCTTTTTGAACCGAACTAGTTTCCCAATCAAAAACTTTTGGATTTGTTTGTGATAAGATAGAAACGATATCATAACCCCACCGAGTTCACCACGATAGCATATTCAATAAAATAACAGCACGTTCCAGTACTCATACTAATTTCCTCGGTTTGGTCTTTGATCTTTCGAGAACCATCGACGTGTCAGATCAACAAGAACCAAACAGGGTCCTGGCGCTACATATAGTCGGACGGCACAATCATGCGACGCCATGGGGCCCTGGGGACGTAAGGAACTATTGAGTGTCCTAACTAAGAAGGGACTGACTGGGACATTAACTCGACGATTACTCTGGAAGAATTGTGACCGTGCATGAAGGGTTGCGCTTGGTGTTGACGGGACCTGTCTTCTGCTACAGGTGCGAAGGTATATGATGGCCAAAGTGTCGATACCAGATTCCTCAGATCCCATAGCCTAATTGGATCTAAACTCTCTGTTGCAGACCACTTTTGACACCGCTTCATACATCTTCCCATCAATTGTCCATCTTCCCCATTTTCAGGCACCAATCGTGCGAAATCAGGCATCTACACTTCAGCCGTTATAGACCTTCGTGTACAGAGGTAAAGCCCCTGTGCAGAAATAGAAGCCCGCTGCAAGACCTTCGAATCTCAGTTTCATGTACGTAATGTTTTGAATTGCGGAACACGAGCCTCAGTGAGGAAAGTCTTACTCGATGATTTTGCCCCAATGCGCCGTGCTTTGCTTCGAGCCCAGCCTTATGCCTTACAGGGCCCGGGTGCATTAAGCTGAGAGCGTGAAACTTTTACATAAAATTTATGCACCCTACATCTGCTGGGCCAATCAGAAATCACTTGATCTCCACCTTCTGATCTGCAGGCGTTTGATATTGTAGATCATTCCTAGTTGAGGTACTGCCCAAGAAACAGAGAACATGGACTTTTGCAGATGGTGATAGATACTGCATATGAACGAGCCGGTGACTTCGTGCGCTGATCTCATGATTCACAACGAGCTTCTCTTGGCATGGTTTGCGTAGCCAAGGATGTATTCTCTTTAGAATCTAGATCTCCCCTGGAAGGCATGCTAAGTAATGTGTTCTTTGCGTAACAACCTCACGGAGTCAAGGCAGCATGCGAGTAAATAGCGGAAGAAAGGCGAAAGTGATCATCAAACTCGAAATGCAGGACTTTTGATACTTCAGCCGCTTCTCTAGTGCTGACCTTGAAACTTGTGATTTACCATGCATGTATGTTTGTTTGGAAAGTCACAGCAAAATGTAACCCAATATAACTATCAATTGGCCCACTGCGGCCCGGTAAGCTAATGCAAGCCCTGATCCTGGAAGCTATACCCCTCATGAGAGTCGAGCAATTCACAGGCCGAGTCCTCCGGAGTCGATGAGGCATTAATATCATTGGGTAAGTGAATCAATCGACGAGCTACTACCGTAGTGAGAATTGTTCTGGACTCAACCTGGGGTTTTGTGTTTGTTCTACCTAGGTATATAAATGAATTCGCTCCACTCGATAATTCACAGTACCAGCAGAGTACTCTCAGACAATTTCCACTCTGACAAACCTCTCACAACATCGAGATCTTAAGTCTTTTAACATGCAGATCACCAATCTTGCTCTCTGTTTCTTTGTCGCAATGGGCGCGGTAGCATCCCCAATTGACACCGCATCGGGTGGCCTCGAAGCCAGAGATGAGGCAGCCGCTCTACGCGACTTTCCGGGAGTGAGTCACAGCGTCAATCTGGTACCCGGACCATTACCATGGAGAATTTACTAAGCATGAAACACTCAGAAATGCGTTAGATCCAACAACACGTGCAAATACAAGGATGATCGAAATAAGACCGTCATCAGGAAGTGCAACACCAAGTTCGCCAACCAGAGAGTAAGCTTTTAGAATCTCAGTTCTCCATTCGTCGTACATCCTAACTGATCTCGTTTTTTTCTTTTCAGTGTACCAAGGATGGTAACCCGTGCACTGTGGACACTTACGGCGGCGTGGTGAAGTGCAGTTAGATTGCCTATAGTGTATCTAGAGCAATTTTCTGTCTTGGACGTTCTACTTGTTGGCTAGATGAAAATGCGAGACCACGCGTGACTCTCGAGGCATACATACTACTTAACAATGATTTATCCACGAAGTTGCCTGGTGGATGCCACATTTACACTTAACCTCCATCCAGCTTCGGGTTTTTCCCCGCATTTCCATCATGAACACGCTCTTTTTCTATCTCGCTACCCATTTCGGAATTTATACTTTCTAGTTTGGTACTAAATCTTCACTGTGAACCCCGTGACTTGATCATTAATGAACAATGCTCGCTGTAACATGGTTCAGTTCCAAGTAACGCGCATGTTGGGTATACATTGGCAACCTCGGTGTGGCCACCAGTTGGTTGACCATATCAAGTTTTACGCCGTTGAATTCAGACTATCACTAGGAAAAGTCAATGACCTTAATCTGCTAAAAGGTCACTTTCCTGGGGCGGCATAGGTTCTGCTAGCCCGCGGAAGATACAAGTCCTCGCCATGGGAAGTGAGGCTGACTCTGGAACCAGAGCTGTTTAATTGGCTTGGCTCAAACCCATCATCAAGACTATGACCTTCTTGGGTGAATTACAGCTCTTAGCACTCTATACTGATGTGAGAGAGGATAAGAAAACTTATGACACGGCAAGTGAACCATAATCGCTTGGGCTCTATCTCAGTCAAGTCCAGCCGAGGCTGCGACATACATAATTATTCCCTACAGCCAGAGCACAGCGTTTTGTATCATCCTGTGTAGTGAAAATGTGGAAGAATTAGGAGAAAGCCTAAAATCCCGCAGACAAAAAATGTCCTGAACTTACAGCTGCAAGCTACACATGTTTCCAAATACTGGCAAATGCACCTTAGGTTACGCTACTAGATCTAAACCGGGTAATGCCCACAACCAATGCAAACGATTGTCACGAACATTCCTTGAAACCCCGACTCACCGATCATTTTGTTCCCCACTTTCGGATGTCCAGGGCTGATGCGACCAACGTTCTATCTCAAATGCTGGCCTCTTCTTCGAGCCCCTTCTTGATACCTTTCATTTTTCTCTCTCATCCTGGATTTCTTTTTTTGGTCACTGATATCTTAATAAAGTGAACAACAGTGAGCCCCCTCAAGTGTATCCTAGTTAGAAAATGGTCTGTTGTCTGTTGGGTGTGCATTCACCCGTTTCTACGTTTGTACCTTGAATCTCAAATTTCAGTTCTAGGTCTTCATGCATTTTGCGTACCTTAGTAGAAGCTCGGACAGTGTTGAGCCAGTGCAACACCGAAAGTTCATGCCTAGATCCTTGTTTCCCTTGCTTGCTTCTTTCCAAGGATAAGAATATTCTGTGTACTTTTTGGCCACCCCATTTTTCCCAGCATGTCAGTTCAAACATTCATGACACATAATCACAAATTTGTCAATATCATGCTTGAAAAGATTGAAAATCACCAATCGATCTGCGTTCGACCAAAAGAACCATGGAAGTGGGTCAAGTGGCTTCGAGTGATCGACAACAGAACAAAGAAAGTCACATTTACGTTACAACGCATACTGCACAGGATCCAAACTAGTTCAGCTATCGACGCCTCATTCGCCTGCCAAAAAATCCCTGTTACAGCAATCCTGGTGCCTACAGAGTGGCCCGAAAATTTTCTCATAGCCTGAGCCCCATCCGGGTGTTCAAATGCTGTGGGGCTCTATCCTTCTATCTCCAGCTCTCTACGGCAAGTTGCCCTCAGACCCATTTGCAAAACTGCCCATCTTTTCAACGCTCATCAAGTCTCTCAAAATGAATCATCTCCGTGACACCTTGCTCAGCCCCTCACCACAAGGCCTAGACGAAATCCAGGGGGCTGATGGCATCGCTCATGATCGCGAGGACGTGCGAAAATCAATCGCTCGGGGAGAATTCAGGGAGCTCCGCGGAGCAGCCTTTTACAATCGAACCTGGATCATCACCGACCGCTACTGCAATGTCGGGGATGGTGTGGATTGCCTCGTGGGCTACATCCATCACATCTGGTATACGTACTACCAGCTCAGCCGACATACATCGCACGAAAAAGCCGATCACAATAGTCTTGTCCTTGATATCCTCCGAATTCAAGGCCGCGGCCCGCTGACCAGACCCGTGGCGGGGAATTATGGAATCGATATTGCGCGAACTATCGAAGGCACGTTGTGGAATGACCTGCCCTTCTTGGTTACTGATATGACCGAGTTTTGGATCAGCGACTTCGCAATAATGGCGGGCTCGCAGCGCGTCAATTTCGCGTCTTTCTTAGCCAAGCTAGCGTCAACTCGCGTCAGCAAGGATAGAATGTGTCAGATCGCCATCATCCTCTTCCGTTATACGTTTGAGAACCCTCAAGAAGTTTACCCCTTCGACGAGCCGGATAACGAGAATCCGGAAAGAAGTCTCAAAGATCTTCAGGTTCAGCAGCTATTGCCATCTGTCTTCGCCTGGATCATGGAAGCAGGAAATAATCTCCTTCTACTTTCGGAGGTCTCATGGAATGATTGCCCCAGCACCATCGGCCATGGCGGTCCATTGTTCGTTGAGTCCGAGTTTGGGAAGCGCACCTCGACTGGACTGAGCCCATGGAGATGGATGTTCTGGCTCAAGCGACTCCATGAATTCCGGGATCAAGCTAGAAGTGTTGGCGAGAAACGCGTGGAGGAGCTCTGCGACGATTCTATTCGTCATATGTTTTCAGATGTCAAGGATAGGAACTCTGAGATATTGAGAACTTATAAAACTGGCGGTGAGTTCCTTCAACAAGAACCACATTTGGTGCGCCTGAAAAGAATTGTGGATGGCGAGGACTCTGATGAGGGCGAGGTCTTCGAGGACGATGATTTCAACAATGACAGTTGAACATCCTCGGATTTGTCCCCCCTACCTGTCGAATTTTCGTTTCTTGAACCTCATCACGTTGTTGATCTCACCCTCGTGTGGGGAGTCCATGGCTTAGCTAGGCAGATCACACTTGCACAATATTGAATAAAGGAAGCCAAGTTTAATAAACAATTCAAGACTCAATCAGAGCATACCCATAATGAAGTTCAGGAAGGAATTCAAGCTTCAAAGGGCATATAAAATGGCTACGGGAGACCAGAAAAAAGAGCGAAGATGATGAAGGAAGCTAGAGAGCGAGGGAAAGGAAGCTACGTCGTAGAACCTCCATCCACCTGTAGGTCTCATCTGACTTGAATCTGTTTGAAGGAAGGGTGAGGGGCGAGGTTTAAGTCATACCTGGTAGAATTGTATGAGCGTCGTGTAAGTAAAGCTGAAAACACCGATTGGAAACACCCCATGTGTGATGATTTAGTCTTCCAATCCAAATTCTTGCTGCAGTTCTCTCATCAGAACCGGGCAACGTGGTGATCCACCAACGATTCCCGTTATTAAACACGGTTGGCACGCTTTCAAGTACAGCAAAATTTCTAGAAAAAAGTGCACGTGCTGTGGCAGCGGGATCATGTGGGTGTCTATTGAACGAGAGTTATACTATGACACAGTAATACTCTCAGGCTAACCATACATCCGGACAAGTGAAGCAAGGGCCATAGAAGATTTATAGTGTCGTTTCGAGTGTTACCCATTCGATCACCAACTAAATCATAAAAGCGTAACTTTGTAAATTCCCATTGCGCCCATACCTACGATACTGAGCACCTCCCATCCATTGGATTCAATGTCACTGACTATACCACCATGGAAGCAGCGAGCATAACAAGTCCCCCTAGTCCGTCCATCCCCTCGCACCAGTCTTCCCAACTTGCAGTGGTCCTCTTTGGGCTCTCTGCAGTGATAGCTGTATGAACCAGCGCTGCCTCACTAAAATTCTCCCCAAGTTTGACTAGCTCCCCGCTGCCAGCTAGTCCAAATTCAGTCTGAAGTCCGCCTTGCTTTTGACTTTCCAACCTCCATACAGCCTCATTGTCCGCTTCCCATAGCTGTTTCTTTGCCGGAAGAGGAGCAAGAATTAGATCCGTTGGTAAATTGCAAATAGCTGCAGGATCAAAGTAGAACAGCATATTGAAAACTTTGTAGACTACAGATAATCTAAAACTCAGTCAGCGTCTTTGTGGTGCATTGAGTGCAAGTAATCAGGTAGCAGCAGACCTTCGTCTTGATTCCTCAAAAAGCCAATCTTTCCAAGTTCCGTCGAGACTATAGTTCCCCGCAATGTCACTTTTGATTAGCTTTTGAGCTATGACCTGTATTTTGTTATCAAATCAAGTCGATAAAAAGTCAGACCCTAGCTATGCTCACTGTCACTGTCGCAATTAAAAGTGAATCAAAGCCATTGTACTCTGTTTCTCCTTCGTCAAATCGAACGATGATATAAATAGCTAGAGCTTGCATAGCAGCAAGTAGCTCCCATTTCGACAATACCAGATTCTATGAGTACTATTAGCTTTAACAGTAAATTTTTGAACAATTCTCTTTGCCTCGCACCTCATCACACAGTCTTTCACACTCCATGCACACATTTCTCTAAAATAACTTTCGACTTCCTTTCATGTCGCCACTAATCATATGCACAAGATTGATACAGTTGATCAGTGGTTCCATAAGAAACTCTGCAGATACCAAGGATGAGTGGATAAAAGGTGGAAGAGAGTTGTGGCGCAACATTGTGAGCACATAAGATTTAAGCGTGTGTAGTACGAGCGTGGCGGTTCGCTCCGTTCCCACCTTATCCTTGGGTCTTTTGGTAATTGAGTGGGGTTTGGACGTCGGAACCACTGGTATTGACCAGTTTGCGACGATAGGTAGCTGTGTTTGGAATTGTTGATTAAACGGAGATGACGATTGATAGACCAGACCTGCGCCAGTTGAGGTATATATATCCGTGTCGCTTATCTCAAAGTTCAAAAAATCGGAGGACTCAGTCTCTGGTAGCTCGATATCTGGTACATCCAAGTTGAAATATTCGGCTTCGAAGGCTGGGACTTGTTGGTTTACAACAACAAGTTGCTCATGGTGAATTGTATGACTGTTGTTATGGAAGCCTGGTGTTCGAGATTTAGGCAACTTTGAGATATACTGGCACTCGGTGCCCTTCGCTATGCACCTGGAGCAGTTGGGCCACTTTTTATCGCAACGTGTCTTCGTTTTTGCACATAAATGACAGGACCTAGGCCTGGGAGTATGACCCACCCCTCGAGACCGACAATAGTACCCATGCCTCTTGAGTGAAGACTCTAGAATCCAGCGAATTTAGTGAGCTGTATATGAGTACCGAGCCCAAGCGAAACTTGCCCTTATCGAACGGTTTGCTACATTCAGGGCACCGCAAAACGGATTGGGCGTCGTTTTCGGACATTTCAATTTCGGTAGCCGTGCGTATATCTTCACAATTATTGATGAACCTGTACAGAGTATTACAAACAGTTCATTGGGACAGGGGAGATACCCCGCCCTGCGACCACCTGCTCGTGATAGGGATTTGTCAGCTCGGGTGGAACATTTTGTAAATGCCGACTACATGCTGAGACGCGTCCAATTCAACGATCCCGATATTGAACAGAAATGGCAAATTGAACAGCCCATGCATTGAATGGGCGGAGATGTCCAACATATATAAGAATGGATACGCTTCTTCGGAAATCATGATCTCTATCAACAACACGAATCAACATTTCTCTTCATAAAGATATTCTCTAGACATGGCAGCACCATTCCCTTCGCCTACTATGAAATGGCACACTAAAGCCTACCAGTCTATATCACCTAGGCGGCCGGAGCTCTCTGCCAAAGGTAGGATAGTGTTAGTAACCGGAGGAGGCACGGGCATCGGCTCGGAGACCGCCCGCCACTTTGCGGAAGCAGGCGCATCTCGGATCGCCCTCCTTGGTCGCAGAGAACAACCACTCCTCGACACCAAAGCCTCCATTGAAAACACGTTCCCTAACGTTGAGGTATTCGTCGCCTCTACCGATGTGACAGACAAGGGACAAGTGGACGCAGCTTTTGCCAACTTCGCCGGTGACGAATCGATCGATATCTTCGTGAGCGGTGCAGCTATCATTGGACCACAGGAATCAGTCGAGAATGTGGACAGTGATCAATTCCTTGAAGCTATCCAGGTGAACCTGAAAGGTTCGCTGGCAGTTGCCCAAGCTTTTCTTCGGCATGCATCGCCAGATGCTGTTGCTATCGATATCAATTCGTCTGCTGCGCATGTGAATTTCGGTTCTGGGCTTGCTGCTTACAGCATCGCCAAGTTTGCTGTATTCCGACTTTGGGATTCTGTGGCTTTTGCAAAGCCCAATATCAGCGTGTTCCATATCCAGCCTGGTGTCGTTGATACCGCGATGAACAAAGAAGCTGGCGGTGTCAAGGCCATTGGAATTGAGGATCACAGTAAGTGAATCTGAATGAAGGTTCTGATCATTGAAACATGAAGCTGAATATAGTTTTAGTTTCTCTGCCCGCGAGCTTCTGTGTTTGGCTCGCAAGCCCCGAGGCTCAGTTCTTGAAGAGCAAGTTTTTGTGGTCAAACTGGGATGTCGATGAGCTTAAGGCTAAGGCAAAGGAGATTGAAGCTAGCAATCAGCTCAGCATCGGACTTAGCGGGTTGCCCTTCCAGGATGCTAGTTGGAAGCCGACGTGGAAGGCCTAGCCTTCCAATTCAAGGATCGGATCTTGATTTGGATGAAAGCTCCGCTTGCCCCGGCTGGCTATCAGGAATATGCACCATGCCAGTCCTTATGTCTGGGCTACTTTCTATGAATTACTGTTATGACCGTCAAATCTTCACTAGGTAGGGTTCATATCTCACCTCCTTATCTATTCCCAGACAGTTTGGTCTCTTTATTTTCTACCGCCGATGACTGGAAGTTTTTTTAATTCTAGAGTAGCAGAAATTGAAATACATCAATTACTATAAAAGATGACCTATACTAAAAAAAGTACCTAGTTTCGATATCGCCTGTCGCACTAGTATGTGTAGATCGAATCTCCCTCAAAAGCTCACCATCGGCCAAAATGGAGATTTGGAAGTATTAAAGCGATTTATACCTGTTTAATGGTGCATAAAAGCATAGTCCATCTTCAAACAACCAAAAGTATTTACATTTCCTGTTAATCGAATATTATATGATAGAGACAGTTTCCCTCTTTCATCTATTTTGGGTGAGCCTCTAACCTGTATCCTGTTCAAAAATTCCGCAACAACCATTGGCGCTGACTAGCATACATACTCGTTCCATTGTGGTGACAGCAACGTATGGGTCAACATATGCTGGTCCTATAGTTTCAATCAACCCATTTTCGTCTGCAAGACAGCCGAGACTCTTCTCTAGGCTCCTGGAATCCCCATCGTGATATGCTGCTACCCTATCGTTTGACTTGTAATATTCTGGCAGTTTCCTGCGACCAATGGCAACGCTTTTCGAAGGCCATCGATTCCTGCAGCTAGAATGGCAGCCAGCGATGTATAGGGGTTTGCGGTGCCGCAATGCAGTTTTAATTCGAATCTGTTTTGTGCGATGCGCCTCAATGGTGTCTCCCTATTCTGCAAACACCAGCTGACATACTTGCCTCCACTCCAGATCTGCCGCAACTAACCTGATGGCTTTACGGGCCCGAATAAGATTGTCGACTGCTTCAAGTGGGCGTGTTGGCGGGAGAACAATCTCCCACTGACCCGGCGCAGACTCAGTATGAAATTGCTGGACTGGGAGTACGGGCTTTGATAGGTAGGCATCACACCAAATCCTCAATCACAGACAAAGATTTTCTCACATCCGGTGTGGCCGCTGACCAGAAATGATCGTAGATGGGCGCTTGGTCGTTGGAATTTATAAAGCTGTCATCTTCAGGCTTGAAAAAGACCGCTTCAATCTCATATCCCATAAGAGCATAGAGACAAAATTCGCTTCTCATAGTATTGCTGAGATCGATCAGCTTCTGCCGTGGAAATTCTGGGATGGGTAGACCATCTAAGGCAAGTATCTTCAATCGGTATAGGCCGATGGTCATTGGGGCAATGGATGCTGTCAAAATATCAGGCATTAGCTATATTGCATCAATTGGCTTTCCACCCTTGGTGACCGTGTCACTGCGCAAGAAACGTGTGATGATGCCGACTATGCCGATATGTTGACCATCCTTCATCATTCTCGAAAACCCCTCAACTGGAACCATCCGTACTCGTACTACACCATGGATCGGGACGAGCCGAATCCACACAAATTCAACGTCCTTATAGACGTCCAGAATGCATTTCCATTCCGGTTCTAATTTGGAATCAGTTTCCAGGGATGAGAGCCCATCGGGATTTGGACTCAAAGCTGAACCGTCTGTCAGTGTTGTGAAACATGCAAAATTGCAGGCTGTTCTCGCGAACATAAATAACCAGTTCTTGGGAAGATGGGAATTGAGTATATTCCATCAGCGTGGTGTGTGTACAGGGTAATCTACTTGACGTCTGTTTGTCATGCAGATCTCAACGTCTGAGAACCTGAAAGGCCTGCAGCAACAACTCACGCTAAGTGGTGCTTCCGCTACCTGCAGACAGAACAGATTGACCACAATGTGAAATGTTTTTAGGATAATGTCTGACATGCATTTTGCGTACTTCACTGTATGGTACACCGTCGGAGATAGTAACATCATCAACAATGATATACTCCAGAGAAACATTACAATTCTACTGATATCTTCAATAATAGCAGGATCAAAACCCGCGGTCTGTATTGAATCTAAGGTTGGATTGGATTATCTCTAAGATTGCTCCCCGAGCATTATGCCTGGTTTTAACCGCTTTTTTTATCACTCCATAATATTCGAATCGCAAGGTGGAGGAGGAGAAAATTGGGCCCAGAACACCATGGTTGTGGGGGCTGGGTTGCCCTTATCTCATTATCAGGGCACACCCATCATCTAGGCGTCCTGAGGGATTTCGTGCCTATCATCCAGAACCTGACCAAGATAAGGAAACAGCTTCAGGAAAGCAGGTTTCTTTTGATGCCATTGTCCCCTCTCTTCCTGGTTTTGCCTTTTCATCTGCGCAACCTATTGAGTGAACAATTCAAGACACTGCCCGTGTGTTCAACACACATTTGACAGAGGTGTTGGGTTACGACAACTAAACCGTTTCTGGGACTGACTGGGATAGCGGAATTGCATATGCACTATACGATGGATTCAACTCGACGGTCCACGCAGCCCATTTTGCATTCTTGCCCCTCTACCCTCTCGCTTCAGCATAAATAGCCGCCGAAAACATAATCCTCACGTCACTAGACGCGTTCAAGGAGGCTGATACGAGTTCAAAACAATACAATCATGAGGCCGTGATACTTTGAGACGCCTTGCAAAATCACAAATCAAATAATAGCTTTTAGCTGCAACCATATATGTCCGGCGCCAAAGTCCGGAAGCCGTTTTGCAGACGGTTAAATGAATAATCGGCGGGTTCAATGCTGCCGATCGATTCGGTATCGGGAAGGGCTTGGCGTCGGGGTGACCCCGGAATTTTGCCGAGGGGACGGGGACAATGTCAATCTCTTGCCTTTTAAGTCAAATTCAATTACCGACATTCTCTCCCACCGCGAGGTAATTTTGGAACCGGTTGTTAGCGACTTGGACTAGGCGAAAACATCCGATACCCTCCAGGGCTAGATGAATTGCAAAATTGGAGAATGACACTAATAGAGATCAACATCCTGAATACTATATATAGCGTGATAGTAGGTGATAGCCGCCCTACAATTATGACTAGTTTCTGGACCGCGAAGTGTCATTTACGCGGCGATTAGTGAAGAGCATGGAGTATCGACGAAGGCCCAGCCAGTATTTTTAATACAACTGTGTTGGACGCCCAATCAAGAGAACCCCCCGTGATGATGATTGATACCTCTAATTCCCGAACGAAAACCCGAAAACAAAGACTTTACATACTAATCAACTTGAGTTTCATATAGCTGGTACAGGAAATAGTGTAACCTTATTCCTGGTCTGCATCAAGTGACTCGGGACGTATCTCACAGTTTGTAATTCTATGGTGTGATCGTCTGGGTCCCAAGCTAGAACACTGGTCTTTATCTGTTCAACTTTCAGATCCACGTATTTCTCCATCTCGTTCTTCCTTTTGAGTTCCAGAAGGTTGATTCTCTCCTCAGAAACATCCTCAATGGGACAAGTCATCGTTGCGAAGAACTGTTGATCGATCTTTTGCCAGTAAATCGAATCTAAGGCGAAGTTATTCCTCTCGGCATACACAACCCAGAAGTCCCCGCTCTCCCAGCCCGCTCTCATCGGGCCAGAGAGCCGATGATCTTCTTTCATAACCTCCCGTTTGATCGCTTCGTCTTCGCGATATGCCATCGCTGGGGACTGGGATTGGAATTGAATGCAGTCTGGTCCCGAGGGTATCGCATTATAGCGCCCTCATTCCGTGCTTTTTCTTCGGGAAACATAGCGGCACTGGGAATGGGGAACCGTATAACAGCCGAGCTATGACTCTGGTACATCATGCGAAAAGCAAGGCTGAAGGCGCCTTTGGCTATAGGGCTGAATGCAAGAGCATTAGCACTGACGGATGTGTAATGTCTAACAAGAAATGTGCCAATTGGACGTAAGACGTCCAGTTCGTAAAGTTGGGCCAACCAGGCATTGGCGAGCTGCTCACTTTCATAGTCTCTTCACGCATATCATTATTGTCATTCTGATATCTATTCCTCTCTCGTAACCTCTTAATAGTATATGTTATTGTAATGAAAGTGAAGTCCCATATTAAAGCGGAGCTTGACTAAAATTCCCCTAGGGGCAACGAGTCATAATTTTCGGAAGGTCCCCGACAGCCGAGATCGTTGGGCTCAATAGCCGTCTGACCCGTATTTTTGATATTCTTGATATTGAGGCTATTCGATTAACCCGCAGGTCCTCTGGAACAGGGGGTATGATGTCACACAATTTACCCCATGTGGGGGTCGTGGGAAAATATCTGAACTAGAAGTTGGTTATAAAAAGGGTGAGCAATCTCTTTTCTTCTGGCCTCTTTATGTCGTTGAACACGAGAGCGAATCTTTCAGGTTGCAACCTGAATCTCCCACTATGAATTTATGGTTTTTCGTACTGTGCGTCACATTCGTGAACGCCTGGGTTGTCAATGAAGGCACAATCTGCACTCTGTACCCAGAATCGCTTGTTCACAAGGGACAAGCCGTTGATGATTCACCTTCTATTCAGGAAGCCTTCGATACCTGTGGTACAAATGGAACTGTTATTTTCTCTGACAACGTCTTCCATGTCAACACCGTTCTCAACACCACCAACCTGTTGAACTGTGATGTTTACTTGCGCGGTGAACTCCGCTTCTCCACCAACATTCCCTACTGGAGAACCCACTCTATCAGCGTTATTTTGCAAGACCAAGTCACAGCGTGGCTCTTTGGCGGTACAAATGTTAACTTCTATGGCCAAGGCGGCTTCTACAACGGCCAGGGCCAGGCTTGGTACAACGCAAATCGGAATGAGTCGAATCAGCCCGGACGACCAATGAGTATAACATTTTATAACTCGACCAATCTGCTTGTGGATAGACTTAGCATTATTCAACCCCAATTCTGGGCTACGTTTGTCTGGGATAGCAAGAACGTGTCTGTTACCAACTTGTTCGTAAACGCTACAAGTGACAGCAAATGGGGCACCATGAACACCGATGGCTACGACTCTTGGAAGAGCGATACTTTGCTTGTGGAGAACGCAACTATCATCAATGGCGATGATTGTATCGCCGCTAAGGGAAACACAACAAATCTGTACGCCAAGAATATCTACTGTGAAGGTGGCACTGGTATCACTATTGGTTCTATCGGTCAATACCCAGACACGCCCGATTACAACCTCAACACAACATTCGAAAACGTGAAGATCAAGAACGCAATGGATGGCGCCTACATCAAGACTTGGCAAGGCACCCGCATCTACACACCCAGCAACGGCGACTGGGGTGGCGGTGGCACCGGTCTCGTGAAGAACATCACATTCCGTAACTTCGAAATGGAGAACGTGGGACTTCCGATTCAAATGTCACAGTGCGTTTACTCGGCCGATTCCAACAAGGGCTGCAACACATCGAAGTTGCAGATCGAAGACGTTAAGTGGGAGAACATCCACGGCACATCACGATTCAATATCGCTGCATCCATGTACTGCTCTGATGAGCGCCCTTGCCCGAACATCACTTTCGATAACGTCAATATCACCAGCGTCAACGCCACGCGTCATCTGCCTTACTATGGCACCGATATCCAACATCTGTTGTTCCAGTGCACCAATATTGAAGGCCAGAACAGCTCTGGAATTCCATGCAACCAAGCTGCCCCGAGCAACTTCAGCCAGTGGATTTATGGAAATGTCGATAGCTCTGGTCTGGCGAATCTGAGCTGAGGGTTTGGCTGAGCTATAGCCTGTATTAATCTTAACTTTCGGATATGTTCTGGACGGCGACAGGAGAAAAAGGATTGAGTTGACTGTGCGATATCAAGTGATTAGTCTGGAATTCTGAATGAGAAAAATCTGGGACTCGCTCAACGGAAGAAATGCTAATGAATGATGCCAATGACATGTCAAACAAAACCAAGCGATGCAATCATTTTTCTGGATATCTAATGATAGATGTGAAAAGTCCTCCTGCAAAGTATACGAATTATCCAAGGACGGGCTTAGCCTCTTCTTTCACCGATACTGTCGGAGCCACAGGCACATCTGCACAATCAACTTGAATAACCTCATGGGCAATTTTTCCTTCGGAAGCTGAAATTACAAGCGCGCTTAGTCGATGGCCGTACACGCACGCCGAATCCAGCCCAATCGAATACCTGCCAATCTGTATACGACGTTTTGCATCGTGACCGAAGATCACTGTAGTCTTGGATGGTAGCTTATCCTGCCAACGGTCCCATTCAACAACCCAACCTTCATCCCCAGAGCTTTCCATCGGTGTGAATACATCGTCCTTGCCATTTGTGCGGACGAGGCTTCGAGTATGTAGTACAGCGTGCGGGTCCTGCTCTTCGAGTGGGATACCAGGGACGAGACCCGCATGTACCACAATCAAAGTATCGCCCAGAGACGATATTAGCTTTTGGGATAGTTTGATGCGCAAGATAAAAGGCAAAGCGGCGAGCCATTCTAGATGACTTGGAGATAGTGCTGATGCCGTGATCTGCGTTGCAGGGCTAGGCCTCCTACTTTTTTCGGCTGTAGCAGAGATGCTTTTTTCTGAAGCCTGAGAATCCTGAACATCATTCACAGGCAAGTCGTGTTGTGGGCTCTCAGATAAGGCCGCACCAGCGCTCAAGTCTCCTGAATTTGGAGGATTGTACCCTGACGAGTTCATTTCAACGGCAGCACTGAGAACTGCATCTTCGTGATTGCCTCTTACTGCGCTGGCGCCAAGCTTCATCGCCAAATCAACAACACCAGGGCTATCGGGCCCTTTGTTGACTAGGTCGCCAACGAATATAAGATGATCTCCTTTGCATCTGTCGAACGCCACTTTGTCTAGAAGTGCTTCTAGGGACTTTCTCATTCCATGTACATCGCCTATAATGACCAGGCGTCCACGAGGAGGGCCGCTGTTGGAAGGCGAGGAGAGCGACTGCGGAAGGACATTGGCCGGTAGGTCTGAAAGAAAAGTGCTGGTTGGAAATATCTCCTTGGCAGCTTTGGTAGGTGTCATCTTTTATGTTATGTATGATATTGTTTGTTTTGCTGAAGCAAATTCCACACGGATATTTATTGGGAGGGGGAAAAGAACAGGGACATTGATGTGAGGGTTGCGTGGATGTAATCTTTGTTGTTGCAGAAAAACCTGGACCCCAGAGCCTGATCAGTGTTACGCGGTCTTCGCCTTAAATCTCAGGCCTCAAGGCCATTAAATCCTCCACTCTATAAATAGTGAGTGACCAGTGACATACTTATGTTTCACGACCAAGAAGCAGAAATTTGCTAGATAGTATAAAGAGTGCTACTAGAGATTTATACACGTTATGCGATATCATTGTACGAGATGTCCTCCCTAGGAACGAGATATGCAAGAAGTGGAGGGCCTTGTCGTCGTTAATTAGACTCTGACGTGTCGAAATTTGGTGAATGTTTGAGTGAATGGACAACTAAGAGAAATGCTATCGAGCGATATTTCAATATACATAAAATTTACATAGCCGGACTTCCCTGACTCTCCAGACTACACGCTCTATTTTAGCTGGTCACCACGAAAAAACGGGAAAGCTTTGACAAACGGGTGTGCGTTCGAGACACATTACACTAGATGAATTACTATACCCTAACAAGTTATCTGAGAAACCTTCATTAGAAGGTACGCGAAGCTTTGGTTGAATAGAGCTTAAGATGGAACATACCTAAATTGGACTAGTAAGTGTTTTGACCCGCTACGGGCCGTGCCTATTTCTGCCCATCCGTGGTCCAACCCTTTAGCAACTCTACACTACAGTTCGGCAGTTGTGTTCAATGGATCATAGGAATAAGAGATTGTTTTGTTATTCTAGGATAGGTGCCTTCACGAGCTTGATTAAGCACAATGAAACTTCCTTATCAACGTTTAAGCTTCTGTCAGTCATCTGCAAATGAAAGAGGATGATTTGTTAATGTTGCCCTTGACATAAGTCAGTACCTTTGGATAGGGACAAAGATTTGCCTTCCGAATAGGTGTGCTTGCACTCTCAGCCGCTGCGGGTATGGTATGCGCAAACAGCGTGTCGGGCGCTTTGCCTTTTTCTACCCAGTCGACCAAGGCATCGAACCCATTGCCCGGGAACCATCCCGGTCCTCCACCACAATGCTCCACACCAGGGGCAGAAAAGAAGCGATAGTAGTCGTGAACTCTGGCATCAAAGTCACGAACACGATCGTAGTAATCTATCGTGCCATTATAGAAAGCATATTGGTCCTTCATGCCGTGCCAGGTGATCATTTTCCCACCAGCGTCCCTGAATTTGGTGAGGTCGGGATTTCGGGTTCCAATGATGGATCCAAACTTCTTCAATGAAGTGTGGAATAGTCGGCGGAAATCTTGGAGGCCAATAGTCGACAAATCCCGCGAAGGATCTCGGGATAGAATCGTTGTCATCCAATCGGTCGCAAGGAAGAAGGGGGTCGGTTTGCACTTGCCCGATGACGAACAGTCTATTCCACCGAGACCAGTGAGAGGCGCATCGTGCGTCAGGCCATACCAGAGTGACGATCCGTCCGAGTTGTTGGCACCGGACCACACTGCGGCAGCGAATTGTGCACTCTTTTCGGAAAGTTTGATGATACTGTTTGTGTCTGCGCAATTCACTTCTTTTCCAATCACTGTGGAGGGATCGAATTGACAGAGACCTGGCAGAGCAACAATACCATCCTTGACCCCGTCAAGTTCATCGCAAGTGCTGATCGCAAGATCGGTAATGGCTTCCAGCTCACAAGGCGGTGGATAATAGTCTGGCCAATGTAATGATTAGCGGTTGTCTACATTTGCTTTCGGAATCGGTGTATGTATTTACTCAGTTCCTGCATCATCAGTGGTGGCCAATATTGGGCGGGTATAAACTCGTCCCAGTTGATGGCAGGAGATCCTGCCAGAATTCCGTCATATTGAGTTGGAAACTCCTGTGCAAGCATATGTCCCTGTCGCCCTCCGGTAGAACAGCCGTTCCAGTAGGAGTACTTGGGCAGGGATCCATAGAACAAGCGTGTGGCGGCTTTGCCAAGTGAGGCAGCCTCGTCCACTGCGACAGAGCTGAAATCCTCGAGGAGTTTCCAATTCAGATCTCCATTGCTATCCAACGCCCACGATTGGAGACTTGCCGATGCTGAGTGCCCTCCATCTGTTGAAGCCGCGGAATAGCCATCAAAGACAGGCTGAGCGAGCGAGCTAGCCGTACCCGTCACCCAGCCACTGCCTCCCATTCCGACGAATCGGCCGTTCCAAGACGTGACGGGAAGCCACACCCATGTGTTGATCGTATCGTTTTGCCCACGGTGCTTGTATTTGATAGTAACTTGGCAAACCTCTACAGTGCCATTTTTTGTGCTGGGAAAAGCATTGATCAAATCGCTTGACGCTGGCCAAGCGGTGTGGGCGATGACAGAGTCAAGGGAGACAATGTTGGCATTGGGAAGTGTAAGAGGCGCGAAGGTAGCATCTGTGCACACTCCCTTTGTACTTCTTAATGGTTCTGCCACGGATATACCAAGGAGTGCTAGCGCCAAGCCTCCTCTGCATCCACCAAACAGCGGAGACAACATCTTGACCTGATGAATATTGCGAAATTATTACAGAATCATATGCAGAATGAGAGGAGGAGCACCTGTATTTATAGACAATACTCTGGCTTTCATATCAAACAGTATTGCAGAATAGCATGATACACATCCCGTAGCTTAAGACATTTCCGTGTCTTGGCATTTCTCATGGCTGCCACCAAGCTGACTGTATCCTGTTGGAATGGCTTTGCAACACTGCTGTACTTAAATCCCGATACTGTGTGATTTTTAATTGGATAAATTAGGCTGTGAGCGGAGATGATGGAATAACTAGTCCTGTGCCATTTATTAAACGTGTTTGATTAGATCAAAATCTGACAGGGACCAGATTCCCCTTTAGGAATACCCTCTTTAGTTCCGTTTTTTTTTTCGCTAACAATGTTTACTCCACGGGGCACACAATAGCTTCAAATTTTTATTTTTTTTTTTGGACTGAGAATAACCACGCGAGTGTGATATATATAAACGATACGAAGGAGATTGAAAGAAAAGGTAAATACATACAGGCTAGTATACAAATGGATCTTGCCGGGTGAAACAGCCGTGGCTCCAAAAGATGAGTGATAATATAGGTGCTCCACATCAAATTACTAGGGCCCCGTAGAGTATCTGAATTCCTTGCCTGTCAGCCCAACAAATGTCCAGCCTAGTAGACAGGGACCTTGAACGCCGGGAAGTCATATGTCCAGCTCCCGCAAGAGTTCTTGTCGGTAACACAATCAAATGTGGTGTTGCTGCACCACAAAGGACGAGTGGGCCACTGGCAAAGCTGCTGGTTCTCTCCAGCATATTGGCCGGATAAAACAGTGGCGTTCAAACGAGTGGGCTTCGCGCCGTTCTCGACTGAGTCGATCATGATGTCCATGTTGTTTTCGGAAAAATGACCTGGTTGAAGAGAGTTGGTTGCGAAATGAGCAGCACCAGGAACGAGGTAGAATTGGTACCAATCCTGGAGGTTGGAAAGGCTTTCTTCTCCGAAAGACCGGAATATATAATGAATCGAATAGATTGTCAATAGCAAATGGAAGAGGCAGCGGGGGCACTTGGGTCGGATTCACCGTGGTAGTGGAGAAATTTGCCTCTATTGGACTGGAAGGTGGTGAGGTCGGGGAGAGTAGTTTGCAATGAGTCCTTGTAGCGAGCCATTCCGTCATTCATCCACTCCACAAGAGCATCGCAATTCACACCATCGAGGATAGAGAGGTTATCAAGGTCTTGCATTGTAGACTGCACCGGCGGTGGTGGTAGATGGAATCATATTACACGCTTATGATGAACTTGAACTTCATTGGATCGAATTGATATGAGACCATGTTGTGTAGTTCGATGGGAGTACATTCTTGAAGCCTTCGTTTGAATTCATAACAACCAGCTCATGCGGACTAATAGAAATCAAGTGATTCACTGCAAATTCTTGATCAACCGAAAAAACAATTGGGGTTGCAGTCTTCGGATTGTAGAAGCACCCAGTTTCATATGCCCACGATTGAAGGTGTCATCAACAGAGTGAGCCATTGACATCAAATAAGCCGATTACCTAAGTAGTGTCCGTGGATATTCCGTGGGGGTAGATGTGGGCACGCGGGGATAGGTCGGCAAATGCTGCCCAAACGTCCGATAATCGCATCTCACCTATCACCTGCACGGCAACCTCATTTCTAAGGTTCAGCCCTCCAATTACTAATACCCGAGTAAACACCACTGCCATCTTGGTCGTGTCTTATAGACCATAGAATCCCCGACCATACTAATCTGCCTTCAACCTATCCAACCTCAGCAGAAGAACAAATTCTCACCAATCCATCACCATGACCAAAACAAAAGACTGGAATGCAACCCAATATCTCAAGTTCGAGGATGAACGCACCCTACCACCACGCGACCTCCTCGCAAGGGTGCCCCTACCATCACCAAAGAGGATAATCGACCTGGGCTGCGGCCCAGGAAATTCAACATCAGTCTTGGCCAGACGCTACCCAGACGCAAAGATTACAGCCTTAGATGCTTCACCGGACATGATCAAAAAGGCGCAGACTGTCCTCCCAGAGCGAGACTTCCATGTCGCAGATCTGACGACGTACAGGCCGGAGGCAGGCGATGCTGTCGACCTCTTCTTCTCCAGTGCTGTGTTCCATTGGTTGACTGCAGACGACCGGATCGCGGTGATCAAGCGGCTTCTAAAGCCACAGACTCCAGGCTCTGTCTTTGCTATTCAGATGCCGAATAACCTGAATGAGCCGATGCATGCGTTGATGCGTGAGACGGCGGTGAAGGGTCCCTGGGCTAGGAAGTTGACTGGGGTGCAGAGGAATGAGCTCGAGCCTGTACAGGTGATGCATGATCGGCTGAAGCTGTTTTGTGCAAAGGTCGATGTTTGGGAGACGATTTACTATCATTCGGTTGAGGGGCCTGAGGCTGTCGTTGAGTGGGCGAAAGGGGCTGGGTTGAAGCCGTTTGTGGATTTGTTGGAGGGTGACGAGCGGGAGGCGTTTCTGGAGGCATACTTGGTGAAGATCAAAAAGGCGTATCCTGTCTCTGTTGATGGGAGGGTGTTATTGAGATATCCGCGGTTGTTTTTGGTTGCTGTGAAGTGAGAGAGTGAGGGAAATATATAAAGATGGAAATAGAAGGTTGTTCGACATCCTCAGGAATCAATCCCTGGTGTTGCGCATCTGGTTTTCTCTGTTATGGCTTCCGGTTCTCAAGGGGTCTTTCTTGACAACATTCTTACCTACGGCGGTTAAATATTACATGAGTGGGTTCACACACTTGCAGAAAGTATTGGCAACAATAAGGGGTATGAATATTGCCTCTTCGAGTGTATGAGAAGCCTGAAATTGAAGGAGTGGTAGCTCCGTAGGTCACCTGATGGCAGGATACACTGTCGACTCACACGTTTGCTCACGACCACTCCTTCTAAAATTCACCTGATTGCGTTCATGGTATCTACGATATCTAATGATGGTCCAAGCGCTGGGTTTCAAGTGGGACAAAACTATCTACGAATACAGGTATGGGGAATGGTTAGGATTCAGCTGCAACTCTATAGAAAGCTTATCTAACTGCATTACAGACTTCTGCTCTACTTACTCATTTGATTGGCGTTAGTCAAATCTGTCACTGCAGCCCTAGGGAAATTGTACTTCTGCTTGTTAATTGGTGTAATTCAAGGGTGAGAGGCTGATGAGTGAGCTGCAAAACTCAATGAGAGTCCAAGGTCCAGAAGTCTATGCGAGGAATTGTTATTTGACTCAGAGAGAGCATGAGGTGAGAAAGCCCTTTAAAGAGGTTCTTTCTCTTGTCTCGCTGATGAGAAGGATGTTCATCCAAGTCTCTGAGAGCATTTGAACTTCTGAGTTGCCAATATATCCCATGACCAAGTATCCGTTTTTGAGCATAGTCGAGCGTTAATGGGAAACCTAGGGATATAGCAGGGAATATCCCATAAGCCATTTCATAGATCTGTTGAGGCACCAGAGCAATTTGGTTCCCAAAGGGGTATTCTGGGGACGCGCAAACTGTTTATCACAGATTAGACTTTAGGCTTATTTCTGATCAAGCTAGAAATCAACTGAAATTGCTTACGCTTGTGCTCCAACTAGCACAACCCCCATAATCGAGAGATAGATATTTTTGGACAATGTTCATGTATACAGGTATAAGTTGCGGCTTCACATCGAAGTTTTTCGTCCACATTGCTGAGGTTTCGAGATTCTCCTGATTTTTGCGGCAGAGGAAACCTGGCAAAGCTCGTTCTCATGCAGAGTACCTTGCCTTGGTGACATAGAGTGGGATGCAAAAATTGAAGCCACCGTTTACCCACTTATTGGCGTCTCCAATATGGCAAGTCTCCGAGGTGCTTAGTCCCAGATGGTAGGACGCGGTTTTCGAGATTTTCTTCATAATTGCTATACAGCAGCACGAAAACTTCGAAGCACTGTTCCGGGAGCCTTAGTAGAAGAAGAATATCATCTTCTTCTATTGGCGCTGATTCGAGCGTTGTGGTACCTCGGACGAGTGGTAAGTTGGCCGCCCCCTGATAGGTCATCGCTAGAGCTTATTGGTTCAAGAGAACATACAATGTAAGAAGGCGCAATGACCATGTATCACTGACTAGTATGATCTCTTGGGGCGCGAGTAGGCCTATGGATGGAGAGAAAGATAGAATAGAAATAGCAGCTTGGTTGTTGACTGACTGAAGCAAGCTGGGAAAAACCTAAAGTGGCAAGGATTGGCAGCCTGAACCTGCGGCCTGAACCTCAGGCAAAGAATCATATCTCAACATGATCAAACATTGACTTTGATGTGACCAAGTTAAACTAAGTGCTCAATAACGCCCCTTTTTGGATTTATGAGAATATAAAAATAGGTGCTGTGAAATTGGAAGCTATACTGTGCATTTAGATCATGTTCTTGAAGATTTTCCTTAAAAGAGACGATGTTAGTTAGGTTATGTATATTCTACCTAGGTGCTAGAGTGATTGAACAAAACCTTTGCGTTTAACTGGGACAGAGAGGGGGGAACACGAACAGCACCAGGGGTTTGTGTTAGTAGAAAACCAGGTCGACTTCGGTGGTTTAGGGTTGTTCAAAGCTGCACTCCAAGGTTTTTTGCGGTGGGCGACCGGCCTAATAATGGATGGTTAAGGCGCTTACAAAATCTACCTTCGTGCTACTTTTAGGTCAATGCGAATGACTTCACAATATTTAGCAAGGATATATATTGCCACGTTTGTGTTTTTTCGATCTAACGATATCCATAACAATGACAACATTTTTACTGCAGATCACTTATAGTTATGTATTTAAATACAGAAACGCATACAAGTTGCTGCCGAAACATTTATTCAAGCCTCATTCGAGGGTTCCAGATTCCCAAAAAGTGATCTTCGTCTCGATGTATCTTGCCGCATGAAGCAGTGTAACTTGAGGACTTTCCGAGTTCGTATTCAGAAAAAATGTACCTCACTCTACAGCATGACGTTTAAAATAGCCATTAATACTTGATTCTTGAGAAATGGTTTGTAGATTAAGTGTAATATTCCCTATTTGAGACTTTATGCGTCATCAATTTACCACAATCAAAGGCTTGCAGTTGGGATCTGCGAAATTACCGAAGTCGCGGCATTCTATCCTGTGAATCTGTATTGCCTTTCACGTCATTAGGCTTGGCCTGAAATGTTCTACTTTATTTGCCTATAATATTAAACCTTGCCCAAGGATTAGATGTACTCCAAATATTCCGTATCATCATCAGTGGACTACGAAGCCGTGATCATAATGGGTTCAATCGACATCAACAATATGAACAAACTTTACCAATATTCCACTATAAGTGCCTTCATGCAAGGAGTTTGCAAAGGTGGAAAAGAGACATGGCAAGTCCTCTCACGAGGTGATCATGGGCTTGGAACAGTCTCGGGATTAACCGGAGAGATTATGATAATTGATGGCGACGCATATCAATTCTCTTCTGAACAAACGCGAAAGCTTGAAGACTCCGATGCGCTCCCTTTTGCTATGACAACTTATTTTCGACCAGTTTGGGAAACCTTTGTACCGCATGTCACTTCCGATTCACTTTCCCGTCGGCTCATCGAGTTTCTTTCGCCGAGGCAAAACTGCTTCGTGTCTATCCGACTTGATGGCTTCTTCGAGCACATTACTTTCCGCATCATTGCTGCACAGGAAAAAGACCATGAAACGCCACTTGAGCTCATCCAGCGCCAGAAGATGAGTGACCACGTCGGAATTCGAGGAACGATATTTGGCTTCCGCACGCCAAGATTTGCCAGTGCTTTTAGTCCTGCTGGCTATCATTTGCACTTCATTTCAGAAGACCGGACATTGGGAGGACATGTGCTGAACTTTCATGCGTCCTCGGCAACAATTTCAGCATCTGCGATAGATGAATACAATGTTGAATTGCCACAATCTCCGGGGTTTAACGGATTTCCGATCGACCCTCCGAAGGAGGAAGAAGTCAAGACCGTCGAGGGGACATTGTAAGTGGCCATGTATGCAACCTACAAATACAAAATACGGTTTCTTCATCTCGGAAAAGGGATCTTGGAGGATCAGCTTAGGCCCTGGATGTGGATCGACCGTCACATATACACTGCAGAGAGCTTTGTTTCTTCTGCTTCCAGCCAGTATTTCATATCTGCTGTCTTTTTCTTGTTTTTACCCTATTTTCGAGCATTTTTTATACAATTGTTATTTAGGTAAATGTAATTATTCATTTGGTAGTTTTATATTTATTAAGATCCTGATTTCCATCCAAGCAGGTGCAAGTGAGCTAATTTACAAACCACAATTCCTCAATTCCAGCAACTACTACGTATCAATAAGAGACGTGAGGACCAGTACCGTTTTCTTCCCGGGGTCCAAGACAGAAGAGACCCTGACCCATTCTTAGGCAGTGCATACGACATTTTTGCCATCCTGTTCTCTATCAGCCACTTCTTCTTCTGCGGCAAGCAAAAGTCAATAGTAACGTACCACAATCTGGTTGCCGGAACAGCAGAGATTAACCTGTTTCTTGGGGGAGCTCGAACCACAATCCTTGCCATTAGGATTGGCAGGAACACAGCCCGATCCAGCTCCCTTCACGAAGAAGAGATTTAGGGAGGAGACTGCACTAGTGCAGCACCACCCGTGAGCAGTGCGACATGCAGTAGTGTCTCTCTCTTCAAGATCTTCAGTTGGCATAGCAATAGCTAGACCAGCAATGGCAAAAGTGGCGATGATGTTTTTGACGAGCATGGTGGAGTGTTGATTACCAGGAAGATGCTTGTAAATTGTTTAGGTATTGAATGAGTAGGCAGGAAATCGATGGAAACTTCATCAATTAAATAGACTAACAGACACCTTCACATACAGTACCTATCACAGTTCTTCAAAGACAATATGTTGGAATATCGATGATTCATTCGGTCTGATCTATGCATCTAGATCACTCGTAGCTAGAACAGATGATTCAATAGGAGGCACGAGACCTTCAAATTCCTAGATGTAGTTTGGCGGTCATATGCTTGGTTCGCTGTGTGGGGAAAGTTTAAATCACATTCTGCGCTGCCTGTTGAAGTAGATTTAGATTGGTAGTTTAGTAGTCATAACAACGAGTTATCTGACTGTTTAGTGGAAATCGTGATGTAGAAAGTATGAGAGCGGCGATGAATGCCGAACCAACCTTACTAGATACCTTACGATTAGATCTCCGCCACTCAAGCAAGTTATGTATACTACGGGCTGGAATAAACTCAACCTATCGATGTTGGATTTAAAAGTAAGGAAGATTTCTGACATCCATGGTTGTACTTCGCCACAATGCTTCTTGATATCAACTCACTATGTGTGTGGAATAGCGATATGAAGGAATGATGATATTCTGAAATCTCTGAGGAAAAGCTCTCTATCTATAGCTAGGGAGGCGTGACAAACCTGGACGAGCAAAAAACGCGAATGCGCAAACAAGCAAACGCTGCTATATTCATCACTTTTTGAGGGTATTTTCGGGCTCTGTCTCAGACACGAGTTTCTATAGCAGGCGATCCAAAGCGCACGTTCTCAACAGGTGAACATCACGCACGTCGTGCGACCGCTGTAATACCCAATATTTCCTTGAAATGGGTTGTTCAAACATAGAAATAGCAGCCGAGAGCCAACCGAGAGCTAACCGGGGTCCCGAAAGCTACACATGGACTGGCGCTCTAACCTCAGATATCCTATATCATAGATGCTAATAATCAGTTCAGCGCCACTTACCATCACTGAAGCCAAACGCAAACCCAATTGACTTGCATGAACAACACAATTTCCAATGGGGAAAATTACACATCCTCTTTAGAATAGAGCTTGTATCATATAGCTTAGCTTGAAGACAATACTACATAAGTAGTCCTGTTGTAGAATAGACAGACGCGACAATATAAAAAAATAACAAAGGTTGTATGGTATCAAATTGTAGATCCAATGGGATTAGCTGGGCTAAGCTGAAGATTCATAATCTTGATTCGATGATGCGGTTCTCGAGATGTCCGGAGGTCGTGCATTACTGGAACCGCCAAGGATAACCTTAAATTTAAAAGCGGGTCAAGAGCCGGTGGGTCCCTTTTCCGAATTGTCTAGATGCTCGTATTCCTGAGGTTTAGTTTGCCAAGGTCAATCTTGTTCATCAGACACTATTACTCTACTCTATATTGCTGGTAGAGTCTATTTAGAGTTAATGAAGATCGAAGGGTCTGAACAATAAAATGGAATTGAGATCGAAAAGCTAACTAAATCGATGCAATCAAGGAGAATCGACGATATCAACACCCCGATAAGGGTCAATTACCACGATTTAAGACGCATATTCAACATCCCGTAGAATTTCTGTAATAAGTGGTCCCACGGTTTCCAGTACTAGCAAGCTGAGACTAATTCAAAATTATTAGCAAATAGACCCCAGACCAATCTTTATTGCTGATAGTCAACTGCGCGTTTCTAGGCCTCTAGAGAGAAAAAAAGTTCTGCGACGACGCTCACTACGACGCTCACTCACTTAACCACTTTAGAACAAAAGAGTTATATATAAAAAACATACAACAGTGAGGATTCGCTGGTGGTCACCCACCCAACTACTAACTCACCGGCGTGTGGCTTAAGTACGGCTGAGCGGACGGGAAGCCCTGTTTTCCACACCCTATGGTCGTATGTACTTGAGCTGAGAGTGATAGGTACCATATACTGAGTCTTTTCAATCATCATAGCAAAGGATATACTATTTCATATGCTGGTCCTTTCTCGACACTTTAATAAGGGACTCTCGGCCGGCAACGAGGGCTTTGGCTGGCTAGTATTTTCAGAGACGCATACTATACAATTGGGGTTCAAGATGTCGTACAGTGCAATGACAGACAAACCAAAGGAGATCCCGCCGGCGTGGGCAGCTCGCCGCTCTTGTCAGCCCTCTTCGGGATATTCAGACGCATATTCGCCAACCTAAATACTATTCCTATAATAATTTAGCCCACGTATTAAAAGGTGCATTTCATATTATGAAGCAAAAAAGCTACGTATGATCCTTTGGTCCCTTCTCCAGCCATCTCTCCTAGCTCACATTCCTTAAGTGAAACATATTCCGATGTAGTAAAGCGACACTAGTGTAAAGCCCACGAACACAATCCTCTTGCTTAGCCACCATTTCCATTTCCTAAACAGGCAAAGCTCGTCATATTCATATCCCCAAAATGATGTGGACACTAATTGTTTGCAGATAGAGCAGTCAAGAAAGCGCCCCGTGCGAATCCACCTGGCATCTGGGTCTTTTGTCTCTTTTGGTGTGAATTCAAATCCCCGGGCTTTAGAGCAACATCCACAGTCAACAGTACAATGACCAGCTCCTAATTTCCGTTCGGAATTCGTATGTGCGCTCCGGCTTTCACAGCACTGACATCCACGGCTACAACAACCACCCCATTCTTCACAACGTCGACGAAGTGTATCACTGAGATACCATCTTAGGTTTGATCGACACTCAATAAAGCCTCGTCGAGTAGACCCTATCAATTGGTCCCTGAGTACGAACCAGTCACGTTGGAGATTCCAATGGCTTTTCTTTACAACTCTTAATCGTTGTTGGAGGTCGTATAGCCTTTTCTCTTCCAGCGGTGTAGTCTGTTTTCCTGCCAACTCTTGAACCAGTTGAAGGAGATATTCCTCACTTTGAGTTATGCGCCGAAGCTTGAAATCATGCTCAAATAGATTTGACATCAACTCTGTTGCGGGATATCCATCAAACTCGGGAGTTTTGGATAGCATCCAGGATCTAAAGTCTTGTAGAGCCTCCGTATCAGCAGACCACAAAATCACCTTCTCTAATACCAGATAAATAGTTTCCATCCTCTCACTTATGTGGTTTGCTGATATCCTGGTATCTGAAATTCTGAAAAAAACCAGTGACCAACCAAGTAGATAATTGTCTAAAGCAATGTCGTCATTATACTTCATGACTTTGCGGCATCCGCCCAGGCATTGTCAACGGATTGAGCACCTGCGAAATAAAAATATTCAGCAGCTCGCAGATGTGACGCCGCGCCTCCAGGAGGCTGACTGATCCGAAATTATCGCCTTAGGTAGCGACTCGGAAGCTCTACGAAATTCACATTCGCACCTACTGTCAAAACCACTTCAGAAACCAAAACAGCAGCACTTGCCTAGATGTAGAGAATAATGTCTAGTAATTTCTTAGATCGTAGAAGTCCCGATCGCAACCAAAAAGACCTTCACGAATCATCACAATGTTCTGCTTCGCTTAGTTTCTGTGTTGGTTCATTGGCCTTCTCTTGGGCCTGCTTTCTGCGTCTGTGGTTGTTTACGTCCACTACCACCCGCTCATCTGGGAGCCTGGCCCCATCACTAGTATTGGATGGAGGGGATGGCTAGGACTGCTTTGCGCGGCGTGGACCTTTCTGGTTTTTTTTCACGTAAGACCAATCTGACAGAGTGAAGGCTTTTTGGTACATTTAACGAGCTGGATACCATAGATTGTACTTCGAACCCTTGAGTGGGGATGCAGCAACCCAAACAACTGCCGATGTTGCGGCCAATAATTCCATTTCCACCCAAACTGACGAAACACCCTTGAGTTGAGTGTAGCTGTAAGGGAGGCCATGAACGACACCCTTTTACCCGACATTACTAGTCTTTTGGACGCCAGGCTAGCGCCGCCACAGCTCGCAGAGGAGCAAGACGCTGGGTCTGAAGTAGAGGCTGTGTACCATTGGTTGGCCGACTTGGCGCCCGGCCCAGACCAAAATGATGAGCCTGCACTCACAAATGGCTACTAATAGGGTAGCAACTATGGCATGTGGAGCCAGTAGCAAGATGATGAGTCTGAATTAGAGGCTTTGATGCATTGGTTGGCCGACTTGGCACCCGGCCAGACCAAAATGATGATCCTGTACTCCCAAATGGCGAGCACTATGTTAGCAACTGTGGTATGGGGAGCCAACATCATGAGCTATTCATAATTACACCATTAGTGGTGCTTTGTCTGACATAAATATAATTACTATGTCCATTTCCGGGAGATGGACCTGTTGACTAGTTGGTAGCTATACACCATCGCAAACCCCTTTTCGCGGTAGCGATACATCTTGATTAAACTGCGTGGTTAATAGTAATAGATTCACTCGTCGCTCTCAATAGTGGTTATTTGGGCTGAGAATGCACATACTGGTCTTGTTAGTCAGTCTACGAAGTGGATGTCTCGTAATATTCAAGAATAACAAAGTGATTCAGTTATAGCAAAAATTGAAAACCAAGACGGTCCTTGATTACTGCACAAATCAGATTCGCCGCATCTCTCTGCCAGTCTAATGAAATAGGAGAAATTGCGATAGTTCTTAACGATCCGTAAACCATAACTGCATCTGCCCATCCGAGAATGAACCTGTCACTAGGGAAGTGACCAATATCTTGTGACACGCCCTGCATGTGTAAGATCTTTGTAGCTGTGGCGCGAAAAGTTGCAATGCAGCGCTCTTGCATTGCGGTGGAATGGATATGCTGCTGCTGTGAGCAACCCGCTTCGTAGGCACGAAGTAGAAAGGTCAACACGCTCGCCGAAAGTCGCATTTGGAAATTTCCTTGATATGCATGCACTCCAATAGACGATGTTGGGCGCTGTTTGGAATCATATGAAGAATTCCAAATTTTCTCTATTTCATCCATTTGTTGCAATGTAGAGGCGTAATTGGCCAACGCCAAATCTGAATCGCCATTCAACACCTTTTGAATCTTACTTAGGAGGTGAGTGCAGTGGTAGGCAAAGACACATGCTTGAATTAGGATATAATCGGATGGCTTCATATGTTGGCCGAGTTCACGGATCCACCCCAACACCTCTGTTGGGGACTCCCGGCCTGCAACGAGCGCTTTGGCTTGCTAGTGCTGTTAGAGACATATATCATGAATTTGGGGTTCAAGGGGTCGTACAGTGCAATGACAGACAAACCAGACAAGATTCCGTCCATCTTGGCTAGAGAATTGCTCCGAGCCCCGGAGGTTAATCAAAGTGGCCATGCCTCGACAGTGGCGGTCCCCCTTCTCCGATCCCGCAATAGATGTGAGGTGGGCATTGGATAAGAACGTTGGGTTAATCAGTTCTCTTGTCATTTAATCCCCCACAGATGGATAACTCTTACCTCATATACCACAAACATCCAAATCGCTAACAGTGTGCTGTCATTCCTGCATTGGAGAGGATCATCTAGGGCTGCATTGACAGTCCTTAGTGCAGTCACATATGCTCGAGTTCTGTTAGCCATTGCAGCCGTCGTTCCCGTTGTGCTTGCTACATATGCACATGCAATAGCATCGCAGACTGCGTAGACCGAGGAACCTTCTTGTGAGCTGCATATGATGCGTGGAATGGTAGTGAACATGCTATTGTCTATGTTTGCATTTACAAGCTCGACCGAAAACTTGTCTAGGACCAAAGGAATCACATGGTGGCTCCACACTTGGGGAGGCTCATATATAATCTGGACATCAGTGATTTCGCTGTCTTTGGCTGGGTCCGCTATAGCCCTTAGCGGGTCGTGGTAGCGTATTCTCTGACGATGATGGCTCGCGCTCGGTTGAAACGACGAGATGTCAGCAATGCGGAACCGCATGTTAATTTCATCCCGATAACCCGAACAGGATATTCGTGCTCGTAAACATTGACTGCACGACGGGCGTGCAAGATCACACTAGAATCCAATTAATCAGTGGACATAATGCATTTGCCTATTCCAGGTTTACCTTACCCTCCCACGTCGCTGTCGACAAGGATAGCAACGTCGGCTGTATTGACCGGTGTTCGGCATTTGCTTTGTGTTTGGTTTGTCTCAATCTAATTCCTATCGAATTTTTATGTTAAACTCTCATTATAGAGGGAGGCTTGCGAGGGGTCAAACTGATCGCGTCAGCAAAGTTCAGCTTTGTCCCGTTTGGGAAATCCATTCGACCAGCCAATAGCAGCTGCAGCGACGATCATTAACTACAACGCTCGCTCAAACTTATAAATACCTGTATCTAAACATCATATTTCTCTATTTCAGAACTCATTCTTGCAATCATAAATTAATCTCACCTACAATGTCACCTTTGCCAGTCATCGCGTGTGGCGGCACCAACCCGCAAGTTTTCAACGCTGTCAAGCCTCTTTACTTGCCTGAGTACGAAAGTAAGAGAGAGAATCTGATCAACTCTTGCTTCAATCTTTAGGGCTAATAACTTCGGTAGTTATACATAATGTCATCAGCAGCATCTCTGGAGCAGTCGAAATACCGCTCCTGCTGCAAGGGCTTGCCCCTCCCGTTGCTGAAGAGCCCAATCGAGGCACCATGGACTATTCCAAACCACCTGTGGCTGTCTTTGTAGGGGCTCTGTACAGCGATGAAGAATTCGACGAGATGTACCAGGCCTGTAGAGGGCTCAGTTCTGTGCCTTGGTTAAAGATGGATATGACGGTGCCCAAACCACCGTTAGGACCAGGATATGCTGAGCATGTCGTGCAGAGGATCAAAACATGCATGAAGAAGATCGAAGCTGAGGGAAAGCTAGAAGAAGATGGTGTGTGGCTTTATTGAGCAGGAGAGCAGAGGGATAGTACAAAAATCGTATTATGTATAGCCCTAAGACAGATTATCTGTTGATAAACGGAAACTCCCAATGCTAATTTGTGTACTTAAGCCATTGTAGGCCTCCAAGAGCATAGATTATGCGTTTGGGGCGAAAATGACCTATGGGTCCATCCGATAAACTGGCACCGCGGGACTGGCATAAGTATAAGTGATTTTATATTAGGCTTGGTAGATAGGATATAGACAGCCTTACATACCGATTTTTTTTACCTATGCGGAAAGTATGCGTATAATCATCTATGCCAAATTCTTATTGTCGCAGATTTGATTGAATCTTGTGAAGACGTTCGCGTTCTTGATTCCGGTTCTTTTGTGTTGTCTTGCGTTGTGTGCTGCCCTTGGTCAAATTTGTCTTTTGTGCTTACCTAGGTAGTTCTATATGAAGAACCAATGCGTCCACCGAGTCAGATGCCCTGAGTAACATTCCCAATCCTGCCTAGATCACATATCGTAATTCATTGCCATTTTGAACAGCGAGAAGCTGACTCGGCCTGATTCCGGTTCCAGCCCCCCTGAAATGACCTGAAGAATATCTTTGAGGCTTTTTTCTTTGTAGGCAATCATCATCATCATAAAAACTTCAACCGCAGTGGATGTGCTCACTCCACCCGAGATATTACATTATCTGCCTACATATCGGGTATTGATCTGCCGACGTTGCAGCTACGCTATCCAGCCTGGTGCAGTCGCTCGCTATCTCAAGGAAATCCACCATCTTCATCATTTATCGTGCCGAGCATTCATCGACTACGCCTCTAAATTTGAACTAGCCCAACCTAATGATGTCGTCTTGCCCAACGAAAATACATTTCTATCGTGCGGGCCGTACCGGATCTATTGGCCGTGGATGATCCTATGGATGTTTTTGCCCCAGACTTGCCATCGACGAGTAGACAAAACTGATGTACATACAGTTGGGGTTCTGGGAGAGATCGCGCCGCCTTTCCAGACGTTTAAGCATGATAAGCATGCCCTAAAGCGCAAGATAGTGGCTGCTTCGTTCACGTTGACGAATTTGAAACACTCGAGGGTCAGGTTGATGAGCGCATTCTCCAATGGACGAACGTATTGACTGAGAGGTTTGCTCAAACTGGCCAAGAAATGGATTTTGCTGCTTGGTCGCAGTGAGTGAACTCCGTAATATAAAAAGAAATCTGCAAGAAAGTTAATAGTCATAGTAGAGAGATAGGGCTAGCATTTCGGAGGGTTGCTTTGATGTAACCAAGCAGAAATTTGTCAGGTCATCTTATTTCGAAATTAGACTCGACTAGGGCGTGAGTATTGAATCTGGATGAATAGAAAATACCATACTATTTTATCTCATTACTGTAATAATGAATGGAACTTATATACAGATAATTGGTAGACTAGGACCTTAGGGCTCAACCCACTTCCAAACTCCGGGCCTTCTCAAAATGGCAATTATACATAAGATGTTGATTCTCTAGAGTCTAATTCTTTATTATGAAAATGTCCAGTCACTGCTTGTGGATGCATGCACGGCCAATTCCACCATTTGGAATGTTTTCTCGGGGAAATCTGCCAAGACATATTTTATGAAGCACTGGCTCCTCCTTCCAACATATCTTGCATCTATTTAGCCCAAGCCTCTTTGTCGGGAATAATTTTCTCCCGGACTAAGTGCTCAAACACCCGGAAATACCCATACGCAACCGGGAACTCCTCTGTGAAACCCACACTCCGGATCTTGTCCAAGCTCAGCTCGCGGTTGCGGCCCAGAAAGCTGAAGCCTGCTGCAAGGAAAATCCAAGTCTCCTCAGAAATCGCACGAGGACACAGACTGTACTCTTCGCACATCTTCTTGTAGTCGTCCTGGTGTGCAACCCACCACTTGTCGATGTCCTTCCAGCCCTTGTCCTCGGGACTTGCGCCTTCACCATTAAGACCAAAGTATTCGCACATCTTGGGCCAGATGAGGGTCCAGGGTGCGGGGGTGGCGTTGTCAGCTGTGTTAAATGCCTCTCCATGCGCTTGATCCGGCTTCACAATCGATAAGTAGAGCTCTGAATGGGCAATGATATCCTGTGACGACGGCGTATGCGTGTGGATATAGTTTGTGTAGGGTCCTGGGAAGACAACTGTGGCACCAGGGCCGTTCACGTAGCGGTAGAGCATCAAGTAGAGCGAGAGAGGCTCGACGTATGACATATTTGTGGGAATTGGAACGTGGCCTGGAAACGGATGTCAGCATGGTCAAACCCATCTGGGCAAGATATAGGATACTCACCGACGATCTGATCCGGTCGAACCTCGCACCATTTCCAAGATTTTCCCTTGTTAGCTTCCTTAATTAAGTCGACCTGCGCGTAGTAGAAGATCTCGTCTCCCCAAGGAGAAGGAATGCGCGGGTTGTCCTCTCGCAGCGGAGGATTGATCTCGATGTGTTCTTGGAAGCGAAACACAGCGACTCCATAATTCTGTGGAAAATCAGTCCGAGCCATTGAGTGGCACTATTTGCACTAGATTGGCTCATACGTTGGTTCCAGTTTGGAGGACAAAAAATTTCAGATTCTTGCACAGCTGGTCGACAGCATGCACAGCGTTATAGGTCATTCCCTCATTGATATCCCGGATAGCAATCACATCCATAGAGTATGCAGTTGCATTGGAGTAGGCTGGTATAGTTAGATGACCGTCATGTGATTCCCTTACATTCTCACTTACCAAGATAATATACATGGGTGACATCTTCCAGGTGGGGAACTTTCTCTTGCAATTGAGACAGCACTTCATTAAGGCTCCCACGCAAGTTCACTCCGGAATGCAACTCCAGTCGAGGGTCATCCGGTAAACCACTTTTTTCCAGAGGCAATGACCTATTCGTCAAGCCGATCACTCTGTCAAAGGTGGTGGGCGTGGGGTATGAGAGGGCGCATTTGGTGACAGCCCAGCCAGAGATACCACTGGCCCCAAAGACCAATGCAACATTCTTCGTTTCAACCATTGCGATGTGTCCTTTCGAGATATGGTATCAATGCGGTCGACAGGGGGGCGATATTTAAGTGCAGCATCTTTGACCCCTATCTCTCGCCAGCAGTGCCATTGGCCGGCCAATTAAAAATACCACGTTGGATGGCAATTTCCCCTCATGCAGAGGTTGCCGGTGTCAACAATTCATTTGGCCCCCACCCTAGGCCCGCCAAGAGGCCACTGAATCATTTGAACTCGTAGCGAGGGTGATGGCTGCGTCAGGTTTCTCGGAGCCGGCTGAATCTTGATTAGTTTTGACACCAGTCGTGGATCCATCGGCAGAGGTCCGGAGGTCCGCGCCAATTCTGACCAACGCAGCCCTCGCTCATCAACTTCGCCAATCACCTGCTGTGCGCCTGGCCCCTGTGGATCGGCCCCCAAGCTCCACAGGGGCCGCAATATGGCGCATGTCACTTCCCAAGTCTTATTGCCGTAATCTCATCCTATCACGCTTGGCGTAAGTGACTGCGATCCGTCTTCCGCAGTGGATTTGATGGGGTTTCTTTCTATCGATTGCGACGATCTCAGCGTTCATCATCCCAGAACAAATTCTTTGCTGCATATACGCAATAATTTTAGTTCCAAGCTTTGGCCCAAGGCGCAGATTGTGCCCTGTTTGGCAACGAACTTCTCAGTCGATCGGCCGTTCTCCATTATTTGCTGCTAGTCAAATTAATTAGCCGGAAATCGACAAGGATGTAGATTGCTTTGCCGTCTGAGGCATTCTGCCTCAAATCGTGACAAAAGTTGTTACATGGGGGGGCCGCATACTTAGCGCGTTGACGTCCCTGGCTGCTCTCGCTCCTGATCACTCCACGCGTTGAAGATGAATGTCGCCCAGAATACAGTGCCCAAAGGCAATGTTTCCGAGAATCGCCATGCGGCCATCTTTGGCGTGGGTATTGGATTCATCGTGTTTGACTCAATTGTAATCGCGCTGCGCATCTATGCACGCGCTTTTATGCTGCGCGCTCTGGGAACGGATGACAGTGAGTCAATGGAATCCATTTCGAGGACCAATCTAACAAAATATCTAGTTCTGATGATAATTGGCGCCGTAAGTGGCTTTCAACCATACGGATGGTTCCTACTCACTGTTCAATCAGATACTCAATTTTGGATTATCAATAACGATCATGATCGGATCCAATTATGGAATCGGAAAACACGCGCTTGCCATATCTGAGAGCGACACCGTGCCTATGTTGAAGGTGCGCACCCCATTCCTGTACATATGACATCTCTGACAATTGTCAGTGTATTTGGGTTACACGTATCCTCTACACACTTTCTATGGGGCTGATCAAAATGTCCTTGCTGTGGTTCTATTTACGTCTCGATCCCCGCAAATACATGCGTTGGGCCGTTTTCTCCGTCATGTTCATCAACGCAGGTTTATCCCTTGCAAGCTTTATCGGCGCACTGGCGGGCTGCAGCCCGCCATCTTTGTTCTGGACTGATCCAACTTCGAGCGGTTGTATGTCCATGGGATCACAACAGCTCTTCTACGAGGTCAATGGCATCTTGAATATTGTAGCGGATATCTTAACATATCTACTGCCAGTTCCAATGCTCTATGGCCTACAATTGACTTGGCGCAAAAAGGGAGCTATACTGGGAATCTTTGGACTGGGGATTTTGTCCATTGCTGGTGCGTTTTACACTCAATTCATCCAGACCGTTACTGATATATTGCGATTAGCGGCCTGCGTTCGCTATGACTATGTCACGAAACTATCCTCAACCACAGAAGAATATTACCTTCTCTTGGCTGACTCCCTCAACTGGTGCACGATTGAGGCTTACGTCGGTATGTATCTCCCATCCCAATGAGATATCACCTCTAATGCTCCGTCAGCCATCTTCTGCGGCTGCGCACCCTCCCTCTCTGTCTTAATAAAAGCCTACGCCCCGTCTGTATTCGGTTCCAGCGCTTCCAAATACCCAAGTAGCGCACAGTCGCCCGGAGCCAGCCATCTGCAACGACGGAATCCTCTAAAGAGCAATCGGCGTCGGGGACTAGGTGATATAACGTTGGGTAGTCAGGATGCCATTGTTACTGCCAGCAATCCCGACCACAATCAGGACGGGATTATGATGAAGACGGATATACAGATGGATGTGGCGACGCGGAAATCGACGGAGGATTTGACTTATAAAAAGGAGTATTATAATTTTTCCAGGCGGGTATGATTTTATGTTGGCGTATGAATATTGAACGATACTTCCACCTATGCCTGTTGCCTATTGCAAGTAGCGGAATCGAATATAGGCCATAAAGTTTGGCGACAGCTGATTTCTATATGATCGTGCTGCATCAGCTGCCTGGAGGACAAAATCTGTCATAAAGCTCAAGTATACTTGTTTCATCTTCTGATTTCTTTACAACGTTGGGTGATGTTATCCGGCGCCCGGCTGGCACAATTGGTTAGCGCGTGAGACTTTTAATTAACATTCAAGAGTAATCTCAAGGTTCGGGGATCGAGACCCCGGTCGGGCATTTCTTTTATTTGACTTTGTTTTTTTTATCAATTTAGCATAGACAAGATGGCGGTGCAAAAAATGTCGTGCATGGATCAGAACCTTCTGGAGAAATACAGTACCTCTAACTACCTACCTATCAAACCTTGTGATGATCTTGTTATGATACTCAGGTATAACTGAGTAATGTTACCTAGGTAGGAATATACACTAAAGAACGAATTAAGGATACGCATGTCACACGCACTACCAATTGTGGAAAACGAACTAGCAATTCATAATTGGGCTAGGAGATACAGAGTAGTTCGATACGAGAGCTTCGATCAGCTATCTATCCGGGTATGCCCAATTCGGTAAGAAACTAGTATATTAGAAAAGAATACCCAGTGAATCTTCAACAGCATCGCCAGAGTTTCTGAACCGATTGTACAAAAATACATTTACATATCCCTACAAGCTACAGCCAAAATCTAGAATGATGAGAAAGAGATGTTATAATATCTATCCAATCATTCACAATCCCGCCAAATCAGAAGTTCCAAACACCAGGAATGAAAGGAACGCCCAAATCCAAAGGCCAGAAGCCAATGCACACCTTCACAATGGCATCAACATTAACATCAACATCAAGTGCAATGAAGCAAAAATTACCGCCCCAAGCTAAGCAAAACAAAGACATCGATATCTGATATCAATATCCTCAAAAGAAAAAAAATTAAGAAAATGAATTTGACGCCACAAAAGATCCGCAAAAAACACCAGGGTATCAGAACCAGCCAAAGGCAAGTATCGGCGAAAAGAAAAGACAAGAAAAAGACATGTAGCTTGCAAGTAGATATAGCAAGCCATCGATCTGTACAGATGTGTGTTGAGTTTTGTGTTTAATTTACTGCAACTCGCCGAGATCGAGTTTCGGCGGAGCCCAGTCCAGTTGCGGGGGTTTGTCATTTGAAACGTAGACGGGTGCAGATGGGTTTGGAGGCGGGCGTTCAGTGCGGGCGTCTGCGCGACGACGCTCGCGGAGAGCCGTGCCGCTGAGGAAGCCGCGGAGAGTGGAAGATGCCGTTCCGTAGGCGGAGCGCCCGCTGCCTGTTCCCGTTGAGATGGTGGATGATGAGCTGTGGGCTGAGCGGACGCTGCTTGCTTTTCGGACGGCTGAGGGGACTGCAGGAACTGGGAGGGCGAGGCGGGAGTTTGAGGTTAGGGTTTGGGTTGAGGCTGAGCCGTATTCGGAGGGCGGGATGTTGGGGGCGCGGGCTGTTTGGGGGCGGGGTTTGGAGGGTTGTGATTTTGGCGTGGCGCTGGTTGTTGGGGACAAGGATAAGGAGGTTGTGTCTGATGTTTCGGATAGGCGGATCGAGGCTGGTTCTTCAGGGGTGTTGATCTCGTCGGTTGAGACTGCAACATCGAACTTGAGGTTGTCGAGCATTGTGCCGAGGCTTGCTGCTGTTGCGGGGCGTCCGTCGCTAGCTGAATCATCGATATCGTCCTCTTCGACTCCATGAGCAATGTTGTAGTTACGAAGGAGATAACGGCGGAGTCGGGCAACCTCCATGTCCCATTTTTTGTTCAATGATTCTAGAACAAGTTCAACGTTGTGATTGGCGAATGGAGAAGTGTCCGTAGCTGAGGTGACAGTAGGGGGCGGTGCCTTATGCAGTCGATGTCCTGATTGCCCTTGACCAACGCTCATTGCTGCATACAGGGAGCGACGGATTGAGTTTGCTGTGGAATTTTGGTTGTTACTGGCTTCCCACCGGACGTTGTCAACCTCTCTGCGCACTTTGTCCAGCGATGCAGTTCGGTCCCGGTCCATGCAGGAGAGTGTCAAGAGAGCACGGTTGCATTGCAAGCCATTCACCAGCACCGTGAACGATTGGAGATTGATATCATTGTTCTCACAATGGACTTCACGGAGCGAGTCGTTTTCCTCCAAGACAGAGGCCAGCGTATTGGCACCTTGCAAACCAAGCTTTTGATGCTCGATTCTCAAAACCTTCAGGGATTTATTCTTTTTCAGACCAGTCAGTGCAAGGTTCAGGCCAATACCGAAACGTGCAACATCCAGATGAGCATTGTCTCCACTGATGTCCAAAGCCTCCAGAGTCTCATTCTCCTCAAGCATGAGCTGTAACGATCGACAAGTCTCAGGACTAGCGTCGTAAGGAAGTGAGGCCTTGGAGATATCCAAGAATTGAAGCGTAGTGTTTTTCCGAAGAGACTCTACCAGTTCGCGGAAATGCTCCTCTTTCTTAAAATCAATCATCCGCATTGACAAATGCGAGGGAGTTTGATTCTTCACAATAGCGCTGAAAACGTAGGAACATCCATTGTCAAGACGGTTCTCATTGACATGCAAATGCAAACTTCGCGGTTCACTAGACATAGCAGACATCGAGTGCATAAACATAGCCACATCTTCTCCCGTTAAACCACATTGGTCAAGTCGAACCACGCGAAGGTTCCGAGATCGATCACTGGCTAGATATGTGGCGATGGCGTCTACAGTCTCGCGGTTAACGGCCGTCCGACTGAGAGCCAGCTCTTCGAGCCGCCAGTTGAAAAGCATTTCCGCGGTAATGAGTGGATCGGTACCAGACGTGCGTGAGATGCGAGACAGGTTAATTTTCCGAATTTGTCCAAAATACCCAATATATTGCTGCAGAACGTCGGGGTTGAGGCGTCCCTGCACGCCGGAGATGTTGATTGCCTCGAGAGTTGATTCTTGCGCAACGATAGTTGACAGGAGAAGATCCAGATCATGTACGGACAGTCCACAATCTCCAACTTCCAAAGCTCGCAAGTGACTTCGCCTTTGCGATGCCGCATCGACAAGGTAGTCCAGGTCCGACTCACCGAGCTTGATACCGTTCAGGACAACCCAGTCCACACTCGTCAGTTCTCGACGACACACGGGGAAGATCGCTTCTGGGATCCCACAGCCAGGGTCTCTAGTGCCTTTCTCCAAGGTGGGGGTCGGCACCCGTGTGAGACAGTAAGAAAAATCAAGTCGGCGCAGCCATTTACTCTTCAGAGCCAACGCGCGCACTTCTTGCGAGAGGACAGTCAGATTGTGTTGGCCGGGAATGTGCACAAAAGTTCCACCACGGTCTAGGTGGACATCTGCATCAACGCCATGGCTATCGCGAAGGCCCTGTAATGAATCGAGATTGACACCGCGGAAAGAAATTGAGCGAAAGAACTCATTGTAGCGAAGTGTGCGCATTACCGCAATGAGTTCCAGAGCGGTGTATCGCGAGGATTTCGACGAAGCAGGCTTGAGAAGACGGAAGCATGGCGCATCCTCGCATTCCAGGTCAATGGTGTATCGAATGTTTGAAGTGTCAATGTCGTAGCTGGCAGAGTATGCGACCAAAGTGCGGTCGAGGCACCCATAATCCTCGTCCAAAGGGACAGGTGGGAAGTTGTCTTCGTTCTGCAGTTCTTTGGGAACAACGAACTCGTATGGTTGTCGTGTCCACAATGGACGTAAGTACTCGGTATGTTGACGGATCCAGCAAGCGACTTCAACAGAGTGAACCGATGCCAGGAACACGTTATAGGACTTCTTCAAAGGAACCCTGAACGTCAAATGCAAGCTATCGTCACCATATTCCATGGACAAACCAGTCAAGTTCATCAAACCAAAGGAGGTGGCCGACTCCCAGTCAGACAGGGATACCACTGATGACCGATTGGCTGTTTTCTGCATGGGCAATAAATGAAGCTTGTGGGAGCCAATGGCAAGATAGCAGCCCGTAGGCGACAGTTTGGTAAGGTCGTCAGAGGAAGCACGGGTGATTGACTTGCTCGATGCTATTTGGATGACCCGGAACATGCGGAAAGCCTCCGGGTCGTAATCACGTTCGTGTTCCAGCATGCGAGTCACATACTCGACGGATCCCCTGCTAAATGGCATTGGATGGTTTGCTCTGGCCATCTGGGCGGCTTGGCGAATACCCACCATCCAGAGGTTCAAATCTTGCAGATCCGACGTCTGCATCTGGACCAATGTAGCTTTGTGGGTGCGTTCATCCAGGTAAGCTACTTCGACCGAGGGCGACAATCGTGCGTCCTCCAACATGTAGACCGCGATAATACTGTTCAATGGGATTCCAGCGGTTGCATCCCCAGAGGCCATTTGCGTCATGTCCTGTAACGAACTGATTGAGGCGACTGACTGGCGGTGTGCAGCCGGAGCGCGTGTATAGGAAGCTGGAATCGAGGGAAAGGCATCGGCAGCTTTGCCCTGACTTTTGAAGCGAATGATATGGGTGTCCGTAAGGACCAAATATTGACTCTTTTTCCTCCACATGCCTCCAGTGGTCTGAACCTCGCCATGGTGGAGGATCGCGGATGACCAGATCCCATTTCGGGGATTGGACATGATTTGATCGTCTACCGAAGCGACAGAGGCACTCGGCATTTCATCGTCCTCCCAAGAGTGTAGTGATTTTAGAGAACCAAAAACTGAGGTTCGCTTTTTCTGCAGCGATTTCCGGCGCGGACGCGGGGGCTCAATGACCGGTGTAGATGCAGCTACTGCTGCAGAAGACCAGGCGGCGGTGTCGGAGCCAGCAGTCCCCGGGCGGCGAGGATTTGACCCATCAAAGTCGTTATTTGACCGACTGAAAAAGCCAGAATTCCTGCGAGGCTTCTTGTCTCGGTTCAGGGTATCATCCGAGGGAGTTCGGTCATGGAGGGGAGGACGGGGGTTCGAGAGGGGACTGAACACGCTCAGGCTCTTTCTTCGTTCTCGTTTGCCGGTGAGTTCCGCCATATCGGGGATTAAGGTAAGGAGTTAGGGAAAGGTGAGAATATGAGGTTATCGCATCGACGACTGAACGTCCTTGCTGATCAATTAGTTAGCACAAGCTACTGCACATGACGGGCAACTCCAAAAAGTGTGTGAGGGAAGTTCCTGCATAGCGGAGAAAGGAGAAAGAATGAGGGGAAATGGTAACACATACTGTAGACCGTCACGACGCCATCAGACGATTGCCAGGAGAAAACCCCAAAGCGGGATGATTATACCTCAGAGCTGTCACTGTGGCAAGATTTACCGGAAGGGGGAAAGCCGTTCAGTAGTTAATATTTTTTTCCTTTCCGGATCTTTAAAGCGATGATCTATCTGATTGATAGATTTCCCCTTGTTCCACAAAATTAATTGGGAGAGGGTTCAATGGTTGTTTATTCCAGAGAAATTGAACACGGAACGAGATCGGATATCGTATCGAATTGTTCCGAATGCAGAAATACGAGAATAGCAACAAATACCCACGTTGTATAATGTAGGGTATGTTGTTGAGGTATGAGAAGTGAAGTAAACGTGGGAAAGGAGAGGAATGGACGGTTGCAGTCAACAGCTGGATGTTTCAAGTTTCAACTTTGGATCCGAAATAACCAAAAGAGCTAATCCAACTATTACAACTATTACAACTATTACGTAGCAGAACTAATAGAAGTACAATCTCTAGTTAATTAGTCCTAGTCAATTAGTCCCTTTGTCTTAAAATCAAAATGTCGATCACCTCAGGCATAAGACCGCTTATTCTCACCATCTTCCAACCCGTGGACCTCTCCACATGAGACATGCAGTTCGCGACATATCCAAAAGTACATCCAAATCTTTGAGCCACGTAAGAGACGTTCTCCACTGAGCTAGACGTGGTATTGCATGCTATTACAGGGATAATTGCTGTCGCAAAACTAAGGTTAATACGACTGGTACGCGGCCAAGGATAATCCCAGTTCTTCCAAGATTTGTGTACATATGTACACCCTTATACGAAGCTACACTTTACTTTATTGTAGATATGTTGTATTTCCCAGGCTTGGTTTACATCCAGTTTCAAGAACCTGGCCGCTGATCGACAAAAATCGCGTTCAAGGGTCATTACCGTTTCGGGCGCTCGCGGAAGGAGATCGCAATAGATCTGCATGGCAATCAGGGGGAATATCCCCAGACCAGCGTCATCGGTGACGAAATGCATTCAAAAGCATCGGTCCAGTTCGATCCCGGATGCAAGCTACTGGCTGGGAAATGAGACTTGGCAATGTGTGATATTGAATCATCCATGTCAAGGAGGGATGCGCTGTCCCTGGACATGACATCTTCTTATCGACGATTACCCTCCTCCCTCTCAAACTGTAGTCTCTCGGCTCGCTTCAGGTTCCGGAGCAGATTGATGTATTCTGTAACGCGCTTCTCCTGCCAGATACATCCACCGAGAGTCATAGCCGCCACCTGGAGGAAGACCTTGAATTGTGGGGTCAGGCCTCGATATACACGGGAACCAGGTGAGATCCAATTCGAGAAACCCTCCAGCGGACGGTGGAAGAGTCTGGAGCGAAGGTAGTCGCGGGAGAAGATGGAGAGTCGGGGACGAGGTTGTGTTGCGGGGTGTGCGGGAGGACTTGGCGCGGAGAAGATGAAGGGGTGTGGGAGGGCGAGAATCATATGTGCCAAGATAGAGACGGAACCGAACTAATTGAGCATGGGTTAAGAGCTGTTCGGGGATTGGATGTTTTGTCTACTTACGCGGAACACGCCGGTCATGAAGCCTTCGGCTGCTATCCAAGTGATTTCCTCTGGGGGCTCGACATCGCCTCTTTGACTAGGTGGTGCTGGCATAGTGCCGTGAACGCAAATGAGAATTGGAAGACAGAAGTTGAGATTGTTTTCTGAATGGGTCTTATATTCTTATCGAAGCCGAGCTTCCGGGATGAGGCGACAAGTTCAGACGATACAAAGAATTCGAATTAAACAATTCAGACAAAATCGAAAATACAAGTGGGAATAAACGCGAGCCTGGACCAGCCAGTGTCTTAATTCATGTATATCAAGACCAAGAATATCAAGAGTCTCCAAAGACGATCATAGAAAGTAAAGTCAAGCGGATCAACAGTTCTCCCGGACGACTCAGACAAAAAAGAAATCCGATTACCGATATCGCATCTACTCTATCTCCGATCTCGATATTATTCCAACCTCACTCACACCTCACCTCCCCCGAATTCACCAAAATGACCCTCTCAGCCCGCACAGCGAGCATCTCGCGCGCAACAAATGAAACCAAAATCCAAATTTCCCTCTCCCTCGACGGCGGCGTTCTCCCACCCTACGAACCCTCAACCCACTTCCCCGCCCCAACAGACCCGGAAGAAGCCTCGCAGGCCTTGAAAGGCATCGTCCCCAACAAAGACGCCAAACATGCCACCCAGTTCACCCCCACCCAGCAAATCACCATCAGCACTGGCATTGGCTTCCTCGACCACATGTTGCATGCCCTAGCCAAGCACGGCGGCATGAGTCTAGCAGTGCGCGCCAAGGGCGATCTGTACAGTTCGTTGAACCCAATCTCAATTTCACTCCCAATTCTCTCTTCAACCCAAACCAAAGAAAGAGAAGGGGAAAATAACAAAGCTAACAATCACAGTCGACGACCACCACACAACAGAAGACACCTTCCTCGCCCTCGGCGAAGCATTCACACAAGCGCTCGGCGCACGCCAATCCCTCGAACGCTTCGGACGAGGCGATGCCCCGCTAGACGAGGCGCTGTCATGGGCCGTGATTGACCTATCGAGCCGGCCGTGGGCGGTCATTGACCTTGGGTTCAAGCGCGAGAAGATCGGCGATCTGAGCACAGAGATGATCACGCATGGCTTGCAGAGTTTTGCACAGGCGGCGGGCGTGACGTTGCATGTCGGCTGCACGTATGGAGATAACGACCACCACCGTGCGGAGAGCGCGTTCAAGGCTCTTGCTGTTGCTATTCGAAATGCTTGCAAGAGGAGAGTTGCCGGAGATGTTGGGGCTGGGGATGTTGTTAGTACCAAGGGTGTTCTGTAAGTGGGGTAAAAGGAAAGAAGGAAAGCAAGAAGTGAGATGAAATGAACTGGAAAGACGAAATGAGATAAGATACGCATAGACCAACAGCAAAAGCGATTGATTCTTCAATTAAACATATATAAACATAACTCATACGGAGAACCAGCTCCGATACAAAAGCAAACGCCTAACTAGTTCTTTCCCCGCGCCCAATCATCCTATTCTACACCCAGCACCTTCTTAGCCTCGGTCCAGTACTCCGTCCTCTTCTTTGTAACCTCGGGAGCTTGCACACAATGCAGAATATAATCCTCCCAGCCGGCTTCAGACCCACTAGCCAGCCCAGCACGCTGCGTATCTGTGCACTGTGTGGTGAGAAACCAAGCGGCGGAGCCGAAATCGGCGTCGGCGTTCTCGCGGAGGACATCAAGGAGGTCGACGGGGTTGTTTAAGACGGGAGTGACTTTATCACTTAGGCTCGGGATTGACTGGGCATACTTTTTGTTGTATTCGGGGGATTGCATGTTGCGGGCTGGGTTGGTTAGTCAGTATGCATTGTATAAAACGTGGTGCGTGGTGCTGGTTGTGTGGATTGCGAGGATCATTTAGGACTAGGATGGTACTCACTGCCTTTCCCGGGCACGGTGTTGTCAATAGGCTTGTTGTACTTGAAATCCTGCGTTTCAAGGGCCATCAACGCGATAACAGCGGCCTGCTCGCCCTTCTCGGTAATCTTGTATGTTTGGAAGGCTGTAGTGATGTGTTCGGCGGCCACTTTAGCGGTGGCGCATTGGCCTTTCGCTGGAGCATTGTCACAGGAGGACGATGTTGGGGCGATGGATGAAATTTGGGACTCGGAGATTATGGTGGCTGCTATGAAGGCATGGTGGGCTACCTTGGCGAGGGCGGGAATATGCATTTTGGTATAGAAGATGGGATGAATATGTATCTTTGAGATAGATATCGGTATTGTAGTATGGATAGCTTGTAGGAGAGGGCTTTTATGGGGATGAAAGGGCAGAAACAACACGCTCTTTATACAATCACAGTCCCATTACAATGTTTTCAGATGAAACAAGGGTCTACATTGTCTACAGGAGCTGGGACAAAGGAGTAGATACCTCATGGTGGAGGTAAGTATGTCCCAAACACTAGCCTAGTAGACGTGGAGAATGTGAGACCCACTTTGTTAGAGGATGGAAGGATAATGGAAAATGGAAGATGGAATGACCACCCACTTTAAACAATGAAACCAGAGATTAGTTACAAGAGTGAAGCCTAAGCGCGCGCGCGTTCATAGAACCAGTCAGAAAGCATGAATAATAGCAGGACTTGGTTGCATTTGCCTGCAAGGCACAGGGGCACTATTATTGGTTTTGCACCGAAAATGTGGACGTATCATATACGCGGAGTTGAAACCAAAGCATAATTATAGATCTACAACAGCACCAATATTCGATTAATTGGATGTAGTTATATTGTTCAGACATAGAATAGTTCATGATTCTCCCCTGGAGAAAATAGCAGGCAGACCGCTCTCAGCGAAGATCTAGCCAATTTACAAAAGCATAGACAAAAATAAGTAAAGGACATGTGAAAGCAAACCCGTTTTGCTCCAGGCATCACAATCCAGGATCCCGCCGGATCGCGATACCATGCATATGCGCTCCTAACACAGAAAGAAAGGGATCGAGTTGTACAAAATGATGCGAAGATACACTCAGTCGTCGCGACGGCCGAGTTCGTACGAAGTCTCCGTGACACCGCCTAGTTCCTCGTCTTCTTTGAAACTGACGCGGCGCAGGAGTGTAGGCACGGTCAGGCGCGATCGGCGCGTTGGAGAAGTCGACAGACGTGGGCTGATGATTGCAGGGACTTTCGTGTAGCGGTAGCGGTATTTAGCTCCCAGGAGCATGATTCGGCCGTAGCTCCACCAGAGACAGAAGCCCACAACACCGGCGATGCAGAAGCCGCAGACAGTAAGGAATAGCCAATGTTGGCCCATCTGGTTGAAATTAGCTTTTATCCTAAATCGTTCACATTCACATTCGAATTCGCGATACGAATCCATTCCAGGGTGGACTTACCCAGAAAATGAGGTGGGCGTCCTTTCCATGCCAGCTGTTACCCCGGTGGTGGGTAAAGAAGCTCCACGAGAACTTGTTATACTCATCCTGCATGAGGATACGGACACGACCCGCCTCGCTGGGCTTATCATGCATATATTCCTTCCAAATAACGGACAAGAAGAGTGGGCCGGTGGAATACATGACGGTGATGTACGGCAGGACCCAATGGCGATCATACTGCTGCAGGAGTTCGATGACGCGCAGGAAGAACGGGTGCTGGGGGACAGAGCCCATAGCGTCGTTGGAGATACCTGTTGGCGCAGTGCGGCGCACCCACGCGGGGTACGCAAGAAGAGGATCCAAGCGGCGGTTGCAGCCCTGGGTTTTGTTAGAATGGGGGGTTTTAGGTTTCGTTTGAGAATGCGGTACTTACGTCGTCGAGATCGATGTAGGTTCCTCCGTAGTGAGCTAGCACGAAGTATCGAATTGAGTCTGCGCGCTGGATGGGATAGCTGTAGCCATCAAAAGTGTCCAAGAACCAGGGGTATTCGGCGGCGATGAACTCGCGTGATTTTTCGTTTGTCCAGAGCTGCGCTTGTTAGAATTGAAGATTGACTTGGTGTGTGGTGGGACGTACAATATATTCATAATCCGGGTGCAGGTCGATACAGCTCTGTTGAGCCTCAACCCAGACCTCAGGAATTGTTTCGTTTTTATAAGTCTGGTGAATAATCTTGGGGATTATTTGCGGGCGTTGTTCGATCAAGCTTGAGTTTGGTGAGGGTAGCTCGGCGCGGTGAATGGCGTCTGCGGCAGCATCTTCGACTAGCAGGGAGAGAAGGGTTGAGACGCTGCGAACAAGGAAGGAGAGGATGAGGAGGTTGACGAGAAGGAAGATAAGGAGACCGCGCCGCATGTTGAAAGTGTAGATCAAGCGCGATCAAGACCAATCCAAATGTCGTTACTTCGTGTAAGTTGTTAGACCCTGGGGGCCGTAAGTTCAGAGTTGAGAAAGGAATGCAATCATAAAAACGATTAAAAAAAGAATAGGGGAAATGAGTACTTCAAAAAAATGAAAAAAGGGGACGATAATAAGGAGCGACGAAGTGGGGAGACCAGGGACTAAAGTACTTTAAAAAAGGAAAGTGAGTGGCAGAGTCCTGAGGCAAAAAAAAAAGTGAGGGTGAGAGAGTGAGAGAGTGACATAAAAAGTAATACCATTCCCTTTCTGGGGGATGTCAAGGTTCAACGATTGTAAGGAGGCTTAGCAGGTGGCTGAGATAGCTTGGTCAGGTATGTTATTGGTCAGAAAGATACTGTGGGGCCAATAAGGGGAAGTTTTCGATTTTCTTTCTTTTTCTATTTTTCACACCCAGGTACAGTTACTTGGTTGCCTAATGCATGCATTGTATGACGCTTATCTATACAGCTCTATATATAGATAAATGGCTTGTAGATATATTCCTCGGAACACATATTGTAACGACATGTCTTCCTCTCAATCCCCTTAGAATATTGTAAGTGTAGATTAGCGACAAGAAAAAGCAATTAAATTAAGTTTGGCGCAAGGACTCGTCATCGTATGGTAAAAATTAGCGGCGTGGGGAAAAATCCCCACGCCAACGCTAAACCGGTGTACTGTACTAGTCCTATTCAGGCAAGTACTCTACACTTTATGCCCGGAGCCGAGGCTACTCTGCATCTGCAGGCAACTAGTGTATTGATGAATACCGGTAATCTGTAATTTAACATCTTGCCGTAGGCGTAGACATTAGATAAAAGTCCTAAACCTATGACATATAGAGATACAATATATTGTATGACTTCAAATATATATCAGTGCTGTGTAAAAAGAAAGAACAAGACCATCTGATTTGGCCACTATATAGGAATTGGCACCGATTCGTCCAGCGAACCGCCACATACATAGAACGTTGGTGCACGGGGCAATTCTACGTATTCGTATACTTACAATTATACAAACAATGTTTGTATTCTAAGATTAAACTCCACTGGTTAATTCAATTATTGATTGCTTTGAGATAGCGCTAGTTGGTTTTATACTTAGGTAGATGGTACTCCGTATACAAATGTTGAATGTTGAAAGTCTAATGTAAGAGTTTTAAGAGCATAATACGAACACGATACTAAGATTACCATGGAAACACAGGTACTCGATCTACACTTCGCCTGAACAGTTATAGAACACTCCACCGGTCCATAATCGCCAACGGCAAAGCTTTGGTACGTTGAAAACCGCCTCCACTCGCTCGTCCCACGGTTCGCTCGAACACGTTGTCATTTGATGGCTGCGCTAACAATATTGTGCACGATTTCATAATTGCTATGTACAATCGGCATCGAATTGTATGGAATTCAATCTTCTCCAGATTTCACATTCCAAGATCGGCGTCGCGGTCGGACATGACGTGTGATTAATCTGCCTTAATCTGCCTTGATCCCAACGTTGATATGTACCGACGCACATAGCCTAAATAAACCACGCTTTTAATACTATATATCCAATGATTAGCTAGTAACTACATATGTAGTATTGATATTCAAGACAAAACTCACACACTTATACACCGGTAGCTAAATATCAACTTTACGAGGTCAGTCCGGAGATCAAATCCTGTCCAGGTCAATCCCACCCGAGCTCTGATCGGCCGCATTTAACCGGAGGATGACGATGATTACCCTTCTATCTATGAGGTGGCTTTCGTATAGCTAGGATCTCGGGATCAGAGCACTTAGCTCTGTATACAATGCATAGCATAACATTGCCTATTTACATAGCACGGGCGCCGGGCGTTGGCATTCTGACGTCGTTGGGGCCAACATCGTTCTAATAATGACCTTAGACTACTCTTATCCTGGGCTTATTTGATGCATATGCCAAGGTCGTATTCTGCGGAGACGATCGCGGCTGTGTACTAACCTTGGCTGTGTACTGACCTTAGAAGTAAGGAGCTGACGCTTAAGCATGAAATCGCATGTGTCTGTTACTGTAGTTATGTACTTTATTTCCTCCACTTAAAAAATGAACCATTAGCTCTATACGCATGCTACAGAATACAGCGCCTATATTGAAGCACTTCCAGAGCGCTTCGACTGTTTGATCTCAAATCCGCTTGCAGGAAGTGGTATATATTGGAATGGGTATCGTTGGCTATTCCAAGGTAAACAAACATATGCTCGCTCTTAAACTGAAAAGAAATTGATTCCTTGCTTCTCTCGATAGATCGATAACGGTATGACCAAGGGCATCAATGGAATGTCCAGCACAAAAGAACGGATGATTTCCTGATGATCTCTTTTGACACCGCTTTTTCATGTACAAGTATGGCGTGTTAGGAACGGAAAGGTGTCGAATGCGAAAGCTCCTGGTCAAACAGACAAACGATGCCCTAAAACTTTTGAGGATCCAACCGCAATCGCACTATTGCTCATAGCCCAGCCGCTGGCTTTTCCACCAGGACTATTGTGATCTGCCTTGGCAACAGAGGCTCGATTCTAAGATTGTTCAACAGAAATGGAACTCATAGCCGAGACACCTATTGAACCTCAGGCGCCGCAGCAGCAGCGAATTCACGGTTCACGTTAGTTGCATCCGTCGCACGCACATTAGATTGAGGTGCGGGATCAAATACGCGACGCCACCAGCGAGGTGGGTCAAATGGCCGGTGGCCATCATGCAGAGGCGGGTAGACATCATTAAAGAAGTACCAGACATGACCGACGACAACGCCGAGAATCTCATCCTTGGGGATAATCTGATGAACAACCACACTAAACGCCATCAAGACCCAAGGCAGGTACGGAGCGGTGAACACCAGCAAACCAAGGAAACTTAGGCGGGTGTCTGGGTTGCGCCGCGCCCAGATATAAACCAGACTTGAGCACAGCGCGCTGCCTAGGAACGGTATTGACAGGAAAGGCGAGATGACGAGCAACGATGTAATAGCGTAGAATACTAGCCATGTGAAGTTGGCGGGTGAACGGCCGGAGGATTCCTCCAGAAGTCGGGAGTATCGCTGGAGGAAGAAGACGTGGTATAGTAGGTCGAGGTTCAACGGGCCGAAATAGAGGAACGTTGTGAGGAGCCGCCAGTATTGTGACTTGATGTAGACGGAGCGAAAGCTGTAGAAGAGTTGGAATGGTGTCACGATGTGACATTGTACTAGCACCGATGTCGCTACGGTTGCGACTGTCCACCATCGAGTGACGGGTGGCATTTCATAGAACCATTGTTCGAGCGGGAATTGACCTTGGCCATTGTTTTCCCAGATGGCAGCCATGATGATTCCTGAAGACGATAGAATTCAGATATAAAAAATCAAAAATCAAAAACCAGGAAATCAGTCAGATATCAGAAAGTAAGAGGTGGGCTGATCACCACGAGCTCAAGCTCGGAAGTATAGACGGCTTTCCAAGTTGCGACTTACACCACGTATGCTTTGCGATAAGAGCTATCCCCACGTGACCATTTCGCGAAACGCGTCAAGTCACGGGGGGCTGGGACGCTAACGCGAAAACGTTCATATTGACACCAGCCACTCGCTTTGTCATTTTAGTTTCCTGTGAATGCGTTTTACAATCTCATCTCAGTCCGATTCGCACATCGGACGAAGACACTGCAAGGGACCTTGAACACCTACCCGGGCTCCCAAGCTCCAATTGATCCCTTCTCACCACCCCCACTAAAATGCCCCCCAAAATGGCACGCAAATCAGCACCCGGAAGCGCACAAAAAGGCAGACCTAGCAAGGCCACCGCCGCAACAGCCGGTGGCACCGGCTCACCCGCCAAAGCCCGCAAAACACAAGGAAAAGGAACAACCCAAACCAAAGTCACCAAGGCCTCGAACGTGCAACGTGAGTAGCGGAACCCGTCTTCACGCCCGTATCCGTCCCCGTTCAGTCTAACACGAACCAGCGGGTGATCCTACCCCCCAAGGCCGCCGCAGACGCTACAAGCCTGGCACCGTGGCGCTAAAAGAAATCCGCAAATACCAACGCTCCTACGAGCTCCTCATCGCCAAGCTCCCCTTCGCACGACTCGTCCGCGAAGTTGCGCTCGACCTCCTACCTGCCGACGTGGGCGCCGAGCTGCGCTGGCAATCGCATGCAATCCAGGCTCTACAGGAAGCCGCCGAGGCGTTCCTGGTTCATTTATTCGAGGATACGAATCTGTGCGCGATCCACGCCAAGCGCGTGACCATTATGCAGAAGGATATTCAGCTCGCGCGGAGGATCCGCGGTGTGTGGGCTGGTTTGGGCTGATTGAAGGGTGTGTGGAGATTTCAGGGTAATATTAACGTGGTGGGATTGTTTTAAGGCGTCTTTCGGCTGGAGTTGGTGTTTCTTCTCTGCTGGTTTCGGTTTCGCTGAGGCGGGCTGGGCTGGTTTATACCATGGTGTTTGTACATTGGGCATAATGTTGGGTGTTCTTTGTTTTTATAGGACATGGGACTATTCGTCTTTCCATGCTCATGGGCGTGATGCCTGAGCTAATTTATTGATTACTGCTCTGTGAAGTTACGAGTAAACTTTGCGCCGAGCGGTCCACTTGATTAGCTGACAACCTGTCAGCTGGAAGATGTATTGGCTTGATCATAACAGCGGAAATCAAAAACGCCCCCTAGCCATCATGGTATCATAAAAAAAAGCACACCTTAAATCGAAGACAAGGTAACAACAACCAAGATACATATATAAAGATGCACGGCTTAATTCGAACGTCTCAAACCAGGTGGCAGGCCCGAGACAAGACGTTGACCTTCTTCGCGGACACTCTGAGCTTCCTCGCCCTTGCCTTGCCGCTCGAGAGTCTCGGCGAGCATATCATCAGTAACACTCGCCCATAGACGGTCGTTCGCACGCTTGGCCATAGCTCGGCCTGCGCGCGCACTTTTCTCTGCTTGCTCACCGACCACACCGCGGAAGTATTTCCAGCTCATGAATGTCAGAGTCATACAAGTGATCTGGCTGTTACTGATTGCGGTGGCGGACTGAAGAGCTTGTTGGAGGAATTGCTTGGTCTGAATGGTTGATTCGGAGTGCACAGTTGCGCAGACCAGGAAGTAGGCGGCTTGCAAGTACTTGTTAGGGGTGACTTTGCAGAATGGTTCGAGGGTTGCCATTACAGCGCCGAGAAGAGAATGAGACGGGTGGCTTGGGTCTCGAATGATGAGGACCGTGTTCAGGCCAGCGAGAATGCGCGTATCTCGGCACGGGTCATTGCGGGCTGCTTTGCTGGTTGCTGGGTCAAGGGACAGAAGAGGTGATCGGAAGATGTTTAGCGCGGTGGTTAGGTCGCCTGTTGCTTGGGCGATAGTGCCGGCGGCATATTCGATTAGACACTCGATTGTGTCTGGAAGGTTGGAGCCGAGCTCCTGGAAGACTTGTCGGAGGTCGCGAAGGGTCTGGCTGGCGAGTTCCCAGTCGGTTCGAGAGCAAGCCAGGAAAACTCGTTGAAGCAAGAAGTTGCAGTAAAGGGACTGGCGCCATTGGACTCTGCGGTTGGCAATGACCATAGATTCGGAAATCTCTTGTGGAGCTTTGAAGTTGCTTTGAACCATTCTGAGCCCCTCTTCGAGATATTTCTCTGCCTTTCGGCCATCGTACGAGTTCTTGGAGCTGAGAGTGAGCGAGCTGAGGAAATAGCAAAGCGCATAAAGATCATGCTGCGGAAGCCAGTTGAAGCTTAAAAGTAAAGTCCCATTTTGGACCTGCAAGATGTCACCAGTGTCAATGGAAGATGGTCCCGCAGATTTTCCATTGAGAGGAACGGAAAATGACCCATCTGGACGCCAGTTGCTATCACTGAGAGTCTCGTCCATCAACGCCTGCATGACCTTCAGCTTTTGACCAGACTGGTTGACATCATACTCAAGAACGCTGCAGCAGATATCCACCATCTGAATCAAAGTTGTAAGCTGGGGTATGTGGCGAAGCTCATCATTAAGTTGATGGCTGCGCGCGGCGGCCACTGCACGCTGCGCCTGCTCAATGGAATCGGAACTTGTTCCTTGTTGCAAGTGCGCGAGAGATTCAATGACTGCCGCCATTGCTGACACAGCCTTGTCTCCGTTACGGCTAGCCATGGCTGTGATTTTGTGGAGATGCTGCAGCGCTTGAACAGAATCTTGATGCGACGGAGAAGAAAGTGAGAGAGTAACACGAAGGAAACGGAATGCATATTCCCATGCAGCGTGTCGGTATCTACGTTTGTTAGCATCGCATGGTTGAAAGGATTGGGCGGCACATACGCTTCCACATCTTGGATCATGCCATCGACGGCTTTCAAGGAAGCTCTCGGATTAGTCTTATGTAGCATTCTCGCCAAGAGATGTTGCATGCTGTATTTCAAATCAAGCATGCGGTTCTATAGAAGTCAGTGACAAAATTTATTCAGCATCATGTTGTTCCACTGACTCGTTCACAAAGATCAATCTATTGAAGTTAGCCACCAATTCCAAGCCATATTTGGAAATCAAGCACAAACCCCTTTACTTAGAGCTGTTTCTGCTTCGATGTCATTATCGGTTTCCTCAAACAATGTACGCGCATAGCGAAGTCGAACAAGGGCTTCTTTGCGGGGTTGCAATCGCCAATTCTGTTATATGCAAATGAGTAAATATGCAGAAGATGCGACTGGGGTAACCAACCTTTAATACAGCTTCCAGACACCCCAATCCAGTAGCAACTAATTTATAATATTCCTCAACATCTGTCGGGCGGGTAGCCATTGATGTAATTGTGCCGCGAGCATGGGCAGCATTGAGATACTCATCCGCCAAGGACAACAGAAGCACCTGATAGTCGACCGGGGGTTTCGTAGGCTTTGGAGCTGTGAGTTTCCCATGCTTTTCCGCAGACTGTTGGCTCGGTCTCTTCTTCTCCACGTGATTTGCATGCGGCTGTTTGTTCGGGATTTGTGCTTGCATCTTTGCTCTTACATCAGGAGAAGGAGCCGGGATCATCACCTGTGGCTTTGCATGTATCACCGGTGATGGAGCTGGGGTGGGCCGTTTCGACATTGGTATAGGAGTTGCGGCAGGTGTTTTGATAGGAGTTGCAATAGGAATTTTTTGGATCTTCTGAGGCTGCACTTTGGGAGATGTCTTAGGCGGTTTGGGCTCAGCATTGGTGGGGTTTCGTTGCAGTTTTTGCATGTTTGCCTGTCCTTGGTTGGGCTGGATGTTGGGTTTGGGACTGATAGAAGGTAGAATGACTTGGACAGGTGTAGGTGGCTGTGGAGCCAGCGAGGGAGCCGGTTGTATTCGAGACGGACTCGCGGGCGGAGGCATATTTGGCTCGCCATACTGAGGAGCAATTTGCGTATATCGGGATCGCGGAGCTGTTGGCAAAGGTTGTTGTACAAACAATTGAGACGGATTCACGAACTGATGTTGCAGCTCTTCTTGTTGGATTTGAGGTAGGGGTGCAGGTGAAGGCTGGAGCTGCTGAGGCGAAGGAGGCGACTGTATCTGAGGGAGAAGTTGTTGTCCTGGTTGAGGTCGTGGTTGAATGGCATGCGGCTGTAATTGAGGCCGCTGTTGCGGTGGAGTTTGCGGTGGAGGACGCGACTGTTGCGGCTGTGGCTGTTGGTTATAACTCGAAGGATACTGTGGATACTGCATCATGGCCGAGGGATACATATTCGGTTTGCCATAGCCATCGTATGGGGATGGCGGAGGACCGGCATTATTGTACAGTATCTGCGGGGGAATTTGTCCGTGTTGGTACTGCGGCGGCGGTATATAATGCGGGTACTGGCCGGACCCAGGTGGTGGGTAGCTCATCGCCCCGAGATATAGACACTAGTCATACAACTCTGGTCTGTTTAAGTCAAACGCGTGATGATGATCGTGGATTCTCGCGCTTCGGTCCGGATAAACCCCCAGGCGGTCAGCTGATAAGGGATCACCTCTATATGACTTTAGGTGGACTTCTTTGTACACGTAACTAAGGGATGATATGACTGTAATTTGACTGTCTACTCTCTTTATCTGTTCATTCAAAGACTGTTGACCTCAGAAATGGTAATATCAAACAAGCTCCGCTTAAAGCCCTTATATGAAGAAAGAAGTTATTGTTCAGAGATATATAAATTGAGATGTTATACTAATACTCCCAAACGCGTTCTTCACATAAACAATAAATATCCCGAAGGTGAGATTACCTTGTTTGGAAACCCCCCAAAGAATGTCCATGTGCAATGCAATAAACATCAAATCTGCTATAACTCGCTGAAACGATTCTCACTATACACTGACAAAAGCCAGAAAAGAGACAAGAACAGACCGCAAAAGCGACTCCAAATCTTATACTCTTGCAGAAGCGTCAAAGGCTTCTCGAGTCGCTGAAACAAATTTCGTTAAATCATGTTGATGGACGTGTAAAGTTGACTCATGGGTTGATTACCTATTCCAGGATCGAGTATTTCCTGTTCAATGCTAGGCGCAAAAGACAGAGCAGGATGTTCCCGCACCGTCCAAGGACAAAGCTCATTGCAATTTTCGATACCGATAGATGGTTCAGCGGGGTGAATCCTCTGCGTGGCCCAAGCCGAATCGGGCACTGGATCCATTCCTCCTAGGCATCGTTGCGTCCAGAATGAATATGTTGCTTTGCCGGATTTTTCGGAGTGGAAGGGCGCTTTCCGTGGGCATTTGAGTGTTGTGTTGCATGCACTGCAGACGGAAATTCGTTGGCAAGAGGAACAGAATGAGTCGAAGAGTCGGCAGATGGTCGTTTGGTGGACGCTTGAGACCCATAGGTCGACGGATCGGTGTGCACAGCCAAACCGTGGCGTCATGAACTCTTCCTTCCCGACTTGGCCTGATTCAGTGGTGAGTTGGTATTCAGTGCGAATCACCAGTTGATTGTTGTGGTCGAGTTCCGGGAATAAAGATGTCGTAAGCTCCGTTGGGCCATAATGCTCGGTGCATGTATGCCAGCAGTAGCGGTCTCCAACTGCGTCTCCGAATTCCGACTTTAGGGCTTGTAGAGTTATCTGTCTTACTCGGACCTGATCTGCAAGATCAAGTTTGTCGCGGAAGGTCAGTTTCTTGCATGGGCACAGGTCGACAATCCCTGCCAGGTCGCCAATGTTGCAAGTGCGATTCTCCGGCTTCCGCCGTAACTCTCTTGCCGCAAAAGCGGCTCGAGGGTGGAGCTTCAAACACTTGGAGCACAGCTTCCAGCGACTGTTTTCTAACAAGTTGAGGAATGACCATCGGGGAGTGACGAAGTTATGCCCATTGCGATAATGGTGGAAAAGCGGCGCAAAATCTCGAGTGAAGCGGAGGGATTTCGAAAACAGGATCTCGCCAGAGATGGCGAACATGCGCTTGTTGGTCAACGCAAGAGCAGCCTCCGGAATTACTGTCAGATGGGATGTGATCTCCAACAACAGCTCGGTTGGTAATTCCATTAGGTAGCAACGGCCGGAGCCATCCTCCTGTTTCTTTCGTTTTGGTGACCAGGGCCTCATTTTGATCATGATCTTAACCTTCTCTGTAGCTCGATATAGACGATCGGACAAGTCCAGAGGGAACTCTCTTATGAAAGTCATAGGTAAGACAGAAGTCTTTATTTAGAGTGAGAGCTCTGCTGTGACCAAACCGCGTGAGAGAATAGGGTATTAAAGTAGTGAATAGTGTCCGAATTGTTGAAGTATCATATTGTAGAGAGCAAATACAGCGCGTGACAAGCAAGCTGCATCACCTCCAGAAGATCAAAAGAGGATCTGTTGACCTAGAAGTAGTCTGCTGAAAAGATAAAAGTGCACGAAAACGGACCATGGGACAAGGTCACGAAAATATGGGCTTCTATGCTATCAGCATTACATTATCGAGGTATAAGAGGAACTTGATCAGCGGTAGTTCAGCCCGTTCTTTGTCTGATGATCTATATGCATCGCACCGGATCTTTCCTTTCTTTTCACCCTTCATTGATCTTGATCAATATTTAGAAATACATGTCCATTGTCGGAAAATATGGGGGTTCCTCCCTGTGTTCGGGCCGGAAGTTGAATCTAAAGCTTCCGCATGCGGAAAGCAAATCGCCGCATTAAGCGTCATATCGTCATGACTTTAATTCAGGGCGGAATGGTTTAGCCTGGCCAAAGGCTCGTGGAAGATGCAAGCCATAGAGATTTTCGGTAAGATAGAGGGCTCAGACCTCAAATGCGCCATAGCATTGTCAACTGACCTGAAATTGCATATGACAGTATTTATCCAGGTGGGCACTCTAGGGCTGGCACATGCTAATTATGACTAAGCATATCACATGACCCACCATCATTAGGCATTCATTTATGCAGCACGTGCACGTCATCTGGTTACACAGTTAGTAATCTATCTACGCATAAATGTCCTAATCGGGTAGTGCCGAGGTCCATCCTGTTATCAAAGTTGGAATCTTCAATCTATTTTTGCTTTTTGTTTCCCAAGCCATTGCCAAGCCACTTGCCTTCTTTCTTTTTTTTTTTCATAGATTGATTTCACAGTGAACTTATCAAATTTTCAGCGATATTCGAGTTCAGGTGATAGCATATAAACCCTCATGCCCGACCTCATCGCAACACTCAGTACAATCCCCCTATCAGTCCTCTTATCGGGGTTGATCGCCATGGGCGTACTGTCATGGCTTCGTCCGAAAGGCCGGATAGGCTTTTACCATGCCAACGACAACAAGTTGACTTTGACCAAGTCCGGTGGTAAAGAAAAGACAACCTTTGTGGACGTCTGTCGGTCCGCATCGCCAGAAACATGCAACCTTAACCCACTTCTGTTCAACGGACACCTCCAAACAGCCTGGACAACCATGAAACACGATAATGTTCCTGTGTACTACAAGCGCAGCATGTTTGAGTCCGATAGCCCTGCGTTTACCGGCCACTACGCCGTCGACTTCGTGGTTGCACCGTACGACTTGCCTAATGACCCGGAACTGACTGATCAAGCCCGAAAGCATACCCAAGAGCCCGGCTTGCCACCGCGAACATCCTTTTTCTCTAAGGATGAATTTGACGCCCTGCCTTCCGATGATACCAAGCCCATGCTGGTTGTCTTACACGGGTTGAGTGGTGGCTCGCACGAAGTATACTTGAGGCATATCTTGGCTCCCCTGGTGGCTGATGGTACCTGGGAAGCATGTGTTGTTAACTCGCGGGGTTGCGCGCAGACCAAAATCAGTACTGGTGTTTTGTACAATGCTCGGGCTACATGGGATGTCCGTCAGACTGTGAAATGGATCCGGAGCAAATTCCCCAATCGTCCTCTTTTTGGAATTGGGTTCTCGCTCGGTGCCAATATTCTCACTAATGTATGTTCCTTGCGGTGGTTATTTGCTATCTGACATGTTAACTGACGATTATGTAGTACTTGGGAGAGGAGGGAGATGCCTGTCAATTGAAGGCTGCCGTGATTTGTGCAAGTCCGTGGAATCTGAGTGTCAGCTCCACGAAGTTGCTAGACACCTGGATCGGAAAGAATGTTTACAGCAAAACTATGGGAAACAGCATGAAGAGACTCTTTGAATGGTGAGTGATGTCTGATTTGCGGTAAAGGATTGACTAACTTTTGATAGCCATGTCGAACAAGTCTCCAAAAACCCTCGCATTGATGTGGATGCAATTAGGAAATCTACCTATCTCCACGAGTTCGACCGGTAAGGTTCTTGGCATACGCATCGCATAATAAGATTCTAATACTTGACAGAGCCCTGCAATGTCCCACCTGGGGCTATCCCACCGAGGGGGCATACTACCGTGATGCCACCTCTACCGATTCTATGCTTGCTATCAGGATTCCATTCCTGAGCATTCAAGCAGAAGATGATCCCGTGAGTCGTGGTAGCCTCTGTCTTAGTTACGAAAATGACACTGACCTCTTTAGATTGTATCCCGGGAGGCTTTGCCCTACCAAGAAATGACCCAAACACCATACGGAGTCATGTTGACTACATCATGGGGTGGCCATCTAGGTTGGTTTGAATTTGGAGGAGCAAGATGGTTTGTCAAGCCGGTATGTTCTTGATCAATTGACGAGAGTCGACTACCAGATACTAACTTCTTCAAGGTGACAAGCTTCTTGAACAAAATGGCTAGGGAAATTGACATTAATATCCCCGGTGTTGTCGAACACCCCGAGAGACTCCCGGGACATATTGCCCATCACGACGACCCCAACAAAGACCCCGACCTGGCGCCCAAGCCCCAGTTCCACCCAATGCAACGCAAACTCGTCCTTCCTTTGGGAATTTAAGCAACTCGCGCAGTTGAGTTTCTTTTACATTCAGCGACATATTGTTCTACATGGGAAAGATCCCTCAGCGCCTTGCATCGCGATATTTCGGTTCAAATACACATAGATTGTTCAGATAGATATAGTTAAACCGGTAGAACGCCGAACCCCAACATCTAAATACATAAACAAAGAATATAGACAGAATCAAACTTTTTTTTCAAGCAAATGCAACGCTCTTCTTCGCCTTGGGCTTAAAGACCTTATCCTTAATCGTAGTCTCGGGCTTGTTACCACCCTTGCCCTTTTTGTTATCCTTGCGGATAGTGTCCTTAACACCCTCGAGCTTGTTCTTTCTCTCCTTCATGCGGGCCTCGGCCTCGGCCTTCTTAGCCTCCCGAATCTCTTCTAATTGACGAGCCTTCATCATCTTGGACTCGATCTGGCCTTCCTTCTCTGCGTTCACCATCGCAAGGATCGTCATCATACCCTCCTATATGGCATTAGTTTAAGGCTGAGCTCCAATTGGACGGATGTGAATGTAGTACCTGATCATCGACAAAGGTCTTGCCCTTCTTCTTGCCCTTGGGCTTGACAACGCCGACGGGTGTGATTTGGTTCAGCTCGGGCAGATCCAGCTCCTTCTCGGTGTACACTCTCTTCTTCTTTTTCTTCAGGTTCTCTTGGGCAGTCCGAGGCTTGGACTTCTGTTCCTTGGGCGGGGGACGCTTGGGACCATCTTTCTTGCTGGATTTGCTGACGCGCGAAGCAGATGAGAGCGAAGGCTTGGAGCCCTTTGCGCCTCCAACGGAGGGACCCTTAGCAGAGCCTTTGTTAGGAGCCATTTCGTGAGGAATCCGGATCGTGTGATAGGTTTCGGGATCAGCAGCGGACGGGAGAAAGATTTCAGAGTGGCGAGAAAAGAGTCAAGAATAACAAGGACTCGAATGCGACTTGAAGATTCTCTAAGAATCAAAAATATCAAAAACAAAAGTCTGGACAAAAACAAAAGTCAAGCGTCGGATCCAAACCCCAAATGTCGCAAAAGAAATTTTTTGAAAAGGCAGGCGGTGAACCCGGCCCAATTCCACCAACCTCAGATCGAAACCTCCACCTTCGTAGGTCAGATTCCAACTCAATTCCCTCCCCTGCACCCAGTGATTGAACTGCACTGGATTGAGCGGGCTTCTCAACCTCCTCCAAAATGACTATCAATCCTACCTTCCTGGCGCAGCGCACGCGCAGCTGTAAGTTCCACCCCGATCCATTCCGTTGTACAGCCGGATCGTCAATGGCCGCAGTATCTCAAAACAGAGCTAACACGAACTTCCGTCTAGCCGTTAACTGGGGCGATGCGAAATACCGAGTCCTGAAGTCCTACCGTGAATGGCTCCGCGCGGTCAGTCTACCCGAAAACCAGCCGATCCCACTCCCTTGCGCGATTTATGTCGCTACATGGCATTGGAGCAGGTCAAATACACGACCTGTCTACCAGCTGCCAGTCTTCAAAGAGACATAACGAGAAAACACCACGCTAACCTGATTAAAAACAGTCCCCGGAGATCCAAACTATGTACTCCCTGGGCATGCCCGTATCCGCCATCCGCACCAAGATTCGCCAGGAATTCGAGAAGCACCGCTACGTCAGCCAGATTAAGACCGTCGACGTGCTTCTGTACAAGAGCCATGCCGAGTTCCAGGTCAGTTTGGCCCCTGCATGTCATATAAGATATGACCGGGATGGTGCAAGACAACGAAGAAGCCAATTCTCGTTTGCCTGGCCCAATTGCCCGCAGCCATGCGATACGTGCGGTACAAGAACTAACACTTTTCCAGGAAACCCTTAACTACTGGAAGCAGCTTTCGCACGTTATGAAGTACTTCCGCCCAGAAGAGGATCCTGGTGCGCGACTACCCCGCAATTTCGTCTCTGGATTCCTCGAGGGTCGCAATTAAACTCTTTCCATGCTCTTTTCTTTCTCGTTCCTGGTCGCGGTGTGGCAGCGGAACTGCGCCGATAGACATGTGTATATATTGTCTGAATAAGTCCCATCATCTTACGATGTCTACAGTAAACTCCAACGACCGAGAATAACCAGCCCAGTCAGGTCTAGCGTTAAGAACTGGAACTAACGTATAAAAGTACAATGGCATATATGCATGTAATATGTAATAGAAAGCAAGCCTAAACAACGGTACTTTTCCCTCTACCCAAACGCCAACACAATATGCAAAACCCACCTAAACCTCCATGCGGTTCCCGCTCTCTTCATTAAACTGATCACGGGCAATAGTGAACTTCTCCGTTACAACATCGCAAAGATCCATCAGGTCATTGAATCCCTTCTCCAAAGCCTCGAGGGCAGTAGTCGAGTCTGCAAATCAGCCACAGCGCACACAAACATCAACCAAGCCAACAGAGCACATACCATTAGTCTGGATACGAAGGTGCATTTTCGCATCTGAGGGGTGTGGAATCGTATATCCGCAGAACTCAACAGCAGGGCTAGAACCAGTCAGCGGGGTTGGGGTTGGAATTGTGCGTGGCGCCGCAAACTCACTTCTTCATAATGGCGAACCGCAGCGCATTGCCCATTGTGTGGCCTTCTTCTGCGAACTGGAACGAGGCCGCTGTGTCGGTGGCGCCGGGGAGCTGGAGTCGTCTGTTAGTAGTTGCAGGTCGGGGTAGGGGTGTGGTGTTGATGCGTACGACGACAATCTGTCTTTCTTCGAGGATGGGGTCGTTGGAGACGACTTCCTGTTCATGGGCGGGCTGCTCGGCGTCGACCATTGACTGGTCCCGGTCTTGGGAGTGGACGGATTCAGGCATTGCGGGCTGGAGGTGTGTGGGTGGGATTGGGGTTTGGGGGTTGGACGTGTGGAGGAAGTGTGTAATGGAGGGTGTGAGTGCCTGGTTGGTTGCTTTGGAATGAAGCGGACTTGTACTCGCGAAATTGATCTGATCTCTAAAGATATCGCGAAGAAAAAAAGGTGGGTTATCGATAGACGGGTCTCACCGCCTGCTGGTTTTGGCAGCCATCTATATAATTTCTCGTTTTGCTTCGATTTTGAATATGCTTTGTTCTTTGGGGAGAATATTGAGATAGAATTTGGCCGGCTGATTTTTCCTGGACTTATTTCATCCGTTTTGGGGCTGACTGTGGTCCATGGTGGTGGGAAGTATACGTAGTACGCGCTGTAGAATGCAATCCTATGGGTAGTCCTCCAACTATCTACATGGGGGCTTTCCTTGACCGTTTTACTGAAACAACCACGATGTTACGAGTGTTCCAGATTTGCAGAGATGAATTATCAAAAATGAGGTGTTTTTACATATTTTTATACATTTGTCACATGAAAACATGGAGAGGCCGAGATATCGTAGAAACCCTAGAATGCGCCTAGTGCCTGAGATGGATGAAACAAGCATAGTTTGAGGCTCCAATTCTTGTTTCCATTCTGTTTCTATTTCGTGGTTAACCACGAGTCAAACTCTTAATATCCACTCCCAGCGGTTATTGGATATTATAATTACATTTTGAGGTTCGATCAATGATTTGTCATATTTGCAAACGAATGCACAGCACGTACCCCTGGCCCGTGTCATGAACGCCTCCAGGGCCCGTGACAAGAAAGAAAAGTGGAGTGACAGCTTTAATTCCAGTGGCAATCGCCGGGGGAGTTATACTATGTATGGAATAACTAGTGCACACTCGGATCAGAGAAGCCGATCTTTATTTAAGTTTCCAGTTTTGTAGGGGCTTTGGAGGCTTCGAATCGATTGAATTGTTTCAGTATTGGATTGTTGGATTCGACAGTTATGGATCCCTAAATCCCTATGGAGTGCGCCACAGGTTTAGTGTCCCCCTGTTGATATAAGCGCCGGCAGCGCCATGTTTGACATATAACGCTATATGACTGGTGTTTTGGTGTGACTGGTTCTTTTGGTGTGATTGAAGTGTAGATCTGTTTATACCTAGGTATGTTCTCCGTAGTGTAGGTAGAAGGAATAATTAGCATGAAACTAAGACACCAGTATCCGGAACTATTGACGGAGAGTTGAATAGTCTCAGATTGAAAATTTATAATGTGTCAATATACGCAGTGACTACTACATATAAGTGTTTATAAATATCTAATATGTAGAATAGAATACATATAGTAAATAATAACTCCCTCTAGCTAGTATATCATCACTAAATCAAAAGTGAAACCCAAGAAAAAAGGCGAGAAACACATCGTGTCTCAGCTGTGATCCACTAGGGATCCTGAGAGTATCTGGTACTTGTCGATGGAGGCTGGCCCCATCAACAACATTATGTACCTGATACTTTTAGTTTTTTTTGATTTGAAACTCTGATCTTTTCTTTTTTCCCCTAGAGAGAAGAAGAAAGTTGATCTCTCTTCTCTTTATAAATTTTTGACTACAGAGTATTCTCTCTCTTTTCTTTCTTTCTTTCTTCTTCTGCTTGTTCTGTGTGTGTTCAGGGCCCAGACCTCCTCCCCGCTCGGATTCTCCTCTCTCTTCTCTCCTGGACTCGTCTTTGTTTAGGGGTCTACGGTCTACGGGATATTTGGTAGATCTAGTACCATCCGATAAATATATCGAAAGGATTCAGTTTCTCTTTGAAAGTTGAACAAAAAAAACGAAGAAAATAAGTATACGGAGATATCGATCATCGGAATTATCATGTCTACCGCAGTTGCGTCCGCAGCGGCCCCTTTGTCCTCACCACACCCGCGCCATCCCAGCCCGAGAAATCTCCCAGCGCTGGTTCCTTCAACCATTCCCAATTCATCCCCCCGAATGTCAACAAGTCCTAGAGATGGTTCTGCCGCAAATGGCTCTCCGAACGAGAAGAGAGGTCCGATCTCTCCGTAAGTTCCCAAACTCAATACTGAGGAGGTTCACTATTGACATGTTCGCAGTTCCCAAGGCAGCGGTCCCCACATCACCGTAAAGAAAGAGCCTGGTTCACCCCGAATTCAGAGTCGTCCTCGTCCTCACAAATTGGATCTCACTACAAGTCTCCCCCGCGGACCGGGAGGACCTCTGACCGCCTCCATACAAGATGTCGGTCTGGCCTGTCTGTCGCCAGGCTTCCAAACCCACGATCCAATCATGCGAGAGCAGCTGCAGCGCAGCCTCTCTGTACGCGATCAGCAGCGCTCCATCATCGAACAGCGCATGCAAAGATCCGCCAAAGACATCGGCCCAGACGGCATGCAGCCCTCCGAATCAAATCTGATGGGCATGCCCAAAACCGCCAAGCGCAGACCTCCAGGCCTGTCCATCGTGCCCCCATCCGCCTCCCAATTCGCAAACGAGCGAGTCATCCAATCGGCCCCGCTCCATCAGACCTTTACAGGCCGCTACCAGCCACAGCCATTGACCCGCCATGTGGTCAACCAAAGCCCAACCCTCGGCGCAACCTCACACATGCACCAGCTCCCAGCAGCCCAGACCAGCAACCGCCTCCCACCCCTCTCTGACGTTTTTGGCACCGACGCCCTAGGCCGCGACCGCGACCCCGCTCTCGCCAACATGCACCTCTCTTCTAGCAACTCGTCGCAATCAAATAATCTAGCTCCAATGCCCTCCCCAGGGCTTCCAGCCTCGCAAACCCCGCGCTCCCGCGAGTACCGCTCCGCCGAAGAGGCCGTGCAAGAAATGTCCGGCGGAAGGGAAGATCTCCTCCCTCGCATCGTCCATTATGGAGGCCACCAGCCCCCCACCCCACCCTCTCCTCAAATCATACACGCAGGCCCCAAGACCGCGCCTCTCGCGCCCGAGCTTCGTGCTCCGGGCCCACCACCCGCTTCATTTGGCATGTTCGCCCCCTCAGATGCTACGGCGCGGCGACGCCCGAGAAGCGAATACGAGCAAGATAACGGGAGCCCGCCGCTCGGCCACGGACCTGATTCTCAACACCGGTCTAACCCGGCTGCGAACCCCGGTCCACATGCTGCGTTCTCGGGGCCATTCGGTGCGGGCAGAGATTCACCCGAGACTCAACGCAGAAAGAAGGATGAGTTCCTTGGTCTGTGTGCTCGTGCTTGGGATCTATTCCACTCGTGATGCGAGCGCTTTGGAAGAGCTGCAGGAACCAGGTTGAGTCTCGGGCAATGATGGAATTTGCTTGGGTTCGCCAGGTCTCCTAGGTTTCTCTGTTTACAATTCTGTGCTATTTTTGTTTATCTGGGAGTTTGGTGCAATGCCCACCCCAGTGAAGATCCAAATCCTGACATCATTGGCAAGCCCAATGGAACCGGGCAACGCCATATTCTTGACTCATCCTGGATGATCGAGTCGAGACGCGCCAGCTCGTGTTATCTACTTTACGACAGTATCAAGGCCCCTGCTCTGTAAAATCTTTTGGGCGTTGGGGGGTTCCGTGTTTCGCAATATACCTTTTGATCGTGTTTTGGGAGATAAAGCATTTTGGTAATGAGTCCTATCTTATATATCGGTTCTCTTTTCTTCTTTTCTTTCTTTGGCCCTGATATCGGTCCGGTACACTCGATTTCAGTAATCCTAATGCATAACTTAATCTTAACGAAACATCTTATGTCCAATATGCAACACTTTGAGATAAAAACCAAACGCAAACGCCAAATACATACAAGTAGCTCAAAGTACAAACATCTACTCCAACCTCCTCCTCTTCCCCCCATTAGGCATATCACCACCACCACCACCACCCTCAAACCCTCTCCTCTCCCAAGGCATCTCCTTCTTCTCCTTAGAAGCAGTCTTCTTTCTCCTCCTCTCAAGCGCCTTACTCCTCTCCCTAGACCCCATCTCCCCGAACTTCTTCTCCAGAACCTGCTTCTTCAACTCCGAATTCTTCAGATAATAAGGCGCAGCCTTCTTTCCCTCCCGAATAAGCTGCTTCTCCCGCGCCTTATGCTCAGCCCGCACATCCTCCTCCCGCTTCTTATTAGCAGCAGACCGCATCTTATCCGTCGCTGTGCGAATCTGCGCCTTAAGCTTCTCCCGCATATCAGGATTCTTGGTCTTCCCCAGCGCCTCCTTCAACCCCTTCAACTCATCAGCCCGGTACTCGTCCAAAAACGCATACGCCTTGCCGCCATGCGCATGTTTCCCCACGCCGCTGTGGCCCATGACGGCCGCGTCGAAGCGCGGATCGCGCGCCTTGGGCGCAGGCGGTAGCTCCACCGCCGTGCGTCGCCGTGTTACCGCGCGCTTGCTGGACATTTCCATCGGCGCGTGCTTGGAGGTGCGTGCTTTGGACTCTTTGGACTTGACCTTCTTCGCGGCTGCTTCTTTGGCTTCGCGCGCTTCGCGCAGTTTGCTTCGGATCTCGTCGAGTGGGCTGTTAGGTTCTTCGGCGTGTTTGGATTTGCGCTTTTTGTCGCCGCTCATCGCGGACTGCGCTTTGGCGAGTGCGCCGAAGGAGATTTCGGCTAGCGTGGCTTTCAGGTCTGTGTCGTTGCCATTGGAGGCTTCTGAGGCAGTATCGTTTTCTTCTTCATCGTCTGAGCCTGAGACTGAGCCTTCGGTCTGTGATGTGTGAGTTTGGTTTTTGGGTGTCTTTATTCGGAGTTGATGTACCTCTGATTGGATGGAGCCGTTGGATTCAGCATCAGAGCCGGCTTGTGATCCTTCGTCGGAGGCTGATACCTCAGAGAGATCATCGTCTTCTTCTGGCCGAGCCCGCACTCGGCGGTTGAGAATATCGGAAATCGCCATTGTGCTTGTCTGATTGTTGAATGGTCCCCCGCGGAGGGAAGTGAAGAAAATAAAAATATTGCCACTGAAGGCGGTCAGGGCGATAAGCTGATTAGATATTTTGCGATTGGCACCTGCAGGTAATGTTCACAATTACTTCGCATTGAGCTTTTGCTGATGCTCTTTCGAGGTTTACATTCAAGAGACTTGTCTCGGTTCCCGCTTATAGCATCTTTATTACGCCCCTCCACGCCTTTCCGTAGGGCAGGCAATCAGGTATCTACTCTTCGCGGAATCGCAACACTCCATGAAATCAAGGGTTTCTAATTGCAATTGTAAACACAGGTTCCCTTAAAGTCAAACCTCCACTCTGTCGGATCGCGTCCGTGCCTCTTTACTTTGTCCCCTTCTCGCCCGAAATCGGTCAAGCTGCCTCGCGCAAACAAACGGCCGAAGCGAGCGTCTAACGCCGCGGATCTCGACCACCCGTCGAATCCTCCCCAATATGCGAAGCCGGGATATCATGCTATGAATATGGACGGGCCAAGGCAAAACGAACGATATGGACAGGCAGGATCGTACACTTCGTGGAATGCGAACCCTCCTGCCAACGCACGTAGGGCGCCAGTGTACAATCACCCCGCGCAGGGTGGCCAATGGCCACACCAGGCCCTGAGCACGAGTGCAGCTCAGTCTCAGGCTTCATACAACCCGAGTTCGGCGGCCTATCAACCGCAAAGCCAGGCCGCCATGCAATCGTTCAACCAGCCGATGCCCTCGATCGAACCACAATCGTACGGCGGTTTCAATGGCATGCAGAACCCAATGATGGATCCGAACCTCTTCCAAATGCCGATGAATGTGCCTTGGATGCCAGGCTTTGATAGCACGCAGCCGATGCCGTTCCCATTCCTTCCATTCAATGCCCAATTCCCTCAGCAAAATGTCCGGGGAATGAGTACGATGAGTGGAGTGGGCCATAGATTTGCGCCAAATCTACCACACCAGCCCCGAAGAGCAAGATCAAAAACACCGAAACTCGAGGTTCCAGCTGCAACATTACAATATCTTAACCAAGCATCATTAAAACCAGAAGAAGTGCCATCAAAACGACCGCTGCTTATCATTCTCGATTTGAATGGCACCCTAATCCATCGCAAGGTCCGCAAATTCCCGCCGAAATTCACCAAACGCGCTGGCCTAGATTATTTCCTCGCAGCCCTGGTCAAAAACTATAAAGTCATGGTCTGGTCGAGTTCGCAGCCACCAACGGTCTACGCAGTTTGCGATCAGCTCTTCCCGGGCGCCATGCACGATGAACTCGTTGCCCTCTGGGGCCGTGACAAGTTCGGTCTCACAGATCGCCAATACAATAATAAAATCCAGGTCTACAAGGAGCTCCACAAGGTGTGGGCGGATCCCAACATCCAAGGCGCATTCCCAGGAAATGAGGAACTGAAAACCAATCCCGTGACATCAACCGAGAAGGCAGCAAACGAAGCGGCCAGGAATCGTGCCCTGAGATCCAACGTGCAGAAAGCGGCGAAGCTTCCGGCCGGTCAACGCTGGGACCAAACGAACACCATCTTGATTGACGATAGCAAGCTTAAAGCGCTCAGCGAGCCATTTAATATCCTCGAAATCCCTGAGTTCACCGATAACCCCGAAGGTGACGAGTCAAAAATCTTCGCCAAAGTCCTCCACTGCCTGGACATCTGCTCCCGCCACGACGACGCCAGCAAAGTCCTGCGCAGCTGGAACGAGCGCGTCGAAAACGGCGAAGGCAGCATCCTCGACCTCGACCTCGGCTTCGATGATATCTCCGTGGATAACGAAGAAGGCGGAATAAGCCTCTTTCCAGAGCAACTGAACAATACCGACACTGTAACCGGCGAACCCGGCATCTCCACACCAGCCAATGGTCAAACGAAAAAAGGCAAAGCGAAAAGCAATGCTCCAAAAGCATTGACGGAAGAACAAAAAGCCGCCAACAAGAAAGCCAAGAACGACCGCAAAAAAGCCAAAAAGGCAGCCGGCAAGGCCGAAAAAGCAGCTGCGAATGCCGAAAAGGCCGCCGCTGTAGCACGAAGAGCCGAGGCTGAGAACAACCCTGCACTCCCAGAACTAGGGATTCAAGTCCCGCAGGAAGTCCCTCAGGTTGATGGACCAGCCGATCACCCACGACAAGACAGCAAACACCGGGGAGGAGCGTCGTGGAAACAGAAGATGCAAAAAGAAGATGCTGCTGCTGCTAAGTTGGCCAAAGCCCAGGAGCATTTCGAGGAAACTCAGGCGAGATTAGCGCGCGGGGGGGAACTCTCGTCACGGTTTGATTTCCAACGGAACCGGGTGGCTTTTGAAACCCCCGAGAATCCGACTAGGGTTGTTGCTGGGCCTGTGGGTGAACGTGCGGGATCGCAATCGCAGACTCTGTCAAGACCGGACGATGGAGCTGATGCGGTGCGCGGAGACCAGCGCTCTCCGTCGCCTGCTTCAGTCGCTTCTCATAATTCGATGCTGGATAGGCTTGAGGAGGGTCTTGGGCTGAGGAAATAGGTGGTCGTTGCTGTGATTTTTACTCTTTTCTTGTATTTTATTTTGTCTCTACTATCCGTGGATCTGAGAGTGGTGTTCTGTATTCTTTGTTAATAGATATCCTGTTGGACAATGTCATTCTTATTTAATTCTGTACAAGACTTTTTTGATATCAAGTTCTGAGACTCTAAGAGTGCTGGCAGTTTCGAAAGTGACGCCAAATCATTGCTCAGGTGCTCTCTTTATTATCCCATACTGGCTTCGGCTTATACGTATATAGATATATTTGATCCGGTGTTGATAGATACATATGCAGTATATGCATGGCCGCCAAGAATATATTGTTGAGTGTATCGGGATTAGTTGGCGGATTAAGCGCAAGCCCATGAAAGAAATCATACAAAGCAATAGGATAAGGGAAAGATAAAAAGCTACAAAAAAATTGAAATGTAGATGTTCGGTTTAAAGGTAGTCGTGTAAATAGCAAGTGCTAGATGAAGGGTCAAAGTGATGCGGCATGTGAACGCGTGAAGCAAAATTATACTAGTCAGACGAAACAAGACGTCTAACACACGGGGATGAGGGTCGGGGATTTACAGACTCCTCCTAGATCCTCGTCGGACACCACATCTGACCTCCACCTAGGGCTAATCGCAAATCACACACAACAGCAACAGTCGCCAATTTACGCCTACAAGATACGGGTTTACTGAGATTTACGGTTAAAAATGGAAAGTATTATCACAAAACAGAGAATTTCTCCGTTCTTTCATTGCTAGAGTTAACTAGCAGCGACCTGGCCAGCTGGAATTGTCGTAGTAGCAATTCCCTAACCAGCGCAGTCGATCATCATTCCGCGTTGCAGCGTAGTCGTAACCGTGAGTCAACATCAACACGTAAGACACAAAGGTCAAAGATATTTGGATAATCCCAAAGAATTTCAGGCGGGGTAAAGAAGATAATAGACGTAATGCATAGGTCTTCAAGCACAAGACGTCATTCGGGGTATTTGAGGACGGAATTTTAAAGGAGATGAGGAAGGAAGGCGCACACGCTTATTTGAAGACGTGGCCGTCGGCCCACTCCTGGACCTTCTCGCCGTTGGTGACGGGAACATCCTGGCACCACATGTCCTCGACGAGCTTGCGGTCAGCCTCGTTGGAGGGGTCGAGCTTGACGAACTCGTATCCCTCCCAGTCGGGACCGACCTGGAAGGCGGGCTCCCAGTCCTGGCCACGGACCATGAAGGCACCGTAGACGACACAGTCGTAGTTGACACCGTACACGGACTGGGCACCGAAGAGGTACTTGCGGGAAGCCTCAAGACGGGCCTGGAAGCCACCGATCAGGTTGTTGGCCATGAAGGTGAGCTTGAGCTCGTTGTTGTACTTGTAGTTGACCTTGTAGAGAGAGTACTCATCGGCCTTGAAGTTCTGCCAGAACCAGGGCATGGCGACAGTGCGGGGGTCATCGTTGGAGAACTTGCGCTTCCAGTCATCGAGGATGAGAGTGGGCTTGCCAAGAGCCTCGAGAGGGTGCTTGGGCTTGGGGGGCTCAGCAGCGGGAGCAGCAGCGGCGGCAGCGGCAGCGGCGGCAACGGGCTTGGGCTTCTCCTCCTTCTTGGGGGCGACGTACTTGACGACCTCCTCAGCGAACTTGGGCTCGGGGTGGACAGCCTTGAAAGCCTCCTGGTTGACGATGGTGGTGTACCAGCGGGCAGTGGCGGGGTTCTCCTGGCGGAACTTCTTGTCGAGGACAGTAGCGAAGGCGCGGGTGAGGAGAGCGGCAGCGAAGATATCGGCCAGAGTGATACGCTCACCAACAAGGTAGGTGTTGGCGGTGAGGTGCTCCTCAAGGGGAGTGATGGCCTTCAGGGCAGCCTTGGCAGCCTCATCGACGGTCTTCTTGTTGTAGGCCTCGAATCCGAGGAGAGGACGGTACCAGGCACCGAGCTTGGGGAGGACCTCAGAGTTGGCGAAGGACAACCAGCGGAGGATAGAAGCATAGTCCTGCTTGGTCTTGCCGAGGAGGGTGGTCTTCTCGTTCTGGGAGGTGACTATGAACAGGACATGTTAGTCAAGTTGCTTGGAAACTCGGTGGGTCCAATGTAGTGATCAGGGATGCCAATGGCACCATGTGTCCAGATGGGAAAAAGGGGTGGGGGTTCGAGTCCAAATTTTCCCCTAAGTGGGGTAGCCAAAAATTTTTCAGAATTGTAGTTCTCAACAGTTACAGTTCTGCCAGGGATAACTAATATCTCATCATAATAATCTGAGGCTTGGGAAAATTGGACGCGAAGTGGTAAAGGGAGAAAAGAATATAAAGGAGCTTCACATACCATAGACAGCAATGGCAATGGCCTCGGAGAGGTTGAAGCCGTTGGCACCCTCGAAGGCAGGGACCTTGCCGGTAGGGTTGATCTTCTTGTACTCAGCGGTGGCAGCGGAAGAGTTAGGCACAGTGTTGACCAGCTCCAAATCGAGGTCGTTGTGCTTAGCAGCGACCAAGATGGCGAGGGTGCGACCGTTTTCCTAGACAATGTCAGACAGGAAACAATGAGAAGGTAGAAGAGACACCTACAGCCTGACCGTAGAGCTTTCCGAAAGCCATTTTGAATGTGATGTGTGGAATGAAGAGAAAAGAAGGAAGAAAGAAAATGGGAGAGGGGCAATTAAAGAAAATTGTGCTAGACGCCGGAGTTCTCGGAGGAACTGATATTGCGAAGATCACCTGACCCGAAAAACATGACACTGCGCAACGGAGGTCTATCTAGGTCTCGTTAGGCCTGATTCACACCCAATTCCTCCAGTCATGGCGTGGAATAAACCCAATACCCTCACAGGGGCCATGCAATCCCTCCGCCTAACATCCACCATCTCCAACACCTCAATTCACGCTTCCCGACCAACCCTCAACATCCTCCGCACACGCACCTACGCAACAGAAGCAAGTCAAGCAACAGAAGCAGCCCCCGGAGCCGTTGCCCCAGAAATCAACTTCGAAAACTTCGCCCAAAGACCCGCCCGAATTCTTCCTGCTTCTCGCTCCTACTTCTCCGGCAGACCGCGGTTCATCGATTCCGTTCTAGAACTTGAAGCCCTGCAAGCCAAGTATGCCACTATACCCACGGTGTCAATCCACGAGGCACCACGCATGGCGTGGTTCAAGCTGCCTCAGTTCCGTGATTTCGTGGGCGAGACCATCCCCATGAAGAAATACAAGCAGCTGCTCAAGATCCTGCAGCGGATGAACTGTATCAAGCCCGAGCTTGTTCCTGACGAGGTCCACGCGACTCTGCGCAAGTTCATTCGTCCTGGTAACCCGTACGCGGATGAGAAGCCCGTCTATACTGTTGATGAGAATGGGTGTGCACGCGCCAAGGGCAAGAGGAAGGAGTCTACCGCTGTTGTGCACCTTCTTGAGGGTGAGGGCGAGGTGTTGGTTAATGGAAAGAATATCGTGGAGGTGTTTAAGCGGGTCCATGATCGTGAGAGTGCGCTTCATGCTCTGCGGATCACGCAGCGTGTGGATAAGTATAATGCTTGGATTGTTGTGAAGGGAGGTGGTGTTACTGGACAAGCTGAGGCCATTACATTGGCTCTTGGTCGGGCTTTGATGATTCATGAGCCTGGCTTGAAGCCTGTTCTGCGCAAGGGTATGTTTTTGATCTTGAAACTCATTCTATATATTTGCCATTTACTAACCTCCTTTTTAGCTGGTGTCATTACCGTTGATGCCCGTCGTGTCGAGAGAAAGAAGCCCGGTCACGTCAAGGCTCGCAAGATGCCTACCTGGGTCAAGCGTTAAATGGCCAAGCGAGGTTTCTCGGATATCTTCGATTCTTTTTTTTTTGTTTCAATACTGTATTATTCACCAGCCATGGCACCCGTAGACTTCGGGCTCCTGTTTTATATCCTGTACTCTCAATGCATATGAAGCTATCAATTCCAAAACTTACCTTGAATTTAAACTGAACAATAATATTTGCAGGTATCTGCAGCTCCATTTGCCCCTTTTTAAGCTTTAGGTTTGCCTGCGGACCTGCATGGATGGGCCTGGAGCATGCAGTATAAAGTTCACAAGTGAATTCGTGCCTGAAACCTTCTCACATCAGCTTGCTCTAAAGCCAGTGAAGTGTTACCTAGGTAATGGTCCAGAAAATCTTATGAATGGTCTAGCTATGCTATCTCCAGTCAGAACCACCTATTCCTCTATGCATATCATTTACAAAGTCAAGCCCATAAGGAAATGCACAGAATCACCATTGGAACAATTCCTACAAAAAGTGCCTTATCTAGACTCCGAAGAAACGATATTGTTACGAAGCAGACATGGCAAAAGCAGATTTAGTTCTTCGACCTCATCTACAAGTATAAGCGTATAAAACAGTCACCGACCGTAAGAAAGTGATATCCCTGCCCTATGTTCACATATCTCCATGGATACTATATGCTAACAACCTTGGAATATAAAAGTCCAACGTCAGCAGGCAGACGGCCATAGCCTGCATATCTAGAAGTAGTCGAAACGCAATATACATATAGGGAGTAAAACGCGAATTGAGTAACGGACCAGATTGTTCAGAGATGCAAAACAAAAGATTGAAAGCAAATCTTTCTATCACATGCCCAGTCCGAATCAATTAGAAAGGATACAAGAATAGAAATCCTCCAGAGCACTCCAAAGTGCGAGCTAAATAGCTAAATTCAAGTCCAGGGAACGAGAAAGTCTCATTCCGCTTCTGCGCCGGACGCCCTCCATTTTCCCTGTGTTTTGCCCACACACCCGATAATGCAAGCCAGCCCCGTTTGATAAAGATGGAAAAGGGATAGGAAGAGGAGAGGGTATGCAAGAACTGAGATGATAGTAAAAGAAAAGCGTGGAATAACTCCAGTAACCAAGGTGAATATATACAGGTCGTAGATTCGTTATTGAGAACGGCGAGAGGTGTATGTGATTACAGAAGTGCAGCGGATGGATAGCGATAATAACAATGTGAGGATCTCGCGAATTATCATATCGCGCTTCGTATACGGAGTATGTGGTAGAGGTATGGAGAATATTTGGAATGAGGTTTTGAGGGCCAAGAAAGCCCTAAAGACCAACAAATGGGTGTGGGAGAGGCAACGACCGAGGAAAATGATCCAAGTGGATCTCTTCGTCACATGAAGAGAATGGTCAAATCGAGAGGTGATAGGTTTCCTCTAGAGAGATGTCAAATATCACATTTGTCGATTGGCGCGACGCTAGTAGGCAATAGCTTCCCCGTGGCGGCTGGTGAGATTTGGGACCGCGAGTTGATCGGGACGGCTGAACTGTGTGAACCCAAGGGCTGAGATTCGGGTATTTGGATTTTTTTTTTGTTATTTACTTTTTCTTTTGTTTGTGTCCCAACCAGGTCACGGTCGAGGCACCGCTGCCGTGGTTTCGGGTATAGTTGAGATATGGTGGAGTTCGGGGCTGGATTCCATCAGATCGAGACATTGGCCCAGCACTATTTAGTTATATGTGTTAGCAAAAGCAATTGTTATTCGTGGATACCAAACTTACCGGATAGAATCTCTTCTTCCCATATACCCATTTGGTAATCCACTAAGCCATGTTGTTCAAGTTGATCGCATAGTTGGATCAGTTCTTTTCCCATTGTTTCCATGCGGTCACGTTGAATTAAACTGATTTGCTGCGGTTGTTGACCGGATGTCAATAAACCTTGTATCAAATCCTTCTGCTTTTGACACAGGGCTAACCAACAAAGGTTAAAATTGCTCCATAGCTCCAGACGGTCGGGATAAAGGGTGCTATTGTCATTGAGGAGACCTATGTATCACATCAAAAATCATTAGCTTCCCACTGTAGGTAATAGAGTGTCAGATGATGCTTGCATGACGCGTGCGTGCAGGCTCAAGGAAATAAAATTAAAAAAAAACAGGAGGGGGAAAAATTAGGCAACAAATAAAAAAAAGGGTCCAGTTGCAAGTACGACTGTTGTAATACTGCCGAGACTCATGGCAAACAGTGCATGCTTTTGGGGACAAATTAAGGCAGAAGATGACGAGGAAAAAAAAAGCATCTTACCTAGACGCCGTGCATTATCCACAAGCCACTTGGAAATTCGGAGCAGCGATCCACTAGCTTCAACTAATCTTCCGGCTCGCGTTTGATCAAAAGTATGGCGCAAGATACTTTGGTATTGACCTATAGCCTCATCCAGACTCGAAGGGTCCGACTGTTGAGGTTCAGGCTGATCGAATCGGCTCATGGACCCGGACCCTATAGTAAAATCGGTAACATTTGCAGGAAAGGATTGGGTGGTAACTGGGCGTGCCATGGGGTTCGTTTGATTATAAGGTTGGAGTTGTGCATTGAGATAAGAGGGGATTCCAGCAAGCCCAGATCCTGCAGAATCTTCTGATGCAAAATACTGTGGAACGAATGGGTTCGCCAGGGCATCAATAGGGACAGGTCGAGTCTGGTACTGTGGAACAACCTCGAAGGGTGCTTGTGTTGGACCGGGCTGACCGAATCCGTACATCATGTTGGAATCATAAGAGTAAGGCTGTTCCTGGGGTGGCATGCGCCGTCGATGCTGAATAGACGAGGACTGTTGAGGCCGCTGTGCTCGTGCAAAGCTCTGGGATTGGTAGTTCTGTAAGTCGTTTGACTGCAGGGAACCGCCGTGAAAGGAGCTGCCTGTGTATCCGTAGTCGTAGGACACCGGGACTTGCTCCGGAGGCTGCGATATCCCCGTTTGGTCTCCACGTGGTTGAATGGCCGGGTCAAAATGATCGGTTGCACGACCAGATGCTCTGCGAGCAGCATTTCCAGATCGAGACATCGATCCTTCATGCTTTCGTTGATCGCCATCCATCAGACTGTCCCAGGATCGATGTAGATCAAGCTCAGCCCAATGCTTGGGAGAAAGCGGTGGGCTTGCGTAGGATGCCAGCTTGGATGATTTAAAAGAATCAAGGGAATACTTTTCCACAGACGTAGATTCTTTTGTTTCTGTTTGTTCCCCTTGTGGAGTGGGGGTACAAAGATGAAGAAAAAAGAGAACAAGAGGTGATCCTTGTGGTTCAAGTAGACATTCGAATCCTGTCCTCTGACGCAGCCACGCAGACTCTTAAGTAACAAAAAAGAATAATAATAGCCACAAAAATTGAAAATTGAAATCAAAACTCAGAATAAAAAAAAGCAGGAGTCAATGCAATCAATTAGGCATGAAATCAGGCAAGTAAGGTAGATAATAATAAAAATCAGATTTAAGGGAGTGATGGATCTGAAAAGAAAATAGAAAGATGACACTAGAGCTGAGTAGTGAAAAAAGGCACTTTCATCTCCCCCGGGGATTAGATAGATCAAGTATAGTTCTAGCCCTTGAGGAAGGTACCTGGGATATAGTGAAGATGAATAAGAATAAGGATAAGAATAAGAAAGGGAAGGGGAATAATCAGGACCAAGGGGGGGGGGGAAAGAAAGAATAAACTAGGGCTCCTAGTATGAGTATTAGAAGTAATATGGAGTATTATGAGTATCATGGGAGTATCATGAGTAATATAAATTTAAATAGGAATTTGTAAATATTATCCATATTATATAGATTTGTACGGAGTATTGAATCAGAATTAGCAATTGGGAATTAGGAATTTAGTCAACTATCTCTGTTTCTGTCATTCTCTCCAAGTGCTTAACCCTAAAAGCCAAAAAGCCATTGATCGACGATCGAACAGGATCTACACCTAAACTCCATTCGGCTGTCATCGCCCGGGAACCCGGTGCTGTGGTTCTTGGCCATATGTGTATATCATTATTGGGGATTTTGGGGGATTTTTTATTTCCTTTTTTTTTTTCCCTTCTCTTCTTAAAAAAGCGATTCAGCTTCTCAGAGTCATGTGGTAATCTTTTTCTTTTCTTTTTCAGGTGTGTAACTCTCTCTATGCTGCCTGGGGCTGATAAATTCAACATGAGACAAATACTCTCTCCCTTGCGTAGAGGGTGTGGCGAAAGGGCGAAGGAGGAAAAAAGGGAAATGTTTAAAATAAAAAGCAAAATCAGTAAACAGAATAGTAAACAGAATAGTAAACAGAAAACAAAGTTGCCATGGTTTTCTTTTTCAGTGAAAAAGGGGGCTTCTTCTCTACATTCCGGGGAGATTAGCCGGGCAGCTGCTGGAACCTCGGAAACCGAGATGCATGATACTTGAGGCTGACGGGGGTACAGCCACAGGATGATATATAATATAAAAAAGTTTGTTAGGAAGCTTGTCAGATAGAAAAAGAAGATAGAAAGAAGAATATTAAAAGAGTCATCTGATATGCTATAAGTTATATTGAAACAACTAGTGCAATATAATTAATTCAAATAGTCTCAATTGAAGCCTTGTTTGCTCGATTGGATCTACAAAGCCCTGGCGGCCACCTACATACGTCAGTTTCCTTTTCCTCGGGATTCTGATTGCTCAGGTCTCAAGGAAAGCAATTCTTCCGAAAAAGGAATGTATAAAATAGTATGTTGTAGATACTATATACAACGTACTATATACTGATGGGTTACCCACTGCAACCTATACTATTTAATAATTAGGTCCATTTACTCTAATTCCGTATAAGATGATAGGTACTTCCTAGCCCAACCTGTCATATTCCGCCCTAATCTGGATCCGACAATCTGGTTGTGATGGGGAGAATCCACTACGCTAAGTCACTAGGGCAGAGTACGGATGCGACGTCAAAGATCCGGTCTAGTTTTGTTTTTGTTTTTTGTTGTGTTTACATATGGAGTAGTATAGTATTTACAAATGTATAATAACTAAATTATAGGTTGATCCACCGGGAAATGATTTGCCTACACATTAACCTTACGCACCGAACAATCTTCGGTCAGGGTACTTGATAATTAAATGGCGTATCAGACTGGAATTGTCCACTCGTAGGCCCCCAATTCACCGAAATCATGTATATGCATATATATAAGAATTGGAAAAGTGAAAAATAATAATAAGAAGGGAAAATATATTGGGCCAGAAGATTGATACTCGATCGGAGATCATCATGGGAGCCCGACACGTTGGATAAACCACCTGGTAGCACAAAACACGAGGCTGGAACTAGTTGGGATTAATGAAAGAAATGACAAATGTACATTGCTATTGCTGTTCATGCCCATTGTGTACCTGATGAGGTACTTGGGTACTTTGCCAATCGAGAATTGATATCTGCGTACAGATCAAACTAGGTTCCTGTTTCAGATATAGATATCTTAAAACATGTCAGACTGATTCTTGGCCAAACAAAAGCTTAGGCCAAGAATCAACCGAAAATCTTGCCACATGACCAACTATACAAAGTACAACCAATGTTCTTTGGGTACAAATCTCCTTGAAACACCTCCCCACCATAATGACAAAAGACACTGCGACGTTACGATGCCCGTGTAGACCCAGGTAGACAAGTAACATGACACCCCCCCAAGGGCTATACATTTCTTCTCAGCCACCTGTTCTTTTGGTCATACCCTCTTTCGACAGGCCACTCATTACTATAGAAAACAAAACCAAAAGAGAAAGAGAAAAAAACAAAAAAACAAAAACGAAATAATGAGATCAATCCCTCGAAACACCAGTGCCTCGCTTTGTACGACTCCCAACTCGGACTGCAGACCCAGCGAATCCAGTGCCTCGGAATTCCGAAATTATCGTCTCACCACGCTCATCCAGTCCGGTTGCCCGGTCAGGAGCACGGACGGCGCCGAGACGGGGATATCACACAATGGCAGATAAGGAAGAATCAGAATCTTCTACATGTAGTCTCTGGATATAACTAGCGGAAGGGATGCTTAGAGGATCAAGATGCCTGGGTAGATACGTATCACCCAAGTACATCTATCCGTAGCCGGGTACAGATACCAGCCTGGACATGAGATTCACCAGCACAGCTTTCCACCCGTTATATAGAGATGTAAGCGTCAACGGGCGAGAGTACAGTGTACAGAGTACATAAATATGTAGATGTATGCATACGGGCATCGGAAGAGGTCTGAGCAAAAGCACAATGCATGAACAGTCGGGGACAGACAAGGATTGGCATTATGGCTGGGCCTGTCCCCGAGTTGTTGGGGGTCATCCGGTCCACGAGACTGCAGGCCAGAAAGATATCGAGGGACTGGCAGTTGCCGGGGTATGCTTGCGAGATTCAGGGTTGGTCCAGATGAGAACGGGGGTTTTGGGTATGCGGCTGAAACGTCGAGGCTTTGTTTTGGTTTGCGTTAGTGTTTTTTATGTCGTAATCAACCTATAATTGGTAGGCTGATAAGGTCAAGGGTCAGACTTGATGGATGTAAAGTTGGGTCGAGAGACTTATTAGCAGTGAGGTGGTACTTTGTTGATATACTCTCGTCATTGGGGATACTTTCCAGGGTAGCATGGGTTCTGAATTTAGCGAATGCTTCTGTGGATGAGTGGCCGAAGAAAGAGTTCATGGGAAAGATAATTGCATGAGATATATGGACCGGGGAAATAAACTACACAAACACGTCGCTGATCATTGAATCATGTCATGTCGAGACCATGAGATAAAAAAGAAAGTCAAACATCGGAGAGAAACCGAATATGATAGTACCACCCAAGGCCAATCATATTTGATCTGAAGGAAAGTCAACACAAATGAAGATATATGAATATCAACATCAATAGACGGAAAAGAAAACTTACTCAGCGTCATACTGAGGCTCACGTCAGTATTTTCCACCATATCTGTGAACTCCTCAAAACTGATCTTTCCATCCTGATCCTTATCAGCCTCCATGATCGTCTTGTCGACGATCTGCTGCAGCTGGATGTCCTTGAGGTTGTTGCCGACCATCATCTTCAGCACGATGAAAAGCTCGCCGTTGGAAATGTAGCCGTCGCGATCGATATCGTAAACCTTGAATGCGAATCGCAGCTTCTCTTCTTTGTTGCCCTTCGAACTGAACGCTGACAGGCCTGTCACGAATTCTTGGAAATCGACATCACCACCACCATCTTCGTCAAAAATCGCGATCATCCTATGGGGGTGTCAGAAATGTGTTTGTGTAGTATGGTGGCCCTAGTACAGGATAAAGGGTGGGTGTGAATAGGTATGTGTGCGGGGAAAGCAACGGACCTTGTGGCGAGCGGGTTGGACGACACTTGAGGGAGGGAGAGGAACTCATCGCGGTCAATGGTACCAGAGGCATCCTGTAGATTATTAGTATACAGGGACAACCAGAGACATTGTATGCTGTGTCGCCGACCTTATCTAGCTTCATGAAACGCTTACGGAGACGGTCGACTTCATCCCTGTTGACTGGTTTTTCCGGGTCAGTCCTTATCGCCAACGCGTTCATTCCTTATGCGACCACCATAAACATACAGTTGGAAGTAGAAACAATGTTATCGAAGAGTTGAGTGGTACCGACGGAGCCACGACGTCTCCGCGCATCGTAAATAGCAGCAGCATTGGGTTCGTTGCCTTGACTCTCCATGATGGATGGTTGTAAGAGATAGGGTGACGATGGTAGTAGCAATGATCTGAAAGAATAAAGCGGGGAACAATAATATCACGAAAATATTACAGATAAAGGAAGTCAAAAATGACAGTGATAAAGTGACAGTGACGGCAGAGTTCAAATGTTATGGGGAATCTGATATCGCCCAGCCCCGCACTAACCGGATTTGGACAGGCAAGCGAGCCCCTGAGGCCGTGCACTCGGCCAAAACAGGCCACCGCCGGCTGACATTACAACGTCAACCCAACCGCCAGCCGCGAATAACCCCATCTTTAGTCGTCAATATCTCCCCCCTTCCATCGAATTTCATCTCAAAAATACGACTACGCGAAAGCGCATGAGCAGACCTTTCTTCTGATACACCTTTTACCCCGCCTCCGCCCATGGTCGTTGCTCTATCGCGCGTTCCAACACCATGACTCGGTACGGGGGCCTGGGTAGGACGCGCCCGAAAAAGCTCACCTCTAAGGCGTCCATTCCCGTTGTCCGGGAACACGAAATCGATGCCATAGACGATGACATCCAAAGTTCTCTACAACAGATTGAAACCGGTGTCGAAAAGGCCGAGGAATCGGTGAGTCCCTATTTTTCGCACTTATTTTTAGCACCCCTTTATTCCATCACGTGACACTATCGCCAAAATGACACGAGATTTTCACTCCATATAGAAATCGGCCGCGCTGACTCCTGTGCGTGTTTAGGAAATTCATCTGCAAAGAGCCATTAATGCCACTGCCCAGGGCAAAGTAAACGAGGCCCATATCCCCACTCCCGAGACCATCCTCAGTGTCCTCCAATATGACGAACTCTACCCTCCCATCTTCTCGCAACCTGCGACGTACATTCGCTTCTCCTCGACTGTCGAGGACTGTTGCGGATGTCCGTACAACATGACGGAAGAGGACGATGTGTTCCTCAAGATCCTAAACCAGAAGCGCGATCCTGCTACGGACCCGTGCACGGAGGATATCTTCGAAGAAGTCATGAATTTCTTTGAAGAGACGGCGCAATTGAAACAGCCGTATGCCTCGGTAGATAACCCGCCCGTGCTGTCGTTTGCGGAAATGGAAGACACAATGGATGCGACATTAGAAGATCCCATGAAGCCATGGGCCAAGGAAATCTATGAGCACTGGAGGTCGCGCCGCGCGAGTGTGCAAAACAACCCACTCGTAGCACAGCTCAAGGTATGCTACCTTGTATCCAATTGATCATGCCACATAGCTAACAGCACCTTTTTTTGCAGTTTGAAACCGGCCAAGACACCGACGACAGTGATCCATTTGTCTGTTTCCGTAGACGCGAGGTTCGCCAGATACGCAAGACGCGTGGTAGAGATGCGCAGAGTGCCGAGAAGCTCCGACGCCTTCGCAAAGAGCTGGAAGATGCTCGCGAGCTCGTTGCTTTGGTGCGCCAGCGCGAAATCGCTCGCAGGGAGATGCTCTCCATGGAGCGCCAACTATTCATGCAACGTGCTGAGGTCAAGGAGATGAAGCGCAAGCTGAATATCAAGGACGATGACGAAGATCTCATCAACCAAAAGGTAAGAAAGAGTTCCTGCATGGATTCCAATAATGCATATGCTGACCCTCACACAGCCCAAGAGAAGAGTGCTCGACATACCTGCCCAACGACCCAATGTTCCTCAATTGCGTATGCCCCTCAAGGCCGGCGCAGGCGCAGACGATTTGCAATCCTTGGAGGAAGTACAGGCCGAGAAGGAGAACGAGATCTTGCGCGATATCAAGCAGAATATCACCAAGCACATCAAGTGGAACGAGGGATATGTGGATTACACGCGCGCGCCACTGTCTCCATCTCCAGATCGGACATTCGATGTGGCCGCTTTCCGACCCGCATTCACGGCACAACTGCCCACCCCCCATCATCAGATGCATCTGGTGACATGGAAACCTCGTTAGACATCAAAAGCCCGCTATTCTCTCGAGAAAAGCTTGCCTCCCTAGAGCTTCACGATGAACCACACCGAATGCCATCATTCCGCCGACGAGTCGGTCGTGGTGGCCGGTTAATGATCGATCGTCGAAACATGGGAGCCCGTAAAGTCGAAATGGACCCACTGAAGGCCGATAGATTCAAGTTCGACCAAGAAGATTCCGATGAGGAGCCCGAATATGACACTGATGCGTACAGCATTCAGATCATGCAGCACCGGGCTATCACCATGGCCAAGGCTCGCGAACAGGCGGCTGTGGCTGCCCAAGCTCATGCGCAGGCGCAGGCGCAGGCAGCCCAGCAAGCACAAGCACGACGACTGCAAGATCAGAACCAAGGTCAAACGGGATCCAATCCCGTACCTGGTACTTCTGTATCTGAGGCTTGAACGACTCTCTTGTTTTTTTTAATTCTCTGTTTCACAGCATTTGGCGGGCGTTTTCCTCGCGGCTCTGCTTTCCGCATCCCTTCGTCGTTGTTCTTTTTTTCCCTCTTCTACCAACCCTTGTAGTTTTAGTACCCATGTTTTGATGATTTCCGCGGGCGGCGAAGGGTATTGGACTCATGCCCGATTTTTGTTCTTTTCTTCTCCCCCGACTCCCCTCACCTCTCACACCTCTTTTTCGACATTTTGTTTCGACTCAAGTGCCAGCCACTCATGGCTGAGCACTGCATTTGTTAGTGTACATAGTATCTTTTTCTCCCGAGTTTCGGTGGTGTTGGCTGGTGTCGGGCAGCCTTTGTATGATGGATAACCGAAGTTATGATGCAAGCGACGAATGGGAGGGCAAAGGAAAAGGCTCAAAAACATTCAGAAAATCTAACACAATTTAATAATTCGCAAAAAGCACTTTTCTTGTTCTAAAGTAGAACAACTTGATAGCGGCGTGTGGCTGAATGCGAAACGCTCAAACTCGTTGGGCCTTGAATTGTCTCGACTCACCGGCATCGCCATTGGCAGAACGCTTCAGTGAACCAGTTGCAGCGGGTTCCAACAACCCCAGGACAGCCTGGAGGACTTGCTTCTCGCCAATGCGAACCTGGAGAGCCATTCTCGCGCGACGGGACGACACATCCAAGGCATCCAATGGAGGCAATGAAGTCAAAATCTGAGTATCTTGCGCCAGTGAGGTAGCATATTTCGCCTGCTGGGTGTGCAGAGCCTTAACCAAGATGGCAGCTTGGTTCGCTTCCAAGGCCGGCTTGGGCGCCTTGCCCTTGGACTTGCGCTGCTTGAATTCTTCATCGGGGAGAGCAAGGGTGCTCAGCAGAATGACCAGCTCAGCTGGCAGGATATCTTCCAGAGAAGGGTTGGCGTTGACAGGTCTGGGAATCACGTAGCCGTCGTCAAGGATATCGAGGTCCTCGAGGAACTCAAGACGGGGCTGGGATTCGACATCGCTGTTGGAAAGACCTGCCGCTTGGCAGATACTTTCCAGTGATAGCTCAACTACGTCGTAGACGGCGTAGTTGTCCGTCACGTAGCCGTATCGGCGGAGGAGATCTGCACGGGGGATTTCTCCGTAGTCGTTCAAAATCTCCTCACCTTGGTGGATCGGTTTGATTGCCTTCATGACAAGAGAACCTTCTTCCTGATAGAGGCGAGCCTATATGAGGGGGGTTTAGAATCGATGACGATAGAGGAACAAAAGTTGGAACTTACGTTGTTTCGGTCCGCATCGGCGTTGAGAAGATCGGCAAGCGGAACCATACCTTTGGGCAATTGTTCATCCTCATCGTCGGTCATGTAGCTCTCGTCGTTGGCTTCTCCCTCATCTTCATCATCCTCGGACTTTTCAATGTCAAAGGCATAGGCCATGATGAGAGATCCCATAATGTGAGCCATCTCAATGAGGGCAGCGGCACCAGCATCGCCGTCAAAAGACGCAAGACCAGGGGCAGGCGGGAATAGAGCGGGATTTCCTCTCACAATAGGAGCAATCATCTCAATAATGGACTCCTCGGCACCTTTTCGACCAATTTTCTCAACAATAGTGCTGCCCTGCAGCTCCTGCAACTCGGTCGATGACCAGAACATCAAAGTATCGAAACGAGAAGGCAAGACCTTGAAGTATGGAGCCCATCGAGACTTATCACCCTGAAGGTATTCATACAACATGACCAGCATCAGGGACAACCACGGGCCGAGCTGCTCTAGATCTTGTCCGAGCAGGGTCTTCAGCTCTGAGGTTTGGACGGTGAGGACCATGGCTCGTGGGATCGAGAAGAGTTCTTCGCCTTCGGGGATGTTATCCTGTGCCACTATAGTCCGGGGGATATGTTAGAGACCGGTGGACACTTTTGTGAGACACTCATTTTTGGGATACTCCGTGGGCGAGATTTTGTACTTAGGGAGATATTTGAGCCACTTACCGACACCTCGTCCTGCTCCGCTTTCTCGGAGGTCTGCAAGTCTCAATTTAGGGTTGATTTGAACTCCTGAGCTGGCTTGCAGCCATGACATGAAGTTGTCAGACTGTTGTTGGAAGCCCTCGGTATCGGGGAAATGGGTAGTCGAGGACATTGTTAGAAAGGACCCTTGGGGGGTGAGGGAATGAATATTAAAGATGGATATGTAAAGGAACCATGTAGGGAAGGGAACGATTTCTTGGGAAGAAGAAAAATTGAGAAATAGAGAAGAAGTAAGAGGGGGAAGCGAAGAGAGTCGATGCAAACTAAAGATCGGGTTTAGTTCGGCCGTGGCCGTGCCGCTTTAATCCCGATAACGATAACGAAATGGACTTCAACTTTCTACTCACTTTTAATAACAATTGCTACCCTCAAAACCGCTCATCGTGATCACAATTAGCATAGAAGGCTCTGCGAACAAATTAGGCGGGACTTTAGGGGAAGAATTTATACTACTAATAAGCGGCTATATATCAATAACAGTATTATGATTGCTTAGGCTAGTATTTTAGCTTATAGGACTGGATTTAGAATTCTTCTAAAAGAGAGTACTTATACCTAACGGTTTTGTATAGATGAAGTGTTTGTTAAGTAGAGGGATAGATATTGATGTTAACCTTAGAATCAATGTTAATGTCGAAATATCTATCTATGTCCAGAAAGATCTGTCATGTGTTATGGATTAAGCGATTCAGATCTAATATCCCTTTGAGCGGATAAGTACCAAAAGTTGTCCCTTTACTATTCGATTGCCTAGACGAAAAGTCAACCAGTTATATGGGACACATATTACAGTGTCTTCTGGTTAGCTTCTCAGATGTCATTTATGGGATATTCGTTGCTATAATGTCTCATAAGATCGAAAGTATCAATCATGGAGATTGCAATTGTCACCAGGAATAAACATCCAGATAATTTGCAATCCCAACACCCATGCAGCCGTATCTAATTCTCCAATAACCAAATCCCAAGTCCTCTCAACACCCATGAAGCAACGCCTAGAGAAAAGATGCAAAACGTGGTGATCTACTCCCGTTGGCGTGCCTTGCAACATCGGTCAATGACTGGGCGATCTAGTATTAGTATTGAATAACGGTTGATTGCCAATGTCGAAGCCCGGGACAATATCCGGTAGACAAAAGAAGGCAGACAAGGGCCAATCGGTCTGACAAGAAATAGAAAAATTGCCGATAGATCTGTTCATCTGTGCGGCCTCGAATAGTTCACAAAGTGATCCAGACAATATTTGGCCAAGAAATGTATGCATGAAATTAAAAAATCACCCAATTGCCTTTGATTTCATTCGCCGGTAATATCTCCAGTTGGTTTGTACAAAATGGTCGTGACATACTAGAGGACCTAGTTAGAGAAGTAGAGGCAATTTGCCAAGAGTGAGCTTACCTTTCTCTTGTATCTCGTTGTCACACTTGTAGCCAGAACACCATTTTTGATGCTGCTGGTGGCAAGGTGGTTGAGGACAGTATGGTTCGGGTAGTTCAGAACACTGCTATCATCTTTCATGGGCGTTGTACCGTTGAGAATCGATTTGCCCAAGAAGAGAGGCAGACTGGGTGGGGTAGCAGTGTCTCCAATAACATTGGCAGCCTGAACATAGGCAGGGCTATCCTCTTCCTTATCCAAGTCGGCGAGGAATTGAGGGATCGCACCACCGAAATCACCGGGTGGTACTTCTTCCTCGATTTCCTCATTTTCTGAGGAATGGTCCTCTGTATCGCCTGTATGGTCCTGTTTGGATGAATCTGGCACGGTCTGTGGAGTATGGGTTCCCGGCTGAACAGTCGAGTGGTGATCATGAGCATCATCGACACCGATCTCAATGTAGTTGACCAGGTGGTTAGTGAAGTCGACGGCAGTGGGAAGGTTATCTGCGGCGCGCATTTCTCCATCGACAATGAATTTTAGGTGGTGCGTGCCAGGTCGAAGGTTCAAAGTAGTTGACATAACGGACGGGTCATTTTCACTACCGCATGTCAGCCGAAGTCCCCCACCAATTTAAAAGAGTATGTGACCAACCTTCTGTGCAGACGGAACTTCTTCTCCCAGTTGACAAAAGTTCCAGTAACATAGACCTTCTGAGCGGGCGCTGACCACTCAATAAGCACGGGAACGGCCTTGCCCGCTCCACTGGTGGTATATGGCTGAAGCTCATCAAGCAAATCCTCCTCATCAATACTTGTATGACCCAAAGCAGCGGTATTCTGATCCATCTGTTGATCCAAAACCTGATCCGCGGGGAGCGACTGGATATGCGAGTCCTCGGGGCCAGCGATCGGCGATCCGGGCGTGGTATTAGCATCACCAATTGGCAATGGCAAACGCGGTGGACGTTGCAAGTGTGCCGATGCGCTATAGTACGAGTTGAGGGGCGGGGCCGATGGTGCCACAGGATCGCGCCCCGGGGCCTGGCGCGAGATCGGGACCTGGACAGGGTTGGAGTGGTCGCGGGTTGGAATGCCCTTGCTTTGCGATGATTCGAAATTCCGTGGTTCATGGGTAGCCGGCTTTTCTATATTCTTGGGGGATGATTCGGGCACATTTCGCGACTGCAGGCGCTCTTGGACGGATCCCTGATATGCTGCTGGGTGTCCGGCGGCGGTCTCCTTTGTGGCGGAGGGGTCGGCCGGGGTGGCCTTGGAGCTGGAGATTGCATTGAGAGATGATCGACGAGCGACCTTTCGGTCGCTTGAGGAGCTAGAAGCGTGGACCGGCGCGTCGCCGGCCGGTCCTTTGGAAGGGTTGTTGCCCATCGAAGGCGGGGAAAGGTGTTGGGATCGAGTTTTTGCTGGGAGTCGAGTCAAGGAGTTGAACTATGTCACAGCGGTAGAATGGAGGAAGACCTTTCCGATGCCAGCTCAGAGTCAAAAATTGGCGGGAGAAATCAATTTTAAGTCGATCGATGTACTTACTTCCTTTGTAACAAGTACAAGTAGAACTGATGACGCCGCGAGCTCGATTAGGAAATAGGGCTTAGGGCTTGGAGATTGGACCGCGGCGCGTTGGATATCAAAACAGGAGTTGATGTAGATGGATGAGTTTCCAAAACAGATCATAATGGGTTGGCTTTCGCTTCTCACGGCTCCTTTGTCATTCCTTTACGGGCTTACAGTAACATCGCTGTCTTACTTGTTGGCATCTCTTCTCTTCATCGCATCACCGGTGATCTACGTCGGACGAATTGTTCTATACTTGACTTTGCTTCCGCTGCAAATTTTAATCAAATTGGAGGTGTGTGATGAGAAAGGGATTAAACCGAACCGTATACGATGTTATGCGGCGCTTGGATCTGCCATTTTGCTAACCTCAAACAGGCATTCATTTGTTTCATGACTGGAGCCGTATTGATCGGAGCTACCATAGGCATGATCCTATATTTCACCGGCAATATCATCTCGCAAGTCCTGAAAATTGAAGACTCACCTGAACAACCGTGGAATCGTGTGAAAGAAGAGTCACGAGAGTCTATAGCTTCAACACCAGAGGAACCAGAACTGCCCTTCGACTATTGGGAGATGCAGAAGAAGGACACGAAATACCTCCCCTACTCGACGATCTTAGAGGAGGAAGAGAATAGTAATGGGTCAGAATGATACGAAATCCTGTTGAACTTAGAACTTAATACATGTCTCATGATAATGAGCAAATGCCATTGACAGGCGAACACCAATTCATATTTCATTACCAAGAATCATTCTAGGAATCCGAGGCGACTTGTCCAATGTGCTTCCATTTTCATGCAGGTTAGTTATCAAAAGCTCCAAGCATGTTTGCCGTACAACACTATGACTTTTTCATATGAACCAAGATCTCCATATTGCCTAATTGGGTCATATTGGCGATCCAGCCAATCACATCAGCCATACCTACTTACATATAAATTCCTCGACACCAACTCATCACTTTTTCTTCGAATATTCCAGTCTCTATATCTTCCTCAATCTCAAATTCCGAACACCAAGCACACCCAATATGGTTCAAATCAATGCCTTCGCCGTGGAGCAAGTAAGTGTCCATAAAGGTCCCCAAACCAAACCAGGTCATTAAACTAACATCAAAAAGTGGATGGACATCTACGAAACAAGCGCAAAGCATAATCTCGCCGAGACCTGCAGTGCCTCGATCTCTCTCAACGACCTCCTAGCCCTGGCCCCCAAGAAGGACCTGATAGATTACTCGCAGAAGCAAGTCTACGGCGCAATCCGGGGCACAGAGGCGCTGAGGACTAACATCGCGAACTTATATTCACCACCCGGGTCTCAATGCAGTCCTGTTTCCGCTGAGAAAGTCCTTGTCACCAACGGCGCTATCCAGGCCAACTTCTTGGCGCTTTTTACGAACGTTGGCCCTGGTGACCATGTTATCTGTCAATATCCGACGTACCAGCAGTTGTATTCTGTGCCGGAATCTTTTGGGGCGGAGGTTAGTCTCTGGCGATCGGAGGAGGGGAATGGGTGGGGGATGGATTTGGGGAAGTTGAGGGCTTTGGTGAAGTCGAACACGAAGATGATTATTTTGAAGTATGTACATGGGCGATTTAGTGGGATGGAACATTGATAACGAATACTGACTTATGATCTAGCAATCCGCAGAATCCCACTGGGTCAGTTCTTCGACGCGAGGAATTGCAGGCAATTGTTGATATTGCACGTGAGCATAATATCATAATCCATTCCGATGAGGTGTACCGACCTCTGTTCCATTCCCTTGAATCTGGACAGGACATTCCTTCCATTCTTGAGTTCGAGTACAAGAACGTTGTTGCAACGGGCTCCATGTCCAAAGCTTTCAGCTTGGCTGGAATCCGTCTGGGTTGGATTGCCTCGTTGGATCCCGAAATCGTTGAAGGGTGTGCTTCTGCTCGGGATTATACTCTCATCTCGGTTGGACAAATCGACGATAGCATTGCAGCACATGCTCTTTCCAGGCCGTGCGTGGATAACCTCTTGCATCGCAATATTCAGTTAGCGAGGCAGAACCTCGCAGCGCTTGATGCTTTCGTCGATGAGTTCAGCTGGGCTGTGAAATGGACGAGACCAAAGGCTGGAACTACTGCATTCCTCAAATTTATCAACAAAGAAGGGAAGGCGATTGACGATGTTGCATTCTGCCAGCAACTTCAGGAGAAGACTGGAGCCATGTTAGTCCCCGGAAGCAAGTGCTTTGGTGGGGGCATTGACTTCGTCGGATATGTGAGAATGGGTTATGTACCCGAGAACGATGTGATGATCGATGGACTGAGTGCTCTGAGAGGGTTCATGCGGGATGAGTATGAGAAATTGCCTCTAGCTTGCCAAGCCACGGTACTCTAAAATAGAACCAATTCCAATCCCAGATTTGCGAAATACCTGTCCCAAGGCAGTGGAGTCTCAGATACCCAGAAGGTGCTAAGAAGCTCTCGGGCTCTTGTGAAGTTGCCCATGCCGTAACTTTGCATGTCGCCCATTCGGTTGTTGATGAACTCGCGTTCCTCGATATCGCCAGTTTCACAGCCAGCACTGAAAACGGGCCATAGTATCAAGATGTTCGCAGGTGAAGATGGCGCGATTTTTTTGACCGCGTTGACGATGTTAAAAAGGTCTGTTTTGACAATATCATGATTTTTCGGAAAATTTTGGACTCGGCGGTGGAGATGTAAAAGAGCAGAGTGCACGAAGGCCAGATGTGTACTTTGCAGCTCAAGGTGGTGTCCATTGTCAGGAACACTACAATCAACAAGAGAAAGGATCTCTAGCTCAAGCATGTGTGACTTAGCAATCACATCGTCTTGTAGTTCATATCCATTTCGGTGCTGGGTCTGCACCAGTTGGGATAGTCGTCCAAGAAGCGGGACTAGTCTAAGGGAATATCCACATATATCATCGATATGCACATCCAACTGATCAAAGGTCCTGTCCAGTAGCCCGTTTTCAGAGCCGAGAACCCCAAAATCACTTAGACCCGACAATCCAGCCAGAACTTCCATTGTTGTGAACCACTTCACCAAACAATGTATGTAAAGATCGTCAATGCGCAATTTGCCCTGGCTATCCAAAAAAGCAGTCAAAAGACGCATCACACCACCCAAATGAGTCCGCCATGTCTGCATGTTTCCATTACAGACATCGTTGGTGCAAAGAGCCATTGCGGTAGTGACAGTCTCAGCCGTCAATGTTGCATTCGTATCTGTAAGAACAGAGCGCAAGCTGGAAATGGACAAATTTGTGAATTTCAAGCAAGAAACTTTGGAAGTTGGCCCTGTATCCTTGACAAGACGGCCGTGGTGGCTACATGCCGATGCCAGTAGAGCATAGAGAAGATGTGGCGTCTCTAAAGAACTCGCGATGATTCTTTGTAAGAATAGGGGCGGGGCAGCAGGAAACAGACGGGGAGCTGTTTCTGTGCTGAAAACATGCATATAAAATCGAGATTCCGTTGATGATAGCAATGATGAAAACTTTAAGACGGGCTGGTTTAACAAGGTGTTTGAAGTCTGGGTGACACTCGGGATTATAGAGAGCCGTTTCGTCTTTCCTTCCCCTGCCTGTGTAGTTAGGTTTTGGCTGATTAGATTGATATCATACTTGCACTCTTTAGGGAAACGAGTGCAGCGTGAACATATTGGCCTTTTTAGATCGCACTAAACGACATTAGTAATGTTACGATGGCGGGCGATGCGATTTTTACCTTAACTTTTTTCCTCCGGCACTCTGTACAGCCATCTCTTCTTCTTTGGGCTGGACCATTCACTTTGCTAGCCCGATGGCTTGGCATAGCCGATCATTGAAATAGATGCAAGTGATATCGAGAAGAGAAGGGTGATGGTCTGTGGAAGAGAAGACCAGGGTCCCACAATTATCCTCATTGAGCCAAGTATCCGATCCAACCAATCATATCTCGGTGTTGGTCTACTACATCGTATATCAATTGTCTACGGAGTACTATACATATGTGTTTGTGTATTAAAGGAATCGATATTCTGTAAATGTATATCTTTAGGTCACTGGTCATGCTGGTCAAAAGTAGTACCCTTTCCTACTCACACATTGTAAAGAGAAATCAATTATATATTTCCAAGGTTACGCGAATTGTGAATAGAGCGTGGAACAAGGTTGTCCAGTATGGCTCTAATAGTCTTTCTGTATTTCAACCTTGAAGCAGTCGCCCCCAGCTTCGCATTCTGGTTGAGCCCTGGAGGCTGCTCATTGCACCAATGAGTACATCTTCATCGTCCGAGTGGAGATGCAACACCTGTTGGGTTATGTACCCGAGAACGATGTGATGATCGATGGACTGAGTGCTCTGAGAGGGTTCATGCGACCCAACTCCTTAATTCTGGTAAGTTACCAGCTGTCATTGAGTTGGAATGATTGTATAAGCCAGCTTTATCCGCGAGACATAGCCTCGTCGTGTTGCCGCAAAATGTTGACAGCATGGCATAAGTGAACCATTATCCAGCAGGATAAAGGTCAATATTTTGTGGCGGTGTTCCTATCCCCCCGAAACAGCTTGCCAGGGGCCAACGGGGTTATAGTTTCGATCTGACCAAGCCATACTGTATGGTGCCACTTTGTGCACCTCAGCGGCCGCTATGCTGAATTAAAATCAATGCCATACGAAAAAGTCGACAAGGCAAAAGACGGCGCTGCGCTTTCCGTTCATGGTGGTAAGCGAAGCCGACCGCTAGTTCAAGATACACTGAGCAAGCGGAGAAACTAGTGTAGACCCAGCTAACTGATCCATGTTTTGAGTGCAGCACCAAAGCAGCACGAAGAAGGCTCGCAGAACAATAGCAATGGAAATCGGGCCACTCAACATTTCAGGCTTGTGGCCCCTTGGGTGGGATATCTACAGCTCCGGGAATGTCAGGGAGGTACATATTTAACCACTCAGTAAGCCCATACAGATTTTATGGTAGAGGGACCTAGGTGTCTAGTTAACAAGAAAATATATTTATTCTTGTCACAATACGAAATAAGAATAGACAGTGCTAAGATAAGTTTCATCGCAAATTACCAATTTTCACCATTATAGTCAAGATAAAAGCATTGTTATAGACATTCGTCTAGCTAGTTTCCTATCTCTTTCAATGGAAACATAATCTTATAGCCTTATTTCATCCTGCGCCTGCAAGCCTACCGTTTGAAAGTGTCAGTTTCGGTCAACGATGTCATCGTAGTAATTGCTACCACAACTTCGCTTTTGATAGTCGGCTTGCCCATAGGAGACACGTTATAGAAACCCAACGATTCAGGTGCTTGCTGATGTAAGTGTCAATATCGAAAATTGGTCTGCTCTGATCTGTAAACCATATTTTAGTTGAGCATTTCTAGTTGTTTGAAATAATACTCCATAGAATTTGATGTTGCCTTTAAGACATCTCCCATTTAATGACAATGGTCGAGGTAGAAATTAGGCAAGCCATTCAAGGCTTAACCATTGTAATACATGGGTGAGGATACCCAGGTCAAACCAACAATCCAGCGTCTAAATCCATCAAACCCCATAGCTGAAGGAAGGAGGAAAAAAGGGGGATAAACCTTACACAATGCTGGTCTATAGCAGAAAGATATATACTTCGAGGTGGTGCATGTTTGCGCTAAATTCATGGCGTTGTGAATATATGAGAGGCTACTGTAGATTTTTGTCAGAATCTCTGGTAGTAGCTCGATCATTCTCATGGTCGGCGTAATAGTGGTATATCTATAGAGCCAGTCAACAGTCGGGTAAATGCTAGGTAGTCAGATTATAGCCGCAAGCCTTCCAGCGTGGTTATTTCTAGTCTGTGGCTACTCAGCCACGTAGACCCCCGCCAGCTCCAGCCCTATTCTCGCTTGAAATGAATGATTGGGTGCCAATGCATGGTCAAAAGCACCTATTTGCTAGCCAAGAGGTACTTCCCATCTTGGCTGGTTGTCATCACGACGAACTGGTTGATCTCGCCATTCAACGAGTTTCTATTTAAACATCGATATCCCGCTGCCTAATCGTTTCCATTTTATCCATTTTCAACTCTTTCCTTCTCTATATCTCTTATTTCTTCCCTGTAATTATGTCCGACTCAAAGGCATCTAAGTATACATCACTGTCTACAATACTTTCCATCTCGCTAACCCTTACTAGATCCATGTTTGCAAAGCGTCCAATCAAGGTGATTGTAGGCGGCAACGACAGTCAATATTATGTTCATCGTGGTGCGCTTGAAGCTCACCCCGCATTCGAAGAGAAATTAAAGTCTTCGACTGATAATTTTGAAAACAATGTTGATTGGTGCACCTTCGACGAGCAGACTGTTGAATGTGTTTTGAGCTTTCTGTACACCGGTGACTACCAGGTTCCCAAGAAGCCAGCTGTGGTGGCCGAGGGAATCGAAGAGGATGCAGATGCGGGGGAAGAGGCCCCAGCGGAGGAGGAAGGAGAAGAAGAGGAAGAGGAAGTAGTCGAGAACATTGAGGAGGCGGAAGAAGGAGGCGAAGAAGGTACCGCAAATCAAAGCTTGATGCCACTTCAACATCCAATGAAGCTAACGTCAAAAACCCAACTAGAACCCATCTCACCCTCATCCACCAACCCGCCATCTCCAGCTTATTCGGAGAGCGACCCGAACGACCGACCTTTGACACCCCTGGAAAATTGCTGCGGCGTTGATCTCCCGGAGTATGCCTTGGCCAAGACCCCAGAGACCGAAGCGGACGAAGAGTCAGCCCCAGAGGCCGAGGAGAGTTCTGCTGCAGAGATATATCTTCACACCAAAATCTACTCCTTCGCCTGCCAACTCGACTTTTTCAAGTTGAAATATTTCTCCCTAAACCGCCTGGCAAAGGCGCTTGTTGGCCTAGAGCAAACAAATAAAGACCTCTTCCCGTACCTGGCAGATGGCATCAGACTGATCTATACAACCACCGAGACAACCGACGCAACGGGAGCAGACGATGCAAGGAATCTGCTATCCCAGTTCGTTGCGTTCAAGTACACCACGCTTATTAGCGAAGAGTTCGACAAGCTGATTGCCGAAGGCGGGGAGTTCATGGTCGACGTCTCACGCAAGCTTGCTCGGAAGCTTGTGTCCTTGTCGAACGCATCCGAGGAGAAGATTGAGGAGCTTTTGAGAATGAATGAAGTCTTAGAGAAATCTCTTTATGAAAGTAATCAGCGTGTGGAGAAGGTGACAGCGGAAGTTCGGCGAAATCTACCTGCGCAGAAATATCAGGCTTTCACTTATGAGATTTGATAGGAACTACCCTCTCTCATATAGTGCCCATAGTGCATCTTTGCGTACTACGTCGTCTCTAGTTTAAATTTTTATTTATACTATCAATTTGTCAAGCCGTGGGTGTTCAGCAATGGCCTCAAGGAGCATCAGAGGAATACTTTCTCTATACAAGCTAGAGAACAGCAAGTAAAGAAACAAACAGTACCCAAAAATAAGTAAAAAGCCGTTCGGGCTAGCATTTCCCACTTGTCTTCGGATATTGCTGGACCATTGAGAGTTCTTGTAGTGCGGCTTTGATTGTAGATCGATCCTATTCTAATCCTGGCTCATTTCAATAATATATGGGTCACTAGGATAAATATACGAAGAAACGAGAAAGAGCTAGCAGAACCAAAGGAATAGACAGTAAATTTAAAAAAAAGCCAATACATTTTCTGTTGATCACCATATGCATTATCAACGTATTCAATAGTTATCAAAAAGCCAACCATTTTGTACAGTGATCCCGCACAGTTAGGTACTAAAGCAAGGAACAAAAATGCACATATTGAAGCTATCAATGACGACCTCCATGTCCCTGAATATAGAAGCACTAATACCACCCAATAATAACAACCCGTCAACAAGAATCAGATAGAACCACCAGCATATAGCATATGACACATAGTAAAATATAGAAAGAAAATACAGAAGAACCACCCAGACCAACCCGTGCAGCAAAGAAACCGGACACCCATGCAGGCATGGCGAGCATATAAAAAGAAGAGCGGCCTTAGCAGCAAATCAGATAAAAAATATAAAATAGAATAGAATAGTAATTGAGAATAACCGTTTTGGGTTGTCGAGCAGCATCACGTCGTAAGAATAAAACAACGCCACCAGCCCAGTGTGACAGAGCAAACAGAACAGAGCAAAATATCAGAGTGCCGACCGAGAGAAAGGAAATAAGTCAAAATTCCACACAGCAATAGGGGGTAACAAGCAAAATCCAATAATAGCCACCCAGTAACAATAAAGCAAGAGACCATATCCATATAAACAGAACAAAACAGTACAGTCCGGAAAGTGTCCTCCCAAAAAAAAGAAAGAAAAAAAAGAAAGAAAAAAAAGGCGTAAGGGTCTATCTCCACAAACGCAACAAGGATAAAGATAGCGACCGACTCCATAAAAAAGACACCAGATCAAATCGTTGATTAACGATTAGATCTGCGGCTGGGCCATCTGCGGCTGCGAGGCAGCAGTCGTGGTCCATGTGGACATAGGCTGGGTCGCAGCGTAAGGCGCAGGAACATAGTATTGCGAGCGATCAGGCGCGGCGTAGTACGGGTGAATGGGGTTCGACTCGCGACGGGGAACACTGGGATCAATCCCGGGCATGTTTCGATCGAGAGCATGTTGGGAGTCGAGTTGGCCGGGCATGCTGAAGCTGCCGCGGGAGTAATTGCCCGGTGTGGAGGGGTCCATCGGCGAAGTCGCGTCTGTAGCCTGGGAGCGGGAGGAGATGGATGAGTTTCTGTAAGCGGATGGGCTGTGGTCTGAGGTTGAGCGGTTGCGATCGCTTAGCGAGGACGGGATCGTATTGAGTCCGATTGAGGAGGACATGCTGTGCGCGCTCATCGAGTCCATGCTTCCTCCGTAGGGGCCTGCGCGGAACGCGTGGTAGTCTTCCTGCTTTATGGGGTTTCCCGGGGCTGGAAGGTACGGGTTTGGTGTGGGGTTTGCCATCGGGGCGCCCATTGAATAGCCGTGGATTGGGCCTGGTTGGGGCGCGTGAGTGGTGGTGTAGGGGCTTTGAGGCATGTAGAACTCGTTTGAGGGGGATTGCATGTGGTAAGATGGAGGAGCCATGATTGGTTGCTGACGATAACCGTATATAGCCGCGTGAGAGGGCTCTTGGCTTTCGACGTTCTCTAACTCGTCGATGGGAGATCGGAAGCTTTGCTTTTGAGTGAGTTCTGTGCGGGGACGGAGGAAGCGTAGGGATTCCACCATTGAGGGTGGGTTGAGAGACCCGCGGATCACATCCTCGACGCTGTAGTATGAGACCAAATGGTGGGTCACGCCGGAGACAGTCACGCTCATTGTTTTCTTGACCAAGCCGGAGTCTTTGAACCCATATGAATCAACCAGGGATCCCACCAAGGCGCGTTCGAGCTCGGACTGCGGACGCTCAGGAAAGGCTTGACTAGGAGATGTGGGTGAGTAGCTTTGACTATCGTGTCGTTGATAAGGCTCCCCAGGTCGGCCGGCTGGCATGGGTCGTCGGGTTGCCTTCTTCATGGCGCGCTTCTTCTCTCCGGGAGGGAATGGCTTGTCCAACTCGCGGTAGACGAGGAAGTTGCCCAGAATGCGACTAGGGCTCCAGGTGACTCCATCGGTCCATCTTTTGATGCCAGATGAGTTCTCCTCGTAGATGAAAACACTACCACTGCGCACTAGATGACTCCGTTCACGGTCGTGAGGTCGACGGGGGACGTGATGTAGGACACCGGTCAGACATGCCTCGAAGAGTAATAGAGCATCTTGAGTCGTTGCGACATAGCCAGTGAAAGTGGGCTCCAACACGGCAGTCCCGTTCACCATGATGAGAATGTGTAAAGAAGAATGGATATACCTCCCCGTGATTATATCCAAAAAAGAATTAAGCTAAAGACGATCGACCAGGGTATGGAGAAGGGGGAGGTTTTGAGTTGGGACCCCTCAGTTGGAGAATTCCCAGGGATCGACTGGAAAGCACGGGCCTTTGGAAGTCAGCGAGTCAACAGGTTGCACCGATTCGATCGAAGGGGATCTGCTAATGGCCGTTCCACGGTTTGAGTTGCGGCAATTCCCAAGCTTTTGTTTGATCCACTGGACCCTAGAGAGTTGTATACGTATATCCACTATACATATGCCCAGGTGTTAGAATAGAGAGAAAATACCTAGGGTAGGGTATGTGAATATGGACAGGCAATGATTTCTCTCATGGGTCAACAATATTGGGATACTATAAAATAGTATTATAGGTAGGTACATATGTGAATCAATGGAAATTTGGAAAATTTGGTAGAATATGGCAGTATTGGAATAACTTATCTTTTTTTTTATATATATATTATTCATATCTTGCTAACTAGTAACTATATCTAATTTATTTAATTTGAAGATCGTATGGTATGGTCACCGGGAGTCAAATGGCTTTAATGTTAATGTTTAAAAAAAAAATGAAATTATATTCGGAGGGTACACTGCGGGGAGTACTTAGGTGGTAATAGACAAAATGCTGAGGCCTGGAGTATCATTGAAGGGGGGTAGATATGACATGCGATATTATGTTCCTTTTCTTTTATTTTTTAATTAAAAAAAAAAGAAGAAAATTAGATATCATTTTATTTTAATAGATTATGCTTCTTTTTTACTATATTCTACACTACTAATTTATTCAATTTTATTGAATTATTTCATTACCGTTTTCTGCATTTGGTCTAGTCGAACCAAAAACCAAACAAAATGAACAAAAAAAAAGACAGAAAAAAGGAGACACGGTGGAATTCGGGGGAGCGGAGAAATACGGAGAATGATTTCACCAAACCCTCCGCGAAAAGCAGGTACCGTTTCATCTTCCTTTTAACATTTATATACCCTTTTTTTTTATACTCAACATCCGCAATATAATCTGTGTACCTAGAAATCTAATTATATAATAACTATAACTATAACCATAACTATAACTATGAGCTAAAAGTTACCAGCATACAACAAGAATTACGAAATAAAGATAAAATGGAATCATCATCGAAACCCCGTGCCATGGATGATCCCGGTGGATCCGTGATTAGGATCGGAGGGTCTTTGACTCCGTGACATCTACATACCTATCTCCAATATTAGAAGGCATGAACATCTCACTGTAGACCTAAGTAGTTTCTGACACAAGACTACGGACGATATACCAAAGTCTACTTTTCTGCAGGCCGCTTCTGACTCAGCACGCACCTGCCACATTCGTTGGAAAAAGATATAATGTTAGTGTACTCTGTATCTACATAGATAAATATATAATGTACTAAAAATGTAAGAAAAGTAGATCCTTGTCCAAGTCCTCATTACCGGAACCGTGGCGGCTAACGCAGCAGGCCAGCAAGTCACAGGTATTTGTGATTGGTTCGTTGACCGGGCGTTACCAAATCCACTTTCCCGCCCATGGAATTGGATTCTTCTGAACCGTTTCATTCGAATTGCTTCGTCATCTATTTTGAACTACCCAGGTTGTCCAGGTCACATGTATACGTTCTTAGGTACTTCTTAGGCTCTTATACTGTATATTTCAGCACACCTATAGATATTGTTAGCTATACACTATAGAGAAGTGATTCTCCCAAGAGCGGGGAGTGGACGGTGCGCAAATACCGAACTATTGAAAACTCGCCTCCACTTTCAACTCCAGATGGGTCATGATCATCCAACGGCAGTCAAGAATAAGATCTTGGAAGCAAAGAGACAAGAGAGAGCGAGCCAGTCAAACGCGGGCCAAAACATTCATTATCATATAATTATCACATCATTTATCTTTATTCACCTCTTTATTCTCCTCTTTATTCTCCGGGTACCGGTGATTTACTGATGGTGCTTTGGTGGATTTCGTACCAAAGGAGAGGAGCACCACGAGTCTCGAGGACTGAGCGCAAGTAGATCTCCGCCTTGCCCCGCCATAACAAGTACAAAGACGTAAGCAGCGTGCCTGAAAAGAAACATAACCCTATCTCCTCAAATCCCAATCAGCACTCAAGGGTGTGCAGAACCGGTCGGAGAACACCCACGCGTCTCGGATTAAGCCGTTCGAAGTAAAAACAAAGAATAAAAAGTCGAAGGTAAAAATAGGTAAACCGTAATCTCAAAAGGGTGTAAGGTTAGGCTTCCGCTGAGAGAGTTTCGGTAACTTCTCTCTACGTTCACTTTTCACTTTACCTCCGGAGCAAAGCCAGTCAGCCAGTTAGATTTCAGGGCGCGGTCTCTGTCGAAACTAAGGAGGGGAAGAGGGTCCCGTACCTCTCCAATTTCCCAACCACATAACTTGCAGCGCGGTAAGTGCTGGAATGGGACGAGGCTAGGACTTACTATGGGTCACTTATTGGATGGAATCGGATGGACAGAAACTTTCACGGGAGATCCTCAGCAGATCTAGGCCACACTGCCACGGTCTGAGCCTGACTTTCAATGTACTCGTTGACATGTGGCCTGGTATGTATGCACCCCAGTCGAGCTAGGGGCTCAGGATTCGGGATCGGCGGTTTTGTAGTTTGAGATAGAAGAATTGGAATGATATTACAACGTGTTTTTTGGGCATTTATTTATTTGTCTTGTTTTTATTTTTGTTTGTTCTATTCCTATTTACGCAGGTGCTATGGTAGGGCTGTTTGATAATCAGTCGATTACAGTTGGTCGGAGGACTGTCCTCCGTTGAAGATGAGATGAGATTGGCAGGTCCCAGAGAGCTGGGTGAGCAGGAGACGATCGCGTTGGCGCACGTTTGTCGAAACTCAATTGACGCGAGACAGATGTCAGGATAGAATTCAGCGAGGTACAGAACACAATGTAGACGACTAGTGTAGTTGGCTACAACTAGGATGTTTATATTAATACAGTGAAGTATGCGCATATGATGTATCATTATTGTTATAATCGCCGAGGACCGAAAGAACATACGTACATTATATTTTGTAAATGATTCTGTACTATACAATATGGTAGAAATAATATAGAAAAATAAAGTCAATAATCAATACCTAAGATAGATGAGCACACCGGACCCAGAACGGGACCCAAAATATAGTACAGTACCATAAAGCAATCAACCAAACATTAGACGGGAACGGTAGATCAAAAGTCCAGACCGGTTCTGAGATCATAGACGTTCTGCACAGCCCATCACAAGCCAAGGATTCTCTAAGCGCGCCTCGAGCGGGGAGTACACGACTAGACTCCGCCCGATTACGAGCCAACAATTATCATATTATTTAGCTATCCCTGGTTAGTTTGAGCCAAGATATGAACCAAGGGCAAGCACTAATAAAGTACGGGTTGCTAGTAGAAAGTCAAGAGGAAGAGTTAATTCCAATCTAATAATCTAATTACCCCACAAATACCTCAGCAAATCACCGACTCCATACCCTCCGAACGAGAACTAGCCAGAGGTACATACTGTGGCTTGCCTTTGGGCTTCGTACAAGAGCAAAAGTGGTCATCCTATCAGCATCTTGCGACGATCCAATGTATTTCCCTCTTGTCAATTGATAATTAGAAGATCAATATCTTAGAAGATGTGCATTCCCGTCGATCTCAGCTGTTTCTTTGCTATTCGCTCAAACTAAGGAGTCCACATCCACGGACGGTGCACCCGTATACTAGACACTCGGGCCGTGTATCCGTGCGTGAGACAGATGATACAGTATATTCTATAAACGTTGCAAGTGGTCTGTTCTAGATATGGAGACAAGATATTTTAACTCCTGAACGGGTAGGTGAATAAGCAACTGTCAAGTTAAGTTTTTTCTGGCATTCAAAAGTGAAGAAAATACCCCCCCTGGAGTATTATACTATTCAAAGTCTTGGGGGAGGAGGAACAAAACAGAACAAACTACTCCGTACATGATATCCTTATGACGATGCAACCAATCAAAAAACTAAGAAATTCAGTCAGAAAAGTGATCCAAATAATTAGCATCAGGAACCAAGGAACACTCGTCTAGTTCGGGTCTAGTTCGGAGTTAGACTCGGGCCCGATACGAAGATCGCCTCCAAGGAGGGCACAGAATGGTCTGCACGAACCTGAAATAGGCAAAGAGGAAAAGAGGAAAAGAACAATATATTTATTTGTTTTACACGAATATTGTAAAAAAAACAAAAAAACAAAACAAAAACAAAATTGAATTAATCTAAAATAGTTGTGGCGTTCACACTATCCTGTTGGAAGAAACTAAGAAATCCCGCAACCCTCAAGGGTCTGGATGATCATCATCAAGGAACTTGTAGAAGATCCGGTTTAGACCGATTTTATTCGGGAATTTGTTGGCTTGTTCTCGGACGTTCGGAGCAACTGCTAAGGTTTATGTTGATATCTATGGCATTTGTTGTTTGGATCAATCTCTTCAGCTAGGTATGGCATGTATACTACGGAGGACGTATATAACGTACCGCTTTAAGCGAGTGTATAGGCAGCAATACAACGTACTATGAAAGAATAACATTATAACATGATATAAATACAACAATACAGTAAAGTGTCACAAGTCCCTACATACTAGACTCGCACAGAGATCATGGAGGAAGAACAATGAATGTATCACCTCCCTAATTCGTCCACAACCCCGAAGACTGTTTTTTTGGACCTGGCTAACCTACATAGTCATAGTCGTCTGGCCCTGACTGTGAGCCCCTCGACTCCGTACACAACCCACCTAATTGGTCTACTTCTTTTGATTGGTTTGGACAGACAGTACCTGATAAATTGACCTATCTTGTAAGTAAGTAATGAAAAACATAGCTTAATTATGAGTTTCACATTGCCACAACTGTGGCCATACTACAATATGATGGAGGACTCTCCTGTCAGCCTCAAGAGGTTGGGGATGTAAGATCATGATCATCACGATCGTCTAATTATTCCGTTCTGGGTAGTAGCGGCAGTGCTTTTTCCGATCGCGCTTGTTTGTGCATCAACAATGGCCTAGTTCATTGTGCTATATTTCAGCAGTCAACATCCGAGAGGCGAATAATTCAAGACAAGCCCGCCTTCGGGTCATTTCATTGTTTTATGCTTCGCGGCGCTCAATGTAGTAGTCTAACTAATGTTCATAACTCCCAAGACCTCGCCTTCTCGTATACTAATGAGCCTCGTGTCAAATCACCCAATCGGGTAGAAAGGAACAAAGAAAGACCTCCGCATGACGACGTCCTGTCATAATTTCCAGTAATGGCTATTGTTGGCGCGTCACACGAAAAAACAAGGCGATACTCCCCACGCCCATGTGGTCAGAAGGCCCCCATTGCTGACAGGGATCAGCGAACCACTTGTGCAGAGGAAAGTACCAACGCTGTGGTCGGCTCGTGTGTGGATGTGTGACTTGTCTCCTGAAGGGAAAATAGACACCAACGTTGACTTTATGCTGTACTACATGTAATATGCATGAATCCGTCGAGGCAAGGTACTACAGAACTTGGTGAAATCCACGTTGTAGTTAGTAAGTTGAACAATGTACAATATTGTACGGAGTACTCCGTAGGTAAAAGAATCACGTAGTGCTGCACGGCTATGGTAAAATCGGTGTTATCTCCGAATTAGCACAAAATAATGTAGATCATCTATCATTGAACTGATTTCCTTAATCTTGGATTGACCCAAAAAAAGGGATGCCGAAACGAACTACAATATATGCACTACCTTGCGGTGTACACCGGCTAGTCTTAACAAGTCGGGGCATGGTAACTGCGACATTGCGGCTTTGGTTGCCTCCTACCACCTCATGCAGCAATAGGATGGCCCATTGCTCGATATGTGGAGATCACGACAAGGATTATGCGCGTCTATAGAACTAGCCAATATTGATATGATACACGCCAACACACCATCTGCCATCGACATCGTGGCTCTCTCTATTGGCTTGAATGGTATAAGATTGAATTCTTTTTATTTCCGTCCATCCGAGCCCCTTGTATGAAAAATGTATTCTAGAAGTCGAATCCTGGCATCTGCAGTCCATGCCTGCCAAGTGCATTCTTCAGGCAAGCAGGACGAACCGACTTCCTGGCATCTGCGAACTAATTTCCTGATGATCATGTACCAGCCAGGTCATTGGCTGATCACGCGATGTCCTCTTGATTCATCCTGCATCGCAGAGATCCATCTTACAACGTACATATCTGGGTAGCTGGGACGATGCATGCACTGCCAACCTTGGTATCTGTCAGGCGCTGCACTATCCGTACTAGTAGATACCTAACTAGCAGATCTGTCACTATATAACTAGCTAAACCTATAATGTATGGTATATGCACGTCCAGTCGAGACCTACAAGCGCGCTAGAAAGCAAGGACTCAACCCTTACGCAGGCGCCTAAACAAGTTCCAGAAACCCCCTCAATACGTGCCAGCTGAATGATGTACAGTGTTTGCCAAAAGCGATACATCAAAGGATCTACCAGATCCATTGGCCATTTAGCCACGCCGATCCGTATGTGATTTGATATACATCACATACCCTCCCGAAGGGAACCCAATAGCAAGGCGGCGCACGAGAATTCCAACGTTTCTTGGAAAAAAGTGAGATCAGATCACCATCAACGGCTTATGCACGCCACGCTGGATTATTGTGGTTGACGGGCTCATGGTATGTATGTGGCCAGATTGGGATTCGTTCGGGGTTGTTCGTTCGAATCATTAGATCCCGACTCGGAGAACGAATGAATCACCAGATCTGATGGGGTGTGTGCGTAGAGCTAGCCATAACCATTGGATTGCATAGGCTAGACTGTCCTAATATTGAAACTCCCGCCAATGAGATGGTAAAAGGTAGGTTTTGGTGGGTTGTCGATCGCACATCCCTATCTCTGTGTTATCTCAACGTGGCAATTGGTATTATTCCCAGAAGCTAGAACATCCCTGTCTTGACAAGAGATCGGCGATGCCCCCCTTGCGTGGGTTCCAGGTTGGCGGTGTTGTCGGGCTTGGGGCTCGAGATACGTGGTTGGATGATGTCTTTTATTGCTTTTTCTCCTCGCGTGGTTTTGTTCTGGGGAAAGCGGGCTGTGTTCGTCGGCTTACTTGTCTTGTTGTGGACAAGTGGATGGATGTTTGATAAAGGGGTTTGGCTCTTATAGTGTTCGGGTGAGGTTCTCTCTCGGTCTGCGTGGTTGGCAGAAGCTTAAGTTGGAATGTGAAACTGGAAGTGTTTGCCTGATTTGAGGACGTAATTTGGTCGCCGGCATCAAGTGAACAGTGAAATTTATCATCGTGATCTGAAATGCACACATTTATGACACAAAGATGCACATCAGAGTAGTCTACATGTTTATATTGAATATTGTACAGTAAATGAATCCCACGCCGCTTCCGCTATGCCAATATATTACAAAGTCACATCAATCATGCCTCAAATCAAGGCGAAGAGTGGAGGAGCACATTGGCAACCTCTTCTTCACCGTTAGTCTTCCTGGGAAACCCACGGCCCTTCCGTATATACATCAACAGTGCTAGAGCACCAGTAGGAGTCACACCCTCAATGCGCTTCGCCATGCCAATACTGACAGGTCGCACGCGCTGAAGAGCTTGTTTTTCCTCATTGCTGATACCAGTGACCTTATTGTAATCCACATCCGCAGGCAAGAGCTCGTGCTCATCCCGCAGGAATCGCTCAGCCATCTTCTCCTGACGCTTTAGGTAAGGCGCATAGCGACCTTCGATAGCGACGCGGGTGCGGATATCAGGTGAAAATGAGTGGGGCGTGTATGCTGTGCCCGTAGCTGACTCAATAGTAGGAATAAGGCTGTTGATATCGACGCCATCCAGACAGAGGAGATCCAGCGCAGATCGGATGGAGGTATCGGAGCGCACCTTGAAGCCCTTGCGAGACCAAGCCGAGGACGAGAGCCTGGTATTTCCGAGAAGGGTCTGTAGCTGTTGAATTTGACCCTCGGTGTCGGAGAACGCGCGCCAGCGCTTGTCCGAGACGACGCCGGCATCGCGGGCCATACGTGTGAGGCGTAGGTCTGCGTTGTCGGAGCGCGTTGAGATCCGGTATTCGCTTCGTGTTGTGAACATACGGTAGGGCTCTGATACGCCCTTGGTGATGAGGTCGTCGATCATAATTCCGATAAAGCCATCAGACCGGGTCAGGGTTAGAGGTGCTCGGTCTTGAGACTCGAGACCGGCGTTCATGCCTGCGATGATACCTTGTCCGGCTGCTTCTTCGTAACCGGTTGTGCCATTAATTTGACCCGCAAGGTAAAGACCGTTGATCAATTTTGTTTCTAGTGTTGGTCGGAGGTTGCGAGGGTCAATGTAGTCATATTCCACACCATAGCCTGGCTGGAGCATGGTCACATTCTCGAGACCACGGATTACTCGTAGCATAGCGTATTGCGCATCTGCGGGGACGGTCATCGAGATGCCGTTCGGGTAGATGACATCGTTCGGCGCGAAACCTTCTGGCTCAAGCCAGATCTGGTGCTGGTTCTTGTCCTTGAATCGAATGATCTTGGACTCCAAAGAGGGGCAGTATCGCGGTCCACGTACAGTCTCCCGAATATGGATGGATTTATCGAGGTTAGCGCGGATAATGTCGTGAGCAGCGTCATTGGTGTGAGTCATCCAGCAGGTAAGTTGGCCTTCGTCGCCCACTTCAACGGTATCATTCAGGTAGGAGAATGGAAGAGGTGGCGAGTCACCCTTTTGCACTTCCAGAGCAGAGAAATCAATAGTTTTCCCATCCAATCGAGGGGGTGTACCGGTCTTCAAGCGTCCAAGTTGAAAGCCGGCTTCGCGGAGGGACTTGCTGAGCCCGTACGTGGGAGCTTCACCCATACGCCCTGAAGGGAAGACATCCATGCCAATGTGAATCTCACCACCCAGGAACGTGCCCGTCGTGATAACCACCCGACCTGTAGGAATGACCTCTCCAGACTCCAAACGCACGCCAGCAATTTTTCCTTGAGCACCAGGGGTGTTCTCAATTCCTTCCTTGGAAAGCACAATATCCGCCACTTTACCTTGAACAATGCTCAGGTTCTCCGTGCTGGTCAACTCCTCAGACATATACCGCTTGTACAGATCGCGATCAATTTGCGCACGCGGTCCCCAAACAGCAGGACCTTTAGAGCGGTTCAACATCCGAAACATGATTCCTGCCTTATCAATGATGCGACCAGCGACACCATCCATTGCATCGATCTCGCGAATCATTGTGCCCTTTCCAATACCACCGAGACTCGGATTGCACGAACAAACACCGATATTATCCAAGGAGGGTGTTACTAGTGCAGTTCGCGCGCCAGACCGAGCAGCAGCAGCACATGCCTCAGAGCCAGCATGTCCTCCACCAATAACAACAACATCGTAGGGTCTGTAGATACAGGAATCAGCACAAGCCTCAAAAAGATCAGGGGAAAAACATACCGCGTGTTATCGGCAACAGTCGCAAATCCACGAGCCCGACCCGTAAAAGGGCGAAGCGCGCAGCTCTGATGCATCAAAGCCACCGACCGTGCTCGAAAAGCCATGGCGAAACGCAATGCAAAGGTTCAAGCAAATCAGGTACAAATCTCGGAGATCGAATCAAATCGATAAGGAAAATTGTCTTTTATCCACGTGATTTATATCCGCTATCCCCGAAGGCGGTGTCGCCAACTCTGACATAATCTTGCGCCATCCGCCAATTGCGGGGCTGCTGATGCTCAGCGACGAGCTTTGGGTGTCTTATTGGATACTCAGTTCATTTTCTTCTGATTCACACTTGGTCTTACTCTCAACTTCCTCCGATCCCACTCTGATATACCACGCACAAAATGAAGGCTTACTGGTACGATAACCTCCCGGTATGTATGCACCAATTGAAAACCCCTCCAACGACTAGGTTTTGCCAACAACACATGCTGATTCCACTCCTGTCATAGGGCGACCAGCGCGAGCCCCATGACTCCGGCCGCGCCGTCTCGCAAGAGAAACTTGCTTCACTAGGCGTGTTCTACGAGCACTGCCCGACGATCGAGGCTGTGGATGCCATTGCAGTGCAGCGCGGGTACCGCAACCGCGACCAGGTGTGCGTCTCGCCGGCCACTATGGGAGATATCTACGAGGAGAAGGTGAAGTCATTCTTCACGGAGCATCTGCATGAAGACGAGGAGATCCGGTATATCCTCGACGGCGAGGGATATTTCGATGTCCGGGGACAGGAGGACGAGTGGATTCGTATCTCCCTCGTTAAGGATGATATGATTATTTTGCCTGCTGGAATCTATCACCGTTTCACTACGAATTCCCAGAACGTAAGTCGATTGAAATTTTGTGCGGGGAGGCTGTGTTGGAGACCCGTGCTAACTGTTTTATAGTACGTTAAGGCTATGCGTCTCTTCCAGGATGAGCCTAAGTGGACTCCGCTGAACCGTGGCGCGGATGTTGATACCAACCCGCACCGGAAGACCTACTTGGAGAACGTTGTTAACCCTACTGCGGCTGTTTAAGACGGCTCTGATATCTGAGATGCGTTACGACCGAAAACTTTGCACATACTTCCACTGATGAAACTGAACTTCTGGACTTTGTCTTATTATAATCTCTTTGTATATTGCATGTTACTGTACATTGGGTAGTAAAGCCCCAGTAAACCGGAGAGACCATATTCCTATTTATGTAAGAGTCTTGAATATGTCAAGTGATATCCGGGATCCCGGGTGTGCCAACTGGCGTCCCGGCGGGCATAGCGCCAGGCATGTGGAAGTGATCGCTCGTAGCACCGGTACTTTCCTGCCTGGACATACTCGAGCTCCGCAAACCACCCATATCGACATTGAAGCTGCTTGTACGCGATCCAGCACCAAGTCCTAATCGGCCATCCTGACCGCCGCGGAACCGCAGGCCCTCGGGTTCCCTGCCATGGCCGAGGTCGTCGAAACGGGGCGGCCCAGACGCTTCAGTAGAGCCTGCGCTACGTGGCGGAGCCGTAGACCCAGCGTCTGAATCCTCGCCTGTTCGCACGCCTGTCCGGCCCATGCGCGGCCACAGGTCTGGAAGCCCGACGACCTGGACACGGGGCTCGACGACACGCTCCTCAAACCAAGCATGGACTCGCGCTTCGACTAGCTGTGCAATCTTAGGTACGTCCTGTAATCTACTGCGGGATCCAATAAGCGAGCGGACTGAAAGGTCGAGGCGGTAGTCTGGGAGGAAGGAGAATGCGACATTGCTTTTAGGACTGCTTTTTGGTGGAAGTTGGTCGTGTGATGTTGAATGCTCTGCAGGTCCATTGGGTCTATTTCCCGTGTTGCGCGACGGTTCTGATGGTGGGGGTGCCGGTGAGCCTGCCGGCGTTTGTAGTGACTCTGGGGGTTCTGTCGATGCTGGGATCAAGGATATGCAGAGTGTCCCGGAAAACCTCACGACTGAGACTGATAGCGCTACTGGTAGAATCGCAGAGCGTGGCTTGGGGTAGTTTAGTACCATTGATGTCTCCACGGCGATGGAGAGGTTATCGTCGCTGAGGTCGACGTCCAGCAACGCCTGTAGTCGCCCGCCGTCAGACATAGGGTCATCAACAGCGATGATACGGCAATTGCTGAAGATCGGGAATTCTTCTCCAAGTGAGATATCCGTGACATTAATCTTGTCTATGAAAGACGGTTTCTTTTCTGGGTTGTTCATCGCTGCAGTCAGGGAGCTGAGGATGGAAGAGGTCGGTGAGTCCTTGAGGGAGTAGGCTGTTTGTCTGTATTGAGCAATTGTCTGTGCAATGAGCACATTGAACCAGTCCAGTGACTCGGGCTGGTGAGAAGAATGGTGCATGCGGTGTCGGCCATGTTTGCTGGTGGGGTTTGTAGGAATAGCGCTGTAATATGTTTTACGGAGAATAGAGCGTGTATTCGTAGAGGTGGCGGGCACAGGACGAAGGACGTTGGATGTGGAGGGCTTTTCTCGTAATGACTTTTGGCCGTCTTGAGGTGGGTTGTATACGGAGCTGTAGCGGCGGTGGGTTGTGCGATTGGACATGCCCCGAGATGGAGGTGGTGGCGCTTCGCCGAAGATGAAGAATTTGATAAAGGCGCCAATTAAAAGGACCACAGAAAGCTGACCGAGAAGGAATCCCTGTGTAAAGGACAGGCTGAATGGGTGTTAGCGCTATCATATATAGAGATCACTTCATCGGGAGATAGAGAGGGCATACGAGGACTGAGGCGCAAGTTGCGCGGGCTCATCTAAAAACTGATCAGGATGTATATTTCCAAGCTTCAAGTTAGGTTACTCACGATGTGAGAGCTCCATAGTCAGGGGCTGTCGACTATCTTTGTTTCACAATGCCATCCCCGGTTGGAGAGTGAAGTTCAAACTTTCGGGGATGTGTGGCTTTGGCCGAACTGCTTATCTCTTATCGTCGGATCTGCCATCGATAACCGCCTATATCTATCTGATTCGAGATCAGCGCACCAGCCACTTTTACATACAACAGATGGCATATGGGCATACGGGCATACATACGCAGTTAACAAAAAAGAGATATGTCCGACATTCCAATTAATCGAAGGAAACTACTGATTTGATGTTGAAGCATAACTGGGGTCCTTCCGTAGCTAGATTGACATGCGGTCCGCAAGCTTGTGGGTCTCATGTCTAAAGCTAATTAGATGGCATGGACTTCAAGGAACTTAGGCAGGGAACTCTAAGCATCTGCATAGGATTTGTTGCCACACTTGTGTAGGAACAAAAGCCCGTTTTTATATAAACTTGGAGCCTAAAATCACTCCCTAATTCCTATGCAGTATTAATCACTAGGGATACTTTCATAGATTGAAATGAACATATGCAGACATTCTGCGCGTTGAGCAAAATTTCATATAATATCAAGCATTCTGCATGGTTGGGCTTTAGATCAATACCCTTATAACATACCCTTTCCCCAAGATTCTATGAGAGCATCAAAAGAAGGCGGGCAAGTAAAAATTAACTACACGATTATGCAGATTGAGTGAGTTTTATATGAGATTCAGCTCAGGAAAGTTACAAGTGACCCCAAGCCAAAGCTCAACTGATCAAGAAAATAATAAGAGAAGCACACAGTTATACCATCTCAAAACTTCCTGCAAATGAAGAGCGTTCCTGACCCTTTTTATCCATGCCTTCCATCACATTCAATTCTTGGAGCCGAGGCTCTGCTTGGGAGCCAGGCTTTTGGCCGAACCGTCTCTTGGCTGGTTGATTGAATGCTGACCTACGTGAAATTTCGGCCGAGAGATTGATTGAAGAGCTGGCAGGCGTCCCGGCATCAGGGTCTCGTTTTGAACCAAAGAAGAATCTCTTCAGCTTGCTTGCGTTGAAAGCGATGAGTGCGAAAAGTCCAGAGACCGCAATGGAAGCACCAACTTCATCAAGAAAAGAAAGACAATCAGAGTTTGCAAGATATTCATAGAGCAAAAAAAAACACTCACATATTATTGGAAAGATTAAACGTCCTTGAAACTTGACGTCGCCACCTACATGCGGGAAACTGGATATATTCAACGCGAGCAAGCTGGTCAAGAAGGAGGCCGGAAGCTTCCACGACATTAGTTCAAATCCAGCAAATCAAATATTCACCAAACAAACGAGACTTACGAAGAGAATGGTCACCACTGTGAATACCATGATTGTGTCACCCTGCACTGCAGTATCATCACTCTGCTTGCGTGTGTACTTGGCCTCGACAATGTTAGCCTGTTTCTGTTTGAGATCAAGTAGCGCATTGATGGCCTGTTGTACGAAATCGGCCTCCTTGATCATCTCCTCAATCTCCCCTTTAATATCAGATGGAATTTCATGGGTAAAACCAGAATCTGGCTTATGTTCGTCCTTCCAGACCTGCTTCCATACATCTTCTTGGTCTTCAGCAAGATTTTTCAGCATGTTGAGTTCATCGGAAATGTCTTTGACCTCTCGGAGAAGTTCGGTCTCCTCGGAGATATTATCATAAGGATTCTTGGTGATCATCCTTCTTTCAAATTCATCTTCGAATCTTTCATCTTCGGAGTGGTTTGCAACATCTGTGTATTCACCCTGAGTGTTGTCATGCCGGTCAAAATCTCTCGACCTCCGAGCTCTTCTTGCCTTGCCTTCTGATGCTGGATTGCCTTTTTTGAGGGATCTAGCAAACTCATCAAACAGGCGTGCTTCATCTTCTCGCTTGGGTTTTATCAGCACACACACGGCGCTCGAATTAAAAGTATCGTACTCTACTTACCACGGTAAGAATTGCTTCGCGATAGACATCCAGAGGGGACTTTCGTTTTCCCAGCACATCTATTTCTTTCTTGTAAAACAGCCCAGTAGCCGTTCGGAGGATCAGGTCTTTCATAAACTCAACTGATACAGATGAGATATTCTTTTGAGCCCGGAAAGCAGAGACAACCAATTGAAGGAAGCTGGTCTCATCCTTATCAATGTCCTCTGTTGTGCTTGTGATGATGGTATCTAAAGCCATCAGATCAGCTGAACAAGGTGGTAACGAAATTCAAACAATTTAGATACATACTGTCGTCCAAAATCCAAAGCCACAGTTGATTTACAATGAGAATCTTGCGTAATTCGGGCTCACTATGGGAAGCAGCTTTCGTTGGATTCTCTCGAAGCTTAGATTTTTCCTGCTCGCTGCTGGCCCTCGGCAAGCTGATTGATCTGGCTTGGTCGTCAATTTTCTCACTTGTACTACTTTTCAACTCTGGGTTTGTGGCTCGCCAAAGCACTTGGTCTTGATCTCTTAAAGAAGTGTCCTCGAGGGATACGTAGTAGTACTGATCTAGAGTCATGGGCTCATGCACAATGAGTTGCTTTTGACCTGATTGAACATCCTGCCGAAGTTGAAAAAGGTCTTCAGCGGAAGACGCAATAGCCCCAGAAGTAGCACTCATAGCATTTGGAGCAATCTTATTACCTCTTAGCCAGGCCAACCGAGGCTCAGTATTATCGGTAGACTCCGCTGGACATTTCTTCCAGAACAAGTACGGCATCTATCGATGTCTTAGTTAGGCAAACGAAAAGGCGACGCAAAGAGGATGATTCGGCGATTTACATAGAGGGCACTTTTCAGACCCATGTTCGAGGGTTGGCTGTCGTTTAGTGTCGTAGATCGGCGGTCATACTGATTGGATTAGCACTCTGACATTGATACTGAGTAGATCGAGCATTCGCTCCCAACACGAAGATCATTTGGTGCCCACTTACAATGCACTGTGGCTTCATGTAGAACTTGCTTCCCCCGGCAGGCAACTCAACCCAGCTTTCTCGTACAAATTGAGCCCAAGGGTGGTGATGTTTCATCTTGATCTCTTTGTCCCGGGAGATTCGCACCATGAGGTCCTAAATTGAATTAGATGCGCACCTCCAAGGGTAGATGATAACATACTTCAACACAACGAAGCTAATAGGAAGCATCAGTAAAACTATAATGTCGAGTCCGAGCGTATGGATTTGGTTACTTGCATTGTTTGCATGAATGTGGATCCATCTCAAATCCAACGTTCTCCTTTCTTCAGCAACAGCCTTGTCTTTTTCAGCTGATCTGGTGGGCAAGGCGCCAGACTTCTCCATTGGAATCGCAGGGGTGTTATCGTTTCTGCGTTTGGGTTCCGAAGTAGGTTTTTCCTTTCGTTTTTTGGATGTGGCTTCAGGGAAGTCCCCTGGTGCGGAAAGCGCTTTTTTGAGCGATTTGAGATTGCGATATTGGCCAGCTTTCATGATATTGTGAGGCCCCGCAGTATATATGATTGTGGACATTGGACGGCGTTTAACTTGAAGAGAGGCTTGGTCTCCCTCGCGAAAGAAGTCCAGCACTGTACCTTCAGGCCAGTCCTCATGTTGATCTTGGTATTCATAATCTGGGAGTCTTTCTTCGCGTCTCCAAGCTTGCTGCCTCCGAAGAGGAGGGGGACTCTCGAGAATACCCTTGATTACATCCCCTATGACATCCTTGGTGACGATGCCATGTTCATCTTTCTCTTCAAACATGGAGACAATACTTTGCGCAGTGTCGATGTGTGTTCTGCTGAGATATGACCCATTGGAAAGAAGGCACCAAACAACAGTAGGCAATCGGTGGTGCACGGCTAAATGCAATACATTTAAGCCTCTCGAATGATAAGTGAGGGGAGTTGGAATCAACTTGAGAAACTTTGCCAGGTATTTTTCATCGCCAGGAGTTTCATATTGCGCCGCTAACTCCAGGACGAGATGTGCTTGGTCCCTCATTGGACTCACGAACAAGGTTTCATCAATGCTTTTATCCAAGGCATCCCATAGGAAGTCCTGAAGCTCTCGATGCCTCTCATTCATTCCCAATGCAGCCAGAGAGATTGATGTATGATCATCATCTTGCTTTCGGAGAATAGTATCTAGAACAGAATCTTCATCATGAAGCACCTGACGTAAAACAACGGTGACATCGACCTCACTTTCCGAAACGCCACCTCCAGGGGATGCACCAAGCCAAATGATGAGCTTTTTCACCAAATCAAGGCGGTTATACTTCACAGCTAGGTGGAATGGTGAGATTCCATTCAGGGTTGGAGCGAGCGTGCACACTCCGTTCAGGAGCAATTGCTCCATCATTTCGACATGTCCACCGAGAGCAGCGACATGGGCACATGAGAATCCCCCTCGCTCCCAGCCATTCATATCGTATGTGTCGAGTAGTTTGCTCAAGCATTCGCTCAACAGGTCTCCTCGCCCATTCAAGATAGCCCAGTAAATGGTCGCCTCGATCCGTTCATGTATTTCATCAGTCTCTCCTTTTTTAAGTCTTGCCAGAAGAAGGGTTTCAACTTCGTTTATCTCTTCTTCAAAAGAAACATAAGGCTCCACGTTGGCAGGATATTGAGGGAAAAGGACCTCGGTTTCTAGGAGCAAAAGTACAACAGAAAGGCGACCGTTCACAGAGCCGTCAATTAGGGCGGTGTCATCCCAATCATCCCTTGCTGTAATGAAGCTTTTTTCGGCATCGAGGGATCCATGCCTAGAATAGGAACCCAACAGAAGTTTGCAAATTTCCACAGACCCATCCTCACAAGCCATATGCAAGGCAGTTCTTCCATTGTTAGATTTGAGCGTGATATCTGCACCTTCTTTCAATAGATATGTAGCAACGTCAACATGTCCGTCCTCCGAAGCTTTGATTAGAGCTGTCTGACCATCGTCATCCTTAGAATTTAACAGATCCGATCGACTTCGGAAGATTTTCTCCACAGCCTGGAGATAGCCACCTTTCGCAGCCAGATGAAATGGGGTAACGCCTTCCTCGTCCACCGTGATTTCAGCTCCTTTATCAAATAAGAAGTCAAAGACATCCAGATGACCTCTGAACAAGGCAAACGAGAGGGCCGTTCGACCCCCATTTCCCTTCTCATTAATAAGATCAGGCTTCTTCTTTAAAATCTCTTCGGCTGCGTTGAGGTGTCCACCCCATGCAGCGGCATGAAGCGAGTTATTGTCCTCGTCGTCCAGGACTGCTATATCCGCTCCTTTCTCCAACAGGGAGTCAACGATATTCAACTGATCCTGGAACAATGCGAGTGATAGAGCCGTTCGACCCATGTGTCCCTTAGCTTCAATGAGATCAGGCTTCCTCTCCAGAATCTGTTCCACTGCCGTGGGATAGCCCCTACTTACGGCGAAATGCAACGGCAAGTCGGCGTGCTCATCCGCGATACTTATATCGGCTCCCTTCTCAAACAAATACTCAAAAATAAGCAAATTGCCAGAAGTAGTCAAGTCTTCAGAAACCACATGATCCGCCATCAAAGCGGATAAGATAGCTGTTCTGCCCTTGTATCCCTTGGCATTCAAAATGCTGGGATCCCGGTCCAACATTCGCTTAATGATTTGAAAATGACCTTTGGTGGCAGCAATATGAAATGGGGTATCATCTTCCTCATTTGTGGCTATTATGTCTGCTCCTTTGTCAAATAAAAATTCAAAAACTGCCGAATGGCGCAACTTGAGTGCGACTGAGATGGGTGTGTCGCCGGTGAAACCTCTGGACTCCAATAAGTCAGGTCTAGCCTGTAGAATGAGCTCAACAATATCAAGACTTCCACTTTCAGCCGCAAGGTGTATAGCTGTATCGGTCTCAGAGTTCCGGGCATCGATATTAGCCCCGATGGAAAGAAGGTAGTTGGCAACGGAAGTCCTTCCAAATTGGCCTGCGAGAAGGAGAGCTGTTGTTTGATTGCTGTCTTCTGTTTCTAATAGATTCTTATCGCGCTGGAAAAGAAGCATCATGATCTCTGAATGTCCCTTGACAGCGGAGAGGTGCCAGGCTGTTCTACCGTCGGAATCTTTGGCATAGATATCTGCTCCGCGGGAAATCAAATACTCCACAATGGCAGTATGGCCTTCATAGGTTGCGAGGGTCAAAGCTGTGTCATCTTCACTCGTTCGTAACTCCAGTATCTCTAAGTCGCGCTTTAACAGTCGTTGAAGGATTTTTAGATGACCTTCACTGGCAGCAAGATGAAATGATGTCCAATCCTTGGAATCTTTGGCATGAATATCTGCTCCGTGAGACAGCAAACAGTCCACAATGGCAATGTGCCCCCCAAAAGTCGCGAGTGTCAAAGCCGTATCATTTTCGATTGTGCGCATATCCAAGAGGCTTTTGTTGCGCTTCAAAATCTGTCGAGCAATGTAGAAATACCCTTTTCTAGCGGCGTAATGCAAGGCTGTCCAATCTTCGGGGGCTTTCGTGCTTGTATCCGCTCCACGATCAAGCAAATACTTCGCAACAGAAGCATGCCCGCAGTGAAGTGCGAGGAGCAAAGCCGTGTTATCCGAAACATCTCGTATATCTAGGAGGCCTTTTTCTTGCTTTAAAAGCCGTCGGACCATAGAGAGATGACCTCCGGCGGCGGCATAATGCAATGCAGTCCCTTCCTGGCTATCCTTCGCATTTATATCTGCCCCGTGAGAAAGGAAAAAATCAACGATAGGAATGTTACCATGTTTTGCCGCTTTCATCAAAGGTGTTTCCTTGCCGTTGGCATGAACGCTTAGTATCTCAGGCTTTGCTTTAAACAGCAACTTGACAACATCAAGATGCCCGAATCTAGCGCCAATGTGAAGCGCTGTATAGCCATCAGCTTGGGCGGTAGCTGGATCGGCCCCCCAGCAAGCAAAGTATTGATACAGGCAGTTTGTTGGTATTCGGCTGCAAAATGGAGGGCTGTGAGACCCTCTGCGTTCGCGGTGTGGATTTCAGCTCCATTGTCAAGCAGGAACTTCACTATAGCAGGATCCTCCTGCATGGAAGCAAGATGGAGAGCTGTGTAGCCTTTATCGTCTGCATAATTTGTATTGGCGCCTTTATCAATCAACAGTTTGAGAACATCGGCATGGCCGTTCCTCGCTGCGGCGCCGAGCGGCATTCTGCCACTATCATTTGGCTCTTCAAGAAGCTCAGATCCACCTTTATTGAAAAGCATCTCAACTATGTGCTTATGGCCATTCCGGATAGCAGTGAAAAAAGCAGTTGATTCTGTGTTTGTTGTTTTTGTCAATATATTCGCTCCTCGATCCAGAAGTAGCTGGACAATACTTCCGAGGCCTAGTCCTGCTGCAAGCGTCAAAGGTGTCACACCGTACTCGACATCAAATTCGAGGTTGAATCGATAGAAATACAATTGTTCGAGGGCGCCGTCATTATCAAGCAACGTAGCGACGGCATCTGCATCGTTGTTCTCAATTGCCGTATGTAGCTCATGAACCCAGTCATCCTGTGGTTGGTCCTCATCCGGTGTGGGCGTTGACTGTTCTGTATGGATTTCCTCGGAGATGTCTTGAGTTCTTTCTTGAGGTCTTTCTTGGGGGATGCTTTGGGGCCTGTCTTGGGGGCTTTCTTGGGGGTTGTCTTGAGGCTTGTCTTGACAGCTGTCTTGGTGGCCGTTTGGAATCACTTTTTGAAGTGGATCTTGTGGATCTGAAATTGGTCGGACCTCCACATCTTCAATGAGAAGAGTGTCTCCATCAGCTTCCTTGCTTCGAGGACCTACTTGGGTGAGAATTAAGGTACCAATATTATCAGGCAGGCTTTCGTACCTTCTGGGGTATTTTCCATTTTGACAAGAATTCCAAATGGCGTGTCAGTGCCATGAATTATATGCTCTGATCCATTCAAAGCAGTACAGTGATATAGGGCAGAAAGAGCGAGAAATGAATCACACTCTTCTTCAATCCACGTGGCTCTAAAGTGAGGAGAAAATTTACAGAAGAGACTAGCGTTCAGCTCAAGACTAGAGGGGCTTTAATGAGCCTTTAAGCTTATTGTTATTGGCAGCTCTGCATTACCGTAAGCACTAAATTTGGGGGCTGGATATGGTTTATTGTGCTGATGATTGGATAGAACAGGGCACGTACCACCGGGGACGGTCCGTACCCGGTCCACCTTAAAGACTTTGTCATTTGTCATCTGAGATTGAAGCGTTTTGTATAACAGGGAAATATTTCAAGATGATGAACTCTCTTTGAGGGACTTCTACAGAATAGTTCTCTAACTCATATATTTGTGGCCAGACTTATAATCGACCGTTATCAAGTACCTACATATGCAGCTATAAGAAAAACTACCTAGGTACATATATGTACATATGTAATTTTTTGAGCAAATCATATATGATGACAACTCGTCTAGTACTTAGACATTACATCCAGTCTTCGATTGGAGAATCTATATTAGCTTACCAGATCATCATAATCTCCCGCGTCAAGGTCTTCGAGGATCAGGTCCTCGACAGAAATGGGCCTGGGCTCCTCCAAATCTTCGTCATCAGCTGAATCATGTGTAGCCGAACGAACAGGATCTAAGTCCGGCTCATTCAGATGGCCATCATATAGAGATGCCGTGATTCTTCTCAACTCTATGGCAAATATTGAACTTTCACCGGATTTGGCTTGAAACCCAGCGAATAATTTGACATTTTCCTCGTGTGTTCGTGTCTCCCCTCCTGTGGAGGTATCTTCATCCTCACAGTCCGTGACTCATGTAACCAAACATGGATGCCATGTTTGGTAAGGATCAATCCATCCAGGAACAGTGTCTTTCAATTCGGTATTATGTTTTAGCGTTAACCTAGTTCTCATCCAGCTGGTGAATTCGCTTATATCCAATGAACTTTCCAGTTAAATGAATGATATCTTCTATGTTTCCTGCAATTGGGCATTCCGCAATCATTCCCGTTAAAAGGTCGAACTTGTCGGTAGCATCCCTTTCGGTGGTCTTCCTAATTTGGGGATTATAGTTCACAAAAGGATGGCCAGGCGCGTAATCTGCTGATTGGCGGAGAGGATTTGCGATGATAGCACCCAGCATAACATCTTCAAGCTTAGAAGCTTCTATCCACTTTTTGTATTGGGGAATCGCAAATTTTGAGTCGCGTTCCATGTTGATGCATCTTTCGCGTGACAAGACTGGATTGTTGGCCGTGTTCTATTTAAGTAGGAAAATCCAGGCGGAAGAAGTCGTTCGAAAACATGATCTATATAATATCGAATACCCGGCACTGCCATGGGGCTGAGCCCGCTCGAAGTGTTTCAAATGAAGAGTCGCATAGCCACTAATTCCCTAACAGCGCACAGGGTGTATCAGTCTGTCACACCAAATCATACTGTTTCACATTTATATCATCTTCATATAAAATATATAAACCGAAATAATGCTGTATCCTTCTCGGTGATGATTATCAAACGTGCTTTATGCGTGGTTGTGGGTGGACTCACAACATGAGAGCAATCTATCCGTGGATTATAAGGGGATCCAGCAACCCGGCAAATTATACCTTACTGAGAGTCTAACGCCCAATTACTTTGCCTTCCCATGATTTTATTGTATTTTAGAAGTTATGTTCGTTGTAAAGAGACACGGAAGGTGTCAGACAGGCATATAAGCACAATTGCCTAATTAGTGCAGCGGGCGCTTCGGGCCACCAAAAACCTGAGCTTGCATGCATTTGGTAGTGCCTATAGAAGCAAGGGCCTCCATGTAGTAGTCAAGCTACTATGTGCCTTTCATATACTTCATGTTTCCAGCCCATTTTCTCACACTATGCATGTTCCAAGTGTTCATAGCGAGCAATACGCGCTAAGAACTGCTTGTAGATTATGAACAGCTGAAAATAACAGAGAGCGCGATCAAGAATACGATGTAAAAATGCCAGCTTGACTTGGCTTAATCAGGCCATTCAAACCCATACTATGATATGATTTGTGTAAATGAATGTCGTTTAGGGCTTCGTTGACCTTGTATAGATCAAGCAAACAAAGCAAACACAGCGGGGGCCATCTATCTAGTTCTAAGGACACGAAACATCCTCGCCACTTCCTTGACTCATAGCATTGAAGCCTGATTTAGAAGCCTGGCGACCTTGCATCCACTAACTGACTTAACCTCAGCATAATACTACCTTTGTTGCAGCTCCAGCACAAAACAAACCTCAACTACAAGCTGAAACAACCATGCGCCTCCCATCAATAGCATTAGCATCACTCCTTCTCACAACAGGAACATGCATAAAACCACCCGGCAAAGACGCAATCCTCCTCTCAAACGTACAATCTCTCACCCTGCGCGCCCACCGCATGACCAGCTCGCGGCGCGTCTCTCCCATCCCACAACTCAGCTGCGCCGGCCCCTCGCAGAAAATATGCAACCTCTACCAGCCCGAAGTAATGCGGTGTACAAACCAAGGCTATGACTACGATTCAGAAGACGTCCAGTGGACATGTACCGCCGATCTACCACCTGAGTTCAAGCTCGGCGCAACGGACGTCATCTGCGAAGGGTACCGCGATGCGGACGACAAATATGTGCTGAAGGGGAGTTGCGGGGTCGAGTATCGGATGCTTCTTACTGAGAAGGGTGAGGAGAGGTTTGGCCGCAGTCATGGGGACGGGTTTGATTGGGGGAAGAAGGGCATGAGCGGGTATCAAAAGATATTGTCTTGGGCTGGGGACTTGATATTCTTCGGGTTCATTGCTGCCGTGGCTATTTTGATATTCTGGCCTTTGCTGGCGGACTGTTTGGGGCTGCGGAGGAATCGCAGAGCTCCGCGTACTGGGCGGGGATGGGGATGGGGTGGGGGAGGAGGGGGTGGTGGTGGTGGCTATCCAGGACCTCCGCCTCCTTATAGCCCCTTTGATACCCATAAATCCGATACTCGTAACCAGAGCTGGACGCCCGGCTTTTGGTCTGGGGCTCTAGGCGGTGCTGCTGCTGGTTATGGGATGGGGCGACGAGCTGGTACCGGGAGACCTGCGGCACAAACAAGCAGATCCGGTGGTTATGACCCAGGTGAAGGCAGCTCGCGCTCGCCGCAGTTTTCGTCTACAACTGCCAGCACTGGGTTTGGGTCAACCAGGCGCAGGTGATTCCAGAAACAATCATCACATGGGAAAAATATGGTTCAATTAGACCTGCATGGTATACTGATGTACAATTGAAAGAATCGAGCTAAAAGCTAATAGCAAGTGACCTGAAACCCAATGGCCTGAAACTCCTAGTGTCACATGTGTATCCCGTTATCCTAGCACAAACGCCGTATCCGTAACCCATTGCTTCATAAAATGCGTATTAAATCTTCGTATTAGGCCATGGGAAAGTCATCGATTGATCCCAGAACCTCTTCAGTACCGCCTCCTCCAGTATTCTTCACCTGCTTCTTGCGTGTCTTCTTCAAATTGGCCTTGTCGTTCTTCTCTTCCTTGGTTTCTCCACCAGTAGGGTTGCGCAGAATTTCTTCTTGAAGCTCCTTCTCCTTAACGTGTTGATCCTCGATGCGCTTCTTCTCCTCGTCAAGTTCTTCTTGGACGGTTTTGGGGTCATCGTAGACAGTATTCGTCATCTCCGAGTAGGCGGCAAGACTAATAGCCTCTCGGGGGCCGAGCAGTGTATCCTTGATGCGCTGTGGATCGCGGCGCTCTTCATTGTTGAACTTCAGTTTGATCTGTCGACGAGATCGGCCGGGGAACATCTTGCTGATGACCATGAAATCGGTGCCGAACATGCGTAAGCCGCGATAGAAGAGGTCCGTCAGATCCTCGTCCCATGTTTCGGTTTTTGACCGTTTACCGTACGAAGCTTGGTTGATCTTCCGGGTAAAAGAGCTCTCTACCACATCCTCCAGATCGCCGGCCTCCCGTGCAGCATCAGCGTGGCGATCAACCTGCAAGGATGTATTGTCCAACACAATCTCGCCATTGACAATGCGCATCTTCGGGCCAGATTGGGGCTTCCAGTCGACCGGTTGTTCAGTTTTCTCCCGCTCCGGCTCCTTGACGGGGGTTCCCGAACCGGCTGCGCCGCCTTGCTTCTTGCGTTCCTCTTCCGCCTGATCTAACTTGCGCAACTCGGCCTCTCGCTTTGATTTCTTTCCGGTCCGAAGGTCCTTGCACAGCTCTGACATCTTTATGACGTTTGGCAAGATCTCCACGCTCTCGGCCCCTTCAGGAGTCGGCTCACGCTTCTTGCGGGTGCGCTTCGGTTTCTCGGTTCCATCCGGCTCAGAAGTCTCGGCCTTGGAGTACTTTCGCTTTTTCGGCTTTGTGGTAGGATCAGGAGTCGAGACAGTAGAGTCACCCGGAATGGCCGCGGAATCTTCAATGGTGGGCACAACTGACTGAGAGCCGCGTCGGCTAGAGGAGGTAGAAGGCGCTGCAGATGTAGACTTCTTGCGATTTGGCTTCGCGGTGGGTGTGGGAACCGCTTTTCGAGCGCGCTTGGCTGGTGGGGGGGCATCGACCTGGGAATTTTGGGTGGCAGGTTGAGGGTGAGGTTGTTTTTGAGCCTCGGTCTTGTCCACTAACTCCCCTGCGGCACGCGCGGCCTCAACTCTAGCATATTCCAGGAGAGCTTGTTCTGGGGCTTGTTCCGCAGCAGGTTGAGTTTCATTGATTGGAGTGTTAATATTAGGGGGGGTAGATTGAGTAGATGGAAGTGTAGGCGGTGCGGTTGTGGTAGGTTCAGGCTGGGAGATAGCCTCGACTTTGCGCTTTTGCGGGGGAGGAACCGCAGTGGGCTTAGAGATGGCAGTTGGGTTCGGGATTGTAGTCGGTTTGGAGATCGCAGTTGGTTTGGCAATTGATGTGGGAACAGGAGTGGTTGCGGGGGTAACGATTTGAGAAGTGGTAGGAGCGGGGGTGGGAGTTTGTTCCATCACTGGTGGAGCAACCAAGGCTGGTGACTGTTCAATGACCGCAGGCTTTTCGGGCTCTGCAGCCACGGGAGTCGGCAACTCAGAAGCTCCATCTTGCTCTTTATTTTCTGGAATAGGTTCAGGCTGTGCAGTTTCGGCTGGCGACCGCTGAGTGACACTTGGTCGTCTTGGTGGTGCAGCGGGTGCGCGGCGGGCGGGCGCCTTTGGGGCAAACTTCTTGCCCGTTTTGTCTAGAATTGACCAAGTCAGAGCTATACATTTAGTGGGGTGCTGGAATCAAATCACTCACTGATCACACTAGAAAAGGACTTCATGGCTGCCCATATCTGTTGGTTGGTGAAGGTGGAGGTTGATGGAGATCGCAAAAAGTTCCAGACTGGGGAAGTCAACTTGGGTTATGATCACGTGAGGGGCGCTAAAGGACGCTAAACCTCGTTGAAAATCCTCCTGTCTTCAACTCCTCGATCTCTGCCATCCCACCCCTTCTCTCGTCCGTTAATTCACCCTACTTTTACTTCGACTTTTTGTCGATTTTGTTTACTGGCTACTTTACATTCTACCGGACTCTCCTTCGACAGGATTGGACACAAGTCGCAAGATCTGCGTCTGGCTGACTGACGGACGGTCCGGTGGTGATAAGAGCCATCCCATGCCAGTCTAGCCACTGATGCCGGCCGTCGAATCCCCCGTCACGTCTTCAGATCCCGGTCTTGTCAAGATGGAAGACCGGAAGAGGCCCGCTGCGGACAACAATGACTCCGCCCCGCCATTAAAGAAACAGGCTACCACTGTCAACGGTGGTAGCAAGCCTCATCCGGATGCTGACATGCCATGGAAGGATGATTTGGAAGTGAGTTTATTTCTTGGAAGCTTTTTGCGACCTGAGAGTCGTATCTCATGTTGTCGCGTGGCCATATACTGATCGGGGATTTTTGCGATAGCGGTTCCAAAAGGAGGCCATCATGCGCCAGATGCAAGAGTACAAGCGGGAGAAATCATCATTGGAGTCACGTTTAAATCAAATGTCAAAAGCTGCCACTTTCCATAATGATCATCTCCGCGTTATCGATTCGTGGTTCAAGCAGGTGGGTTCCCCATTCTCTTTGTCCCTTGTCAAATTGGCAGGTATCTGAATCGGTCAGCTAATACCATTGTAGCTAATTGACGAAATTAAATTACTGCTTGGGTCGGAAACGGAAATTCAAGGTCAGCAACCTATGACCCCACCCTGAGCGCCATGATTGAATATTGACAATATCAACAGAAACCTCATTCAAAAGCTCGTTGCAATTCGAAGATGCTGAAGAGTTTCAATCACATCTGGCATCTCGATCGGAGGATATCCGCGCAATAATTTCCCAGGTCCAGTCCAAGGCCAACAATGCGCCTGCCGAGGTCTCGGAGGTACAAAGCCGTCTTGCAAAGAAACTGGCTGAAGAAAAGGTTACGATTGCTGAACTCGAAAAAACGCTAGCCGAAAAGCAACAGTTGGAGGAAAGCCTCGAAGCCGCGTCCTTGCGGTATCTGGTGGCCGAAAAGAAAGTGGACCGCGCAAAAAGTATTACTGTTGCGAAGTTAGAGAAACAACAATCTATGGGACTGCAAAGACCTGGGGAAACGGCGCAATCCAAGCGCGAAGAATCCTCCCCGCGAATGGTGGAACCCCAGTCGGAGAGCGCAACCCCGAGTTGGAAGAGGCCAATAATAAGCTCTCGGCAATTTCGGCAAAGCAAAAGGAACAAGTCCAGAAGCTGGAGGCCGAAAACGCCAGCTTGCTCAGCCAAATCACTGAAATTAAAGTCAAGGTACCGCCCACCCCCGCTCCTCCACCGTCGGTTTGTCGCTTACAATTGGATTCCAGTCTTCAAAATTCACCGATGACGATTACGCACATACGGATTTGTTCAAACACCTTCGGTCACAATATGACGATGTAGTCAAGCGCATCAATCACCTAGAAGCGATAAATGTTCAACTACGTGAAGAGGCAGAGAAATACCGATCTGAGAGGACCGCATACAAAATGCAGGTGGAGAACGAAACTTCAAGTACGATTGCGGAAAAGGAGGCTCAGTTGATGAGAGCGGAAACGGACCTTGCAAGAATACGGAATGCTCGCGACGAGCTGCTGGCCGATCAGCAAATGCGAAAGGCCGCCCAGGACCAAGAAAAAATTTCTGTTTTGAAACTTCAAGAGTTGGCGGATGCTAGGGAAGCCCGAATCACAGCATTAGAGTCCGAGAGCCAACGGTTACGCCTCCAGATCGAGGGCTCGAAATCCGACGAAAATATCAACGATATGCCGCTAGAGGTGCTTCGCGCCAAGTACACCAGCCTCGAACGCCAATATGCTATGCTTAACACCGAACTGACATCTATGCAATCGGCCTACAAGAAGTTTTCCGCTCTTGCATCACAGAAGGTTACTGATTTCGCAGCGATGGAGGAGAAGGTTGCAAGGTTAACGGCTGAGAAGTCCAAAGCGGACCAGAAATTCTTTGCCGCGATGAAGAGTAAGGAAGCTCGGGATGTTGAAGTTCGCACGCTCAGAATGCAAAGCTCGAAGACATCCGATATTGTATCCCAATTGAAGGAATCCGAGGCAAGCACTCGTTCACTGGTATCTAACATGGACAAGCACGCCAGTGAGATGAAAGAGGCTTTGAACGCCGCCATGGCTAAACAGCGTGCCATTCAACAGCAGTTGACCGAGAGCAATATTCTCACCGAGGGCTTGAAGCACCAGGTGGCGGAACTCAAAACCCTATCTGTGTCTAAGGATTCCACTCTGGGAACCACCAACTCTTCATTGCGGCAAGCCGAGACAGAGGTGGCTGCCCTGAAACAATCTCTTTCGGATACCAAGAAAAGCCTGGACAGCTGGAAGACCAAAAGTCTTGGCAATTCGTCTTCAGAATATGAAATGTTGCGGGTGAGTGCTATTTACCCCACCATGCAAAGACATTAGCTAACCCCAACAGTCACTCGCACTGTGCACAGTCTGCCGTCGCAATTTCAAGAACACCGCAATCAAAACATGCGGCCATGTCTTCTGCAAAGATTGTGTCGAGGAGCGTCTCACCTCTCGCTCCCGCAAGTGCCCCAACTGCGGTAAATCCTTCGGAAGTAACGACCACATGCACATTACCCTTTGATCGACCCTCCGCCCTGTACAATATCTTCCTTTCGATGCAATCCTCTTTACGGTTATGTTTTTTAGTATCACATTCGGACAGGCTCATGGTTCGGTGTTTGTTGCGTGGTTTAGCAGGTCTGGTTTGGGCCGGCGTTTGACGAGTTATGTACGGTCAGCCCTTCCCAGGGCTCTTGTTTCTGTTCTTTTTTCCATTTCTGTTCCCTTCTACAAGCCAACGGCGGATATCTCACGGCGCAGGGGCTCCATTTGTCCCAGAGGTACGGCGCACTGATTTTTGATTCTCTGGCGACTATCTAGATTTCTGTAGGACTACCGTGTACGGCAAAAAGCAACGAATGCAATGTGAGGAGATACTTTCATGTCATGAAATTTGTGTAGGATATATTTTCTCTACCTCCTCATGACTAACAACCTAGATAGTTGGCGAATTTCATGGTCTTTTTGATCATCCTGTTGCTCAAACCTTGGATAGTACACCCAATTGTATCCCACTAGGTAAATAGCAAGTGATATATATTACCGACCACTCAAAGGTTTCGGGCGCAAAAATAGTGTTGTCTTCCAAGGTTGTATTCATATCATGATACCAGCTCATGAACTCATCATAATATCTAATTGTCCTTTATAAAAACTCTCAAGAGTTGAAAATCCTACTATACAACAACTCATGTCTCCCCACCCAAAGATCCAGAGCAGGCACCACCTGTCCCGCCTGCTCAACAGGCGTATTCCACTCCCTCCCGATACGCTTCATAATAGTATCCTGCAAACTCTGACTAGCAAGGACATTCTGCGCCTGGTACGGACCCATAACGCTAGCACGCACGGCAGCACTCAAAACCGCCTTCGCATGGTTCACAACGAAGACATAAGCGGTCTGCTGCAAATCGAGGCCCATGGCGCGGCAGACAGTGCCCCAGAGCGGGGCAAAGTGGCCCTTAGGGCCGAGATCGTCATCGTCCACGCACGCCTTCAGGGCATCGGATAGGTCATCGATGGCTGCGACGGCGGCGGGGTCGGCGGGGGTCGCGGTCTCGGGTCCGGCGAAGGAGGACCGGAAGGCTCGTTCCCAGACACCGATTAGGGCGCGCCCTTGCGCAATGCTTGCTCGCTGGGCGACGATGCAGGGCGTTGAAGCGTCCAGGTCGTTGTCTAGGGTTTCGAGGGTCTCGGGTTCCCGGTATCCGGCTAGCACGTAGGGGAGAGATGTGCTTGCGATTGAGGCAATGGAGAGTTTGAGGAAACGGTGGAAGGAATTGGCTGGTGAGGTGCGGGATGGCTTGTTGTGTGCTAGGTAGGATTCTAAGCCGCTGGAGTAGGCGAATGAACCTAGTGGGAGGGCGGAATCGGAGAGGAGGAGGAGAGCGTGAAGTGATGTGCGAGTTGTGTTGACATTCTTATTTTGATTATGTTGATTATTGTGCTTATTATTTGATTCTAGGAATATTAGCTTATGTTTTTGGAATTTGCTGGGCTTTTTGAAGCTCACCTTTAATAATTGTATATGAGTTAGGAAGAGATGATGGTGGACTGGGGTATTCAGATGCCGCTAGTTGAGCACGAGCATCTTGTAGACGTGACTCGAGTTGTGTGACCTCGGCCTCGAGGTTTTGAGTGTCAAGGAACATGATGTGTTTGTCAAGAGTAGAATGATGTATAGTATAAGGTATGTAGTATAGAGTACAGGGTAAATTGAAGTGAAGTCGATAGATGCAGGTCCAACTGCCGTTAAGTACCAAATGCCGTCTTTTGCCGATCGGAAAATAATAAGTGGACACTCGGCGGCCGCCGCACAACCCGACTACACCCTATCTTGCTCTTGATTCTGTTGACTGTTCGCATTATTAACCCTCGATTCTCTTATTGAATCCACTTAATAACATTGTTTACTCATTGATTTCTCTCCGCCGATCTTTTTCTGCCCTATTTTCTCCGATCTTCTCCGTCATGTTCTAAAATCAAAGCTACCACAATGTCAGGTAAGCGTCTATTAGACGCTATTCAATTCCTCAATGTGTCCAAAACCATTGCAGCCAAACATCTAGCAATTCGTCAACATCAGCTAGATGTCTATACACGAACTTCCTCCCTGACTAAGGGTATCAAGGCCCAAACAGAAGGCCTGATTTTGACCGCTCAAGCCGCCGCCGCCCTCGCTCGCCGATTCGACGACTCGCCACCTCCGCCGACCCCGGCACACTCCCCCGAGTCAACGGCCGATAAGCCCACTGCAACCTCACCCCCTTCCGACCAGGCGCGCAAGCTGCAACGTCAAGCTGAATCCCAGATTCCGGCTGAACCCGCGCAGTATTTTGGTAATGAGAAACCTGATGCTTTGAATGTGAGCCAGCAACAAGATGTTTTCTATGAACCTTCCACTCAGTCCAGGCCGAATCTCTCAAGTGTGCCGAGAGTGAAGCTCCCCCAGGTCGCGAGCGATTCTCAAGCTAGTAGTGACGATGGGTTAAATTCCGATGTCTTCACCTCACCAGTGTCGGATAAACCGGCACCGGTCGAGGAGATGTCAGAGGAAATGATCCAGGGTCTCTTCCATAGCCCGAGAGTGTCGCGTATGATCTCTGGAAAAGGACCTCCGAGGAGGGATTGGAAGCTGGCACGGAAGCCTGAACCGTCAGGCGTGGGCGTTGCGAAGCCAATTCCGCCGGTCCCTGCGAAATCAGAGGCCGAGCAGATGGAGGAGCTCGCAGCGAGCGTGGCCGAGGATGTCGTACCAAGCACAGAGACTGTCGAAACCAAGGCCCAACCGTACCAAATGCTGGAGTCACGCGTGCCGTCTTCCCGGCTCGGCAGACTGTGGCAGTACAGTGGCCTAGCGACCTCGATGGCGTTCGGCGCGGTCGGGGAAGGCCTGCGACGCGCCACTGGTAGTCAGGATAATGGCTCGATCATGTTTAGTGCCGGTAACATGGAACGCATGGTCGCCAAGCTATCCAAGATGCGCGGCGCAGCCCTCAAGCTCGGCCAGATGCTCAGCATCCAAGACTCCAATATGCTCCCCGAGCCAATCCAGCAGGTCCTCCAGCGCGTCCAGGACCGCGCAGACTACATGCCCGCCTGGCAACGCGACCAAGTCTTAACCCAAAACCTGGGACCAAACTGGCGCGACCTCTACACAACCTTCAATGAAGTTCCAATGGCCGCCGCCTCGATCGGTCAAGTCCACTCGGCCGTCCTAAAGAGCACCGGCCAACCAGTCGCTGTGAAAGTCCAATACCCCGGCGTCGCAGACTCCATCGATAGCGACCTGAACAACCTCTCCATCCTCCTCACAGCCTCCCGCCTCCTTCCCCGAGGCCTGTACCTAGACAAAACCATCGCGAACGCACGCACCGAACTCGCCTGGGAATGCGACTACATCCGCGAAGCCGAAGGCGCGAACCACTTCCGCACCCTCCTAGCCAACGACCCCGTCTTCGTCGTCCCCGAAATAATCCCCCACGCCTCCGGCAAACAAGTCCTCACCATGGAAATGCTCAACGGCACAACCGTCACCCGCATAACGGACTTCACACAATCCCAACGCGACTGGATAGGCACGCACATCATGCGCCTGTGTCTCCGCGAAATCACCGAATTCCACTACATGCAAACAGATCCGAACTGGACCAATTTCCTGTACAACGCGCGCACCAACAAGCTGGAACTCCTGGACTTCGGCGCCTCCCGCGCCTACCCAGAAAAATTCATCACAACCTACGTGCGCACGCTCATCGCAGCCTCCAAAAACGACCGCCAGAAATGCTACGACCTATCTATAGACCTCGGTTACCTCACCGGAATGGAGAGCAAGGCTATGGCAGACGCACACGTCTCCTCCGTCACTACCATCGCGGAGCCTTTCATGCTCTCCTCGCCGGACCTGTACGACTTCAGTAACCAGACTATCACGGACCGTGTGCGTGAGCTAATCCCGACTATGATTCGTGAGCGGCTCGCGCCCCCGCCTGAGGAGACGTACTCCTTGCATCGCAAGTTGAGTGGTGCTTTCCTGCTTTGTGCTAGGCTGGGGAGCCGGGTGCCTTGTAAGCAGCTGTTTATTGATGCTATTAAGGCTGCCGAGGAAAAGGGGTTGAAGCTGGATTAGAAAGTAACAGTAAATAGTTGCCTGCTTGCGGGTAGATGTGCACTTTGTACTATAGATTCTTGTATAATATCATACTCTATACTCTTTACGTTTTCTTTACATATGTAGGTTTCTCATGCCTCGCGCCATACATCAGAGACTCCGATTTCAGTCAATATGCACCTGATCACTGGATATAATTTGGTAAATGACCTCTATTTTCTTCATCTCACCCCTCGAGGAGCAAGCCCAGGCAAGTAACTGACATTAAAGCTCATCTTATCTGATGGATCAGTGTTCCTGAGGACGACATGATTGGCCGAGCGGGTCTGTGGCTTGATGCTTAGTGACTCCACCGTGTGCATGCCATAGCCAAGTCTAGATTGATCTCATTTGGGAATAGGATGTCGGGTCAGTACAGTATTGAAGGGAATGGAAACATTTCTTTGGAAAAAGAAATAATTATAAAAACCATGACCGGTTTAGTTGTGGGGGCTATTCGGGCTCCAGCATCTTTAATCTTGGGTCAGTTCCATTCAAAGCCAGTGGGTATGATTGATTCATCCCTGATTGATCTCTAACCTATTTCTTATCTCAGAGAGCTATTGGTATGCTTGTCTCAATGCCTCCCTCCAGAGCCTGTTGGTTATATTCACATATGCAGATACAGATATCAGACCAGCTGACATGATGTATTAGCTTAGCATGATATAAGCGAGGTTTAATTGAGACGACAAGAGCCAAGAGAACAAAGAATAGAGAGGACTCTCGCAAAGCAAGGCCAGTCTTCCACCTGTCTGGGTATATCCAATGTCCCTCACCCCCAATCCTCACCCCCCAAAAACCGCCTTCCAATAATCCCTGACCCCCTCACAGACCCCAACCAACCCAACCCAACTCTCAAACTTATCCTCAAGCTCACAAGCCGTCCAAAGAATCTCCTTCCAAAAAACCCTCTCCACATCAACCCTCCCATTGAACCTCAACCGCGCAACAACATCCCCAGGAATCGTCCAAGCCCGCGTATACCTCCCATCATCCGTAAAAGCCGGATTAACCTCATGGTCGTCGAAAACAGTGGCAGGATTAAACTTGGGGAAATTAGCATGCACAAAAAACACCTCTGGCGCAGGTCCCTCATCCCCACGCACACGCCACACGCCCTGCCGCGTCAACTCGAAGTCCTGCACGGGATTGAACTGCGCCATGGCCGAGCCAGCCATTCCGCCCTGCGTCTCGTGGCCGAGGGCGCACAGCGCCTCGCTGACTTGGTAGAAGGGTTCGCGGGTTGCCATTGCCGCGGCTAGGAAGGTCTCTTTGTCGCCTTCGCCTGCGGCACCCTGCGAGAGGAGCGGGTAGTAGTGTGTTGGGCCGTGGAAGTTGTAGTAAGTGCAGAGCAGGATGGTGCGGAGATGTGTTCTTTTTGAGAGGAGGATTTCGCCCGACTCCGTTGATTGGCGGGTTGTCATTAGCGGAGCTTCGAAGTCGGCGATTGTGTAAAAGTGCGGGGAGATGGAGGAGGCCCAGAAGTCGGGCCAGGTTATTAGGCCGGTGGAGGTGAAGGGTTCTGAGGTGAATAGGGATTCAGGATTTTCGAGGGGGAAGGCGTCGGCGTCTAGGAAGAGGATTTCTTCGAATGAGGAGAAGAGAATGGCGAAGGGCTTAAATTGGTATTTTTCGATTGTTGTTGGTGACGCCGAGAGGATGCGCGAGAGGATTACACAGCGTGCGTTTAGGGATGGTAGGACTACGGCGCAGATGTAGGGTTCGTATTCTGATTCTGTGGCCAGGAATACTTCCATTGGGAGGGTGGAGCCTGTTCGACGCAGCATGCGGAGGGATATTACTAGCACGGGGAGGTAGAAGCCGCCTGCTGTTGAGACTATGCCTCTTGTGTTGGGGGTGTAAGGTGGTTTTGGAGGGTTGGCGAGAGCGGACAGGAAGCCGGTATGCGCTTGCTTCATTTTGGCGATGTCTTCTGGTGAAATGGAGAGGGTATCTGGGCGTGGCGGGGCATTGTGTGCGTCGAAGCCTTGTGTTGGTGCTTTCTCGTGCTCGACGATAGCTAGTGTGGGGGGTTTGTATTCTTCCAGTAACTCGTGTAAGTCTCGCCAGAAGTTGGGGGTGATATCCGGACCGGGCGGGAGCTGACTTGGTCGCCATCTTGTTAATGTCCAGGTAAGAAGGATAGCGAGAGTCAGAGCTGCTGGCAACGTTCGCGCGCGTAAACAGTGTCGTGGGATCATTGCTCCAGATGTCAATATTGATGATCGACGCTAAATGTGGATCTCGGGATGTGGATCGGATGACGTCCCAGGTACATGAGATTTATAATATAGCGTCACTATCATGTTGATACTGAGGTAGTTTGACAAGTGAAATCTGGAATGAAAACAAGAATGGCATTCCAGAGAGCTTATCCCTTCCAAAGTGCCCAGGTGGCACAGACCCCTTACATCTTTACACTGGCGGGCATATGTACATTGAGCTTAGTCCAACCGCATCCCTTCTATACAACTTTTTAAACAAAATTCTCTTATTTAGGGCTAATCAATCGCTCGCTAGTGGACGCTCGGCACATCAACGAAGGAACTCCAAGCAGCGCCATCAAAATTTCTTGATTCTTCCCAAACTCCGATGTATATATTCTTCCAAGCTAGCCACAAGCATTTATAACTATATACAATTTATGCACAATCAACTCTCACGACACACCACGCGCTCAGCATGCACTCAATATCAACAAGAAAGGGTATCAAAATAAAACACAATCAGACATCAAATCGATCAAACAAGGCTAGCAAACCAAAAAAAAAACTACCACCAAAACCAAAGTACCTACTAAATGAATAAAACAAGTCTCATTTTGCATCCGAAAAGCCCAGACTAAATGACGAACCACGCAAAGAGATCTCAATTTCCCCCTCTCTCACTCAAAACCGCCAGCAGAGAAGTAGAAAGCGGTGAGTTCGCCATATTCATAACGCCCCTCCGTGCACGCGCATAGTCAAACCGAATATTACCATTGTTATTGTCATTGCCATTCAAGTTTCCATTAACATTCGCGGGACGATCTCCTCCAGCCTGCTGATCATCTTTCAAAGTTCCCATAGGCTCAGGTACAGAGTCCTGTCTAGGAAGGTTCTTCTTCATCTCGTCTTCTCCTCTTCTTTCTTCTAAAGGGCGTTCGTATCGTAGATTAGCATTTTCAGGGATCAACGCATCACGAGTTGTCTCAGATGATGTTCCAGATGAGAACTCCCGAGCCTGGCTGCGGCGTAGGCCGGGAATGCGAGTCTGCAGCGGACTTCTTAGCTGCAGATTTGCAAATTGGGATGCGGTGGCGCTGTCAATGTGGACGTGGAGGTTGACCATCACGGGATTTTGGTCGGATTGGGGCATGGTGGTGGGAATGGTGGGCTGTTGTTGCTCTTGCTCTTGCCCTTGGTCTTCGTCCTGGGGCTGACCTCCCTTCCATAGGCTCTGAAGGGTTGTTTGCAGCAGATTGTTTTGTAGGTTGAGGCCATTATTGGCCAGTGCCATGTTCTGGATTTGGAGTTGCTGCTGATAGGGGTTCAGCGAGCCGTATTGGCCCGGGTAGCTGGGTTGGAAGTGACTCTCGGGCAGTGGGGACTCAGGTGGGATTTGAATCTGAGGAAGTGGGCGGTCAGGTTAAGCTCATTTTTACACATTATCTTCTTTTCAAATGTTAATTAGTACATACCTGGCGGCTGAACTTCCTCCCTGGCATGGCAATGTATTCATCAAACATACTCGCCATCGCAGCAAAGTTATACCCGCGGCCGGGATCCAAAGGCTCAAATCGCTGCCCGATTTCCCGACGGAAGTCAATACCTCCGCGACGCGGCAGAGGCTGGAAAGCAGGCAGCTTCAGCATGGGAGAGGGATAGTTACCGATTTTTGCAGCGATGACCGGGTCAATATCAATAGAGAGAGACAAACGACTATCAGCCGCCGGCTTGTGGATCAGCATGACAAAGGTGAATTCGCGAGGAAGACCAGACCGCTGGAGATCATTTTCCTCCAATGACCAGACGATCTCACCGGCCTCGACATCAAAGCTGCGACCTTGGTCGCTCTTCAGTGTCCGCGCGGACCCCTGAATACGCATCATTTCGTATCGTCGGTACCGATTGTTCACGCTACCGGAGGGAATTACGCTTGCGCTGACGGGCATTTCTGAAATTCCAAGAGAGCCCGCAAGACTAAAAGTCCACTCCATGGTCTCTGGGGAAACAGTACCATAGAGCAAATGAGGTGCGTGCATGAGGAAGCGCGGGTTGCCAGGCGGGTGTCCATAGGGATGATGGGAGGAGCTGGAGATTTCACGGGGGCCACGAATGGAAACGCGAATTTTGGCGGACTTGAAGCGGTGCGAGAGCGTATTGGGGGAGTGGAAGGTGAATCCAATGGCGAGGAAGTCGACATGGTTAGAATCCTCATCAGAGACTGTGCTGTTGGAGTAGTAGCCATGTTGTAGGCGCTCGACATGTGCTGTAATGTAGGCATCGCCGGGTAGTTGGCGCTCGTAGATACAGGAGCGGTTGAGAGAGAGGCGTGGATTGTTCATATTGGGATCTGGGGGCTGTTTTTCTTTAAGTGGCGGTACGAGTTTGATTGGAGTTAATGAGCGATCGCCCAAGGGCCGTTTTTGATGATTTGTAGATGCCATACTGCTTTGGCGGTCGCAGTGCGACGAGCTCGCTGGTTTGTGAAAAATGCGTGTTAATGCTCTCCATCGGGCCCGTTCCATACGTGGGGTCCGTCGAACTCGACGTTGGACCGCAAGGCATATATTTGTCCTATATAGAGCTTGAGCTGACTACTAGCGTCATTATTTTTTTTCTTCATTATTGCAGAGAATGATGGTTTTCCATCACCTGGAGTGTCAGTGTTGGGTGTCATGTGTACGATGGCAGATCAGGTGAGCATAGAAATAGCGATGACCATGACGCGGCTCTAGGCATCGGCTATAAGAACATGATAGTGTCATTTTAAAAGATTTGTAAGTACAGGCAAAACCTTGAAAGTGTTTCGTATCTGTGTAGGAGTGATGTTCAATCACTGTACGGAGTTCTAGTTGGTGTCGATAAATTCGGAATTATGCTTTTCCACATGCTGACCAAATTGCTGCTTAGCGTCTTTAAAATGTTAAGGCAACAAAATAAACAAAGCATGATTATCACCCTGACGTCAAATGATAGTTCATGTCTGTAAAAGGGTCGAGGCCAAATTAAACCCCGGATGTTCCCCACACGTTTTGGGCGGATAGATTTCCTAATTGGGTTCTACCGCCGCATCTAGATATTCTTCGGCCAGTCACTGTACATAGACAATAACCGATTCTATACCAATGTTTCTTAGATAATTACACAGCAAGTTTCGAGAAAGGTGGCAAGTAACTAGCCAGCACACAACGGTCACACCCGGAGACGTCCCCTAGGTGAAACACTGGCTGCTATTACAATATCACCACTGCATAGGTAGCCATTTCCCCATTTTTGTCCCTCCACAACTGTAGCCCCTGAACCCTTAAGTCCTAAGATCTCCCATAGCACCCATTTACTAGAATATCCCTGGGATCAAGTTCCATCTCACTTTTTCCCTATAAATCTTCCAGCTAGGACCATATTTCTTGGCACATTTAGCCTCATCACGCAGACTTCTCATTGCAAGGAAGATAGTTGCGAAAATTGACTCCGTCCACGGCAATAGGCTTTGAGAGCCGCATAATCCTCCCATAGCTAGAGTCATCAACAGAGCGCCAACATAGTTTGGGTGGCGGACGATGCCCCATAATCCTGATCTGCGTCAATCATTGCCACTCATAATATACCTGAGGTGCAGCATAAAGATTTCTTGATACTCACCAGAGCAAACCAAGAAAGTCTTCTGGGTCACTCCATCCTTGGTTATGAACTCAACCTCGATGAATTTGGCCGGCTTCCCCCACATTCTGCAGCTGCCTCTGGTGTCTCTAACCAAGTTCTTTTGCTCGCTTGCAATGAAATAGGTCGTATAACCGGCCCCACCGACCATTAGCATGAATATAGCTGTGAGCGGCGATATTTGTATCGGACGCTGCACTAAATACTGTGACTGGAGGGTGTACATAGAATGCAGGAAAAACCCGGAACCAAAGGTAAAATAATACCCGAATGGCTCTTCACAGATATCTATGCTCCGCAAGTACCTAAATTTATTGTTCAGTCAGACTATTTTATTCCTGGGGGTTTCATGTGAACAAAAATCAAATCAGTGCGCACCAATGCTCGTTCCATAAAAAATCGGCGCTCACGAGGGCTCGAATCAGACTGACAATCACAATTGAATTTGTGATGAAGCCGAATTTTTCATATTGCAATGCGATGAATGATAGGTCACTATATGCGATTAGCCTCTGTCGCCCACTTATGAAATGGATAACTTGATTGACATACATCACAGTCCAACCGATCATTGCGCAGTGTCCATTATGGAAAAGCTTCACGTCCCACAGCTTGCCAATTCGGGGATTAAGTTCGATACCATGGTATATATCTGTTATGATATTCCCTGCTAATGATCAGAAATAGGCTTCCAACTATCGCTGCTCAAACGCACCACTGAATTTTCTATCCGCGGCAGACGACGGAGCTACGTGAGCCTTGATAAATGCCAAAATTGCCATGACCCAAGCATAGTACGCACTGGCGGACAGAAATTCAGCCCAATGAAGCGCAACAAAATGTATTTCAATCATGCCCGTGGCCCACAAGATCAAGATGACAAGGATAGTCGTAAACCAACATTTAAATCCATTGAGTTTGTAGGAGAGCGTTTCTCCAGCTGGCGTGGGCTGGCCCACATAAATGAGTCCTGGAAGTGCAGTATATAATACTGCCTGGAAAGATATCCAGGCAAGGAAAACAGCCGCGATATGAAGGCGAGGTGGCTGGTAGCAGCGAAAGAGTATCGCCGGCTCTGAAGAAATGCCGCCTAGCGCTTTCAAGATCGAGCAATCGTACAATTCCAGTGCTATCCACCATATGCTAAATATGGCTGGAAGAAACAAAATAAGTAGCAAGTTCAAGAGCCCAACCACTGATTTGGAGACTGAATTTCCGATTTGTGGCTCTTTGTTTCTTTTAAACTCGATTCTGATTCCGGGTGGTGTATTTGGTCCATGCATGTTGGATGTAGAATGCCCAAGAGCTTGCATGGTTGGAGCTTATTGGAAATGAAACACTTGGAAAAGAGATGACAGAGTATAAGCTTTCAAAAATAGCGCATTAATATTAGTAGAGAGATTATATATCCATAGTTTTTGGGCATGATGCAAAGGCTCACATTTGATCTTCAGTCTACAGCGTTTATTGCTGTCATGTTCTGGAATGAAGTAAACTAGATGACTCGCTTAAGTTATGTCATATGAAAATCCTATGTATATCTTCGATAGTACGTGTCACACAGATCTCACCGCAAAGTGCTTGGTGGGTCGAAGGTTCAGATTATCGCTCCATTCAAGCTCCACTAAAGCCTACTGGAGGCCGATCTCTTGCCTAGCTAGGATCTGCAAGTATGATAAATGTTTTTCTTTTCTCGAGGTTCATCCCACTTGCCAAGCTAAAATATGACTGCTTGACGCCACATTTTCGAGCTCAACCTATCAAGGTGAATTATGCTAACACATATTATCAGAGAGATATGTAACTGACGGCGAGAAGCTAGCCTGATATCTTCCCCTCTTATAGGTACGCCTTGTATTCACTATAGTATATGCTTGTTGCTACCAAGGTGGCAAGTAAGAAAATTGGCACGCAACCATATTTGTAGCTTCTTGATTTCTCCTCAAAGATCGTCATCTGCAGAACTATCAAAGATCATCCTTGTAGGTAATCCACCAATCATGAAACTAATGCACGACCTGCAGCCTGGGAACCCAGAGATTGGCGATTGCGATTGGCAATGTTCCAGGCTAAAGACCAACCATCGAACAAGTAGGAAAGGAGGGCCAGGGGTCTAGTCGGGAACCCTCGGTTATTGAGTGATAGACTAGGGTGATATATAAGTAATATTTAATCTTATGAAAATATGTTATAATGCTCGCTAATGCCATAGGTTGGGAAGAACAATGTCAAAGGATTTCACTAACATCGATCTAATTGCAAAATGGCCAGACTCTTTGAACCATTATACAGTAGCTTTTGGACCAGCATCAATTCACATTTCAATACACAGGACTTTCAGCCCAAGACTTTGATTTCAAATAACATTTCTTCGTTGAGGGATTGGTGTGGTCGAGCATGCCAGGTTACTCGGGATCCCCATATACGCCCATATAGCTTTGAGCAAGGTTTTATGATTTTTGTCTTGACTATGTAATGTTGCACGCTTACCTAAATCTATATGGACTAACGCTGACTTATAATAGATCATTCCACCTCCTCACGTTTCTGGTTTTTGGGACATATTCCTACATTTTCAACTTTGACCACGCGTTAAAGAATGATAAAAGATTTCGCAAATACCAAATCAGGCAGGAGATCAAAGACTCAACACTTGCTATTGTTGCAATGGACATTACTAACGTCCCTGTCGCAATGCTACAACTGAATGGCTGTTCATTTCTCTATGACTCAATGGTAGATGGGCCTGGGTTGTGGTATGAAATGCTGCAATATCCATTGGCAATACTGTTTATGGATACTGGAATATACTGGCTACACTGGATGTTTCACAGTCCATTCCTTTATTCACATGCACATAAAAAACATCACAGGTATGATGGTCAGAAATCGAAACTTCGATATGCAGACAATTAATTACCTAGTTTCATTGTTTCCACTCCATTTGCCGCTTTCGCATTTCATCCCCTGGAAGCCTGCATAATGAGTCTACCGAATCTGCTTGCCCCTTTTGCAGTGCCAATGCGCAGCTCAACCTATCTCCTCCTTCTACTCTATGGCAATATAGAGACAATCATGAGTCGTACGTTGAGTGTGACCACCAGGATTTGGCAATCATAGACTAAAATAATACCATCCAGATGATAGTACAGGAAGCTTTCACACGGTGCACCACCTTAACGCAAAAAGCAATTTTGGCCAATTAACCACATTCTGGGATCAACTGATGGGTACATATCTGGATCCCTTCTTTTATTTTCAGAAGCATAACAAGGGCAGAGATCGATCAAGAGTCTCCATCTAAAAGGCGATAGCGAGATACGATGACAAATGGTTTTGCCCCTCTACAGGCATCGTATGAGCTTTTTTGCCTTATCTCGGTGCTTATGTCTTCCATGCTTGCATTATCTTGATCAGAGTAGGGTCTGATCGCGGTTAATCCGTTCATATGCAGGCCCTCACAATCTGCGCGTGATACACTACAGCACCTGTATCACCAACATCACATTACGAAATGGCCTGAACATGCGGGGCACTGTCGAACCCATAGGCCTTGCTGCATCATCTCCTTCTAGCAGCAGGCTTGAAAAAAGGCTCAATAATGGTTATGATGTTGGGGTAAGAAAGTGTTCTTTACCAGACATGCGATTCAATTTTGTCAATCAGGAACAGGAGTGTAACGTTACTACATGGTAAGTCAAATTCAAAAACACGAGATGTGGTAGTGAATCTGTAAGCCTTTTTCCGATATTCTAAAGTGAGCCCATAGTTTTGAGACGCTGACCCCATTTTCCATTCCAGTACGGGGGTAAATGTGCTGTTGATGGTGCAAAGTGCCATATCAAGATGAATGATTAATGGCAAGGCTTTCTGTCCAATCAGCTGCAAATCCAATCAAGGACTTTGCCCTTAGGGGCAAACGATGGAGAGCTAACTATGGGGATAAGTTTTATCATAGTGACTTTACTTACCTATGCGACGTCGCGTGAAAAGTTAACTTAGATCGCATGGTCTCAAAACAAATTCATGGTATTCTCTCAGCCAATCCTCACCAGTATGGACCGGGTAATCCGTGACAATGTGTAGGTCTAATGAACAATCCGTTCATTATGGATAAAGCTCGGTGACTTGGAATGTCGAAAATTTTGACGCAGATGTTACAACTTGCAAGGGTCCAGCCCCAAATGTTGGGGTCCCCACAGTTTGGGGCGGATAGATTTCCTAATTTGGTACTTACCGCTTATATCTAGATACACGTACAAATTCCTCGACACTTTACAATTATACATGTGTAGATAGTAAGCAAAATATAAATTCGCCGATCTATTCTATTGGAACCAACTAGCCGCTGGTCGGAAACTTGCCAGATCAAGCAAGGAACCGATTTCTGACAGAGTTTTGTACTCCATTGACCCGGTTCTATCGCGGGGGTGTCTATCGTAACCAGTTTCATGCCCCGCCAAGATCGACGAAAATTATAGTATATAATCCAAGGTAGAAGCCCTAGACCTGTGAAGTGCAAGATTCATTCAATTACCTGTGTGGATTTCCCTCAACGTTGAGTTCCACCGAATTTCATCATGAACAGACTTATTTCACCAAAATGTGCCAACTGCCCTTCCTTTCGCGCGGGAAAGTGTACAGGAGCGGCTAAACGGCTACTGGCAACGGAAGCATCGCCGCTCACTCGCAAAGACAAAAGGGAGGGTGATATTTCCTCAGTATTCTCGACTTTCTCTGGCCGAAAAAGCCCGCCACTGCCTGAACGGTTCCGTGACTTGAAGCGTAACTTGACCACCGGGTTTGAAGAGCAAATCCAGAAGTCTTGGGATGACCTCGTTCAGACTCTGAAGGTCCGGACTGAAGAAGTCGCCTCCAAGCGAGAGTCCGTAGGTTATTCCCTCCCTTGGAACAGAGACAAACCCATGTACTAACTGCAGCAGATGATCCCTCAGTTGAACTTTTCTGACATCAAAGCTCGTACTGTACCTGCAAAGAGCGTTGAAGCTATCCGACGCACCGGTGTTGCGGTCATCAGAGGGGTGGTACCAAAGAATGTCACCGAAGAACTCCTCTCTGACGTTCGTCAATACTTTAACGCCCACTCTTTCAAAGGCTTCCCGTCTGATGCGGAGAAGAAGGTAATGCATAGGTTCGCACAATTTTTCAAGCTTATACTCACTGGTACTAGGTTATCTACGAATCTTATTGGAGTCCTTCGCAAGTGAAAGCCAGGTCGCACCCTAATCTCCTAGCCACACAGTCTTGGATGAATCAACTGTACACTGCGGACGCAAATCAAAAGGGTAATTAACCTGGTGACGAGCCAAGCTAACGAATTTCGCTGACATACTCTAGTTGATCTCTCTATTCCGCTGACCTACGGTGACCGTGTTCAAATCCGCCCACCTGGCGACAAACTGTTTGCACTTCCGCCTCACGTCGATGGCGGAGGAGTCGAGAGATGGGAGGACCCCGCTTATAACCATGTCTACAGCAAGATCTTCCAAGGAAAGGTAGGGCCAAGTGTGCCACATGCTCCCTCATCATAGACTGACACCGTAACAGTGGCGGGAATACGATCCATGGGACCTGACTGGCCGCCTCGATGCCAACATGAATATGTATGATGGACCAGGTGGTTGCTCTGTCTTCCGGTCTTTCCAAAGCTGGCTTGGGCTGTCCCGTCATGGACCCCAGCAAGGTAAGTCAGCCATCGATCACGGATCGTTCAATACTAATCACTTCCTCACAGGTACTCTGGTAGTGCATCCTATCTTGCAACCCTCCACTGCTTACTGGATGCTGCGACCATTTTTCAAACCTACTCGGAAAGGCTCATTGGATGGATGGAAGTTTTCCCTCGATGACGATGAAGGCAATGTCTACCTTCATGGTGCTAATCCAGGCACTGCGCAAGAACATACCCCCGATCACCATCCCCATCTCATGCTCGAGGAAACCATGATTCCCTATCCCACCGTCGAGCCAGGCGATACCGGTAAGGCCGTCATGAATGCCTGAAGTGAACAAAGCTAATTTGCAAATAGTGTTCTGGAGTGCCGATACCATCCACGGCACGGAAAGCGAGAATACGGGCAAGGATGATGCTTGCGTCTTCTATATCCCATCGGTCCCACTGACGCCTAGCAATGCGGTAAGATATTTCTCACAATCCTGGGTACTTCTCATGGCACTAACACCATGCAGCAATACATTGCGCAACAACGTGATGCTTTCTTGGCAGGCACTCCTCCACCAGACTTCCCCGGTGGCCTAGGCGAGTCTACGTTTTCTGATAGAGCACAACTTGGGGACATCCAGACTGAAGCTGGCAAAATGGCCATGGGCTTGAGTCCTATCAAAGCCAGTGGAAAGAGTGAGAAGTCAACGAAACTCGCGCATGAAGTGAATGGAATTCTAGGCTTTTAAAAGTGGAATTGAGCCAATTGAATGCATCACTAGACTAGATGTCTTTCTGTATTACTGAAGTGTGGTAAACAAATTCCCCTACATATATACTCACCTATTTATAGTCTCAACCCGATTAGTAGGCAATAGCCTAGCATCTATTAAAATGAAAACAAATAACGATGAAATTTGATGGTTACATGGTCAATTAAGTGCGGTGACTAGTTGAGCGCTAAGTTGAGGACTGCAAATGTCAAAGCTCGATAATAGATCTCCGTCTAAAATGATAGCTAGATATACAAACTCGGTGTTGTTGCTGTGATTGCTCCCACTAAGTAGTATAGATTTGATATTATAAATTTTGGGACTTTTTAGAACCTGCATATTGATGCTTCATCTATATAATTGACAAGCACGAGAGTGCCCGGGGCAAATGGTGGGGAATGTGATTGGGCTCTCATTTCGGTCCCCAGACCCCAACCCATCAAAATACGGGGATGAAAGCAGATCTATCCTATTATTCTCTTCACACGCGACGATCAATTCACCACCCTAATCAGATGCTGTTGGTCTGTTTGAATCATACTATTCCCATATTGCTTTCCTCTTTATACCATATGTATTCGTCATGCTGTTGTAATATTGATTGTCCGACTCGACATAGCCTCAAGAGTGGGTGATTTGCTTTCATCGGGGTTCAACTATGCTTTCTTCTTGATAAGCACACCTTGAATTCTAGGCAGCAAACTAAACGGGTCATGAGGTTCTTCAATCTCATGTGGATTTTCCCATTCGCCACTATTGAGAATGTCCGCCAAGACATTCCGAGTCAAATCACAACCAACGAATGTGCTCCAGGCAGGATTCCAGCAAGCTAGGGTTGTCTCATGTTAGCCGGTTTGCATATCTGATTGGTTATTCCACTCGAGACAAGCATACCTTGCGCTACAGTCGTCAAGCGGTTTCTACTCCACCCATGTTCCCAGAATATAAACTTGCCTCCTGGTTTGAGGAGTTTCCACACCTCCTTCATGACGCTCTTCGGATCCTTTACGGCACATAGGACCTGAATGCATAACACAGTATCCAAACTGCCCTCTGTGATTCCCTCTTCTCTCAAAACGTCGCTATCTTCAATGCCACAAGCTATGAGCTTATATCTATGCTGCAGACTATGCTTGTCCAAGAGAGCATCGATGGTGTCTTTGAACTGGGAATTGGGTTCAACGCCATAAATATGGTTGACACGAGAGACATCAAAACGATGGATCTGATTTCCTGGTCCGGGGCCTAGTTCCAAAACAACGCCACTAGCAGCTTGTACGAGTGAGGGAACAATGGTCGTGTCTTCGTAAGCGATAAAACCACTGGCTGTTCATGATTGTCAGCCCACTCAGTACATCATTAAGGCAGGGGATATATGGGGAGCGGGGTAGATTACAGGTTATACTGAGCAGCTTTGCTGAAGCGGCATCTTGAATTTGTTGTGGGTGGCCAAGCGCTGCGAGACCATCTCGACGAACGGCTTGTATCAAGGCTTCCCAGTGTACTGGAGGAGATAATTAGTAGAGTTGGTGAAATTTTCTGTGGGAAAGTCTTACAGCAGATAGAGAACCAGATCAGGCCGAATGGACGTAGAATGGAAGCGAGGCGGCCAGGTCCGGGCATGATGCTCTACCTAGGCATAGATCATAAATGACACGGCTTTGTTTTGAAAAAAAAAACAAAAATGACGGTGAGATTTGTAAAGACGAAATTTGTGGAGAGAAAACAGAGGGGCGAGCCCAAGTCCGAGCGATGTTACGTTCCGTAGTGGAGACAATGTATATGTAAGACTATGTTTAGCGCTCACCGTGAGATGCCTTGTTTCCAGCTGCTCTTGTATTCAAAGGTCACAGGTAGAGCTAGCGTGTCGAGTTTCATTGAGCTAGCTTTACACAGGGGTATGACGGTTGGCCTGAAATGAGGCCATAATCAGGCACTAAGGCATGATTTCCCTCCGAGCGCTAAACACGCACCAGACCCACTTGGGCTCCGGGGCTCCACTCCACCCATGGACCCGGGGCCAACGAGAGTCGAGTAAGAAAATCGGAGTGCCCAGGTGCCCTGACCCGCGATATAGTACTCTCCATTCCCCTTTCTGCTTCTCTTTACTTTTCCCCATACCTGAGGTAGAACAACAATGCCTCTCCGAATGATTGAAATCGATTCACCTGAGCCGGTCCCCTGGGGAGCCCTCTCATTAGATATCTAGCTTCTCTCAGAATGGGAGTCGGGGACGATTGCAAATCTCTCAATACAGAATATTGCGTCTGTGTTGGGGTTTCGAGTGATGCGATACCATCTACAACTACCAAAAAGAATACTACCATCAGTGATGGCGGTAAAGACACGCCTACTGAAACTCTTCCAGGGACTATCAGCACTTGAGAGACTTATTACAAGGTCATCCATCCTTGGTGATAGATGTTTTGATATAGCTGCAGCTCATGCGACATCAGGACGGAAGGATGGGGCATTTTCGGCGTCAATCCCACTGGTCCTCATATTTTAGCTCTAATGCCAATACTTCTACAGTGGCGATTCCTCGTTCTGGTATCGAGTGAAAAAAAGTCCTTGTCGGTAAATTTGAGCAAAAATAAAAAACAGGCAAGTCACAGGGCATCAAATCTCATGAAATTGAGGATCGTCGTCATAATCAGTATACCGGCCTACTATCAAGATATGTAAATCACAGTAACGCACTAATGTCAGAACGCGACTCGCACCGAGCAATTTCATAGTCTCGAACGACTCGAGCCCACATCGGCCTTGCTAACTTCGCCCCGGCGCGATCAATCCAGTCCCAATTAGAGAAGCCAGGCTCACAAAGCTCCAAATCAAAGCGTTTGACGATATGTGCGATCCCAATATACAACTGCATATATGCAAGACTAGATCGAAAGTCAACTGGGCAACTCGCATCGAAAAGAGAAAAAAAACGTACTTAATTCCGATACAGGCATGATTGCCCTTCTGGAACGGTGCGAAACACTGGTCGCGCTCTTTGTTGCCGTTTATAAGCCATCGTTCGGGAATGAATCGCATCGGCTCCGGATATGCCTCTGTGTTCTGATGCATGGCGTATATACTGGCCGCGATGATAGTCTAGCAAGCGGCTGGTGAGCAAGAATCAAGGCCCTGTTAGTGGATGGTTAACCTACACCTTGGGGGAGGTGCTGCTCGCCAATAGTGTGCCCCCCTGGTGGAACGATCCTAGGCAGGAGCCCTGGGAGGCTAGGATACAAACGCAAGGTTTCTTTCACGACTGCTGTCTGAAAGAAAGTTAGCAAATCATGCTGTTCAAATACGGGAAAATGCAGAGGTTTACTAGGAAGGGCAGCTTGCTCAGACTGCTCCAATCGTCGCTGTCTAAAGAGTAGTCTTCCAACTCACTGCGGAGGCGGAGGCGCATTGCAGGCGACTGAATAAGCTGAAATATAGCGGCGGAAAGGGCCATCGCCGATGAATCGGTATTAGGGACTAGGAACTGCAGCGTGTGCTGCATTATATCACGATCCAGTGCGGTGGATAAAGCTCCGGCGGGATTTTTGTCAATCAGCATTTCACACACCGAGTTTGAGTGGCTATAGGTTGTTTGGTCGTCAGTTTTCTTGTGGCATCTGCTGATCAAAGCGTTGCATTTCTACAAAACCATTAGTGTGTGGCTTTGTAATTCTCATGGTTGTTTTCTCATACCTCTCGCAAACCCCGAAGGCCAGGGGCCAGCGAGTCAAATATGCGGGGAGGGGCCACTGCACCGAGGAACCGCAAGAAAGGAAAATTCAAGACTAAGAAAGAATCAGAAGACTTTCGTGAAAAGGATGTCAAAAGTGACCCACGAAGCAAAGATTTGGAGCCGATTTCGTCAAGCGTATCCAGCAAGTCAGAGCGGCACCCTGTAGGAACTAGTTCGGGAACCCCGAGGAAGACCTCGGCCATTGTATTGCACTTCTTAGAGTCAGTAAACGGCTAACACTTCCAGCAAAACCCCCACATACCGTCAATGAGCGAAATATGTTCATCAGGTCAAGGCGTCTTCTCTCTTTTGATTGCTGTGACATTACGTCTGAGGCCAAGTTCAGCCGCCTCACGAAACCCATAGACACGCGGTCTGCGGCGCCCTTGGAGAAAAATGGGTTCATGGCCGCTCGCATGGTGCGGTGTCTTTTTGGATCAGTCACTGAGAGTAGCAAGGCTGCTCCCCCGTTATTATGCCAGAATACACCCCATTTCAAGAAATCAGAGTTGCGTGTGAAAATTCTGTCGACTAGTTTGAGCATGGAGTCGTCTAGTGGAAGGTGGTGCTTGATGGTGGGGATAAAACATACTCATGGTATACATCTGGGTCATTGACATGGACGTAGTTGGGACCAATGCGCACCACGGGGGAGTCTGCTGTCTTGTAAATATATGATATCCGGGGCTATATTGTCTGACGTACTATAGTGCTGGTGAAGTTCTGGGATGGTTTTCACCATGCCATCTCGAAAGGTGTCGAAATAGATTCGATAGTAATCGGTGCAAGCGGCCAATTTTGGACCCGGGATATTTCGTAGTGGGTGAAGATAGATCCTCCAGAGGCTCAGAAGAACTGCAAAAGCTACAGCTCCGATAGCCAACATGCACAGGATTGTTACCTTGGAGTCGGGCCATAGAAGCGCGAGAGAGATGGTGATCATAATACCGGTGGTAGCTTGCCTCTATTATGTAAACAGGATGATTGATAGACAAGCTGGCACGAGAAGAAATAAAGAGCCTCCGGCCTTGCCCACATCTTTTTAGTCTCCCGATTTGATAAAACCTTTTGACATAACAACAAGGAAGGCTAGGTCATGCTGATTGCTCATCAATGAAACCAATAAATATCCTATAGGTGGATCCTAGCTGAGATGCCGGACATCGTGGCGCTGGTTCATATCCGAACGGTGGAGTCTAAGGGCTTACTCGCATAAACTTTTGGCTGAGCTCTCACCACACGCTGTCTCGTCTTTTCTCTTCTTCTTGTAAATCTCACCCTATAAAATCCAAGCAACATCGTGAATGTTAAGTATAATTATTTTCTTATCTAGGTACAACGACGTTGTACGTAAATTGATTGATCAGGAATCCATACAGAGAACAACAAAGCTACGATCAAGGTGGATTCATATCTACAATCAGCTCCACTACATCGGAAACTCAACAAACCATCACGATTGATGGTCAGATCCACACTAGCTAGTACATGCGGACAAGGATGACGATACAGACATGGCCAGTTCACAGAACTAATGGAACTAGGCTCTCCTCTTCATCCAATACTCTCAGCTTGTTCAACGCCACTAGAGTTACCGTTTTGATACATTAGCTTACTTATATTGCAAATTATCATTGGAGTCATTGGTTATTATCCCAATCCTCTGTGTACCTGCTATTTTATATATGTTATATCTAGGTATATCAGAGGATTTTCCACTGTATTATGTCACATGCAATGCAGCAATGCATTTGTCACACGGCATAAGAGATTTTGATTGCAATAGATGGTGAAACAGTCTACATATTGAAATTTGAACTGGATAACTAACTTATTCAGGTGATACTTTTAGCTGCAGTGTCCGACGACCCGTTAGCTTTGCAGATTTAAACAACAGAGCATAACCCAGCCTTTGACACTTTTCTCAATTTCCCACATATTTTCACAGTTTATCTGACAGTATTCAGCCCTGCCAGGCCACTTGTACCACCTCCTTTAAAATATAGATGGATCTACGTATGCATGTAGACAATAGCTTAATACGAGATAACACAATATAAAACCATTTGGAAAAATTAGAAAAAGGTTCAAGATCGTCGGTAGACCCGTACTCGGTGGACCTGGTGGATAGAGAGTTATTGTCTAAAGTAGCTGAATTGACACGGTGGTTTTTATTTGAATTAATGGACCAGACCCATGTAAGGTTGCCTTGCAAGACTTTGCTCCTTTGCAATCTTGATCCAGCGCTTTTGGGTTACAAAGACATTCTCCTTCATAACTTAGCACCGCACTACCACGTGCAAGAAATCCCAGATGGCCACTGAAAAAACGCCAGCTAACCAGCGGGAAATACAATGGCGTTTCTGGAGTATCTTCGCCGCTCTCTGTCTACTGAGCCTCATTGCCTCGATCGACGTGAGCATCGTCACCACCGCCTTGCCAACCATTACCCGGGCAATTGGGGGCGAGCTTCAATACGTCTGGATCGCCAACTCGTACCCGCTGGCGTCAACAGTGCCACAGCCACTTTATGCCCAGGTTTCCAACATTGTCGGTCGGCGGAACCCGCTTTTGGTGGCGGTGTCGCTCTTCGCCTTGGGTAGCGGCATCGCAGGAGGTGCGACCAACCCAGGTATGCTGATTGCTGGGCGGGTGGTGCAGGGTCTGGGAACCGGTGGGATTTATGTACTGTCCGCCATTGTAATCAGCGATTTAGTGCCACTGCGCCAACGCAGCCAATACGTGAGCATCATGTTTCTGATGGCCACCGTTGGAGGTGCTGTTGGGCCGCTCGTGGGGGGAGCATTTGCCGAGCGCGACTGGCGTTGGGTTTTTTATATGAACGTGCCAGCTTCTGGCGTTGCCTTGGTTGTGATTTTCTTCGCATTGAAGGAAAATTCCAGTGGTGACTCAATCAGAAACGTCCTTGCGCGCGTTGATCTGTTGGGAAATGCCATCCTGATCCCGTCGGCCGTTGCCATACTCCTAGGTGCGGTTCTCGGAGGCGTCGTGTATCCGTGGTCTTCCTACCATATCATTGTGCCTCTTGTCTTAGGCGCTTTGGGGTGGGCACTATTTCATGTGCATCAGGCCTTCTGTAAAGAACCTAGTGTGCCGCCTCATCTATTCCGAAATCGGACGACAGTTTCAACCTATGGGATGAGCTTCGTCGCCTACATGCTCACCCAGGTCTCTTCCTATTTCCTCCCTGTCTACTTCATGGCTGTGGCCAATGCATCACCAATCCGAGCCGGAGTCGACTGCCTGATATATTCAGTGGTGGTGCCGGTCAGCGCTGTATTTGCAGGGGGTTTCGTGACATACAGCGGGATATACAGACCGTTGTTCTGGAGCGGATTTGCGCTACAGGCGGTGGGTTACGGATTATTGTCGACGTTGGATGGCACATATTCTCAAGCCCGATCTTTTGGGTTCGAGGCTCTTGCAGCGTGCGGAACGGGTATTGTCATACCAGCCCTCTCGCCCGCGATTCTGTCGCCGCTCGCGGAGTCTGATGTTGCCAGTGCCAATGGCGTTTATTCATTTTTGAGGTCGTTTGCGTTTGTCTGGGGCATCACGATCGCGTCGGTCATCTTCAACGGCCAATTCAAGACCCACGGAGGCCAGATTAGCGATGAGGCCGTACGTGCAAAACTTGTTGACGGCGCAGCCTACACTTTTGCCAGTGGGGGATACATCTCCCAGCTTCCACAGATTACCAGTGAGCAAGTCATGGGTGTGTACGCCAAGGCGCTCGCGGCTGTATGGCAGGCATCGATTGCATTTTCCTGTTTGGGCTTTCTCCTGGGGCTGGTTGTAAAACATGTCCCATTGCGAAAAACGCTTGAAACGAACGAAGAGTCGGGGGATAGCTCAGCTACCAAGCAGACTGAAGATGTCTAATTCACGTATAATCAAACGCATGCCTCCATTGATGCTAGAGGCGAATGTACAATAATTTGAACTCACACAAGAGTTATTATGCACACATTTATTATTTAACGACGTTATATCCAGAATGGCTGATATGTACAGACAGCTCTATGGTGCAGATCTTGACATATCAGATTTTGTCTACTTGGTAGCCACATAAGCCTCGAAGCCTCTATTCCTTACAGTAGGTCTCACAAAGCTTCAGCAAAAGCCATGATCGCCATAACCTCAGAATAAGGCATCGAGGTCAAGGGAACATGCTTGGTCGCAACAACCTTGGAACACAACGCTCTTCTCGCAGCCACTACTCCATCAAACTTCCTCAGTAGCCTAGGTGAGTCTCAGGTTGCTGACGGACCTCGGGAGCACAACTGGGGGACATTCAGTCTGAAGCTGGTAAAATGGCCACAGGCCTGGGACGTATCAAAGCCAGTGGAACCTTGGAAAGAGTGGGAAGTCGACGGAACTCGCGCTTGAAGTGAGCAAAATTTGATACTTTACAAGCGAATGTATTAGACATGAGTCCAACAGCCCTGGAGGTGTTTGACTCGGTTAGTGCAATGCTTGACCCGACAGAGGACATTATGTAATCCTGAATTATCAAAGTGCCGTAAATCAATTCCCCTAGATATATACTCACTTATCAATCACCTTCACTCAATGATAGGCAACAGCTCAACGTTCATTAAAATTAACGAGAACCTTGGAAAGTTATGATGAGATTTCGATGGTCACTGAGACATGATCAATTAAGTGTGGTGATTAGTCGAGAGCGTAGCCCACCAGATGTGCTATCTTCAAAGGGGACGGATAAACTATTTCTCCGGACAGAACTTCATCGCCGAGGTGCAATCTCCAAAGTTCATTCAACTTCAGGTGAGCAGGATCTAGAGCTCCCTGGTTCTGAATCATTATATCTCTTGAAATAAACACTTTATTGTTTGGTTCTCCCTGTATGTGCACCCTGGCGATACTGCCCCGGATTCTGGCATGATCAGCTAACAACCCAAGATTCCAACATTGTCATTGTACTATAGCATTCCATCTTTTGCATTTGCTGCGCTGTCTGCTTGATTGACTTGGTTTAGTTTTATGTTTTTTGATTTGGTCTATTTTATTGGTACAAAAGCTGTACCACACAACAGTTTTTGATCGTGACCCCTAGCTATCTTGGGTTGCATTACCACATCGCCAAATTTCGACAAAGTGTATACATCAAAAATCTTGAATTTGAAGTGTGATTTCCCTGTGCACCGGGTTTCACTTTCCAAACGTCTGCCATTATCATCTTTGTGTCTGTGTCACCATGATTGGCTCATGCGCCCAGTTGTCCCTTCGGGCAAGCCGACAGGGATCCCAAGTGTTGTTGAAAAGCACGCGTCTTTCTATTCGGTCAAATATCTTGAAAACTGAAACTCTTCGACAAAAGGGCCTTCGCTCTCTATCCACCTCATCCCAGTGGAAGCTCAACCAATTACCAACAGGGTGCGCATCATTTTACATCCTCAAGAATGCAATCCTAACCATTTCCAGATTGAAGCCCAGTGGTCTGCAAACGAAGCTGATCTCACCGTCATTCTTCACCCAGCAAAGATGGTCCAGCTCAAAATTACCACAACACGAAACACCCGTACAGTAAGTACCAATTTCAACATCAAATCGCCAAACAGACCATTTAACCGGCCTCAGATCCGAGGAACCAAAGAAGAAACCAATTCTCTCCAGGATCCCCCTCCCAACATCTCATGAGAACATCTACACTGTCCCCAACATCCTCACCTTCTCCCGACTAGCAGCAGCCCCGGTAGTCGGGTACCTACTAGTGCACAACTACCACACCGCAGCACTGTCCCTCTTCGCCTACGCTGGAATAACCGACCTAGTCGACGGCTGGATCGCGCGCCGCTACAACCTGCAAACCGTCGTAGGCACCATCATTGACCCAATGGCCGACAAGCTCCTCATGACCATCGGCGTCGCATGTCTCGCCGTCAACGGCTCTCTACCTAGTGAGTTCCCGCACACTGTATTTCGTACAGCCCCCGCAAACTGACAAGCATAGTCTGGCTCGCGGTCATAATCCTCGGTCGCGACGTCGGCCTGGCCATCTCGGCTATCTACTACCGCTGGATTTCTCTGCCAGAGCCAAAGACTATGGCCCGATACTGGGATTTCTCGCTTCCTTCGGCGGAGGTCAAGCCAACGGAGATCTCGAAGATCAACACTGCGCTGCAACTGGTGTTGGTTGGTAGTGCGATCGCGCTGCCTGTTGTGCCTGAGGCGTTTGTCAGTGCTTGGCATTTGAGCGAGGCGATGACTGGTTTCCAGTGAGTTTTTCTTTTTTTAAATACCCCGATTTTATTCTTTTGTTTTTTTTTGTTCTGGTATTTTGTGTGGGAGATGAAGTCTTGGTGGCCCGACTAGAGGCATTTCGAGATTGATTCCAGCACATGCGACCATAGGGTGTGGAAAACAGGGCTTCCCGTCCGCTCAGCCGTACTTAAGCCACACGCCGGTGAGTTAGTAGTTGGGTGGGTGACCACCAGCGAATCCTCACTGTTGCATGTTTGTTTTTTTTTTCCTTGGTCAATTTTTTGTTGCTGCAGTCTTTTTTTCGCATTTACGCAATTTATCGCTAACCAATACCAAACAGATACCTCGTCGCCGGTACAACCCTCTGGTCCGGGCTAAGCTACGTTTTCTCCAACAACGCCGTTAAGATTCTCTCCAAAGAAGAGATCCAGAAGCGCATCGCTCAAGCAGCCGTTAAGCGAAAGTAGAGATATTAATTCTCAAATTTAGTTAAATCAGTTGTTAGTAGTTGTATAGTAGCATTTGAAAATGTTGCATGGATCACACCGGTCCCGACTTGAATGTTGTAGATTACCGCCACGTTCTAACGGGGACAGTGCACATGAAATAAATAAATTGGCTAACGTTGCCCAAAGGGTGTGCATGTATGGCGGGCGCATGTGATGGATCTCAAACGTGGGAGATCGTGCACGAGTCATGTGAAGTTAGGGTTCGGCACTTGATCTACGTTTACGGATCCGTGTATTAATGGACAAAGCGTACAAAGCAGTTACTAACTAACCAGTTATATGTATAGATAGTTATAGTATGTACTTTTTAAAACACTACGTTGTACGGTAAAAATAAGAATAATGCGAGATCCAACCTAGTGAAATGGTGGAACCTATCGGTAGTTCGGCATTAGATTTGATATCGTAAATACTAAATTAATCTTGAGATCGCATAACTATAGATCGGAATTACATTAATACACAAAGATTGTATACTGTTCTGAGGTTATGATTACCAGTTTGATCAGATCAACATATAGTTATAGGTAATGCATTCGGGTGCCTTTTAACCGAGTGGATCGGTCAGCGTCAATAAGTCGCCGGAAAGTACGGAGTTAGTCGTTGCATATACGATAATTAAGCCATTGATACCCATTTCAAAGCATTTCTAAGCCGTATTACGAAACCACGTAGCTTTGTAAGCCGAACTCTTAGGTTTAATTATCTATAATAAACAGTAAATACAAAATTGTAGTAAATAGCAAGTAGTATAGTAAGCCGACGGAATATAAAAGCCGTGTAAGGCGGCTCACGCCGCATGCATATTTTGATGATAGGTATGGATCTTCTGTTTGATTTTTTGACCAATGATATGCTTTAATGACGGACGACCCATCTATTGCTAACCAATCATATCCCGAAACCTGTTAAAGCCCGGGAGTAAGTTTATCTCCGGCACTGAAAAATCGAATGAATCACCCTGAGTCATGTTCTCCACTATAGCTCCCTATACTCGATTCTTGTCCATTACCGCGCTTATGATTCGTCCAGATACAATTTCCAATTCCCTGTTAAGGCCTGAGACCCTCTTTGGTCGTTTTCTTCACCGTTTTAGCGTCTGACAAATGCAGTCGGAGTTAAGGGCAGTTTGCTTGATGTCTTTTTATTTAAAGAATCCATGGCGCTGACGTTTCTCGTTTCAAGCATTTTCGCTTCTTTACTCGCCACTCCTTTCTTTCTTTTCAATTTTAATATCTCCCTGTTCTCGCTGTTCTCGCTGTACATATCTAATCAGCTGTTAATACACCTAATATTTCCAATTGCTTCAGAGTAAAGCCCCGAGCGGCGACACTGCGCCATGGAGGGTCACTCTGAACCTCAGACCGCGGATTCCCGCTATACTTCCCAATCAGTGGAACACCCTGAATCCTCCAACGCCACAGAGGAAGTCCACCAAACTACTGAGACCCTCAATCCAACATCCACCACCAGCTCAACAGCCAGCTCCTCAATCATCAGTCAAGATGGACGGTGGGGTGAAACGGAGACGGGCAAGCCGGTCTCCCGCAGCGGCGCAATGGAAGACCTTGAAGACATGCGCCGTGAACTGACCCGCCTCAGTCTGCACCGCACCCGCTCAACCACCAAAAGCGGTCGTCGCAAGTCCCGCCGCCACGACGAAGAAAAGGCCAAAGAGGAATCCGAAGCCGAAGCAGAAAACGACTTTGATCTAGGCGAGTTCCTCATCAGCGGCCACCTCGAACGCCGCACCACGGCAGGCGAGCCCGCCAAGAAAGTCGGCGTCGTCTTCAAGAACCTCACCGTGCAGGGCATTGAAACCGGTGCTTCGTTCGTACGGACTCTCCCTCATGCCGTGATCGGAACCTTTGGCCCAGATCTGTACAATCTTATCTGCAGATTCGCACCTCAGCTACGCGTCGGCAAGAAGCCGCCTGTCCGCGATCTAATCCACGATTTCAACGGCGCCATCCGCGAAGGCGAAATGATGCTCGTCCTCGGCCGTCCTGGCGCAGGATGCACCACGTTCCTCAAAGCAATCGCCAACGATCGGGGTGCCTTCGCAGGCGTGAGCGGAGAAGTCAGCTACGGCGGTCTCTCGGCGGAAGACCAGAACAAGCATTTCCGCGGCGAAGTCAACTACAACCCGGAAGACGACCAGCACTTCCCAACGCTAACAGTCTGGCAAACGCTGAAATTCTCGCTGATCAACAAAACCCGCAAACACGACCGCGAAAGCATCCCTGTGATCATCGACGCCCTGCTCAAGATGTTTGGTATCAGCCACACGAAGAACACCTTCGTCGGAAACGAGTACGTTCGCGGTGTCTCCGGTGGTGAGCGCAAGCGTGTCTCCATTGCCGAAACCCTCGCCACTAAGTCCTCCGTCGTCTGCTGGGATAACTCCACCCGCGGCTTGGATGCCAGCACAGCCCTCGACTACGCCAAGTCGCTGCGCATCATGACAGACGTCAGCAAGCGCACGACGCTCGTAACGCTCTACCAAGCCGGCGAGAGCATCTATGAGCTCATGGACAAAGTACTCGTCATCGACGAGGGCAAAATGCTCTACCAGGGCCCCGCCAACGAAGCCCGCCAGTATTTCATTGACTTGGGCTTCCACTGTCCGCCACAGTCGACAACAGCAGACTTCCTCACCTCGCTGTGCGACCCCAACGCGCGAGAGTTCCAGCCCGGCCGCGAGGCTTCCACGCCCAAGACGGCCGCTGCCCTCGAGCAGGTCTTTAGGGATAGTGCTGCGTACAGGTCTATTACGGAAGACGTGGGACGGTATGAGAAGCGGCTGCAGGATACGCAGCAGGAAGACACGCGGCGGTTCCAGACCAGCGTGGCGCAGTCCAAGTCCAAGACTGTGTCGAAGCAGTCGCCGTATACTGTCTCACTGGTGCGGCAGGTCATGGCGTGTGTACAGCGCGAGTTCTGGCTGCTGTGGGGCGACAAGACGTCGCTTTATACGAAGTATTTCATTATTATTTCGAATGCACTGATTGTCTCGTCGCTGTTTTACGGCGAGTCGCTGGATACCAGCGGTGCCTTTTCGCGTGGTGGTGCCCTGTTCTTTGCCATTCTGTTCCTCGGCTGGCTGCAGCTGACCGAGCTGATGCCTGCTGTTTCTGGACGGGGCATTGTCGCCCGGCATAAGGACTACGCTTTCTATCGGCCTTCTGCTGTGTCGATTGCGCGTGTTGTCGTGGATATCCCGGCTATTTTCTGTATGGTTGTGCCGTTTTCGGTCATCACGTATTTCATGACTGGGCTTGATGTCTCGGTTTCGAAGTTCTTCATCTTTTTCCTCTTCGTCTACACGAATACCATCTGCATTACGTCGCTGTATCGGATGTTTGCGGCTCTGTCGCCGACAATCGATGACGCGGTGCGATTCAGTGGTATCGCGCTGAACCTGCTGATTATCTATGTCGGCTATGTGATTCCCAAGCAGGCATTGATTGAAGACTCGATCTGGTTCGGATGGCTGTTCTATCTCAACCCAATCTCGTACAGTTACGAAGCGGTTTTGTCGAACGAATTCTCCGATCGCACTATGGAATGTGCGCCGTCTCAGCTTGTCCCCCAGGGTCCGAAAGTCGACCCCAAGTATCAGGGCTGTGCTCTGACCGGCTCGTCTCTGGGCAAGACCTCTGTGCCAGGCGCACAGTATTTAGCCACCAATTTCCAATTCACGCGCAGCCATCTGTGGCGCAACTTCGGCGTTCTACTTGCTTGGACTGTGTTGTACATCCTGGTGACTGTTATTGCTTCCGAGGTCCTCTCGTTCGTTGGCGGTGGTGGCGGTGCTCTGGTGTTCAAGAAGTCGAAGCGCGCCAAGCAAGTCGCTGCCCAGTCTACCGGCAACGATGAAGAGAAAATCGCTAGCACCGACGACAATGCTGCTCTTGCCCGCGGCCAGGCTTCTTCCGGCGACGATGCCGCTTTCAACCGTCTATCCTCCAGCGAGCGCTGCTTCACCTGGCAGAACGTCGAATACACCGTCCCTTACGGCAACGGAACCCGCAAGCTTCTCAACGGTGTGAACGGCTACGCCAAGCCAGGTGTCATGATCGCGCTGATGGGTGCCTCTGGTGCCGGAAAGACCACGCTACTGAACACTCTGGCGCAGCGCCAGAAGATGGGCGTGGTGACCGGCGACATGCTCGTCGACGGCCACAATCTCGGCACTGATTTCCAACGTGGCACTGGATTCTGCGAACAGATGGATCTGCATGACAACACCTCGACTATCCGTGAGGCGTTCGAGTTCTCTGCTATTCTGCGTCAACCCCGCGACGTCCCCCGCCAAGAGAAGGTCGACTACGTGGATCGAATCATCAATCTCCTCGAGCTGGAAGACATCCAAGACGCAATTATTGGCTCTCTCAACGTCGAGCAGAAGAAGCGGGTCACAATCGGTGTCGAACTCGCCGCTAAGCCCAGTCTTCTTCTCTTCCTCGATGAGCCGACCTCCGGTCTGGACTCGCAAGCCGCTTTCTCAATCGTTCGCTTCCTGAAGAAGCTCTCCCAAGCCGGTCAAGCCATCGTCTGCACGATCCATCAGCCTTCCTCTATGCTCGTTCAGCAATTCGACATGATCCTCGCACTCAACCCAGGCGGCAACACCTTCTACTTCGGCCCCGTCGGCAAAGACGGCGCTGCAGTGATCAAGTACTTCGGCGACCGCGGCTTCCATTGCCCCCCATCCAAGAATGTAGCCGAATTCATCCTCGAAACCGCCGCGAAAGCCACCCACCGCAACGGCAAGCAAGTCGACTGGAACGAAGAATGGCGCAACTCAGACCAAAACCGCGAAATGCTCTCTGAAATCGAGCGCATCCGCACCGACCGCTCCAAGATCCCCATCGAAGACTCTGGTTCCGCGCACTACGAATTCGCCGCCAAAACAAGCACCCAAACCATGGAGCTGACGAAACGTCTGTTCAAGAATTACTGGCGCGACCCATCCTACTACTACGGCAAACTGTTTGTCTCCGTGATCATCGGCATCTTCAACGGTTTCACCTTCTACATGCTTCCGAGAACCGTAGCCTCAATGCAAGACCGCATGTTCTCCGTTTTCCTAATCATCCTGATTCCCCCGATCGTGCTGAACTCCATCGTACCCAAATTCTACATCAACCGTGCCCTTTGGGAAGCAAGAGAATACCCATCCCGCATCTACGGCTGGGTAGCCTTTTGCACAGCGAACGTCGTTTGCGAGATCCCCGCAGCCATCATCTCAGGCCTAATCTACTGGCTACTGTGGTACTACCCTGTGGGCCTACCAACAGACTCCGCAACAGCAGGCTACGTGTTCCTGATGAGCATGCTGTTTTTCCTATTCCAGGCATCGTGGGGTCAGTGGATCTGCGCTTTCGCGCCCTCGTTCACGGTCATCTCGAACGTGCTACCCTTCTTCTTTGTCATGGTCAACCTGTTTAACGGTATCGTGCGGCCGTACGCCGATTACCCCGTCTTCTGGAAATACTGGATGTACTACGTCAACCCGATGACGTGGTGGCTGCGCGGTGTGCTGTCGGCTGTGTTGCCGGGTGTGCAGATCGAGTGTGCGAGCCAGGAAGCGACCCATTTCAATCCCCCGCCTGGCCAGACGTGTCAGCAGTATGCTGGTGACTTTGTTACTTCTGTCGCTAAGGTTGGCAAGCTGGTTAACCCTGGTGCTATGAGTGATTGCCAGTACTGTCCTTATGAGACTGGCTCGGATTACATGGTCAATCTCAATGTCCATGCTGGTGATAAGTGGCGGTCTTTTGGAATTTTCTTGGCTTTTGTTATTATCAACTGGGCTTTGGTATATTTCTTCATTTACACTGTTCGGGTGCGAGGATGGAGCTTCGGCATTGGGTCGTTGTTCGGTGTTGCTGGGTTAATGGTTGATCGTGTCAAGGGGCTGTTCAAGAAGAAGAGTGAACAGTAGGAACAGTTGGTTTCTTTCTTTCTTTTGGATTTTTCTTTCTTTTTGTCTTTTTCCTGTGGTGTCAATTGCATTTACATGGAGCGTTTGGACTTGAATAGATAGATATTAGAGCCTTACCAGGTTAAAAGCATATATATTACGTACTAGATAACAGTTCTCTTCTTCAAAATTAGCTATCATCGAATGCATTATACTCAAATCTATATGATTGCTTCAACGAAAAGACAGAAATTCATAGATATGCTTGACGTCATAGGCAGCTTACAGGATTCGAGTACATGATATCACTGTCTACATATATAAACCCCATACAAAGCACATCCAGTGGTACTAATTAATTCCCAACCTGATCAAGCAACCACAATGTCGCGAATCTTTATAACTGGCTCGAGCGACGGAATAGGCCTAGCAACCGGCAAGCTCCTCGCCTCCCAGGGTCACACCGTAATCCTGCACGCGCGCAACGCCGAGCGTGCCGCAACAACCCAAAAAGCAGTCCCTAGCGCAAAAGTGCTGATCGGCGATCTGCGCTCGATAAACGAGACGAAAGAGCTAGGCGCACAAGCCAACGCCCTCGGCCCCTTCGACAGCATAATCCACAACGCAGGCATCGGCTTCGGCGCAACCTCCAGCCGCGAGATAACAGCCGAGGGTATCTCCGCCGTCTTCGCCGTTAATACTCTAGCACCGTATATCCTGACGTGCATGATGGAGCGCCCGAAACGACTGCTGTATATGAGCTCGGATAGTCACTACGGGGGTGATAATTCTTTGCGTGGTGTTACGACTTCGCATTCGTATGGCGATAGCAAGCTGCATGATATGATGCTTGCTAATGGGTTTGCGAGGCGGTGGGGTGACGTCCAGGTGCTGAGTATGCATCCTGGGTGGGTGAGGACGAAGATGGGGGGAAGTATGGCTCCTGGGGGGATTGGGGAGCCCACGAGGTGTCTTGCTGAGTGGGCAGTTGGGGAGGGGAAGTTTGCTGGGCTTGAGAGTGGGAGTTTCTTCTCTCCTAAGGGTGTTGAGAGGCCTGATAGGGCTGCTGGGGATGTGGGGAAGCAGGACGAGTTATTGAAGATTTGTGGGGAGGTTTCTGGGGTTGAGATTCCTGAGTGATTTTATAGATCTTGATTTGGTCGATTGAATATCACTTCATTGTTATATTCCTGTGGCATATCTCTATTGATATCTTTTCATTCTAACCTACTCTTGATATAGGCTATTTTTATACGTAGACACGTATATAAAGTACTTGGGATATTACTTCAAGATCAAAGTTGATATTCAGTTGAACTATCCCCTTATGTTTTTGTCTTTTTTCATCATCTGAAATTGATCATCAACATTGTGATGTTCGCTGATACAATGCGCTGGCTCCATTCCACATTGTTGCGATATTCTTCAATCATTTTTTTGGGTGTTTTCCTTCTTATCTAGCAATTCTCGACTACAGATCTCCTAGACCAGATACATATGACCAGGGCGCAATGTTGACTCATCGCAGATAATCACAACAAAAGATTTGGAGCATCTTGACACTCAAATATGGATGATGACACGCCAGCATGCATTGATTGCACCAGGCCGACTCAAGTCGTAGCCTCGAGCCCAAAAATAAATCAGAATCAGAACTAAGGATCGACGCCGAAGAAGAAAGGCTTGCGATCCTTTGACAGCGGGACAGCAGGTACTCGCATCGGGACAGGGACGGTACCCTCGAAGCGTTTAGCAGGGAGAGAGACTGATGCGGTCTCATCGTTCTCCTGTCCGTTTGTTCTCTCCTTTTCGTTGAGTATTGGGACAATGACTCCGCATTCCCAGTTGCGGCAGTTCATCTTGAGTTGCTTTGTGGTTGTGTCTTTGACGAGACGGCCCCTGTTACATGTTAGCTATGAGTCTTTGAGAACGCGACTGATTCCACATCAGGGTGATGTAGGTCGAATAAATAACGAATGGCAAGTTATACGTACCAAGCACTCTCGGAAAGATTGGCACTGCCCACATATGCCCACGCGCGGCACTCAGTATTGCCCCCCATGTCAATTGGCTTGGCGGGGCTAACAAAAGCGAGCTTTGAGAAAAGAAGGTATTAACATTTAGAACCAAATTTGGTGAAAATTAGACCTTACTTTATTATGCATCAGAACACCACGCTCACTCTCGCAGTCACGAAGCACAGCCCGAGGGAAGGTTGGAAGAGGCCACCAGTTTGGGTTGAAACAGATCGTCCCTCCGGTCTCGTTGGGGTTCGTGTGCGCGTCCCATGCGGTCTTATTTGAGGGAAAGTAGACGCGGAAGTGGCTTAAAGCTGCTTGGCTAAGATCATCGAGGGTACGCTGCCGCTCGGCGTCTTTCTTTGGGCCGGTACGAAGGTTGTACTCGAAAAGACCATCGTCGCCTAGACGGTTGGGATAAGCGGTGTCCATACAGAAGATCGGGTAGACATACCTTTGCATGCCATGTAAATAGTCCGCAGAAATTGAGCGTTGAGACTACCCATTGATGAAGTCTGTTGTCGTCAGTGTGAGATATGAATGCTTAAAGAAAGGTGAACAAACTTACGACATAGTCAATATTGACGGGAGAGTCACTCGTAAGGCCGAGCTTTTGTAGAGCGCGACCTAAACCAGCGTGTCCAGTGCGTCGCCAGCTTTCTCCTGTGTTTGAACCACCACTTGTATTGTCAGTTCAATATATCCCTCAAAGCAATGGGGTCGATGCACATACACAGAGTGGACAAAGGCATAGCGCTTGGTCTCACAGAAGTCAAACTCCTTCAGTCTATTGATAAGATTGATGTGCAAAGTGGTGGCCTTAAGAAAGTAGACCAGGTCGTCATAGAAAGGGATCGTGTGGGCTTCAGCTGGTGGGGATTTGGTTTCAATTTTCGGCAAATCGATAAGGAAGACAGTCTGTATTGTTAAAAAAGTTCAATAGCCTTAGTGACAGGTGACATACATTTTCCATGAGACCATCCTCACCCCAGTCAGTGGGAGTGAGGTTGGCAGTTGGAACAGCGATCCGAAGATAGTCACGGTGGAGAAAGAGCATCAACTTTGAGTGCATGCAGAACACCTGAGGCTCGATGGGAGGGAAACATAGGCGGAGGTTGGGCATTGGGGCGGTATCGCGGATGTACTCATCTTTCTTCAAGGTGAATCTTATCAGTATATGTAGATGTTAGGCAAAGGCCAGGTCATAATCCTTACTGTCTTTTGGTCATTGGCTTGCATCGTAAGAACAAATCGAGTGGATGAGGTATTAAGCTTGGTGAACAGCCATTCCGTATCCCATAGAAAGGAGCTAAAGACGGCCACCTGCAAGTCATCCCGCTGGATGACTTCCTCGATAGTTATTTCATCCCCGGTTCGAGGAAATCTGGCGATATGTGTTTTTTTTACAGCACCAAGGGGCCACTGGACACCCGGGACAGATGTGGGCCAGACTTTTGCGGCGGGAGCATTAGAAGCAGAGTCAGGGGTAGGTTTGGAGGAACTTGTCAAAGGACGTTTTGCAGACAGTGAGGGTGAAGCTTTTCCGAGTCCTGTGATTGCTGCAGACGCTGTTTGAGAGTCTGTCTTCAAGATTTTGCGAACTGTCTGAGCTGGGGCAAGCTCGCTGTCTGGAGCCTTGCGCTTGGCAGCGTTGCGCGCAAGACGATCCTCTTCCATCTTCTTGCGGTCCAACCCAGGGAGAACTTGATTGGTAGGAGGGGGGGGAAGTGTGTGATCGACACCCGGGGTGACAAGGTTTTCCAACTTTTCAAGACGCTGCACATCTTCTGTAGTTTTTTCTTCTGACATTGTGTTGTGAGAACTGGTTTCCATTGACATGTCAAGAGCGCGTTGCAACTCATGATCGTCATAGCCTTCGGTTTCAGTCTCTGAGCTCACAATAGACTTCGACTTTGGATATATCACCTGAACATCTGACTCATCTCCCGAATCGCAGGTGAGGTCGATGAGGTCATGTGAGGGCCCTTGAGCTGATGCGTTTACGTTCTGCATGTGTTGCTGGTGGTCTCGGCGAGAAGCTGCCTTCGCAGCAAGCAAAGCCGAATCCTCTCCGTGAGCCATGCCTCTTGTCAAGCGATTCTGATGATAATTTACAGATAGAAAGGGGAAAAAATGATGAAAGGATGACAAAGGTGATGAAAATGCCCAGGTGATAGGATAGGTGAAGGTTGAAGGTGTGGAGGATGAAATTCGAAGAATCCCCGTAAAGAACCCCAACCTAGATGAAGTCGTGGTCACTGAAGCTCAGAGTCACATGGATATCGCATGTGATCAGGTCAATCAAACTCTTTGCACTTTTTACAAATTGTGAAGTTCATACAACCTGAAAACCCCTGTTTGTCAACACTTGCACGTGACCGGCCATGCCGCAATATAAAATCACTACAGCCTCCATACACCTTCGTAGCCACGGGTTTAAATTATTATCATTAATGTAACATCGCTAACTCTGAACCAGCTCCTTCGTAATCCATACTACTCTAGGCTAAAGGGGCCCTCCGAACGGTGAGATATAAATCACGCAGCGACCTGGCCCCGCTAACCTCCAAGGCGTTGTCCGACCCTTTCAGCCATTGACTACATAATCACGGAGCAGTTCGGCCAAGGCTATTTCCGCACGAGTCACGGCCAGTAGTCCCTCGGTTCCAGCCTCCAGATATACTCCGAGCGGTTCCTATATCAGTATCCACTCACATTGCCCACCTCGCCCATCCGTCACCTATGCTATCTCACGCCAGGATCATGTTCCGCAAACTCCGTGGTAGTAGCAGCCGTAGCAGCTATCGCAGCGAGCCCGCACCATCAGCGCCGGCCACAACAGCAGAGAGCGAAACTGTTGACCCATCCCCTCGCGCTATCCATATCAGCGACGTGAAGGAGTCCCCCACCAAGCTACCCCGCAAGTCCGGTTCTGATTTACAGTCCATATGCATTCTCGTCGTGAATGCCAAAGGCGCCGCCGACTACTTGCATCTCTACAGGGTACGTACCCAGCGCAAGATAATCCGAGTGCCTCCCCGGCCGAGCTCACCCCGCGCGGTTCATTAGCTACTCCAGAGAGAGAAGAAGCATTACGACGAGTTCGACCCTACGAGTGACTTCGACACAGATTATTTTTGCGACGGTTACCTCTACAATGTCCGCTTCATCCCGCCCAGCGCCCCAGGGTATGGCCTAGCTCACTACTGCCACATGCAGCATGTTTGCCTCGTCCTCACGTACGATGCTTCATCGAGGGAATCGTGGGACGAAATGGTTGCTGCCTGCGAGAGGATACGCAGCCGCTGCGAAGATGGTGCCCTCCCCTTTCTTGCGACAATGATCGCCGCCATGGGTGAAGGTGAAGGTGAAGGTGAAGCCCCGGTATCCCCCGCGGAAGCCGAGGCCTTTGCAACCCAGCGTAGCTGTCTCTTTATCAAGGTCTCGCCCGCAACTGGGCGCGGAATTTGCGATGCGGTCGGCTCGCTGGTTGAGCTGGCGCACGGCGCTCGTGATCAATATACGATGGATCAGGAGGGTCATGCCCAGAGGTATAAGAGGGCAGAGGCATTTGTGGCATTATTTGCCAGCTAGGGATGCCCAGTTCAAGACGGACAACATCATGGATGGATGTGATACCGCCGCCAAGGCGATTAGCAAATACAGCAAATATATTCCGTGGGAAGCTGCTTCACCTGCACTTGGTTCACCACCGTAGTCCAGTCACCAGTTTTGCATCTCGACTCGAGATGAGCCCCTGACTACCCACTGGATATTCTGCCATCTCCACCCCCACTCTTGTTCCAAGAACCCATTGCCTGGGAATGTAGATATCAAGCTCATATCTGAAGATGTAATGAGAAACTCGTGAAACGAATGGACATCGGTCGGGCAGCACTTGACAGGGAATTTTCGGGGCCATGGGAGAAATGCAAAGGCAGTGTTCAGGGCAAGTGCTAGTCACGACCATTATATTCTCAGCCCAGAACCTAATATTCTTGACAAAACGCCGGGCAATACCCACTTGACACCACGCTTTGTGAAGTAATCGGGATTTTTGTCTTCGTCAATCTGTACCAAGTCTAGTCTATCATCTAGAGCTACATTGCACGCCTTTTTTTACCTCGGTTTTCAATGCCTCATCACTCAAAGGTGACTGTTTCCAGATACTGTTTTCCCTTACGGCATCATCAAGAAGGCCCGGAATTTGAAGGTCAGAGAGGCCTATTGAAGGAGTAGTGTTCTCCGGAGCTGGAGGCGTGGATGACCTGGCTGCTAGTGGGGTCTGTGTTGGAAGGACGTTTGTGATATTGATAGGAGGGCAGCTTGTCTCGGGCGTAGATCCATTATGACGCCTCGGCCTATCGAGCCGCTGTCTGTCTGCTCTATAGATTTGTTCACGAATCAAACCTGGCACATTTTCATGTGACTGTAAAACCCTACCGCTCTGCATATATTTGCCCAGGTGGTTAAGCTTTCTAGCTGATCTCGGATAGAGTTTATAGTGCCTCTTTCCACAAGGATCCTACTAGAAATGTAGGCCTAATTCACACGGTCTAGCACAGCGCATTAAAGCATATACCTCTTTCTAAGCGGAAGGCTCCCTAGATATATCTTCCTAGGTTGAATCTGTTCGTTACGCTCTTAAAGCATACGCTAGGTAGCAGATAAAGTGCCTCGTTTTTTAGTCGTCCGGCGACTAGTAGTTAAACTTATGTTATTCTCCGTATAATTAAATAAGATACTAAGTCTTAATTTCTTACTGAAGGTAAATATGAGCGGGAAAGTGCAGTTGGACCCGGTTTGTTCCATGCAAGGTATTGCGCCGGGTAAATCTCGCTTGCTATGACCGGAGCTTTTTCGTAACGCTCTTCGTCCGGGTCTTGTTGAAGCAAGTATACGTATGTAGGTTGTTTGGTGTAAAGGGGAGGCCAGTCGAACTCTGCGGGCCCAGAACTGCCCGCAGCGCCTTCTCCTCGATCTGACTTGGCCTGTTGTGAAAATGAGCGGCAGGCCCGCTCCGATTGCTTGACTGGCTCCGGGCACAGACAGTCAACAAACCCAACGGGGCCACCAGGGTCATGGGTGACTCTCGAGTTAGACTTCCTAGGTCGGGCTTGTTGAACAGCAGTCCATTCCTTTGAAACGAGCGCATCTACGGCAAAGTTCAACCAGACCTTGGCCAGCTGTAGATTTGAGGCACTGGCGTGGTGGCGAGAGAATTTGGTGTATTTGATCATTGCATTGCTGACCAGGTGGGCTCTCGAGAACCTCAATTTACAGACATTGAAGAACAAGATCAACAATAGCAAAGAATGCATCTCGATCGGCCATTTCTTTCCCAAGGCCCAACCCGACCACAAGAAGTCTGTTTTCATTGGGTGTCTTGGTTGCAATGGCGGTAGCAATTTGACGAGCAAGAAGCTGGCCAGTAGTGTCTTGACCAGGGGAATAACCACCAAGAATGGTAGTAGTGGTCAGGTTTTGAAGAGGCAAAAGACTGTCATCGCCTTCAGAGAAGGTATGCATGCCTTCAGTGCCAGGGTTCAGGTTCTCCATTGGGACGTGTAGCTATAAACCGTCAGCAAATTCCACCCAACTTGATACTTTGAACATACCCAGTGCGCCAGGCGACCTGCTTGCGAAATTGTGACCATAATCTTATCGCTGAAGTTCATAACCATAACATCTGTTTGTATGCCATTGACTAACCCCGCTGCCTGCTTGGTGGCCGCAGGGAAAGGGACCTGAATTGAATCCTGGAGGTTGTTGGTATCAAATGCTGAGGCCATGTTTACTGGAATTAGATTTTCTTATTAATTGATGGTAGAGAGCACAACAGCGAACTTAATCAAGTCAATTGAGGGTGTAAACTGTAAACTAGTGTGATGCCCTTCTATTTGGATCGGAGGCGGTCAATGTGTTTCCCCACACCTAATTTGGCAATACTAGACCGCCTTGATTTTTTTCCATCGGCCAAGGACAATTGAATCGTAAAGCTTGCATTTCTCGTTTATTAGTATTTTTGCCAGTCGGAGCGACTGTGGTAATTAGATATGCCACCGCCACCTAAATTCACACCACGTCTGCGAAAACAAAGGCACCGGCAAAACCCAGCCGGGGAGTCTGCCGATACCAATGTCGCCCAGCTCCAACCCGTTTCCAAGGATGAGAAGGAAGCACGCAGACAAAAGTTGCAGTCCGAGCTACGAGAGCAACACACTAATGTCTCCTCGAAAAAGCAAAAGCGCTTGGACAAGTACATTGTACGTGGAAAGCTTCATTGAACGAGCGCAGCGCTAACAAGCCCGCAGGAAAACAAACTCAGGAAAGAAGAGAACATCGAACTACTGAAGAAGCTGGCCCAGTCCTCAGTAGACACTTCTGGTCTCCAAAGCTCCAGAGATCTTTTCAAGCGCAAGAGACAGGAAGACGTCCCTGCAACGGCAGCCGATGCCGCGACGAAACTCAATGCTCCCGCAGATGTCTCCGGATATGACAGTGACGACTCGGATATTCACCTTAAAGTGTCTGACCCCGCAACGGATCCGGAGGTGGAACAAAAATTACAGGTAGACACAGCTACGGGAAGTGGATTGAAGCGACCACTCGAGCTCGGGCCCGATGGTTTCCCAGTGATGAAGAAGCGCAAGCGCGCACCGAAGAAGAAGAAGACTGCGCCGGCTCCTGTCAAGGCAGCAGAAGTTGCATGGGATGGTTTTGACTCGGATGAGGAGGAAGATGAAGATGAAGATGACGAAGAGGGTGATGAGTCTGCCAAGTCCGAAAGCGAAATCGAAGAGGGCTCTGAAGACGAAGATTCTGAAGGTACTTCTTCTGAGGGTTCTTCTGGAGATGAGGATGAGGATGAGGATGAGGATGAGGATGAAAGCTCGGAAGAGTCAGAGGACGAGGAGTCAGATGAAGATACACCCGTGCTCAAACCTCGCCAGTCTGCCTTTAAGTCCTGGGCGGTGCAACAAATCAACGAAGCTGCAGGCTTCCAGTCCACTGCAGGTGCGGCTGTGACAGAGGAAGAGCAAGTGTTCGACCCTTCCAAGCTACCAGCTCGCCACAATACCACTGAAGAAGAGCCCCTCCCTCGAGAACTGCAGGTGACTCATGGCGACCCCAATCGCAAGGCATTCAGTGTCGCTGTCAACCGCTCGGAGGAAATTCAGGCTGCCCGTATTGGCCTCCCCGTTGTCGGCGAAGAACAAAAGATTATGGAAGCTATTTATAACAACTCAGTTGTCGTCATCTGGGGTGCTACTGGTTCCGGAAAGACAACCCAGCTTCCTCAGTTCCTCTTCGAATCCGGGTTCGGCTCTCCGGGCAGTCCAAACCCGGGCCTCATTGGCGTCACTCAGCCTCGTCGAGTTGCTGCCGTCAGTATGGCGAACCGTGTTTCGCAGGAACTGGGTCAACACGCTGAGAAAGTATCTTACCAGATTCGATTCGAGTCCACAGCGACAAAGAAGACGGCCATCAAATTCATGACCGATGGTATTCTTCTGCGCGAGATTGCCGATGACTTTGCTCTCCGCAAGTACTCTATCATCCTTATCGATGAGGCTCACGAGCGTAGTGTCAACACTGATATCCTGATTGGAATGGTCAGCCGCATTGTGGGACTGCGCAAGTCTTTGAGCGAGGAGGACTCCTCTATCAAACCTTTGAAGGTCGTCATTATGTCCGCCACTCTGCGCATCTCAGACTTCACTGAAAACCCCAGTCTTTTCCGCAATGGTGCACCCCCATTGGTTCAAGCCGAGGGTCGTCAATACCCTGTGTCAATTCATTTCTCCCGGCGCACACAGCGTGATTACGTCGAAGATGCGTTCCGCAAGGTCTCACGTGGACACCGCAAACTTCCTCCCGGTGGAATGCTCGTGTTTTTGACTGGACAGAACGAGATTCGGCAGCTGTCCAAGCGCTTGAAGGGGGCGTTTAAACCAACTCAACGCGAGGATACCACACAGGCCAAGGTGCAGCTTTCTGCTAACGAGGCGCCTCTGGAAGCAGAGGATCTGGAGCTTGGTGGTACTGAGATGGACAACGCGGGTGAAGATGACTATGACAGTGATATGGAGATCACGGGACTGGATGATGCAGAGGAAGATGAAGGCTTTGACCTGGGCGAAGAAGCCATGGACTCGTCAACTCGCGTTCACGTTCTACCTCTGTACTCCCAACTCCCCACGAAAGAGCAGATGAAGGTGTTCGAAGCGCCTCCAGAGAACTCTCGGCTCATCATTCTGGCAACCAACGTCGCCGAGACATCTCTTACAATTCCCGGCATCAAGTATGTCTTCGACTGCGGCAGAGCCAAGGAGAAGCAATTCGATCTGTACACGGGCGTCCAGAGCTTCCAGGTCGGCTGGATCAGCAAAGCAAGCGCAAACCAGCGAGCTGGTCGTGCCGGCCGAACAGGCCCCGGCCACTGCTACCGGATGTACTCCTCTGCGGTCTACGAAGGTGAATTCGCCGAATACACAGACCCCGAGATCCTGCGCACGCCCATCGAGGGCGTCGTCCTCCAAATGAAGAGCATGGGTCTGCACAACGTCATCAACTTCCCATTCCCAACACCACCAAGCCGCCAAGGTCTCGCAAAGGCAGAGAAACTGCTTAAGAACCTCGGCGCCCTCACTGCAGACGGTCAAATCACACCAATTGGCCGCCGTCTATCTACATATCCCCTCTCCCCTCGATTCAGCAAAATGCTACATATCGGCCATCAACACGGCTGCATGCCGTACGTGATCGCCCTCGTCGCCGCGCTAGCTGTCGGCGACCTCTTCATCCCAGAGAACCAACTAGACCCACCAGCGGCCCAAAAGAAGAAGGATGACTCCGACAGCGACAGCGACACAGACAAGCGCAAAGTCTGGACCAACACAGACAGACTGGAAGAAACAGCGCGCGAGCAAAAAGCCAAAGCCCACGCTCGTGCCCACCGCCTCTTCTCCAAACACGACGACACCTCCGACGCCCTGAAATCCCTCTCCGCAATCTGCGCCTACGCCTACGCAGCAGACGGCGACGCTTTCAGCGACCAGATGTTCCTCCGCGCTAAGGCCTTCAAAGAAGCAACCCAGCTGCGCAGACAACTAACAGACATCGTGCGCTCCAACAACCCAGGCCTAATCCCCACCTACTCAGCGCGTCTGCCAGAGCCCTCGCCCAAACAAATTAAAGCCCTCAAGCAAATCGTCACAGCAGGCTTCATCGATCAAGTCGCCATCCGCGCAGACCTGGCCCCCGTTCCGCCGGAGATCCCGCGCGCTCCCCGCCGCGCAATCGACGTCCCCTACCTGACACTCTTCCGCTCTCGCGATGGAAAGACCACCGAGCTCGTCGAGAGAGCCGTCTACGTCCATCCCTCCTCGCTGCTGGCAAAGCTCACTCCAAAGGAAATGCCCCAGTACATCACCTACTCGCATCTCCAGCAGTCCTCTGCTTCGCTGGTCTCAGACCAAGTCCCCAAGATCCGAATGTTCCCGCTTGTCGTCCCGAGCGGGCTGCAGCTCTCTGCTATCGCGCACGACACGCCGCTCATCGAGTACGGCAAGCCTATTGGCAAAGCGGATGCGATGGAGGGTGTGCCGCCGCGGCGCTCGTGCTGGGTTATCCCATCGCTTGTTGGAGACGCGGGGAGTGCGGGGTGGCCGATGCCCGCGAAGAAGGTCGTGCAGAAGAAGGACCCGAAGGAGGGCTGGGTGATTGAGAAGTTCGTCGCCTAGTTTGTTTGTGTATCGTGTATTATAGATATATATCGAGACGAGATGAGAATCATGATATCCAATTGTAATTGTTCTTTTGCAAAACGACGTTCCATACTGTTCGTGAAGTGAATACCCAACGCCGACACCGTACCGTATACTCTGAAAATACATGCATGCAACGAGAACCAAGACCCAAGACCCTTCCGGAAAGGAAAAGCCTCACTCAATCCCGCCTCACCCGGTCCCGCGAACTAGAAATCTCCCCAGTCTCCCGATCCTCCCTCAACCCAAACGCCCTCCTCAACCTCTCCGTCTCCTCAATCTTCGCCTCAGCAAGCTCATGAACCTGATAAGCCTTCAAATTCCTCCTATCCACCCCAGCCTTCTTAGTCTGACCACGCTCCAGCTCTTCCTCCATTTCAGCAAGCAACCTAGCCCGCAGAACCTCACAACGCTCATCAATCTCCTCATCAGAAAGAACCTTCTCGACCTGCTCGTCGCTATCCTCACTTGCACTCTTCTTGCCTTTCTTGCCTTTACTCTGCTCTTCTTCAATGCGCTCATTCTCCTCTTCCAACCGATCCCGCTCCTCCATGACCTTTACTTCGATCGCGCGCTTGCGGTCATGCTCGAGGATTTGCTTATCCGGCATGCGCTGCTTGAAGGGCTTATCCAGCGGCCCGTTTGCGCCGCTGACGGGCGGGTAAGGCGCGCCGTAGCCTGTGTTGCGCGGCTTGATGAATGCTGTGTTACGCTGGACGTAGCCGGATGTGCCGCTGCCGCGGGGGGTTGTGAGGCCAACATTGGAGGACATTTTGTGTTGTGGGTGGAATTGTAGATTAAGGTATTTGGTTTGGTTTGATATGATATTGGGTGGTAGTCAGGTGGAGAGATTGGAGCTTGGAGATATTGGTTGGATGGTCGGCCCGGATATCCTTGAAGGCCGAGATTAAAGAGGACTTGGAGCAATGTGTTTCTCCGCGGACAAAGAGAATACGGATTGGGGTGTTAAGGTAGGAGTGCAGGTGGTATCTGCTTGAGCTTGGAGATGATCAAAATGCGCCGCCTTATCGGGCATCACGGGATTTCGGTCACGTGGGATAAACAAGATAGTGAAGCCTAAGGCCGTAAGTAGGGCCTGAGGTAGCTAGGCGTGCCACTATACTACCTTAGGCTCGCATACCATTATAGGTGCGAATGCAGTTAAGCTGATATTAAGCTAGCTTCTATGAGCCAGTAGTTCTAATTAGTTACGTAGGTTTATATTGGTCTTGTTGATGGAACCTTTGCAAACCCCTTCGGCATCGAAAGAGGCAGTGAAATAGGCATTTAAATAAAGCTGACAGCTTAAAGAGGTTCTGGTTTACATACTCAGTGCCTGAGGCATTACGAATCTACCTGATCCTAAAAGTATTATGGGATAGGTCACGTAGAACAACACATCTAACCTACTTAAAGGCTATATCCAAGCTACGATATGATATAGTGGTCGAGAATATGATAAAGTCAAGTCATAATGCATTGATAATACAGCCACGAGCAAGAAAGAAAGAAGCACGATATCGACACGGCAGACGCAACAACACCAGATAAGGATCAGATCCGCACCCGGAGGCAGCAGCAGCATAAAGCAAGGAACACCGTCGACAAACACCATAATGCGAACCCAGAGCAGAAATCATAACGGACTTTAAAAGACGAAAAAAAAGAAAGGCGAATGTGGTAGATAGATAGTATCGTATGGCCCGAAAGCGAAGAAGAGTCAGGGATATTGTTCGTATTTTCTCTTTAGGCATAGCAGCCAAAACCATAACCATTCTTACCATCGCAATCCATTCCTTGCAGAAACGCCATGAATCACATCAAAATCACAATCACAGGTCATAAGAATGTGTCAAGAAACAGATAAAAAAAGATAAGAGAGATAGTCCGAGATTGGGGGGTAAAAATAAACAAATTCGGGCCTCGTTGCGCCAGCCATGAGAGGGGGAATCACATAGACGTTGAACATATATCGCGTCTGATTCCCGTATGTATACGCCCGTATTAGATAGAAGACAAGAATTGACTCGGCTCGATCACATTAGAAAGATTATGTTGGGGCGAGCAAGGAAAAAAAGTGTGCAACGAATTAGTGGGCACTGGTGACGTCGACCGGGACGGTAACACCGGTGTTGCCTGTCTCGGGACTCGAAACCGAGGTCACTGTGCTTTTGGCGAGACCCTTGGGTTCAAGGGTGCTGTCGACGGTGGGTTGGGCCTCTGTTGGGGGTGGGGTGGGTGGTGCGTTGCCGAAGGCTCGTGGCTGTTCAGTGGGGATGGTCCGCTTCAGAGGCTGTGGGGAAGACTTGTGGGAGTGGGGAGGAGTGGTCGAGGTGGTGTGGGACAGGCCGGTTGCGGGCGAGTTGGGGTCGAAAATGAGCTTTTCGATGGCCACAATCTGCTTGCCGTAGCTGAACTTCTTGAGCTGGCTAAGGAGGGGCTTGATCTGGTCGATCAGAGCTTCGCGCTCCGCGTCCTTCAGTTGACCCAAGACTTTCTCTGTGAGTTATTAGCAGGGTGTTGACGATAGCATAGTAAGTTGAGGGTATACATACGGATAACGTAGTTGCCGTACTGGTCGCGCATGAGGCCGAGGAGAGGACTCTCGCCACGGTCATTGGCAGATGTCAGAGTGTTAATGATGTAAGCACGCTCATGCTCAGCACCAAACTCAATGCTCTTCTCGACCACATTGCTAGCAAACTTGTGCTTGGAGTAAGCAAGCAGCTGGCCCTTCACGATCTCTATCATGCGGGTGCGGTCCTTCTCATCCCCGTTCTCAATCACATGCTGAATCACGTAGTTGCCGAACTGATCAGGGATAAGGTTTGAGGTGCAAGCGTGAAGTTCACCTAGGATCGACTGGCGATCGACTTCTTCACAGTGCTCGAGCATACGCTGGATGACACGGCAACCGTATGGGTGGGCCGCGAGACGGTTGACTTGGCCGCGGAACGCGTTAATGATAAACTGCACGTATTCTGAAGGGACTCGCTCGATGGCTTTCTGAATGACGTGGTTTCCATTCTGGTCACGCACACACTTCAGGACATGGTTCTCGAGTTCCTTCACCATGGCGGCCTGCTGGTCAGTGAGGATGTGCTCGAGTGCCTTTTGAACAACTCGGCAGCCATACATCTGGGTAGAGAGAGCCAGGACGTGACCACGCATCTGGTTGGCCAAAATTTTCTTCTGGGTCTGGTTGCCGTGCTCGAACAACTTTTGGACAACGTAGTTGCCGAAGACGTCGGTCATCAACTGTAGACAATTGGGCTGGATCTCGCGGAACACCTGCTCCTTCTCATCGCTGTTGGCGGTCTCGAGCTTCTGCTGAATGAAGCGAGACCCGTGCTGGTCACCGCTGAACTCAACAACGTGGTTATAGATATCCTTCAGCTCATAGCGCTTGTTGCCCTTGCTGTTGGCACGGAACTCCTCAAGGAGCGGGCTGCGAACAACCTGGGTAGGGTCATGATCACGCTGCGTGCGAGAGACAAGAGCTGCAGCACCGAGGCCAGTGAGGTGGGCCACAGGGTAGAAACCGGACAAAGCGTTCATACGAGAAGCTTGGTAGGCCTGGTAATCGTAGTTCGGAGGGTACTGCATACGTTGCGAGCCCTGTGCAAGCTCCTGTTCCTGGAGGGTTCGGAGTCGGCGCTCAAAGGCGGCTGTCTGGCTGTCTCCAGAGTTTCGGAATTGGCCTGCGCCATCCACTCCGTAGATCGGGCTCTCGATGCGAGCATAGTCGGAAGGCGAAATAGAACCAGTGTTGGCAGCACGGGATCGGGCTTGGTAAGCGAGCTGCATTTCCTGAGCAGCCTCTGCGGAGTAACCCATCGCATGGTAGGCGGCCTCATCATGCGGGTACTTGTTACGAGAGAATGTGCCATCGAAAGATGCGTGAGGAACAAATGAAGGGCGCTGGGCTCCCTGCGAAGCATAGTTGCCCTCGTTCAGCTGGAGCTTGTTGAAGCCCGCACTGAGATCCACGGACCCAGCAGCGTAACGACCATCAACGCTGTGGTTGTCGGAGTAGAAAGAAGGATGGGCGGAGTGGTTAGGGCGTTGGGCTGCGTATGATGCTGAGTTGTGGGAAGCGTGAGCCAAGGCACTGCGGCCCTGGGTGGGAGACATGGAATCAGGGATGCCAGAGCCCAGTCCCATTCCCATGCCAGCAAGATCATCTGGACGAGCACCATCGAGGGGGTTGGAGAAGCCAGGCTTGACGGGGAAAGTGGTTCCCACGGGACTACCACCCAGACCAGAGCCCATCTGCCGTCGACCGGTAAACCCGCCAAAGCCCATGCCGTCACCGGAAGGAGAGACACCCTCAGACCCAGCGTTGAGATAGGGTCGGTGGCTGGCAGTGGCAGCGTTTGTGCTGATACCGGAGGTGCGGGGCAGAGCGAAGTAAGAGCTGTCGCCAGTCTCGTTCATAGCGGGGGCACTGCGGTCGTTACCGCGAGTTTGGATGGGGGATGTAGCGAGACCTCCTCTGTTCTGGAACGAGGGATTGGGGTTGACAGTGCTCCAAGGCAGGTTGGCCCGTCCCGACCAGCCATCTGACTCCGATGTGGAGAGCAGAGAACTGGAGCCCGACTTTCCTTCGAATGCATTCTCACTGATGTGTTGTTCTTTCGGCTGTCAGTACAACCCTATCTTGATCTCAATTGCAGGCGACAACTTACCATCTCCGAATCCGCCGAGGTTGGAATCACCCCAGATGTTGCTGTTCCAGCTCGCCTTGCCAGCACCGAAACCCTTGCCGACGTTGTTGCTCTGAGATCCGCGAGAGCGGTCGTTCATCCCGGATGAACCCATGTTGGAAGCTCGGCTCGACCGTACCTGATGGGAATGTTATTATCGCCTATCCACATATCATCGCTCGTTTGCCATCGATCCCACTCACGTTATGTACGCTGGTTGCATTAGCGGCCATGGTAGAAGCCATTCCAGGAATCCGATCGGCGAAACGGTGTTTTGAATATGTACTCAAACGGGTCGAGATAAGGAATTTTCGAAGGAGCGTGTAATAAATCACAGAGCGAGAGGGAGATAGAGTGAGAGTGAGAGAGCGACGGATGCTGTGTCGGCCAGTATTTGCAAGCGGGCACCAGGCACCAGAGACGGCGTACACGAAGGAATATAAGACTGCGATGCGAAGAGATCCTTGTTAGCATGGGTTCCAGGATGTTGCATTGGTATCATTGGGGGGAGACCAGGACTGAAGCTAAACCTGTGTACCTGGAGGGGACTCACCAAAGGAGGGGATAGAAGGGGATCACAAGAAAGAGCGACAAGAAGATCTGGAGATTTCTTCTTGCAGAGGAGCCCAGGACATGTACAGATTATACAGGAGTAGGAGGAAGGGGGACGGAAGGGAGGAAGAGGTTCTCAAGGCGAGAAATGCTGAGTCGTGGCCGGAAGGTCGATCTCGCCTGACAGCGATAGGAAGATGCAAGGTGACAAAGAATTGGAACGATTATTATCACCCTTTCGTTTGCAGTGGGGCAGTAGGGTAACGCGGAGGGTTCAGAATTGAGGCGTCGCGACGTTACTCTGCTCCGTGCATGCTCCAGGAATCTCCTTTGCAGATCGTCCTCATGTGTTGGAGGGAGAATGGGGTCAGGGTTTGATGTTTGACCCTAGATTGATTAGGCAAGGGGTGATGATTTTCGACTAAGAGAGGATAGTGGGAATGCGCTTGCGCAAAAAGTGAGAATTCTGGGGGGGGAAACGATTCAGTGGACCGATGGAAGGGAATGTAGGCGAGAGACAAGGCACGGCATTAATGTAGTCCAGCTGTCACACAGGCGCCAGCATGACAGCCCAAGGGTTTTTTTTGTGTGGTTATTTTTGGGGGAGGGTCTTTTTCTCTTATTCAAATAGAATGATAGAAGAGAAAAAGGAAATAGATGATCTTGCTTACAAAATGTGCAAAGAAATCAAAGCACAAATAGAATTAGCAAAAGAAAGAAAAGAAGAAGAAGAGAAAAAAAAGGTGCAACGAAGCATTAGATAGAGAAAGAAAATGATGCGAGTTTCTGTTAGGCAGATCAGCCGCTGTACTGCCGTATTACCAGGACAATGTTGAACCGGTCGATCTTGGCTGGTATTGAATGGTACTTGGTTTTATGGTGCAAACCTTATAGTAAAGTTAAGTATCTTTTCAGCCATTGATGGATCATGGCTTATGTTTCTGACCGTCACCGCGATCTAACTTCCGGCGCTTCTTTCTTAGCTGGCCCCATTTTGTTCTATTTATTATTCCTAATTGATTTGGGAATATAGTCAATGGGTTTCTTTTGGATGGTTAACGATGTAAACTAGTATATAGAATAAATATTTCTTCTCCTATGAGAATTGCTATATATCCATAGATCTTTCTCCCCAAGCCACTGGTTCATCACATTGAACTTTGGCGGCCAAGAGTTCCTCTCCACTAGGGGAACTACCTGATAATGCTTGTCCATGGGAATACTTCGTCTTAAGCTTAGAATCTCTTCCCGAATTGAGCCGGTGCCTGCAAGCTTTTACTAGAATAGGTTATAAGTGAATAAGCTACAGTATTGTAGTATAAGTGCAAGTTGGTCCAGGCTAAATGATCAGCTATATTAACTATATTAACTATAAATGACATTGAAGGTTTCCGATCGGGCCCACTGGCCTTAACGTAAGGTACACTTTATATCGACTTAATTGATCTTTTACTACATCTACCTTACAACTATACTATACATAGACAATGTACGGAGTACTATATTATACAATATATAATATAACCCAACTTCTCACCGGTCCAGTCCGGAACATTCTTTGTAAATTCCAGGATTGACAACGACATTAACATCCAGTCAGAAACCCAATGGTTTCGTATTGATTTTTCTTATTTATTCACTTTTCCAATTTTCCATCCCCAATCCCTTGATGATCCCCTAAATTCACGCCATATAATATTTGACTGTAGATCAACAATCTACTTTTTAAACACTGCAAACAGTCTGCGCGCGATCAATAACGCTTGGTCCCAATCCAAAATCCGACCCAAAAAAATTAAACAGGTTTGGGTAGACTTCCATAGACTCGGCCAGCCCCTTACTTCTTACTTCGACAAATCGTCACACTGACCCTTGGATCTCGAACAACCACCTAAACTACCCCAACCTACATAGATAGAATCAAAAAGAAAACCTCGTCATCTGGCATATCCCACCTCTCCAACTGCCGCATAGAGTCATCACCGTGTAATAGCAGTAATGGCAATGGACGAACGAATTGCCAGGTGAGATTGAAAAAAACACCAAGACAGAGTTGCACATAGCATGGATACACACTGGTCCGCGCTGTACTTAGCTACTTAGACATCCTTGCACAGGGGTCACACAGGTAAAGTGTCAGGCCATCACTCGCAGTTTCCCCGGATCTGAGCTGGGAGGTTTCAGTTATAGCCTTGTGTCCGATTCCCGTGGCCCTGAGCGTCGTTGTTTAGGATCGGCCTTTTCTCCGGCTTTGTGAGGTGTCGCATGTGGTGTGCTGGCGGTATGTTGACCGCATTACCCGCGCTATACCAGAGGCTTCTGGCCACTTCCTGGACCTTGCGACCTGTCGCTCGGTTTTGACGAATTTTTATGGTGACGTGTTGGTTGGGTTGGTGATCTTGAGGTTTGTAGTCTTGGCGGTGGGAGCTGGTCTGGTAAAGTTGACAGGGGATTGTAGATTGTGGCAGTGCTAGATTTGACTGGAGGTTTCATCTCTATGTTTAGTCTTCATAATATGTACAATATAACTGTGTTCATATATATATGTATATGAACCTTATATATCGTAACTATAGGTTCCGCTAAATATGATCTCCATCCTCCCTCCACAGCTTTTTCCTGTTGACATAGTGACAAACACAAATAATTAGTCAATGCTGTTATTATATGTCATGCAGCTTAATGCGAGCTCAAAGTCCTTGCTATGTGCAGAAATCCCAAAAAGGTACTGTGGGTGGCTAAGATGTCCTCAGTCCGTGTTATATCTACGTTGTAGGGTCAAATCTCCGGTTTAATCCTGCGCCATAAAGAACTTGCAATGAACACCCCAATATTAGACAACACATCGAACAGCTTGTGAGCCCTGTAACCGAGTAATACATTTGTGGCACCAGGACCGCGTGCCCTTGTGCTGTGTGCTGTGTGTTTCCGTGGTGGCGGCGAAGCCCATGCAAGCAGGATACATGCAGAGTTCAGAATTGACATGTCATGTGGCAAACAGTACAATGATAGTGGATAGTGGGTAACTTTCACAGTCGTTATATATTATGCTTTTTCCTTTCATACCGGGACCTTCTACCTTTTACACTCTGCTTTTTATCGCCTTAACAGTCTCCCGCGGCTTTCGATTTGACATCCATGATATTTGATAATGGTATAATAGAGGTATGATTTTGGCTCTTGCTGAGGAGGAGATAGAGCCAAGATATAGATTGGCATTGGGTAGGGCGGCTCCGTCGGATACAGAAAGCTTAGGGTGATATATATTTGCTACATCGTACAAAAGCTGAGCTTCCAAGTTTGAACACGAGAATTCCAACATGTCTCATACAAAGGAATATTCGTACCGGTTCTTATAACAATATACATCCAACTCCACGACGAAACGTTTACAACAACAATCGACAATTCCAACAGCTTGGTAAATCAATCTTATCTACTCTGTACGGGTAACAGACTCAACGGACATGTCTAGCCCAACACTCTTCCCTTGCTTCGATTGATTTTCTCCGCTCACCACTGGTTGCTATTTACCCGTTGTTGTTTACATCTCGATACACCTAGGTTGACGCGTGCGACGGGTTTGTTTATAATCTTGCAATGGGGTGCATCATATCTAATCTCCCTCCACAGATCTCCAAGACACTCATTTCCTAATTAATTTCGCACGAGCATCGTCATCAGCGAATCATCTTACGTCAATCAGGGTTCGTTCTGTACGGTCAGCTTTAATTTCATCACATCTTGGCAGCTCGTGTGACTCGAGTAAGCGCCGACCCATGAACAGAACGTTTGGATCAAGCTACCTATCAGTGTAATAGACAATGTACAATGTACAATTTTGTACATATGTTTGTATATGGAGGATAGCTATTTCCATATTCAACGTTTTAAAAATATGCCAGATTATCGCCAGTACAGCATTTTCAGGGGAAGGTAACAACAAACGGGCATAGTTCGGTGGGGATGAACCTAACGAGTGAGAGGCCACCAACGGTCTCCGAGAGGGTCCGCCCCCCAGGGACTTTCTGACTCTGATTGGTCAACCCCTGTTAGCCAAGACCAAACCGGCATCACCCAAGGAACTAAGCTAACCCCTTCCGAGCTTAGCTTTTGACCAACAATAGAAAGTAGGCGTTCTAGGCACCGCTACTCGATTTCTCCTCTTCTCTCCCTGTTTTCCCTTCATTCTTCATACTACATACTACTCTCGCAAGTGCCAGCTTCACTCTTTCAGCGGCTCACTTTGCTATCCATTCTTTCTTTAAACCTTTCGAGTCACTCGCTTCTCGAACCCCCCTTTCTGATTCTTGCCCTTGTGTGAAGCCACATTCCGGCGCGCCTTTACTGTTTATTTCCCCGGATCGAATCCGTGACACTCTTTGGAATCCAACAAATCGACGATCACATACATATTGGTCACTTTCCAGTACAATTGCCAATCTCGGTATCAAATCAACTACTCGACACACGACGCAAAAATTTCGACAAGATGAACAACGCAATCCATCAAAATGTCGCCCGCGACGATAGCAATAGCGGACTATCAAACACAATGCTCGACTTGATGATTGCTCTCTTGGTTCTCGTTCTCCTCGCTCTCGCCCTTGTCGGTGGACTGCTGGTCCTCCGCCGCAAGAAGCGTAACAACCGGAAACAAAATCTCCTCCCAGTCTACAATGGAGAGTCTCCCCGCCGCCGTTTAACGATCACCACAAACAAATCCGACTCCGTGATGGTCTATGACGAGAAGCGCAGCCTGATGGAGAACTCCGATAGCCCACCACCCAGCCCGGTGCCCGAGATCCGCATCACCTTCCCTGAAGAAGAGGACGAGAGTGGCAAGCGCACGTCTGGTCGTATGGTGATTGTTCGAATCAGCGACGCCGGAAGTGTTGGCCTGGAGCCCTGTCACGAGGACCTCCCTCCCTATCAATCCAATGATACCGGTCGCTTCCAGTCCCTGGATATTGAGCGGATGGGCGGCCTAAAGGAGAAGAAGGAGATGAAGACCTACCATTAAACCGTGATTGGTGATCCAACTTACCCCATGACCGTATGGCATGGATCTCTTGAGCCCTTCGACGATTTCTCAAAAACATGACGAGTACCCTTGCGAATATCTGCGATTCTACCTTTACATACCTATTTCTCCGATTTGGCCTACACGGCTTGCACATATGCGAATGTCAGCTTCTTTTCCTCATCTATGCGGAATACCATTTGGAGTCGCTCCCAGGGCACGCCCCGCATTGGAGGATATTTGAAACTGGCTCGTTCATAGCGAGGGCCTGCCGATTTTTCCTCTTTCTCTGGCGTTCTTCCTTTTTTTTCTTCTTCTCAAACCTGGTCTCTGATGTCCCTTTCGACCCTGTCATGATCCTAGGGCCTGATACACACGCATGTGACATTTCACTGTTTTTCCCTTCTTCACACCCCTTTATGGAGTCCTACTTTATGCTTTTTGGGACCCCCTTCTTCTTCACTTACCTTCTTATGTGCCTTTTTCCCGGTACCCGGCAGCTGGATAATGTATGTACTTAGTCCTCCTATGTTTCGCCATATTTAGGCAAATCTGCAAATCTGCAAATCTTTCGATTTTTCGTTGTGTGTATAGTGGATGTAGTCGTGTATCCGCCCTCGGCCAATCAGAAATTCCCGACTCCGTTCCCCCCAACCCGCTTGATCCGCGACGTCAGGGTATTATTTTTCTTTTCACCAGTTTCTGATTGAACTCGGTATATCATACAATGTGCTTGCTGTAGTCTTCAGATCCATAGGGAAGCCGTTCAACAGCCGAGCACAGAAAGGGGTACCTCCGCATCCGACCTGCATATACATACATTCCCCCCTCTCGACCTTCATGGTCTCCGCCTGAACCGGTTCAATCGGCTCAATCGGCTCAATTGTGCTTGCCCCGGCTTCCCTGCTCTCGAAAATACATCAAATATATTATAACCCGCGTCTTCAGCCCCGGAAATCTTCGCGCTCCCTTGGTCTTCACAACACAACCCGCGATCTGGCGCGCCAGCTTCCTCCAACTCTCGCCTTCAAGACATAATACACCGTGACAATGACAACACCTCCAGGGTCTCCGGGAACTAGCCCGAACCCCAATGCCTCAAAAGGCGGGTTTCCGCCTAACCCCCGCTCGAACGCGCCTGCGCAGCCCAAGCAGAAGCAGAAGGGCGTGGCGGACCACAAGGCGATGGAGCTTGAAGATGAGTTCAGAATCAAGCATCTTGGTGTAATGGGTGTACTAGGATGGATACTGTGAGTGATTCTGCCCGGCAAGACGTGCAGACAAGCTGCAAATGACGGGTTCGAGAACGCCGAGCTAACTGGGTGAACCGCAGACTTTTGCACATGGCAGGTATCTACCTGTTTACGAAAGGATTCCTCCTCACGCGCATGGTCCTAGAGAACAAATCTTCTTGCGACGTACTGCCTTTCGAAGACATTTTGGCCCAACCGCAGACAGCACCGGGAAACAAACAGGAGAAGGGCTGCTGGCATGAGAAAACCTTTCACAAGGCCGTTGTCATTATCATCGATGCCCTCCGATACGATTTCACTGTGCCATTCACCCCAGAGACCGAAGAAAATGAAGCACACCTCTTCCACGACAACATTCCCGTCCTCTACGAGACAGCCGTCAAAAACCCCTCCAACGCCTTCCTTCTCCCATTCATTGCGGACCCGCCCACAACCACCCTCAATCGCCTGAAAGGCCTCACAACCGGAACCCTCCCCACCTTCCTCGAAGCAGGCTCCAACTTCGCCGGGACAGCCATCGACGAGGACAACATCGTCGCGCAGCTCCACAACGCCGGCAAGAACCTCGTCCACCTCGGCGATGATACATGGCAAGCCCTATTCCCGGGCTACTTTGACACCAACCTGACGCACGCGTACGACTCGTTCAACGTGTGGGACCTGCACACCGTCGACAACGGCGTAACAGAGCATCTGTTCCCGCTGCTCCGCCCGGAAAACAGAAACAAGTGGGACGTTATCTTCGGCCATTACCTCGGCGTCGATCATGCAGGTCACAGATACGGACCCAATCACGCAGCCATGGCATCCAAGCTCCAGGAAATGGACCGCGTCATCCGTGATATTATCGCCGCTCTCGACGACAAGACCCTGCTGGTCGTTATGGGCGATCACGGGATGGACACGAAGGGGGACCATGGCGGTGAATCGGACGACGAAATCGAGGCCGCGCTGTGGATGTATTCGAAGCGGGGAGTCTTCGGCCGAACCAGTAAAGAAACCGTTCTTCCTCCCCGGACCGCGCGCGAGAGATTCGTTCCCCAGATCGATCTCGTGCCTACCCTGTCTCTGCTTCTTGGAATGCCGATTCCGTTCAATAACCTCGGTTCGCCTATCGAGGAGGCCTTTTCTGGTCCCAGGGGCGATAATTGGGGCAATCTGGCTACGGTGAATCGTCTTACTGCTGCCCAGGTGAAGAGGTATCAGCATCAGTATGCGCTTGCTCGAGGCGCTGGCGATGATGATGCGGCGCTGGCGCTTTGGACTGCCGCCGAGGAAGAGTGGGCCTCGAAGGGCTTCTTGAGGTCTACTGCTGCCCGTGCTAGCAATGAGCTTTATCGCAAGTACCAGCGTCATACTCTGGATATCTGCCGTGCTGTGTGGGCGAGATTCGATGTCCCGAGTATGGTCCAAGGCGTTGTGATTCTCTTTGCCGGGATCGTTTACTTGGTTGTTTACGCTCGCGGGCTGAAGACGGATCGCACCCAGCTCACGGCTAGCCTGCTCCAGTATGCTGGTGTTGGAGCTGGCGTGGGTGCCGTGGCAGGCGCCGCATTTGGTCTGACTGGATTGACTGAGATTGGCGTTTTCGATGCGCTTGTCCTCGTCGCTGCCGCTGGAAGTATCCTCGGGGCTCTGCCGGCTATTGTGAAGAAACCTGCTGGCTTGAGCTTGCCGCTTCCCAATGGTATGTGGGGATGGCTTGGTTTCTTCTTCACTGTGTCGCAGTCTGTTGGATTTGCGTCAAACTCATACACGATCTGGGAAGATGAGATTCTTCTGTTTTTCCTCACTACATTTGGCGTGTGCGCGGGTATCTCGTCCATGCGACAGAAGCAGAACACAGACCGCATTCTCGGCGTGTATCACTCTATTCTCTTCGTGATTTTGGGCCGTGTTGCGTCTTTCTCCCGCCTCTGCCGTGAAGAACAGATGCCTTTCTGCCGCTCCACGTACTACGCATCGTCGACCTCTTCCATTTCTGCCCCTTGGCAGCTCGCCATTCCCTTCTTGGTGACTGTCTTCCTGCCCAGCGTTGTACGCTCCTTCTACGCAGGCTCGAAGTCTTACGAAGGTGCCGCCTCGCTTTGGATTGGCACGGCCTTCCGCTTTGGTCTCTTTGTCACCTCACTCTTCTGGATGCTCGAAGGCGCCGACGACGGCGAATGGCTGCCAATCAGCAGCGAGACCCTCAAATCCCTTCGCGTCTTCCTAGCCCAGTTTGTCCTCGCCCTAGCATTCGCAGCGGGAACAGGTGCCTACCTGTACTCAAAGCCGTGTGTCAGCGTCAATGTCACCAAAGAAGCCGAAGACCCGGACGCCCCGCCGGCGCCCTTCATCGCAGGCCAACACACCGGCCCACGAACCACAGTCACAATCCTCGGCTTTGGCAACGTCTACGGAACCCGCTTCTTCTTCCTAGTCATTAACTTCGCCCTCGCCACCATCCTCATGCAAAAGCCAATGGGCCAAGGTGCAATCGCCCTCCTCCTCTGGCAAATCCTCTCCCTCCTCGAAATCCTCGACACAAACAACCTAACAATGTCCAACTCCTCCATCGGCCCCGTCATCCTCGGCGTCCTAGGCTCCTTCTATTACTTCAAAACAGGCCACCAGGCAACCCTCTCCAGCATTCAATGGGAAACAGCCTTCATCCCCCTCTCAACAATCAAATACCCCTGGTCCCCGCTGCTCGTCATCCTCAACACCTTCGGCGCCCAGATCCTAGCCGCCATCGCCGTCCCCCTCACCGTCCTCTGGAAACGGCCCCTCCAGACCCACGACCGCGTCTCGCCTTCAAACCCAAACAAGAACCCCACCACCCGCATCCTCTCGGATGTCATCCAGGCCGCCTCAACCCACATCCTCTACCTGGCAACCATCAACCTTGCCACAACAATGTGGGCCGGCCACCTGCGCCGCCATCTCATGCTCTACCGGATCTTCAGTCCGCGCTTCATGATGGGCGCCGCCGTGCTAGCCGTCGTCGATGTCGTCTTGATGCTCGTTGCTGTGGGTGGTGTGCGCTGGAGCACATTGAGCGTCGGTGAGGTGTTTGGGTGGTGATTGATTTGACTTGCATGCCGCTTTTGGCCTTTGTGTATACATAATATAAAACCTGTGACGTGCCTTTCTTTTTCACGTTGAGACACGCTGCACATCTTGTACGCCTGTATTTTTCGCTTTTCTTTTCTGTTCTACTCTGTGTTGCTAGCTAAATTTAACAATATAATCTTGACTACGGTCTTAAAATTGTCACCATTCGAAGTAAAGTGAGATCTATATTCGTGAATCTCATATTTCTAGACATTTGTTCATGCATACATATGCATGATTAATCACGCTTACTTTTCGAAGGAGTTCTTTAGCTTGTAACCTCATTATAGCATATGCACGCCTGTGAATGACGTCATTCAAACTGCATATGTACGTCCATGGAATGATATACAGAAACAAGTGGTTTAAGGATTGATGGATGCAGCCGTGGAATACAGCTGTCTTTAGTGGCTACAGGAAAGGTTTATGTGAATCGGCGGCGAGTAAGAGTAGGTCACATGCACGGCAGCTATCGGTATTCCGGCTTTTTTTTCCGGGACTTCAGTGCTTTTGTTATCTTCCGTCTGGATTAAAGCTAGAGTCACGATCCTCTGGTGGTCAATTTTGGGTTGATGCATCGAACTTTGAACCCGGGTCGCAGAATACTTTGTAGTTTTAGGCTACGAGGGCAGGCGAATGGACCTTGAATTTTGCAAGCCCTAACGTGACGCCGAAGGTCAATATGAGTTACCTTTCAACTTTAGAGTCTCAATGACAATTTGGTCTCTTTCTCTCTAGTATCTACTCTTTCCTCTTTCTTTTCAGCGTTTCAGGCTAGCGGGTCGACACCCCGAGATCATTCGGATTGCCGGCCCGAACAATAAGAACGCAGCGGAACTGGGATCATACTGAGAGCCTTATGGGGGTCTTGAGAGTTGTTTTCTTCCTTATTTAAGAATCCAAGTCCCACAACAGCTGGGGACTTGAATAACTTACATTGTCTATCGTAACAACTATGGCCTTGGTGAACAGCCTCTATAGTCAAGCCGCCAAAGGCGCCTTGTGTAAGGTGAGAAGATACATGTCCTCTTATGCTGATCCGTTTGAATCAGCAATTAATGAATATTCATAATCAAATTGATAGGCCTTTGGTGTCCGCTTGGTGGCCAATCCTAGTGTGGTTCAATTAGCCAAAAACAGTGGTTTTGACGCGTTATTTATCGATCTCGAACATTCAACCTTATCGATCAATGACGCGAGTTTGCTATGTATGGCAGGTTTACAAATCGGAATAACACCATTTGTTCGCGTACCACATCAATGTGGAAATGGGTTTGTCCAGCGAGTCATGGATGGGGGCGCCATGGGAGTGATATTTCCACATATCCACAATCGAGGCAGGTGGTCATTTGATCTGAGGAGCCAGAAAATTAGTTCTCATACGTCTTTAATCCCACAGATGATGCTCAGGCAGCCGTGACTATCTCGAAATACCCACCGTTTGGATGTCGATCCATGACAGGCCAGCTGCCAATCTTCGAACTACGATCGACTCTAGCCAATACCATCATCGATGAAACTAACGCCCATGGCTCCTCTGTGCTTTTAATGATTGAGACCAGGGATAGTGTGGATAAAGTGGAAGAGATCGCAGCCGTGGATGGTGTTGATGTGCTCCTGATCGGTTCAAATGACTTGGCAATTGAGCTTGGGGTGCCTGGTCAGTTCGAAAGCTCCGAGTTTCGCAACGCACTGGAAAAGGTCAGCCAGGCTTGCCAGAAGAACAACAAAATATTTGGTCTCGCCGGTATCTACGACGCCCCCAAGATTCAAAGCTGGGCCCTAAACACCTTGGGGGCTCGGTTTATTCTTGGACAACAGGATTCTGGCCTGCTTGCGACAGGAGGAAAGAGATGTGCTGAAGCTATTTCCGAGGTTTTGAAGTAGGAGTGGACCCTGGAATTCTGTTTCTAGAGGTGGAACGCTGATATAGTACACAATAACTCTGAGTATTAACAATTGCGATACAACGTTTGCATGTTGATTGCTACCTATGGGAGTCTCTGTTATGAATACTAGTACAGGAAGGAAACATAAACCGCATCGTAAACAAAAAGGTCATTGATCTATGAAATTCTGCCTAGGTATATTCTATGACTTCGTAGATTGGGAAACGGTGACTGTTGACAAAGTCCAGTCATGGTCATGGAGAATGAATGCTTTGGTAAGGCGCACCTGGTCCCCCCCCCAACTCTTTCCCTTCTCTTTTACAACTTTTCTCTTCAGGAATGGCCTGGACGATTAACCAAATAAGCAAGATGAAGAAGCAAAGAAGCCTTGCCATATAAAAGTCAATAAGTTGAAATGTTATTTGGTTCCGATGTCGGTTTCGGCTTCCTTTCCCGAGCTTCCCCGCAAGACTGCACTTTCAGCCTCTCCCCGAAATGGCTGAGCTTTTACTAACGAAATCACCATGAGAGGTGGGGAAACATCACAAGATCGTCATCGCAGACGAAGAACCAATGCGTATTAGTCTCCTTGTCTTTGAAAGGCGGAAAGTCGCTGACTGACTAGATGCGTCACCTGTCGCGATCGCAAGGTGCGATGTTCAGGAACTCATCCATGCACAAACTGTGTTCGAAGATCGACAGATTGCACTTTCGAACCAGACGACCGCAAAGTGACAGTCACTGAAAGGTACGTTTGAATTACGGCGCCGTCGAGCTAAGCGCACGCGCTCACGACCCTTCCCGCAGGTTCTTGAATGAGCTGAAGCGAAAGGCTTCTCAAAACGAGCTTGGGCGAGAAAAGTTTCGCAGAAGGCTGCGAGAATGCTCTTCGGATCAGTCAGGTGGCACGTCTCAGCTTAATCATGATCGAGCTCATCTTTTCGGTAAAGGTCGAGCCATTCCTGTTCCCCGGTCCACCAAGTCCCCGAGCACAGCTAATGAGGGGTATAGAACATGCGATTAGTAACAGCGAGATAATTGGTCTTCTTCCCGAGCCTAGAAACTCGACAGAGACCCAGCCTTCAGTGGGCCAAGAAGCTCGTATCGCAAACCCGCTAGTTTCGGGGACATCTAGAGTCTGTATTGACGACAATGGCCGCAGACGTTAGTATATGGATTCTTCGTGAAATCTGCCTCGATCACTAACGCAAATGGGTAGGCTTTCTTGGGCCTTCGTCAACATGGGCATATACTCGACAGGTGATAGTCGATATCAAAAATTACCTCAACGAACCAGACTCCCCAGAGGCGCCCCTTTACGTTGACGGTAATGCATATGATTTCGATTGGTCTCTGACTGGGGATGGTGCATTGATCAAACAGGAATTGCCATCATTTGACCATGCTCTCTATTTGATGAACACCGTCAAATTCCACATGGCCCAGCTTTACCATCTGTTTGACGAGACCATCTTCACCGAACACTTACGTCAACTCTACGGCCCCTCTCCTCCAGAAACAGCAGAGTTTGGGCTTTGGTACATTCAATATCTACTCGTTATTGCTTTAGGTAAAACCTTTCTAGTCCAAAGGACAGCAAGAGATCCCCCACCAGGTGCAATATTCTTCGCTCGGGCGATGAAACTTCTTCCAGATATCAAGGGTCTTTACGAAGATACTCTTATGTCTATCGAAATACTTTGTGAGATCTCCTTGTATCTCCAATTCATTGATCATAGGAACAGTGCCTATGTTTATGTAAGGGCCAAACTAGAACTATCATGATGACCACCTGATTCTAACTCATCAGCTCGGGATTGCGCTTCGTATTGCGTTAACACAAGGTCTTCATCGAGAGGTGGACATGGACGAGTCAACCGGATCAACTGCCCGATATCGGTCTGTCTGGTGGACGCTGTATATTCTAGACCGAAGATTTTCCTCATTGATGGGAGCCCCAGTATCCATACACGATGCAGATGTGACGGTAACCTTGCCTCATCCGGGGGACTTATCTCAAGGATACGAGGCATTGGCCATGCACGTCAAACTATCGCGTGTCATTACAAGTGTCCTCAATTGTGAGAAATTCCTTCTTTACATTGCCATTTTGGCATGTTGCTGACCCCTTTCTGTGCAAATTTTCAGCGGTATATGGATTGGATGGAAGATTGAACCTATCCTTTGTCAAACACATTCAAGAGGTGCTTCTCACCTTGGCCAACCTTGCACCAGAATTGGAAACCCATTTCGGTCTCACAAGCTCCCGCGCTGAACCAATATCCAGAGTAGCTGGCACACTGAACCTTTGCTATCATCAGGTGAGCCATCACTGAACTATATATTATTTCCAGAGATGCATACCGACTATTTCTGATACTCGTTCAGTGCATTGTGCTAGCGACTCGACCCCTGCTTGTCTACCTCTTGTTCGACAAACTTTCGAATCCCTCTAGTAATCGTACAGTCACCAGTTCAATCAAAGCCCTGACCAAAGCCTGCTTTGACTCGGCTGAAAAGTCACTTCGTATCCTCTCTGCTCTACGTTCACAGGATCTACTTGGTATGTTTTCCTGGTCATCTGGAGATATGATAGCTGACCGACCCCCAGAGACTTTTCATCCATTCGATATTGATAGCGCCCAATCTTCCGCGTTTGTTTTGCTTCTAATAAAAACAATTGACTCTAATGGCAGCACAGACAACAGTATGCCACACATTGAGTACGCAGAGTATATTCTCGACACAATGATTCAAAGAGGCTCAGTTCCCGCAAAGCATCGCAGTTCCGAGCTGAAAGTACTACAAGAGCTCTTGAGACTTTTGGAAAATCGAACTGCCAGAACAGACCCGGCCCAATCTGTAAACTCTGTGGAAAAGGATAGGGTTCCGCAAAACCACGTCGCCAACGGGGACATTGTCACTGAGCAAGGTCTCGACGGAGCCTCATTTTCGCAGTATGCAAATGCGATGGGGGATACCGGCTTGTCTCCCGATGAAATGCTCGAAGTTGCGCGTCTATTGGAATGGGGCAATACATTTCCCGAAGCATCTATGACAATGCCACAAGAGCAGCTGTGGGATATTTTTGGCGATACTGTTTATGAGTAAGAACCAAACGATTCGATAATACAACCAGATGCACCAAGTATGTTGTAAGGTCCTATATCCAAGTTGCTGGTAGAATCTCAACGGTAGAAATTCAACAGAAAGAGTGACTTGTACTAACAAAATGGAAAATAATGCATGAGTGAGATAGAACCTAAGAATGTATCTAGACTAGAGTTTTAATACCTAAGTAGAGGTTTATAGAACTCATAGAGCAACTCAAAGAATTTATAGGAATCTCTCCAAATTTACATAAAAGAAACCGCGAAGTACAAAGGTTAAAAACAGATTTATATTATTTGTATGCTTATTATATTAGTCAAATCTCCCATAACTTGCCAGAAGAAAGCTGTATAGTAATACAGAAAGCTTGATGTCTATCTGAGGATTCCATAAATATATGAGATCCTAATCTCCGTCAGAAACTCTTGAGAGCCCCATTAATCGAATTCAGGCGACGTAAAGCTACGGCTTTATCCATTGGTTGCGATTTCTGCACGGCAGTATACCCCGGTTGGGCGCGAAGGTCCCAAAAACATGCTGGTCTGAAGTTCGGTTTCGCATTCCGAGCCCGAGACCCGCGTCAGCCCTGCATATCCCCCACACGACTATCTTATCATCGGTATGTCTGTCATTCCCTTCTGTGTGCTCAATAATTTTCTGTCCAAATCTCGAGGGTCACGATGTTTGAAAATGTCCAGCAGGGTCCGGTAGACCCAATGTTCGATTTGAAGAAACTTGCCGACAATGATACTTCTCCAGAGAAGGTCGATCTTGGCGTAGGGATTTATAGGAACGAAAACGGGCAGTATCATGAGATGGAAGCCATCAAGGAGGTAATGCTGGAAATATCGAGCCATGAAGAGTATGTCTAGCTGATTTAGCAACCTTGCGAGTTAGGCCAAAAAGCTCCTGAACGAAAGAAACCCTGGGCATGATGTATGGAAGCATAAGACTTATGCGACTTCACATCTTACATCAAAGGCTAATATGTGTGTCTCAGTACGAATCTACCACTGGCAATCCCCAATTTCTGGAGTATGCCGCGCAGATAATGTTTGGGGAGAAATGTGAGGCATTGGTATCGGGTCAAGTAAGTAAATCTCATTTACTTTCATTGAGGTTGCAAATGTCTCTGACTGGCAGATCTAAAGATTACATCTGTTCAAACCATCTCAGGCACTGGGGCCAATCATCTCGCTGCCTTGTTTTTGAAGAGATGTTCGGGTTCCAAAGCCAACTCAGTATACTTGGGAACACCAACCTGGGGGAATTATGAGCCTCTTTGCTCATTGGTGGGTATGGATATAGTGAAGTATCCCTATCTTGATCCGGAATCTGGAACAGTGAACTTCGACACATTGCTTGAAATGGTATCCCAGGCCCCACCGCAGAGTGTGTTCATTCTACAGGCATGCTGTCACAATCCTTTGGGGGTGGATCTTACCCAGTCCCAATGGCGGAAACTTGCAAATGCAATGAAGGAAGCGAGTGTTTTTCCTTTCTTCGACATTGCTTATCAAGGTCTTGGTGGATCTCAAGAGGAGGATGCTTATGCGATCCGACTATTCACAGAGATGGGATTCGAGATGGTTGTTTGCCAATCCTTTTCGAAAAACTTTGGTCTGTACGGGGAGCGATGTGGTGTACTTCATGTGGTTTGTTCAACCGCCACAATTGCTGCTAAAGTCTATGATCAACTTCGGTGCCTCATCCGGTGGGAATTTGCCTCGTCGCCTGCGTATGGGTCCCGACTCGTGAACCTTATCATGGAAAGTCCACGCTTGAGACAGTTATGGTGAGCTGTTGTTCGCAATAAAATATTACTTATGATTTGACTATTCTCAGGTCTAGCGAGCTTTCGCTTATGCGAAGTCGAATACTCGACAATAGACGAGAGCTCTTCAGATTGTTGAAACATGTATGTTTGATTGCTTCCGATATTCATGTCTTTCTCTTCGCTAAACCTGCTAGGTTCCCGGAGATTGGAACATGATTCTGGCCACAAAGGGTCTCTTTTGGTAGCGTTTATGAACCACGCATCTTGATTCCAAAGTTCGAATCCCCTAACGTTTATCAGTTGCCTGCCTCTAAGTTTGCTCCAGTGCGAGCAGCTCCAATCGAAGCATCGCATATATCTCCCTGGAAATGGTCGCATCAACATCTCTGGTTTGAACTCGACCAATATCGACAGGGTGGCATCCGCAATTGTTGATGTGCTATAGGGTGAAAGAGATACAGAAATGGAAGCTTGAGTGTGTTTTCTTTGATACGGCCTTCAAAGGGCTGTCTAGGTGTTAGATAAAGGGAATGCAGATTAAGAAATGTTCGAAACTATGTAATAAGCCTATAACTGGACTGAATATATGTTATCTTTTCAATGTGTTGGGTGTATGTTTCTCATGAGCCTCTCTTATTTATTTTTACTCGACGTGTTCTACCAAGGTAGTAATTTGATCATCTAGTTTTGTGGATGTGTATTTTGGTTCACTCTCGGGGCCATTTACCGAGATTATGTCTCGATCTAAGGTTACCCCCCACACTTTGGGTTCACACGGAAACAAGAGATAAGAAAACGAATATGTGACGAGCCATGGTTATCACTCTCGGGGTCCTTGACCGAAGTGTTCCCCGCAAATAGAGATGAATTGGAACTCTTATCAGTAAAGCTCTCCATTCAAAAGCATGATGGTTTCTAAAAAGCATTGGCAGATTCGCTTTTGATTTTAGTTTTTTCACTTTATTCAAGACCTTGAGCAATGGGCAAGGAAGAAATTGTCGAGTCGCCTCCTATGGACGATGTAGCGTCTGATGCAATCAAAGATGTCCCCGCGGAGCAAAATGACGGTCTTCACAAAACGCTAAAAGACCGTCATTTGAGTATGATAGCCATGGGTGGTGCCCTCGGGACTGGTTTGCTAGTAGGGACGTAAGTATCTCGACACAGCATCGCTTGCATTTTATTGCCAGTGCTAACAAATTTGGTCAGTGGATCAGGATTGGCAAAGACAGGGCCTGCGGGAATCTTGATTGACTATAGTGTGATTGGTGTGATAGTCTTCATGGTGATGGCGGCACTCGGTGAAATGACCTCCTTAGCCCCCATGTCGCGTGAGTATTGAATGGAAGACTTAATTGCCCAATGACTGATGTTCGTTTATAGGTGGATTTGGTGGCTATGCTTCCCGTTTCGTTGACCCTGCTCTCGGATTTGCTACAGGATACGCATATTTCTTCAAGTATCTTCTCGCAACACCCAATCAGCTATCAGCCGCTGCTCTAATTATACAGGTATAGTCATGATTCTCGCTTCAATTGCGTCCATCAAGGAGTCTGGGCTGACAGATGCTCATAGTTCTGGACTGGAGACAGCGTGAATCCAGCGGTCTGGATCACCGTCGCTTTGGTAATAGTCCTAGCGATCAATTATGCTAGCGTCAAGGCATTCGGAGAGTTTGAGTTTTGGCTATCATCTATCAAAATCATCATTTTGAGTGGCGCTATAATCTTAATGCTAGTCTTGGCCCTTGGTGGTGGTCCCGGGTGAGTTATTGCTCTCTGAACAAGAAAAGACAACACTTCTGATAGAGAGACAGGTTTAGCAGAACTGGGTTTCGATACTGGAATACTCCAGGTGCTTTCGCAGCATATAAACTCGAAGGTTCACTTGGCAAGTTTGTTGGTGTCTGGAGTACAATGCTACAGGCGTAAGTTATCCACATCTCATACTACGAGAACTTTGAGCTGATTTCATCTGAAGCGTTTATGCCTATGGTGGAACTGAGCTGGTCGCTGTGACAGTCGCAGAAGCTCAGGACCCTAGGTTTGCGATGGCGCGAGCAGTGAAGCTCACCTTCTTTCGCATCGTCATTTTCTACATTCTGTCCGTTCTGTTTCTGGGAATGGTTGTCCCATACAATAGCCCCCAGTTGGAATTCGCTACAGGGTCTAGTACCAGCGCTGCAGCGTCGCCTTTTGTGGTGGCTATCAAGCTTGCCAAAATCGAAGTCCTTGATCACATTATCAATGCTTGCCTGCTTATTTTTGTCATATCAGCCGCTACTTCAGGTACGTCACTCTCTTTGTCGGAGATTGATCACTACATGTATAGACGTTTCTTATTTGGGCTCACCTCAAACAGACTTCTATATTGCTACAAGAACAATCTATAACATTGCGTCGGATGAAAAGGCTCCAAAGTTCATGACTCGAACAAATGACCGAGGTGTTCCAATTCTTGCTATGGTTCTACCTGCTCTATTCTGCCTGCTAGCATATATGAGCATCACATCTGGCGCAAAAAGTGTTTTTGGATATTTGACTACCATGGTTGCCACATTTGGTAGGTCCCACGACATGTCGATTACTTCCAATTTGCAGGACATCCGCGACAGCTAACCTTCCTGTTTATCTTTAGGCATGCTCACTTGGATTTCTATCCTGGTAACGCATATTTGTTTCACCCGTGCTGTAAAGGCACAGCAGATTCCCGCTGAATTGTTTGCTTACCGAGCCCCGCTAAGAGAATGGGGGTCTCTTGGAGCTCTAGTGGTACTCATCATCTTGACTATCACGAAAGGATTCGAGGTGTTCTTATTCAGCTTTGATTATAAGAACTTCATCGTGCAGTACATTGGGCTACCGGTCTATCTAGTGTGTATCTTTGGTTATAAGATTCATTTCCGCACCAGACGTGTCAAAGCGTTCGAAGCTGATTTGGTGACTGGTGTTTCCACTGAGCCCATTGCGCAAGCCATGGCTCGTCGGGAGACTCAACGGGAAGAGCAAACCGCGACGAAACCTGCATTTGTTCGGATGTGCGATAAATATGTTTCTATGTTGTTTTAGAACAAGCGCTACGAGATTTTGGATCCGACCTGTGGCTATTGGCTATGCAATTACTATTTATTTTTGAAGATGGCCACCCGCTTAACGTTAGTTACCGATTACGTTGGTCACTTAATGATTTATGAAATACAACTTGGTGCTGGCCAATCAGGTGATGTCAATAACTCTGGTTTCCATTACCCCTAATTCTGGCAATTTATATATAGGTGTAATTTACTTGCTGAATAATGAACAAACACGACAAACAAGTGGGCCTGCTTTCTCAGGCTTCCGACACACCCCCTCATCTTGCGCAGATTGGGCAAGATGACCCTTGAAACGCCCATTTCTGTAATAGACACAGAAACAGCCTCTGTTTCCCTTCTGGGCCTAGGTGATCAGGTGACCTACATCAGCCATTCTAAGCAAGCGAATGAAATTTTCATGCTTCTGGCGAGTCAGGCACTTGGTGAGCCCGTCAGCGACCATCTGTGCCGTTGGCACCCATCTGACGGTGATCCTTCCTGCTTGCGCTTCCTGCCTAACCCAGTGATAGTGAATATCGACATGTCGAAGCTTCGTATCGAACGCCGCATCCTCCTTGTTAATGAGTGCAACCGTGCGCTCATTGTCGCAGTCGATGGTGATGGGGTGGGATAACTTAAGGCCAACATTCTGCAGCAGTCTTCTCCACCATTGGAGATGCTTGCCAGCCTCAGAAAGTCCCAGCAGCTCGGCCTCGGTAGTAGATGTCGTTACCGTTGGCTGCTTGCTGGCTTTCCAGTCTACTGGCCCGCCGAACACTTGGCAGATATATCCAGCAGAACTCTTCCGATCCTCATGATCCCCATACGACGCGTCACTTGCTATCTGGATCGACTCCATATCTTCGATTCCTGCGGCATATTCAATGGCAAGAAACCGGGTGGAGTAAAGGTAGCAGATCACCCTGTCGACAGCTTGCTGGTGCTGTGGTCCTGGGTTCATTAGGAATTGCGCGAGCTTAGCAGTAGCCTTTGCTGCGTTAACCCTAGTAATGGTCGTTGCATAACCTGCTGAGCCCACTTTCTGCTGATACAGATGTGTTTCTCTTGGTGTAGCAACGCCCTCGTACTTGCGTAGTTCTTCTACCGGTAAGGGTGTAAGAACAGGCGCTCGCTCTGTCAAGTTATATCTCGCTGTAATGCTTGCGATGTAACTGTCTTGACAAAGCCACAACTTCTTCTGTGTACGGTCCCTGATGATCCGGATATTAAGAAACCACTCTGCTTCTCCGTGATCAGTCAGTTCCCAGTGCTCTTCAAGTGATTTTTCTAATTGTTTTGCTCTTGCTCTCGCTGTGCGATGGCAAGCAATAAGTATGTCGTCGACATAGAAGAATACAATGATTCCGGTGCCAACGAACACACATGGGTCCTCCGGCACTTGCTGGAGACCTAACTTTCGCAGTACACTTGCTGCTTCTTGTTGCCATAAGCGTGGCGAAATTCGTAGACCGTATAGAGCTCGCTGTAGTTTCCATGACTTGCCCGGTATCCCAAAACCTTCTGGCATCTGTGTGTATGTCTCCTTATCCAAACGCGAGTTCAGGAATGCGGTAACAGCGTCGCGCTGCCTAACGTCGAGATCGTATGCGGCGATGAGGGAGAAGATCATGCGTGCTGTCCTTGCAGCAAGTGTCGCTGCTCGCTTCTCTTCTTGGGTGATGGTTTCTAAGTCGCCGCGGACGCAGATGCGTGCTTTTAACTTGATTAAGTGGCCATCCTGGTCAAATTTGTATGTATAAATCCATAAGAGAGGAAGCACTTGCTTGCTGATGTCTTTTGGCCGGTCTATCACCTCATACGTTGCCTTTGAGCGCAAGTTGTCTAGCTCTCGTTTCATCGCTGCGATAAAACCTTTAGAGAACTGGTGGTTTATGGCCTCTTTGTAGTTTCTTGGTATAGGAGGGAGGTCATCGCGGTGTCGTCGATGTTCTGGCTTCTCGGTATACAGCCCTGCTGCGAAGGCATGTAGCATTGCTGGTGGCTCTTGCTGTATCGTAGAGTAAGCAGCATAGTCATTGTCTTGCCTTGCTCGCCTGGTTCTTTTGCCGCTTATGATATTGGTAGTATCAACGTCACCAAAGATCTCTTGTGTGGGCTGCAGTAGCTCGCTTTGCAGCTGTTGTGCGACTTTATCGTCACTTGCTCCATCATCCTGCGACGTTTCCACGGTTTCAGGGGTCTGATCCCCTACTTGCTGCGTTTCCTGCTGCGTCTCCACCCCCTGATCTGACCTAAAAACCTCATTTGGTGGTGTTGGTGGGAGTGGCACGTCTTCTGGGAAAGCACCTGGGATTTCTGTGGGACTTGCTGATGCAATCCGCCTTTCTGGCGTCGGCGATGGGGTTCTTGCCATATCTTTATGGCGTTCCATTTGTTGTGGTGGGGTTTCTACCTGCTGAGGAGTATTGGTTTCATCCTCCTGCGGTTTGCTACGTGGTAGCTCGACTTGCTGGTGTTGGTCTTGGTGAGAATCTGCGGTTTGAGCAGCTTGCTGATGGTTTTCAGTTGTTGTATGCTGCTCCCGATGCGTTTCCTCTGGCTCCTGATGCTCCTCCTGACTTCTTGCTGTCGATATCCGCTGGTAAAGCTTGAGGGTTTTATCTGTATCAAGCACATATGGTTCCTGGATAATTGGCATTAGCAATTGTTGATATCGCTCGAACCTAGGTGTGTACTTGCGGCTCTCGTCAAACACCGCATCTCTAACAACCTGCACTCTTCTAGTATGTGGGAACCAGATTTTCCAGATATTTGATGCCACGAAGCCTACTAGAAAGCCAATCTCGGCTCTCGGTGCCATCTTATCAGATTGCACTTGCTTCTGTATCCGACAGTAAGTCAAACTGCCATACAATTTAACGTTTGCTAGGTTGATTCTCGGTATCTCGTTGCCCGCGAATTCGCGTCGAACCTCTTCCTACGGCACAATCCAGCGTTTCTCATCGTTCACGAAGGTGGGTGTACGGTTCAGCAACTATACTGCAGCACTTGCTGCCTCTAGCCAGAGACCTTTGGGCAACTGGCCCTCGACGATGAGCATACGCATACGTGTGATGATTGTTCCACCTGCACGCTCGCTATATCCATTCATCTCTGGATGTCCCGGGGGAGAGTGATGGATAATGATGCCCTCTTTGGAGATGGATCGTTCGGCGGTGCTTCCTGCCGAAGTCTCGTTGTCATACATGAACACCTTAATTGGCAAGTTCCACCAATTCTTAGCAAGTGCTATAAACTTGTCGATAGCAAGCTGACACTCTGGCTTTAGTTCATATATCATGATCTAGTGAAATCGCACTCCCTCGATATAGAAGTGTGACATCCATCTATGTCTGTTTTCTGCTGGCTGGATCTGTATTAGGTCGAAATGAATTCTTCCAAATCTTCCAAACGTGCGTCCAATTGGTCGGCGAGAGATTTGTCGAGGTGCTCTTGCTAGGTTGCAGACTCGGCAAGGTGAGTTGACTTCTTCATCCTTGTTATCCTCTATGATCTCGATGCCATCTACCATTTGCTTAGCTTGCTTAATCGCATCTGTGCTGATATGCGCTAGACGGCGATGCCATAGTTCCATAGATCCTTTCGCTTTCTGTGGTCTCTCTAACTTTCTGGTTATTGCATTAACACTGTTGTGGCTTGGCAAGTCGAATACCCACAGATCTAGGTCCACTAGCTGCAATTTCGCGATTTGCAGGTTGTTTGGGTCGACGATAGTATCTGTATCTTGACACCATTTCACACCAAGTCGCCTTATTTTTGCATATGAAACTAGGTTAGTATAGCACCCTAGGACATACAAGGCGTTGGTAAGACGTATGATTCGTTGCTTGCCGGTTTGTGGATCTCTTGCAGCAAGTCTTGCTGTTCCAATCCCCTCACCCTTGGTGATTGAGTTACCAGTTGCTAACTCTGTTTGGTATGGGGTTATAGTTTCGAACCAGCCCTTGTTGTTGCACACATGCACACTTGATCCATAGTCAAGGATCCATCGGTCTTTAAGATCAGGCATTTGCTCAATTCTCTTATCGACTGGCTTAATATGGTAGATAGGAGTTCTTTCTACTGGTTTGCTAGTATGGACTTACTGCACCCGGTTGCTCTCTGCTGAGGGCACTTGTATGGTTGCAAGTGTTACTATTGGTGGATGAGCGCTAACGTCAGGCTATACCGTTGTGAAATCCGCCGTTTCCTTAGGCGTTGAACGTTCTTTGTCCTTCCTTACTTCCTCGTTAATCCACTTGCGCTATTCTGGCTCTACGGTAAGAAGCTTCTCAATTCTTTTCTTCGTGGCTTCCCTGATAGTGAAGTCCGAAGGTATCAGATCAGGGCGTATGTAGTAGCAAGTTGCTACTCTATAACGTGGGTGTGTGTTTCCACATAGGCAGTACCGTTCGTGAAACGGGGTCTCTACAGTCTGCTTTGGCTTCTTAGACTTTGTAGCAGAGATTGTTGCCACTTGCTATAAAGCTTCCTCATGCCCTTGCCAGGTTGAGAAGGAGGCCTTTGGTGCTGACAGTGATGGTTTAGCACCTGTTTCGCGGTAGATACTGCGAAAGGACTCGATAAGCTGATTGATATCACGCTTCTCTTTATTAAGGATGACAGCAGTGTATTCCGCTTGCCACCACATTGGCAGGACTTCCTTCACAGCCTTGATAAAGTAACGTACTGCATCTTCATCATCAACCCTGATGCCGACGCTAATGACTTCTTGCCGCAGTGTGTCCCACTTGTCGATCCATTGGTCGACATCCTTCCCGGGTTTCTGCGATACAAGTTGCTCCTATTTGTCGCGCAGCTCTTCCTTATAAGAGTTGCTTCTTGCGAACCGTGTTTTCAGCGCTACAAGCACATCATACGGGATTTCTTTGGTGATGACGGAGCGATGATACTTGCTGTCAAGGGTGGCAAAGATATATTCGTATACATCATTCAATCCCTTGGTCTGCTTCTCATACTTCGAGAGAGCAAGCTTATAGACATCGAAGCGGTCTCGCCACTTACGGGTCTCCTTATCATCTCCGTCTTCTGGGTATTCTGGTTCTACCGGCTCCGTACTGCGCTTAGGGAGTGCATCCTCATTGACTTCTGGATTGCATAGCTCCCAAACCGCGCGCAGTTGTGCGAAGCGCCTGGTTTTTGCATACCAAGTGCTCCATTGAGCTGGTTCACGAAGTTTATCGCCCTTTATGGCGGAGAGTGTTGACGCATCCATGCTTGCTGAAGTGTGGTGATCACTTGCTGTATCGCTTGCTAGCGAGGATGGGGTATGGGTGTGTTGGCGTTGCAGAAGATGCACAATCGGTGGTTCAAAAGGGGTTCTGAACCAGCAAGTGGTCGATTTATGGTTATCAGATGATCTGATTGCTGTAATCGATGTGTTTTTCTGGTTCAGAAATGGCTATTCGGGCTCATAACTATGAAATACAACTTGGTGCTGGCTAATCAGGTGATGTCAATAACTCTGGTTTCCATTACCCCTAATTCTGGCAATTTATATATAGGTGTAATTTACTTGCTGAATAATGAACAAACACGACAAACAAGTGGGCCTGCTTTCTCAGGCTTCCGACATGATTATTATGCCTGAACTCTCAGGTTTAAATTCAACACCTCAGGCCATATGTTTGTCCTGTTTGCCATGCATAATCAAGTCGGTGATGACTGGCCGTGGTACCACTCGGCGATTAAAGATTGATCTGCAGTTCATCGGCTTGTGTGTCTGTAAAACCAGTCCCAAATCTCAATTAAGCACATAAATATAAAACCAGATCCGATCCGCCACTTCCCGGAAACCGCAATACCCAAAACCACTCCATCACCTTACAAAAGCCAAGCGCAAACCACACCACACCATGTCGCAATTCATCCGCAAGTTACAGGGAGGCAATCTCGAGGTTGTCAAGGTTAGTACTATATAGCAGACCAGCTCTCACTCAGGCAGACAATGCCATGGCAGCAGCAACCTTCTCTCATCTCACGACCCCACTAATACGTCGCAGTTCGGAATGTACGTCCTTTTCCCCATCGGCTGGATGTACTACTTCGGCACGAACCTCGACGACCGCTTCGCCACAAAGGGCTTCTGGCCCACTGCCGAACAGTCGCACAAGATCCCGCTCGACAAGGAGGAAATCGACCAAGAGCTGGCTCGTATGCGCATGGTCGAGAGCGTCAAGCGGGAGCGGAGACAGGCCGCGGAGGCTGCGGCGGAGGCTCAGGCTCAGGCGCAAGCACAGATGCAGGCATCAAAGAATGAGCAATGAGATGAGACATGCAACTGGTTGTCTAAAAGCTTGCAAGAATAGGGTTTATTGAGGGGCCGTTGGCGTTCCTTTTTCCCTTTTATTTCTTTTGCGAGCGAGGATGAGATTGTTATCGCGGGAGTTTACATGTGCTGAATGAAGGAGAAGGAGTTATCTGTACAACACTCTGCTCTGGGCATCGAAGGCGTTACTGGGCTGTTGTTTTCGGTTGGATCATCCGCCATATTTCAAATACCATTTACATTTCTTGTATATTAACCAAATGGAAAAAAGTCTGCATCAACTTCAATCATGATCACGTTGCAATGATAAAATAACACATGTCGGTATCAATATGCCACAGACTCGCCCAAGGCATGGCATATGTATAAACCAGTCTGTGGTCCTAATGAACCAAGAAAACACAAAACAATTATTAATAATGCGATGTGCCGCGCTGCGACAATGCGAAAGGGATTCCCCAAGTTCAGAACACAAGAACTCCTAAAAAGCGCCAGCCGACAAGAGTGAGAGCAAGGTTCCCCTAAAAGTAAGCTGCAGAGACATTAAAAGCAGTCTCACTCTTGGGCGAAAGGAGCACGCGAATGCAACGAATATCCAACTCGGACGTTTATTCACAGTTCCGCCATGCGCTCCATGCGCTGGGTCGTGGTGGCAGCAGCATTCTTCGCAGTCTCGTACACCATACCGCCGATTGCCGTGGCGCTCTCTCCGAAGACAGAGCTGATTGATAGCCGGCCGGAGTTGAACAGGCGCTCGCCAGCCCAGTAGTAGTAGAGGCGGCCGTAGATGGCGCGGAGGTGGTCGGGGAGGTAGATGTAGATTCCGGCGGCAACCATGGTGATAAGGGTGAGGAGGAGCGTGTCTAGAGGGAAACACGAGGTTAGTATACAGTGGTGAATTGGTTGGATCAGAGCGAGGGCGCGGCGTACTGAAGATGAGCTTCTCGATGGGCGTAAGCATGTAGATGGCGAATGTCACCTCATACTGGTAAATTTTCAGACGCATCCAGCGAAATACACTAGAAATGGCCCAGAGAATGACCTCCATTGTTGTGGGGGATGTTGAGGATTGGTGTTAATTCGTTTCTTGAGGCTTGTGGTGCCACAGGCAGCGAAGGGTGTTCTGATTGACGCGGAGAGAGAGGAATTGAGGAATGCCGTGGACAGAGATCGTTAGGTAGGCGATCAGGAGTTACAATCAGATCGATGGAGGTATGTTGACGATTGAAGATCTAAGAGAGTCGAGAGTCGGATAAGAAAAGATCTCCCCTTCCCCTTTCCGTGGTTCCCGTATTTGTACTAGATACTACTGGTCACCCCCACTCTGCAGCCCAAAATTAAGTACCCGGTACTTTGCATACTTTTCCCATGCAATTTGTTTGCACTTGTGGTTATTTCACTTTTTCGAGTATAATTGTTAACTTACAATCGGATATAGATATACAAGCTATAGTAATTACAAGGCTGTACATTGTGTGAATTCCAATACCATACGCTGCACAACCATTTCAGCCATTTCAACGCCAGACATACCATACATATCTCTTATCTCTTATCAGCCAACCTCCGCGGTGAAATAACCTCAACCTCTAACACACGACACCAACCAAACAATGCTCCCACGCCTGCAGTGGGCAGTTAAAAAACTGCCAAATCCCGCCCGCTTCTTCAGCGAAACCCCAATAACCCCCGCCAAACCCCTCCCTCCACGCCTGAAAATCAACGATGCCGACATATCAATCTCCTACCTGAAAGGCACAGGGCCTGGCGGACAGAAGATCGTACGTGATTCACAATCCCACTCCAATCATACTCCCCACATCAGTCTAGTCCACTCATCAAACCCAGTACATAGCTAATGCACCCAGAACAAAACCAATTCCGCCGTCCAGATCATCCACAAACCAAGCGGGATAGTAGTGAAATGTCAAGCGACGCGGTCTCAGTCCCAGAACGCCAAGACTGCGCGCTCGCTATTGGCGGATCGGGTTGAGGCGCTGGAGAAGGGAGATAAGAGTCGGGTTGCTATTAAGGCCGAGGCGAAGAAGAAGAAGAAGGCTAGTAAGCTCAAAAAGACTAAGAGGAAGTATCGGGAGCTTGAAAAGGGAAAGAAAGGTGAGGTCGAAGAGGAGGAGGATGAGGTGGAGATTATCTGGGATGATGAAGTTGTGGAAAGCAAAGAGACGCCTGAGGTTGCGAATAAGGTTGAGGTTGAGTCCCCTGAGAAGTTTGAGAAATCGGAAGAGCCTGGGAAGAGTGTATGATACATAACTCGTTTAAATGGGCTGTCTTGGTTTTGCATTGTATATTTACGAGATTGGTGTTTGGCGTTTACTTCTAGATAAGATGGCACGGATAATCTGACAATGATCAAAACAAGCATTTATTTCATGGATCTAGGGTCTCATCGCAACATGCATATGGGGTGGTAGGGGGAATTGAGAGGAAATGTGCTACTCGGTAAAGAGCAAGCAAGGTGGGCAAAGGTAAAACTTTTCTTTTTGTGTTTTGATTTTCTTGGGGGAGGGGGTGGTAATGCCCAAATCAAGAAATGTAGCTTCCCAGGACAGCCTTGGACTGATCGTCAAGACGTTCAGCAGCGAACTGCGACACTCGGCCGTTCTGCTTCTTGTCGGCCTCCTTCAGGTATGTACCCACCCAGGCCTTGAGGTCGGCTCCGGTCTCGGGCCAGGGGTCCTTCTGCTGAGGGCGGATGGTGTTCAGAGGAGTGAAGCCAACGCCGAAGGACATGTCTTCGGTGTCGGCATCAGCAATGATATCGTCCCTGCTAGCGGGCAAGGGAGGAAGCTCGAGAAGCTTGAGCAAGGCTGTGCAGGTGAAGCCCCATCCCTTCTGGGAGTACCGGGTAGCAAATGCTTCGGAGTTGGCAAGGGTCTTGGTGAAGGACATGATAGCCGTCTTGCGATCCAGAGGCCGGGCAAGCTTCTGGGTTTCGGGGAGAATGACGTTGATGTAGATGGGGGTGAAGAGTCCTTCTTGCACCTTGTCGGTGACCTGGATGACGAAATCGGCGCTGTAGCCCTTGTCGTCCTGAGTAGAGATGAAGTGGAAGAAGCGAACAAAGCGGAGAGTCAGGTTCTCGGTCTTAGAGTTCTGCAGGCGCTGGAGAATGATCTGCATGATCATGATGAAGTAGTTCTCGAGAGCTGTGGGAGGGAAGTTTGCAACAACGGTCTCTAGCAGATCGAACGCAAAGCTTTCATTGGCCTTGGTCGAAACGAGCTTCTGGAAGATACCCAGAATGGGCTCAATCTGGTTGTGTCCAATGATGTACTGCGAGCCACGGGGGATGATAGAAGAAAGCAGTCGAACTAGAGCTGGAGTGTTTCCCTTGGAATCCCACATGACAGGCATCAGCACAGGGCCGATAAGTTCTTGGTAGTAGGTAGGGAGGGTTGCAGACGGGTTGGCCTCGAGCAGGGCAGCAAAAAGCTGGAAAACATAGGGCATGAATTCTTGCACATCATTCTGGAGAATACCGGCGAAGGGTGCGTAGAGAGCCTGCTCGAGCTTGTCGGGATTGGCGGGAGCAGCAAAGCGAATGAAGGCACCCAAGGCCTCGAAGTGGAAGTAGTAGAAGCGGGGGTTACTGGGGTTCGCGCTGATGATGTTGGTAATGTTGATGAAACGCTGAAGAACGATGTCGGTGAAAGGAACCACTCCCTCCTTGATGACAACCAAAACTCGCATCACACAGCGCATCAAGAACTCGTTCTCTTGAACCTTCTCCGGAGCTGGGTTGCTCTGGATGAGTTGGAAGATGTGCTCCAGAAGATCCTTGGCCAGAGGCGTAATTTCTGTGGGGGGGATCACCGGCTGACCTTGAGCATCGCTGAGGTAAAGCACCCGCTCCAGGGCAATAGCAGCATATGTGTAGACGACAAAGTTAGAAGAGGCCAAGTGCTTAACCAGAACGGGAAGGACTTGTTGCCACTGATCCTTGGTGATGATACTGCGGAAAGTGTACAGATACTTGATGGCATCAACCTTCAAGATGGGATGAACACCATCATCGGAGACCAGATCAGCCGCAAGGTTCTGCTGGAAGTAATCCGTAATGCTAACCAACTGGTTGGTAGCAGTGACACCGTGCGAAGCAGTTGCAGTGCCCTTGGCAGCAATGGCAGAGTAAAGGTATGTGGCAGTATCTTTAGCCTTCCAGTTGGAAGCATCCTTGGCGTACTCAGCCAGGTAGTGCTGGGTGTACTTGAGGACAACTCGGGTAACAGGCTCCTCAAACTTCTCAGCTAACTTGCGAAGGAAATCAGTGGCAGCGCGACGTCTAGTCTCGCTGTCGGATCCTTCCAAGTCACGTCGAATGAACTCAATGGGCTCATCCTCGAAGAGCTCCTCATCCGACTCACGGAGGCTAACGTTGGGCAAGATAACCTTCTCAACAATCTGGCCCAGAGTCTCCTCAGCCTGGAAAGAAGCAGCGTGCTCTGGCATGCCTGCGACAGACGTCAAAAAGAGCAGGGCACGGCTGACCAAGATATCATATTTCGTTTCCTGGCCGATGGTTGAGAGGAAGTTCCATGAGCTTCCAATGAACTGTCCTACATGGGGCTGGAACACATCCATGTACTTCTGAACATAAAGGGTCAGAGCCTCGAATATTCCAGCACGGACGTATTCCAACAGACCAGCCTCGGTTTCGTCATCGGTGTGTAGTAGTTCGTTGTCGTAAGTGAGGTATTTCAAGAAAATTGCGGCAATTCCAGTGATGTTATCTTCAAACATGGGAGGGAGATCGTGGGAAGAAAGGTCGTAAAATAGCTTGACCATCAGGTTGAGCTGAGTGAACCCTTGCGTGAGATTTTCTTTGTTGGTCTTGTTTTGCTCGAGGTAGTTATCGAGTGCCTGGAAGAGTTAGCATTTTGGCCTTTCGTGAGCATTGGCTATGTGGGAATTACCTCGAACAGAGCGAGGAACGGAGTACCGAATTTGCCCAGGACATGATTGATCTCAGTGTAGAGGGCATCGGACTGGAACAAAGGTCTCCATCTCTTGAAAATGGAGTGTGCGACTTGCAGCACACCAATGTTGACGGTAGGGTTGGCCGGCGACAGCTTGGAAACAAGATCCTAAACAAATCCAATTGTTAGCGAATATCAGAGTGTCTTGTGTTCAGTCGCAACTTACATCCACCAGAGTATCCCAGTTCTCCCAAAAATCACTATCGGCGATAACACTGACAGCCTCACCCAACTGGCTTTGAATTCCTCGGTGGGACCGAAATCATCAAAGAGATCAACTCGCGCTTAAGTGTCTCAACCTCATCATTCTGCAACTTATGTGTTCCATCCTCGTCGGTCCAGTTGCGCTTGATGAAGTTCTTAAAGAATAGTGCACTCGCAAGGCGTGTGTTGTAAGGTGTAGCCTGCGAAGCGGTGATGTGAAGAAGCTGTAGCGAGAAACCCGGCTTCTGCTCTTCCTGACGAAGGGTTGTTTCGGCTAAAATGAGGATTAAAATGTATCAGTAAGATTCTGGAACCATTGCAATCTTCAACCCAATTCACTCACCCGCCTTGTTCTGTCTGGGGTCCAAGCTTGCCTCCAACAGAGCTCCAAGACCCTCCGACATTTTGTACGTGGGGTATCAACACAAGTGAGGGGGAATGAATAGAAAAGGACAAGCCGACAAGAGATTGGAAACAAGTGGTAATTAAGTACTCAGGAATGTCAAAGAGGAAGGTTGACAGTTCAGAGAGGGATAAAGATAAAATATCCAAAGCTCTTCCGAACAAAACAAATAAAGCGAGCCCTCATAATTGTACAGGCAATCCGCCCACCGCCTCTAGTCCAAATTAGGTTAGCACGTCACATGCTTGAGCCTCTATGCGTTGACACCTTAGGCGTCAAATTGATATGCTGATATTTCAACCGGGCTGATTTTGCGTGCATCCTTATATTGTATTGATCTGAGTATCCGCTTCCTGATAGGCATTCAATTGTGAATATATTGCAGCCAAATATGCCCCAAAATCGGCGCAGCGAGACAGGATGTACGAAGAATATCCTAGGCTAGGTTGTGATGATGCAATAATATATCAATTGATTTTTTATTTAATATTCTATAATCATGTGCTTTTCGTGAAAAAAATTACAAACTCCTATGGAACCAGCAACTAGGGAACCATGAATGCTTAGATAACAATGTTGCTAACGCCGTTAGCCACCTCCTGCTCCTTGGCCAGGGACAGAGCTTGGACTTGGTTGAAGACACCGGCAGCAGCGGAAACAAATCCAAGGAAGGGCTTGCTAGGCGACAGCACACGAGAAATGTACTCAGGGTGGAATTGAACACCAACGAACCAGGGGTGCTCTTTGAGTTCAACAATCTCCATGCGCTCACCTTGGTCATCCTTACCGATGAAGTGAAGACCGGCCGCCTGGAGCCTCTCAATATATTCGGGGTTAACCTCGTAACGGTGACGGTGACGCTCATCGACGGAGGCACGGTCCAACCCGTAGAGAGAGCGGAGCTTAGACCATTCGGAGTTTTCTTGGAAAATAGTGGGACGGGAACCCAGACGCATGGTACCACCAAGGTTGGCACGGTCAATTTCGGGCATGTACACCACGATAGGGTCAGAGGTACGCTCATCGAGCTCGACTGAGTGGGCACCCTCGATACCGAGAACGTTGCGAGCGTATTCAATCACAGCAATTTGCATACCCAGACAGATACCGAGGTATGGCTTGTTCTTAGTGCGGGCGTGCTCTGCAGCGCGAATCATTCCAAGGGTGCCACGGGTACCGAAACCTCCAGGGACCAAGATACCGTTAGCAGTGTGAACATCATACCAGGCCTTGTGGTACTCCTTGGAGTTGGTCTCCTCCCACTCTTGTTCGAGGTGAGAGGCATCGACCCAGATGATGTTGAGTTTGCGGCGGGAAGCCATGCATGCGTGCTCCAGAGACTTGATGACGGACAAGTAAGAGTCATGCAGGCTGACATACTTGCCAACAAGAGCAATGTTGACGGTTTCAAAGGTGTGTTCTTGTGCAGTAGTAAGAGTCTTCCACTGTTTCCAAGTGGACTGACCCTTGGCAAACTGAGCCTGAGGGATCTCCACCTTTTTCATGGCGAGAAGATCACTCAGAACACCGAGGAAACCTTGTTGCTCGAGAAGCATGGGAACGTGGTAGGTCGAGCTGACATTGTGCACGCCAATCACCTGCTCTGGCTCGACCTGACAGAACATAGCGATCTTATCGGTGGTAGCCTTGTCAAGAGGCTTCTCGCAACGGCAAGCAATGAGATCCGGGCTCATACCAGCTGAGCGAGCGTCCCGGATAGCCTGCTGAGTGGGCTTGGTCTTCAATTCATCATGAATGACCGGAACTAGGGAAACGTGGATCTGGACAAAGTTGTCCTTTCCAGCGCGACGACGCAGCTGACGGAGAGCCTCAACGAAAGGAGCACTCTCAATGTCACCAAGAGTACCACCGAGCTCGATAACACAGACATCGGGCTCCTCATTGGTGTCGTCTGCGGGGGTTCTGGCCACACGTTCAATCCAATCTTGAATGGCATCGGTCAAGTGAGGGACAATCTGCACTGTGCGTCCAAGGTAGTCACCGCGGCGCTCCTTTTCGATCACATGCTTGTAGACCTTTCCGGTTGTGATATTGTTATCTCTTCCAAGGGTGATTCCGAGGTATCTAGATATGAATTCATTAGTTCTTGATTTATCGCACTAAGACCCAACAAGATAAACTTACCGCTCGTAGTTTCCAAGATCGAGATCCGCCTCACCGCCATCGTTCAAAACGAACACCTCTCCGTGTCTGAGAGATATATATCAGGAATAAGGATCAGAGATCAGAGATGAGAATTCACATACTCGGTGGGGGCCATGGTTCCCGCATCAACATTCATATAAGGATCAATCTTGATACAGGTGACTCGGGCACCCTGAGTCTTCAGCAGCAGACCGGTACTCGAGGCTGCAGAAAAGGTTAGACCGAGTGAACTCTTCTTTCGTCAATTCAGAGATATGTACCAATTACGCCCTTCCCGATGCCACTGATGACACCTGTACGAATGTGTAAGTTATTGCTCATCGAAGGATTGACTCAGGAACAAATACCTCCAGAAACCACGACGTACTTCATGGTGGCGGATGAAAAGAAAGATATGACAAGAATGAGATTTGAATGTTATTGCAGGAATCCCAATTTCTACCAATATATCGAGGAAAAGAAAGAAATGTAGGGTGCCGTTCCTGGCTTCTGCCAAGGGGGAAGAAAGGAAGGAAATTGGTTTTTTTCCAAAGCTTCAAATCGGCTGCCTTTACCGCCCCCCACTTTGGCTGGTTTTTTTGCCTTTTTTTCGTTGACTTTTTTGCCGGTGGGACTGGGCGGTGTAGTCTAGATCATGTGATACAATTTTTCTATGCTGAAAAATGTATATCAGATGACAAAATAGTACCTGAAGCTCATGCATTAGATATAACAAGTAGAATGTATAAATTATGGACACACTGTCTTTCTTCAACATGTACATCCCGAACTAGCTACTGATATTTATATTCACCATCTTCATATTGATTGGTCCAGTCTCAATTTCATCCATCTTACCGCCATTTTTTGCCGGGCGGTAAGTGTATCAGGCGACTTGGGCTGGGATACCCCAAAATGTCACTCCTCCGATCTCCCCCTCAGTCCCTATCACATCACTTGCTTGTGTCATCGGCCTAGTGGAGTACTGGCTCCATTGATATTCATCATCCTACCACTTGAGCCTAGCACAATTCCTCCCTCATTGCCGATCAAAGCTGTTTAACGTTTCGATATCGATCACCCGGATATCCACTCTCGCAGCTCCCCAGGCATCGTCGCTGTCCCCGCATGTACAATTCGCTATCATAGGAGCCGCCCATGTGGTTAAAGGTATTCATTTACTATTTGTAAAAGGTATGGCCTGCTTGAAGTTGAAAGACACATAGTTGTTCATCTCTTCATATCGCCCAGATGATGCAATACCGGCACTAACTTGGTAATGGTATAGTTGAGACACCGCATTCCCCCCTGCACACTTGAGCTCTGTCATTGAGCGGATGTCTCCCGACGATGCTCCACCAGTCTCTCAACATAAACCCTCGTCAACAAGTTTCGCAGATGTCTTCAAGAATCTAGGTGTCGGTCGACCCAAATCGCACTCTCCAGTTTCCAACAATAACGACTTAGCATCTCACTCTGACTGTCGCGGAACCAGCCGGGTCATACACGGGCTCGAATCAATGCATCGCGGTAGTGTAGTGTCGAGTTCCTCGGACGCCCCAAGTGCCCCGGATTTTGATGTGTCACTTCAAGTTTTGTCGCAAAGGCAAAATTTGAACCAGGCCATCGAGGAAGCGGAGCTTTTATCAAAAACATTGCCATGGTTTAGCTCCGAACAGTCCGTGGTACTATGGGAGACCGCCGAGTATCTTTTGCACCATGAAAGTTCTTTGGAAGCCCAGAAAGGTGGAGCCAAATTATTAGAGGCGATCGCAACCCGCCAAGATCTCTCGCCAGCAGCCAGACGCATGGTTTTCGAATCTATAGCAGCCCCAACTGAGCCCGATGTCATTGCTGCGCGTGTGCAGTCACTCATCTCCTTGTCCGACCATGGCAGGAAATTGGATTTCACTGGTTCCTCAATTCTCCATATCATTTCTTCTTGGATCCTTCCTCTTTATGACACAATTGCGGCAGCAAGGTCAAAAGCCAAGAAGGTCAAACCCACCAAGCAACATGGGATGACCCATGACGAGGCAATGCTAGGAGAGCTGTTCCAGTTCGCAGTGGACTTGATAACCTTGCAGCGAAAACAGCCAACCGAGGAGGAAATTGAACTGCTGCTTATGGAAACATTCACTACTTGTCGGAGAACCAGCGTCGCAGCTGACATAAAAAATTCTTTGGCTGTGTTTGACGCTGTCATTGTGTACGCTGATGTTCCCGACGCAAGTTTTGCTACTCTTTTGGAGGTCCTTTGCAGCATCCATGCGTCCGTCAAGTCTCTTTCTGGGCCCACCTCACGCGCAGTGCGGAGCTTGGCCAAGTCCAGAAGGCAGGCAGAAATGGTCAATACTCTACATGAGTTTCTGAGAGAATCATGTGCTGCGGAACAAACTCGGAACCTCAATGTGCTCCGTGGTACCCTCTACGTCTTCTCCGACTTCCTTCGTGCATATGGGCAAGATGGCATGCCACAGCTTCCATTCGATCAATTGATAGAGTCAATGCACGTCATTGCCCAAAAGGATGACAGCCGAGTCGATGCTGACCTCTTGGACTTGTCTCTGAATATTCTGGAAGGAGACTATGTTCGCGTTGCTCTGGATCAAGATTGGAAATCATTCGCCGATCTTCTCATAATTTGCACGCGCCGAATTGGGGAGGATCCGGTGGGATCTCCGACTTCTTCCACCAGCTCCCAACCCAAACCTAGCCACGATGAAACCAAATCTTATATATTGGCGAATCTCATTCGCATAGCCTCTCTTATTGAATCACAATGGGGACAGCTTAACAACGACCAGAAGCAGCACGCAGTCAGATTCTTCATGAAGATCCACCAGCATCTCGAGCCTCCACAGGCCGAGCTTATTATCAATTTAATGAGACAAGACAAGCTCTGCTACCCCTCTCAGGATTCGACATGGGCTCAACATTGCCGAGAATTGATCGAGTGTTTTGTTCAACCCCGAAAGCAAAGTTCAGATATCCGCATTCTGGCTTTGGACACATTGAAAGAAGCTTTGGCCGGACATGAAGCTGAGATATTCTCTCAGGAGCACGGACTCTTGGGTCTTTTGTTGAAGGATTTCTCTTCAGAGCACGACCTTCTCTTCTTGGAATCGCTGGTCTCGTTGTTGACCGAGCCGGCGACACAATTCAGTGATGACGATACATTCAAGTTGCTAGTCAGCAAAATTGGCGCACCAATGCAGAAGGACTTGAACAAAGAGGAACCGCGAGAAGCTTCTTCAAGCTACGCATCTTCGCGTCGAACCTCGACAACAAGTGTGTTGGAGCTCAGCTTGACAAACGTCTGCTCCGTCGGCCTCGTGAAGATGATGCTCCGAGCTTTGAACCTTTCTTCGGCTAAAGCTATCATGGCCTTTGAGGCACTTTTAGAAATCGCGCAATCTCCTCAGCGGCCGACAGACGCTCGTCTCACTGTTCTGAAGCTGCTCTTCCGTCTACGTTGTGACTCAGCCGGTGCAGTCACAGTTATCTCAACATCGGAGAGTGACTTCTTGATGAACGTCCTAGGCCGCAATCTGGACGGTGGCTCCAAACTACAAGCCCCTAGCGATAGCCCTACCCGCGACATCCCTCAGCACGACAACCAACCTGTCTCGCCAACTGCAAAGCTTACAGCGAGAGATACTGCTTCCAATTCTCTTTCAAAAACCGCTCCTCGTGGTTCTATCTCGGCTCGCGGGTCGAAGTTGACGGCACCCGTGTGGACACATGCTTTGCCCCAGGCGCTTCCTGAACAGCCCCCTGGAGAGTCCAGCCCTGTGGTTTTTGCCCACGCTCAACCCGAGGTAGCAAGTCCCGGCGAGCCAACTGAGCAGACCGAATCGACGCCACTAGAATTGTCAACCACAAGGCTTTTGAAAGTTAAGATGTGGCTTGAGGTTGTAATTACCCTGCTGCAGCGAGAGCCTGATTGGGATGTCTACAGCTATGTCCTTACTCATCTTGGTCCTCAACTTGGCAACAAAGACTTCTTCAAGGATGCTATTCCTCAGGTCACGCTCCTGCGCAGCATTCTTTGTGATCAGGTCAAGAACGGAACCTTCCATGAGCCACCGGAGACTACGGGTTTGAAAAAGAGCGATGTAGCGGCTTGCATCTTTGATGCGCTTTGCATGCTCGTCAGCTACCATGACCACTTTGCCAAGAGCGAAGAAGATGATCTCGTCCGAGCGTTCATGCAAGGCATCATCGGTTCATGGGGCGGTACATCCCGTGGTTGTATACAAGCACTATCACTCTGCTGCTATGAAATCCCTATGTCGGTGACGAAATCACTGACCAGCATTCTTGATCGAATGTCGAAGGTGATTACCATGTCAAATGTGGCTGTTCACATCTTGGAGTTCCTGGCTCTTCTTGCGCGACTACCTGATGTCTATGTCAACTTGCGCGAAGAGGAAATTCGAACAGTGTTCGGTATCTGCATCCGCTTTTTGCAGACCTCTAGAGAGCAACGGTACAGAGCCTCTGAAGCAGCTCTACGAGTCTCTCAGTCGGCCCAGTCAACTTCTCCTCAGTCTAGATTGAGCGCTGGTTCAAAGGAGATTGCTGCCCATGCAGCTGAAGCTATGGAGTCCTCGCAAGATGGCATGGCCAAGTACATCGCCAATCTCACTTACCATGTCATGATATTCTGGTTTCTGTCTCTGAAGCTTCAGGATCGGCCCAAGCATGTGAATTGGATCACAAGCAGGTTCATCTACCACGACGAACACGGCAAGGAAGTGGTTGAGGAACAAAGTCAGGTCTTGATCGATCTCATGCAGCGAGTGGCTTACTCAGACCTTGGAGAGACTATCCCATTTGAGACTTTCCCTCCTTCACCCGATGATGGTCCCGTTTCCAAGAAGTCCTGGGTTGTGGGTATGAGTCTTGTCACCGTTGAATGTGCTGGGGTATCTGGTTTGTCTCAAATCACAAAGCGCCAGGCTTCCGGTACCACCTATTCCGTCTACCAGCAACGAACGGCCCCAGTCCTCCCTCATCAAGTTCCTGCAACACCCGATGCTCACATGCATGCCGACTTCCTGCCAACCGCTGTCCTTCCAAGTCACATCATGCTTCAATTGACTGCTACTGCATTCCCCACGCCTACGGTCATGCAACCTATCCCCGTTCCTGAGGACGACATCACCCGACGTGCCATCGCTAACTTTGATCGAATCGACATTGTTGATGGCCACCGAATCGGCATTGTTTATATCGGCAATGGCCAGACAAAGGAGGCAGATATTTTAGCCAACATTAGTGGTTCTGTCGATTATGAGCACTTGCTATCTGGATTAGGAACTAAGGTGTCGCTCAGAAATCCCCAATTCAACCCGCAAGGATTGTATGCCGACACAGATGGAGAATACACTTATGCTTGGCGCGATCGTGTCACTGAGATTGTGTACCACGTGGCAACAATGATGCCTACAAACTTTGAACGTGATCCAGCTTGTGTCAACAAAAAGCGAAACATCGGCAACAACCACGTCACCATTGTGTTCAACCGCTCCAACTTACCTTTCAATTTTGACACAATTCCCTCCGAGTTCAACTCCATCAACATTGTCATTACCCCATCATCTCGGATCGCTTACGACGAAAGTGGCAATACCAAGGGCGAAAATGACCCGCAAAAGCTGTACTACAGCGTGCAAGTCATCAGCAAGCCCGGTTTCCCAGACGTCTCGCCCGCCGCAACACCTAAGATCATTTCCGGCAAGAACTTGGCAGCCTTCGTCCGCATTCTCGCTCTCAATGCGTCCGTTTTCTCTCTTGTCTGGAATAACAAGGGCGGCGAGCATACTTCGTCCTGGCGCACTCGCCTGCGAGAAATCAAGAAGGTCCGCGAGCGTGCTCTCACAGCACAAGCTCAAGCGTTCGGGGCTGCTGAAGGTGCTTATCCCGGGCAGCGGCGAAACACGAAGGCGAACATCTTCTCTGAGGAGCTGCCCTCGCGTGCTCCGATCCAAACTGATTTTGCTGCGGAATGGAATGCAGCCGCAGACACGAACATCCTCCAAAATCTGGATTTCTCGCGCTGGTCCCGCTGATCTCTTCTCAAACAAAAATCTACCATGTCAACGTCTCATTATCATCTTTTCACTTTCATTTTCTTTCCACTCACCATCTACGAGACATTCCGTCCTCTCCCCTCTCTCACTCACCTCTATCCCCTCCTTCCTACGCCCCTTCAAACAAACAATAAACGACAGCCCCTTGTTCCTCTCAATGACCTACGACCCTCAGAAACGACTTCATGTACATCATCTTGTGTTTTTTCGTGATGCAAGACAATTGTCGCATTTGTGAATACCCCTCTTGGCCCCAAAAGTTTTTGTTTGATTTTGTTTCGCTTGTCAGCGTCTGTTGCGATTAGGATTAGGGTTTATCTATTTGAAATCAATTGTGTTATACTGGACTGAGATCTTCCTTGCTCTTACATGTACTCTGCTCTGTGTACTGATTGCGGGCCTCTTTTCTGTCAAACACATAGAAATACACGGACCACTTCAGCCATCTGATCCTTGCCCTTTGCGGCGCAGGACGGGAGTGGACTTGCACTGGTGTCGCATGATCAACCGATTAGGATTTGGAATCCGACAACTGACAGTTATATATCAGAACTAAAAGGACACCGTGGTCGAGTTACGTTAACTGTGTGGTCGCAGGATGGAAGTTGACTCGCATCAACTTCAGATGATAAAACAGTTAGGGTCTGGGATCCGAACACGGGAGATTGTATATCAGTGCTTAAGGAACATACTGATCTAGTCCAGTCAATTGCTTGGTCGCAGGATGGAAGCGGACTCGCATCATCGGCGAACGATAAAACTATCAAGATCTGGGACCTAGAGACTGAAAATTGCTCATCAACGCCGGAGGAACTCAGTGAAACGCGCGAACAACATTGTGGCTCGGTCACGTCGATTCACATCAGCTTCCGAGGATGGAACAGTCAAGATCCGGGACCTTGCAACTGAACAGTGCATACCAACGATCTCGGGACATCGTGGTATGCTATGGTCGATTGTCTGGTCCCTGGATTGAAATGAACTCACATCAAAGTCAGCGGATAGAACAGTCAAGATCTGGAACACGGCGACCGGTAATTGCATGAACACGCCTTATGATATTTCCTTCTAGACGTGACCGGCTTCAACAAGAGAATTTGGATCCTTGGCATACTGCCACTGGCTCATTCGAGCTAGAGCCCAGTGAATCCAATGCGACTTCTCCTAGTCCTTCCGTCCCCACGACCCCTTAAGCAGATAGAATATGGCCTATCAAAAGGGACTTTTCCTGTATGATCTATAAAAAGTAAGAGTATCTGTGGCTTCCCCCGAAATACCGGCCACACTCGGCAGGCTCGTGGGTTACGTCAGGAACGACCTTGGCCATCGGCTGTGCCTCAGGCCGTACCTTGGTCTTGAAGCTTTCAGAAGTTCCAAAACAACATGCATTTGATGTCTTAAGACAGCTAACTTAGACCAAAACTTTCTTCGCTATGATCCTCTGTGTCGAGATTTGACTCGGAACTAGCGATGAGCGCGTCTACCGGCCTATGTCTCGACAATCGGTGTAGATCTGGAGCTTGTGTGGCCATAATGTGAACAGGAAACTGGAACTCGCGAACCAACACTCGACACTAATACATGAACGTTAGCCATTCTTTCCCAGGCAAAGAGCACTAAAGGAAACAACTAGGGAATATCTGTATGACTCACTCTAGACATCCCGTTCTGGAATCCCAGGCGCAATACCAACTGGTAGCTGCGTTTGATATTGCACGTTTCGAAACTTGGAGAAAGCGCCAAAGGTACAGGATGCGAAGCCCACATTGCCTTCGGGACTTCGATGGTGGTACCGGCAGGCTCGTTATGAAAACATAGTTCTTGCTTCAAATTGACCACCGTTTGAACCATCCAGCAGTGACTGGCGGCCCTTACAGATCCATGAACTTGGATCTGCGTTGTCTCAATCAACATAGTTTGAAACTCTTGGAGCAAAACTTGGCAGCTCTGTTGATAAAGCTTTGTGATACTAATCCTCAGTGGGACAGGATGCCCGGACAAAATAAAGTGCCCATTTAATAGCTCCGTGTCGATCTGCCATAGAAGGGGTTCTGGAGGACCAGTGATTTCCCTATGAAAGCCAACAGATTGGCTTGCTTGATATGCATCTCTTGTGGGAATAGATCTGACTAAAGGGCAGAATAGTATCTCGCGTCTCTATTGAAAAACAGTCAACAACGTGAAAAAGAGCTACTTTGCCGTGGGTAAGGAACACTCAACTGATTTACTGCACCCTTTGGGAATGCCATTCCCTGTGATGACCACCTCTAGAAAATACTTGATTTCCGCATTCGATCCCGCGTCGCCAACTGAAGGGGGTAATGGTCTCAGTAAGTGAATGTCCTTCAACTTTCTTTGCCGGGCTGCAGGATATATTGAATTCTTTCTCTTTCCGCCAATAGTCGTCCTGTAGCACTCTGAAGTGCCTGGAAACTGAATTTGGGATAGATTAGCATCCAATACCGTATAGAGCAGAAATTCGATTTGATGACGAGATACCGTGGCTGAAAATGGAAAGATATGCCTCCCTCTGCCAGCCGTCACATCAGATCGGGGGCGCTTTTCGGACAAAATCTCTGGAGGAAAGATCCTCTGCGTCCTTTGGAAGAGCTAAAAATGTAAGTTAAACACTTTGTCGATTGAGGTAATATGTAAGCTTGTACCTGGTGAATCTCAGAGCTGCCTTGTGATCCCAGTCTAGATATTGCCGCCCCGGAGAGAGTGACGACAATAGTTGTGATGTTCACTGAGCATTTCGCATCCAGAACTATATCGCCAGATACGCAGCTTTGGTTGGTATAGAATGAATCACGTTGAGCAAGATTGATTTGCACTTCAATTGGCACACGTCCAAGGCTTAGATTGGAGAACATGGCATGGAATACAAGAACAAAAGCGAGGTCAGAGACAGTATGTAGAAAAGAAAAGACAAAAGAAGGTAAGTAAAATTTGATCTTATTGTACTACCTGCGTCGTAAGAAAGTATGGGTTTGGGTTGTGTATTTCACCCAGGGTTAGAGCTGGTACCATGCCCGAAGAAGCGCTAGAACAACGAAAAACAATATTGATAAGCCCTACACCCGTTTTTTAGTTACTAATTAGGCATGAATTGCACCGAAACGTGTTTGAGGGCCGAAGCGCCGAGAAACAGGTTGACGATGCTAACTGTGGAATCGCCGACTTAAAATAGCCGGCAAGCCAAGCATCGGAATCCGCGGATTCCGCGCGGGTTCCAGCTGGTGGGGTTTGGTGTCGGAAACTCTTCTTGTTCGCAGACCACAGTAAATATAAGATAGACCTAGGGGGCTTTTCAACGATGAGGCGAATGCGCAGGCAGGAGCCCAACACCATCAACTTCAGCGTTAGTCCTCTGTAACACAGCTTTGACTCGTAGACAAGCATTTCAACCTCTTGGATTGACAATAATTCTTCTTTGTGTCATTGCAGTAAGATATTTCCGCATTTATATCCTTCTTGTTATCGGATTCTCTTATGTTATCGTGATAATTTGCTTTCGGAAATCACAACACCTTGTGAGCATCCAAATCGAAGGGAATAACTCACTTCATATATTAATACGGCAGGCAAGGAGAAATCGGCAATTACTGGCTGAGCATCCGCCATGTTGGATGATTGATTAGTATCATGATTCAGCCAGGTTGCGAAAAGCGCGATCACAAAGCTGCCATGCGCGCTGCGAGGCCATACATTGTCCAGACATCACAAATAGCCACCGCAAAGACTTTTCCACTAGTCCCATGATTATTCTTTCTTCATCGAGCCCATGGAAGCTCCCGAAAGACAGCATCAGCAGTAGTATTGTTGTCGTCTGCATGAAGTGATGCAGGACACACCACCAGGGCCCAACTTCGTACAGCTGCTTCACGTCCGGCTCATCTGGGAGAAGGCCAAGTATGCATTTAGCAGATTCAAGACATAGCACGGCCATCTCGTGGCTGAAGTCTGTCTTATCTACAGGGCCTGTTTGATTCGCTTCGTGGCGGTAGAGACATGATCTGCCGAGTATAATCCGGGCACTGTGGTATTGGAACGCCAGTGACAATCTGCAGCGAAGCCAGGCAGAGTGCTCGGTTTGCTCTTGAGCAAAATCAAATTCTGGTGGAAGATTCAAGCGCCATATCTCAAGCTTGGTTCTCAGATCACCAACCCGCTGCTCGAGTTCCTTCTCCAAAGCCATGTTATCACTTGAATATAACTCTCTGACAATTTCTTGCGCGATGACCGTGAGATCGCAGCGATAAAGATAGTAAAGCCCGGAATTGATCTGCAGGCTTTTGAGCCATAGTTTGTCCTGTACTGCAGAGTGATATTGACCGTCCTCGCCATTCAGTGGATGTAGTGGCGTATAAATAATTCGCGAACTCGTCATGACATTATTGATCCGCTCGTCTCGGATTGTTGAGTCGTGGAGGACCTCGGCGGCTTCCGGGACTCGTAGTTGATCGTCTTCAAATGGGAGTGGTAACGGTGTTGTGTATGACCGGTCCACAAGGCAGGTAGCCCGTCCTGTCATGATACCTAGCGTGTGCTCGATTGTATATAGACACCACCAGAGACGGTAGCGGGCTTCCTTGGAGACACTTGATATTGTTTCGGAGGTATTTTTTAAATTGAGGCCGAGGGCGACTGCGGACCGCATTGCCAAAGCCAGTGTTCGCCACGCTCTGTGCGAATAAGTTAGTGGCTGACTGGTTCGTAGGATTGGACTGCTGGACTCACCGATTTATTTGGTGTGATGAAAGGAGATAAAACGCAGTCAAGCCTTCTACCTGGACCTGCTGGAGATCTGCGTGGTCAAATAGCGCATCACTGTTCAAGCTGAGGACTCTCGCCCGAGTCAAATATATAAGGTGGTCGTCGTGATCTCCACGCCAAGGTGCATCAACGACATGGGCATAGTAGGCCCCAATAGCAAAGACGAGGTTGAGAATAGCGAGCCACTTATCACACGGTCGAGACCCAGTATCGAAAAAGGTTCGATATTGGGCTCTCAGTAAAGTTCGGTTGAGAATGGGAAATGAAGAATGGACCGTGTTTAGGTAAGTTTCGAAAAGTTGATCGGCTAGATGCCGTGGGGGCATAGTATATGCCTCGACCGGACACGATGGAAGAATTGTTAGGTCATCGAGATGGAAATTTACCGCATGGAAGGGCACCTTGTTCTCTTCTTTCTGGCTGCCCTCGAAATGAGAGCGTTGCTCATGGTCTCTTTCGAGATCTTGGATCCAGTGTATTGGTGAACACTTTCCCACAAACCCAGTTGCTCTTGAGCCCTCACATCGATTAAAATCCTCTTCTATGTGATCGGTCACCCCGAAGGGCGGGATGGGTGATTGTGAGGATGATGCATCCCCTGAAGACTGATCTTTCTTCGAGTTATACTTGTGGAGAACGTCAGCTATATCGCCCTTGAATGACCCTAGACAAAAGAGAAACAAACCTTTTCTAACAACCTGCGGATTTTGTCCGCGGCCGAATCTGCAACCGTACCCCCCAAAGTCTCCAAAAAGATTTCATAATCTTGCGTTTTCTTAGCAAGCTCTTCAAGTTGCCTATCGATGCCACCTAGCCTTGAGCTTGAATCTCTATGCAAAAAGATGTTCCTAAACCCACCTTGTTTTTCTCTCCTTCCATCCTGCAGGATAATCGCAGCTGACACCCAACTCGGAGCATTTCCGACATATCGGGGTCTCGCCGCTGCATTTTATCTTACGCTGTCGACAAGAGTGGCATGCGCGGGGAACCCGTCGAAGGGAGCGGATGACACGGGACTGCTGACGCGGGATCTCGACCCTGGCATTTGGAAACACGATTGTTGCTGTCGGTGGCACAGTAGGATTGACATTGATCGCCATCTGCGGTAGCGCAGCGTTGGGGATCGCAGATCCCGTCGTCACAGTGCTGCCGCCTGCGGCCCACTCTGGAATCTCAGTCGACGCAAGACAGTCGCTTGTCGGGAGTGGTTGTTGTTCCCAGGCCATGTTTGCTTTGCGATATCCACGAGATTTTGGAGGTTGATGGCCTCCTGGGTATCAAGGGTAGGTTGTGAGTTCTGCGGCAGAGGCCCGTCTAGATTGTGTGGGCGACCCAAAGATTTGACATGGGGCTGTATGGTTAACTATAGTGACCAACTGGAAAATACTTTTGATTGGCTGGTGAGAAAAATCAGACTTTTTCCGGCAGAGTCTGTTCACTCGCAATAATATCAAGCCCTAATTGCCTACTGCCTACTCCGTACATAACATGACTATGTAGTTGGTATAATATTATCAACATATGAATGTTTGAATGCATATTTTCGATAATACCTTGATAACCCTCGTAGTGTTTTTCCTTCTTATTTATTTCCAAATCTCACAAGATCCAGACCTCGGGATGAAGGCGGAGGATATGGCAGTGGAACAAGAACCAATGATACATGTGTTGTCGCATGTGTCGCTAAAAACTGCTGTAGGGACATCCCTTTAATTAAACTTTTCGCTGTCAGTAACTCACTAGCTGTCGATAATTTTATTATTTAGTCTTAGATGTCTTTAAAGTTATCAATTTCTTCTTGGCCTATATTTTATCATTACTCGCTCGTATCAGAGCATCAAGCTTAGAGCCACAATACATATATCACCAGCAAAAAGTGCCTTTTTGAGGTCTGTCTTTCTGCTCGAATTAATAAAATAAAAAATAAAAAATATCAATAATAATGCTAAAGAAAATAGATGGGTATCAGATTAATAAAATATTCATTTTTGACTGATTTCATTGTATGGCTGTTGAGTGGTTAACTGATCAAAATCTAAATGTGACACCTGGCAGTGAATCTCGATTAGATAATTTGTAGCCCCATAGTTAACCCTTGGCCAGAATCTTTAGCAAACTGTTGGAAATTGGCAGCTCCATACCAAAAATCCTGACGGATATAATTGTTCCATATCTAACTCTAGATTTAAGATAATAATTCATATCAAAAAGATTAAGAAATGTTTTTTATCTCAATTTATGGAGGAGGCAAAAGAGCCTAAAATCGGCGCTTTGTTGCTGGTGATCGTGTGGGTGGAAAGATTTAACAGTCCAGAGTGGAAGAACACCGCAGCATACAGTTGCAAATCCAGTGCATATCATATGTACGTGGTACCCAATTCAGCGAGAATGAGGAACGAACCAATCATAATGTTAGTCGCAAGGGGCAAGCTGATCTGGACTGGGTAGTCAACCCACCAATCAAATGGTTTATGGAAAAATTCCTTCAGCAAAAGATGTCCTAAATAGCTTATTTTGCCAAAGATGGGGAAGTCAACTATATCAAAATCGTTGATCCAATGGAAGATAATGACAAGTACTACATATTGTACTATTGTACGTGATTTAGGGTTAATTTTGCGATCGACACCACATGTGAACGGTGTGCAATTTGGACATTTCCATGAAACAAAACTTGAATTATGATGTAATGTGGCTGATACCTCGATCTGCTCGCTAACTAGTTAGCGCCAAGGTTGTCTGGTGCTGTTTGCCAACCGTCTTTAAACATTGCTCACTCCGAGCCCACCCCCTACATAATCTACACAATGGATAATTCACATAACGACATCCTTCGTGCCTACGAAGCAGACCGTCAATCTCGTGAAGTCTATCGTTACTTTCAGCCCGCAAATCCAGCCGCACTTAACACGACGTGGCCTTCATTTGGGGATCATCATTCTTCGGTGGATTTTACCAGTGCTTCAGCTTCGGTTGCCTCCTACGATTCAAATTTAGAAACACCCATTACAATTAATGCGACCGCTCAAATCAGTCCGAATACGACGTTGACTTCTTTCGCACAGCTGGCTGCTCTACGTTTGAATGCACAACGTGCTTTCATCACGTACTACTTTTCCTTTCCTTAGAGCCTGCAAATAGAGTTGACATTTTCAGTATATTGAATCATGACTCCCAGTTCGTATTGGCTGAAGCAACAAAAACTACCAAGATCAGTAACTCTGAAGTTTCGGCAGAGGGGGATGGACTTTTCGTCGGAACATCTACACTAACAAACTCTTGGAATATATGCCATGTATGTTTAGTTTATGTTTGAATCGTCGCCAGGCTAATTTGGTTCACTTCATCAGGAAACAGTTGCGATCGGTGCAGACCCGCAGGATAAAAACGATCCATTTTTCGTTGTCAACGACCTTGAAAAAGAGGACCGTTTCAAATATTTGCCCTTTGTGACAGGAGAGCCGCATTCTCGTTTCTATGCCGGAACGCCCCTGACAAGCGACAGTGGTATTAATCTAGGATGTCTCTTTGTTTTGGATTCTGAACCCCGCGAGGGGCTATCTGTCGATGAGAAAGATGCATTAACAACAGTGGCAGCGCTAGTCATGGATTATCTGCAGGTCAGTCGACAAGCTACAGAAGGGCGACGCGCTTCAAGGCTTTCGCACGGTCTCCATCTTTTCGTCGATGGCAACTCGAGCTTCGCCGATAATGCCCCAAAGTCATATCGGTCAGGTAGCTCCGATAGTTCACGTTCTGGGTCCCCGCCTACCTTTGGGAGCAGTCGTTCCATGAGTCCCATGAGTCATCAAGACACCGAGCAAGACCCTTATTCTACATGGGCTGCAATCAGTGACGCACCCCTAGGGTATGACGAAACGCGACCTTCTAGCGCACATTCTAACGACCGATCGGAGATAGGTGTTCCTGGGAGTCCCACAAGATCATTACCTAGCTTGCGACAGAGTGACCGCAGCTCGTCAGAATCATCCACGAGCAGCAAGCACTGGCTTTTTCAACGAGCCGCGAATCTTTTGCGGCAAAGCCTGGACTTGGATGGTGCTGGTGGTGTGATGTTCATGGGAACCAGTGAGGACTCGTCGGAAAATTTCAAAGATAGCCAACGCGGGTTTGACGAGTTCAAAAATCGGGCACCGGTCCTTGCGCTTTCTACCAGAGATGATCCTCTATCAAGCCAGATAGTCTCTCCAGAGACAAATCCAGCTGTTGATCTTGACCATGGCTTCTTGAATCGGTTGACACGCCGTTACCCTAAGGGCAGACTTTGGTCATTCCGCCATGATGGAACTCTATCCACTTCCGACGAAGAGATATCCCTAGATGGATCACAAAAGCAGAGCAGGAGGTTTAAAACCTCCGAGACAGCAAGCTTGAATGCCTATTTTCCTGATGCATGTCAGGTAGCATTCGTCCCACTATGGAACGGCACGGACTCGCAATGGTTTGCGGGATGTTTCTGCTGGACTCCTCATCCGACACGAGTGTTTAGTCGAGCCGTTGATCTAAGCTCAATTTTCGCCTTCGCTTCATCCATCATGACTGAGTATAGCCGTGTTGAATCTGTGATCGCGGACCGCCAAAAGGGAGATTTCATCAGTAGCATTTCCCATGAACTGCGCAGTCCCTTGCATGGTGTTCTAGCCGCCGCTGAGTTTTTGGCAGACACCAGTTTGGATAATTTCCAAAGCTCCGTTCTCGAGACGATAAACTCTTGTGGTCGTACTCTTCTGGATACCATGAATCAGGTCCTAGATTTCAGCAAAATCATGTCGTTGGAGAGATCGAAGAGGAGATTCAAAAAGGGCAAGGATCCTTGGAAAGCAAAGCCCACTGACGACGCCCCGCGACTTGACACGCTCGTTCCAGCAGATGTGGCCACCTTGATCGAGGATGTTGTCGATAGCGTGGCTCTGGGGCACGTCCATATGCGAAGATCGACACCCTCGACTGACCGTCCCGTCATCGTTTCACAAAGATCTGTCTCAAATCCACAAACAGATGACGAAGACACTGTTTCCAGCTCAGAGGTCGAGTTGGTCGTCGACATTGCTGACAACGACTGGATGTACCAAGTTCAGCCGGGCTCCTTGAGGCGGTTGATTATGAATCTTTTAGGAAACTCTTTAAAGTACACCGAGAAGGGTCTGATTTCCGTTAGTCTGAAAGCCACTGAAATGTCTAAAGGCCGTCCTCGCCGCCAGGGCCTGCAGGATATGGTGACATTAACCGTGTCAGATACGGGCAAGGGTATCTCAAGCGAATACCTCCAGAAGCGCCTATACACCCCATTCGCACAAGAGAATTCGCTATCAGTCGGCACTGGACTCGGGTTGTCCATTGTCCGCGGTATTGTGAGGGCGCTCCACGGAAAGATTAGCATTCAAAGCATAGTTGGAGAAGGGACTACAGTTAGGATATTGCTTCCTTTCGAGCGTCCTGTTGGAGGGGAAATTCTCAGTGCAATACCCCAAGCGAAAGACTCTGAAAAGGAACAACCCATGCTGTCTTCCAAGCTGGACCGAAAGGATCTCAAGGGGAAACGCGCGGCCATTTGGGGGATTGATTACGCCCGTCTGGAAACGTATCCGTTCTGGTCCTCCATCTCTCGCTATATCACAGATTGGTACGGCTTGCAGCTTGTGTCTTGTTTCGACAAGGATATAGATATTCTATTTGCAAGCGAGAAAACCCTTTCTACAAGCAAGGTGCAAGGCTTCCCTGCGTCATTGCCAGGCTTGCTCATCTTTTGCAACGAGTCGAGCAGCCAAGGCGACCCCCACGTCCGGTGGTCGCATCTTTCTGACTCCGTGGCAATTATTCGAGGATCCTGCGGGCCACAAAAGCTTGCAAGAGGCATCTTGGGTTGTCTTGGTTTGAGACAAGCATCTACGTCAAAATCAAAAAGACTTCAACCAGACTTCGTTGTCCCGGAACGACCTAAGCTTACAGAACCAGCCCTGAAATTCAAGGATGCCTTGGCAGCAAAACCGCGAGGGTTATCAGAAGAATATTTCAATCCCATGTCAATCCCGAAAGCAAGCAATAAGGAGGGCAGGAAGCGTAGTGTTTCTGTGCTAAGTCCCAAGACAGCGGATCTCTCTACCCCTTCATCGAGTGGCACATGGTCCCACATCTCTTTGCCTTCGTCTGCTTCCTCCACTACCCCGGCCATTGTTGACACACCAACATCGCAAGAAAGACCTCGAATCTTAGTAGTTGACGACAACTTAATCAACCTCAAGCTATTAGCCACCTACCTCAAAAAACGAAACGTCCCCGTCTTGGACACAGCAGAGGACGGCCAAACAGCCGTCACTCTGGTTGAGAGAATGTCAGGTGGCTACGACATCATTTTCATGGACATGTCGATGCCCGTAATGGACGGATTTGAAGCAACGCGCGCCATCCGAGCTATTGAACAGGGACGGGGAGGAAGCGAGCGATCACACATTATCGCTTTCACTGGACTCACCAGCCCAACTCATGAGTCCAAGGCGATGGACGCGGGTGCCAGCATGTTCCTTACGAAGCCTGTTTCGTTCAAGGAAGTGTCGCGCATCCTCGGCGAATGGGAACACGGAATAATTTGAATAATAAGCGCCGGCGAGCATCTTGACTTTATACTGGAAGCAAAGCGGATCCAGGGGATTCATTAGTTATTTGTCCCTTCTGCGCAATATCACGATCACACTATATTAACATACCCGCATGCCGGCCGTAATGGAAGCGGGTCAGACGGCGGAGTCGAGATGTCTGCATCATTTGGACAGTCCTCGCGCTTTGGATCTATCTCCCGCTGCGGCCAATCTACCCCTGTCTAGTCTCAGGAGTTCATGGACTAAGAGAATTATTCATAAGCAGGATATTCTCCTCTTGCTTAAGAGTATCGATCTCGATTCCTATCTTCTTTCCCTTCTGCGGCAAGAGTCTGTTTTGCGAATCTGAAACCAGCCAAGTTCATTCGTGTTGTTATCGCGCTCATCAGAGAGGTCGATCCTACGAGTTCCCGCAGGTCGATGGGACAGGGTAATCGAACAACACACGACAGTTTTTCTGCAGTTCTGTGGTGATTGCCTCAGCACATGTTCCCATTGGGTGACCTCCTAGGGTTGAGTCTCTTCCAGATTGATACCTGTCGAAGCGATATAGCGCGCAGTTGCGTGGCGCCGGCCTCACCCATGCACGACGATAACTTCAATAACATTGATTCCAACTCCCGTGGAAGATCGCTACTGACTCGCTTTGCAGAAGACACGCGCATTGTCAGCGCAGAATGACGTGAATGCTCCGGAGATATATACATCTCGAGGACATTTCGTAGGATACTATGTACACTCGAATTTGAGCTCCATATCATATTGGGGTGGCATTTGCTAACCCACGTTTTGATTATTTGATTTTATGCCACTAGTCTTGTGTGATCTATGTGGAAACTTGGCTTCATCCACTTTAGTCAGGAGCTAAGTGCACGTTCAATGTTTCTTGTCCATCGAGGTGTTATAAGGGGAAAGCCAGTACCCACCAGCTCCATATCAGGCAAAGAAGCAATCCAGAAGTAATTAAGTGAGAAGCGAGAGGTAGGGAAGAGCAAAAGCAGAGTGAGGCTTTCGATTTGTGAAAGGGGCCTTGGATTGAGATTTAGGATCCTGCGCGAGGGGTCGATTGTCTGAATTTTGACCCCAATGAGTGAGAGGCCTTGTCTCTGTTAAATCCAGCACCTGAAGCCGAAAATCTCGTATCAGTTGGAATACGCCCAGGCCCCTATAGTGGGCGGGGTTTCGTGATGTTGCGATATTTGACATATATGCCCGGAACGAGTTAGAACTATTCCGAATTTGACTGAACATCTGTCGGTTCGAATGGCTGGTGTCTTGACCCCTCGAGATCAATTCTGTGTCAATCATTAAAACGGCTCAACGAGGATGACATTGCTCAACTTCTGACCGTACCGTTCGCACTCTAACGCCTTTTTCCCCGGCTTCTGTGCTCGCGCTCTGTTTATGACAATGTTCGATGTGGCTCTGAAGCCCTAGCATGTGTCTTGCGTCTTGGACGTCGAATTACAGTCTGAGCAGTTCCACTTTGCCCAATTTGAGGGCGTGGATAGGTGTTTCGACGACCAGATCTTTCGTTGAGGTGTGTTTTCTACTCTGACTGTACGCTCTTGATGGCCTGAATGCGTTCGCAGTCGTCGATAGACATTGCCATGTTCTTCTTGCCTGGGGGAAGATCCTTATTCTCGCTGATGCCCTGGTAGGCATTATCGAGCTTTGCGTCGCGAAAGTGATATTCTGCGCCTTTAGGCCCGTATACTTAACGCAAAACCGAACACTTACATCGATCCCTAGATCCTGCGGCTAATCTCTGACCTGAGTCATCACACTATCGTTGGCGGTAGATTGCCAGCGTTTCTCGCCTTTTGGAACATGTCAGAAAGCTTTGTCATCACAAAATAAATTGGATGTATGCTCCGTCAAGGATGCGTTTTGTTCTGGCTTCTCGAGCCGGTCGTTGGCCAGGGTTGAAGTTAAGGGTATCTGCATATGGGTGACTGGTGGCTTGATCTATGGCCTTCTAAACCCCAGTAAATGGGTAAAGGAGGAAGTAAAGGAATAAGTGAATGAAATTTATGATGAGAAAAAGTAAGTTGAAACTAAGTCAGAAGAAATAGACAACGGGGATATAGATAAATATTGAAGCAGATGTAGATAGCGCTCAAGATAAACACCAGGTGAACAGATCTCGACTCCACCTGCAGCAGAATATCGAAGAGATAATATACACTCACTCACTCACTTCACTATTGATGTAGAAGACAAAATAATAAATGTAAAACGAACAGATTCAACCCTGAGAGTTCAGGCCACAGATTTGTCCTGTTTGTCCTGTTTGTCTTGTTCGTCGGTGAAAGGCTGCCTCGGTGCCTCGGCTCCCCGCATAACAGTTAGATGCCTCTCGATTTTATGTATGCATTAGATCCACTAATAAATTACTTCATTCCTCAATAATATACTCAATTTTTTTACCTCCATTCATTGATACAACCATTACCATTTCAAAATGTCAAACGAGCAACTCGTCACAGTTAGCTACCAAGATCGCGTAGCGATCGTGACCCTCAACCGCCCAGACAAGCTAAATGCTCTCAACCAAGACCTATACTACCTTCTCGCCGAGCGCCTACGTGAAATCGACCAGCGTAAAGAAATCTTCATTACCGTCCTAACAGGCACAGGCCGATTCTTCTCTGCGTGAGCTACCACATGCCCACAAAAAGACCCAACCCATCTAACCTACAAGCAGTGGTGCCGACGTAACTAGCACCCGACCTGGCAGCGGCGATCTGAGCACCAACGTCCGCCGCGAACTAGTCAAAGGCTTCGTCGCGAACAATGTCGACGTGACCCGCACATTCTACAATCACTCCAAGATCCTCGTGGTCGCCCTGAACGGTCCCGCCGTTGGCCTCTCCGCCGCCCTAGTCGCGCACGCAGACTTCATCTACGCCGCCCCGCACACATTCATCCTGACACCATTTTCCTCGCTGGGCCTCGTAGCCGAAGGCGGCGCGAGTCGCGCATTCGTCGAACGGCTTGGTATCGCCAAGGCGAACGAGGCGCTCATCATGAGCAAGCGGATTACCTGTGACGAGCTCGTTGCAGCTGGCTTCGTGAATAAGGTTATTGCTGCGCCTTCTGGCAACAAGGAGGACTCGGATGGATTCCTGAAGAAGGTGCTGGAGGAGGTGGAGGATCGTCTTGGCACACATTTGAACCAGTCTAGTCTGCTGGGGATTAAGGAGCTGGTGCGCCGGCCTGAGCGGGAGCTTTTGGATCGCCAGAATGGGTATGAGGCTTTTGCGGGGCTGGAGCGCTTCATGGCCGGGTATCCACAGGAGGAGTTTAGGAAGTTGGCCTCTGGTGAGAAGAAGCATAAACTTTAGAATGGGTATGGGTAGGTAGATGGGGTTGTTTATAATTTCGAGGGTTTGAGGCTGTTGATATATATGTACATGGTAATCTTGTACCACCCGAAACCCACCTATGTGGCTATGTAGCTACTTAAGCATGGCATAAATTCCAATCTAGGGCATCCAATTTCGGGCAACCATTACCGTTTAGATTGAAGGCAAATATAAAACATTGCTTACCTAGGTATCCAATTGATACTGCGCGGGCTGCTCTATCTCAACAATCCACGATGCAATTCCATACATAAATTCATGCTCAAGCCGAACGCCACAGACCAAACATGCTTTTATAGTTTCTCATGTCCGATATAGTCTTACTCGGAGTCACTGCTGTTGTCCTTATCCTCCTGCTCCTGCTTTTTCAAAATTTCATGCCATTGGCCCATGAACTCACTCATGCCGCCAGGTCCCTGAAGCGAAGCATCCACCAACTCCCTCGGCACCTTATGAGCCGAGTACTGCGTTGAGCTGAAGGCATACGCTTCGGGGTCATCCTTCTTGATCAGACGGAATTCCGGAAGGAAGGGGGCCTGGCCATCGTCACCCTCGGCCCCCTCGTCCTCCGCGTCCGACTCAGAAGAAATTGAGGAATCATCTTTACCATCAAGCTCTTCCGCCGTGCCGGAACTGATAATCTTCCCATCGTGCAACGAGATCCTGACGAATTCCTCCGATCCATCATCTTCCTCTTGCACTCCAATCGGATCCTTCTTTTGCAAAATTTCCAACCAACTGTAAAGCAGCGGGTCTGTGCGTTGAGCCCACGGGTTAATATCAATCAGCCAGACACGCGTGTGCGGTTGAGGAATATATACGTCGAAGACAAAGTTGGACTCCGGGAATGTGTCTTTAAGCTTATCATCAAAGAACGACTGGATGCGAGAGCGGAGCATATCGCGCATAGAGAAGAGGAAATCGAAGTGATTCTGATCGCGCTGGGTCATGCACAGCAGAACACGATTTCGTACAAAGCAGCGAAACTCAAGTGAAGGGTTGAAGTTGACATACTTGCGGAGGACAAGAGAGTACGGGACCTCCGGCAGCGGCGAGTCGACATCGGATGGAGCGGAATCGCCATCAAAAGTATCCGGTACACAGTCGTCAAAGGGATGGTCAAGGTCGTGGGTGATGAAATCACTGCTCTTGAGGAGGAGGTAAATATCATTCGGAGTGCGGCATTGGGTGTCGTTTGTGGCGTTCATGAAGGTTGCATCTTTGGGAGCACTCCAGTTCAGCTTTGGGGTGACGATGCCCCCGAATTCAGCGATTGTGTCCTTGATTTTGGTGTGGATTTCCTGCCATTCTGTGGATGGGTCGGGTTCCTCATCGCCTGAATCGGAGAATTCGTCCAGATGGTCTTCGTCGGTTGGGGCAACGGTTTCGGGGGGAAGGACGATTCCATCGGAGCGAAGATATTCGACAAATGGTGCGGTCAATGGAATCACGCGAGATTTGGGAGCCAGTGTGCGGTATCTGGATCTCCGTTAGCATTAATGAAATTGGTGTTGAGTCATCTATAAGAGCATACCTCCGATGCCAATCATGATAGGAGCAATGCAAGATGTGCGAGTATGTAGTGGGTGGGAAAGGAAGGCGATCAGGCAGGTCGTTTGAAGGGGCTGCGGAAGCAGCTTCAGGATCCATCAGTGGCATATTTGAATATCTTTGTCTAGCAGAAGTTGAACGGCGAATGTTCCCCTCGGTGGGGACATTTTTTGCGCCGATAAGATAAGATTTACTGAGTAAGCATTTCAGGCGCTGAGGCACCGATGCATTCTAAGCCGCGTCGCATTGACTACTTGTTCTCTATATCAATTCAACACATTGCATATCCCGCCAGCATGGCCCCCGAGGCGCCTGATCCTCAGAGCCTGAAGTCATGGCACGATGCATTTCAATACCCTATTCCCACAGTCCGACGTGTGGAACAGGAGCTCCGTCGGGATATTTCCAGCAATAAGGAGAAGCTCCGAGCTCTCGTGGGGTAAGTGATCAATTGCGTGATGGAATGAGACTCAGGGAAGATGATCAAAGAGTCTCAAAAGACCCAAAAGAAAGGACTGGCAATGGCTAATCTGAATGTGTTACGTAGGACGAGATATCGCGACCTGGTCGGAACTGCGGAGACGATTGTGGCTATGAATCGTGATATTCAAGATGTGGAAACCGTTCTAGCCGATATTGGGCGCCGATGCAACCCTCGGCTAGTGGAAAGGAAGCATGTTCATGCTCGGCAAATAAAGAGCGGGGACGCAGAGAAAGGTAGGACGCTACTATGAGACCAGTGATTCAGACTTCATCTAATCATAAGACCAGACTCAGAGAAGCACGCTTTTGGCGCCCAGCTCGCCCTTCTCCACCGCTGCACAACATCTATCAGCCGACTTCTGCGACGGCGCGCCTCTCTTCTTTTGATCGCTAAGATTCTCGTTGTCGCCCGGTTATTGCATAACACATTATCGCAGCATGCATCTCTCCCTCCATTCCTTGACGATCTTCGCAACCAGCTGGCGTCTCTCCGGGAAACGGTCCGAAAACGTATTGATAAGCGCCTTGCATCTCACAGCGCAACGGACGAGAGCATCATCGAGTCATTGGCCGCTTATTGCCTCGCAACCAGCTCTTCCTCCGATGATGCCATCCATCATTTCCACCAAGTGCGCTTGGATGTTATCACTAGCCAGTTAGATTTGTCTCGCCACAACATCCCCAAAGTTCTTCAGCTGTTTGTCCGGTCACTTCAGGTCTCCAAGGTCTTGCGGTCCCGTCAGTTCGCCGATGTGCTCTCAAGGCTAAAGGCCCGACCTCTACTTGCGGACCCCGAGATTCGAAGCCTAGAGGGGTTAGATGTCGAAGTTTTTGGGCGTTGGGTAGCTCCGGACGTTAACAATTTTACCCCGTGGATTAAGCTTAGTGAACTCAGCAGAATCGAGGGCGTGGAATTGATGAAAGAATGGTCTCTTCAAGCTTTCGAGAAGTTCTCTGACGGTTGCCAAAAGAGCCTGGCTACTAGCACCGATTTCTCCGAGCTTCTTTCACTTCGCTCGCAAACTGTTGAGCTGTGGCTCTCATCTTGGGGCTCGACTATCATCCATGGCTCGGTGGACGTACTGGAAAGACTTCGAAGGACCTTCAACGATCAACTTGCACGCATTCTTCACGTGCAAGCGCAAAGCCTAAGTGAGGTTGGAAGCAAAGCCACCTCTGTAGTATCAGGCTGGGAGAATGCGGAGCATACTTCTGTCGGATCTTTGTGGGATGCTGATCTCATTACTGCAGACTATTCAAATGGCGCACATTTATTCAAACAGACCGTGGCCGACAGGCTTCTCGGCCGTGACGGGGATGTTTCCCTTGTCTTGGCTAAGTACCAAGCATGGATGACTTCTATCCAAGAGCTCAGCGAATCAATTGACTCACTGCGTCGCATGCGATGGACTGACGTGCTCATTGGGGGTGAAGATGAGGATGATGACATTGATGTTACCCCTCGACTCAACGAGAATGATCCCCGGCACTTGTCCGATACACTCCACTCCGCCGTTCAAGAGTCTTTCGCCACTCTACAGAAATCATTCAGCGATGCCTTCAAATCATTCAACCTTTCACATACAAGCGAGAAGGCTACTTTCCTGCTGAGACTAATCCGACTTATTCGGCGGGATATCCCCACCACATTCATTCCCGGAGAATTTGTTTTCTCAAACGATGTTGTCCCAGAGTTGCAGGCATTACTTGCAACAGAGGTTGTCGCTAAAGCGGGCGTCTTGAAGTTGATTCCATCACCAAAGAGCCACCCTCAGACTGGCAAAATCAAGACCGTGCCCGGACGCTCGCTCTGGGAAGGCGAACCGGCCATCCCAATCCAACCCTCAACTTCAAGCTTCAAGTTCCTGCGCCGTCTCACCTCCACCATGGATACTTGTGGGTTGGACCTTTGGGATCCATCCACAATCCAAGCATTGAAGCAAGAATTGAAAAAGCATATTGAAACCTCCATCACCTCTGCATTGGCAGATCTGGACGACGCAAATACCCCAGACAAGACCGATATCAAGGACAAGCAGCCCGCCACAAACGGTGACAGTGAGAAGGAAAACAAGCCCGCGGAGAACGAAGAGACTACAACCGATATCCCAGATCAAGCCGAGGGTCTGCGCGATTGGAAGATCCAGGTTTTGTTCGATTCTCTGTACTTATCTGAGATGCTCGGAGAGCGAAATCAGCTGGCTGATGTCGTTGACCGTGCGCAGAAGAGCGCTGGATCGAGTGCTGAAACCATTAAGACCATCAAGAAGCTTGCAGGCGAGTACTGGACTCGCACGGAGCTGCTTTTTGGTCTGTTGGCGGGACAGTGAGTGTGTTTTACAAATCTATTTACCCAATCTATATATATACTTTACCATTTATAGAACAATATTACGGCTGGCTTTTGGATTTGTCAAGGCAATCTAAAGATTCAGACTCATTCCAAGGTTGTATATCCACACCTGAGATTTTAAAATCCCTTTCGTATTCTCTATGGCATAAGAACACGAAGAAATATAACGATATTCATACAATATTTATACAATATTCGTACATTCTTCTCACACTAATCTCGAATCGCTATTTAAATTGAATAACAGCTGACAGCTAATTTGCTTGCATCATCCTCACATCACCGCACCCCCTTTCAGACAAGATTTTCCAGATTTTCCACATTTTTTTTGTTGTTTGTTGTGTGTTTTTGAATGTTTCAACCTTACAGGCTGCTGTCCGCGACCACTTCGACTCGGATGAGAGTTTCCTGGATCTCTTCATCCGCGAGCATGATAGCCCGGTGAGCCCTACGAGCGGATGCGCTTACCTTGTGGGGGCAGTCGACAGCACAGTATGCTGAATGCGCTGAAGGGCCCAGTCGCATCGCACGGTTTCGAGATTTTCCACCAGAGACACGATTTTGTCCCGAATTAGCGTGAGCTCTTCCACCTGGGCAATGGAGTGGTTGTTGTTGAACTCCTGTCTCCATTTAACTCGCGCAGGTGACCCAACACGCCATCCAGAGCCATAATCAGGTTAAATAAATCCGTGAATATCACTTTGCGCATGATGAGCTTTTGCTGGATTGGCCAAAACGCCACAACCCCGGAGGCAAATACCCTGTTGCATACCTCAACGAGCTGTACGGTATATTGGCCCGCAGGTGTTTGCAGGTATCGTCGGTTGATGGGATAGGCCTTCATTACCTTTCGCCAACGCTTCTGGACGTCGACAATGACATTCAGCTCGCTCTCAGTGTATTCTTCACCTTGCTGGGCCTCTCCTGGGCGCGTGGGGTCCGGGGTTGAAGCAAGGTTAGCAAGAGTCACGATTTCACTCAGCGTGGAAAACATTGCCTTGCCGTCTATGAAGGGACGCAGGGGCCGGGGAGTGACCTCATCGTTGAGCGTAATAACACACAACCCATCTTTGTCGTTGTAAGGTTCGTATGCGCGGATGCAACTCAGCCGGAACTTGTCTTTGTCATATAAATCAAGTGACATTCCCTGGGACATGTTGGACCGCAGTGTACTGTGAGTGAGGGTCCGCATATCCCTGTATTCGGAAGCCTGATTTGGCCAAGTATCCGTATTCAAGATGATGGTCGAGAGAAGCTCAGTGGAGCGGCGCTTGTTTATAACAATCATCGCTCCAGCACTGCGGTAGGCACGTCCGAATCCCTGGAATCGGAGTATACCGTTATCCAGATAAACGTTGATCTGTTGAAGAAGAGTAGAGAAAATGGCGTTGATGATGTTGAGGGCGCTCATGTGAGTTCTGATCTCTTTTGATGTCAACTGGCTCTTTGCATGAGATTGCATAATTCTCGGAAGATGAAGCATGGCCCAGGACCAGGGCAACACGATGGCCTTATGTGGGCTAGCAACGCACAGTACATATGTCACCGCAAACTCGAACACCGAAATAAAGGCGTGGAACAATCCAAAGGAAGACTTTTCGGCTTGGTTGAGGCATCCGGCGAAATCCCGAACACCATTGTAAAAGTCACTCGTGCTGCGCCGTTCAACTCCCAACCGAATCCTTCTGGCAGCATTTAGAACTGCTTGTGGCCTTGAAAAGGGGTCATTCGTGATCGTGTGCTTAATCTTTAGAAGAAGTGCTCGCTCGAAACGTGCCGCGGGGCCAGGACCGAGGGCTTGGGCCTCCATAATCATCATCATGAAAGAGCTCACGCCGCCATCTGAGAGTTCTCTCCATTCTCTAGCCATTTGATAGAAGAATAGTCCTTCCAGGCACTGTGCGGTTCCACAATAATCACCATTGCCTTGCAAATGCGAGTTCAAAAGTGCAACTGCATCAGGTGACTGCTCCAGCGAAGAAAATAGTACTAGCTCGTCTTGGATTTGTGAAAGCCACCTTCTCCCTACCATAGTATTAGACAGAAAATTCGAAAGAAGATTCAACGTTTGGGTAGAAACTTACTTCGCCCCAAAAAGGGTTGAGAGAATTCTCAGGCAAGGTTCGATTGTAATACAGAGGGGTGAGTCTCGAGAAAACTTCAGCGATGTTCAGAAGGCCGGTCAATTATGACACCGCCTGTGATTCAGTTGGTGTATCATGGCTCCAAGTGCACTCATCGGTCTCTAGCTTTGTGCAAAATCCCCTGGCAAGATAGTTAATGCACGGCCTAGGGAATAGCTTCGCTAAGAGGGTCAACGCTGTTTCATGGAGCTGGGTCACCGCATTGATGAAATGCTCGTGAATGAAGGATTTCGCGAGAGAAAGAAGCTCATCAAGCGACAGTCCATTGACAGACGATTTCGCATACGCAATCAAGGGGGACCAATGAGCCACAACTGCGTGATCCTGTTTTTGGGGTGCGTTAAGATCCCACAACCAAGGGCTAGACAATAGAGAGAGTACGGGTCCTTGGCATCAACGCCAAGCAGGATTCTCCCAACTCGGGTGACAACATCCACTGGAAGAAGCTCGAGTGCAGTTCTGTTAAAGATCGACGTCGAGCAGGAGGAATTCGACCGATCAAAGAAGATCAACCAAAGATTGTTAGCTCAACATCGACACAATAGCAATGCTTTCCACGGACATAAAGACAGAAGAAGCTCTTGACCTCATCCCCTTCCATCGCTTTGACCGTGACTGGGTTATTTGGGTCATTAAAAGACTCGAATAATGAGTATTGCACTCGCCACTGCTCCTTGATCCTTTCAAACCCGGCCGTGCTTGCAGTAGCCGTAACTCGGCTATCTGTTTTCGGTAGAACAGGCCATTCACTCTCATTCGGCTTCCCTTCCGGATAAGCATGCCACAGCTCGGCCATTGTATGGTTTAAGAGATTCTCCACAACAGACCTTTCAGCCACACCGACTAGACCGTGTTCCAGCATTGTTTTTAGCGCTGCAGGTAGCTCGCCAATATCCATCAGCAGATTTTGAAGCTCGAACCATCTGCCTTTGGAATTATAGAGAGCACGTAGCTGGTCCCACATCTCAAATTCTTTGAAAAATTCGACCTTCTTTGCCGCTGAGCCGAGCATGTTGATTGTTATTCCTCTCAGTTCTGGGGAGACACGTCCCTGCCTCAGGAGAATGTTGCAAAGTCTTGAGTATCTGGAGACAGTAGCTTCGCTCAGATGCCTACGATATCTAAAGATGGTCAGTATGGCCTGCTTGATAAGTGACAAATGATATGTAGATACCTGCTGGCGTACGCGACGAGTTCATCGAAGCAGTCTCCCCTACGCAAAAGCTCAACCGCCTCCTCGTATTGAGAACAGGTGTGGTAGCAGTCGGAAGCATCTATGAACATTTTGCCTTCCTCGTAAAAATGTGCAGCCTTTTCGTACTGGCCGCAATCCTTCCATAATTCTGTGAAAAGTGTGAGTAGTATTCTTATTCAGGATGTGCTTGGATACATGCCTGCAACTTTTTCCAAGCGACCGAGTCCCTCGTAGCAACTTGCCGCCTCTGATTTGAGTCCAATTTCGAGGAAAAGGGGGATGGCTTTCTCAAAGCATGTGGTGAATTCTTCGGTTTCTCCGGCTGCTCTGTGAGATCTTCCCTTTTGCTCGTACAAACATGCGTGTAAATGGCTTATTCCACGAGAATGGTTAGCCTTTTTGTAGCAGAAAAGTGCCTTTGAGATATATTAATTAGATAAATCTTCCAGCATAATGTATTGAGCAATTGACTTACCTCTGCAAAGCTCTTTCGCTCGAAAAGATGCGCCGCTTTCTTGGTCCAGCTTTTTGGGTCCACTGAGCCACCAATTCGCAAGATGTTTACTTTTGTTGCAATCTGGTAAAATGTTAGGTATTAAATGAGAGCATAAATAAGAAAAATTCACTTGCATCCAAATCATCTTGCTTTACAACTTCAACAAGCTCGAGACTACCGCCATGTGAGAGAGCTTGGAGCACAGGGTCAATACTGTGCTCTTGGATTTCCATGAACCAAAGCTATTTTCGTGCTCGAGTGGCAGCAACGTAAAGAGACTGTTGAGAACTGTTAGTAGAGAAAAAGCGATGGTGCAAAAATTGGGTACCTTGAGCTCAGATCACAGAGCCTGGTTGACAAATAGGTTAGTTTGAAAGAGTAGGAAATGATATATAGGTGCTGTACTTACTGCATGTTTCTGAGACTCGAAGTGAGTTTGTGCAGCCTCCACAAGCATGTGCAGGCAACGGTAGCTGCTCCCAAGTCCACTGCCGCCGAAGAAGTCATATATTAAGACGTCATCAAATTCCATACCTTTGCACTCCAATATTGTAAGAACAAGAGCGATCTCGCCAATTTGAGTTTGGAGCTTGGCCTTTGCCGCATCGTCTCGAACAAGAATGACTTGCTCGGCACCGAAACCTGCGACATTGCCATTAAGCTTGACCTCGCCGATCATCTCGACAAAGAGGATAGAGGGATCAAACCCAGCTGTTGTAGATTTTAGTGAAAATGGTTTACCTAGGCAATGTAAGAGAATGACATACCAAATATAATCGGCTGGGGTCCTCCAATCTGACCAATCTCGGGATCGAGCTTGTCAATCGTTTCAGGGAAGCCTATAGCTGATTAGACCAAACCCGGTTTGAAAGCAACATGAACCATTCATACCATGCCAGAGGAGCTGCATAACTCATGATGCAAAGCTCAGAATACCCTGGTGCGAACGATAATTCCTTGCCAATGAGAATTGAACCGGCTTGGCAATAGAATGTTGATTCTGCTCCTTAGCAATGACTTCGTAATGTTCGTAAAACAAAGCTTTGATTTCAGGGAACCGGAACACTGAATCCTTGGAAATACACTGTGCAGTATCACCAGCTAAACAAGCTTAGTCAGCTAGATAAATTGAAATGTGTACGGAATCATACCCAGATGAATCAATCCCACGAGGGTCGCTGAGGCAGCTCAAAAGCAAAATAATATCGAGGCAACCAAATCCTGGATTTCTGAGAAGGAGATTAGCAACCTCCAGCATTATATCATAACTAACATACCATCGACATAGATCTCCTCAAAGCAGCGTTGGATCTGCTCTGCCAAAGGCTGGTTGTCCTTGAGAGACTTCAACAAAAAGCAGACTCGGTCCAACTCGTCAATTTCCTGTCGCTGCTTCTTTTGCTTTTCGTAGCGCTCAAAGGCTGCAAACACGTTCTCACGGTCTGTCTCAGAACCAAATGCAGGAGAAGCTTTTGAGTTCTTCTTGACATACTCCGCACGAGAGAGAGGCATCAATGTTTTGGCCGTCAAACTGGAGCCTTTGATCACACCCATTATCTCAGCAAAGAGAAGCTCTGGAGAGCAGGAGGATGGAACTATTCCGTGTAGACAACCCCAGTATTCGGTCTTGAAGGTGCTAAAATCTACCACGGCGTTGGGAGCATCATGTTTGGTGTCCTTTGACTGACCTTTCAAAAAGTCTTTTCGATCAACCATCCTAAAGATATAAAGTTAGCAATATGGGATGAATTTCAAATCACCGTATGAATATCAAACCTCATTGTACTCTCGAGAAGGTCAAGGAACTCATCATAAGTACAGACGACCGGAAAATGACAGTTCTTCAGAGCAAAAAAGGATTTGAGGGTTGAATCTGCGTCATTCGCATTATCACCACTCGATAGAGGCTTCAAGTGGTTCTCCATAAGTCCTCTAGCATAAGACCGAAGCTTGGAGGCCAAGTAAGAGGACCGAGTCAAGAGAAGCTACCAAAGTTAGTTGCTGTTGTAGCTGCTGTTATAACGTGGAAATGAAAGAAAAAATACTTGTCGAAGCTGCTGTTCTTCCGGGCTTGTTCCCAGGGTCAAAGCCGATTTCCTGGCCCTGTGCCTGGCAATCACCTTGAACACAAGGCAAGTTGTTTTTCCCGTACCACTTCTTCCCAGAATCAGGCTTGATTTGCTGAAGTGGCGGACAATCTCTAGCTCTTCAGGCAATAGATCAAATGGGAAGTCCTCTGTGCTCTTATTATTGGCGATGATGTTAAGTAGAGGCTCGGTGAGATTGTAAAATTTGCCTAGACAGGATAAAACTAGTCAGTTTACTACTTCGTATTAGAACCAGAGATGGAGCAATTACTCGACATATCGATCAACGCCTGGCTTGCTTTGGATCTAGCCATGGATTTCATTTGAAAAGAGCCAGTATCTTTCACGTTCCCATACTGCCGGGGCACTCGAATTCCGTCGGATTGTTTCAGGGGTTCTTTCGAACAAAGCTTAGTGATTTCCTCGGTGTAGGATTCCTGAATCAACAGGAGCTTCTCTAAGACAGTATTTAACTGAGAAATGATGTCAGTCTAATCCGAATCTGAGATATATTATTGACAACTTGCCTCTTCTTTCGATCTCACAACTTCCCAAACTGTAAGAATCAGCATGCGCACTAACCCCGTGGATATAGTTAGGCACTCACCTTTGACGATCTGCTGTTGAACCCAAGGCAACTCGTCATAGAAGCCGATGTCAATTTGCCACAAAATCGAGACTGTCGAAGAAAAGGGGGTTTCCATAATAGGCACTTTCATCCGATCCAACTGCTCCTTGGAACCCACGAGCCGAGAAATATTTTTCCCTTTCCACTCGCCACTTGCAATATCCCTGAGTACCTTCTCAATGGATGCGAATTGACCTGATATAGTTAGAGAGAGACCAAAGACAATACGCCAGCCCATTAAAAGCAAAATAATCGTTGAACGTACCCAAACCAGCGAGCCTCTGGATATTCTTGAAAGCAACATTCGAAAGCAACACTTTCCAGATTCCAAGTCGCTTGCCAAAAATATCCTGTGGATTGATTGCTTCCAAAGGACCATGAATAGGGACCTCCGGGCTCTTCGCAGGAGTATCTACCAGGCTCCCTGTGGTGAGTTTATCCAAGCAGCATCGACAGGGGAAAGTTTCCAGCGCTGAGCGCATGAGAGATGGAATTGTTTCGCTTTGAATTTGCTCCACTGAATGAGAAAGGCCTCGTGCGAATGTTGGTGTCTGCATATCGAAGTATATCAACTGCTGAACAGTTTCATTCGCGATTTTCAAATCTTTCTTGGGGTCTTTTTGGGTCAGTGTCTTCTTGTCGTCCAGACTAAGGATCTTCATAGATTTCAGAGAAGGAAGATTGGGCGAAGGAATGTTTTCTTGGTGCGTTCGCTTGTGCTCATCTTTAGATACCTCTTCGATCGATTTGGTTAGAGATTCAATCAACGAGTGAGCAATTCTCCAACTTCTTGAAATGCTAGTTGTGCCGTGGTTTGCTGAGCAGCTATCACACATGCCGATCAATTTATGACCTAGCTGCTGGATAAGAGCAAATGGAATTCAAAATCGGAGCGTATTTTTCATTTGAAATCATGCGTTCGAACAATTCTCCAGACGAGATAAGAATACCAACCACATTCTGTAGATATTGCGTTGGGCTTTTGGTGAGAAGAGGGAGTGCAGAGCCGACGAGCTGAATTGTCAGCTCCTGCGAGAATATTTTCTCAATAATGAATGGCACAACCATCGACTCAAATATTTTGTCTGCCACAGGACCTGGAACGTTCTTGGTCTGCAGAATCCCGAACGAACGCAGCAGGTGTGAGTGTGTCTGGTCGGGTTTGAGGAGTAATTGGTCACGAATTGCTTCATTCGCCATAGCATTTTTCAATTGAAGGTGATATCGCTCAATTGTCATCAGAGCTTGGGTGAACTCATAGTGGCCAGGCTTTTCCTGCAAAAGCCGGGACGTCCATGGTGTCTGGGTAGGCGCCATTTTGTTGTAGCAATGAAATTCTCTTTTTTTTTTGTGGTTCTCAGTTGTTTTCCAGTGTTTTTTGTACTTTTGGATATTTTGTTGAACTAAATCAGGGCAATTGAGAATCGATCGCGTCCGACGCGCGATGGATGGAAGTATCGAGGCAGTTTCCACGGGATGTAGATGCGGGTTGATGGGGATTCAGACAAGAGCAACCGAGGTGCCACCAACGATCGAAGATACACCGTTTAAAGTATTGTCGAAAGCGAATGAATTGATCAGGAAGATGAAGATGGCAAGGATTGATGAAATGGTAGTCGGATGAGGAAGAAAGAGGAGAAGTTTACACGGGGTGCGTCGACATAAGGTAAGTTCTCCAAACGTCCACGATTGGACCACATTCATGACGATGTAATCGCAACGCGAGAGCCATTGTGTAACTTGCAAATTTATTCAGAATGATCTACTATTGGACTTTAGATCAAAGATTTTTGCTCAGGCTGCTGAGTTTCACTTATTTGCGATTACACTTGAGCGGAAAGTATCTACATTGGGGATGAAGAAGATACCCAGATGAACATATCTAAAGGGAACAGATTTACAGATCCATACTTAAGTGACAACGGTAGTATTTTTAAGTCTGTTGTATTTTTCTGGTCATGCAAATCATCAATGCACTGAGTCTGGTCGTGTGTGCCTGCTTATTCCAATAACCAAAAGCTCCGATGGAAGAAGATTTTAGACATCACCCATCTGTGGTGTTGTTGGAGTGGGAGAAGCTTCACTCAATATCCGTAATTGAACACGTCTTTGTTCTAAACGCAGCACTCAATGCTCAACAGTTGGTATGGCCGGCGCCTGGCGGGTTTCGGATTTCGGGCTTGGGGCTTAGGGGCTGTATCGGGGCTGACTTTTAGTAGCGGAGCAAGGAGATGCATGAGTTCCGGTATACCCACAATCTTCTAGTCTGTCGATATTATCTGATGTTTGCCCCGTTGGCTATGATCTGACTCAAGGTCCCGTGGACATGGTGTTGATTTTCTTCACGGGGGTGTATGATGCGGATTTAAGAGCCAACAATAATCGTAAGGATGAAGGGTGAGGAAGACGCGCAAGTCTCGTCGCATTCCGAAAGCCATGGCAGCAACCTATGGCATTAAGCATAAGCAAGTTGTGAGATTCTTGGGATATCGATAGATCAAGCTCACATGTATTCAGTCATCATCTGACTGGGTCAGGCTGAATAGTGGTATGCAACAAGGTTAAACGAATAATATTTTCCTGCATATAGGTGATTGCCAACGGTAAGATGTCAGTCAACAGAAGTACAGAAGCACTTCCACGCACCGCCATATTACACCACCAAATTTACTTGTACAGATAGAGTTCTGTACCAAATTATCTATCTCTAAATTCTGGTCTTCTTTTTTTGCAAAGAGAAGGAAACTTGCTCAAGTGTTTAAGGCCGTAGGTCAAGTCTCTGGATCTTAGAATTGGGAGCAGGATTAATTACTCAATCAATTTACGTAAAAGTGTAAGAGATAGCTTTGCACCATGGATTGCTTCAAAGAAGCATCATACTGGAAATCCGTTTGATAACATGTCTTCGGTGTCGGGAAACTCGCATATCATGATTGAGGCTTGTCTCAAAGCTGCGCTGTAGCTTCATCCTAAGCTTTCATTGTAGTTTCAGCACAAAGTTACATCCAAAGAATCAAATTTGTCTATTTAGCGGCAAGCAACGTCGAAATCGATCTTTGGCCTACAGAACATGAGATGAATATATATCTCTTGGTCCATACTTAGGCACTGAACTAAATAATTTCAATACAAATTCAGTGGAATTGAGAGCTTCCAAAGATGAGAGCGGTCATTACGCCAATTTTGTTATCTTTCTGAACTCGCAAATTGATCGATCCATTAGAAACACCTGCTCTGTCCATGATGTTAGGGCTTTATACTTCGGGGTCCTCCCGACCGCCCGTGTGACCGCCCTGAAAGTCCGCTCTGCTTACTAATTTCCCGTGGGGGACCAAGCCGTGGACGTCACTCAATTCGCCGACGGGAAACTGGATTGTCCTCCTACAACAGCTCAGCCTCACATCATGGCGACTCCAAGGCTCCCGTTTCTCTACCCGAGCTTGATGCGCGCCGTGCGGTCCTGTGAACCACGTACATATCGCTCCCTACGCTTTTCATACTCCACTCATCAATTCCATACAAGTCGGCGATGGGATCGCGACGCATACCAGAAACGCTATGGCCCAGCTGTCGAGCCGCATACTCCTTCATCGTCGCAACCCAAAAAGGACACATCGGATGAAGTTCCAGACGAGACTCCGGCTGGGGATGAAGCTCTGAATGCCTCGGAGCAGGGGGAAGTTTCGCCGGAAGAGTCACATTCGGACTCGACGCTCCAGGCAAACAAGGAAGATGCCGCGCCCACTAAAAAGAGTGACTCTTCCTCCACTCCGGCTTTAGATGGACAAGAGGTGGTGGAAACGCAGAAAGACAACCCTCCGACAGATCGAGAGGCGCATGAAGAGTTCGGAAAAGGTGTGGATAATTCCAAGAAGGAAGAGGCTTCAGCTTCTTCAACAAGTTCTTCCGAAGATTTCTCCGAAGAGAAGACAGACTCCTCTTCGTTGAATGAACGGACGCCATTCGATGATGTGCTCCATATGCCCTCCCCGTCTGTCTACCTCACCCCACCCGGGGAACCGTTCTCTTCATCCGACGATCGTCCGCCGCATCTATCTCCAGCACCGTATGTGCACCACTTTGATACATACTCTCTGGTTCAGGATCTCTCCAAGGGGGGATTCAGCCATCAACACTCCACTACGATCATGAAGGCGGTGCGGGCAATTCTACAGAATAACCTTGATATGGCCAGGGAGAGCCTGACATCTAAATCCGACGTCGAAAACGAGGAGTACTTGTTCAAAGCGGCTTGCTCAGAATTGCAATCATCACTTCAGACCGCTCGTAACTCGGAAATCCAGCGACAGCGCTCATCGCGCACACAATTGCAGCATGATACTGATATCGTCACGCAGCGTGTTGGCCAAGAGATCGCGGGTATGAAAGATGATATCAAAGGCATGTTTAATGATCACAAGATGATCACCCGTGAGCAGCAGCGCAATATCGACACGTCTGTTCAAGAACTAAACTACAAAATTACCGTGTCCCTGAATAGTGATGGGAAAAGTGAGATTGAAGGCCTTCGGTGGATTTTGACAAGACGAGCGGCTCTCACAATTGCAATCTGTGCGTGTAAGTGTTTAATTCCTCTAAAAAATAAAAAAACAAAACGTTTTACAGTTGCTAACTCGATCAGTAGTCATGATCATCGTTTTCCTGAAATACGCATCCACTCGCAAGGTCCCTGAGCCCAAGAAAACCCAAGAGGCTGAAAAGCCTGTCGTCGTCAAAGATGCCGTTACACAAACCCCCAAGGCTCTCGACGGTAATCTCAAGGCCAAAGTTCCCGTCACTGAAACTCACCATGGTGAATCACTTGGTTAAGATCCCAAGTTGCCTGTACACATCAACCTCCCATTGTCCGATTTGAAACATTTCACCATCTGTGTCCGATAAAATCACTCACTATCATCTTTCATTTTGTTTGGCTCACATGTACAAATATGCCCGACGAGCCTTATTCACCCCTTGTATCACCACTTATAGATAAAATATCCAACTACATCCAAAGAGCATTGCAAAAAGCCTCATCAATGTCATATTATTTCAACATCACATTTCAATCAATATAAACTAGAACAAATTAGAAAGCCAACTGCTCCCCTCTCTTTCCTTTAACCAGGGCACTTCCTCAGGACGATACTTGCAAGCTCTAAAGACAGCATTACTCGAATAATCAAATCCAATGTTCTCCATCTCCTCCAACTCCTCCTTCCCCATAACAGCTTTATAATCCCCAAGCTGTGGCACTACAAACTCCCAAACCATCTCCCCACCCTCGGTAACTTCCATGATCCTCCCATCAGCAGCCTCACAAAGCAAAACATTCCCCCCGACCAATTTCTGCGCAGACCCCATAAACGGCGTAAAGAATCCAAGTCCACCAGTCGACGGATCCTTATACTCCCACTTAACAACCTTCTCCTTGGAAACAATGATCGCCCTTGAAAAGGGAACAGACACTCCAGCCCGGAACACCCCATTATCAAAAATGAGCATATCCCCACTCTCATTGATCTGGTGCGCACAGTGCTGCTGGCTAACCGTCGGAGAAGGAAGATGCCAAAGCACCTCGCCCGTCGCCCGACTGATAACAAATACGCTCGAGGCATTTCGCGACGAAGCAATAATGTTTCCCTCAGAGTCAAACGACACACTATTGATCAGCGGCCAGTGCTCACGCGGATAATGCGGGTGAGCAGCGAAAACAGCGGGATCAAGATGGTCGATTGCACGCCACGACCAGAGGAGTTCGGCGCCGCTCTCCTCGAAGAAATCAGCAGAGGAAGAGGAATTGCTTGTCCGCCAGGGATCAACGAGCTTGATACAGTCGCCGTAGACGATGCCGTTTGGAGCCTCGCTGCCTGCAATACCGCCCTGGACGCGGGCTGCTTCGGTCGCGGTGAGCGGTTCCAGAGTCGTGTATAGCAGCGTTCCGTCGTCAAGATGGTTTTGGTCGTGGTGAGCCAGCGGGTCAAAGTATTGGCGCAGGATCTTGCCTTGTGGGTCGACTTGCATCATCGCGCCACCGCGGTACTTGGCCCACATGGGGAAGAGATTTGGTGCATCGGGGTGTGCGCCGTTGTAAGCGAGGGTGCCGTCTGGTAGGATGCGGGCGTGGCGGCCTGCGCGGTGGGGGAGCTTCCAGCTGTGGACTTCCTTCCCAGATGTCGAGACTAGGTGAGCGGTGTCTGAGGTAAGAGGGGAGTATAGCACGTAGCCTGGGGAGACGCGGGCTTCGTCGACGCCGCGGAGACCGAGGCCTCGACGGCGGAAGGTGTGTTGCTCCATTTCTGCAAGTGGGATGGGATCGCTGATTTTTGAGGAAGAAGAAAACCAAAGCAGATGGAGGGGATTTTATCTTCGCGAAAATGGGGGAAGTGGACTTGTCCTGTTGTCTTAGGGCTTCCCGGTCCGGCATGCCGCGGTATGCCGCGGGCGATTGCGATCAGCCAAGAGGCGGTTGGTATTGCGTGAGATAAGCCCCATATATGCTAATCTTGATATCTTTGCTCGTAATGCGCTGTTAATTGATAGAAATTGAGTAGTAATCGGAGTTTTGGTGAGTATATAGAGAGGGGAGTGCGTCCGGGGTGATGGAGTCTGCGCAGATCTTACATTTTGAACATTCTATGACAATGAACTTCAACGAGTCAAGTCAAAAGGCACTTTCTGAGATGGAGCCTAAAGATCCTGAGCGATCTTGGTTTGGAAGATTTTCTATTGAAGAAGGTGGCATTGAACGAGTCACCGATGAAGAAAGACTACAGAATACAACCAAGTTCTGGAATGCTGCTACTTTCTGGTAAGACATTAATACCCACAAGACGACTATCTTGGGTATAGGAAATCTTTCTATACCCTCAATATCGTCATACCCCTACTGCTACAAGACACCCTGCTAACATATCTCCCCATCCACAGGTTCAGCGCAAACATGGCCGTGGCCACCCTAAACATCGGTTCTCTAGGAGGCGCCCTAGGCCTCTCATTTTGGGACTGTTTCATCGTCATATTGATAGTGAATCTAGCAAGCGACCTCCTGCCAGCGTGGACAGCGGTCTTCGGTCTAACAGGGCTACGAATGACAACCTTCTCGTACGTGATGACCCCAGTGTCCTCCACATCCCACTGACAAATATGATAGACGCTACTCATTCGGCTACTGGGGCAATATGTTGGTAGTAGTATTTTCGATGGTAGCAACAACCGGATGGAATGCAATAAACTCCATCTCCGGCGCAGCAGTCCTCCACGCCCTCTCAGACGGCGCATTCCCCATTTGGGCGGGCGTGATCGTCATCTGCGTGTCAGTGTGGGTAGTCTGCGTACTAGGCATTAGCTGGATTCATCGTCTTGATACATTCATCTGGATCCCGCCTCTAATTGTTTGGTGTGTTGCTGCAGGGACAGGTGCGTCGCAGTTCACGGGCGAAGACCGAGGTCTGAAAGGGTCTGATAAGGCTGCTGCAATTCTTACATACATGGCGTCTATTTTCTCGTTCTCTGTTTCTTGGGTCAACTGTGCAGCGGATTATAATGTGCGGATGCCCAAGGGGACACCGAGGTGGCGAATCTTCAGTGCTACTTATGTTGGGATCTTTGTTCCTACCGTTCTTGTTCAGACGCTTGGGGCGGCGTTGTATACGGGGACTATTACGAATTCAGCTTGGGAGAAGGCTTATACGACTTCTTCGATTGGGGGCTTGCTTAAGATGGCGCTCGAGCCGGCTGGGGGGTTTGGGAAGTTTTTGATGGTTCTTGCAGCATTGAGTGCGATCCCTGTGAGTTTGAACCAGGAAAGAGATGTTTGTTAGGGTTATGTGCTAATTTGACGCAGAACAACATCCCAAACAACTACTCATTTGCACTTCATGCACAAAACCTGGGGCCATGGGCCATGAGAATTCCTCGAGTGGTCATGGTGACTTTTGGATTTATTGCGGCGATAGTGATCGGCTGTTGCGCGGCCACATATTTCTCCGATACACTGCAAACATTGCTAAGTGTGATTGGGTACTGGACCGTTATCCATATCACCCTGGTAATGGAAGAACATTTTATCTTCCGCCGTGGGTGGAGTGGATATGACCTCGATGCTTGGAACAGCATAGCTAGTCTGCCATTTGGGTGGGCTGCGATCGGGGCCTTTGCTTTCGGATTTGTGGGTGCTGCTCTTGGCATGAAAACTGCGTGGTACTCAGGACCTATTGCATCCTTGATTGGCAAAAAGGGCGCAAACATAGGCCATGAGTTGACTTTTGCATCTTCGGGTATCGTTTTCCCATTGTTCCGATGGACCGAGAAGCGCTATGGAGGCAGGTGAAGAATCCTCGTTGCAATTGTATTGCAGGATCTTGTTCAAGAATCGTGCTTGTATGTAGCGAGGAAACAACTGGCGTTAGAATTAATCTGTTGGGATTAGGATACTGTTAGCGCTCAAATTTTCACATTAAACGGCGATTAGAAACATGCTTCAAAAGACATGCGGTAAAGAAACCTTGTTAGAACACCAATAGAAAGACATTTGCAGGTTGAATACGAAAGTGACAACAAAGCAAGCGTTGGACTCACGTACGAAGCCAGTGGAATTCAATCCGGCCTCCTAGGAAGAGATGAACTGTGCTGGAAGAGACCCATATTAGAGAGAAGATCCCAATTCCCATCAGAAGACATCCCCAGCCCCAAGAACTCCGGGAAATAATAATTGTTGAATTCACCAAGTATTTCGTCAGGCTGGGTATGTGGTGGTGATGCCTCCTCCACACAAGGTCTCAATTTCTGATGCACCTTGGCAATGATATTTCCCAAAGTATGCGCGGCATGACAAGGCAAGCCAATACAGTAGAGCCACTGCACAAGGTCATGAACCAGCGATTCCAGCTCATCGACACTGTGAGTTGAGGCTACCTGCTCGCGGTAGGCATTCAGCAAGCGACAGATGACAATGGCTGCAAATGTAATCATGTGGTAGATATGGTCGGTTAGATGACGTGTGCGCTCGTCTACTGTATCCATGGCTAGATGAACAATTGCGGTAGAATGCCGAATCATTTCTGAGACTACAGACTCGCGAGCTCGTGCGGATTTCGATTTCAGGGAATGTTCGTAAAGAAGGAGGTGAGAGAAGTGGAAGCCCATTGAGAGAAACTGCGATCTCGGTTGCTCTGTTGTGAAGGGGGTATTAGAAAAGAAGGAAATTGACATTGAAAAATCACAGAAAACATACCAAGAACGAACTCCCATTTTCGTCGCCAGGTCTGCAAAGCTGCCACAGATTTCAGCAGGTCCACGGATTCTTGGATTAGGTGTTCATAAACCGTCCAGTAGAGATGAATCTCTGCAACCATGCGCACTTCAAAATTGATGGCATGATCTGACGCGATGATAGCACGACATCTCTCAATCTGCCAAGGCTGCAACATAGACCGACGACTCGTCCCAACACAGTAATGCATATGAGCGAGGCAAAGATGATTCCACAAGTAGCAATGGGCCATAGTTTCCTCATCCAATCGATTTGGAGGAGGTGACTGGGTCGTAACAGTAGTAAACAGAGGACTTGACTGGGAGTGCTGCAAAGCAAATCCGCTCAGCAGCCAGCTGTCAATACTCAAAGGCACCTGGCCCACGGTCGTAGACCACATAGATAGTATTAAAGTTGCCTGAAAGAACTCAATTGGCTGCGGAGCAACCAGAAGCGTCGTGGAAGCCAGTGAACGTGCATACTCATAGAGCTTAGGAGCAAGGGTTGCAGCAAGTTCTTCGGAAGTGTGCCGAACAGCGATCAGACAGCAAGCGCAGAATAGCAAGGTTGATTTTTTCACCTGGCGGAGAAGATCACTAGGTTCACATTGAGGGTCAAAAAGAACCCATCTACCGTAATATTCCAAAAAGCTAAAAAAAAGAATGTCAATAATAATCCAACTCGAGCCATTCGCACGACATACATTGTAATCAGCGTAAGACCAAGATCAGGCGAAATAAGATCATCCAAAACAACCATCAAAGACCTAGCATCGGAAACAGGTTTCATGCCGTTATCCGTTGCCAGATCGCGGATGACCATAATCGGGGCGGAGGTTTCCGCTTCCTTATACGCATCAGAGACCGGACTCGTCTGTGCGGTAGTAGGCCTACTGAACTCTCCCGGACTCCTGGCAGCAGGACCTTCACCAAGGCGATCAAGAAGAGTCGCTACACTCTTTTCCAGACGCTCCAGGCTATAGAACTTGTTAGATTGTGATTTCGACTTTGAAGGCGGGTTTTCTCCTGCATACCGTGCATCCGTGCCCGTGGCAGGTGCGGGCACTACAGATTCTTCATCCGAGAGGTCTATTCGGACGAGTGAACAGCTTTGTCGCAGTCGATCACAACGGAGACATGCTCGTCCTGGAATGCCGGGTTCGTAACACCTTGTCTTTTGTTTTCGGCATGAGGTGCATGCTCTAGATGCTCGGCCCCGGTCTGGAGGCATTTCTGTAGACACTTTCAAATTCAATCATGGAATATGTAATTGTTTCAAACTTCTCAATTTCAAATTGGACAGTGAAGATGAAGATGAAGTGGAAATTTGGATTAATTTAATGTCATCACCTGATGCATCGGGGATAAGGTAAGCTCCGATACGAAGGTGCATAGTGGCCAAGGGGTCGGATTGACTTGTTCCTAGGATTGTTGCCTGAATATATGCCTGATTTCACCGTTCTTTTCACCTTTCCATACGGCATACTATACATATGTAACCATTTTTCACAATCAAAAACCCTCTTTTTCGTGTCCTTTTCATGTCTCATTTTTCTCTTATTTACCTCTCAGCAGTATAGTCTCTGTCAAGGTGATTTAAGTATTCTGATATTCTGCCATTACGTCAGATAATTTTCAATCCGACCACTGGCCGCTATGCACCTTCGCACTCCGATTTTCAAGTTTGGTCGACGCCTTCTAGAGACACCTGGGCAGCCATGGGCATTTGAGGAAATTTTCAGCTATATATTGACCATCGACAGTTGATAAACTATCCAAGACTTCAATCTTGTAGAAAGAGTAGAACAGAAATCCAATAGGGACAGACGGAACCCGCCGACATAAAGAGTGTTGACGTTCTAGAGCAGTGGATAGAGGTAGACAACTACCAATCTACCTCTGGTTACAGTGAATCATTTGTAGTCATCTTCGGTCATAGTGTATATCATATAAAGCCACCAAAAGCACCCTAGAAATCCATACGCAATGCAATACTCGGCGCAGCCTGAGGCGTATTATCCGCTTCGACAGTCTTAGAAGCAACAGCACCAACACCCGCACTACGCAGAACCTCCTCCAGAAGCGACTTCTGCTCTGCATTCATAGAGGCGACCAACGTCCTGAAAGTGAGCTGATCAGCTTTAGCAAGCTCAAGGAGATGACCGGCCGACTCCTGGTGCACGGACTCGCCCTCACGCTTGGCGCGAGCCAACAAAGCAGACATGACGAGGGAGATAGCGGCCGGGAGCTCGGTGGCAGAGAATGTTCCGTTCGAGATTGTTGACACGAGCGTGCGACCGACTACTGTGCGGGAATTTTCCGGGTCGCTGGGGATATCGCCGTTGTCCAGAGGACAGCCGACGAAGAAGGCGATCAGGCGCGGGGTGAGATAGCGGCTGATTACTTCGTCGGTGGGGGACCGCGGCCCCGGCTTGACGAGGATCGAACGGATGCAGCTGGCTGCTACGGTGGCGAGACCGACATCCTGGAGACAGTCGAAGAGCTCGTTTAGAACTTTAATGAGGATGGGGTCTTGGGGGGGAATCACGTGGCCTCCGGCTGTGAGGAGGAAGGTGATGGCGAGTAGTGTGTTCTTGGCGCAGGGGATGGAGGTATCCGATTCTCGTCGCTGGGCGATGGTGAGAATGGTTAGGAAACGGGTGAGGCACCCGCGAAGCTGGAAAGACACGACTTCGAGGTCTTCAGGGGATTCCGTGGTGTGGGTGATGGCGTGGATGAACTGTCTGAAGATTGGAAGGGCTTGAGGGACAACACCCGTTTGGCAGATCCCTGTGGCGAGGATTGTTGTGAAGATGTGCAGGATGCAAGCATGGAGATCATTGCGAATAATTGATGGGAATACGGATGCAACATCGACCAAGGAGCGAAGCGCCAGGCGAATGAGCGTCAGAGACTCATCTGAGGTGATGTTGAATCGTGCAAGAGGTGTCGACTCGCGGAGATTAGGAAGCATTCCGGCCAGAACAAGGATGATACTTCTGGTCAACTCGAATAGTTGTTCTATATCATCCGACAAATGATCGTTGCGCTCCTGATCACCCTTTGCTGCTGGGTGGTCCAAGGATAGGTTCTGAGCAATCTCAACAATAACAGTCTGAATGGGGGTAGCCTCTGTCAGAACAAGTCGATCGAAAGTATCCATAGTCTCAGTGAAGATTGCATCTTGGTAGATAGCATTTCCGGAGATGACTGGCCGCAAGATTCTCTTCAGGGCCTGGAGGATCTCTAGCCGTTGTGATGCCGAAGTTCCTTGATCGACCAAAGATTCGAAAGCCAGCCCGAACAACACGAAGAAGAACGCCACTGGCTCTTCGCGGTAGTTGATGTCGTGTCCTTTCCCTTTAAATTCCTCCTTCTGGCCCTTCTCTTTGCGTTCCTCGCCCTCCTCGCCGGGCTCGGGCAGCTGTAATTTGCCATCGAGGGCGTCGAAAACAAAGTCGATGTCTTTCTCAACAAGGCCAGCAACTGCATCAACCAAGTACAACCAAGTGTCTTGATAGAACTGGAAATGGAGTTAGCGTCTGTAGATGTGCACAGTATAAAATAACAAGTGGGATTACCTTCAACAAGGTCTCGCGGTTCAACGCAGCATAAACCTCATCCAGGTCACCACTGGAGCTCGTGCCCAAAGTACCGGAGATATCAGGCTCGAAGCGAAGACGAGCGTACTCTTGTAGAGAAGATAGCCACAGCGGGGTGAGTTTCGCGATGTAAGGTTGAACGAGCTGGGTTAAGTACTCCTGGTCAATGCTAGCGATCTGCAGGCGAGCCCAAGCTGAGAACAAGGCAAGTTTAACCATCACACGGGAATTGGAGTTGAGACCCTTGAGGTCGCCAATCTCGGTTGTGTCCGGATTATTGGCGAAGTTTTCTAGACCCAGCACCAAAAGCTTGAGGATGCGTCCCATACGGTCAATATTTGTGACAATTCCCGTTGCAATGAAAGTGGCAGACACATTGATCGCCTCTGAGGCCAGCTCCGCAGATGAATCGGCAGCGAAGGCAGGAGTGAGTGCAGAGCCGATCTGAGCTTGGTATTGCTCCAGCAGGGAAGCTTCCGCAAAATCCGGATCGGGTGTCTTGCCAAACATGGTTAGGACTTGATCAATGATTTTCAATCCCCACACGCGCAGCTGGATTACGTTGGCGGTAGATGCAGAGAAGGCCATTCTAATAACGTCTCCAACGTTTTTCTGGAGAGCCAACTCCGCTGGGATGGCAGAGTCCGGTAAAATCGCCTCTTGGACGGTGGCTAAGAGCTCGGAGAGACAGCTCATTGCAAAGTGGCGTGTCTGCCACTTCAATAGCTCCTGCCCTGATACACTTTCATTTGCAATGTCGCCCTGGCCTTCCGCTGCGGCAAATCCTGCGACCTCGTCATCGGGGATATCTGCCGCAGCTGTTTGCACCACTGTGGTGGGTGGAGGCTCGACTTTGTTGCGGGTCTTGGTCATGATATTCTGACAACGTTGAATCCACACCTCAGTTTCTGTCAGAGCAGTCTGCTGCAACCAATCCTGGATCATTGACTTCAGTGATTGGTTATCCGGCGCTTCATCAAATGCTAACCATATGTCATCTTCCAAAGTCTGACCGGCTGTGTGCATGACAGAAGATGCGTCACGCTTCATGAGGTTGTTTAGACCTCGAACAGCTACATCTCGCATCAGGAAATTGTTTGCGCGAAGCTCCCTCTGCAGTCGCTTCACATATCCTGGGTAGTCCACATAGCTAGATGCGTAGAGGGAGAAGTGATCCAAACATTTGGAACTTTCCGTCACCAGCGCCGGATTCTCCTCTAGCTGGAATTGACGAAGCAGTGTCAATATGAGATTGCGAGTCTTTGCAATGTCTTGCAAGTCCGGACCGAGGACATTGATCAGAGAGTCCACACATCGATTGATCACAACAGGTGTCAAGAAAGACATCTCGATGTTAGAGGTTGCCAATGCAGCAGCTTCTTCGTTGTGTGTATCAGCATTATAAAGCTGAGAAAGCATGCCCAAGGAACCAGAGACAAACGGCGAGAATGTCAGTCCAGCAGAATTGGCAACTCTCTCCAATCCACCTAGAGCCCAGAAGTGGACAACGGGATGAGGGTCGTTACACAAAGACATCAATACACCAACAATGGTTTTCAGGTGCAGACCAGCTGCCATTCCGCCAATTTGAGCATGAATACACCCTAAAGCAGCGGCGCAGCCTGCTCTAGCGTTGGGTTCCCTGTTCTCGACAATGGTATCGACTAACCACTTGACTTGGATGTTGGTACATGTGTTACCAGCGCTGTCACAAAGTCTTCCTAACGCCTCGGCGCCAATGGTGCGTACAATTGGATCGGCATCAATAACAAAGCCCTGCAAAAGCTCTTGCAGAATCTTGTCGGTGGACGGATTCAGCTTGCCGGCAACAAAACCTGTCTCTTTAACAGCTACTTTTAGTGTTTGCAAGAGAGCCACCGAGATATTAATGACCAATGCGGCTTTCCTGCCAGGGTTCCGTTGTAAACTGGGAGAGGTGAGGAAAGTAGCAATCTGTTCCACGCTGCTTTCTTGGATTTTGGGCGAATGAAGTGCAAGGGCCACGGAGAACAGATCTATGGCCGAGTTGACAACCCCTGTCGTGGGAGGATCAACGGCAAGTTTGTCTCCATCCCGCAAGTTGTACAGAAGGAGTGCGTCATGCTCGCTGGCTTGGCAGATAGGAAACGTCAAGGCATCATCAACCACTTGGTCCACAGAATCAATCGCAGACCAAGCAGGTCCCTTGTCATCTTCCTGTGTCCCAGAAAGTGTAGCACGTATGTACTCCCTGGAAAGCCCAGTAACACCAAAGCCATAATTATCACACAAGTCCCATAAACCATCGAATTGTCCAGCGGAGCCAGAAATCGAGCTTTCTAATTGCTTGTACTGGGCATCTGGGTCTGCGAAGGACGAGATGGCTAGACTGAGCAGACTGGACTGTGAGATGATATCTCCATGGCTGGGTGGGTGGACATGCACAAGCTTTGAGAAGCACTGCAAGACACGTCTGCGCACCATAGTCGTATAATCCTGCAATTGAAGAGAAGGATGGAGTCTCTGTGAGAGATCTTCCATAGCCTTGGGCTTGGGCAAATCATCCAAGAATTCAACGGTATTTTGTAACATCGCAGAAATCCTCTTTGCGCCATCCGAAGTGATCAATTTGCTGTTGAACTCCATGAAGACCAGCAACGAACTGAGAGCACATTCTCGGACATGGGCCAAGAAGCTAATCTCAAGAGTACGAGGCTGAGCGACGTTATTCTTGCTTAGGTGTTTAGGGAGTGCATTCTTCCAGAGAAGCATCAACTGTGAAAGGTGGATCTTGACAAAGCTGGGCCCCAGAGGCATCAAGCCTCCAATGAGAATCCACGCCACCTGTATTTGGATACTGGCAACTCGAAGCTCCGAAGTGCTGCTGACCTTGAGGAGATCGGTTGCCTGTGTGAAGACGCGGGCAAACACATCAACTGCGCCATACAATGGCTGTAAACGGGAAGTGCTGAGCATAGCAGACAAACCGTTTGCATAGCCAACACATCGACGAGGCGCCTGACGTGGTGTGCCAAGCTGTCCGATCTCCCTGTTCAAGCTGTTCATGCAAATCGTTACGCATGACAGCAACTGGTGGGGGGAAGCGAGAACAAAGGTCCGCATACAATGCGCTGTATGAACTTGGACCGTGTAGCTGGGATGAGGAAGAACCTGAAGCAACGCGTCTCTGCAGCTATCAGCGTGTTCGCTGAAGGAAGAACCAAGCGATGAGATCAACGATGACAGAGCGCTGACAGCACTTGTCAATGTATACTTGCTTGGCTCACGGCGCTCCTGAATCACCTGCGGGTAGTCCTTCAGAATCTCGTTAATCAACCACTTAGCGGCATTGAGTTGACTGTTCTCGCGTAGCAATTCCTGGCCAATGGTATCTTCAAGAATGCTCTTAACAAACTTCCTGGTCATGAGCAGACGGAATCGATTATAAGTGACCGTCGGATGGTTCAGCAACTCAACAAGCAGATTGGTCGCAATCTGTCCATAACGCTCTTCGACAATCTTGTCTCCGAGGTTCCGAAGAACATACTTGTAGCATATACATATTCCAGCACGAGCGCGGTTAGAAGTATTGCTCTTAACATATTGAGACGAAAGCTGCCTCAGCAAGTCTGGAAGAAGGAAAAACAAGCGCGAGTCTGTTTTCTTGGGAGCAGACGGTTCAGACATCTCCGCTTCTTCCTCGTCTGCAAGCCCTGCACCCGGTTTCTTCGACATCCGTTTCGATTTCTTCGATTTCGGTTTCGGAGCAGCGGCGGTAGGCGCTTCAGTCGCATGCAATTTGATCAATGCTTGACCAAGAACAGCAGCGAGAGCATGACGCACCGGCGCAGCGGGGCTGTCAACAACCTTCCACACAAGTGTTTTGAGATGCTCGAAGTCGTTTGTGTTGTCAAAGAACGAGGTTGTCGCGATCAACTGCTCCAGGCAGCGACAAGCATGGACTTGAACGAAGGTGGATTTATCGCTGACAGCAGCGTTTCTGGCCTGTTTCCAAATGTCACGGGCGGTTGCTTCATCAATCGGGACTCCAATTCCAACAACGATCTTGCGCAGTACTGCGAAGATAACGCCTCGGAAGCCTGTATGGCTACTTGCTGACTTGAGTAATTTCAGTGTGCCCGATGTCGCGACATTGGATTGCATGAGCGCGCTCTCGCCAGCTGTCGCAAACACCTCCCCTAGACAATGCGCCGCAGCGAACTTGGTCTTGATTTCCACTTCGCTTTTGCTAGCGTTCAAGATTCCTAGCAAGTCACTGATTGTTTCAAAGAGGATGCCGCGATCTCCTTTGCTGAGTATTGCGCCAAAGCATCGTCCAAGGTTGTTGCGGAGGACTCGAGTGATTGTCGGTGAGGGGAGGTTTAATATCTTGAACAATTCCTTCTTGAGATCTTTCTGTTGCGAGGATACTTGTGCTGGCTCCAAGCCCGATATGTATTGTACCAGGTCAGAGGTGAATGTGAGCATGTAGAGCTCCTGTTGTTCGGAGGGGAGCGCATGCAGCTTGGGGATGTCCAGTTCGTAGACATTTTGCGGCGGAGGAGCGATCGCCGTTTCTGAAAACATGAGATTGGATTAAGGCAGATCCAGCCCCATAAGAAAGAAGAAAAAGGAAGAAGAATATGTAGCAATGTTTGTAGAGTAGTCAACCCCATGTTCTCCCTATCTTGTGGTTTCACTGACATCGGCCCGCTATTTATCCGCGGGGAAATGTATACCGCGGGCCAGATCTTTGTTTCAGAACATCATGGCTCTGAGGCTCAGCAGGCTGGTGCCACGTCGCCAATGGACTCGCAATGGCCTGGACTGTCGTTCTTTCAGTACCACAAAAGTCACTTTATCCGGTCACAACAAATGGTCCACGATCAAGCATGACAAGGCCAGGAATGACAAGGCCAAGAGCAGAGAGCGCCAGATGATGAGCAAAGAGATTGCCAGTGCCACACAGAGCATGTCCTTCATTCAAATATATGCGCATATATCTACATAGATACTGACTCTGCTATAGTGTGGGGACCCGACATAAAGTACAATCCCCGTCTAGCACTCGCACTATCGAACGCAAAGCGGGCCTCAACCCCCAAAATCATCATCGAAGCCGCAATTGCCCGAGGCCAAGGCCTCAGCATATCAGGCCAAGCATTGGAATCCCTAACGATCGAAGCCATGCTACCGGGCAATGTAGCCGCTGTGGTGGAATGTCAGACGGATCAAAAGGCGCGCGTGCTACAAGACGTCCGCTATCTCATTAAAGATAATGGAGGGATCGTGACTCCAACTACATTCCTGTTCGAGCGGAAGGGAAGGGTCGTCATGGAGAAAAAGGAAAACACCAATTCGGACGACTACTTAGATCAGGCTATCGAAGCCGGAGCTGCGGATATCACTACAGATGACAAGGGCCGTCTTGTGATCTTGACGGATCCTTCAGAGACGAAGACTGTCGGTGAGACATTTGCGAAACTTTCCGGTCTTGCAATTGAAGAGTTGGAGATATTTTGGGATCCGAATCGGGATTCTATGGTTGAGGTGCAGGATGAAGAGCAAGCGAAAGCACTGGAGGATCTTCTGAGTGCTTTGCGGGAAGAGCCCAGTGTTCAGGATATATACATGAACTCAGTGGAAAAGTTATAGCGCCGTCGAGGGCTGCTGGGGGGTTCGAAACACAAAGACTGTTTCATCTGCAGGACATTGTACAATATGTGTATAGCAATAGATACCAATCATTTACTGGAGTTGCAGGGACAAAATATGTCAAAATGTCATTGAAATATTATTACTCTTTACGTAAAGCCTTCATCGTGCTCCTCATCAGAATGCTGGTGCCGCGACACCCTACCCCATCTAACCAGTCCAGCATATGCACACGGTACTCCTGCCATGTAATCTTAGCGCCGCCTTCCTTCTCAAGGGCCTGCAACACTTTCTGAGTCACGGGCTTCCGTAACTTTGGTCGGTCATCCCCAACCTGCTGGTCCTCTTCGAGCTCTGCGAAACATGCGGCAGACAAATTGCAAAACGCCGCACTGTGACTGAGAGAGAAAATTGAAGAGACACTGATATGGAACGCGCTCTCACGGTCGTAGTGCTTGGCTGCCTCGGATGCGTCTTTGATGTAACTCGTCAGGGCAGTCACAGTTGATGCTGGAACAAGACAGCCCAGCGCATTCGGGTCTTCTGTGTTGAGTGCACGGTTTCGCCATAGAACATTGCACATGTCCATGACATAGCCGTTGAACCGACCGACCAAATCTGTTCCATAACCCGGGGTGCTTTGTGCTTGGAGGACTTGTGAGCTTAAAGAAGCTTCAAATGCAGACTTGTAGACTGCCAAAATGGAGTTGAGACTTGAAATCACGGCGGCACTCGGTGTGAAAGCCAGTGTATACACCGTTTGTGCGTAAGGAAGAGTGAGACGGAATCGCGCATCTTGAGGTGCGTGAGAAAACAGACCTGAAAGGGTTCTGTAGAAATCGAGGACAGAGATTGAGGCTGGCTTGGCCGCTTTCTGATCTTCATCGGTGGAGAATTCCAGAATGGAAGATGCTAAGAGTTCAGCATGCACAATCATCTGGCTGAGGGGAGTACATTCCTCAGATGTGGCCGTTTGCGAGCGAAGTTTCACACCCCATTGACTGATCAGTCCCGCGTAGAGATCCAGTAACGCGGTTCTGGAACCAAGGCCCTCATCTAGCACTGCTGACTCCAGGGGGGACAGGAGTTCACTTTGCAGAGACTTGAAAGGCTCAATCGGAACGTATTGTAAAAGTCGGAAGACATTTTCGCGATTATCCTTCCCATTCCATATCTGCAGGTAAGACTTCAAGAATGAACGAATTGCGGATGGAAGGTCCTAATACTTGTCAATGCATGTCGGCCAAGAACTGGTCCAAAATTCTCACCTTGATATATGATACATATCCCACAACAAAATCCAAGAAGTAGGACAATGTCTCCGGTTCATCGTCTTCGTCCCCGCGGAGCGCCTCCAGCTTGTCCTCCAGAAAACTCCTCAGCCATTCATCCAGCCGATGGTCCGCGAGCTCAGGTTGGACCAGATGAAGATATTTCTGAGCCATTGCATCGCTCAGAGTCGAGATTATTTGATTCGGTAACTCAATTTTGTCAATTTTGTCCACAAAATGACCAACATCACGCAGCTCCTCCAGGGATGTGTGTTTATCTGATACCCGTGAAGTCTGAAGAGCAGGGATAACCACTTCAATCCTGCTTCTTTTCACCGTTCCCCGACGAACGACTTGGAAACTCGATCCTGGACCCGCTTGCATTCTCTCGATATACTGATCCTGGAGCACCTTCGCATGGCCTGACCACTCCGGATCTGGATGTTTAAAGAAAAGAGCATTCCTCCTCGAACCCGCGAAATCACCAAGGACAATCTCAGGGTAGTAATTCTTGAATATCCTCAGTAAGCTAATGAGTTCCTTCTCATCACCACCAGAAGCCTGAATGAACTCCATCAGAACCTGAATCCGGAACGGCTTAACGTGTTTTCGCCTCGTAATAAGCGAAAGAATATGACACAGTGGTTTCCGCAAGCTGATCATATCAAGATGGTTGAACAGCACGGTGTAAAGCTTGACAAGGTGCTTCCTTTCTTGGAAGAGATCGTACGAAAGGATCAACCAGCGCAACAGCAGAGCTTGCGTCGCAAGACTAGGCTTGTTCTTGCTCGGCCCGAGAGAGCACACCACTTGTGTGACATTCTTAGATGCGATTCTATTCTGCGGATACAGGTTCTTGATCAATGTTGTAACTGTGCCTTGGTCCAGGTTATTTTTCGTGGTCAGAATCTTCAGGAGACGGGCAAGCACAGATTGGGGAAGACCATTTTCATACGCGTCTGATGCGATCGTTTTCACTAGCAGACTTGCATCTGTGTATCTTTGCTTGGGTGGGACGAAAGCAACTATCTCTAATTAGTCATTTTATGCCATCAAGTGCTCGGAAGGGGCTAGCTGTACCGGCTTCCAGGCGCTCGACAGCATCAAGCAGGCTGCTTGTTTTCTCACTTCCTAGAAAATTGTTAGTCATAGTACAATGGATCAATTAAAGATATGTTCATATGTTACCAGTATCCGCGTCCATTTAAATAATTGATACACAAATTCTTTTATGGTTTTGTCTGAGCTGGAGATTGCCTCCGTTGCTGCGCGTAGTTTCAGTATGGCGCGTTCCACGTTCAATGATTACGCATCGAAAACGCAGCAAATAAGTATTAGGGAGCGCAAGCCTTTGCGCCACTTTTGACCTCTTCAGGGGTAAAGGAATTGAAGTTGACGTATGTAGAGGTCGACAGCTGCATAGAAGAACAAACGTGGGCGCGCGGAAAAGGGCTTAAACCCGATCGGGTAATTATCAACAAGTGAAGATCTACTCTTTTACAAAACAACAGCTTTATTGTACTTTTTCTACAAATTTATGATCAGTTATTGGAGCTCAAAACTCTGGATAATATTGAAAATGCTAAAGAGATCAGAGGAAACATTTCTTGCTGCAACAGATAATCGAACTAGAAGACTGCTCAACAATGCCAACAACAGGAAAATACAAATACGCATTTCAGCGTATTGGCTACCAAAGTCTACATCTAATCTAACATCTACTTTCTCTTGCGAGTGTCCGACTTGGGAGTAGCCTTGGAAGAGGACTTCGCGACCGCTTCCTCCTTCTCCACGCCCTCAATGGCAGCCGGAACAGGCTCCTCTTCCTCATCGCTGTCACCTCCCTGGCCGAACTCGTTGACGCGCTTGTAATCAACCTTGTACTTCCAGCCTTGGTAGAGCCAGATAAAGAAGATAACGTCGTCGCGAAGAGTAGCCAGGCGATGGAGCCAGGGCATCTTAACGGTGAAAGCGAAGAGATCGTCGATAAAGGTGTTGAGGAACTTGTAGGTCAATGCCTTTCCGGGCATGTGAGCAACAGACTTCAATCGGTAGTTGATGTAGAGACTGGGGACCATCATGAGGAAGCCATAGGCGTAAACACTACCAACAAGAGTCTGGATGATGTAGGAGTACCACGACTTGTGGGTGTTGTAGACCAGACTGTAGGCAGCGTATGCGAGCAGAAGAGGCACGGCCACGATGTACAGGTATTGGAAGGCGATTTCGTCGTATTCTTTGGTCTTCTCTTCAGTCTCAGTGAGCTTGTGCTTATCCTCGAAGACGATTACATAGGGCAAGAATGAGAACCAGGAGTTGGCGGGGGGTGCGCGCAGGCGGACATCAACAGTCTTGGTGATCTTCCAGAATTCCAGCAGGATACCGAATCCTTGACTGGCTAGAATCATCCAAGAAGTGTTCTCGCTGTTGTCCACGAGGTAGAGGAAGATGACAGCCTGCATGAAGACGTTCGCCAAAATTGTCCGGACGGAGGTACCAACGATATCCTTCTTCTTGCGCCAATGAGCCTAAAAAGTGTCGATGTTAGCGAGGTCAAACACCGTGTTGACATATGACTTACAATATCGTTCTTGAAAGCCAAGGTTTCAAACAGCATGTGCAAGATGGTAACAATACCAGTGGTGCCCAGGAGCCAGATGTTGGTATCCAACAGGATCTCCTTGACCATCTCCCATTCAGTTCCATCGCCGCCACCGGGAGCAGAGCCACCATAGGCAGCCTGTCGAGAGCTTTGCTTGGAGCCCTCGTCAACACTGCTGATGATGTTGAACTTCCAGTTGGCCATGTTGTTGACAGTGATGTGTAAAGGCACCGACTCAACGGTGGAGTTCAGCTCAGTCATGTGGGTCTTCAACTGCCAGAAAGTGTTGATGAAAGCGATCGGGTAGTACCATCCATTCTTTCCAGAGGCGTCGCGGGCACCAGTGCGCTCCAGCTGCAGATACTGGCGAGCTGCGGGGTTCATCGCGCCCAGTTTGGTGGTTCCAGAGTCTGGGATCAGGGATACAGTGAAGTTTGGGTGGTAATAAGACATGGTAGACCATTCCGGGGTATTGTCTTCCTCTTTATCATGCTCATCCTCAGGGCCTGACAAGAGATTCTTCAATTTCTTGACCTTCTTCTTGGGAAGATACTGGTTCAGGGGACGCAGGAAGTGAACCGCATCGGCGGTATTGTAGTTCTTGGCAGAGGGGTCCAGCTGGTATCCGGTGCGGCCCAAAAAGAAGTGAGCCCAAAGGGTACCATTCTGTTGAACTTGCTTGGGGAGCTTGATGGTGGTATCGATTTCACGGGTGTCGCTGTAGTTTCCAATGGTGAAGTTCTTCTCCTGCAGGACAAGAATACTATCCGAGGCCGTAAATTTGGGGACAATGATGGACGGTGTCACGTAAATACTGAGATCAACCGCGCTGTCGGCGGGCCAGATAGGAGCGATGAGATCGGGGATAGCACTGTGTTCGGCATATTCACTGGGGTGGGGACGATCGGCGAAGGCAGGGATTCCACTAGTGTTTTCGATAGTGGTAGCAGTGTTGCTGTTTTTTCCCATGTATTGGTTAATGCCGAATTGAACCAACAAGAAGATTCCAAGGCCCTGAAGGGCACCCTTGAAGCCCGACTAAAGAGGGGGTCAGTAAAGGATCAAACATGCGAATACGAACAAGATGAACGCGATAAACGCGATGAATACATACGTTGGACTCCTCCTGTCTACGTGGCCTCGTTTCCGACATGATGAGCGTAGATGGATAAAAAAAAAAAAGAAAGAAAGGAAAGGCCAGTAGCCCGGATGGCGAATGCGCCTGGAAGCCAAACACGGTCTTGGCATTCTCCGCATCTATCCGCGGGGAATCAATTGTTCTCTGCTACACTTCTTACTTCTACAACGCGATGTCGCGTTGGATTGAACCCCATGGACAATCCATCTTTTGACGTTCGCGCTGAATTCCCATCGAATCTTCAGCCAAGAGTATGGCTAATTACAGCGGGGGACTCACCCCTCGGCATCTCAGTCGCACGAAAGGTCCTTGCGCATGGTGATTATGCATTTCTCGGTTTAGCACACACAGCTCTGGACCGCGATGAACGTCGTCGGGATGAATTCAATGCTTTCCTTGCTGAGGTTCAGGATCATCGCGCTGAAGGGTGGGAAATTCGCATGAAGGCCGTCCCGCTAGATATTCGGTGCGTCTCCACATTGGAATACTATAATCGATCTCGATAATAACGATTCTCGTGTTGCAGAATGATGGGCGAATGTCAGTCGGTTGTGGCAAACGCAGTTGCAACATTTGGAAAGGTCGACATACTTCTTTGCTGTACAAGTCAAGGTACACCTCTGCTCTACACCGTGTCCCAGCACCCTACTGATCTATATCCAAGCTCTCATCGGCACAGTCGAGGAACTCTCCGCCTCAACTCAAACGCAGAACCTTGTGCGCGATCAATTCGAAACCAATTACTTCGGCCCTCTCAACATAATCAAAGCCACTCTTCCCGATATGCGAAGAGAGCGATCCGGCCATGTGATGATCATATCAGGAATTAGTAAGGTGTATATACTCGCATCTTGAACAATCTGTCTGACAATATCCAGCGGCGCACATCGGCACCCCGGGACTAGGAATGTATTGCGCAGCAGGGTGGGCGCTGGAAGGATTCTGCGATGTCAGTATGAAGCCCTATACAGACTCAGCCACGAACTAACCCAAGCACAGAGTCTGGCCTACGAAATCGCCCCATTCAACATCAAACTCACAATCCTCCAATGCAGCATCGAAATAGGCATTCTGACAAACCTAGTCACAAGCGTCCCCCCAATTTTCCCCGCCTACTCACCAGCCAACAACCAAGCACCTCTTTTCCGCGGGATCCTGAATCATCTCGTCCCTCAGCTTCCCAACGCAGCCGCAGCCAGCAACGCGACCACGCCCAGTCGGGCGCACGATGAAAGTTCCCGAGTTAGTTCCATTGAGAGCGGTCCGTTCTCTGCCCCTGAGGTTGTCTCCATGCATCCACCCTTGAGCTCTGCGCATCTTGAAGTGTTGGTTTCGGAGACGGTGTTTGCCATCACTTCTATTGGGGGACACGCAAATCCTCCTTCTAGGCATATCGTTGGACAGGAAGGTGTTGCTAGTGTTAAGGAGAAGCTTAAGACTGTTAGTGAAGAGCTTGAGGACTTTATTCAGGCTAGCTTTGCTGTTGATGTTGCTGCAGACGCGGATCCTATGCCTCCTATATCTGGCATGGGTGAAGGGCCTTAGTATCGCGGGCTAGCAGCCGACTCACGAATAATATAAATATCTCATGATCCAATGATCATATGCCAGTCTCCAATCCTATTCCAGGACTCTTTCTTTCTAGGACAAGTAGATCTTGAATTTCTAGCAATAGGAATTTAGAATAAATTTATTGATTGCTATTTGGGATCTCGACGGGCAAGCTAAGAGATATTTTCCATTGTGATTTTCATACATGGGGCCGGGCACGCAAAACCGAGAGTGCATATCAATATAGGATGCAGCTCATTTGGCATCTATTCGTGCTGAAGGAACCAAGCCTCTCGCACATCAAAGAGACTTCCCATGTCCTGATTGTTGCGATAGCATCGAAGTTCTTTCCAAGCATTTGCTGTGCGGCCATTGGGCATACGACCATCGATTTGCAGGATCTTCAAGACGAGGGCTGCTGGTGAAGACATGTTGGAGAGAATAATCTCGCCCATTTCATTGGTGGGAAATTTAGAATAGGTTGGGGGTGGTTCGGAGATTGCAGGTTCGGGCTCCTCTTGCTCATCCTTGACGGGTGCTTCTGCGAGATCATTGGATGTAGCCTGGTCGAACTTGATATTTGGCTCCGTTGGAGCGTTGGGGTCAGCAGCGTTGGCATCAACAGCGTTGGCATCAACAGCGTCAATCTCGATGGGTGTCTCGGCGTGTGCCTCCTTTTTGATGACTGGAGATTCGGGTTTGTCTGTGGAAATCTCTACTGATCCATTTTGGATGGAGATATTTAGAACTTCCTCGGGTTGTTTTGAAGATTGTGAGGTAGAAGGGAGGGGGAGGAAGACGTGGAAGGAAGCTCCGAATTTACAGTTTCCGGGCAAGAGGGTTTGGGGGCCGCCTGAGTGTTCTTCTCGATCTCTGCTGATAAGATGGATAGTGAAGAAGGCTCTGCAGTCGCTCTAGTGCTCTTCTCAATTTCTGCTGCCAATAGAGATAGCGAAGAGGTAGGAGGCGCTGGTTTGAGCTGATCAGGTTGTAGCAGCTCCGTTTCCAGGTGCACCTCTGGTTCGGGCTGTGGTTCGGGCTGCACAGGTAGCGGATGCTTGCGTGGTCGTCCTTTTTTGCGCTTCACTGGAGGCTGAGGGGAGGGGAAAGGGATCGTGCGTTTCACGCTCGGAGATCTGCCACTATTGGGGCTGACAATGACAACGCTGAAGTCAGGACCTTGTTCCTGTTGGTCTTTCTCGGTGGGTACTGCAAGCCCTGTTTTGGCCTCTGAATCATTGATTTGCATATCTTCACCTTTTGGGGGAGTAGAATCTTCATGAGCATCAGTGTTGACAGCTGATTCCATCACATCGGCATTGGAAGATGTAGGGATTTCCTGGGATGTCTTGTTGACATCCGCTTCCATCGCCGCATTGGAAGGTCCAGGAATATCTTGCAACTTCAGGTCATCAACATCTTTCATCTCCTCATCTTTCTGGGATAATTTCGCAGCCTCTGGGGCTGGCTCTGCATCTTTCATCTCCTGGCTCGAAGGAGCAATGGCTGGGGTTGACTCTGTTTCGAGATCAGCTTTCAAATCTTCATCGCCCCTCTTCTCCTTTTGTTCCGGTGTCGTATGTTTCTGGTCTATGTTATTGCTACGAAGGAAGACTTTTTCGCCGGGTGGGACAGCAAAAGTCAATTTCGCCCCGTTGATTTCATCAATCTGTAGCTATCAGCATATAACCATGCAAGGTGCATGCATGGGCCGGTACATACCCGAACTTCCTTCTCAACAACGATTCTACTCGGTCCTCGCCCATAAACATAATAGAATCTCCAAATATCCCCCACTAGGATGATACCTTCACTGATAAGAGTCCCCAGTTTCACTCGCGCGCTTTCTCCAGCATATGCTCTGTTGACGACTTTCTGCTTTTGTCCCCAAAACTCCTCATATTCGCGCTCTTTGAAACTGTCGAATTCGCCTAGCGCGCGACGCTCTCTTGCATCCTGGGCCTGTTTTAACCATTCAGGGTCATAGCGGCCGTTTTCAAGATCAAGCTGGAACTGTCGCACACCATCGCGCCAGTTGTTGGAGTAGCGGATGAAGCTATCGGGCATCGGGGGTATCTTTGCGTTGGGATCGTCGGAAGCACAAGCAGCGTCAGGGTGAACATCTGGTGGGAGTAAAGCAAGAATCTCCAGCTTTTCGCTTTCCTCGAGACAGTTCCATGCTTGAGGTTGTGATAACAATTTCTATATGATGAGATCTATTAGTTTGGATCTCAGTAATACATATCAAAGGCAGCTTGGTCATTGTCATACTACTAAATCCAGATCAATGAGGACGGACTTATCGCTTGTGAGTAGCTGTTCTTCGCTCCATTTCCCTCTTGCGGCGGCCTTTCTTGGGGTTTTGGCTCGAGAGCTCACTTCTGATTGAGAGTTTGACATGGCCGAGCCCGTCTTCTTTGCTACATCTGGAGGACGGGCAACACCACGACTAGGACATGATAGTCAGTTAATAGGATCGAAACAATACGGAGGTTGGTCTGACCGCGCTTTATTGCCCCGGGTCACCGCCTTTGCTTTCTTGGGTGGCATTCTGGCCAACTCTCTGGTCAAAACAAAGGTGAAACTGCTGTGCTTCACGAGGAATTCTCAAGATGGTGAGGTCAACGCAAATTTCAAGGCTAGATGGTGAGGAGTTCTTTGAAGAGTTGCAAAGGGCTGAGCGCTGACGTGAAGGTAAAATAGGCCTTATGCTCGCTGCCTCGGTCGACGATGAGCAGGTAGGTGGTCAAACCAGGTGAAGAAGACCGCAAGCTCACCAGATTTACAGGCTGAATCAGAGCTCTCTGAAATCAAGAGTCAGGCGAAGATGATCTTTCGGCGATTGAATCGCAACTCCGCCCCTCAGGCCAGCATTGAGTCCGGCAAATACAATCTACAGTAAGCGGGCGCATCATGTCAAGCAGATCAATGAACTGACTTCTGCATAGCTACACGATCCAAGACGACATTTGCTTCCTGTGCATTGCCGATAAATCGTACCCCCGCAAACTCGCCTTCACATATCTTGCCGATCTGGCCTCTGAATTCACAACCACCTACCAATCCTCACAATACCTCTCGCCTACCCTTCGTCCATATGCCTTTGTTGAATTCGATACCTTTATTCAGCGCACAAAGAAACTGTACCAGGACAGTCGCGCATCGCAGAACCTCGACAAGTTGAACGACGAGCTCCGTGATGTCACCAAGGTTATGACGAAGAACATAGAGGATCTTTTGTATCGTGGTGACAGCTTGGAGCGTATGGGCGAGTTGTCTGGTCGACTGCGCGAAGACAGCAAGAAATATAGAAAGGCAGCTGTACGCATCAATTGGGAATTGTTGCTGAAGCAGGTGAGACCCGACTGACCTATGTTCACACAAGATTGATGGACTAACCATCCTCGCAGTACGGACCTTTCGCTGGCGTCGGGCTTGTCGTTTTCATCTTCCTTTTCTGGCGATTCCTTTGATTCCTAGCTTTCCGGCCGTGGCCATCGGCCTACCTTGTATGAATGTATGCATAGTTAATACCTCTCGGTGATTGCAGGATACAATCTACCGAACCTAGAATGCAGGGATTTGCGTGAACCACATGTATCTTATTGAATATCATCTAAATTTCATCCTCCTCTTCGTCGAAATCATCCTCTTCCCCCATATCGTAGAGAATCCGACCTCCCTCGCCGGGTCCATCTCCGTGCTGTGCATCAAAGTAAGGCAGCACGACGCCTTCTCTGTCGCGCCGTTGCTTGTCAGTCAGGCCAAGCTCAAAGGTAGATGTCGGCTCCTCATTCTCAGCACCGGGATGCCGCTCCATGGGAGGATTGTACAGAACGTTATCATCGAGTAAAGTGATAACTTCTTTCAATTGCTGTGGCGAATAGCGCGACGCAGGGGGAAGAAGGTACCATTCCAAAACACCACGACCACTCTTCCGCCTGTGTTCCAACTCGATGACAATTCCCTCTGCTGCGCCAGTGCCGCTGAGTCTGTCTAGTCGGCCGAGTAGAACGCCCTCCTGCTCTTCTTCAAGTCCAAAGACTGGAGGGGCTAGACTGCGGTCTCGAGCGGCCTTCTGCGCTAGAATGTGCGAAAACGAATGGAGAGTTATGATACTCGTGGCGAGGTATGTTAACACTGAAAGAGGTGATGACGAGTAAGGGTTCTGCTGGGGAGGCTCGGGTACGTCTTGATGATATGTCACTACAAGTGATGCGTCAACCTTTGCGGTTGGCGATGTGGGGCCAAGGATTGAGCTGAGAAAAGAGGGGAGATGGAATCCAGGGTCTACTCTCTTGGAATTGAGTAGAGGATTGATAGAATCAACAAGGATCAAGCGCCCTATAGCTAGTAAGTATAAATGTCCGCATGCGGGGTCGATAAAGTAGCTTACTCCGTGATGGGTTGGAGGATGCAACCTGTTGATAAGCTGCGCTTACTTCCTTCACAATTTCGACTGGACTCTTGCGACGAGTTGATACAAAGGCATCGACTCCCTCTGGCCGTTTAAGTGTCTCAAAAGCAATGAGTGTGACATGGACTTTGGACAGCTATTGAACAGGTCAGTCTAATCACTCAAGATTGATGTCATGTGTCTTCCATGTAAATCATTGCATATTACATCTTACCTTTGCTCGTCTTATGTATTCTTTCAGAAGTGGGGTGGCTGGCTGCTCCAGCGAGTCCAAGACCAGTGTGAGGGGCGATGCGGTGTCGCGCAGGCTCAAGAGTTTGGAAATCAGCAGCAAATTATGAGTACGTCTGTGCGAAAGATTGACCGGTGCCATTTTATTTGATTGCGCTAGACTTGGCCAAAGACTTTCGAGAGGGGGCAGGGTTGACGGACGCACATGAAGTGGGGTTGCGCAAAAATTTCGCAGTGTGATTTAAAGTTGAGGCTCGACGGGCCGGCCCGCGGCATGCATCTCTTTCAAATGTCGCTTGGGTTAGGTGGTGTAGGCTCCTAGTGGGTATGATTTATAGATTTCGAGGAGGAGTTATTTTGGTTCTAACTTCTAATCAGATGTACAACATGGAAAATTCTATTAGAAAAAAGTAGAGGGGGGTGGCAAGAGCTGCAAGTCCCGTAAAGGTTAGTTTCTTCAAGAGGGTGATTACCATACAGAATGACTTGAAACACGTTCAGCCGATTAGGTTGCACAGGAGGAATTTCAGAATCTCTTCATGTTAGCTATATGTAGGAGCATCATAACGGTATTATTAATGTTCCACCGTTGACTATGCTAAAGCAGTCTACAAATTACGAACAGATAAATCTTAGAGATAGCCAATATTTTGGAAAGATCGAACCCTGCGAGTAGGACTTTGTCGAATAAAGTCGAGTGACTTACATGAAGATACTATACTCTACCCATATGCCAAGTCGGTTATCTGGGGCGTTTTCCAACGAGTTATTCTATCTTTAAACGTTGGTCCCGCACAACTCTTTGGGGGGGCTCTGTGCTAAGCACATCAACCTCCTATCTCGGATCCGTTGACTCCTGGAGCTTCTATCCACAACCCTTGATATGTGTTCAAATGGTGTACAATTGTGCTAGGGTAGGGATGGGATGCTGTCCAATCCTTTGAGTCTGACAGAGTGGGTGACTCATTTCAATGATTGACAACCAGGGTCGATAGATTGCTTTGAGATTGTTAGAGATCTGCTACCACATGAAAACAGAGCCCTTCTTGTCAAGTAAGCATTATTGTCAAGAAACGCTGCTTGTTCAAATGATTACCTTTCTTGAAAACACGATGTAAATGATTAGTTAGAATCGCCACTTTTTGTCAGCCTATATTCCTTCCTGCATATTTATGTAATTTGACCATGATTTTGTATAGCGATTTCTCTAGTATGAGACTTTATATCACGCAGAGATTCAAAACTACCTTAAAATACAGATTTGTTTGTCAATCTGTGGCAAAAATGGATACTCAACGCAGGAATATGTAGTAAGCTCCAAAACTGTGAGATTCAAAGTTTCAAATATCCCAGCTATGATGCCAAGTTGATGCGAATAATTCATATAACCTTGCTTTAAGATGCATAAATGCCAAATATGACTGGGATGAATCAACTGCGGTTATGATGAGGCCGAGCTATAGTTAGATCGATCATTTCTGCCATGTCACACAAGCTGCACAAATGGTCTCTACCCGTATCCGGAATAAACTTCTCTTTGCTCCCGAGCTGTCAAGGCCCGACTTCCTCATTGCGACGACTTGATACCCTCTAACACATTTCCATTTAATCATTCCGCTTATTTGTCTATTGCTCCGCTTGGACCGACGAGAGCTTCGACCCCCGAGCCAAAATACCCTCATTTAGCCCCGAACACACGGCAACCATTTCGTACGGGGCAACGCCCAACACAGACTGGGGCTTTTCCACAATGGCAGAGCCACCAGCAAAGCGTGCTCGTCGAGTCGACAGCGCAGCCATGTGGGATTCCAATGATATACGACCCCGGGCAGCAGACCAAGAGTCAGATCGCGAGCGCAGACGTTCACCCGCCCCCCGAGACGGCCGACGCGACGGTCGGTATCGCTCACGCTCACGAGAACGCAATGATAAAAGGCGAGAACGGAGCTGGTCTCGAGATCGCCGCGACCGACGGGACGGAGATAAAGATCGAAAGAGGAGCACCAGCAGAGAGCGCAACTATGACCGACGAGGTGAAATAAAACTTTTACTTGGGATGATGGGTCTGAGCATATCTAATAAAACATTCTAGGGGCACCAAAAACCGTCAAATTCCGCGAACGCTCGCGCTCACGATCCCCGGGTCGCAGTGGTACGAGAGCCCGGTCACCACCGCGGGGTCCTAAGGGTGACCGCCGAGATCCCCGATCGCGAGACGATGGGCGGAAGGCGAATGGCGCACAGGCAGTGGACCAGCACGCGGACAAAATGGATGTGGACTTCAACTCAGATGCGGACGAGGATGAGATCGAAGCACAGATGCGCAAGGCGATGGGCTTCACCAGATTCCGAACCACCAAGAACACCAAAATCCCTGGAAATGACATCTATGGTGTGCGCAAGGAGAAGAAGATTGAGTATCGACAGTACATGAACCGCCAGGGCGGTTTCAATAGGCCTCTCAGTCCCTCACGATGAGCTCTGGTCCATCCTTTTCAGATCCTTCCAGGTCGCATCTTCTCTCTATGTATTCAACCCCCCGGACATTCTTTCTTTTTCAATCTGCTTTCGATACGATTTGCATTTGCGGAGCATGGTTCTTGGCTTGTTATTACTTCCCATACAACGTTGTATTATGGCACAAGCCTTGATGGATTTACTAAAAATCTCATTATTTCAAATTCCATCCCCTAAACTTCCTTGTGTATACCTATTTAATATACCTATTTAAATTTTTGTTAAAGCCTAGAAGCAGAAGCAACTTCTATTGAGATTCTTTACATTAAATTTGTCTTTACATGTACAATTAGAACGGCGCTGGGAAGAGACTTGAGACACGTTGAAGATATGAAAAAGGCTCGTTACAAAAGACAGCGATATTCATATGTGGCAAGAATGTCTAGACGTAATATAAATTTCATTATCAAAATTTGCATAAAACCGGTCAGTTCTTGTGAACTTGATTATCAACGCGACATATGACTGGGCTTCAGTGACGTAGGCCTACATACTTGCCTTTAAACCTTTCCCACTTCACAACCCTTCACAAAGTGGCTTCCGTACGATTTTTATCTATCAAAATAGCGCCGAAATTTAAGATGTCGGCCACAAGCGATCGCCGGGAAATTATTATTGTTGGTAAGAACAGACCGTTTGCGACTTCAATACCCCGCTTGTATTTTCAACTTGCTGATCAGAACATTTCTAGGTGGTGGCATTATTGGTTGTTGCTCAGCGTACTACCTGACGAGACATCCATCATACGACCCTACCCGACATAAAATCACTCTCATCGAGGCCTCCGAAATCGCTGGCGGGGCATCAGGAAAGGCAGGTGGCATGCTCGCGCAATGGGCATATCCAAGCAACATCGTCGGTCTGAGCTATAAGCTCCACGCAGAACTCGCAAAAGAACACGATGGTATCAATCGATGGGGTTACAGGGAGGTAAACTGCGGTCAATTGGTTGTGAGAGGTCGCGCTCTCACGGAAAAAAGTGAAGGGAAAGCCGGGACTTCGGAATCTCTTCAAAAACGCAGTACAGCCGCTCTATCTAAGCTCAAGTCTGCCAAGATCCCTCAGGACTTGGACTGGATTGAGCCGGAACTTCTGCGCGCCTATGAGAGTATGAGCGGCCCCGGCGAAACCGCGCAAGTGCACCCGTACCTCTTTACTACATCCATTGCAAAGCTTGCACAGGAGAAAGGCGTAAGTATTATTCTTGGACAGGTGACAGATATTGCTCGGTCGAAGAGCTCCGTGGAGTCTGTGACATACACCGACAAAACATCGGGAGAAACCCGAACCATCCCTGCTACCGATGTCCTCGTTGCTGCTGGTCCTTGGACAAATACCATTCTCCCAGAGGTCCCGATATCAGCAATGCGGGCTCACAGCGTGGTTATCCAACCCAAGGAACCTGTCAGTGCATACTGTTTATTCACCAATATTGAGATCCCGGCCAACTTCCATCCGGAGAGGAAATCACGTCCAACCGTGGCAGCACCGGAGATCTATGCGCGACCAGATGCAACTGTCTATGCATGTGGTGACGGGGACAGGACAGCTCCACTACCAAAGACTTCTGCAGATGTCACAGTCGACCAGGAGCGCTGCCAGGAAATTATAGACCAGGTTGGCAGTATCTCTGATGACTTGCGCGAAGGCGAGGTTCTCACGCGCCAGGCTTGTTATCTTCCAAACTGTGATTCCGGTGGTGGGCCGCTTGTTGGTTTGACTGGTGTCAAGGGTCTCTATCTTGCTGCTGGTCATACTTGCTGGGGCATCCAGAATGCTCCTGGTACTGGTAAGCTCATGAGTGAGTTTGTGTTCGATGGCAAGGCGAAGAGTGCGAAGATCGCGTCGTTGGATCCCCGCGACCATATATGAAATACATTCGATACCACTGTCAATAGCTATGGCAAAGCACTTACACGTTCATAGTATAGAAATCTACTTTGTCCCTACTTTGTCCATGACCCTCGTCAATTACATGAATACACAATACACTGAGAACCAAATTACTCCTACATACCTGACTAAAAATGCGATAAAAGTAGAGCCCTGTATATCAATTTATAACATATGTACTTAAAGACTCAATCATACAAATTTTGCTTTCCACTTCCGTCTAAAAAGAAGATCTTTGCTTCAATCCAGGAGCCGCCTTGCCAAAGTTGCGATAGAAAATCCATACAATCAAAAAGGCCCACCAATTTTTACTCGCAAACATATCCATAACCTGGCGAATTCCGTCAATTCTTTCAAGGATCCGGTTATCTGGGTGAATCGAAGCGAAGAGTTGAAGGCCTACAAGTTCTTCAGCTCGAAGCTTCAGGCTCATGGAGACGGTACGGTGTTCGGAGAAGCAGAAAGATGCCCCTAAGATCACATAAAGTCGACTCATCATATGCTGGTTTGGAGACTTCCAGTCTTGCAGTACCCAGACAGGATGCGGTACCCATGGTATGTTGCGAAGTTGCGTAAATGTCTTCCGCCACCCATGAAAATACATCCGGGCTCTCTCGCCACTCACAGCATGGAAACAACCGATTGTTCCAAAAGCCATATGACAGAGAAGACGATCGACCACCACATCAACGGGAACCTCGTCTATGTTTACCTCATCATCTGGGCTTGCAAGCCGTGTCGATGATCGGAATGTCCAGGATGGGGTCATTATCATGGCCGCCGTGAAGATAGTCAACGGAGTTGACATAGGCACGCTATATCCTGGAAACGGAAAATTCTGCGCTGGTCCAATAACTGATGGTCGTACAACGAGAAGTTTGTGGCTGAGATCCTCATCGCTGAATAGTTGCAAAAGGAGTCGCTCGGTGAGGTTCTTAGCATAGGCATATGCCCATGGGAAGTTTTCCTCCTCGTAGAAATGGCTAGTACCGAATTTTTGTACTTCTGTCCATTCAGGAAGAGCGGTGATTTCATTTTCTAGATCGTAGAAATTCTCTTTGATTTCGACGTCGGCTTCCTCGCTGCGATGATAGAGATGGGTATTTGCGTATGCAGTAGACACATAGACGAAACGGTCTAGGTGGTCGCACGTCAATGCAAAATTCGCAATCTTCTCAGTTGCTCTGATAACTGTATTCATTAAGCTAGGCAGGCCCTTCGATAAGTTGATCGATGAAGCGGCGTGAATGATGATGTGAACGTTGTGCCGAATGGCATCTAGCTCGGGTATATCCAGTCCCATGTCAGGCTTGACGATATCACCATCAAATACGATCAGACGACTCGATTCGCACAGCTCCTTTGCAATTTCATGCGGTAAAGCTTTCTTCCATTTGGCTTCGAGCTTCCTTCATTTGAAGAGTTAGCCCATATAACGTCATGAGCGATGCCCAGTGGTATATTTGAAGTCTACTCACTTGCGACCATCTCTGCAAAGTAAGTAAACTCGAGAGGTCTTCGTACGACTTAGCAGTCGGTAGACGAGGGCTGTGCCCAAGAACCCAGATCCGCCCGTCACTAGAGCAGATTTGTTTTGATAATATTCCCACATCTTCAGAGTAGCATTGTTTCTAAGTAAGTCCAATAAGTTATTTCATTCCCACAAGCTTTGGGCTGCCTTAAGCGTACCTGGTCGGTATATTTTAAGGTTGGATTTCCTATGATATATATACAGGCTTAGGGCTGTAGAGAATGGGATCGAGCGAGCGATCAAATTCTGAAGTCCAGGACCAACTGACAGTAAAGCTCTGATTTGCAGCGTTAAATATCTCGCAGATGTCCTGTCTACTTAAATATAAAACTTTATCTAGAATATTGAAAGATATTGAAAGAATCAGGCCCTTGGTATCACCTTTCGATCTGCCAAGCAACAATATTCCCAGTTATTGAAATCTTTGTACCACCTCGATCTATAAAACTTGTTTTGATCACCACAATGAAGGTAAGGAGCTGATCGGTTGTATATATAGATCAGCAAATATAGGCTTAGTACGGAGTACACACGGCTATACTAGGGAGATTTCAAAGTTTGAACTTGTATATATATATATATGTACTAATTCACATTGTTCTTTGGCTTTTGGTTGAGCTGTCAGAAGTTGTTTCTTACGGTTAACAGTCTGCATCAGGGACGGAAATGCTCTAGTAGGATTTGTCAGACCGCTGGTGTTTGACCACGATCTTGTAGCATCTTACTCTAATGGGTTGGCTATGTGTTCACTCCTTGCAGATATGCAAGCCATCTGTTGAACTGACTAGACTTTCAAGTTTCCGGATGAACTGATACATCTTCGTTGTTCTATGAAGAAGTGGAATGCGCGTCAAATGCTATGCCTTACATCACACATCGACCAGAAAAAGGTTCCAATTTTCTAATTGGACATATATTGTCAGCTCGTTCTTTCCAGCAGAGATACACAAGCGAAATATCTCACACTTCAGTCATTGTAACCCAAGAAACAGGCTTCCCATATTCATTGTAATTCCATCCGACCCTTCCCAGTCTGTAAAGCCCCGCCCAAGCCCACGCCATCTATCCTGGGATTATTACTACCAAATTATATACTGGCCACATCTCATTCTCCTCGCTGTTATTCCGGGAGTCCCAGTCCTTTGTGCTGACTCTGTAGCCTTGAGCCCCAGCATTATCATAATGCCCTAAAGCTGACTTGATATAGCTTCGCAGGATACCGTCGTCCATGGACCCATAACACATACGAGGCCACACTTCCGCTTAAGTTGTTTTTTTTGGCAATTTTCGGGGGTATTCGATTAAAGTATCCGATTGCCGATTGGGCAACACACGGTCGTGCACGTCACTGATATATTGATACAGACATGGATCCCTATGATGCAAGAAAAGGGGTTTTCTTATTTCATATGGGCTGACACTTTTGATACAGGAGGAACAACTGGAGAGATGTCAATATCTCAGATCCCCAAGAAGATTCTGTGGTCCGATGGCAACAAAAGAATCATCTCCTTATCCTCATGATTGGATGTTTGGCTTACCGGCCTTTACTGCTGTTCTTGAAGGAGAACCGCAAACACCCCAAGACGGTCTATGATCATATAGATAGAGACTTATCTGAATAACTATATTAGAAACTCCCTACGTGTAACCGCAAACGATCGTAAAGAACTTGATATTGCGTCATACTTTTATTCCAGTACATACGTGAATATGTACGTATCAAATGCTCGTTCTTTTGGCATGATAACACCTGCTGTCATCCAGACCTCCCCAAATATTCAGAATCTCTGTCATGTTTAAAATAACACAACAAGAGAAGATCACCCGCTAAGACGAGGTCCAAAAATAGCGCGGGCAAATGTTTAAGCTTACATGCGGGCGCTCGGACCACGTAAACGCGGAGAGGACAGACAAGCTCCGACTTGACAACATTTGAACTTTCATTCAATTGAGTGATGCCAACACAATGCGTCACCTCAGACCCTCGGTTATATTAACGTCGTTACTTTCAGCGACTGGCATCGTCGCCAGTGAAGATCCCAACGATGTCTCCGTGTTGATTAGGGAGGCCGGACGCGCCAGCAACGATTCCCTGCTATGGGGTCCTTACAAGTCAAACCTCTACTTCGGTGTGCGCCCTCGTATCCCGAAGAGTCTCTCTGCGGGATTGATCTGGGGCAAAGTTGACGATTATGCCGGTGCCCAACAAAGTATGTTGCTAGTGTTCAATTTCATTGCGTCGTAAGCTTCGAAGCTAACACACACCAGACTTCAGACACACCTGCGAACAAAATGAAGGCATGACTGGATATGGCTGGGATGAATACGATATTCGGAAAGGTGGACGGGAGACTATCCATGACGCCGGAAACAATTTGGACTTGACGATTGATTTCATCAAGGTCCCTGGTGGCCAGCACGGTGGTAGCTGGGGATTCAGAGTCAAGGGCACACCCAGCGATGGGAATCCCCACCAACCCACATCGATGATATTCTATTCTACCCTAGAAGGACTCGGTCAGTTGGGTGTTGAGGCCGACGAGACCGAATTCGGCATTGAAGGTGACGTCAAATTTGAAGGCTCCTCCCTGGAACTTGGTGACTTCACCATCGATGTCACAAATGGCCCGAACACCAATATACACCCTCGTTTCGAGCACCAAAGCTCCAAGGATAAGCCATTGGACCGCAGCATCGTGGATAGTCTGATTTTCCCCGAAGAACAACTTTGGCAAGCCAAGGGGATCTTCTTCACTCAATTGAAGGCTCAGGTTGATGAGGCTCTTGAGGAGTATGGGAAAGAGAACATTCCGCCTCCAGCCCAGCTATTCACCGTGCCGCATAAGCCTGGCTACGGCAATGCTCATCTTGTTCAGAAGGTCTTCTCTGGTGAATTTCAGTTCGACGTCTTGTTCTCCTCGGGCTCTGCGCCTAAGCCATTGACCTCGGAAGTTCTCTCTAAGGAGATCAAGGAAGCCTCGGAATCTTTCTCTGAAACCTTCGACCAACTTCTCCCTCCCCAGGCGCCGTTTGATGAGCCGAAGTACTCGAAATTCTCCAAGGCAATGCTGTCTAACCTCATTGGTGGCATCGGCTTCTTCCATGGTGACCAGATCGTGGATCGCTCGGCTAACCCTGCGTATGAGGAGGAGAACGAGGGTTTCTGGCAAGAGACAGAGCAGGCTAGAGCTGCCGCTCAGCCTGCTGTCGAGGGCCCCAAAGATCTTTTCACTTGTGTTCCCTCTCGACCGTTCTTCCCCAGAGGTTTCCTATGGGATGAGGGCTTCCACCTGATGCCCGTAATCGAATACGACACCGACCTTGCGTAAGTTTAATACGGTTGCACTTAGTTTCCCAGAATTTGGCTAACATACTACTCTGACAGGCTTGAGATCATCAAGAGCTGGTTCCACTTGATGGATGAGGATGGATGGATTGCCCGTGAACAGATTCTTGGCCAAGAGGCGCGAAGCAAGGTTCCCCCCGAGTTTACCATACAGTATCCTCACTACGCGAACCCGCCCACCCTGTTCATGGCCCTTGAAGCCTTCATGGATAAGGTGAACAGCAACGTCAACAAGAGCACCGCTCCTGTGACATTGGATAACCAAGATGCGACCGCGAGCTTGCGGTCTGCCACTGTCCGACACCCAGAGTTGTCACAGGCATACCTTCGTTCATTCTACCCGCTCCTGAAGAAGCACTACAACTGGTACAGAAAAACACAGCGTGGTGAAATCTCCTCATATGATCGTGAAGCATTCTCTACCAAGGAGGGATACCGCTGGCGCGGACGCTCGGTACAGCACATTCTCACTTCCGGTATCGATGACTACCCCAGAGCCCAGCCACCGCACCCCGGTGAGCTGCACGTTGATCTGATCAGTTGGATGGGAATGATGACTCGCACTATGCGTCGTATTGCGCAGAACCTCGGCGAGGAAGACGACGTTGAGGAGTTCGCCTACTACGAAACGGCTATCACTCGTAATATTGATGACTTACACTGGGACGAAAAGGCGCAGACCTTCTGTGATGCGACTATCGATGAGTACGAGGAGAGCGTTCACGTTTGCCACAAGGGCTACATCTCCATTTTCCCCTTCCTGACTGGCATGCTGGGTCCCGACAGCCCACGTCTCAAGGCCGTTTTGGACTTGATTGGTGACCCCGAGGAACTGTGGAGCGACTATGGTATCCGCAGTTTGAGCAAGCAGGATGAGTTCTACGAGACCGATGAGAACTATTGGAGAAGCCCTGTTTGGATTAACATTAACTACCTGGTGCTGAAGAACCTCTACGTAAGTTTTCTGCTATCTCATAAATTCCCCATCAATACTAAAGATTTCTTACAGGACACTGCTATCGTTTCTGGTCCCCACCAGAAACAGGCACGCGAGCTGTACAACACCCTGCGCAAGAATCTGGTTGAAAATGTCTTCCGAGAGTGGGAGAAGACCGGATTCGCCTGGGAGCAGTACAACCCCGACTCAGGTAAGGGTCAGCGCACACAGCACTTTACCGGCTGGACCAGTATGGTGGTGAACATGATGTCGATGCCGCAGTTGGCCACACCTGGACAGGAAACCGCTCATGACGAGTTGTAGGTTCAGCAGCGTCATGTGAAAATAGACCCATCACACAGATTATACTGTGCTTGTGATAGTTGTACGACTTCAAATCCATTTGAATCGAGACCTCCAACGCCAAGCTAAATTCAATTCGAATGTATTCCGTAACGTAACTCAATGGCGCCGATCGCGATCATCCCGATCTCTCCTGCGCTCAGGATGTCGCCGACTAAGCGCAGGCGAATAACTCCTCTCCAAGCGTCGACGTCTCTGATGTTCCTCATCTTTCCTACTGGGCCGACTTCTCGAGCGGGAATCCTCACGGCGCCTGTGGTGGTCCCTACCACGGGATCGGGATCGGGATCTATGACGATGACCGCGGTGGCGTTCCCGATCGTCGTGATATTTCCGATGTCTGCGATCCTTATCATGACGATCCTCGCTGTGATCGCGTCTTCGTTCCCGATTCCGCGGGCTTCGACTCCGATGTCTGTGTCTGCGACTCGATCGGTGGTCTTTCTCCTTCGTCCCGGCATCTGGCATCTCTTCTTCTTTGGGTGCTGTCTTGTGTGCGCCTTCGCCGAGAGGAATCATGTTTGCGTTTTCAGATGCTTTCGACGGAACCGGGAGGCCTAAGGCGATGGCCATTGCTTCTTCTTCGGCGTCTTTGACGCGCTGTAATTCTTCTCGTTCTTTGCGGAGTCGTTCCTCCTCATCTTCATCGCCTTTTGCGTACCATGCGAGATCGCGATTCTGCTGCCATCTTCCGACCGGGGCCATCACCGAGTGACCTAGGTAGTTCTCCCGGTGGGCGGAGTCCTTGACGTCGGACCATTTAAACTCATTGCGACCGCCGCTGAGACATAGATTAGTGAAGATCAGCCGTGACGGTATAGATGGTTACTTACCGGCTGCCTTCTTTGCGTACACCAGCAACCAAATCCATAGCGAAGAATGTGAGGGAGAGGAGGTCAGAAAGTCAGAAAGATGGGGGAGTTTAGGCTATTTGGTGCACAGGGCGGTGAGCCGCATCATTTCATCATATGTCGCAGGCACCCCACTGTTGGATAGCAGCTTGACGATGTCTTATTTACCAAAATTGCACTGCCATCTTTCTTATGGCCTCTTCTACTCGGAAATGACAGTAACAACCCCTCTGACCGTTCCCAACATTCACTGCTCAGACCCTAGGAAAAGCCCTTCTGCTATTAAGTACGCATAGCCATATCGGCCATGGCTTCTCCACTCGATGAGGAGATTAGTCCAGAGGACTTTGTAAAAAGAATACAGCAGTATCGCCCCCAAATGCAGGTTCTGAATTTCGAGACAGATCAACAACGAGTACGTATATGTTTGTCCCCACCTCACGTGAGAGTTTTCAACTGACTGATGCTAGTTTCCTCGGTGAGTATCTGTGTCCATGCTTTTTGGGAACACTGCGACTGAATATGTGGAAGAAATGGCGACCATCCCGTACCTGAAACAGCTACCTGGAGGTGTAACCTGGTGAGAATCCCTTTCATAAAAGTCCCCGACCTTTCTTGATTCTGCCACAAAGGCCTTACATTTGAATGCTAACATTTGGATTTTATAGGCGGCTTTATCACAACGTCGAAATGTACTCTTCACAGCTAACGGCGCCAACATCTATGTATGGATTCCGAAGGGATCCGGCCAGTTGCTTGGCTCCCAACCTGAGATGATTATCCACCCAGTTATGAAAGAGCCTGATGCGCAGGGATACCTTGATCCTTCAAAACCCCACACAATCAATCATATTATTGTGGATGATTTGGGAGTTGATGAAGTTTTGCTCTTAGCAACTGACTCTGGCAACGTCACGGGTTACAACGTTGAATCTATTTTCTCGGCAATCAACCGATGTGTGAAATTCCAGCATACTCGACCATTTGATGGAGTGGAAGTGAAACCTTTCTTCGCTGAAAATGTTGATTTGAGTGCCTGGGGCTTGGCTACCCATAAATTCGCTCGTTTGATCGCCGTAAGCTCCAATACGGGTATCATCACAGTCTTTGCTTTCGCCATGGTTGATGAAGCGTCCGAGAATGAAAACATGTCTGATTCATCCGAGTCTTCAGGTGCACCAGATACTAATGAATCAGGAAATATCTGGCTGTCAATTAATTCCCCGGCTCAATTGAACCAGCTGAAAAAGCAAATGCCTAATCACCGGAGACGCAACTTGAGACTCCACTATACCGGGCATAAACACAATATTCCATGCGTTTCATTTGCTAACTTTGATCTGGACCCCAATGGAACGTGGATGGTCAGCACCGATATCTTCAACAGAGTGATAGTATGGAGCATTTGGGATGAGCTAGGCCCTCTGAGGTTGACTGTTTTTGGAGCTCGAGGCAACACCGACGCTCAAAGGGGTTGGTTTGTTTTACCTGTAGACCCACGCAGAGTTCAAAGACATCGCTTCAAGATCGATGCCTGCGGATGTGAGCTAGAGGAGGACGAGATTCATGGTCGGACGATTTTCGACGTATCGGGCATGAATGAACACCTTACGGACTGGTCTCCGATCATGGGTCTCCAAACATCGAAGCCTCCAGTGATCTGCCAGCCTTTGCCCGATGATGTGTTCTCTCCCGACTGTCTGGTTAACCCAAGATCTGCATCCAAATTTTCGAGCGTGGAGCATAATACTCATTCATTCGCTGAACGCTCAACCGGCTATTCTGCCGACGTCAGCTCCAACAGTGATTCAGGTTCATCGGCCTCCGTGGACAGCGAGTCCGACAAAATCGACTCTGGCAACACCGAGGTTCCTGTGGTAACCGTGACACTTTGTGAGAGAGAGTTGGAAGGAAGCTATCCATTTCATCGTAAGCAAGACATGGATTGAAACTATTGAATTTGATTGTTAACCTGTGGCATAGCACATAACCCCCGATTCTTCCCGGTTCTTCACTTCTCTGAACATAATATCACCTTGGCTTCTTACCCACTTGACTACGACCTCAACATTACCGCTCAATCCCCTCTCCGATTTATACGTAGGGAAGGTGGACTTATCCACGATTCCTGTGATCGCATGAACATGATCAAATACATCCCCGAAGCAGGGATCGTTGTAGCCGCTTCCCAGAAAGGTCGAGTCGCCATCATAACCCTCACATGGCAGGAGGAAATCGGCCACTCATTCCGCATTGACTGGATTCTTCCATTCAACTCCCAAGAACCCTACCCCAGAGTGCCCCTCATGGGACTAGCCGTGAGCCCCATGCCTGGATTCGAAATCCCTCCAGACATCCCTTGCATCCCTCGAGATGTCAACCCAAAAGAATGGTTACAATTCGACTACCGTCTCCTCAACCCCGAAATCGACGGATCTTCCGACTCAGCTCCATCCGAAAACAACCTTGACTCAACCTCCATCCCCAACACCAAGTCACCATCTGCTGGCCAGAGTGACCTTGTGTCTTCCATCAACGCCTCGGGACCTCAATCTCGAAAATTCTATCCCACCATGCAACCAAAAGAAGAAGAAGAAGAAGATGATGATGATCCGATCTTCACAATCCCTGAGCTGCACGCGCATGCCTCCAGAGCCTACCAGCCACATGAGGACTGGCATGGGTGGCATCCATCTCGGCATTACCGGCTGCTTCTCCTTTTCTATAACCACTCAGTCATGAGCTATGAGTTCTGGCATGCGTGGCAGAATTGATCTGAACCGGAACCAGCTGATTGGGCTTCCATTTCCATTAAATCATCGAATCCACTTGTGACGGTATTCAAATGTAAATTTCATGTTAGTCATATCATTATTGCAAAATTTCTACTTGAAAAAGGGTTTATATCGCTACATGTATTTTCCACACGAGGTCAAGTTAGATGGCGGCTCTGCCGGGTGTAACGTGATTGGTTCCGCGGATAAACTCAACCATTATTGCTGTCAGCTGCGAGGTAAGCCTGAGGCTTTGAAGTGATGCATCTAGCTGAACCTCGGGAATACTGTTCTCTCGAGTCCATGTGTCTCAGAAGAGGATATGCTCGCGTGACACTGCACTAGCGCCCACGGCTCGGCTCGGACAAAGTGGGGATCCGCTTCTTGGATCTGATATCGATATCCAGAGTAAGTCCTATGCACTTTGTCACTTCAATATTTTGAGTTCAGTCGGTGGGACTCTCCGATGAGTGCTATTCCACGTCACTGGTGACATCATCGCTAACAGCGGCATGCGATTCGATGAAAGGCAACTGTTCCTGGAGTGTCTAGGCATTTTCATATAACCACAGAGATTGGACGGATTCGCAAATCCGACTATCCAAGAGTAAGGGGTATCTTAAATACCTTGCCTAAACCGACGAAACAGTAAGGAATTGACTTTTGGAGCCAGGATTCGACTAACCGGAATAACCAACTTGGACGAGGCCGAATGGGGATCTTTACAGGCCAGTCGAACAACGACGGCCAATCATGCAGTGTGAATGGACACATCAGTATGCGATTCCGAAATTGCGACGCGAAGGAATTTTACATAGCTAAATTTGAAGCACCGGTTTGTCAATGTTAACCATGGCGAGAAAAATTTGTAGGTAGATTTGGAATTATGATATTGGTCTTTTGTTTTCTTTTGTTAATTTAATCATTCTTTCTTCGTGGTTAAGAAAATACATCGATTTTTTTCATAAATATAGTTGCATACTTCACCTGCCTAGATCCTTGTCGTTCAGTTGCATTATGGCCATCTCGGCGGGCCATACTTGAACAAACTCCTGGACTCGCCAGGACCAGTCTTCATCCTACTGGAAATGAAGGGGGTAAGATACGCAAAGGGATTCCCAGAAATCAGGAAACTAACTGGAATTTTCTCAACCGACCAGTACGATGTCAAATGATCGCCCACCTTGATAGTTTGGGCAACTTATATTATCCACGACCATAATGTTCTTCTGCTGAGCATCCCCATGTGTCAATGTTGGCCAGTGACCTTGATAGACGCTAGCGATGTGTATTTCGTAAAAGCGAGCCTTGTAGTCTGCCAGATTATTGCGCTCGACCAAAATTTATTATTACTGACAAGGCCCGCAATGAAGGCAGGTTCGCCGAAGAAAGGCCCTAGTTATCTCCCATCACCAAGTTGGCTATAGTATAGGTAGTGATGTACGCCGCCCCGTCCAGGCCTCCGAAAAAGTCGGACCATGGACACTCGGCCTTTCTGATTGCGTCGAATATTAGTGGGAGTTGGACGATAATGTCATCCTTCTCAGAGTGCGCTAATGATGGGCAAATGGAACCAGCTGCACCCCGGGAAGGCGTTGCATGATTAAGATAAATTGATTGGAATCATAGTACATCGCGTACAGTCGAGGGGCCGGAACTTCTGGTATGTGTCGTTCAAGGTAAAGCAAAGTCTGGCCTTGCCAGGTGTTTTTAGGACCCCCATAGTTTATAACAATATCGTCGTTCAGCGCCACAATATTGGAGGCCATGATATCCCACAGAACATTGGTACAAGCGCGGATTTTATCTGCTGTAGGTAGAAAAGCCAGAGGCTGGGAGTTCTGAAAGGGGACAACTACTGGTTCCCACATCGTGAACAGAGCAAGGGTCGACGGGGGTATCACAGCAGCAACAAATGTATGACTTCCTCTAGATGTATCGCTTCACGTTTTAAGAGTGGGCTTTTTTTCATTCCTTTGCCTGCAAATTTAAGGGACAATCGGTAGATTAAGGTCACGATCGATCTTACGCATAGAAATTTTATCGAGTATACATATATAAAGGCTCATACGGGCTCCTATATTAGTCTACAATAGAAGAACCCGATCAGTTAACTCATGCTATAATTATTATATTAGATAAAACTACCTATGATGTCAAAGCATGAATACGCATAATACACCGTACTTAAGCCTAGCTAAGTAGGTGTGCACCTTTTTGGCCTAGCGGTCACGAAAACAGCGTTTTTTGTCACGTGTATCTATATCCACTCTTTGTATTTATTCTTGTTTTTCCGCACATTTACAATACACCGTCCTGGACCCCTTTTCGTTGTCATTTTTTCTATGCGACATATAACCTAATGACCGAGACTGATGACTAAGAATAAAGAGGTGACTCAGCACCGTCACAATATAAATAGCTTAGCAAAGTCCTCCGAGTAGGCGTTACGTATGAGGGTAGGTTCTACTAAGGCTAGAAAGCTAAGTCGGAAGATCAACACCGATTTCCTGGGGGACTATGAGAGTCCATAGTCTGGTATTGCTATGGAGTTTGGTGTCAAGATTCGTATCTGATTGGTGCGATGGAGGTTCTTCGTTCAAAAAGGCTTGAATTTCATTCTGGTCAAGTTTTTCATCCTTTGAGGCAGCAAACAGTTTCGTGAACACCAGTGGACATTGTTCGGCTATCTCACGTACCATCTGTTCCCCTTCTGAGTCACTTCTGTCGTATGAGCCTTCTGAGTAAAAACGGAGGGTGTGCCGAAAGCATTTTTGGAACAAGAGTGTAAGGTTGCAGATTGGAACACCCTCGATAATGAAGTTTAAGTGAGAGAATAAAATCTGAATTCTCGTTGTCATCTTTGTCTTTCACTGAGGTCTTATATGCATCGACGCTGGTATGCATTGTCGGCGATCAACTTGTTTGCGAGCTTCCGTTTGGTCATTCCGTGGTTGATGACAGTTGGACTCACAATCCAACGTTGTTTGGCGTCCGAAATAGCAACTCAGAACAGACTCAGATTATATATTCTCCCTTTCTTGAAACAAATTCCGTGATACTCAAGATCGCAGATAACCACATTGGACGGCTTTGTTCTACTGGCCATCCTGAGATTCTCGATGGTGCTCAAGGTAGGGAAAACGGCTTTCGGGCCTAGCCAGTTCGAACCTCGATTGCCTTGAGTTCCCACACACTACTTTTGGATAGTCGCAGTGGACGTTGCGTGCCGTTGAGGCTGAAGTGGCAGCAGATGGCTTGCCCCAACACTCCAATATATACCGCAAACAATCATAATCTCCATGAGTTACCCTCCCCCTGGCATCCTAGGAGGTAGTAGGTCTTTCAAACTCGCTGAAAACAAATGTTAACTCATAAACTCGGAGAATACTTGAAAGTTGGGGAGACATACCTTGTACCAAGTCTCGATCTTGGTACCCCCGAGCCTCGATTTAGAGGCGTGTGACTCAGCGCAAGGATGATATGATCGAGCTGCTAATAGCTGAAGTAGGTTCATAACCTCTGAGAGATCATACGATGGCAATGGAACATGAAGAAATGAAAGTGAGGATTGATGAAGGTAGGAGGTGAAGATGACATGTTGACGTAAGCCAAGATGTGGTTATATTGAAATGTAAATGAGCAGTGAGTAAATTTATAGTATATAGTAAGGCATGAGTCAAAAATGATAATATATGGACATCACCATAATAGAACTGTGTCTAACAAAGGGGAGCAATCATGAAAGGGAGGCTAAACGCCAAACAGCATGTGTATCTTTACATATGTATATCTTTACAACGGAATGTATCTATCCAGGACTCCCAGCGGAATCTGTGTAAATGGATAAATAATGAATCCATGAGATCTGCCAAACAAAAAGGTCGCAGATTTTGCTTCTTTTCTTTCTTCTCAATGACTGATAGAAAGACATAGTAGATGCAGAAGGGATGACGACAAAGAACAAAGTCCTACCTAAAAATGTCGACTTTCTAAACAAAATGGCAAAGAGGAAAGAGAAATGAAAGAGAATTAACGAATCTCTTCATCAGGAACATCAATGAGAGAAGATTGATTAATTTTTTCCTTCTTTCTTCTTCGAAAATCAATTCAACTTCTCTTCTTTCTCAAACTTCTCCTACAACCTTGGTCCGATGATCATCGTAAACAGCAGCCGACAAACCTTTAGTTCTCACTATGGGTAAAAAATCAGCAATAGATGGAAAAGGGGTGGTGGATGAGAGAGGAGATGAGGAGTTGGATGGGAATGGCCCTAGTAGGGATGAGGTTGCTTGGAAGCGGAATCAGGGTCTCTTCGACTCATAACAATATAACGGCTAACTATTAGTGATACCGCAGTGTATCGGAAAATCTGCAGAAAGAATGGACGAGGCCTAGAAAAGGCAAAAAGAACAAGTATGTCTGGCGTAAGAAACGAAAAGTAGAAAGCAGACATCGAAAGAATGAAATGGGAAGTCATGGATGAATTCATGTGCATTATACTATTAAATCAAACAGACAAGTAGTCATATACATTGTCTCAACAGAGCCATTCAAAAGTCCTCCAACTCATCACTATCCCACTCATCCTCCCGATCCTCCAACGCAAGCTGCACAAATCGATCAAGACCATTCCACCTCCCACCAAGCCCGAAATCAGCTATCTCGCCATCACCTAAAGGAACTCGACGCACAGGACGTCTGGGCTCGCCTTGTCGCTGATTGGGATGTTCTCCGTGAGGCTGATCATCTCGACGTCGAACTTCATTCATAGCTCTAGCCTGAGCGCGACGCTCCGCAGCAGCCGCACGGGCCGCAGCATGGTCAGGGCGGAAAGCGTGTGGAGGGGCGGGAGCAGGAGGCGGAGGGCCGTGGTGAATTTCGCGCTCGTTATCGAACTCGAAAGCCAAATTATCGTCATCGCTATCTTCCGCGGGGATGATGATGGCTGGGGGCTCGTCGTCGAAGTGAAGGAGTGCATCCGGGATGCGGTGGAGGGCTTCCGCTCCATCAGGGTTGATACCGTCGCCGCCTTCCAGATCCCAGAGGCGGTTGAAGCATTGGCCAGCTGGGTTGTTGAAGTGGGTATATGGGTTGTCTGCTGAGAGCCATGCGGAGCAGAGGTAGCAGAAGTGAGTATCGCATTGGAAACAGCGCATGTGATTGCAACCCATTTGCTTTTGGCAGGGGATATTACAGGTTGGGCAGGGGGTTGTGTATAGACGGAGGTATTCTTCTGTGGCTTTTTCTTCGGCTGTTTGCTCGCCGTCTTCGCGGCGTGGGAAGCAGCGGACTAGTTCGCCGTGCCAGCCTTTTTTGCAAACAGAGCAGAATGCGTAATTGCAGTCTTCGCAAATGGCAACGCGTTCGGCCACGGGAGGAAGCTCGTCATCTTCTTCAGTCAGTGTTGGGGGTTCTTCGGCTGCATCTTCTTCATCATCATCAGACGCATCTGTGTCATCTAACATTGGGTCATCTGGTTTGGGGTGTTTCTTGGATCTGGCTGCTCCCTGGCACCATTGTCGTGGGCAGTAGACGGTTGTTTTATCGGCTTCTATTTTCTTCTTTCGTTTCAAATATGCGTATCGTTGTACCACGTCTGGCGCAAGGGGGATCTGGAGTAGTTCGCTTGGCCCAAGAGTGCGATCGCGCTTTTTGCGGGGTGGAGTCTGCGTTTCCCCTTGGACAGCGGGTGGTCTTTTGTTGACCTCGCAATTCGGCGCCACACACTTCACACTATCTACATCGCCTTCGGAGATGCAGTTATTGTAGAAGTCCTGCAAGCATTGGACGCAGAATACGTGGGAGCAACGAAGTAATCGGTAGCAGACAGTACCCTTCTTGGGCTCGAGACATACACCACATTCAAAGGTCCCTTGTTCAAACTTCTCCCGCTCGGCTTTGATGTTATAGTCGAGAAGTGCGATTTTGAAGTCTCGAGAAAGGCACACTTCGCCGAATGAATTTTGTAAAGAAAAAACCGTTTCCGCCAATTGCTGAAGATGATCTATGTATGTGAAGACAACCAAGTCGTTGCCACATTCTTCCCACAGTCGAGTGCAGTCATCCCGTAGTTGATCGATCACCGAGCGAGGCAGCCAGGAAGGGGAGGTAGTGAGATGAATTATTGGCGATCTTTCGGCGGGATATCCTCCTGGCAATTCTATTTCAAGTTTCAACGGCGGCAAATGCGAAAGTATGTGTACGTCTTTAACCGGCTCGTCAAATTCTCGCTTCGATTCATCTAAGGAGGTCGGTGGGGTGAGAGTAGCGCTCGGTGTGGGATCGTTAGCCTGGAAACAGACTGGAGTCGGCTGTGACGGCGCAACCGGCAATTCTAATATAGCTTTGAACGGAGATGCGGGATCAATTTGAGTTTCCGGGAAGATGGCCACAATGGAGGACAACTCGACAGAGCGGTCGTCGTCGGTGTCTATTTCAGCCATAGTTGCTAGGATGAAATGGTGTCGATGAACAAATCGGGGGAAGATAAGTCGCAATAATTTATCCGGAGTGGCAAGAAATTATAATTGTTTTGAATAGTTGGGGCAATTGACGTCTCCCACAATCGAGTTCAAGCCTTTCTCATTGCTTTTTCAATGTGTAGAGATTAAATGATGAACTCTCGGTGAGAATCAAACAGAAATGAATTATTTCTGCAAGTAAAACACGTTGTGATATCCCAAAGAGTATAGGCTAGTTATAGAGCAAAGGTGATCAATGTGTTGATTCTGCGCGGGGCCAGTGTTCGGGAGAGAGCCGGGAGGGGTCTAAAAGATGATGCAATAGAGAGTCTGGGGTAAATAGCGAGAGCAAGTGCGTCATGGTTCGAGAATATTGCTGAGAACAAAGACCGAGAGAAGGTTGAAAAGGTTGAAAGTGGGATCGAGTCGGATTTGGGATGAAATAATGCGGTGCCCGACAAGTTCCCTTTCCCCCCGCCAGCCTTATCTCTTATCGGTCTCGTGCTTAGTGTACGGCAGTGGCCGCGGATGGCCTCCAGGGCTCATATCCAAGACACGCGCAAATCTTCACAAATACGAAATGACAAATGACAGATATAATAGACAAAGGCGTTGTGATTTTTGACGGTACCTGATAAGAAGAAGAATTGCAAAAAGAATATTGTTTATCAGGTCCTCCCTCCCTTACAAGTTCCATTTTGGGGATATCAGTATGACAGGGTCGAACATCAATCTCAGGTATCAACTATACTTTATTTGAGCGAGGCAAAGTGATTTGATGCTTAATAGCTACCTAGCCCTGGAGGTACGTAAATGCTCATTATATCTTGTTCCAATAAAAGTCATGTATCAATTACTCATCTATACATTTCACCGAGGTCTAGCAAGCTCATCATGCCTTACATTACAGCCTACGGATGTATGTAGACTTAGTAGATTTAGTACCTGGAGCCAAAAGCTAATAAAAAAGGGGGTTAGCCATCTATTAATGGTTGAATGTTCCAGACATTTTTCACACGCAAGCATTTTATCAAGACTTGGACAGGTTAGGAATGGAACCTCACTTTTTCCCTTTATAATTGTCTTCATCTTGCCATGTAGTAGCGGGCTAGGATCTAAGAACACCAGCCCAGCAAGTTCAAACCAATGCTGGGCTTATGAAAATGGTGGTCAATCACCAGTAGATTTCCCAAGGCTGTGTTGATTGTACATGTGTATGTAATTTACTGAAATACGATATAAATTACAGGCTAAACACCCTTGGGTGAATCTCGGGAGAGCTAAACCCGTTCGGGCCGAAACAGGGGCGGGCGGTACGATGTGAAACTATTCTAAACTTCGAATGTTCTTCCAACGTTGGCTTGACGGAGTATTTATGAGAGAGACCCTCGCTGATTTCCTTCGCTCCATATTTTACCCTAAGCTAGATTCATCATGGGAGACACACCGCTCGCCTCGTTGTCCCTCACTCATGTTCACTACGTGAGTCAATCGATCTCGATTATTGTATGCAAACTAATCTTTTCAGAACCCCGATGACCAGCTGTCGTTCATCTCAGCTTGGCTGGCCCTGGTCCCGCAGGCATTAACTGTCTCCTATGTGACCTTGATCTGGTCTACTAGAGAGGTGGAGGTGATCTTGATGTTCGTCGGACAGATGGCCTGTGAAGCTCTGAACTTCGTTCTCAAACGCCTGATCAAGGAAGAGCGACCGCAAAGTAAGTATTCGCACCACCGGATCATCGATCCTAGCTGATACATGGAATAAACAGTGATGTCTGGTAAGGGTTACGGCATGCCATCCTCCCATGCCCAGTACATGACCTTCTTCTCTGTCTACCTTACCTTCTTCCTCCTTTTCCGTCACAGCCAAGCTTCCGCCAGCTCCTACCCCAACGCCGCCGTACTCCTCCGTATACTGGTCATGGTCGCCCTGTGCCTTGGAGCCTTGACCGTCGCTGCCAGCCGCGTCTACCTCAGCTACCATACCCCGAAACAGGTGATCGCCGGCGGTGCAGTTGGATTCGTTTGCGCAGGCGGCTGGTTCTTGATCACGAGCTTGCTCCGTCATACTGGGTGGATTGAATGGGGGCTGGAACTGACTGTTTCCCGCTTGATGAGAGTCCGTGACCTCGTTGTAAGTGAAGATCTGGCTGAATCCGGTTGGCAACGTTGGGAGTCTCAAAGATTGAACCGACGTGGTAGTAAGAAGGAGAAGAAGTCGGAGTAATGATCTAGATCGTCACCAGTTTCAGCATTTTCACCACTTCGCGTATACCAGAATAGAGAGCGACAGTTTTGTATATTTCAGCCCAATTTAATCAGTTGATCCCTAGATTTTGTCTACTCGTAACAGATTGTAAACATATCGAACAGAAAAAACACATGTCGCGCACGTGACCGCATCCCAACACCGCAATTCCAACTCAACCTCGTCCCCGCGATCAGGTGAGCTCACAATTCATATTTTTCTTTGATCTCATTTGATCGAGTTGATTTAAATTGCTACATTCTTTTTCTTCACTCGTTTACCTGATGTTCGGAGCATCGCTGCTCCGCTGATCCACTTTCTGCCAGGTACCCAGGAACACACATCAAGAACTCCAAAGATGGAGATCTCAGCAGAGACACCTGATGCCATCGAGGAACATCATATCGTCAAGGCTGACGAAGTTGACCAAACTGGTGCAGACATCTCGCCAGTTTCAGACGACCAACTGATGGAGGAGGTAGCTGAGGGGCTCCGCCAGGAACAAGCCCAGACTGCCGCCCCTGAGACGGTACCTGCAAAGTCCCTGAAGCGCCCAGAGCTACGACGCGAGAATTCTGCGCCTCCCCCGCCTATGCAACCGCCTCCTCCAGCGCCAGTGGTTACTGATCGATCTTCAGACTCGCTTAGCTTAGCTCAGCTGCGGAAGCTTGTCGGCGAATTGCCGAAAATCGAGCAGCCGGCGTATGCTTTTGAATATGCTGACGCACAACCTTTTCCTGATGAACTGGAAGAGTGGTTTCAGTATAATGACTTCGATCGTGTCATGCTGATGGGCACTAAGTCGACTTTTAATCAGAAATGGCTTGCTTTTTGTTTGCAACGCCTGCCAGATACACCCGAAGTGCCTTGGCTTGACGCTTCTGAGGATGTGCGCCGTGAGTTTGTCTTGAAGATGCTGGCAGATCTGCAACTTCCCGAGACTACAGTGAGACTTGAGGCCCTTGAAAGTATTTGCTACGTCGTTACTGGTGTGTGGGGTCTTACAGGTGGCAGAGTGGCCACAGATTATCACTCAGATGGAGATCAGCCATCGGCTGAAACGCCTCTTCTCAAGTCCATGCAGATTCACTACATCGAGGAGAACGTCTCGCTTGTTCAAGAGTGCTCAGGATTGACCGTTTTGGTCGAGTACATGTGCCGTCTTTTCGACAAGACTCGCTCAGCATTGGGATCAGAAACCAACGGCATGGAGTATGAGCGCTTGAACCCTGGTGATATTGCCGCTCCCGAGCGGGAGGCAAACTTGGTTCTCACAACATTGTATTTCGCCGTTGAGGTTGGCCGCAGACAAGAGGCGTCCAACCCCCAATGTACGCCGATTCGCGATGTATTTTCCTACTCTGATCCAAGTCTGCTGGTGACTATTGTTGAAATCATCGCCCGACTACGTTGGGACGAATCTGCCAATATTCCCCTTACCAGGATCCTTCTCTTGCTGTGGAAGTCTTTGTTGCTTGTTTTCGGCGGGACCAACGATTTGAAACGCGCAAAGGAAGTACTGGAACCTGCTCTTTCCGCCGAGAAGGATGAGTCCAATCGCAGGACTCCTTTCCTGCATGCCTCCCCGCTGGACTACCATATGTTCCGCCAAGAAATTACATCCAAATACCCAGCCTATAACCCTCCACCCCTCATTGTTCCCCTCGAGCTGGAGAACAATTCGATCCTCCCGCCACTTCCGCACAACGCAGTCAAAATGAACCCATCCAGCGGTATTTTCTGTGGTGTTGGTCCATCAGTGTCCGGTGGAAATGGCTCTATCCTCCAACAAGCTGTACACATCGCAACCCCAGCGCCATCACCACCTCCCTCACCCATTGGTCCCGGAGGAAAGGCCGGAAAGAAACAAAATTATCAGACTAATCAGAATTTCCCCTTTATGTACCCGCCTCTTGATGACTCTAGCAATCGCATTGGCGGGAAAGGTACAACGGAACGCCAAGACACCCTCGTTGGCAAGCGATGGGAGGGTGGCGATGTGCCTGCGTCGATCGTGGAGGCCGGAAAGCTCTTTTCTACCCATGTTAAGATGACAAGAGCCATGCGCCAGCTTTGGCAGGAGCGTGAACACTTTATGAAATATGACCGTGGTTGGAATTCGGAAGAAGCAGCCCATTTCCCTGATAATATGTCGGATGATCTGCCTGATGATTTCGAGTACTTGGACTTGTCGGGTGATGAGGAGAAGCCCGAGCCGAAGCCCAAATCCGTGGAGAAGGAAACTGATGATCCTGATGTTCAACGTCGACTGGAAGCGGTTGATTCTTTCTACGTGAGCATGGTTTTGGTGATCCGTTTGACAATGGCTAATTTTTCTATAGACACATACCCTGTCGCATCTCCAGTCTATCACGATCGTTTTCTTGAAGATTATTCTGACCAATGTCAGTTCGGTGGTTAGCCAGGCTGGAAGCCAGAATAGCCAAGGCATGAGGTCGGTTCACATCGCTGGCACCTTGATGTGTTTAGTACTAATTTTCTTTATCCAGTAACGGGATGAACACATCACAAAACCTTCTGTCTGATGCATGCATTGACGAACTTGACAATATTCGGCTACGTGAAATCACTGGCAAAGCTGTGTCTGGGACTCTGCTGCTTCTGCTCAAATGGTTCAAGCGGTCTCGTGAGTGACTACGATCCCTATTCTACGCCATGATGCTAACATGTTGAAGATATCCTGAAATTCGAATACATGACACAGCTCTTGCTTGACTCCAATTACCTTCCATTAATCCTGAAAATGTTCGCTCACCAAGATGTCGACCAGGCTGTTGCTCAGAAAAATGACCGCGAAGACCTGTCGTATGTGATGGAATAACATCCTCTAAATATTCAACCACTAACAAGAAATAGCTTCTTCCACTTCTGCCAGAGCAACACAGACCACCCTCTCGATACGGACGACCACTCAGGTGGAGACACCGAAAGCGAAGACGAAGCAATGCCACCCCCAATCTCCCGCCACCGCCCCGACCCAACAGCCAATGGCAGCGCCTTAGGTCTATCAGAAGAAGAGCATCTCAGCGACCTCATGAACAGGCCCGCAAGACCCGAAGTCGACGAATTAGGATACCCAACGGCACCACCCCCCAAAGAACCGATCAAAATCTTCTCCTTCCGCAACTTCTTCTCAGCAATCAACTACCTGCACGTGATGCAAAAGATTACCCGCGACAAAGCGCATCGCTGCCTCCTCCTCGTCCAATATAAATCAAGCAACATCCTCCGCAAGGGTCTGAAAATCCCAGACCCGCACCTCCGCTTCTATACACTAAAACTTTTCAAATCGCAAGTCCCATACTGCGGCCGCAAATGGCGCCAGAGCAACATGCGCGTGATAACAGCTATATACCTCTACTGCCGCCCCGAGCTGAGAGACGACTGGCTCGCCGGCTCAGATGTGGACGCGGAGGTCGAAGAAGCGCTCCCGCTTGAGCAAGCGCTGCGTGGTCTTACGCACTGGTGGCACTTGAGGCAGTACAAGGAGGTCATGGGTGGGAATGAGAGGAAGGAAATGATGGAAGAAGAGAGGGATTTCTTTGTTAGAGAGCTCGAGTCTATGGGGTGGGGCGCTGAGGAGTTCTACGAAGAGCAGGAGGCGCAGATTTCGACTGGCACTGAGTGGGAGGGTGTGCCGTTGCCTATGGAGGGTTGGTCGTGAGTTTTGATGGTTAATTATGGTTATGAGAAATGAAAATGATTCCAGATACCCTACACTAGTCCCTTTGTCTGCTTTGTGTGCCCTGTTGGGCATTTTGCATAGTATCATGCCTATTCACAGTAAGCATATAGCATCCCTGCAGGAGTCTGCATACAAGCCGTGGGCTCGCCAGACACTCTCCGAACCAAGATCCAGATTGCTCAAGTCACAATCAGTTCTGCCGTGCTTTGAGGTATCTCTCGATAAACTGCATAGCATTGAAGTGGGTTCGAGAAAGGTTCTTGATTTCGAAGTGGTGACGGAAAGGGAGCATCGTGTGGAACGAAGACGAGATAAAAGGATAATTATCCCTGCTGCATGGTCAACAGTCTGCTGTAGCATCTCTGGTTCAGTAAGTTCGTGCGCGACCTCATGGCTTCAACGTCTTACCACGTCGTAGCGAGGAAAGCAAATGTGATATATGGTGGTTAATGCTGTTATAAGGGAGTCTACGCGCGAGATTGTCGAAAAGATCAAGAGAGCAAGGCTTTTTGGAAGACCAAGCCTCCACAGTTCAATACTTGAGACACGCGAACCCTGACGTCTGTCCCCGATTCAATTCTCAACCCCACACATAATGCAAATACTTTATTTGGATATGTAGCCTTAGCAATGGACGACAGCGACTTTGACTTTGACGATATTGTCATGAGCTCGAAAGCTTACCGGCGAGCTATGGTGATGGCTGCAGAGGCGATTTCCGGTAAAGGCCAGGCTACCCTAGATATAGCATCGAAATCTAAGGCAAGCAGCATCCGAAGTGATGGAATTAGTCAGAATAAAAAAAGCCAGACATGATTATAATGAGGATGCATCATCCTCGACATTGATCGCTGTCGAGAACCTTGCGCTAGCAAGTTCTGAGGATGAGGCCGCAGGCTTATAGCAGCGTTTGCTTGCTTGCGCATTCGCATGTTTCCTTATCCATTATTTGTCCCGCCTCCATAGCTATCGATAGCAAGCTTTTTTCCTCGGAAATCTCAGAATATCATACCATTCTGCATCACTATTCCACCAACATAGTGAGTCCACATCAATTCGTATTCCTCGATATTGTTTCCAACGTGTGGAATGATTGGATCACATCGATACATCCAAACAATTAGTGTCTTGGCATCTGCACATAGCCACCCTATTCAAGATACTAAAAAACCACGCACCCTTTCTTCTTTTCCAAAACGGCCTTCCATCCCTATCCTTCCGATCCCTTGATAGGCAATATCAATCCAATGCTCAGCTTGAAGTTGCTGCTCATATTCTGAGAAACAAAATGGGGACTATGTATGTTCGCGCCGCTGACACTAGAGGAGGCGGAGCAATCTACCCTAACGCTAGCGCCTAGTAGCCTCATGCATAATGAACACATCGGTATGGCTTTTCAATCAACAACTACTGTATCAATCCTGATGAGACTAGCTCTGGGGCGAAGAGGCTCCAATTACATTTATTAACTGGTCGGCTCAGGCCGCTCTGCTATGCGTCTCTTAGGCTTCTGCATTCTCGACAATTCTATGGGCGCGTAATCAAACAGTAGTGTCAAAATGCTATTTCAGGATTCTTCTCATTAATCAGGAGTTTGAAAAGGGGCTAGTTTTCAAACTTAATAGCTATATAAGTCTCCTTTGAACCTTAATCACACTGATCAATAAGTTTATATAAACCATGAACGATACCATCCCTACCCCTCGTGGCTGGGTTAACGAACCCGACGGGCGAGGAACGTGGAGTATTTTATCCACTTGCGTTCTCACAATAATTCTCTGTTGCTGGACATCTGTGGCTCCAAACTTGCCTGCTGAATCCGACGGCGGGTTCAGAAGATGGAGATACAAATTCGATCTTGCTTGTATCACGCTACTCGGATCTGAATTCATATTAATGCTATCTCTGGGCCAATGGTCATCTGCACGTTGCTCTGTTAAAGTACGTACTTAAGTTACTTCTAGGTGATTTTGAAGCTAACAGAGCAGAATTTCCACGAGGCTGGATATAAGGATTGGACCATCAAGCATGCTTTCTTCGCCGATATGGGGGGCTTTTTGATCAAGCCCCTAGAGGCCGACTTACCTTCATTCCCTTTGGATGCGAAGCAGCTCTATATCCTTGTTAAGGATAAATATCTCGAATATCCGAATTTGAACGAAGAGGAAATCGAAGATAGGAATAAATCAGGTAAACTGGCTAGGTCAGTGCATGGTTACCTAACCTCTTTATCTTCCCTTCTAGTTATGCATTATTCTTACCTAGGTAGATTGTTCACACTAGCGCAAGCCATCTGGTTTACTCTGAACTGCATATTTCGTTTTGCTCAGGGTATTTTTGTTACCACTCTTGAGCTCACCACTCTTTCCTTTATTCTAGCCTTCCTAATAATGTCATACTGCTGGTATCATAAGCCTATGGATGTCAACAGGCCGATCACTTTGCAGCTCACTACCTCCGTGGCTGCGATTCGAGAAAATCATCAAGTCTCCGGATTGAAGTGGTATGAAACACCATTTGACTACCTCTCGCGAGACCAGGGATTTCTTGCTCGATTTTGGAGATATTACATTCGAATTCTTCACCACATGCATATACCAATGGCAACTCAACCTAAGCGACGACCATATGATCGCATTCCGAGTCACTATTTTCTAAATACTGATAGCCGGGCCGAGATAATCGCCGCCCCGACAATTGTTTTGTTTAGCGCTATGTTTCTCATTGCGTGGAATTCTCATTTTCCTACCGCAACAGAGAAACTACTTTGGCGTATTGCTAGTGTGAATACCCTAGCCTATGCGTTGATTGGAAGCCCCCTTTCTGCATACTTTCAGAGAACCATGTTCCGAGCAGAGCTGAGACAACAAAAGGCACAAGCTATGTTGGACCGCACACGAGAACCCAAAAGATGGATCGATCGTTTTGCTGCAAAGCTTAGGAATATTGACCCTGAGCAGGATCCTGACTTAGAAATTCCTCTTCGGGCCTTGATTCCAGTTTCTTTTCTGTGTGCTACATATTGCGTGGGTCGAGGGTTTATTTTGACGGAGGACTTGATTGGATTGAGAAGCTTGCCGGAGAGTGCTTTTCAGACGGTTTCATGGTCGAAATACGTACCTCATTTGTAGTCCTAAGTCATTTCTAATATACTTTGCCCAAGTACGGCGCTTCAGTAAGTTGACTTTTTGATTACGCATCTTAGAAACAATATATTATGTCGGCTGTCTAATAATATGGAGAATTGCCTTAAATGGCCCTGTGGTAGCTTTTATTGCGCTACTATCTTAAATAGATTTACCTCAAGTAGGTAATTACGTAAAATGGCGTGAGTGTACTGCGCAACAAAATGTGGACTTCCTACGTAACGAAATATAAATATCCCCATTCAACGCTACGGCATGAGCGATAGATAGATATATTTGTCTTTTCAGACCAGGGATATCTTTTCCTGCGTAAAATCTACTCTGGTGACGATATGCCCAGTAAGTCAAGCGCGATATGTTTATCAATTTCCCCCTTTCTTTGATCAACAAGAATGCACGGCCGGGACTTTCCCCAAAAGTGCACGACTCCAGTGGACAAGCGACTACTCTTTCATCGAATAGCTCATCCCCAGGCCGAAATAACACTGAGGTTTCGCTTGATTTAATGATAGATGATGGATAATAGTTCGGATGCCTTACCAGCGCAATCTTCTTCGCATGGCCTTCCCCTTCAACGTTTCATCATAGTTTACTACCCATTGGACTGAGCGCGGACTATCACTACGACTGTACACACGGGCGTGCAGTGGAAACTCCTAGCAAAGTTAATTTGGTTCGTTGGACCCCTGAGGAATGATTATTCGCGGCCACAGAGGTAATCTGAGTGTCCGTGTAGCAACATTCCGATTATCACAATGATACTGTGCTACGATCATTAGGCTGAAAGCAGGGACAATATCTGGCTTGGTTGTATCGAGATTAGCCTAGAAATCCCAAATTGGAATGTCACTTTTTCGAAATCCGATTCGTCGGATTCTAACTGCCAATCAAAAATTTGGACAAGCCCTGCCGTAGTTTGTTTATGCCGGTTGCTTACCAACCTAATATAAAGGGATCCATCCTGCTGAGCGGTGAGCAGGTGTTCTAGCTAGATAGCTTTCATGTTGATTGATCTCAAGATCTGCATCGTCTTTAGATTCCCTGCTTCTGAAAAACGATTTGGAAGCTTAGACAAGATCGATATCTGTCCCCTGGCTCCAATAACTATTATTCTCGGTATGATCTTACTGTTAAATGGCTTTTCGATTTTGCCGTATCGTTTCGAGCGCACAGGCGCTGTAGTAGGGCGTCTGTGCGTGTGCTAGTGCGGACGCGGGTTGCGCCTTGACGGACCGCGTTCCAGAGTTTGCGGATCTACACATGTCTTCGGCTCGAGAATTTTACTAGTTTAGCGTACTAAGACACAGAGATCCATATTCAGGGGCAACACAAGTTGAAGGAAGGTAGCTTCAATACAAATATCATAAGTCAACCTCTGCCTGAAACCAATATACCACCACGCTAGTCTACCCGCTAGGTCCTCTGATTCTCAGCCAAACACAAGATAGTAGATGAAGTAAGGTAATGAGTAATCTTACCAGTTATTCAGGTGGTTCAATCCTCCGCTCGCTCAGAAATAAGTCACCGAGAGAAACTTTGATCTGGTTCTCTAGCTTTTTCTTCATCTAAAATGTTTGTCAACTTCCCTTCCATATCATAATCGAGCTGAACTGAACTGTGTCTACCTCTAATCTTCTGGATTAGAACATCGGTGCTTTTCAGCATCTGCTCCCATAGAAGCTGGTATTCCTCGACTTTGTTAAGTGGCTTGAAGTCCTTCTTTTCCGGTTGCGCATCTTTGGGTTGGGCCTTATCCATCATTAGGTTTGAGGTGGAGATTATGGATTGTGCGATGATATGTTTATGTGCGAACAGTAGTATCCATAGCAAGTACGCAACTGAGGAGAATGTAATATATCGGGATTTGCCAAGACACGCACGAGTTCGGCATCACGGCACCCTCTCCCAGTGGCGTAAGTCCTGATCCGTCCTCTTTGCACCAGCCATAGATGTTTCCAATAAATTTCACCGCGAGTGTCGAATGACCAACGTAAATCGAGCGGATATACTACTAAATGTTACCTGTCAATGAAGCGACTCTTATTATCTGCGACCATACGAAACATTATACTAGAGCTTGGAAATGTAGTAAACGCTTCTTTAAGTGGTCTTCATGGCCTATCTGGAAACAAACAATCATGTTACCTGAACACACACTCGTCCCCAGCTAGCCTAGGCAAACAGACCTCATGATCGCGCGTCGCAGCTGAGAAGCAATCGGAATTGAGGGACCCTAAACCAAGCAAGGAGAAAGCACGGAAAAAAAAAGAATACTATTTATGATAATCGTCCATTTGGAAGGCAGATCGAATTGCCAACCTGGTTGACCATACAAGGTACATCTCAAAAAGTAGGACGATGTATCTAAATCAAGTTTTGATCAAATGCGCGGCTTTGAATCAAGTTAGATCTCTTCCAGGCTCTCTATCTTGTGATTCGCAGATAATGACTAGGCGAAAGGTCGATCGAAATTAGCCGTGCGATAAATAGTGAGCCTCAAACAGAAAGTTGATTGGTTGGAACAATCAGCCGGCCATTCATCCCCCGATACCATTGGCTAGTGGGAATTATTACGCCTTCGTGGCTTATGTACCTGCTAGGCTTTCCTCGCCAACATTCTTGGTGGCTTTCAGCTACTATCAACATGACTCGCTCGCAGCCTAATCCATGTCAGCTTTTTCACCGCATACCATGGATTGTGACCACTTTCGGACTAAGTTCAGCAGATTTATCTAATCGAGTAGACGGAAGATTCAGCTGCTATTTCATACTGGGCGTTGTGACAAAGCTGGTGCAGACTAGGAATCAAAACCGCATCATCGGAAATAATTCCTTCACAGCGGTTAGCAATGACCAATTTGATTTCCAATCATTTGAACCTCATATTGTGTTAATTCTTTTGTGCTCCCTAATAGATAGCAGAACAGTTCATCTGTTCCTCCGAATCACAGCAGCCTATAGCTATCTAGCGTATACATCTCACGGTCTCTTTATTCTCTGACACTCTAGGCTTCTTACTGTTGAAGACAAGACTAGCTATCAATCGGAAACCGTCCTTTGCTGCGACCTTAGATACTGCATCAAGCTACAACGCCGAGCTACAAGATCTACGGCCGGACTCTATGTAGGCGATCGTGAGTTAGATCTTTCTAATACTACCTACACCACTAAGGACAAGATGCCGTTGCTTCTGAGCTTTGTGATTAGGGTGTGGAATTTTGGTGATCTCACCAAGCTCGTAGCTACAACAGACGAAGAGTTGAGAGGTGATGTAGGGCGCTTCACCGCGTAAGATGCTAACGGAGCCCCGAAAGCTAAAACCATCCTTTTGCTTGAAGGTCAGTACCAATAATGGTTAGTTGAGATTTTTTGTGGCTTTGATTAACTTTAAACTTATTAAAAACACGGAGACTGTAAAGAACATGGCAGATGTATATTGGAGATAAAAACCAGCAATAAGAAATAAATTTGAAGTTTTAGGAAAATGCCTATCAGCTCGGCTTCATGATCCGCAAGAAGCAACTGCGTTGTACGATGCTCAGCTGTCCTTTGCCAATGGCCAGCGGTGTGCAAGTGCGATAGGACTAGTCAAAGCATCTTAACCCCTTTTTGCTTTTTGCGTCGTCTATATTCCCCAGTAATGCGGATGAAGCCAGACAGACATGTTGCATCGATCTAATTGGCAAATGTTCAATCGGCCACAGAGAACGGAATCGATTTAGCATAACGCGTATACTGTGGCATTCGGATACCCGGAGGTTCTCGAACCGCGATTCGCTGGGCCCGGGGTCTGAATAGACAAACTCAGAAAAGCAAGCAAGGGTGTTGTAATATCGCATACTTCATGACGATGTTGTTAACAACAAGGAAGATAGAGCTTTTCTCACTGCATACCGAGGACACTGGACGATGGGATGTTTATATTCGGTGCGCGTGATCAACATGGCGACTGGAATCGCTTGGTCCACCAAACGATAGTCGACCCATCCGACTCGTCTCCTGTGAAGCGAATGGCGTTCAGAGATGTGCGAGCACATAAGGCAAACTTTTGTGACCAAAATCTAATGTAGGATCTGTCTGGGTAGTGCTTTGATGCGGTGACTGAGGATGACACACGATGTTTACAACATTCATCGACGATCTGGTTGTGAGTGAAGAGACGGTGGATTCGGTCACACGGCGGGCACCAACGATGTCTAGGCTCCCCTGAAGGGTCTTAGTCTAAAGGGAAATCTGTCGTCTGAACAATTTGATCGCGGCCGCCTGCTTGAACTCATTTATCGTTGCTGAATAGCTATGGAGAGATAGCCTGATAAAGTGATTCGATGAGAGGAAGGAAGCTATCTCAGACTAATACATGTGGCTGCGCTCTGATAAGCTGATAAGGATAGTGGTGGCCTATGGCGGCCTAAGGCCACTATAACACTCTTCTAGATGATCGAGCTCAGGACATCAAAGATGTCTTAAGTTCTGTTTCTTATGCAAGTTTGGTCTTGTAAAAGAATTCAAAAGCCATTTGAGCCTCAGTAAGCGTATTCCTTAGAATGCCGATCTCGCTGTTGATACGACTTAAACATAGGTCTTCGTCGTACTCTGCGGCGGAGCCGTCTTCGTTCCTCTTTGAGCCGTAGTGTTCAATCTTTTCGCAGCATTGTCGAACCTTGCGCAAGCCATACGCACTTGCGGAGCCTTTGAGAAATCTTGCGAGAAAAGACAGCTTTGGTAGGTCTCTTTGTACACTGAAAGCAGTGAAAATCACTAGGTCAGCGGAAATCCTGATAGTGAACTATTTGTTTGCTACCAGAGCAATCATTGAGATGGGATAGAGTAACATAGAAAGGGGAGACTTGCAGGGCGTTTTCCATATCTGGAAGAGTATTTTTGCCTTGGTCAAAGAATTCCAAGACCATCGACAAACTGAATTGGCACTCTCCCTCATCATCCATTGCCAAAACCTGAGAGAAGGTACTCATGTCCACGGCCTGCTTGAATTTGATCTCGTCAAACTCATTATCCGCCATAATCTTTCGCCTAGTTGCTAGACGACAATGTGCACTCGGACGTGGAGGAGTTCCAGGCCTCTTGTTTTTCGGTGGGAGGTAAGATGCTGGGTCAGATACTTCACAGCGTATTTGGGGCAGTGTTGCTATAAAGAATACAGATATTAGCCCGAAAAGCAGAATTACGGTGCTTTAGTAGAGTGGGGACGAGAGACGAGTTTGCCAAAAAGAATCCGTTTCGAAACCCCTATTTTATACATCACATGCGAGCAAATCTTCAGCCTACGCTCTCTTGATGATTGGTGCATCTACGGAGGGTTACAACTTAATTTTACTTCATCGCCTGGGATGAGACAGCAGAATCTTATTAACTTTGAAATCCGGGCTTTATTATTCAAACCACCCAATTGTTATGTCTCGCCTTCCAGGTTGAGGCTGAAGGAACCCATTAATTAGGGTCCAATGTACTGTTTTCTAGGCTTCCGTCTATCGAAGTGCCTCGACTGAGGCTCAAGCAAATTGGATCCTACGAGCTGATTCAACATTATGTCCATTGATCTATGCGCGATCAAGATTTCACGGAGGATGTTCAAAAGGCATACACATTGCGTATGGCCACCATGCTACTTTCCAAATTCTGTATGAAGCCAAGACCCCACCGTATTTTGGCGCTGTGGAAAAGCGGTTCCTCGCTGTTTAACTGGTCTATCGTGTAAGAACATATTGTTCCAGGATCCAATAATTGCGACGCACGGGCCTCGCTATCTAGTAATGCACTCTCTCCCCCGAGATTCCGAGGTAGGTTCACATTGCTTCCTTGCAAGGAGTGATCATTAAGCTCCGGGTTGATCTAATTCTTTGTACTGCTGTGTTGATAGCTTTGTCTCACACCGAAGCCTCCTTAGAGACAAAGAAACCCCAGCCGCCCAATTATACAAGAGATCTTGTACAGTAACAAAATACATACAATAAGAAAGAATGTAGGTGCGAGAAGAGCCCAATGAGAACAGACATATACTCGAATACGATGTAGCAAAAGCCCCCAAAATCAAATTTCAAACACACTATAGCAATATCAGGAAGTGCCCAATGACCAGACATGGAACATAATTCCTATACATAAGGCAACATCCTTGGTGGACACCGATGCGGCTGGGCTTTTGGTAACCCCATTCTCTCACTGTGTTCGTTCCAGGGCATTCGCTGGGATGAAGCAGTCACACTTTTTGACAATTACCAAGCATATTTAAAGATCAAGACTAGTCACACATGTCAGATCCGCATTCTGGGAACTAACGATTCATCTTTTCCTATGCGAGATAGGTGGGCCACAACAATTATAAGTCCAGTCAAATACTCTTGAATCGCTCTTGTTGAATTTCCAAGACCGACTTTGTCCGCACATTTGTTTTCTTCGGTTAACCCGGGGTCGGTGAAGTTCTTCCTATCATCTGATTTCCAAGGTATGACAGACTACAAAATCTTTGATCGTTATTTCCGCCTGCCTTAAGATTGACCTAGATCTAGTCTCAAACTAAAATTTAGGGAAAATTTACAGCACAATAAGCATTTCAGAGCATGAAAAGCAGCAGTTTTTTTTTATAAATCCTTTTCTCTCAGTCCACTGTGTAGGTAATCAACACCTCTTCATTGAAAAAGGCCCATTTAATCGTGGAGAATCGGCTCCACAATCTCTGCCGTAATATTCCAGCTTGTGTTTCGTTCATTAGGATTGGGTAAGTATCTTTGGGGGAAGGAGTTTCTCGAGTCTTATTCCACTTGTGCACGGAGCAAAATGAGCTGGACATGATTTCTCATTTTTTTTTGAAGACTTTTCTCTCACTATTACCGTCCACTTATTCCGTGGAAAATTAGGCAACGACGATAAATTTGTGGGTGGATAACTATTCGCAAATAAGGCGGGCCCAGCACTTTAACTGATTAGAAGTCACTCCGCATTCAATTTCTCCGAGTATGCTGAGGATGATCCGAATCCACGATTTATTGGATTCGAATCCGTTCATCGGAAATATCCTTCGTGAGGACTTGTTCGGTCTTAACAACACCTACGATATGTGGCCAGATGCCTTGCGCTGTGATGAGACAGACTACATAGCGTATATAAAGCGAGGCAGGCTTCATAAACGTCGTCATATTTCACTTTGGTCGCATATACTTGGACAAGTATGGGCAATTAGTGCCTTTCAGACTGCTTGGTATGACAACCCAAGAAGGTGATCATATAGAGATTGGAGACATTGCCATTAGGGCTAGGGGGGGGGGGGGGGGGGGGGCAGCTCGTACATTGCCTTTAAGGACTTCAGAAGGCCATCTAGAGCGACTTCACCCTGGATCTCCGATTGGAGTATCACAAAGCAATGAGTTTATTTTGCCTTCGTGGCTTGGGGATTGTTCTTCTGACTGCTGTGGTTTTGGATTTAAATTCGGGAGTTGGAGCCGTTCGCATATATGAGGATATTTCAAATTATTGTATCAAACGCACTGCCGAACGGTGCTGACGAATGTTGAGACCAACATTGAGAGGCATGGATATCAGATACATCGATACCTTGATGATTTGGGAAATACTTATCCAAACCTGATGTCATGATATACTTGGACTAATTTCCCCAAGAACTTGTTATCTACCCAAGAGAATTCCTATCGTACTCTGAGATGGCAAGCTATACTTTCCCTGCAGTGGTAGATGATTGGAGATCTTTTAAGATACCCCTTAGGACAGTGGGCGTTTGCTGTGGAATTTGCAGCAGAGCCATTGATGGGTACAATTGACATTGAGTTGAATATGTCTCACAAAAAGCCAGGGAACATCCGCGTCCAATATGGTCTAATCGAACGCGGTAACCAGGTGATACCTTCGCAGTTAGCTGGATCTATGATATAGATCAATAATCACACTTGTACCTCAATCCAGAATATAATTGTTTATGAGCCACTTCTCAAAAGAAGACTTTGGATTGACACGAGTGATCAGTGAACCAGACACCAGAAACCAGACACCAGACGACACAATTTTGGCTTCGGACAAGTCTCGCTCCAACATAGAGGAAGTCAAAGCAGGCCATCAGCTCAAGGGCAAGGCTAATAAGAGGCTGAAGTAAGATTGATGAGTAATGTTTCACTACGATACTCTCGTAGAAGATGACGCCGTCAGAACTAGCATCCCTCATTTTTCCCATCTCATGAGCTTTACTCTGGACCGAGGAGCCCGGACTTAACCGGCTGCTTGCATGGTGGCGTTGGGACGCTGAAAATCTGCCCCTTAGCAATCTTCGGTCGTCCGCGCCCGAGGTTGTGCGTAAGTGATCGACGAAGAAAGGGAATTAAAGATACAAAAAACATCGGTAAAAGGTTGCATCCTGCTAAAATCGACTGTTGTGGCCATTCTTCTTTTGCTTGTAACCCTGTGGCACCGTTACTGAGACTGTTATTTTGAACGCAACTGATCCTGCGGGTCAGTGCAACCGTACTTTTGTCATATCTAGTAGGTTCTTAACCTTTCTGTGCATCCTCTATATCTCCCAAGTGGCTATTTCGGGGAGTAGATCGCCGTCCCTGTCCCCGTCCCGAAAGGGAATAATTGACGAAATATTACTTTGCAGGTCAGGGTCAAAATCACTTTTCTTCTTTTCGAGTCTTCGGGCAAGGGTGTGAAGAATGCAACACCATCGTTTCCTACATCCTGTTTGATTCCCCGTCGGTTCTGAATTCCTGCGTCTTCTAACTACTGGAGGTATTTGATATCAAAATTAGTAAATGACCGACTGCAAACTGCGGATCTTGCAAAATATTGCGGTCATCGGACGACCCTGTATTAAGGTCTGACAGGAGAGTTTGTACCATCGCGTCTCTATAAATAGACACACGACCCGGGGTAGTGGAGTACCGGAGAAATCATTTTATGATACCCTAGAACCTTTAGAACTGGATGTATTGTCTGCCATGGGAAAGCGAAAGCGAGGCAAATATGCAAGGGGGTATTTTTCTCGAAAAGTACATTGTTTAGCACGCCAGTCCGTTTGAAACTGTTATCAGTTTTCGCCTTGCCCATATCCCACTGGACAACTCCAAGAAACTCATCGATATAGTTAGCTGGCGGTCATATCAGGCTCGAAGATATTAGGCTGAGATCCTCGAGAGACAGATGACATGAGCCCGTATTTGTGCTCCAAGGTCACGAGTTTCCGGCACGTCATTGCTAACGCTATACTGAATTACACTGATTCCAACGATAGGACAGTCTTGAAAAGAAAGAAACAGTCATATGATTGGAAGTGCATATACCCATTTTATTATTGGGGAATAACCTAACGCGGGATTCCTAAAGTGTGGGCAAGGACTTGGAAGGTGAGCGGAGCAAACTAGTCACTCACTTCACTACTATACTGCCGACGTGCGGCTTAAGTACCACTGAGCGGATGGGAAGCCCTGTTTCACACACCTTATAATCGTATCTGTTCTGAATGAATAAACCCAGATCCTTCGGGCGCATAATTGCGAATTGAATGTACGGCATCCCGTGCCCAGGCAGTTAATGGACACCCAGGTAATTGCGGAGCTAACAACGCGTCTTGTCGTGCGAGCGAGCACAAATAATTAATACTATGATATATCTTAGCTATCTCATTAAAAGTATCAATGCATGGCGCTGAGGGGACCGTCAGGTGACCTTGTACATGATAAAAAATAATATGAGGAGCCTTGGAAGGCCAATCATATGGCCATGGGCTTGGGCCCGGGCCGTCGCGTCGGCGAGAAGCACAAGAACATTTATTGATGTCGATCTCTTTGCAGCCGCCCCTGATATCTCCTAGCTAAGCGCACAACAATGGATAATAATTCCGAAATGATGATGCGACATCTATGTTTTGCGTGATCGATTACAATATCAGCGAACAATCACAAAGTCCTCCAAGTTCGTGGAAGCATACAGTTTACCTTGAATTCACCAAAAGTCCAGAAGATGTCACAAGCCCCTGGAAGCTGAAAAGCGCACGAGACTTCGACGCGATTCTCGGGCTGTGGGTTTGGTCGCCGAAGTGTCGCCGAAGTCTGGTCCAGCAGTGGAAGAGCGTCACCTCACTACTGCGTCTAGCGCAGAACAAAAGTCCCGTTCAGGTATCTATCTTCGACCATAGCCTATCAACAACCGCCAGCCACCAACAGTTGACCAGAAACCCCTCTTTTCGTGAAGTCCAAATGCAGCACAGCCCTAGGCCACCGTTTATCTTGCATGAGGCATGGTTCTTGGGAATTATTATCGGTAAGTGTCCCCCAGGCATCTATCGTTACTTTCACGTTAGCGCTGCGCGAATTCTATTCTGGTAGCTGCGCCACGCTTTTGTGGCAGAGCGGCGTCTCATGTCTACTAGGATAATTCCAAGGCCGCAGACTTTGTACATCTCGAAGCAATACACCAGTTTCTATAAAGGAACTGAAGAGAACCATATCAAAAACAGCGGAGCATATTCATCAAGTGTCCCTGTATTCCCCAATCAATCATAATGCCTATCCGAACTTCCTATGACCCAAATTCATCCTTGGCCCCTCTATCCGAGATCATCGACCTCGAACCAGAACAAGAGCCATGGTGCGCTGGCTACGCTCCTTCGCAGGGCCGCCGCTGTCACGCCCGCACGAATGCGCACGGTCGCAGATCAGCTACCATGCTTCTCAACGAAGGTACCAAGGACCTTCGAGCTGGTCGTAGTATCGATGCACTGCTAGAGGATTTAGCTCCTCATGTCCTATGCACACGGTTTCACCAAGCTCAAGCTTCGGATCTCACACGCCGTTGGAAGAGACAAGTCCGTCAATATCTCGATTCGCAGGTTGGTTACACGCCGTCTCCGAGACGAGTCAGGATGCCATCTCGAGCCGACTCCTCGGAAACTGCCGAAGCCAACGCGGCGCGAATCGTAGTCCTCGAACAAAGACTCCTTGAGGCAATGGAAAAGGTTAGGCGGCTGGAGGTTGCTCAGCAGGGCCTCTCCATAACGGCAAACCCGCCTCCTCATGGCCAGGGCAGAAGCACAAACGCATTCGGTTCTTCTAGCAGTGCAAGGAGAACACCAAACCATATTACCTCGCCAAGAAATGTCGTCCAAACAACACCGAGAAATGAATCAAGGGAATCTGTCGTGTGGCCAGCAATTTCTGTAGCTAGGCCAGCGCGGGTCCAGGTCATCCATGAAGCCCCAGCGGTTAATGTATTGGCTCCAAGATCAGACAGCCGACCATCGGTGGTTCGCACCTCCAGCAGCACCGAACGGGAGAACAGCCAGAATGAGGTATCACAAACCAGGCGCCGCCCCATTGAAGGAGAGTGTGGGATCTGTTTGTGCGAATTACACATTCCACAGCAAGAGGTGCATGGGGATGAAGAAGATGAAAGCGAGAATAGCGACAGCGATGATGACAATGACATTGATGAAGATGATGATGAAGATGACAACGATGAGATCGACAGTGTAAGTGCCGAGCAAACGGAAGCCGGGGATGAGGCTCAACCCCAAGATGAAGAATTGGTTTGGTGCAAGGCACGCTGTGGAAACAACTTCCACAAACGATGCATCGACCAATGGTTGGCAACAGATCATGCTTCAACGTGCCCAGCGTGTAGGAGTAGGTGGAGAGACTGAATGCAACAGATACTTTGTGCCTATTAGACCCCACTTCTCAATGTTTAGATCATGATTTGATGAATCGCACGCAAACTAATGAAATTCATGTCGTTCAACCTGATGGTAGAGAAACTGCTAACTGTTTCTATTATCGACCCATGTATTTAGCGGGATAAATGGGTCTGAAAGGATCAAGGGCAGCCATATGAGGCCTGCCTCTAGTACATCTTGCATGTTTTTGGAGAGCAGGTTGATCATCGGCCGAGTATTATAAGCATTTCGTCACACCGATTGTCTACCTCGCCGAAGGGATCAAAAGATGGCGCAGACTCGTTGGGGGGAGAAATAATTCACACTTTAAGGTCACTCAGTCTCGCAGGTGCCTAGCAGTTCCAAGCTGTCCTGACTGTGGACGTACAAATCATTTGGTCCTGCTGCATCGCCAATAATTTTTGCAACGATAGCAGTCTCTAGCTTTGAGAATACTCAAGATTTCGGTCAAGTTCTGCTCCGGATCTCCGATCTCAGAGAGCCTCAATACGTATTCAAGGGTCTCCTCAATCGGTGTTAAAGACCCGCAGCGACCAATGGTCCCTGATATCAAAACTTTACACGATATCACAGAGACTAAAATAAGGTAAAGGTGTCAAGGGACCTGGCCAGCTCCTATTTGGGAATAAATAGGAATACGCCGGGATTAGTAGATGGGCATTTTGCCACCATCTTTGTAAATAACACCGTCGTCATACTCTTCGCAATATATGTTTGACCTCGTTTCTTGCACACGGACCAAGACTCAGTTTGATGGTTTAGCGCCATATCTTCAGTTTACACCTTGCTAACCTCGAATGGCTAAGGGAGCACAATGACGGAAAATGGTTCTCTTCTACCATATTCCTAAGCAAACAACATTTTGCTTCTCGGGAGTATGAATGTGTCAGTCCAGTGGCCACAGATAGTCGATATTTATCACTATCTGAATCACTGAAATAGCACAATTTGATAAACTGCTGTTCGCACAGGACTAGATGCAGCAGGCGTCAGAGGTTGGCCATACGGAAACTTCCGCAGTTGACGACCGTGATCGGCGGCTCAACTCAACTCCAGGTGGTGTCAGCCAAGTCATCACGAGCCCGGTCACAGTTGGAGTTTCCGGTATGAGTGTAGCAAAGACCTGCCACTCCAGCCGCCCATATTGCACCGCACTCCCACATGACGATGGCAAGGTCCCACAACTCTATGATCTTCTGCTCTTGGGGATAAGCCACTTCGGCAGCTAACACAGCTCCCACATATTCACTTTCAGCGGGTATGCTATCAGCCCCTTTTACGTAGGCGAGAACAGGGTCTACCAAAAGCTTGATAACGGCCCGAGTTTCGGGCAATGGATCGGAGGAAAGGACAGATTGGAGTCGTGCTTCGGCGCTGGCGAGGGGACCCTCCCCGCGCTCGACCTTAGTGCCACTTATTCGAAAGTGATCTAGCTCTGGCCTCCCATCCGGTATTGTCGCGGCAATTCCTGCGCCCGCACTGAGGTCTGTTCTGCCAAGGAGTGTGATGGGTCGGTGTCGGCAGTTGGCGAGCTGCCACCAGTGCGTAAAGAGAATGCAGAGGGCTGCCGGATTATAGGGATCGTTGTCCCGATACCATATCATAGAGCCAAGCAACCGCGAGTAAACCTCGAGCAAGGCTTCCTCTTCCAAAGATCCCCGTGTCAAAGTAGGGATGATGTTGCTGACTTCTGCGCACGCTATATCAGCTCCAAGATCAATCCAGTCATGCACAACGCAGCCAAGGCCAGCGATGGCAGCCATCTGTTCTCCACCGCCTGCATCGTAATAGACATGACAGAAAACGGCATCGGCTAGCTTGTAACGGGCAAGGCGAGCGAGATCGTCCCATACAACTATACACGGGCGAGAGGGGACAGGGCGGGCATCCTCGATGATGGTCTTCTGGCGCAAACATGCATAATCGCAGCCCTTGACGATCCGTATGTCGTTGATGTGTGGGCCAGCGGAGACGGATTCTTCAGCAACAGCAGCTACCTCTGCAAACGCAGAAGAGAGACTGTCCGCCATCGCAGCACTTTTTATGCCTATTGAGTAATCTAGGACGAAAGCTGAGTCCATGATAGCCCACAATCCAGAGATTGAGCCACCGTAGACGCCCCGGTTATAGCCTAGCGCCATAGAGAAAATGCTGGTGTTAAGTAGAGGCCCCTCACAATCCTCTGATGCGAGGAGATCCACAACGGCCGGGTCCGATGAGAGTGCCACGCCGCTCAGCTTGGGAGGGAGAGGCTTCCGAGCGGAGCACCATGCCGGCAGGTTAGCCCCGCGGACCTCAGCGAATGGTAGGCGCTGTGTCACTCCAGTCGTGATCACCTTATCACGCGCTGCCAAGAGAGCCGCAGCATCTGCTAGCAGCCCAGTTGCACAATCGACGGCATCGGCAACACGTGCGTTGCGCATCCAGGAGATGCTTGTGGCTGCACCAATAACTCCGCTGGTTTGAGTGGTGTCGTGACGACGCGCCAGGTTGACCGTTGTCACCAGCGTGTCGGTTTCAGGGAGGTATTTTTGGAAAAATTTACTTGACCCAGCTTCGACCGGACCTATACCGTGTGTCTTGAGCGACCAACAGGGGGCTCCAAGAGGGTAACTCATGGTGGCCCCTTCTCCAATGACATGGGTGGTACCCCATGTCGAAGAAAGACGGACAGTGGCATCAGGGTCCTCTGCCGAAGACTCGTCGATCCGCTCAGCCCAGTGGGAAACGACAGGCAGGCAATCAAAAGCTGGTGAGCGGCTGAGACCACCGCTGATGATGAGTCCTGGTACGAGGTCTGACACGGATATGCCGGAGTTATCTCCAGCCCAAGGTAGCTTGATATCCCTCGAATGGGCGAGGATCCTGTCGAGCTTGGCCTGGTACTCGCTAGCTGGCTTGTTGCACAGCCTAATCCAGTTAGTGTGTCTAGCACCAGTCCTATCGTGCCTCAATATTGAAAGCGAGGTCTTGGCTGTGTTAGCAATGAAGTCATTTACGTCCCGACAGACCATCCGTTTACCAAAAGAAGACTGTTGACCAGCTCGAGGGTCAACGAGTCCCCCATTAAGGGCCAGCTCGGAGAGAGCACTTGTCCGGGCGTTGTAAGGCATTTTGTAATCAGTTAGAACGTTTGCGGTTCAGAGGTAGCAAGAGGGTGAGATGCTGACCAACTACTATCAGCCTCTTAGCAGGGTCTTGTTGACTTAGGTTCTAGGACGACTGTTGCAGGCACTATAAGAAAAGTCGTTGTGGGCAAAAGGACTTATATAGGGTAGTGCAGAGGAGCATAAGATTCGTGAAGATTGATGTCGTGTTGTATTGATCCGTTAATAACTCGTTTTGTTGCTCTTCCTTTCTTGTTCCACGGTCCGCTTATTTATAGCCCGGTGGCACTACTCCGCGCGCACATACCTCCAGTCAATTTATGGGTCATCAAAAAACGCAGAGTTTTGACCTCGATATTGAGTGCAACGATGTTGCTAGCGTATACCATGAGGGATGGGGTTGGTAGATTGTCTGCGATGCACTGCCATGATTGATAAGTTGCAGACATGAGTTTAGCCCTACTGTGGAACAGTCGGATTCATAAGATCCTACAGTAGATAGATTTCTCTCTCTCTCTCTCTCTTGGTCCTGTCCGTCTCTTTTGCTCCATAGGAATCGACTACACTGTTTTTATCTATGATCTCCATTGTAGTACGTTCCCAAGACTTTGCCAATCTGATTCTACCAATTGAATTTCTAGCTTTATCTCATCGGGTTTTTGCTCTAGATAAACATGGGAAATGAGTCACTCAATCACGTTTGTCTCTAGTAGTAAAGGTCGAATGACTGGTGACCACATAACGTTAAGTCTATCTCTACTTCACGTATCCGTGATTTTTGTAACTACGGCACCCGTAAGTCAGGTAAGTTGGGTAAAACATCCTTTTCCGGAACCCAAGGGTGAGGGGGTGGAACGATTACCAAAGACCCGCAACACGCCCGCGGCACCTCCCGGGAAGGAAGAACCCTGAAAATCCGCTACGCACGAACTAATTACCATGGTATATAAGTGGAGTTCAGATTGCTAAATATATTGGTGATCGAAAAGAGAGCGCAAGGTGGTAAATATGATAAATCTCGGGACAATTATCTGTAATATGTGTATACATCGTGCCAATTTACACACGCTACAGGCCATTTGGCCCCAACTTTACTAAGGCGAAAAGCAAGAGGGGCTAAAGCGGAACCTGGAACCCTGCGCTATGTAAGCTAGGCCAGCAACGAACTGAAAAGGCCTACGGGGCGCTTCTCCTTGATGCCATCAAGGATTATCGACCATATTTGGTCGCGACTACAATTCCCAAAGTGTGTTGCGTTCAAAAACCAAGGTGAGCACGTACAGGAGTACAGAATATATAAGAAGGGCAGACTTACTAAATATTGGAAAAAGCAGAATGAAAAAGAAAAGAATGAATTGTGGTAGGTAGCATTTGGCAAGTACAATCTACTTAGGCCATAGTAATATGATCTACAGTACGTATTAAAATACCATTTTGAGGTCGATCCCATCCGAGACATTCGCCACTTAGCAAATTAAGAAATTTGCGACAATTTATTTCAACCAGCTTTCATTCGTTAATACCTCATAGAGTGGAAACAGTTGATGGAACGGACCGGAAGTCAACCGAAGGTTTGCACTATGCGTGGTGGGTGGGGCAGTTTTCGATGGTCCCGTTTCCCATCCGTATATCGATTTTCACCGCTTTCATTGCCGCCTTCATTTCCGCCTTGGGGCGGTGAGAAAGTCAAGGATGACTGGCATGTGTGCTCGCTTCTGATTGATCAACGCTTTGCTTCCTTACAGCTCAAGATGATGCGGTAAGGAGGGTGGCTTAGGGTGACAATGGATGTACATCATGTACCCCGAGGATTTTGGATTCTACATGTCATGGGATCGAGTGCACATGGACTCAGATTATGGCTCTGTTTAGTGATATAATGGAATCGAAATTTCCATCGGATTTATCACTTCATTTATACTCTGTAGTTGACAAATTCAGCATCATCTTCACGTCATGGTCTTCTAGTAGTCTCCGGTGCTCCTCCCTCAGTATGATTGGATCATTGGTCTCGAACCAAAATGCCCACGTGCTGCGTGTATTGATGTCGAGATTATCCCGGCTCGATTTTAAACCCACGTGTTGAAGCTGCGGCGGTGCCAATGCTTATCGATTGAGTTTGTGATGATCGGCGTATTCCTCGATCATAGAGTCCGTCTGTCCATGTTTTCGTGCGCTCAAAAAGTCAATCAGTCCATCCAATTGCTCCCTCGGAAACACTAATCCCTGCGTGCAACAACCATACTTGTTCATCTCAATGACCCCGTGAAGGGGGCATCAAGTTGTACTTGCCGACCATGTAGACAAGTGCAGTGAATGCTGGAATGCAAACCATTGAGATGACCACTATGCTAGTAGGATCTAAGTGAAATTGCGTGAAGCGAGAGCGGTGAAGAAAAACCAAGCATGTTAATCCAGACAGTATCAAAATCCCAAAGACAAGTGGCATATTCCTATACGCAAAATCTGAGCTTGTCCAACTCAATGCCGTCTCGGTATAAAAGAGTCGGAGATAGATCCAGGGCTTCCCTGACTGTCGTTCGAGCCGGGCAATATCCGCCAAAGCCTTCAACGTTCTCGAGAGCCATGCTGTAGCAAGGATGATATCGCCTTCGAAGATGATAGTGTAGGAAGCGTTCAGTTGCTGACAGGTTCGTAGTGCATATACGTAGTCACTGTCATTGCTTAGCTTTTTTGATGTCACTTGTTGTATCTTGGTCTTGATCTGGGTACCCACAATACTCCTTTTTCATAAAAGTTCTTTTCCCTTTCCAGGGTTTGTAAATGCTTGAGTTGCTCATTCGATACATTGTAAGTTGTAGCCGAGTCAGTGAGCCTCTCTACCCAGTTCTGACCCCAGCTAGGGTGTACCCTCGGTTCTGTATCAGCAATTAGTACACTAAGATATAGTTTCCTTCTCTCTCTTTCGTCCAATCCCTCAAGCAATGAACCAAGAGTTGCCTCAAAATAGTCATCCAAGTGTCGTCGAACCGTGACAATTGCTACACAAACAGAAGATGTGCGATCAGACTTGACATAGGGCGGGGGGTTGAGATCAGAATTGTGTCGAGATAGGAAATGCCATGCTTCGCGCTCCCGATAAAGCCTGTAGTCCATCTCATACACATGGTCTTCCTTGAAGAAGGCAGAGTGTGGATCGCGCCAGAATTTCGATCGGCAAAGCTGGAATAATAAGAGCCATACAAACAAGCTTGAAAGAAATATCCTCAGCGCGCGAAACTTGAGATAATGAGTGAAATGGGGAAGAGCCATCGTGATGAGTCTTCTCCAACATCAGCCAGTGTGCAATGGATTGTATGAGTGCTGAAATGGGAAGGGCTGCGACGAGACTTCCGCAAAAATTGCAATTGTGAGTAGTGCATCTGTGAGAGGACAAAAATCAGTCTGCTCGTGGATGACACATGGAGTGTTCAGCAATACAGTTCAACCGGTTGAGTACGAGCCCGGATTAGTGCGATACCCGGGTTAGTGATTCGAATTTTCGACCTAGGTGGTAGCACTTGGTAAAAGAGCTAAGCTGGAAGAGGGAAGGCGGAGACGAGTAGCTGTATGAACTGGTACATCGAAGGATCGGACCGGTTACTGGGTCATGGCCAGCTTCTGCCAATCGGATGGAGTCGGGGAAGATCGATCGAACCCCGTGATAGTTAGCCGAGATTTGATTGAGTAAGGGACACACGATTGACATGTAGAGAAGTTTGGCGATAATGACATTCTCTGTCTTAAAGAGGGGCCTCTGGAAGCTAGTTGATTTGCTACTGTGACGCACTTGGTTCAGCTAACGCGTCACTTGATATATAAGCTGCACAGTGGTATTATTAAGTCTATAGCTACATGAAACTTGGCAGTAGGATAGTACTTGGCAGAGAGCTAAGCGGGAAGAGGGAACGCGGAGGCGAGTGGCTGTATGAACTAGCAATGCAGCATGAAACAGCATATGATCTGTTGGTAGGGTTTATCTAAGGTCTGGTACTTTTATTTTACTATCTTAAACCAATGCATTTGGAAATGGATACGCACATACTAACAGGACCATACCGGTTGAATCCGCTTTTTTCTTCTTAAGGGGGCGAGACGTCGCTAGCTCGGTTAGCAGATATGTGAGAAAGCCAGCTCCTCCAATTAGAGGATGCCTTTCTAGGATTTGAACTGTCTAGAATATCTAGCAAGAAAAAAATATCTGAACTTTCGATCAACACCGCAAAATTTTGACTGCTACTGGGAAGGTCATGCCTTTGTAGATCTAGTCATATTGTACGAGCCAATGAAGTGTTGGATATAGATGGTGCACGTGCCTCTATGAGGCATTTCGGGCGAATTTTTGAGGGATTTATATAATATAAGTAGATGGCATACTTCGATTCACTTCCTGCTTCCGCTCATCTGAGTAATTTTAGAAAATGTCGACAGCATATGCCCAATCCAGAATATCCCACAAATGTTCCTCCAACCCCCGCAAGGCCCTCAAGCCCCCTGCTCGCCACATCGCTCTTCGCAAAGAATACGTCAAAGACACCAAAACTCGACTTGTCCTCAAACCGCAAGGTACCGCTCACTCGGCAGTCGCATACAAAGTCCTCGATGAAGACGGCTCGCTTCAGTTCACTATTACTGGCCGAAAACACAGCGATCGGGTTTGTCGCGAAATCCGAGACTCGTCGGGATTACCCTTGTTTGAACTTCACCGAAAGATTTCACTTACAAATGCCTGGGCTGTTACGCTACCCGGGAGCAACGAGGCGACCTTAGCCACAGGCTCCCCGCAATGGCCGTTTGGATCTCTCTCAGCTGGAAATTTCACCATGTTTGTTGAAAATCAGGCTGCTGTTGATGGTAAGCGTGAGGATGAGAAAAAGCTTACGTTGCTTATTGAGAGGCATGGAAACGCCTTGGCACTATTTGATATTGTGGATGGGGATAGAAAAGTGGCTGAAATGCGCGAAAGTATACAACACAACGAGAAGTTGCCTTTGACGCGAAATCCCTGGCAAAAATATCGGCCTGCTCTTGATCTAATCATCACTTCCGGGATTGATCAATCATTGGTATGTATCTCGATGGTACTGGCCCTCGAACAGCAAATTAATTCTGTCATAGGTAGTTACTGTGGGGGTCATTTTATCAGATTGGGTGTTTGGCTCGACTTGAGTTTAGTTGCAAATGGATCTATCTTTGTCAACATGCACCTTTCGTCCTAGACTACACTCCTTCCACTCAACGAATAATAGTAGCGACATACGTAGGAGGTGCGAGAGCGTCCCGGTGAATGTAGCCCGCCAATGTCATCAGCCAATTAGTCAGGGTCGGACTTTAAGTGACAATCTAATTCACGTATCTCATCAAGCAGGAAACCATGCAATAACTATTTCCGACGAGCATGGCAATCAACAAGATGGCAATTGTCAGAAATCCTTTCGCTTTGTGGGAATTTGCGCGCAGGCATCCTTTGCACAGGAATATTGGACCCTGAACGGAACATTGGTACCAATCGCATCTTTTGTGGTAGATATCAGTGTGTCTAAATAAAATCTAGACCATGGTTTCCATCGTTGTAACTATCTGGTTATATTACTTGTAATCTAGGTCCAAGGACGATTCAATACTGACTTGGCATCAAAGCCGCCCAGTTTGGAGTGTCAAAATTCCTGGGGCTAGGAAAAGCAGGTTCCATTCTAGTCAATGCCATCTGGCCCCCTATGAATCCCTGTGGTTCTTCTGGGTAGTATCAAGGATCGTGTTCACAAAGTACTGGAGATTCTTTTTGGCGTATGTGACATGTGCATAATTGGTATAAAGAGAATTGTTATACAAAATTTTGAAATGTGATGGGCGAATCCCTTACATGCTATAAGTGCGAACTTGAGAAGAGGCAACGACGATAGAGAAATATTTGCCTTGTTTGGTAGATAACAGCCAGCCCAAAAAATCTCGATGGAGTTGGATTATTTTTTTGTATTTTTAACCGGGTGCAAGAACATTGGGGGCAAGCAAAGACGACGAGACCTGTCCTTTATCCATGATGTTAGCGAAGATCATCTTAGGCACGAGTAACACAGCGACTCACCTTCTCTGCATCATCATAGCCTAGCCAGGCTCGATAGATTTTTTCTGGAAATTTCGAACCAAACATGTACGATACTTTCATCAAGATATCATTGTGCTGTTTCCAGCTCCAGATACTGTTCGGCCCAGCGCTAATCTTACCGGGCTTGCCTGAATTAGCTCGGATATTGAGCTCATCGGGGTTTGTTTTATGCGCATGGTAAATGGGTTGAGGAACCTGAACTGCTTTCAGTCCATAATAAAGAGCCCAGGAAGTAGGGGACATTCCAGGTGCTAGTCCAAACCCCTTCTCAGATTTGTCTTTATGCATCAGCCGGAGCAATCGGGCTGAGACACGGGACATAGCGACAACCGATGCCCGGCGCGGAGTATGTCCCTTCTGGCGGAAATTATAGACCCGGTCGGCGAAAGGCCAATGGGTGTGTCGAGGGTCAAATTGAGGTAGCCAGGTGATGACGTCGGCTTCCTCGCCCACGCCCCAGCTCCAAGAATCTTCCTCCAGGGTTGATCGTGGTCGCTTCGATCCCTCATTTCCAATATTAATGCCCTTTGCTGGCTGGGGTCCCCAAACACTGTCAAGACCCAGCATACTTTGGTCTACCCGATCGATAAACTCATCCCAGGTCCCATGGACAGCGGAAATGTAAAAGTAAGAGTTGCGCTCCCACAAATTCTTTCGGGGCTGTTGTTTTGCGAACTCGGACGCCTGTTGTAGAAAGTGATAGAAATGGCCCGTATAACGTGAATCCATCTCGAACTGCCAGAAGAAGTCGTACTGAGGATTCAGCCGAGACAAAATCTGCATTGGCTGGAAATATTGAAGGATAGCTCTAGATGAAAGTTAGCAAACCCTCCAAAATGGATCAAAGCTGTTCAGCAAAGCAGATGAATAGAAGAAAGCGACCTTACACGTGGGTATCGATTTTGGGGTACCAGTCTTCTAGTATCTGCGAGTTGAAGAAGATTGCTAGATCCTGGAGCTCCCGCGGAAGAGAGCTTTTGAGATTGTCTAACCCCGCCCTGTCTGCTGGATGAGGCAATTCAGTATCTTTCGCGTCGACCAAGAGGATTACCTCATATTCTGCGCCCGACAAGAGCGATAGCTCCATGATAATTGACCGAATATAATGCAGATCATTTTCCGTGTATTCCATGTCAGTCCAAGTGCGCAGAACCACCGCCGTCCGTGGTTTGAAAATAGAAGAGCTATTGTTTTGGTCTATCTCTGTCTTCTCTTCTCTCAATAGATGTTCATCTATTCCATTATCGTAGTCTTTGTGCAGAGTCAACGTCTTTCGAATAGTTGAAGGTTGATACCGGTCTGCGTTGCGCTGAAAGCAATCCTGCTGCAATCGCCCAATTCACGTTCTCAAACTGCACTTCATTTGATTCGCCAACCCGTTCACCAGTTTCAGCTTCCCCTGTGTAGCCGTACGCAGCATACCGAGAGTATCGGTCTGTGCAGATACTCTGATCAAGATTCCAGGCCGCGTAAGATCCAAAAATAGGGGCCGGAAAATCTAGAATGCTGTCGGTTATAACATGCTATCATGGGCTTGTATCGTTGAAAATACCTGATTGGTTCCATCGAAAGCCTTTCATCGCTGTTTCTGCGTTCCTGTGATCCAGGGCTGAACCATTTGGGCCAACACATTGCTGGTAAGTTCCTCTCCACGTTTCCTTCCATGCAGCGCTGTTATATTCAGGGTATGGATCGTAAGGAACGGACTGTGGCTCCTGGGAAGTTTCCAAAACAAGCTGGCCGAGATCTTCCCCATCTGAAGTAGCACCCGAGCCCAAGAAAAAAGAGTTTTCTTTACTGCATGGAGACACGGATGTTAGTAACTGGACAGGAAACGTCACATTAGGTGGTTAAACAATGTACCTTGAAGGATAGAATGTAGGATCTCGTTGCACTACAATGTTTTGCTCTCTTGACCGAGGTACAAGTAGGAGAATTGTAAATCCAAGGCAGAGGGAAATCACAACGATGTTGTGCCTTGAAATGGTCCGCAATAAATGCTGGCATCCCAGCACGAGGAAGTCAATGATAAACATTATGGACATAACATCGCGTGGGTTTCATGAAGCGGTTTATGGTAGTGATGGATGAAAAACGAAAAGGACCTCAGCGGCCACGAATTATAGACGCACACTAGGTGGGCCCGCCATCCTAGGTGAAGCAATGGACGCCAAGTGGTGCTCATACGAAATTTCGAAATAAATCTTTTTAATTCTTATGACCTAAGCGATCTCAGCAACCAACTTCTTGCGAGTACGTATAGCAAAAGGATGCTATGAGCCGCAATTTTTTGAAGTGTGAATTTAAAGAATCAAAAAGGAAGGAAACTCTTTTTCAGCCTCTCCGGATGACTTTTGATGATTATCTTCCGGGCCCACCAAGGCCTCATATAGTGCAGGGCAAATTTTAAGCGGGCCGTATTTACTACATAAAGTGAGGGATATAATATGTGCACCTCTCATTGCCCGTTGATTTGATGTAACGATTGATCCACTTTGTATATCGAGCTAACTGACTTTGCTCTAGTCAGCGCCCTGCGGGCGCAAGTATACAAATCCGTAGATGACTAGTAATATAAATCGGGCAGAATTACTCCGTAAGACCGGCAGTAAGGCAAGTGTGTTATTATGAATGCAAAACTCCCGAAGTCTACTCTTCATTCATCCAACTGCTACCCATTATTATCTCTCAACATCCAGGGTTGAAGTCAAAAAAAGAAAGGAAGCAGATTAAGCTCGTGGTCACGCCTCCCTAGCAATAGATACCGAGCTTTTTGCCTCAGAGACCTCAGAATTTCATACATTCTTCATCCACTATCTCACCCACATGGTGAGTCCATATCGAATTTCTTGTGGTGCCCGTGATCATCATGAGTTTGAGCTCATCGTTGACCAACGGGTTGTTGACTGTACTTATCTCCATCATTGTCTTTGCCTGTTACTGCCGCTTGGTATTCTAACATCCAAATTAGAAACGTTTATTTCGACTGCGATGTACGCAGCTATCCTTATTGTCTCTGCTGGAGCAAATGGCAGCTGTTCTCAGTGCTGCAGGTGTCAGGTCGGAGCAGAAGATCATCAGGTAACACTTTCGTGGACTTTCGCGGAGTCTCAAGCTGCATTTTTTTGGTAGACATTGCCTTAGATAGTCTGTCTTGTATATAGCCTTTTGCTACGCGCTCCTACAATTTTTTTATTCATGATTGGACGTGTATCGAAGACACAATTGTACGATATTGACTGCTATTTGTTTTTCCCAGAATTAATTTGCCAGCTGCTCCAGTCTCCACTGCTTTGCCCCGGAATACTTACAGTTATAGTCCATAAACTCATCCGGTTTCCTGTCGTGAGAACGAAGAGTTAATGGGACGGAGTAGTTCGATGGAAAGGCATTCAACTTACATTTTTACCAATTTGGCGCCTTTGTCCGTCGCAGGTTTGGCTGCCTGTCGGCTGTATGCTTGGATCAGGCTGACTCGGGCATACCGGGTCTGGAAGATGTTCTGTTCCTTCTATCAGCATTGCAGCCTCATCGCGTGAGGATGGATTTGACAACACACCTCTAGAGTCTCTGTAAGGGCATGGAAAGAAGGTGCCTCCGTGACGCCCTCAAAAAAGGCGCCCAATGCCTCCGAATCTTCGATCGCTTGACTAGCACCCTGACCTTGTGTTGGTAGCATAGCATGTGCAGCATCGCCAATCAGAATCAACCGGCCATGATGCCAGTTTGTGAGGGGGTCCTATCTTTGTTAAAAATCGTTCAGCGGTCACCTCTTGGCGTGTACAACATACAAGATCCCGAAGCTGCCAAAGCCCAAGATCCGGCGAATGTCTTTTGGCATCGGTCAGCAAATCAGTAAATGAACTATAGGGTAGGGTAACTCACTTGAAGATCTCAGTTACCCAGGTTGGAAAATCGGCAAAGGTCTTTAGCATCTTCTCCAAATCACCTTTTGATACCCAAGAATGTTTTGCGTGGGGGTCTTCGTTCATTTGGTCTATAGCGATCAGTAACGAACTGCCAGACAAGATTGATTACTTGACTTACCATCCGGCACTAGAGCCACAATTCCATATACTTCGCCCTGTCTTCCGGGGCCCATGACCAAACGACAGTCATGAGCAACTATCATTGACGTAAATGGATCCCGAGGGTTGATTTTGGCGCAGAATTCCGGTTCTTTTTCTTCAAGAATCTTAGTGGGAATCTATTATAATCGTTAGCCGGGAAGTTTCAAGTATGAATACTTCAACAAACCATGAGGCGGTATGCTATTTCATCTGAAGTCAGTATTGCATCGGTAAATAGGTGCTCTAGGAGACTCACCAGAATGGCCTGTTGGCATTGCGCAAGGCTCCGAATCCAGAACATGTTTCCGAAGCACGCTATGTCTGGTAGCAATTTGATCAGTACACTTTTAGATTATGTTCTCACGTTCTCATAGGAAACTCACATCCCATCTGCCCCGATTATCAAGTCCGCCTCGATTCTTTCGCCATCTTCTAGAGCCACGATCCCTGCAACCGCATCACATCCAACCACCCGCGACGCTACTCGCAAGACGGCGGGCTCTCCCTTGCGATTGGGTGAAACAGCAGCCTCTTTCAGAACATCATGGAGATCTCTCCGATGAAACAAGAGTCGTTCGGAGCCATATATGGTCCTAGCAAGAAGGGGGATGGTATTCACCAGCTTTCCATCTGTGTTGTATATTCGAAAGCCTTCGTCTACCATCTCCCGGGCACCGTGCAGTTCATTTTTCAGACCCCAGCTAGATTGGATGATCTTGGACGCGTTAGGCTGCAGGGAAACAAGAGCTCCAATTTCCTTGTTCAGGCTCGACTGTTCCAATACCGTAATATGTCTGTTGGGCCCGCGGAGTGCGATGGCGGCTGTGAGGCCAGCGATGCCACCTCCAGCAATAACGATACGAAATGGCGACATTCCTACAGATAACTAATTCGAAGAAGTATTCAGTCTCCAAAAGCAAGAATCTTCGTTTCTTTTCACCTCGGCTGGTTGAGCCCTCTAACCGCCACCGCCCACACGCCGCATCCCTCGACTGCCCTGTCCCCCATCCCCCACGCGCCGCATCCCTCAACTGGCCCGTCCCCCACCCCCACTTTCCGAACCAAACACTAGAACATGCGTTCTGTTAATCCTCTTCATGACTTCCTCACGTGGTTTGACGTAAACTGTGGAAATAGTCCCATTAGTCATCGTGTCTTCTGTCTCCTCGGATTGTTAACATATAAACGTCCACAGCTCTACAGAATGTTGAGCATCTCAGATATAGGACATTTCCGTCAAATCCGCCCTCTACAAAATGTCTGCCACTACTACCATGACCAAAGAAGCCCATGCCAATCCGAACCTCCACGGTTTCGGCCGGATGCGTGTCGATGGAACTGATCGAGAGTTTGGTGATTTCCGCGATGAGCTCACCAAGAACGGGTTTGTTGTCGTGAAGGGGGCTATTCCCCGTGAGAAGGCCCTTCGATATGCCGACAAGATGAACTCGTGGCTCGAAAACTTGTAATTATGACACTCCATGGAACTATCTAGCATATGCCAGTGGTGACTAAACAGTTTGGCAGCAACCTGGGCTACAATCGCAATGACCTCTCCACTGTACACAAAGACAATCTCCCTGTGATCAATGAGAAGGGCATGTGTCTTAACTATGGTCTTTCCCATGAAGACTTTGTGTGGGAAATCCGCAGTGAGCCAGGAGTCATAAGCGCATTCGAGAAGATCTACGATGATGAAGATCTGATCGTGTCATTTGACGCCATCAACTTCCAGTTCCCAAAGTACGCTCTCCATTATGCGTGATCTAATGCCAGGACAAACTTGCTGAAATTCTGCCAGTCGCACCGACATCGCGCCCAACAAGCCCTGGCCTCACCAGGACCAGGATCCCGCCAAGCCCGGATTCCGCTGCATGCAAGGCCTAGTCAACATGTTGCCCAACGGCCCAGATGATGGCGGCCTGATAGTTTGCCGAGGAGGCCACCTCTTGTCTGAGGAGTTTCACAAGGAAATGGCCGACGAGGAACGGATTCCCGCATGGACACCGGAGTGGTATGGATATACCGAGCGAGGCATGAAATGGTTAGAAGACCACGGTTGCAAGTGGGAGAAGGTATGCGCCGAACCCGGTGACCTGCTACTGTGGGACTCGCGCACGCCTCACTACAACCTAAGTCCTACTAAGGAGCAGCCTCGCTTCGCTGTCTACACCTGCTTCATGCCCGTTGCAGATGCGACGCAGGATGATCTGCATCGGAAGAAGGATGCTTTTGAGCGTCTGGTTGGCACCACGCACTGGCCAAACGCCAAGCACACTGGATCAAACGTTGCTCAGCGCAATGGAAAGGATGACCCTCATAACCGACGTGTACCCCTGAACGATCCTAGATTGAGCGAGCGGGCATTCAGGCTGACGGGAATTCCTTATATCAAGGAGATGGCTCCGATTAAGCAATCGCTTTTTGCTGATTGATCTACTATTTATAGGGTGGATTTATGTTACATTTGTTTTGCTTTGATCAGGAAAGTATCAGTGCCTAATGACTTTGGAACCTCCATCCCTGTTGTGTGTAGTGAATCAAATTTCCATCATTGCGCCATTAAACCCCATAACACTTCTTACCAGGAAGTCAAGCATAAGCTAGATTCTACTCAATTTAAATGGTAGTAAATTGACATTATCTAGCTATGTTCCTTCCAGACCACAATAGGTCATCGCTTTGCATCATTCGATCCAGATTCATTTTGCCTGATATGTGGAGTGATTATCACTTCATCAGACTTCTTGGTGTACCAAATTTCAGTAACTTCAAATCGGTAGCTGAAGCGATTCGATGGAAAGGTTCGAAGACGCGCGCAAATTACGTTACGGTACCATCGCAAGAGATGGAAAGCGTACTTCTCGGACTTTCCTATGCTAGGGTCATGTTTTATTTGTTATGGTAAGCTATATCCATCTACCACATAGGGTACTGAGAAGTATTGATAGGAATTTTGCTCGATGTAGTCTGACTAGCCTTGATGATAGTCATGATTTAACGTACGTAAAGCTCTTCAACATGTTATCCAATAGGAATCCATCCACTGCCTGCGGTCTTCGAATCGCCTAATGACGCCCCAAATGACGTGAAGAAAGTGCATATTTGTGCGACAAAACGAGAACCTTATTACACAGTAACTCCTTGCAAACCTAGCCCTGGAGGCACATGGCCAGAACATTGAAAAGGCCATAATATTGACGTTGTGTATCACTGGGAATGCAGGGCAATACTTGAGAATATAAGAGAGCCGAAACTGATTGCATGTGAGAAGTACCACATAAGATCTGTCATGTCCTCATGATAAGACATATTCACTATCTCCCTTCCTCTCTAAAATATTCTAGCTATCTACCTTTGTGATGTGTTTAGATTGGGGAATCAATCACTGCTGTGTTCCTAGAGCGATAGTATGATATAGTCTTTTCTGCAACTGCTGTAGAGACACAATAATCTAATATGTCAGTCTCAGCCCTTTTTTCTGCTTGATCTATTTTCGACCTTGCATAAAGCCGTTGATAGAACAGCGCCATTGCCACTCTCCTCTCCCTTTATCCAGCTCTCTCGACCATCGCCAATCGCTTCAGATAACCTGCCAGCACTCAACGGGCACGCAAAACCAATTTACCAGTACATTGTTGCATGAAATTTATTGCATCCACCAGCACAGACCGTTTGACGTAGGATAAATGGATGACACGTGGATAAATCAATGGGTCAGTTTGAATCTCATTGTTTTCTATACCGCGATGAAATATCTATTCACCTTAGAATCAACTAGATAGCATGTTGCTTTAAACTACGAGAGACTTCAGAAAAGTTTTGTAAGTGAATTTCAAGGTTGCGATCTTAAATTTATGCTGCTCTGTATACTGTAAGAAAATCGTGTATACCAAGTACCTGCCGAGCACAATTACTGTAACCGCAACTATCCAACTATTGAGTTGCACTCGACTCCTCTCGTCGCTGCATGTATCGACGCCACTGTTTTATTAGCAACGTCAATATGTCCATTTATGATTTGAGTCAGCGCACTTACAGCAGGATTGAAGAAATAAACTGGAATTCCAAAGAGAAAAACACCACCTGTGACTGCAGTGAGGATACCCATCGCAGTCGGGTAGCTATACTTTGCCACCATGGGCACCAAGCCGTAGCTGATTCCAAATGAAATGATGTTCTTAGTCCCAACCACTGTCACAAGAGCAGGACCGGGATTCTTCTCCCAAGCCTCAGCCGCAAAAGATGTAGAAAGGATCAGAACCGACACAAAGCCGGTTTGAAGAATGGTCCAACCCATGAATGGCCCGCCCCATGTAGAACCGCCGCCCGCAGTGAACCCATACAGGAGAAGGGATACGACCATGAGGATCCCAGGGATGATCAGCAGAATCAGTCGATGCTCCGGAGTATGAACACCACCGGAGCACTTAGCCATATACAGAATAAACCAATCGCCAAACACACCGGCGTATAACATGGCTGCAATGCCTCCGAAGACTCCGCCTAGATTGATCAAACCGACATTCTTGGCAGGCCAGCCGTAGCTTTGGAGGACAGTATCATAGGTCAATGAGCAGCCAATCGAAGAGCCAAGCACTACCGATGACAACAGTGTGGCGTATAGAATTCCCGGTGAGGTGAAAGCCTCGAACATGTGGAACCATGTGATAAGGACTGTTCGAATAGGGTTTTGCACGGGTTTCTGCCACAACTTCAGCATCTGAAGGTAGGATTTCTTAGGCCGTGTCTCATCGGGGATGTTGTTATCATCTGCATTTGCTGCCTGTAGATAAGATTGGGCCTCGGCCGCTATGAGAACTCGCGTCACACCAAATTGATCTGTGAGAACAACCTGTCCATTGAGGAACTGTGCACCACGTTGATACTTCGTCTCGAAGCAACCAAATACGACCAGAATCAGACCCACACCGATGGCAATCACATACACCCAATAGAACCAGCGCCATCCGAGGGCTGCTGCTTCATATGAGCTGGCCATATTCAGGCAACTGGTTACGACGTTCTGTGTCGTCCAGTACAGACCGAAGATGAGCCCTCGTTGATGTATGAAAGTCACTTCGGAGAGCATCAAGGGAAGAAGCTGCGATGGATGTTACTCAGAGCCTATCGTGTAGTTCAAATGTAGCTCACCGACTCGGTGGCACCGGTCGCCAGTCCCTGTATGATGCGGAAAGCGAAGTGCTGTTCAAAGCTAGACGATACGGCGCATGCAATGGTAAAAACGAAATTGACAATGATAGCGAGGACTGCGGCAAATCGGCGGCCATATATGAGACCCAAAGGGAGAATCAAATAGTTTCCTGTCCATGTTAGGATGTAGAATCTATGACAATTGACGAGCAAACTCTTACCAATTCCTACAAACAACGAAGGAAACGTGCTCAACCAGACAACGTGGGTTGGACTCACACCTTCAGCGCCATACGTCTCGATAAAGAGTCCAAGTATAGCTCCCAGCCCTCCAACAACGGAGAGTGACATGATTGCTAAGTCCAGGTCAGTAACCATGCGCATACTCGAGCAGCAGCAATCCTTACAGAACCAACAGCAGCTGACAATGACACCGGTCTTATACCAGACCGGCCAATTGAGAGGGTCGTTGACATCCTTACTGGGTACGGGCAGCTGCTGAACATCCCCTGTAGCGCTCACCAGCACCCCGCCCTTATGCACTCCATGAGGTTCAACATCTTCCACAAACTCAATTACGGCTTTCTGGTCCTCAACAGACATGGTACTGGTTTTTATGCCCGTTGAAAAGTTGAGCGAGAAGAAAGAAAGAGAGAACACGGTGGCTTTCAAGCGCCTGTTCTGCTTTTCTACTTTTCTGTTATCGCCCACGCGGAAATCATTGTTGCCAATGTTATTGGTTCTACGCGACAAGTTTCCCCGTGGGGGTGAGTCGCCCACCCCACATTCCGATAGTCTTAAAATTGTATCAAGACACGGCCCCATCTTGATACTTGATTGGTCAGCTATTCATGTTTGCGTCTCCCCCGCCCCCAATCTCACTGCTAGAATCATCTGTCTCAAATGTCCACAGTATGATCCCTCTATACATACACGCATACTAGGTACCCTTTCTCCTATGACGTTAGAATTTTGGCCAGCACGATATTCTCTTAGCCAGGGGGTGTGGCGCACTAGGATGCGAATGCTTCTATCCTGTTACCGTACATCTCAAGGCCAGGGACTGGAGAAAATTGTGATGCTCTGTTGGCTAACTTCAAGGTAGATTCCCTAATTCCTCAATAAGCGAACATAAGTTCTGAATCATTGGCGGGCGAATATCACTTGGTAAAGGAAGCGGACAGTTTCCTTCAAACACTTGTCGCGCCACAACCATCACCGACCGAGGCTTTGTCAACTCACAAAAGGAACGCGAGTCCCAGTGATTCATTGTCAAACCCGGCCGACCCATGCCTCGAGTTAGGAAGGCTCTAGTAAATTGATCCTCCGGTCCGTCCAAAGAAACATTCGGCGTGTCAGCGTCACTCATCGTGGTCTGGACCTCCAGGATTTTCTCCCCACATTGCAGTAAGCCGTAGACCCACAGAACCAAAGAGGCGTGATAGATGGACAGAGAATCAAACCCACGGAATTGATAAATCTCCACTATGCGTGCAGCGCGGAGAACTTGGCCCGCGTGCCAGATGGCATTCCGAGCCTCTCTGGTTCGGCTCCACTCTCGCAAGGCGGGGTACGCATGGCGAGCTTCCCGCTCCCCCATCTTTCCGACGAAGCGCTGGATTGCATCAATATCGACGTGTAAATACATCATTGCGAACTCATTCATCAAGACTATGACTGACGGTGAGTCTTGTGTCTCCTTTTGAATTGTTTTGAGAGTCGCATATCTAGAGGTAATCAGTAACTATCCGTAATAAATGGAAGGGGCATATACAGATCTTCTTGTCTACTTTGTAGCCAGAGTAGGGTGGTGGCACGGGATCCCGACAGACGCTTTTGCTGGCAAAAATCCCATACTTGGATGGCCAGGCCTTGTAAAAGAGCAGACCGAGTCATGGCGGAATCAATTTCGAGGGGAATGTGGTGGATAAGGGATGGATCGGAGAGAAGGTCGCGCAAGTTCAATTCAGAGAAACCCTCCGATTGATAACGACTCATCCAAAGAGCCCTCCATGCTGCAGCGGTGGGTGCTAGCCATAATTCACGCGCTGCCGGCGGCGGTAAGGTAAGCTCCGTGTACGAAGTAATGGCAGGCCGATTCATGGACAGAGAGACCTCCGAATCGTGAGTGAATAGATGATAAACCAGCCTGCGGAGCGTCAGTAATTTGTCATATGAGTTAAGCTGCTAGGAAGACCTTTTCATTGACTCTTGGCGGACCCAACTATACCATGCGCGCTGTAATGATGCTTCGTCATCGCCACAGGAATAAGGCGTTATGAGAGAGTATTTTGACCTGTCAAAACATGACGCACGACGAAGAGCCTATAACAGTCAATGCTGAGCCTTTCACCAAGGTAAAATGATAGATACCGTGCAAAGTGGTTGCAGATAACTCTCAGCAATCTGCATCTTGCGTGTATATCCGCACGAAATCCCAATATCCAACCACAACATGGATGCTTGCAAGTATTGAAGATCCCGAAGAACGCTGTTATCTTCTTCCAGCTGCTCAACATCTCAGTGAAGGTCTAAGAAACAGTACCAAAGCTCACATACCAATTGCCCTAAGCCAACTCTGGTGATCTCCTGGAGAATGATGCCCGTTTTGCTAATCGAGGGCGCACCACAGCAAACACACCCCGCTGCTACCAACGCGGTCAACAGCTCCGGACGTAGCTGTTGATATTGATCGTCATAGAAAGAGTATGGATGAATCCATGCGTCTGTCTCTATTCTCTTTCCTATCCCGATTTTTATAAGAGTATCAAGATATTCGGGAGATGGGAAGGCCGATACAGAGAGTTGGGAGCCGGCTGTTTGTAAAACCAGTTTGAAAATGTCATCTCTGGCTTTGATGGAAAGTTTCCCGGGGATATTAAGCGCATCAAGGCGCGTCCGATGTATCAATGGGATACTTTCACCATCACAGAGCGGGATCTGTCGGTCTTCACTAAATCCATGCTGATTCTTCGCTGGCTTCCAAAGCCTACGTACCACCTCAGACATGAGCATAGGATAAAGAAAGAAAGAAGGGAAGAAAGAGAGAAAATAACCCACCATAGCGATCGCTGAAAAGCAGCAGCACGTCGACTTGCAGATTCTTGATCATCAGGCGTGGACTGCTGGTCGATATCACAGAAAGGAGCAGACATATCGATGATTTTGTCTAGATCTGGAATAAAACTGGTTCCAAACACGTCATTCTCTGACAAAGCGAAGTCAATGTCCTGCATAAATTCAAAGGCAGGGGGTTGCTGTATCGGAAGTGTATCCGTTCCTAAGCTCGGGAGCATAACGTGTTCAAAAAAGGCAGGAAATTGACCAGGAGTTGAATATGTACGATCCTCTCTCTGGTCCTCTGGAAGGAATGTCCCTAGTGTCATTTTGGGTTGAGAGGTAAGGGCTGAATCGTTCTCATAAATGCTTCCGGTGTAGGAGACGGTAGATGGAGACACACCGAATCCCGAACAGTCAGAATCTGGAGTCGCCGCCAAAACAGGATTTTCGCATTGTGTTTGCATTGATGGGGCAGAAACTGATCGTTGGCGGCCCCGACGCAACGATCTTGATAGCCTGGCGACGCACTCGATCTGTTTTGACTGGCATCGCTGCGAGGCGATGAGCTGAACGTTCGTTAATGTGGACAAAGACGCTTACTTTACAAGGTCGTTGGTTATCACAACTCAGCTTTGCTGATGCACAGGCCTCACATGCCTCGATCGCTCGATCTTTGTGGCGACGAATAGTAGACTTGCGATCCGTGACTTCTTTTTCGTGTACAGCTTGATGCCGTTGTAAGACATCCCTGTTGATGGTTAACGAGATATATTTCCAGGTGGCTCAATAAACACGTTACCGGCGATTAAATCCGCGATGGCATGTTGGACACTGGTAAACACGCTGATTTCGATCTGTATTAGTGATTGTCAGCGTGTCCAATCAGGAGCGCGTAAAAGTGAAAGTAATACGGGAATCCAAGTGACGGTTCAGGTGATCTGACCGCTCATAGGCCTTATTACAGTGGGGACATCGATGACTGTCAGTAGTCTTGCGGTGGAAACGTTGCGTCGGAAGGCTGTTAGCCATAACGATCGTGGTAGTCCAAAGATCAACCAGGATAGGCGTTCATTTATGCGGGGAAGGTGAACGGTCGGGAAACACTCGGTCGGGAAGCATTCAATTTGTGGGCCACTTCCCCATACACTGTGGGGCTGACTTGACATAACATTCTCAATAGCACGCGTTCCGCGACGCATTTCAGAGAACCTAGGGTCCACGTTGCGCGAGCTACTTATGCAGCCTGTAGATGAAGGCAACGCCTGTCTGTCATCTCCAGGTTTGTTGTTTTGTAGAGCGGCAATAGATCTGTTCTGCAGGACTTGTCATCCATGTCCCTCGCAGGATTTGCAAGCGTCTTAGAGAGGCGCCAGGTTCGAGATAGCCTATAAGGCTACAGCAACGGAACGATACGAGATATAAAGTAGCACATCATCTGTTCTGAGCAAAGAAAGACAGCATTCTCCATAAGAAGTGCCATTCTTTATAGACAAATGGAAGAGGACTAATGATTCGGAGAATATTAGAGTTAACAGCAGGGCCGATAAAGGCATCTGGTCTGCTATATTAAGTCCGAAAGTTCTGGAAGCTTAGTCTGTCATTAATACATGTACTGGTTACGACACGTCATTAAGTTGAGAAAAAGGGATTGATTAATCCTTAAAGTCCTTACCAGGCGACTTACACCCTGGGCCGGTACATCATCTCGTTCTCGACTGTGTATTTCTATCCGGATTCGTTTTTATCATCCCAATAGGCCCTTTCGGCCAACTTTGATATGGGGACTAGAAATAAATAAGCAACTTCTCTAGTCTTGCTCAGCCTTTCTGCCCCCTCAGTTGGTTGCCCGAAATATTGCACATTCAGGGGATTCAGACTGGAGTATCTAACAGAGAGGTTGTAAATATTTTGAAGAGGCAGACCTTCATTCATGATCGCTACCTTTGGGGGTATGCGAAATACCGATCTATGTTGATAGAGTATAAGCTGTAGAAGACTAGAAACTACTAGAAAAAATACGACAATGTAGCAACTAAGTGTAATATATGTATGTCAATTCAAAATAGTTAACAACGCTAGCTCGACTAAATTAAGCAGCTGTGTAGTAGTGAAGGTAGAGAGGTAATTTGTCCGATAAACATACGCACGCATACGTGACTGCCTGAGTGCTTAGAAACAACTGTCTATGATGACCCTGAGCCGGCTCCAGCTGGAAGACGTCACACCGCGGATCAATTTACCACTTGGGGACTCCCGCACAATATAAACGCTTCATCTGCAACAATTAATCACGAACATTGACCATTGAAAAATTGCTATCTTTTTCCAGAACTTCCATTGCCTTGCGATACCCCAATCTCTCTGAGCTTACACCTATGCACTGCCCCTACTTACTGGATCGTTGAAACCTAGGGCTGTTGCGCTGGCCAACGGGCCGACAACTGCCATCTTCGCTCGGAAGGAAGCCGATACCAATCAAGTACCGTGTGCTTTTATCCAGCGCGGCAATAGTATCCCTTTCATTGAATGCAGCGGGCAACCTTACTGGAGGAGGGTCCGTGAATTGCCCCATGTTTGCTTCGAACCAATCCAACACAGGTAAGAAGGGATGATCCAAGGAATTGGTCTCGACGTCCGCCTTCAAAGCTGTCATCCACTCGCTGTGATCCACAGTTCTGATACGTCGACCGCTGCAGCTGCTGAGAATTCTGCACAAGGTCTCAATCGACACCCCATCGTGGCAATCCACTGCTTGTTTACCCTGCGGATTCAGAACACTGTCGATCACAAGGGAAGTTATTTGTTCCACCCCTGCTACCGGAATATGTGCTTTCCACAGGTCACCGCTCACAGTGCCAAGAGACAGGAAACTATAAGCCAGGCGCCACAGAAAGTCATCGGGATGGGCAATCCCTTCCCATCTCGTGCCTGCCAAATATCCCGGTTGTACCACTCGTCCCCGCGGGACTGACGAATTGGGCTGTTGGTCGAGCTCACGATTGTATTTCTCCACCATCATGCGTGACAGAAATTTGGTTTGATCATACCCACATGCATGAGCGAGATTATTCAGAACTTGCTCTCGAGGTTCTGTTGGCAATGGTAGATACCCCCCGCACACGTATGTGAACGGACACGGTGCTGGCATATTGGACAGAGCCTCCAGGATAATGCGGGTGCTGTCAACATTTGTGGGCTTTAGCGTCGAGAAATTGTCCAGCCAGTTGACTCGGGCACCGTTGTGGATAATTCCATCGACGTGCATATGACCAGTGAGGTTCGTCCAATGCGCATCGTCAAGCCCCAGCCTAGGAAGACTCAAATCCCCAAGCCATACTTCAAATTGAGAGTCAAATTCCTCACGCCACCACTGACCAAGTTGAGCATGAGTTCGTATCTTTTCTCGGGCTTGCTTTTCGCTATCAGACCGCACTAAGCCCACAATATGTCCCACACTGGGGTTCTCTAGCAATTCCCGAAGCACCTGGCTGCCTAGAAATCCAGTCACCGATGTTGCAAAGATTGTCTTTGTCTTTTGAGCTAAGACCGGTACAGGAACATTGATCAGATTCAATTCACCGAGGAGGTCTTTTGTGCCATCTGATCTGCCACCCGTCCGTCCGAAAAATCGCTGATCAATCTGACACACTGTGATCCCAGGCTGCTGCAGGTCTTGAATCCGAGCAGCCCCTCCTAAACGACGGCGGATCTCTCCAGATAGATATGCAGTTTGAATAGAATCCAGACCCAAACTGCTCAAAGGAAAGTCCCAACCGCGTAGGCTTTGCCCAGCCGATGGCTGTTTGGTTTCAATGAGGTCTGCAATAATGTTACTTAGTTCCATGGCCCCCGAGTCAGCCGGATTGATTCGGGACCAGGTATGACTGAGAGTGCCTCCAGGTCGAAGCGCCATGGTCTCGGATAGTGTCATGCGCGCCCAATCTGCAGTCAACTGTTGCCGGTGAATCTTTCCGGACTCAGTCAGCGGCATAGATTGGACAGGTACGAAGGCGCTGGGAACCATGTATGATGGCAAGATATTCCGTAAGTCTGCGCTCATCTGGTCTGCTAATGATGAAGAAAGCCCATCTTTTTGTTCAACAAAGGCCACCAGTTCCTGGCTATTGTCGTCTTTTTCTTCCCTGGCCAGAATTACTGCGGCTTGTTCACCACCGTGAAGGCAGTCACGAATGGCCTTTTCAATGTCGCCAAGCTCGACACGCAGCCCGCGAATCTTGACAAACCCAGCTCGGCGACCAATGAGGATTATTTTCCCGTCAGGCTGCCACCGGGCTAAATCTCCAGTTCGGTAGCAACGCGCCGGAAATGGCTTGGTGAAGGTTGAAAGTGATTCAGGTAGAGAGATGAAAGACTCGTTTCTCTGCGTTGTATCATCCAGGTACCTATTCGCGAGGTAAGGGCTCTGAAGTATCACCTCACCTTCCACTCCAATCGGTTGCAATCTATGAATATTGTCTGGATCGACAATCCAACATTTTGCACCAATACCGCGCCCTATTGCTTTGGGATTGTCATTAGACCCCAGGTTCAACTCGACTGTATCCCAGACTCCCCCTTCAGTGGATCCGTAGACATTGCTCAGTCTGACCTTATCTGCCCAAGCGCTCAAGATCTTCGCGGTGGGTGCTTCACCCCCAATGTACAAATGCTTCAAGGTTGGTAGGGCTTCCGGTCTTAAGGATGCCACAATGGCAGGAGTCAAAGATGCATCGGACACGTTGAGTTTGTGCATGATCTCCGCAAGGCCCTCAATGCGCTCCTCCTCGGAGGGTATGCAAACAGTGCCTCCGGCAACCCACGGTGCGAATAATTCACATATGCTAGCATCGAAAGAGAATGAGGCGAATTGCAAGGACCTTGTGGAGCAGTCCAATTCAAATGCCTGGGCAACGGCCTCCAATGACCCAGACACTGCACCGTGCTGATGCACAACCCCTTTTGGCTCGCCTGTGCTGCCGGAGGTGAACATTGTATAGGCCACTTGGGAAGGGTCCGTGTCAAGCTCTCGAGCCCATTCATTGGAAACGACCTCCACTTTATCCAGAGATGAGGGCGTTATCATTCGAAGTTCGCGAAAGCTCTCGTGACCTTTCAGTTTCTCGAGGATGGCGCTCTCTGTTACCAACACTCGAATTCCAGCCTTCCGTGTGATATACTCCATGCGATCCACGGGAATGGAAGTTGCAATAGGGACATAACCTGCGCCCGCTCGCAAAATGGCCAGGAGCACTATGAGAGATAAGGCAGACTTTTCCACGCAGAACCCGACAATATCCCCCGCTTCAACTCCGTAGTCTATGAGTTCTCGCGCCATAGCAGCAGATCGCCTTCCCAGTTCCTCGTATGTGACATCTCCTGAAGTGCTGGATACGGCAATATGTGCTGGTCGTTTCTGGTACTGCCGATTCACGAGACCATGAATGGTGGTTGCGGGTTTTGGTGG